AGAGAGAGAGAGAGAGAGAGAGAGAGAGAGAGAGAGAGAGAGAGAGAGAGAGACAGAGAGGGTGAGCTCGTGCCGCGAACCGAAATAGTCAACACCAACTCCCGCTTGTTTCTGCTGAAATGGACATATCATACTTATGCGCTCAACAGTTCTGCTACGCTCTAGTGCCACGCATTAATCGCCTTGCCCACACCGCCCAACTCCCCCTGCGCGGCCTCCTGCAGCACAAAAGTCTTCACAATGGGCTTGATACTATTCCACACGCCATTCGCCAGCACGACGAACTCCCATCCCCCCTCCGCCGTCGGCATCAGTCCCACCCTCGCATTATCCGTCGGCCTGGGCGACCCCTGCACCGGTTCCGTCGCGGCATGCCTCAACGTCGTCGTCGCCGGCTCTTTCTCTGCGGCCGACGATGTACCATTACCGCCGCTGGAACCCTTGCCTTGGGCGGCGTCAATCCTGTCCTGCAACTGCCTAACCACGTTCTGCTGCACCATGCCAGGCTGATTGAAGTGCGCCGCGGTGAGTCCCTTGACGGACAGTTGAGCCTTGACCACCTCCGTCTCGGCCGGGTGCGTGAAGCAGTACGCGCCAATGGCGAGGATGACGACGCCAAAGACATACAGCGCCTTGGTGGCCAACAGGAGATACAGCGGCGCGAGCGGGATGCGCGCGACGATCTTCAGCGGCTCGCGGATCTGTTCGAGCTCGTTCGTCTCGGGCGCCATGACGGCCGTCGCGAGCGCGAGCATCGTGCGGGAGAACTCGCGCGCAAAGCGAGTGGCGATGATGCGGGAGTTGTTGCCGGAGTAGGCGGCAACCGAGGCCGCCTCGGCGATAGCGTTCTGGATGACGGGATTGTACGCGGCGAAGGCCGGCGGGGCGCTGAAGAGGCCTGCCATGTCTGTGGAAGCCAGGGTTTTGTTGAACGTGTGCACCGAGCCGTTGACCCAGGTGTAGTGGATGTCCCAGACGGTGGTCGAGCAGTTGAAGACCCAGGTGGCGCCGCCACCAAGCTGCGTGGTCCAGAACAGGCCGGTGTCGCCGACGAAGAGGTTGTCGTCGCTGCCGAAGTTGGAGGCTGGGTACTCGACGCCCCATGCGCCGTAGTAGAGGGGGTTTGTCGGGTAGATTTTCGTGACGTTGTTGCCGAGCGTCATGCCTTCCTCGGGTAGCCAGCCGTTAGGAGCGACATAGGTCTGGCCGCCGGCGACAGTGAGCTCGGGATTCTCGGCGAAAGCGACGCCGACGTTGGGCCCGCCCCCAGGGAGACCGTATGCATCGTCTAGTGTTGCCGATGAGTTGAGGAAGTTCTGCCACAGATTTCCGCCGAAGGCAGGGGTGCAGTTGAAGAGGTAGCCGCCGTTGCCTGCAAAATTGGAGTAGCAGAGCTGTGTCATTGGAATGCACTGTGCCGATACGCCGAACGTTTTGGCTTGAAAGTCGATGGCTGGGCCCTGCTCCGTATCGCCGATGTAAAGGTATTCGATGCCGGAAGGGTCGGTGTAGTTATGGATCTTGTGCTCCTTGGAGATGCCATATGCTACGCTGAGGGTGTCATATAGATCGAGGAACCATGATCCGTGCCCATTGGCAGGAAACAACGTGACCGGCCACCATTCATTGAATGGATTGTTAGAGTTGACAGTGCCGTTATCGCGGGGCCCGCTGGGGAATCTCGTGTAATTAAACGCTCTCCCGAAGCTGCTGATGTTTGCGTTGTTCGGCGTCAACTGCTGGATAGTGAAGGGTTTAGTGGCGATACCGAACCAGGAATCGACGATAGGGATTGCGAGGCCAAGCATGGTGATGAAGAACAAGGCGGTGAAAGCAGCAGGCAAGGGTGATATTAGCTTTTCCCGCTTACGATACCTGTGTAGGATGGTGTCTTTGAGGGGACTGAAACCGTTGCCGTTCAGCATGTTGATCAGCAGACTCAGTTGCTCGGGAGTAGGTAGGTGCGAGCCGTGCTCGTCTCCATGCTTGGACTTTAATACAATATGTCGGGCGGAGAAGAAAGCTACCAAAGCCATGATGGAGCTGGAGAGGTATGGGATGACTCGGCTTGTCCACGATGCGATGGTAGTGAGGGTGGATGGATTGTAGTCAACAAAGTATGCTGGAGCACCTCCCTGATGACGGATGTAATCTATCCAGGAATTGACATCTCGATGAGTTTCGTTGACCGTGGGTGCAAACTCCGGTAAGCCTTTTGTCAGATCCACACGGAAGTGGAAGATGAAGTATAGTAGCACAGCTGTGATCACAATGATGGGGATGCATGGTAAGGCAACGCCACCAACAATGGCCCAAATTGCTTGCTTCAGCCTTCGTTCTGGTAGCACGACAGCTTCTTCCGACGCAGCGCGGTCCTCTTCCACAGACACAGTTGTTGCTTGAACATGAGTCTTGCTTTCCATGGCGAGCGACCAAACAGGTTGAGTGAGAAAAGGAAAACGAACAAGCCTGATGTTCTGAATTGACTCACAGGCGTGGGGAGAATGGCCTGCAAAGATCGGCGACAGTTATGGTCATATCTGATTCCATAGACCCTTTCAGCTTCGGCATTGGGCAAGTGCATAACTATAAAAACGCCAGCTTAGGCCGTTCAAGATCCAGAACCTGAGCCGCTGAACTATATTTAATGGCCACAGCGAATCAGAACTAATTGTTATACGAACTGACACAACTTAGTCTCCCCGCTAGTCCGTTTATAGCTATCCTTAGAGAGGCGCAAGCCACAACTTCCCAAAAGGCTGGCTGAACTCCTTATCAAGAAGGAAGAGAGAGTTGCGCTTCGTACCGAGGCCAAGAATGTGTCACTGAAGAATCGAGACGGTCTGGAACCAGGGTCTAGATGATGACTTGCAGCTGGTATTGCATGGTCATGAGCAAGCTGGCCAGAGCTGGGCAGTAAGATCTCTCCACTCCCATAACTATTAATGGTCACCACTCTTCGGTCATGGGTAGAAGAGAAGCTAGGATTGTTTGTCACATGCAGAAGTACAGCTAAAGCTGACTCGCGTTTTGATGGTTCCAGATCACGTACAGGTGGAATAGTCAAGCATTCACTGCCTAAGTGGGCTCGCCAGAGCTGAACCCTGTGCTCCCGGGCCGTTGCGAGAGGAGTGATGCTTGTGTCGGCCAAAACTCTGGACACACGGTGCTATCGAACAGGCATTCGCCATCGATATTGGGTTGTTACAAGGCTGGATCTCTTTGACTGAGGACTATGGCGCAGTTCTTGCTTGCTTTGAACGACGTTAATCCTGTTCCGTTGACTCGGCATCTTGTCCAGGCCTGCTAGGAGTCGTACAGTAGAACAGGGCTATACCAACCATATCTCCTCCAGCTTGCCAGCGTCTGGACCTTTGACTGCCTCGCCATCCATGATCCCGTGAGCATAACAAACTCCAACCAAGAAGTAGTCCATTGAGCTTTCCGATGCTGCCTTTTTCCGGAGCACGAAAGGCATGTGAGCACCTTCCAACACAGCAACAACGTCGCCGACCCTAGTGTTCCGCGGTCCGATGCAAGGCCCATACTTGTTCGTGACAAAGAAGCGCTTGTTGACCAAGTTTCCCTCGATCCAGCTGAGTGCTTCCTCCGTAGCGAAGTTTCCATGTGTCTCATGCCGACTTCCAGTCCCTGCGCCGTGCGTTTTTTCACTTTGCTGGTCTAGGATCTCGTCAAGCATCTGATCAGTGAGTCGTGAGCGCTCAATGGTATAACGCCAATCCACAATGGCAGAGTAAGGGGCAAAGTGCTGGCCACCTCGGAAGTCTGGGTCAAGATCCCACAGCAATGTTCTGACAAAGTCTCGTCTCACCGACTTTGGGTTAGTGCATTGCTTCGGTGCTGACTGGGCGGCAAGTTCGTAAAGCTGTTTCCACGATTTGAGAGTGGCCTCATTCGCCATCGAGACAATGTTGTTCGTATATGCGTCAATGGCACCAGGGTAATACACTTGTCCGACCTCCAGAACGTTCGCATGGAATACTGATCGTATCATCAGCTTGTGGGCGATCCGCTGAGGCAACTCAGGCTCGGCAGGCAGCAATCGAAAAGCAGAATACAAGTCCCACATTGGCAAAAGCAAAGGGTGCTGTCTGTGGTCATATGAGGAGGACCAGTCCGGCACCCAGCTAGGCAGATTCGGTAGGCTGTTGTGATACGATGCGGCTTGCGTCAGAATGAGTAGCGATTGGCTATGAGCCATGAGACTTTCAACGAAATCAGTGTACACCGTCGCTGTGTCCGCTTTATAATCAGCCTGCAGGAATTGGCTGCCAAACAACGAGATGCAGATGCCCAGGAGACCGAGTACACGATCTCGTGGATCGGTTGCTATGCATTTCCTGGCTCGAGCGAAGAACGCTATCGCTATTCGGCCTTTATCTGGCAACGACACCCCACTCTGAGACAAGGCAACTGGAAACGCCGAGAGATTCAACATAAGGCGGTATACTTTGTGTTGAGTATCGGAATCCTCGGGCATCTGTGCTTTCAGGGCTAATAGTGCGCCTTCTGTAGGCTTAAACCGTGACGAGCCTGCATGAATGGTGTACTTCTTAGCAAGGGCTCTTTCTTGAATAGTCCAGAGTCTCTTCCAATAGTCGGCTTGCAGTGTATCACGTGCACCATCGTCAAATAGGCTGCTGCCCCAGAAAGCATTGGGCGAAGTGTCCCGCCAGTCATGGTCTTGCACATATTCCTCAATCTTCCGGAACTCAGCGAAAAGGCTACTGGTTGATGGAGTCTCAACCCCAAGCCAGATGCGTACGTTAGCCGCTTGGGAGAAGATGCGGTGCATAAGGGCAACTTGTTGTCCCCGCTCCTCTAGATCTTGCTGAAAGATGCAAATAGCATCCACCCAAAGATATCTTGGCACCTTTTCATAGCGCAGATGTTGCAAAGCGCTACAGAGAGTTTTTGTGACTGGGACCTCAATGCCCTCGATGAAGACAGGGCGAACGTCTTGTGAGCCTCCCCATGCGTATGAGATCGCGTCATACACTGGCTTATCATTCAGAGACCTGACCTCGAGGTGTCCCTTGGGCCAAGAGCTAGCGTCGAGGCTAGGCTCCAGGAAGAGAAGGCGAATCTCAGCCGTCTCGGAGTTGAGTTGTGGAGTATATACCTCCCCGTAGTCTTCCATGATCAAGTATAGCTAGTCAATTTTAACCAAGAATCGGCAAGATTAACAAGGGGAAGGCCCACAAGTACTCTTAGGACGGCGATGTGTCGTTTAGACCTTCACCGAGGCTGCCAGATCTTGCTCCGACCTCTTAGATTGCCAAGCCGACTCAGGTCTGCCCCGCGTCGTACTCTAGTCCGCATGCGATCTACCCGTCACATTAGCATCACGTGATTGAACATATCACTGCCTTGTTGGCCACAATTGTTGGACCCCGTGCTCGAAGACCATTATGTGGTTCAGGATGTGAGGCGAGGACTCTGCTGAGAGTGGCGGACTCAGACGTCCCAGCTTGGAAGTCTCGGAGGGGGGGGGGTTTAAGTTCTTGCATGTTGTCTTGTTTCCTTGTTTCGGACAAGCATGGTAGCGTTTTCCGGTATCTGGATATCGGCGAGCAGTGCTCTGTGTTCGATGTTTTATATCCTGAGTCCAACATGCTCTCAGGCATACACAGCCCGCAGGACTAATCATCATGCTGTATTTCAAGTGAGGCTTTGCAAAACGCGGTAGAACTTCCGAGCCAGACCCCAGGTCCTCAGTCCGTCGAGCGCCCTCAAACCCTCCTGCTTCAGAGTCTCGAAGTTCTTAGAGTCACAGATATCATCCACCGACAAGAAGCTAGCCGGTCCACTTCGCTCCACCCATGCTTTGAGTCCTGTTTCATCGATAGCCGTCCTTCGCCAGGGCAAGACGTCCAGCTTTGCAGCGGCGCCGCGCGTGTGCAGTCTTTCGAATGGGAAGAAGCATGTGAAGGCCAGTAGGTAAGCGTAGCCGTTGAAGAGTCGCATGACTTCGCATGGTGTGGTAGATGTACACTCGCGCGCGATGGTGATGATGTTGGCGGCAGAAACTACCGACCGTCTGGTATCCACGGGATCGTGTGCGAAGGTGTTGCACAGATGTGTCTCGGCTCTGGTCAATTCCGCTGCGAGCTGTGGCGATCTCTCACGTCCAGAGTTGCGGAAGATGAAAATGATGAGGTCCATGGCTGAGGTGCGATTGATGAGGTCGGTGTAGTAGATGCCCAAGGATGTTACGTTCATGTTGACAATGTCCGACATGTTAATAGGACTCGAGAGCGACTCGTTGAGGATGTTCAGGCTTTGCAGCAAAGTATCATTGCTCGACTTGTAGCCTGCTGCGATAGAAGGTATGCCGAGCGCTATAGGGGCTGACGCATCTTTCATCTCTTTAAGATCCCAGAGCAAGCGACTAATTGTTTGGGCGCAGAGCCGTTTACCCCACGAAGGTATGGTTGATATAACGGATCGCTGTGATGTTAGCTGTTGCATTAGAGTGTAGGTCTGGAGACCTCGTCGAGATTCGGTGGAAAAGAAAACCATCGACGCCCATGCCTTGGCCGAAGCACACTGTGCTTCCCACAGGCTGTCTGCGCAGGGGAGCCTGGTTGGTAGCTCTGAGATGCTGAAGGCGCCTCGCTTGTTCGTCATCATCGAAACGGTGCAATCGAATTCGAATACCATCCACGCAACGCGCTTTAATGTCTCGCTAGAGCGCCACTGGGCCCATGCAACCTCGAGTTCGGACTCTGTCATCTGCTGCAGGTTGTCTGAAGACAGTGTCTCACCCTCAGAGGCTTCCAGGGACAATATCCCCGTGCTACGGAGGCTCGTTACCATAGTGCCGCGGGCTGCATCGGCCAGCTCGTACAGGCGGCGGTTGCCAGACCCAAGGGAGTAGGTGTGATGAAGACACATGGCTGTAATGAAAGCCGGGTCCTTGAAATTTGTTGTGTCGGCCTGACCCATCCACAAGAGGGACCTCTGTGTTATCTCCGCAAGCAGGACGGCAACTTCTGATGACCCCTCTGCTGTTGAATATGTAGCACCAAGGCAGGCCATGGCGGCTAAGAGAGCAGTGGGGCAGTCTTCTACTCGCCATGTAGGCAAGTGAATGACGTTGGCCACTGGATGGAACTCTTCGAAATAAATTCTGATCAGCTTCGTGAGGAAGTTGACTGCTGGAAGAGCTTCAGGAGCAGGACTGTCGTTAACGCACTATACCGTTGTTAGAACTATCGTTGTTCTGGCAGAATACATCTTACCGGGATTCTGGGAGCGGACAAGATCTTGATCAGGTCACTGAGAGTCGCCTTCTCTATTGAAGGTCGTTGTCCAACAGTCTCCTCAAGCACTTGGCGAAGAGGAGGCAGTCTGATCCGACGATATCCGCGGTTGGAGGTGTAGTCGAATGGCCATACGCCGCCACCTTGATCGAGTGCATGAGGCCAATCACTCGCGCCATCTTTTCCAGCTGATACGTCAGCAGAGTGACCATCAGTCGGCACAGAGACGGCTGGCGTGGACGCGGTGCCTGGCGCGATCTCTCCTCGAGGCTGTCGGAAGTCAAGGTCGTACGGGCTTTCCGATGGTAAATGCACAGAGCCTAATGTCTGCCGGTCTGAGTAGTCTGCTGTAGCTCCGAGCCAGTCCGTTTTGGATGCTTGGAAGGTATTCCCCTCAAACATGAAGCCGAAATCTAATAAGCCTAAATCGTCATTGTCCTCGACGGCGAAGGGCACATTATATTGATCTCCGTCGTTGGACAGTGAGCTCGCTGGCAGCTGCTGCAGGGCCGGTGGAGTAGTGCTGCTAACATCATGAGTGGGCGTTTCTCTCGTACCGGAGAGATCATGATTTGATCCTTCGCAGTGTTGCAGCGGTGGTCCTTGCCGCAGCTCAGCCGCATTCAACAGGGAATCGATGCCAGTATCCGGTCGATAGCGTGGCTGGTCAAGAGATTTGATTCCTGACTTTCGTGGATTGTCACTGCCGAGCACTCTATGGTGTTGAAGTGGTTCGCCGGAAGGCAGCAATGACCACCGGTCTGGTGGTTGCCCTTGCTGATTCTGTCTGGCGTGTGGAGAGGGCAGGTGTGAGTGCCCAGCTTGTCCAGCCGGAATTACAGCAGAATCGTATTTGCAAGACACATTTCTGTCCTTACAGGCGGCACACGGAATCTCTCGACTGCATTTGAGCTTGTAGCGGACGCAGCGCTCGCAAGATTTCTTCCGGCGGGTCCGACTATCGGTCTTGCTAGGCCCATGGACTCCACGTTGATGTCTTTGATAGACATCTTTCCGCTTGAATGACTTGTCGCATGCGTGACACCGGAATAATTCGGGTGGTGTATCTGTGTGCAAGAGTTGATGGCGGTGCAGATGGGCCAGTCGAGAGAAGCGCGAGTCGCAGACGCTACAGGCGTGGGTTCGTTGTGATGCTCGCTGCTGTGGCATCTCATTGCCATGTGCACACGTCCACAGTATCCTCCTGATCAGAGTCCGTGTTGCGAGGAGCTACGGGCCAGCAGCAAAGTTTACAGACGGTGTGTTCGGTCACAAGGGTCGATGTGTGGTACCCCATGGGGAAAGCAAACACCAGCTTCGGGCTCGGCGGAGGAAGGTGGGAGAGCCAGTGCAGCGCCCGGGGATAACTTCCTAAATCCCGGGCCATCGCTACGAGCATTCCCCGAAGTCCCAGACTGCCTCTCTCAGCAAGATGTTACATTTGCTATTCATGACAACTCAACGAGACTTTTTGGCATCTATGTGAGCATTAGTGTCCGGTTGTGATATCGCTACAACTATGTACGCTCAAACAACAGTAGCCTGGCCCGTCCACTTCCCCAGATGGCTGTCGTCGACTTCGTCAGTATCGTTGTCTCATTTTTTGGCATCAAGTATTCTCGTCAAGTGGCTCCTAATCTGGTCACCCATCTCCCTCGTGGATGTGTTACCCTTCATATCCCTTGTCTTGACCCCGGAGTCCAACGCAGCGTTGACTGCCTGCTCGATGGCTTGGGCATCCTCCTCCATACCTAGAGCTGTTAGCTGTGCGTGCTCGTCTCCCGTCAGAAACAGACTGTGACTTACCAAATGAATACCTCAACATCAACGCTGCGCTCAGAATGGTGCCAATAGGATTGGCAATGCCCTGCCCAGCAATGTCCGGCGCACTCCCATGCACAGGCTCGTAGAACCCCTTTACCGTTTTCGAGCCGAACTCAGTCACAGGAATATCCGCCAGACACGCACTGGGCAGCACACCCAATGTTCCCGGAATGACGCCAGCCAAGTCACTCAGCAGGTCACCGAAGGTGTTGTCCGCCAGCACCACGCCATTGAACATGGTTGGCTTCGCGGGTATCAGCATAGCCGCGCTGTCCGCGAGTTGATGCACAATCTCCACGTCCGGGAACTCTCGCTTGATCGTCTCCTCAACAATCCTCCTCCAGAGCCTCGAGCTCGCCAGCACATTGGCCTTGTCACAGCTGATGACCTTCTTGACGGGGCTCGCAGGACTCCGCGCCAGATGCGCCGCCATCCTCGCAATCCGCTCCACCTCCTCGCGCTTATAGCTCCACAGGTCGCTCGCATAGTCGGGCTCCTCGACTTTCGGCCCGTAGAAGGCACCGCCGCAGTTCTCCCGCAGCACGATGAACTTGGCTCCCTTGACCAGCTCCTCTCTGATCGGGCTGCCACCGTCTTTGAAATACTCCGCTGGCCGCATATTGGCATAGACCTGCGTGACCTCGCGCAATCGCAGGGTGGCGCCCTCGGGGCCCTCGAAGCCGCGCCGCATGCCGTCCCACTTGGGCCCACCAACGGCGCCCATGAGGATGGCGTCGCAGGTGCGGCCCACCTCGAGCACCTCGTCTGTCACGGAGGTGCCGTGGGCGTCGATGCTGCAGCCGCCGAAGAGGCGCGGGAGGAGTTTGAAGCTGGCGCGGCTGTCCGGGCGGGCGGAGAGCTGGTTGAGGAGCAGGGTCGCTTCGGCCATGACTTCGGGGCCGATGCCATCGCCGTCGAGCATCAGGATGGAGAACTCCCGTTTGGAGTTCGAGGCGATCATGGTGGCGGTTTCGGATCGAGTCTTTGTCCCTTTAGTTGCTGCTTTGGACGGCCAGTGTTGACGTGTCTGTGTGAAGTCAACTGCTGTCCGCAAGAGCTGATGTAGGCGATATATTCTACATCTCGAGTCCCCACTAGATCTCGACACGGGGTTGCTGCCGGCGGACTCGAAGATTGGAGGCGAACCAATTCCACGCACCGCGACCCCAGGATTGCCGTCACGTTGGGGTGTGGAGTAAGGGCAGTGGGGGGTAAGGTACAACGTGGGCGAAGAATTTGCCTGGGAAAGCTAGATTGACCGGACCAGAGTGTGGGACAGTCCTAGAAATCATCGGAGCTCGGATGTGGCACGCAAAAGTTTGTCGGTGCCCCTCGCCGTGTCAAGACCGGAGTAATTGTAAACGGCGCCACGTCGAGACTGTTGGCAAAGAGGTATACCGAGGGACAAGAAGATGCTCCATATGCACAGCACAAGCACTTGGGGATACGCAGAAGCCAAGCAACAACCGTGTCGCCCTCGCGTCTCACTACTGTGCGCCGATAGCGGCGAGATCGAGCTTTAGGATAGGATCACATCGTCAAGAGCGGTGCTGAAGAAACCTCGAAGATAATAAGAGGGAAACGCGGCGATTGAGGTCTGTAGAAGGTTTTATATGGCATTGTTAGATCGATCTACCACCATCAACAGACATGTTGACACCAGTAACAAACTCGCCGTCATCAGAACACAGGAACACAGCCGCTTTGGCAACATCCTCCACTTGGCCCAATCTACCCAGCGGAACTGCCGTCCTCATTAGCCCTGTACTGAAGAAGGAAACTATTGTTAGGACTCACCGTTAGAAAGGAACTTCTGTCGGTTTTCTGGCGTATCAGGAACCCCAGCAAAGGCCTCAAACCTGTATTTTGTCAGTGGTGGATGAGATGATGGGAGGTTTTCGAACGTACAGTCCAGTGCCAGACAAGAGCGGGCAGATCGAATTCACTCTGATCTTCTGTGGGCCGTACTCTAGGGCGAGACCCTTGGTTGCATTTGACACTGCGCCTTTGGTCGCGTTGTACCAGACCAGGCCTTGTCTTGGTCGGTCGGCTCCGCAGGATGAAATATTCAGGCTGCGAACGTCAGTGAAGAGCACGTAGCTGTGCGAGAGGCCCATCTTACCAGCAACCGCTTCCTTGTTCGATGAAGGTAGGGAACACGGCCTGAACGGAATGGAAGATGCCAAAACAGTTCACATCAAACGTGCGCTGGTACTCCTCTACTGTGACCTCCAGTGTGGGCTTGTTCTTGTATGACGTGCCTGCGTTGTTGACGAGGATATCGAGCCGGCCAAATTCTTTCTTGATCTTCTGAACGGCGGCGTCCCACTCTTCTCGTTTTGTGACGTTGAGCTGGCCGGTGATGACCTGCCCGGGGAACTCCTTCGCAATGGCATTGGCGCCCGTCAGGTTGATGTCGCCGATGAAGACTTTGGCGCCCTCCTTGACAAAGTACTGAGAGATGGCAGCGCCAAAACCTGAACCACCACCAGTCACGAGCGCGACCTTACCGGAGAGTTTGCCTGACATTGTGGCACGGGTGTCGAGCTTGAGCAGAGCAAAAAAGATCACAAGATATGGACGTAGGAATTGCAGATGTAGAGATTGTTACCTTGTACCAGGGCCGTCAGAAGGTGGATCTGGCGCTCTTATGTGGTCTTTGTCGTTGGAGAACGCGCTGGGCTCCGTGAGGTACCCCAAAGAGGCGCAAGCCACGGAAAGGACGCCGGAACACTAAGTGGGGAGCCCCGAAAACGTCGGACACGTGAGAATCCTTATTGAAGGTTGCGCCCCTCGGGCATGGTGCTCTTGGGAAGCTCTGATCGATCCGTCTTGTTAGGCGCTCTTCTCCAGTTATGCATGCTCAGGAACTTGACACGTGTTGCGAAGCGAACGCGGGGTGGAAGAGGCTGGGCTTGGAAAGCAGTTGACGAGAAGCTCCACGGCTAGCTTCCCTTTGCCTGCGATATCGGCCTCACAGGGTCGCTTCGGCGCTTGCGCACATGATTGATGAGCCGACCATATCCGCGGATGGTGGGTACTTGGCTCCTTGCTCCATTCGGGAACGAAAGTGTAGATGTGAATGAACATGAGATGAGCTTCAAGTCGTCGGAGAGGGGCAGTCCTGTTGGAGCTGGGCCCGCCAAGGGCGGAAAAGTGGGGACGTGCCAAGGAACTCGAGCTCGAGCTCCGAACACCTCGAAACGTCGCGTTCACGACATCCAGCTTCGACACTGATACACAGGACCTCGCAGCGATGGGTCTAGATGCAGGTGCAGGTGCCGCGATCAAAATTGCAGACTTATATGCTTGATAGTCCATCTTGACGAGAAATCGTCTCCTTTCTACACCCGGAATCCCTTCATGCTACGCCGCCCAAACGTTTCCAGCCCAGGTGGAATACGAGATGAGATTCGCTAAGCTAGCACAGCTACTATAAGTGAACCATGTAGCCCACTTGCCACAGCTCTCTACTCCCTGCAGAACTGGGCCTTGAACAACTTCTACCCCTTCGGCGCCAGTACTTCCGCAACGCCCTCTCGAAAGAGCAGCATTGCATAGACCAGATGGAACCTCTGTAGCCACTTAGACATCGACGGTTGCTCCCTCATCGGATCACAGGTCAGGCATGAAAAACGCAGTTCACACGTCTCCTGCCCTCCTCCTTCTCCATCCGTGACACCATCTGCCGCCTCCCACCTCCACAGCACAGAGAAGCGGTGCATCCCCCGTAAGAACCCCGTATCTGATCCAAACACGAAATCAACATAACTCTCCCTCTCCATCCCATCCTCACCACCCACTCCCACCTCCTCAGCAACCTTAACATGCACGACCTCAAACGTCCCAACAACCCTCATGCCCACCCTCCACTCCTCCACGGCCCTAACCTCCCCCTGCCCCCACAGCTCAACCCCCTTGCCCTTGCCCTTTCCCGCCTCACCCTCCCCTAACGCCCGTATATCCAAGATATCCGGCATCCCCCACCATCTCGCCCACCCCAACGCCCAGCGCTCCGGCGCAAACACCCACCCACCAAACACGCCACGCACGAACTTCGTGAGGATCTCGCGATCTGAGAGCGAATGATAGCCCGACGGGCTAAGGGGGAGGTGGGAGGAAGAGAGGCACACGCTGCGGGAGTCGGTCGTGATGGCGTGGCGGGCGGGGTTGACGAGTGTGGCGATGGTGGGGGACGTGGTGAGGGAGAAGGCGGTGGTAGCGGAGGAGGTGATGGGGAGGTGGGAGGTGGGGGCGAGGCGGTGGGAGAGGTGCAGGGCGTAGAGGGTAGGAGGGATGAGGAGGAGGGTGAGGGTGAGGGGTGGAGGCATGGTGGGTCTTGGAAGTAGAGGGTTGTGATGATGGTGATGGTGATTTGATGGAGGGAAGTAGTATGCTCGTGGCGGCAGATTAGGTCGTGAGGAGTATGGATCACAATGGGTCAAAGCATAGGGCTATTAGTGACCTCCTGTTTCGGGGAAGTCCGGTCTCGTAACCCATTTCCTCGCAGTGGTAATGTCAGATACGTCGGGTCGGCGGGAGAAGCACGGTGAATAGGGTATGGAGCTGGAGGCGTCGAGCTTACGGACGTACCCGATCCCTTTCGGGGCATGCCAAGCAACTATAAGCACGCATTCTTCTGGCGTCGCAAAGGATGCGAACTGTGTAGAATGTCATCGATAGCATTAGTAGTTGTCGTACACGTCTGTTCGAATGAGGTGTCGGGCGCGGTCGGTCCAACAGCCTGGGCTGTCCAGTGTGATGGTGCCTAACGTAACGTAACGTAACGTAACGGATTCCATGCATTTATATACATCTGTGTGTCAAGGGAGATGCTAGGACCCATCACGGAATAGGAAGGCGACGTGCGAGTGGCAAGCAGCTTTTGAGCAGCCGTAAGGAAGATTGCAATACACACTGCCCACATCGGCTCAAGGAGTGTATTGGGTCAGACAGAGCCATCACCGTGCTGACCATATGATCAGAGGCTATCCTCACGTGCAGATCTGCAGATGCAAATTGCCCAATCCCTCTCCATTCATCTTCACCTCAGCTGATCCTGCTACTCTTTGTTGCCATCCATCTGATTGAATCAGAAGCCTTCTCCGCCTTGTTTATTAGAGAACCTCATTGTGTACTGCACCGTATCGACCGATGTTTCGGTGGAGACGTCTTGTTGACGATCGACAGGCGGCGGCTGCATATATAGATCGCCCCGATGCTTCCCGGCCGACACATCTGTCGTGGCACCGCTTCTTCAAGGAAGCACCGCCGATCGTCGTTCCACCATCAAGGTCCTCGTCGTCTTGGCTTTCGTCACTCTCCTCTTCCTCCCCAGTCACGATTCCCTGGCGGCGCTTCTTAGCACTTTTACCAGTGCTGCTCAGTCGTGGCTCATTTATATCGTAGCTCGTACCACCGTCAACATCATGACGGCGCTGGTGTCGCTCGTTGCCCTGATCGAAAACAATTTCAACTCTTTTCTTCCTCCAGGAAGAAGTAATTGCCAGCCAACTTCTGCTCTTGGTCCAATTGCGACTTGTCCTTGTTGATTCGTGGACGGTAAGTGTTGGGGTCGCGACGGAATGTGACGTCAAGATTCTTCAAGAAGCGGTTACATCCAGTGAGGAGACTCTCGGGTGGTTTAGCGTAAGCATCCTGGGACGGTACACCGTCGAAGACAATGACACGGTCCGCGAGATAGGTGGCCATGATGAAGTCGTGCTCAACAACAAAGGCAGTCTTTTTGTTGTGCATGATGAAGCGCTTGATAACGCGGGCGGCCACAATACGTTGCTCGGAGTCGAGGTAAGCCGAGGGCTCATCGATAAGGTAGATATCTGCAGGCAGACCCAGCGCCAGAACAATAGCAACACGCTGCAGTTCACCACCTGAAAGATTCTGGACTTCCTGGTCAATGAAGTCGTCAATCTTCAAAGGCTTGTAGACATCAGTCTGGAACTGGTTGTTCAAGAACGCTGCCTTGATGCGCTTGAAGAAGAGCTGACGAACAGTACCCTGGAACTTGGGTGTGATCTTCTGAGGCTTCATGCTGATGTTCATTGGGGGAACTTTCTGGTTGCCGTCAGGTTGCTCGGCTCCGGCGAGCATTTTGCAGAAGGTTGTCTTTCCGGTACCATTCTCACCCATCATGACAATAATCTCAGAATCGGTGAACGTGCCTGCTTCAATGTTGAGGCTGAACCCACCAAGAGTCTTCTTCATCTTGGGGTATTGGAAGCCACGAGCCTTGTCCACAATGTAGTCTTCACCAGCTTCGGTCATTCGGAATGTGAGCGATTCTTCGCGGAAACGCAAGTTCTCGGTAGGGATGTGGCCGTCGAGGAAGATGTTGATACCTTCACGTACCGAGGCAGGAAGAGTGACAACACCGTAGACAGCAGGGCGGCCATAGAGCACGCAGATGAAGTCAGACAAGTAATCAAGCACAGACAAGTCGTGCTCGACAACAATGACGTAGTTGTTGTGAGTGAGAAGCTCGCGTATAGTGCGAGCAGCAGCGAGACGTTGCTTGACATCGAGGTAGGAGGACGGCTCGTCAAACATGTACACGTCGGCTTTCTGGACACAAGTGATAGCCAAAGCGAAACGCTGAAGCTCACCACCAGAAAGAATACCAACTTCTCGGTCGTGTACACCGTTGAGTTCGAGGACGTCCATAATATGCTGCATGTTTCCAAGCTGGCTGCGGGATTCTAGAAGAGCCTTGACCTCCTTCGTGGGCCCCTTGATGGCACGAGGCAGCTGATCGACATACTGGGGCTTGACGACAGACTTGAGGTCATCTTCTAGGATTTTGGTGAAATAGTTTTGGAGCTCAGAGCCACGGAAATACTTGAGGATGTCCGCCCAGTCGGGAGGGCTGTCGTAGCGACCGAGATTCGGCTTGAGCTTACCGCTGAGGATCTTGAGCGCAGTACTCTTGCCGATACCGTTGGTTCCGACAAGACCAAGTACTTGACCGGGCCGGGGCATGGGCAAGCGATGCAGCTTGAAGCTGTTGGCAGAATAGCGATGAGTGGTCATAGACTCCAAGTTGGTGGGCAGATTGATGATCTATTGACATAGGTCAGCCAAGGCACATATAGCAAGTTGGCTTGAGCGTATTCGGGGCCAGACTGGCTCATCTTGGGACCCAACATATTGCTTTGGTATCCAGACCGAACCAATGCTCTTGGTACATTTTGAGTCTTGCATCTGGGGGAAACGCACCGAGATCGCCGCGAACGGACATTTCTTAGGACAGATACCACTATTCCGTAGTTAGTATCCATATTTCTTCCTGGCGGCTCTCGGTGACATGAACATCTGTGGAGGCCTAATGAAGGCAAGGGACCTCACCAGCCAATGCACAAAGACTCGGATATGTATGCAATCTTTGAGTCCGGGGCGACTTCAATGCATAACTTTCCCGAACGTACGACGGGGCAAGATTTCTAGCTGTTTGTTAGAGATGCTAATGTGGCGCTAGACAAGATATCTGGGTCGAGCCGGGCAGAGTCATAAGACCCTCGGGGATGCTTTATTTTATCGTACGTACTTTGCACTCTTGTCGGCATTCTATCCAAGTCAGTCAATTTTCGGGCTGCTCATGGCGCGGGGAAGGGGCGCAATAGTTTGCACACAGCTGGCTCAACCCCGGGGCCATCATCCTAACATATGGACCACATACTCTTTGGCTTGCATTTGTCGCTATTGACGATAGCGATTCTTGTGAGCTTGTCCGCCATGTTGAGACCGGCTCGATGTTTCGATTGGGTTGTACGCGGGGGGCTTTTCGGAAAACCGGCGGGGTAAAAATTGCGAGATTTGGGGTGCAAAGACCCTCAAATAGAGCAGGCGATGGCCTCGCGAATGAAACAGAGAGCGAGAATGTGAATCTGTCGGGCAGAACTAAAGAAAGGCAAAGTAGAAGAGGCGTCGAGTATTGTGCGGTCTCTGGAGGCTGCGCACAAAAAAAGACCCAGTCAGTCACTGTAGTGTGAGGGCCTATGACTCGCTATAGGCCCACTTATCACAATGCCTAAATCCTTATTGGTGTTTGCCAGCGAGTGTTGCGAGGACGCCCAAAATACGGCCCAACTACTATTCTACTGTTCTACCATGGTCATATAAATGATTTCACAGTCTACTTCTGTAGAAAAGCATAGAGTGAGATGGAGGATCTGCTGAAGGAAAGACGGCTCAGCGCCTGGTGCAGCTTCAAAGGCCCAGGAGTTTTGCCTGACATCACAAAGTGATTCCCTGAGCTGTGACTGCAATCCAATCACCAGGTTGCCTTGAGCCCTAAATCTGTGTTGTGGCGGCCTGGGAAGCATTAGGCATCCTTCTACGGCTGCGGCTAGCGACCGTCACAGGCACTGGCAAGGAACGGTCTTGGCCCGTGAGTTTAGCGCCTAGATCGCTGGACCTGGAGTTTCCCTCCCGCTAACTCTACGTGCCTGCGCTTTCCTCACCTTCACAAAGCTGCACCCATATCTTCAACTACTTGATCAGCAGGGTGTGTGAATTCGACTAGACGACTCGCGGCGTGGTCTGTTTCCAGACGTCACAATGGAGTGTGAGTAGTTTCTGCGCTTCTATTTTCTCAATCCTGTCAGCCCAGTGTTCTCAGCGGTCCTCCACGGGATCATCAACCCACATCGACCGCGATACAGATTCGTTATAGAAATACCCCAGAGCTGGTGTAGAACCAGCAAACAGACACTCAACCGCACTGGCGACTTTTACTAAACCTAGTGGCTGAATTTGGGAGAGCCTAAGCTCGCCTCACCTTGCCGCCAGTGCCGCCATCACCATCGCCTCATATCCATCTACTTCTATATTATATCGATCATAAATCTTTGCAAAAGAATAATTCCGACTCGCAGACTGCTTGATCCAGGTCGCCAAAGTCGCTTTTCTGAGAACCTTTCATCTTTCTGCTACCGGCTCCATCATGGAAGGCCTAGTTGCTGACGTCCATCAAGCGTCCAGTCTACTCGAACAACCGCCTCCACCCTCATTAGCCGAACCCGAAAGACGATCTCCTTCTTCACAACGAGCTCCTACACCTCCTCCTGCTGTCACAAATGGCGTCAAGCACGAAGAGAGCGAAAGCGAGCTCAGCGAGCCAGTCGATCTTCCCGCAGCCTCGCCACTGCCCCGACCCGCCGACAATCTCACCCCCGAGATGGACATCGATCGCATGAGCTCGGACGATGACGAACGTGATGCGGAGGGTGATGCCGACTATGAGATGGATGAACCAAGCCAGCAACACCACCCTCGCGACGTCCAAGACCCGTCTCAAGACCTGTCTTCCGATGACTCCATCCGCCCAGCGAAGCGGAAAGCGCAGGCAGTGGATAATGATGAATTCATGCGGGACAATCCAGAGCTGTATGGACTACGTAGAAGCGGTCGCGCTCGCCCTACTACGACACTGGCAGAATCTTCGGCGGAGGAAGATGACTCGGATGTTCCTCGGCGCCCCCGGAAACGCCTACGCCAGGCTTCCCGTCGCTCCTCACAACAAGCCACTCCTGCTGTCGAGTCTCCTTCTGATGGGGATTCGGGTTCGGACGCTTATGGCGGTCGACGTGGCAAGCTTACCAAGAAGCAGAAGCAACGGTTCCTGTCAGCCAATAACCTTGCTCCATCCCACGCCGAGGTGCGCTTTTCCACCCGCCGCTCTGGCAAAGTCAGCAACTACAATGAAGACGAGGACGATGACATGTTCGATGAAGACGACCCAGATCAACTGACTCCGGCTTACTGGGTCGAGGAGGAAGACAATACCCCCGCAATTGACATGGTTCTCAATCACCGCCTTCGCGCCGACGTTACCTCATCTTCGACCAAAAAGGAAGACTACGAGTTCCTGATAAAGTGGCAACAAAAGGCATACTATCATGCAACGTGGGAAACCTTTGAAAGTCTGACCAGTGTCAAGAGTCTACGTCGCTTGGACAATTATGTTAGGAAAACGCTAATGACAGAAATCTACATCAACAACCAACCCGACATTTCTCCTGAAGACAAAGAGAAATGGATGCTCGATCGCGAACAGCACGCCGATGCTCTTGAAGAATACAAGCAAGTGGAACGTGTCATTGGCAAGCGCGATGGCGAGGATGGACCCGAGTATTTTGTCAAATGGCGATCGCTCTTCTACGATATGGCCACTTGGGAACCAGCGACACTCGTCACCGAGATCGCCCAGAAAGAGATCGACAAGTATATCAATCGGCTACAGGAAGACTTTAAATCCAACTCATCCGAGACCAAGCCGGGAACGCGTGCCACATACACACCTATGCGCGAACAACCTCCATACATCCAGAATGGCACATTGCGTGACTTTCAGCTCACAGGCTTGAATTTCCTGGCATACAACTGGGTCAAGAACAAGAACGTCGTTCTCGCTGACGAGATGGGCCTCGGCAAGACTGTACAGACCGTTTCTTTCCTGAGTTGGCTGCGGCATGACCGAGGGCAGCAGGGCCCATTCCTTGTGGTCGTCCCCCTGTCCACAATGCCTGCTTGGGCCGACACCTTCGATTTCTGGACGCCCGATGTCAACTATGTTGTCTACAATGGCAACCAGGCGGCTCGGAACATAATCAGGGACTTTGAACTTCTCCCCACGGGCAGCTTCAACCATCCTCGCTTCCATGTCCTCCTCACCACCTACGAATATGTTTTGCAGGATGCCCAATTCCTCAGTCAAATCAAATGGCAGTTCATGGCTGTCGATGAAGCCCATCGACTGAAGAACAGGGAGTCACAACTCTACGATCGGCTGAAAGAATTCCGTGCGCCTGCTCGATTGCTTATCACTGGCACACCTGTTCAAAATAACTTGAGTGAACTGTCGTCACTGTTTGACTTCCTAAGCCCGGGCGTTGTAAACATTGATGAGAATATGGATCTTACTACTGAGGAAGCTACTGCCAAAATCGCGCAGTTAACTGAAGATATCAAGCCATACATGCTTCGACGGACTAAGCAGAAGGTGGAGAAAGATCTGCCACCCAAGACCGAAAAGATCATCCGTGTTGAACTATCGGACATTCAACTCGAGTACTACAAAAACATTCTCACCAAGAACTACGCTGCCCTCAACCAGGGCACCAAGGGCCAAAAGCAATCGTTGCTGAACATTATGATGGAGCTGAAGAAAGCCAGCAACCATCCCTTCATGTTCCCGTCCGCCGAGGATCGTCTGGTCCCTCAGGGTGCTCGGCGTGACGAGGTTCTCCGAGCTCTCATCACCAGCAGCGGCAAGCTGATGCTGCTCGATCAACTACTGGGGAAATTGAAGCGCGACGGTCATCGTGTTCTGATCTTCAGTCAGATGGTAAAGATGCTTGACATTCTCGGTGACTACATGGATTACCGGGGCCACGCTTATCAGCGGCTTGATGGCACCATCGCTGCTGCACCGCGCCGCATGGCTATCGATCACTTCAACGCACCAGACAGCACTGATTTCTGCTTTTTGCTGTCAACGCGGGCTGGTGGTCTTGGCATCAACCTGATGACTGCCGATACGGTGATAATTTTTGATAGTGACTGGAATCCCCAGGCGGATTTGCAGGCGATGGCCCGCGCTCACCGCATCGGTCAAACCAAACCTGTCAGTGTTTATCGCTTGCTGTCAAAGGAGACTATTGAAGAAGAAATTCTGGAGCGCGCTCGAAACAAGCTTATGCTCGAGTTCTTGACCATTCAGCGAGGTGTTACTGATAAAGAGACGCAAGCGCGCCGCAACGCTCTGGTTGGCGAACCCGGCTCCACCTCCGAGATCTCTCGCATCCTCAAGAAACGCGGCCAGAAGATGTTTGAGCAGACCGACAACCAGAAAAAGCTCGAAGAACTTGATCTTGACTCTGTTCTTGAGAAAGCCGAGGACTACAAGGTCGAACAACCCGACGGTACGGAAGCCGACGGTGGCGAGGAATTCTTGCGGAGCTTCGACTTTGTTGACGTCAAAGTCGACGAAATGTCCTGGGACGACATTATCCCCAAAGAGCAACTCGAAGAGATCAAGAAAGAAGAAGAACGCAAAGCCAACGAGAAGTATCTGGCTGAGGTTATCGAGCAGAACAAACCTCGTGTGCGAAACCAGCCGGGCGATGACCGAACTGCGCGCCAGGCACGACGCGTTGAGCAGCGCCAGAATGTTGCAGACTCCGAAAGCGACGAAGAATCGAACACAGGGGCCGACCCTTCACGTCCTCTCAGCGAGCGTGAATACAGATATCTGATGAAAGGCCATCTACGCTATGGTTCAATCGATGACCGCACCGAAGAATTTCTGGCCGAGGCTAGATTGCGCGGTCGTGACATGGGGGTTGTGAAGGCTGCGATGCAGGAGATCGTGGATAGGGCCACCTTCCTCTACAAGCAAGAGCAACAACGGATGATCGACCTTGAGCGGACATCGAACAAGCCAATCACCAAGAAAGACCGCAAGGCTGTACTGTTCGAGCTGCATGGCGTCAAGCGTATTAACGCAGAGACTATACTGGAACGGCCGAGCGAGATGCGACTGCTGCGAGAGGTGATTCCTTCGGATCCCGAGAAGCAACTTAGTTTCCGCATTCCGGAAGCGACCAAAAGTGCAGGATACAGCTGCGACTGGGGCGCTCGTGAAGATGGTATGCTCTGTGTCGGGATCCTTCGACATGGGTACGGTGCTTGGGAGAGGATCCGGGACGATGACGAACTACACCTTGCGGAAAAGTTCTTCCTCGAGGAGCACCGCGTCGATAAGAAGGCAGAGCGTGAGCACTCTGAGCAAAAGAACGCCAAATCTCCCGGTGCTGTCCATCTGGTCCGCCGCGCTGACTATCTCTTATCGGTGCTGAAGAGCCAGCACACCGATGACCCGGCAATTAAGCGCGCGGTTGAGAACCACCACCGCAACAACAAGAAGGCGGGCCAGTCCATTGATCTCAAGGGTGGTGCAGGATCTCCGATCACGGCCACACATCGCAAGGCACATCGTGACTCTGATAAACACCGTCCACGAACGACCAGTGCTGGGCATCGTGATAGCATGGAACGACATGGTACTCCGAAGTCCGATCCGCGGTATCACGGGCGTGAAAGCGAGGCTCGTGAGCGTGATCATAAGAAACATCGGCCTCACCTAGACCAGTCACACCATCGTCACTCCAGCGATCACCGTCGCTCAGAACCTGCAACGAATGGGTCTTCGGCTGAGACCGATGCAATCATGACTCTGGTGTTCAAGCCTGTACGCGACTCGCTGAAGAAGATCAAGGCGACGACCAAGAGCGCCATTCCCGATGGGCAGCAGAGAGCGTCGGAGCTTCGTGGACTGTTGACCAAGATCGGTGACTTCATCGCCGAACAAATCAGTGACCTCGAGGACAATCAGGATTCAATGGAGAAACGATTTTGGTATGTAATCCCTTTTAATGTCACACTCATGGATGCTAACGAAGGACAGGGACTATGCTGCGACCTACTGGCCTAACAAAGGCATCCGTGGCAGTGAGCTTCAGACGATTCACGCCAAGATTGTTGCGTCGGACAAGACTCTCGCAGGTGAGGCTTCGCCCGACAACGAAGTCAACAACGTCGATCATCGGACCAATGGCTCGTATAATACATCGCCGCCTCACTAGCATTGGCCGAGCTCTTCCTTGATTGACCAAGCGTTGCATACCTGATAGACCAACACACTGGTAAATGAGTGGTGCATTTCTGCGGCGGCGTTTGGACAAAACACTGAAGGTTCTATGATTTTCACTTGGTGGATGTGCACGGCCGAGATACCCTCTACGACGGGACGAGCGTATGAGCACTTGCACTGCATAAAAGCGATGGAGTACGATTCCCGTGGTCCCAGTGGGCCCGGCGCTCGTTTGTGAGAGCAGTTATTGATCAAGGACTTCTGAAAAGGACTAGAGACAGACACATATATCACCACAACATGTTCAGCTTATGGATGTGGCCTCAATTCGTGCATTCTATTTGTTCCCATCGTGACTGGGTGACACTATACGTCCTGCAGTAGCTGAAGCACCTCAGCGCTGATTTTCGGAGCCCTTGAATCACACACCAAGAACCCCCACTCACATCTGTCGCGTTCTTTGATTGGAAGGTTAGGCACGGAACACGCAAGCTTTGAGATCGCCCAAGAAATTGCCCCGCCGACATGAGAACCCCTCCATTCACACGCACCGATGCAGCCCTTCGGTCCAGCAATCTGAGCTGAGTCCACGGGGGAGCTTGACCAAAGATGGGTGGCAGGAGCTGCTGCACAGCTGGGACCTGCAGCTCTAGCTTCGCCCGCCCAATGTCAACAGGAAGGTACATGTAGTCGTTCATCGCCCTCGAGAACCTCTCCCGCGCCTTCAACTTCCCCGTCGCAGCCACAACATACTCGTACAGTCTGTCTTCCCGCCTGTTCTCTTATCCATAGTATCACGTATTACAGCACACCCCCATGGCTCCCGACATTACCTTCCGCAACATCTCCAACCAGCCGCTCCGGCTGAGACTCGTCGAGTACTTCGACCCCGAGAAGCAGGATGGCGGCGGGGTGTTCTCCATGAAGAATGTCACCTCCGCCATCACTAACGTGACTAACTCGGTCGGCATCACCAACACCTCGACCCGCAAAGAAGTGCCCGAGATCTCCCCAGACGCGAAACCCTTTGAGAAACGAGAAGTCGACATCAAGCTCGATCCTTTCAAGATCGTCAAGACCGACGTCAAGTCTTCCATTAGAAACGAGAAGGAGCGTACCCGTCTGACCTTTGAGACGGACAATGGAGAGAAACACAAGATGTACACCCCGGTGCCAACAACCCTCGGCACGCCGACTCTCGAGACTGAGGGTAACACTCAACACCGCTACACAGGCGTCTACCTTCCAGACGACGCATTCGTGGCTATCTACAGCTCCAAGGACCTGAACAAGTGGATGGCCAGACTCCCCGACGACATTCCTCTTGGTGCTCTGTCCATTCCAGGCACACACAATTCGCCTACCTGCCACAATGCCCCACCATCGGTCCGCTGCCAGGCTGTCAGCCCGTGGGAGCAGCTGCAGAATGGTGTTCGCTTCTTTGACGTGCGAGTTCAAGTACCTGAGCCCTTCGATCTCGACAGCGACCGGCTCAACCTTGTGCACAGCGCATTCCCTATCTCATTGACCGGCAACAAGCTCTTCCGCGAGCTCTACGAGGATGCCCTCAAGTTCCTGAGGGAGAATCCCAGCGAGACGCTCATCATGTCCCTCAAACGGGAAGGTACTGGAAAGGGCAGCGATCAACAGCTCTCGCAGATTCTCAAGAAGCACTACACCAATCCTCAGCAATGGTTCACTCAGCCACGTGTGCCTAAGCTCCAAGAAGTTCGCGGCAAAATCGTCCTTCTCCGTCGCTTCAACAATGCTGACGAGCTCAACCGCGAGTGGGATGGCAAGGGATGGGGAATCGATGCTGCTACTTGGGCCGACAATACACCCAACTCCATGTGCCCATCAGGCGATGTCTGCGTCCAAGATTTCTACCAAGTCGATGAGGCCGAGAGTATCAGGAAGAAGATTGACTATGCTCGCGAGCACTTGGAGCGCAGTGGCTGCTGCAAATTCGATCTAAGGTCGGACAACAAGTACCCACTGTACGTCAACTTTCTGTCAGCGAGCAACTTTTGGAAGATTGGCACCTGGCCGGAGAAGGTTGCTGCTGCCATCAATCCCGAGATTGTCAAGCATCTTTGCCATGCTCACATGATCAAAGGCGATGGGGGCGTTAAGGAGGGTGATTGGAGCACGGGTTGCTTGATCATGGACTGGATCGGGCAGGGCAACGACTGGGACCTCTGCAGATGTGTGGTGGGTATGAATGCGAAGCTGATCCGTGAAGGCAATTAGGAAGAGGGCGCATGGATCTGTTTCAAAGAATGTTGCTGGGAGGTCCTCAGCAAAGGAAGTATCCGGAAGTTCCTGCGTTATCAGAAAGACCATGGCCTATGGGTGTCCAATCCAGAGAAGCCTAAAGCAAAAGTGACGAGTGCAAAGAAGTATGTGTTCGGATCAGCGAAAAAGATGGCCAGCGGGTCGACATGACTGAAGTCCTTTGGGTTGTTGGATACAGTAGACGGGTATCGTTACATTGAAGATGCAGACTGAATACACACATCACTAGCACTGTCTGCTGTTGTCATTCGGAGCGGAGATGAAGTTCACTCTTCTTACTTTTACCCTGGGGGGTTGTCCGTTGTCCGTGATGTCGGTGATGCCAGGACTTCACTGCCTGACCCCCATGGACTTGTCCTTCTTTATTCTCCGTCCCCGCGCCGCCCCAAGAAATCTCAGGCAACAAGCTAGCAAGCAGGCATTTACAGACTCGAGAACTCTTGTTGCTTTTCTCCTGCAGACGTAATCCGCCTGGCTCTATCGGTACTTGGACTTGGGGGGGCGTATTTCCAGGAGCAGACAGCAGACCATGTGGCCTTGAAGGTGTCTCGCTTGGGTTGCTGGGGGGACATAGGAGGGAGATGCGGGAGGGGGAGTTCGGCAATGGGGCAGTGCGGTATGTGGTGAGAAGCATCATATGCTGTATTGGTTATGTAAACAGTAGTTTGGGGGGGAGAAAGTGAGGATCTGATGGAAGGCAGCTGGCAGGGGGGGCGGTCGATGGAAGTGCGATGGGATTATAGCACGACTTTCATGATCACCGAGACTGTGGTCCCAGTAGACCCTGTCTCTGGAAAGCAGGGAGATGTCCACCAGTTGGGATCGGCCCTGAGTACTGGTCACTACTGGTTGTGAGAAAGGAGAGGTAGGACGATGATGTTAGCCGTTGATAGTCAGCTAGCTCCCCTGAGCCGTGCTGAGTAGAACCATCCTAGGCTAGTTTAGCTTCCACTACTGCTTGACAAAGTCTAGGCGCCTGGCCAGCCAGCAGCCAATGGTTACACCAGTCACTTTGCCTTGGTCATTGCGACGAACGATGATCGTCCAGTCACCTGGCGGCTGTGCATCCATTGACCTAGGGCAGGCAAGCGCCCATAGATCGTCCCCGAGTGAGCGCATTAGATGCACAGGACCCTGGCCTAGAAATCCATCAAACGTGCCATACAACATGTCGCCTGAGCCGCTGCAGTGGAAGGTGGAGTCTATCTCTGCACAGTTATAGTCCCCTCGAAGCTCAGAAGAACTTGAAGCAGGCTTCTTGCTGGCAACGCGCTGGGCGTGAATAGTCCGGTTGTCTTGACGGACGTGGAGCTGTAGGGAATCTCCATTCAGAACTGCTACCATGCCGTCCGACTGAGCTCTGTACGCTTCAAGTACTCGCATCTTTTCGGGGGCTCTATGGTATTTGATGGAGACCTCCCCGGCGCCGCCTCGACTCACGACGATCGCGAGTCCGCTGACGGAGTCTAGATAGGTCCCAAACCAATCTGGACCAGGACTGACAGGCTCATCTTTGATCTCTGCCGCGCCCATGATTCGCTTCAAGATGTAGTCGCGCACTCCCGGAGCATCACCGTGCTCTTGGTTGAGCACGACCACGATGGAAATCCGCGGCTCCGCTGAGTAGGATCGGAAGAGCCGGTATCCGCGGAGGGCACCCCCGTGGCCACTGGTGAGTACTCCTCCAACCATCTTCCGGGCCAGGCCGAAACCGTAGTCGGCAGGTGTGCCGTCGTTGTACTTCTGCTGCTCGAAGTTCTTGGCATACCAGCTTTGCGAATCGTGGCTGCTGCGATCCACAAACTGCTCGTAGGCAATCATATCGTCCAGGGAGGCCACGACGCCAGCATCACCAGCCCATTCAATGCAGTTGATACCGGGATAGAACCCAGACGCCTCGTCACCCTCGTAGCCAACGCACGGAGGAGGGTGCTCCGCCGTGTGTGCGCAGAGCCTTGCCGTCTTCATCCCCGCTGGTGCAAAGATCCGCCGCGCAAGCAGCTCCCCCAGAGGTTCCGCTGTGACCTGCTCAATACAGCGAGCGACTATGAAGAAGTTTGTGTTCGCGTATGAGTACTCCGTCCCAGGCTGGAAATGGAACGACTTCAACAGAGCCAGCATCTTCGGGCCGTGGTCGGCGACGGAGAAGTGGCCCTCGGGTTTCGCGCCCCAGAGAACGGTCAGGGCCCAGTAGTCGCGAATGCCTGACTGGTTGTGGCAGAGATGGCGAATCGTCAGGCCCGTGTCTTTGAGCAGATTGGGATTTAGCAGTTGACCGAGTTGATCCGACAGCTGCGTGGCCGGATCCTCACCTCGCGCACTCATGGCTGGCGTCGGGTTGCATTCCAGGTCCGTCAACAGTCCGCAAAGCATCTGTTTCGTGATGGAGCAGATCGGCAGCAGTGTGTCGGATGCCATAGGTATTCGACGGTGCAGGTCAGCGTACCCCCAGAGCTGTTGTCCAACCAGTTCGCCATCTTTCAAGACAGCGATAGCACCTCCTGGGCCCCGGAAACGAGATGGAACATCCGCGAGAATTCCGGAGATCGATGCTGTAGTGGCTGTCATGGTAGGGTGAAGGATTCAGGCCAGGCGAATAGAAGGAGTTGTATCCGGTAATCTGCCGTCGATTGTAGGCGTCAGTGAGTAACAATGCAGCCAGCGGTGGGGTGCTAAGGGTCAGACAAGAAGTTTGTATTGGTGACAGTAAAGACAACGATATCGTACAGGGTAGATTAAGACTAAGTTCCGTCACCTAGCGAAGGCCTAGTCATTACAAAGTCGCCCAATCCGTTTTCGGATGTTTCCGAAACCAACCAGTATTGGAGCCCTATCATAGCGGCTTATCTTTGACCCATCCAGACGTATGTAGAATGCTTGCATTGGCAAAGCAAGTCTTTAAGGCAGCTGCTTTGAGCTTTCCAGTACAGTTTACTACGAGACCATGCAGCAAGTGTCATTAGCAGGTATCTAAAGGTACGAAGAAGGGCACAGATAACTTATCGAGATCATGAACAATTGCATCAGTCCTGTTGATCTCGAGGTAGCAGCTCAACTGACCGGTCAGTGGTCTCAAGATCCCCGGTGCGAACGACGCCTGTTTGTAGACGATCCTCGTCAAGCGCCTCAATAATAAGCCTTGATGAACATCGGTTGGCGAGCTTACATCGTATTCGCCGTCTTCAACTTAGCTGCTATCCCAGTCACAAACTTGTGCTATATGCAGACTTGTGGCCGGTCCTGAGAGGAAGTCGGTCTCAACTTCCGAGACTTTTGATCTGCGTCAAGCCGTCAAGTAGTCTCTCTCTATGGAAAGACACCTCGATCACAGAGGAAGACTGCTGAAGAGCTTGTTTCACGACCTCGAAGGCGTGATAGCTTCCTCAAAATGAGAATCGACTGTTACCGAAGATCACGAGTGCATTGCTGAGAATTGGCTCCCGACTTTAGGCAGACTTAACGTAGCCCAGACATACGGCGCGGTGGACGGTGGAAATTTCTTTGGTAATGCCCTTACATGGAGCAAATTCGAACATTAGTTGCAAGACACGTGGTAGTGGCGTGAAATGAGTGCTTTGCGCAAGCTTGCTGCGGCGAGACGTGACGGTGTCCCAGCATCCAAAGCATTAGGTGCCTGCTATGCTTACTCCAAGATAGACCTAGAATCATTGATCAATCAACAAATCTGTACAGTGACCGATGGCATGCTGGATGCTGACCCAGTCGAAAACGAAGAGCACATTCCGCAGCCATAACAAGATCTCGGGCGGTGGATCAGATAAGCTTGAGTTCAGGAAGATATGACCATCGGTTATCCTATATCAGAAACCGAAATGAAAGGTGAAGCCGGCCCAGCTCCGCCCGGACCGCTTTTCGGACGTGCCCCCATCACCGAGACTGTGGGCCGCGAAACTCCGTACACGGAGACCTCACCAGCGATACTCCCTTCTAGCGCTCGTCAAATACACCCGAAGATGGCTCTCAGCTGTGTACGGCGGCGTCCTTGTCTCCGGTGATATTGCGAGGATGGGCAACCATATCTCCTACGAAACGCGCACATGTGAAGCCGACCTCGGCGCCCAGGGAAGGATCAAGGGTCTTCAATTCGACCACAAGTCCCGGCGCTACGCAGGTGTCCCATATGCGTTGCCGCCTGTAGGCGGGCGTCGTTGGCGCAAGCCTTGCGCCTTGCCATCGGGATATGCGTACGGTGACACTGAGCATCGGCCCTACGATGCGACCTCATTCGCACCTCCATGCTGGCAGAAGACTTTTAGCTCCGCTGCCGAGCAGTCAGATGCGGTGGCGGCGTACAGCGAGGATTGTCTGCGTCTCAACATCTGGACGCCCGTGCCTGAAGAGGGTGGCGAGGGCCAGAAATGGCCGGTATACGTTTGGCTTCACGGTGGTTGGTTTCAGATGGGCGACCCATCGCAGGATTCCGGAATGGATCCGACAGAGTTGATCTCAACCGCAGGGCTCAACGCTGTCGTGGTGGTTGTTGGATATAGGCTCAATGTGTTTGGATTCCTGGCATGCGAAGCGCTCCGGGAGGAGTCCAAAGGAGAAGCCGCCGGCAACTATGGTCTTTGGGACCAGAGATTGGCATTGGAATGGATCCATGACAACATAGCAGCCTTTGGGGGAGACACCGGCAATGTTACGTTGGCAGGGCGCAGTGCCGGAGCCTACAGTGTGCATGCGCAGGTACTGCACAGTTTGCGAACTGGCTCGAATGGCGGGAGGGAACTGTTTCATCGTTTCTTCATGTGTTCGAACGCAATACCGTCTCAGCCTAAGAAACCAAGTGAAACAAAGGACCAATTCGCCGAACTGTGCGAGGAATTGAAGATTTCTGAGAACCTTTCCGACCAGGAGAAGCTATCTCGACTGCGAGACATCCCACCGGACCAACTCGTGCGTGTCCTTGGTAGCATGGTCAACCACACATTCCGACCAGTAACCGACGATCTCTTCATCCACGACGGCATCGTTGAGTATCAGTTGAGTGGTTCGTTTGCCGCCGATTTTCTCCAGCATGGCTACCGCCTGCTGATCGGTGAAGTGTTGAACGAGGAAACATTGTACGCAACCTATAATGGTCCAGCGGCACCTTCTATGGACGCACTCCAGGCACAGGTCCACAACTACTATTCCCGGAGCGTGACAGACAGGATCCTCAAACATTACAAGATGCCCGAATCGAGCCAACTGGCAGACTGGTCAACACTGTTCGGCAACATCATTGCCGACGGCCAAGTTCGCGCACCATCGCGACTCCTCGTCGACTCCCTGCTCTCCCATGGCGTACCTATCGAGCGCGTCTGGCGATATCAGATCGGATATCGTCTCTCGTTTATTGACGAGAAGCAGGCTCCGCGGAGTTTCGGTGTGGCACATGCCATGGACAAGCCGTTTTGGAACTTCTCCATCACGCATGGCCCGTCGGAAGACGAGCTTCGACTCATGAAAAATTGGATAGATGATCTAGTCTGCTTCGTTCAGAACAACGCGGATCGTGGTTTCGGCACGCACAGAGGAAATGATATGAAAGTCATCACGTCAGAAGGGCAAATTGAGGTTTGGGAGGATAAAGAGTATAGCAGACTACTAGCTTTAGGTCGTCAGTTCGCTGGCGCGTAGATATAGCAGTACAGCAATGATTAAAGAGCGTACTGTCTCAAGTACCAGAGCTCTGCTGGACTGCTCTGCCATCTGTTCGCGCCCCCGTGCTAGTATTGGTAGAAGCTCCCATCCAGGAATTCATTGAAATCTTCCTGATTGAATGCTTCCAATAGCCTCGCCGTGACGTCCGAGTCGTCCGTGCTGAGCTCGTCCAGTGGGCGCTTGATCCCCTCCTTCTGCCTTTGCGGGCCAATGAAGGCGGAGTAGATCTCTTCCAGGATGATGCGACTTCGATGAACGCCTGTCCAAACTTCTTCTATTCTCTTGAGATACTGCAAGCATTTTTGGACATCTTCCAGTACCGTCGTATCATCTGGCCCAGAGAGACGTAATCTATGGGCGTTGGTCAGCACACATTTTGCATGAGGGACAGCAGCATACAGAATTATTCCGCTGAGCATGAGGTAGTGTGCTCCGAAAGCCAGGTAGTGAGAAGGGGCAACAGTCTCATCCAGATGCTCGCAGATCAAAATGCAACTCCTGGCTGCATCGATACATTGACGTTGAGCAATGCTCGGCTTTGAAAAAGGCGATTGATTTTGCGTGTTGGTAATTAGCGGTCGATAGAGTGTTATAACACAACTCGCGTGCAAAATATAACACATGATACTGAGGGCACTGTTGGGGTGGTGAAATCGATTCAACCCCTGCATGCGGGGTGACAACTTGGCCAGCCGGTCGACCCAGGAGCTCAGACCCTGGTCGAGTAATGATATCTCTTTCCGTAGTGAACCCTCAGCTGCAGGCGAGCCAACTTGCCTGGCTCGAGAGCGAGCTCTAATTGGGTTCACTGCACGATTGATACTGCCAGCGAGCTGGCATAGACCAATCAGTGTTGCGAATTCTGACATATCACGCCCACCTGTTCTGCCGTCCACCAGCGAGGATGTGCCAGGTAAGTGGGAATCAAAGCTGCGCTCGAGTTCTGTGTCATCAATTTTCATAGGGTATCTGCAGTCGCAGTCTTGGTCATCAGCAGCGGATGGTCGGCCGAGGCACAAAGAAAGCAGCCTGAGAAAATCAGCTGATCGTAACAGCAGTGAGACACGTACTCACCGGTCGATGCTGTAGACGCACCACCAGACCCGACATTCTACCTCCGCCTGTCTTATGGCCTTGCTGGAATCTCCCCTAGCGCGCTGGATTGTTAGAACGCCCTTCGGGAAGCAACACAATCTCTGCAACTCACATGTAATCCAAGATCCTGAGCTGCTCTGACCGCAGATCCTGCGAACTTCCAACTCTGCGCTAACGTATTCCAGCCAGCTGTACAGAGCGAAAGCAACCCAAGACACTGCACCTGCTCTAGAAAGCCATGCCCAGTGGATGCCATATTCAGGGCAAGCGCGGCCTCATAGTACCTCAAGCCGGTGAAGGTTGAGCTTGCTCCTGGTTCACGAGGCATGAGGCCGGAGCCACACGCAAACACCGCAAACATGATACTCAAGAAGCCTAAATCCATGCTCGACTCGGCGTCGCGCGCAAGCGTAGTCGCTTGATACCGCCTCAAAAAGTCCGGTCTGAAGAGCAAGGGAAAGACTGAATTCAAGCGATCGAAATATGTGTTGATCAGAAGATCCGAAATGTGCTTTTGGGGAAATGGCAAATCCTGTATCCGTGGTAGGTATGGAAACTTGGGCCAGCTGCCATTTTTGGCAAACCATGGTAACTCGAGCTCCTTCTGAGTTTTGGTCCGATTCGGGTGATCAGTTGAGGATAGGGTGGCTATTGGGGATGCCATGTTCATAGCCTCGATCATATCCATGTTGATAGAACCACCAATAAACCTGTGTTGTAAGGATGCTGGTAAATGGACATATGCAACTGGAAGACGCACCTTTGCCGGCCCGATGAATCTGATGCCATGATGTGATCCATCAGAGTGGTTCCTGCAGTTGCGAAGGCCTCTAGATCGAGCTCCTCGACATGAGTGCGTACTGGTATCCTTTCCTGTTCTGAGTCGGTATTTGGGAGTGCTTCGGCTTTGTTGGTCTCCACGGATGTAACTGTCGTTGCATGCGATAAGGGCCCTGTCTCTACGAATCCCGCCAAGCTCGAAGTAACGAGCTCCATCCGGTTGCAAAGTTCGTCCATACGTTGGAACTTTTCCTCGATCATTGTGAGGAGTCTCAGCCAGATGTCAGAAGCAACAACCCAGTTAAATAATGCATGATCACCTTCTGCTGCCAGATGCATTGTCGTTGCTCTCGAGATACGCGCATTCCGTCTCGCGAACAGTGCAGGCACTGCATGGGTCCTGGCCGTCACATTTACGCTGCGAAGAATTAGTCCTGGAGCAGCAGCTTGTAACGGAGACTTGCCTTCTTCGCACGGCATACCAGGCACGCTCGCCAGACTCGAGCACCCTCCATTCCGATTCGTACGCTAAAGATCACGTATCGTGCTGTATCACCCTGTAATCCCGTGATATTGCCCCAACGACGGTTGAAACAGGCTCCATGTAGGCATTTCAAAGTGCACGCGGATAAATCATGGAATGGGGTTGAAAACGGGCGATGTCGGAGCCGATAGGTACTTTATTAGGATGAAAGCATTAACTACGTGATAGGAGATATTCGCAGTGCGGAGATGGGTGGTACACTTCGGGCCGTTTCCATGAATTGCTATACCATGACTGTCATATGTTTGCACAACTCAACCAGTTCCTATTGGCACGTTTCTGGCCAAGTCTACTTGTTCATCGGCCTCCATATGAATCCACGTTCTGAACACCCGTTTCCCAACCTAGTACTGGTACTTGAAATGGATGTTCTCGCGGTCGGTCATATCCGCTTCAGCATTCAACTGACCCAAGCGCTTGCTCTCCTCGGCTGAGATGCCCATCTCCGCAATGATCTGGGCACGCTTCCGGTTCTGCCAGATGTCTGCAAGGGTCAGCAGAGATACCGAGATGCGTCGGTATGAACTCACAGTAGAATCGCCACGATCCCATAGAAAGGAACTCAACACAATAAAGTATACCGCATGCAGTGATACCTTTGATGTACCTCGGCGCGTCTGACGCAACGAACATCTGCGCACCTACGGCATTGCCCACACAGTATGCGATGAAGAGGACCGTCGCAGTGACAGTTTTCTTAGTTCTGCCGGCAACGTTCGATGGTAAGAATGTCCAGATCACTGCATCACGGTCAGTAGCTGCAAGTCTCATTGCTTGTTTGACCTACTCAAACCTGGAAGACTACCGAAGACTTGCAAGATGTACATTCCCCACCTAAGCCACCGCCTGCCATCGGTGGGAAGCAGAGACAGTGCCATCATGCCGCTGAAAGCCGGTAACAAGGACATCATCATGAAGATAACTATTATGGTTAGCAGGAACGGCGCCTTTGCCACAGAGAGCACTTACATCTGAGATTTGGCTTTTTCAACGTGATGTATCCCACAACCAGAAACCAGACAATACTGATGCAATAATAAGGGGTCGATCCCTTCAGTAGAGTTTCCAAACTCGTGAAACCAAAAGATCTCCAGATCAACTTGGAGAAGGTGGTATTGGCGCCGTTCGGAAGGGCGTTGATGGCTGTGACAAAAAAGAAGAAGTAGGTTTGCGGATCCTTGAAAGTGGTCCAGACCTGATCCCATTTCCATTCCGATCTCTTATCCCGATCTGAACCTGTCTGATTGGCGACGACACGAGCTATAGCAGCCCGCTTCTCGTCTTCCGACAGCCAGCGAACTTCACGTGGTGTTCCGAGGATGAACCATACCAGAATGGCATCGGTGATGGTTAGTGCTCCGAGGAAGAACGATATTCCTTTCCACGGCGCCAGTCCACCTGGGTTGTTCTGCGCATGCAGCCCAATTCCGTAGTTGATAAGTCCAGTGATAATGTTCATGCCGGCATTCGAGGTGCCCCAAATGATTGATCGCAGCGTGTGCTCTTGAGAAGTGTACCACGTCCCCGTGAGCAGCATGAAGGTCGGCGAGATGGTGCATTCCAATGCTCCCTGGAACGTTCGTAGGATCATGAGATGTGTGAAGTTCTTCGCAAAGGCTATGCACAACACGACAACGCCCCACAGGAACATGACAATAGCGAGGAATTTGCCAGTATTGCATTTCTGCATCAGCCAGTTACCTGGAGCTTCGCATACCAGGTAGGATAGGTAGAATATCGTGCTGAGCCAATTAAATTGCTCGCCCACAAGATTGGTGTCTTCTCGGATGCCGAACACAGCTTGGACGCTCAGCGAAGTTTTGTCTGCCTGTTGTGTGCCATAGCACACCCACATCAAAGGCAGCAGCCAGAGGTCGATCTTCCACAGCAGCTCTCGATAGTAATGCTCAGAATAGTCGTTTACAGCAGCGACGGTGTCTTCTGCTAGAGCATTGGGGGCGTTCGTCTTCTCAGGAAGGTCGTTCTCAGGCTTCCGGCTTTTTCCATCCTGGTGAACCTCTTCTGCAGTCACGGCCGGTGCCGGTGTGGCGGTTTTCTGGTCGGACGACATGTTGAAGTGGGAATGTTGGTGTGCGCAAAGATACTCAGTTCCCACAGCTTTCTTCTCGGGGCAGGATTGTCATTCCTTCGAACTAGAACATTTCCTGCGAGCTAATCCCAAGAATATGTATATCTCATCTAGTTAACGTTCCCCTGCGCGGCTATGGAGGCATGCCCTAGTGTTTCTGCCAAGAGGCGGCGGATCTCATCCGGGCGTGGTGTGTTGTTCTCGAACGTGGAGATGAGCGTTTGTGGCGATAAGAATCCAGTCTCAAACGTGGTGAAGGGTCTCGGTACACCGCGGTTGGCTCATTGATATCCGTGGGACCATCGTCCTTGTTTGTTCTAGGATACGGATCGTGGATATGAAGATAACACGGGATAGACCAGCGGGCTTTCGGACTGTGGCGCACGGGCCGCGCTCTCTGAGCACAAGCGAACAAGCGAACAAGCTCTAGCACAGGAGCTTCTTCTGTTATCTTTAGCTGCGGCCGGACCTCTTCCGCCTCCGTCGATCATCAGCAATCAACTTGGATGAAGTCAATTCCAAGCAGCGCGGTGCCTAAACCCAACAGCAACCAAGATTTCTCATCTACGTATCGGCAAAGGTTCACGAAATCGGTAGCAACAATGATCGCAAAAGAACCTCGAGCTTCAATAGACTTGAGCCACCATATCAATGTCGTCTCAAGATCACGCAACCCTAGCCCGCTCAAGGACATTGTCAAATATATGGCTGTTGAAGGCATGGTCAGCTTGGCTGGAGGATTACCGCACCCATCCTTATTTCCATTCGCCAGCGTCTCCCTATCGGCCTACAAATCCAACACAGTCCTTGATGCATATTCGCCTGACGAGCAGCATCCCTTGGCAGACGACATCAACATAGGGCGAGACTCTGCCGCGGAGCAAATGGGACTCATCACAGCTCTGCAATACGACTCGGGCCCTGGCCATACTGCACTACGCACGTGGGCTGTCAAGTTTGTGAAAGAAGTCTTTAAGCCGGCCTACGACGATTGGGATGTCATCCTAAATTCGGGGAACACGGATGGCTGGACCAAGGTAGTACGCCTGCTATGCGAGAATGGCGACTATCTGCTCTGCGAAGAGCAAACCTATCCCTCGGCACAGGCCGTCTGGGCACCAATGGGCTGCAAAGCTCTCCCAATCGCCATTGACGACCAAGGTCTGCGCGTTGATGTTCTTGAAAACCTTCTGTCCGGGTGGCAGTCGTCTCACCCTGGCATCAGGCGACCACGGCTCCTTTACACCGTGCCAGTGGGTTCAAATCCAACCGGGACCACTATGCAGGAAGCCAGGAAACGAGCAATATACGACGTGTGCGTCAAGTACGACATCGTAATTTGTGAGGACGATCCATACTACTTTCTTCAGTATCCAACGTATAACGCGAGTCAGCCACCATATGATCCTCTTGTGGCAGAAAACACTACAGTCGACGAATACGTGAAGGGACTGGCGCCTTCATTCATGTCACTAGACTATCAAGGGCGAGTGATTCGGCTGGAAAGTTTCAGCAAGACGCTCGCCCCCGGGAACAGAGTGGGTTTCTTTGTCACCAACCCCATATTTATCGAGCGTCTTCTCAGAGGTACCGAAGTGGAGACGCAGGCTCCAAGCGGCTGGGCAGTCCTAATGCTCTCGAATCTACTCCAGACATGGGGATCAGCAGGATATTTGCAATGGCTCGCACAACTGAGGAACCAATACCGGGCGAGACGTGACTGGATGTGCTCAGCCCTCGAATCAAACTTCGTTCTCAAATCTGTTGATAAGGTGAAAGACCCTCCAACCGGTGCTGAAGGACTGTTGGCCTATGCCAACGGACAGGCAAAGGCACCGATTTTCAGCTTTGTGCCCCCAACAGCTGGAATGTTCCTGTGGGCGCGCTTCTACCTGTACGGCTCTCCCAGATTCCAGAAGCTTCAACAATCAGCGGACTGTATTGATCCAGAGAAGTCATTTCAGGACGAGCTGTGGCTGGCTCTTGCGAACAAGCTGGTCTTGCTGACTCCCGGCTCATACTACACCCCCTGGCAGGGCAAAGACAAAGTGACGACAGAAGCTCGAGGGGCAGAAAACGGTATCTGCTTTTTCCGGCTGTCGTTCTCAATGGTGACAAAAGAACAGATGGAGCTGGGTATCACACGCATGCATGAAGTCTTGCAAGACTTCTGGCAATGATTAATGCGAGAGGGCTATTAGTCGAATCTTTCGAGCCCGTAAGATACCGTATCTACTTGTAAGATCACCAAGACGCTAGTCCTGATTGGACACTTCCGAGATCAGTCTTCACAGTGTACTGTGGTGGCTATATATGAATCATTCGCTAAGCGGACGCATTATGAGAGGCTGCAGCAGCGTAGCAACTTTGACAGCTCGTATAGCCTGACTGTATAGACTTGGCCGAAGTGTTAATCTTCGGCGGCAGCGCTCTACGAATGATATCACCCGTTTCGGCCAATCTGACGGGCCTGAACGGCGGGTTGATTGCCAAGTTCTGACGCGTGATGCTGAGCGTCGGTGAGATCAGATCAGATCAGTAGCTGACTCACTGCCCATGTGAGCGTGTTTGTTCGCAGAACAGAATTCTAAAGAAGCATACATATGCTCTAGCCTTCGAGACCTCAACAGCGCGTTGGCACATAGCTCGAGACCGCCAGCTTCATCCAAGAACTGTCTCCAGCGAACGCAGTCATGACCACTAACGGCAGCAAACCCTCCACCATCCCCATCGTCGACTTCGGCGAGTTCAACGACTCGTCTCCAGCCGCCACCCGCCAACAGATCGCCCGGGATCTCGTCCGCGCCTGCCGCGAAGTCGGCTTCGTCTACATCGTCAACCACGGCGTGCCAGCCGACGAACTCGCCAAAGCTTTCGCTGTCTCCCAACACTTCTACGCCCTGCCACTGTCCGAAAAGATGAAGGCACCTCACCCTCCAGGCTGGGAAGTGCACCGGGGCTACTCCTGGCCGGGGCTCGAGAAAGTGTCCAACGCCACGGCCGGTGCGGGAGACGACACGGAAGCCACGAGCAAGCTGGTCGAGCAGATGCGGTCCGTACAGGACTTCAAGGAATCGTACGAGATCGGCTCCGAGCACGACCCGGACATGCCCAATGTCTGGCCGCCCGACGACGTCTACCCGGAGTGGAAGCCGTTCATGACTTCCTTCTACTGGACATGCTTCGGCGCAGCGAAAAAGGTGCTGCGCGCCCTGGCGCTGGGGATCGGGCTGTCGGACGAGGAAGAGCTGGTACGCCAGCACTCCGGCCACTACAACCAGCTGCGGCTGCTGCACTACCCGCCCATTCCGGCCAGGGTGCTCGAGGACGGCAGGATGGAGCGCATGCCCGCGCACAGCGACTGGTCGACCATCACGCTGCTCTTCCAAGACGACGTGGGCGGGCTGCAGGTCGAGTCGCCAACGGAGCCGGGGGCTTTCATCGACGTGGACCCCGTGGATGGCGGCATGCTGGTCAATATCGGCGACCTGATGATGCGCTGGAGCAACGACTACCTGAAAAGCACGCCGCACCGCGTCACGTTGCCGCCACTGCAGGATCGGTATAAGGGCCAGGAGAGGGTGACGCGGGCGCGCTACAGCATCCCGTATTTCCTCACGACGGACCCGGAAGAGGAGATCGCGTGTTTGAGCGTGGGCGAGGGCGAGAAGCCAGAGTATGAGCCGATCACCCGCAGGGAGTACTATGCCATGAGGGCGAAGATGCAGTACTGATGAGGCCACGCTCACTTGTCCGGACGGCATGCCATGTCAGTAGGTCGTTCAGAGCATTCATATTCCAGAGTACACAGTCGCGGGAACACACGGAAAGATAGAGCGGAGTTCACTATGGTAGCAACGCCAACGTACGATGTCCGAGAAACATAGACTTGAGGTGGCTACAGTACGGCAGCCTACCGGGCCAGACAGTGAAACCGAAGCAGTTTGTGGACTTCGGGAATAAGCCTTTGGTTTCTCGTGATATGTGTCGAGCTCGTTCGAGGCTCGCTGTGTAAGTGGTGTCGAATCAAGCATCTCTGCTCATCCGGGCAATCTGCCAGGAGAACGCCTAGCTTTTGAGTACACAATGCAGGGGTATTCACGGTCATGCGCCTCTCCGTTGTCTTCAGCTCAGCACAATCCGTCAAGCATCGCCATGGCAAGATTTGGATCTTGACTACTCTTCAGCATTCTTCTTGCCCTTCTTCTTGCCACCGCCGCCACCGCCGACGGGACCAGCATCCTTGGCCTGGTGGACCTTTAGCCTCGTCCAGCTCTCCTCGGGGTCCCATTCGAAGCCCTTCAGATATGGTAGGTCGAGTTCGTCGTCAGCCTGAGCGAGTTAGATGTGTCGTGTATACTGTGGGGGGACCCGTACCTTCTTCTTGAACTGCTTGTGAATTGCGTCTAGAGCATCCTTGATTGTGACACCCTTCAGATTGCGAGCAGTGACCTCGAGGCCAAGAGGAAAGTGCAAGTCGATCTTCTTAATTGGGGGCTCAGTGAGCATAACCTTGAGGATCGCGGGGTCTCCAACGGTGCTGGGAGAGGTGTTTATCTTCCTAGAAGAGGTCAGTAGAGTGGCAGCCTGGTGTTGGGGATACATACCAACCCGTCTGTTGTGTCTCGGCAGCAATCTTGATCTTTGTACCTTCAGCCTCTACAACGTTGTCAGCCATACAAGGTCCTCCGCGGGAGGCGGGGTTACCTACCCAGGTCGTTGATGTTCATAACACCAGGCGCGCTTGAGGTCGTTCTTCGCTTCTTGCCTGCATCGAGGCCAGCGACAGCCGAGTCGACCTTTTTGAGATCTGACGTATCGGCGGACATTGTGTTCTGATAAGATGACGCGTGTTGATGTGAGGTGTAGAGACGGAGTCTGAGGCAGTGTGTCAGTTGGCAGGCATCAGCGGGGGTCTCGTGCAGCGTCCAGAGTGAGGCTTACCAGTAACCAATGATAGCTTGAATGTGAGGCTTGAGTCGATTGGTAGGATGCAGGTAGTGTGTACCAGAGATGGTCAAGGTGCTTGCAGAGAAAGGGAAGGCAGAGGAGAGGTGGAAGAGGGGTGGTAGTTGGAAGCTGAGGAGGCAGTGCGTGACTGGCCCCTCCCCACCCCTTGAGACACTGCGGGGCATTGGCCCCGGCTTGGTCGTCAGCCTGAGCATGAGCTCACCTGAGCTCCTTCTCTAAATCACTCAATCACCTGTCGAATCACGCGACTGCAACGCGCCTTCCCCGCATTTGAGTGGCTCCTGCTCTAAGTGGGTCTTACCCCAGGCTTGGCTCTGAACGAGCCTAACTCCGCCGCGACCTCCGTCCATGCCGAGTATCAGCATGCATCAATTACCGTCGAAGCCTGACATTCAACATCACCTGCACGAGGCACAGCCTAGCGAAATGAGCTCGCGCGCCCCGATCCTATGCTAGCAGAGACTACATATGCCCATTACTATCGGAGTAGTGACCCATTAACGCGACGGGTCCGCGTTGCTCGACACGGCACCAGCCAAAATGGACCAACTCTAGCACCCGCACTCAACTGGCCCACGACTGAGCTAAGCTGCCAGGCTACGCGTTCAAGCTCTCGCTGTCTTGTACTTCGTGAATTCGGACCCATTAGGGTTTATCTTGCTTTCCGACCAGGCTGCCAATGAACTGTAAGGCTACCGCCGCCATATCAAAAGCTCAACTCGGTGTGATTGGTCGCGAATCAAATACGATAACAGCATGGTCCGCTGCCGTATCCAATTTGCAAGCCACTGCTTCGTTGGCAGCTTCGAAACGGGATAACCAAGCGATTTCGGTTGCCCAATTCCATAGCAATTGGGCACTGGTAGGCCTGTAGGCGTCCAATCGCATCGGGATCGATGGATTGTCTCATTGCCCAGTTACGCCTGGCTGCTTGCCATGTCAAGGCTTGGAGGGAACATTCTAACATATAAAGCTCTGTCAGCTTCAGGTTTCCTATGGAATTGGCGCTCGCCTTGCATTGTCACCAGTCGTACATTTCTCACATTAAGTTCTCACTTGACAGCACGATGCCACAAGACCATAAACAGACAGGCTACGCTGTTGTAAAATGCACATACACGTGTACCTTCACCAAAACTCTGCGAAGACGATTCATCCTTCCTGGCCAGGCTACTTCAACCCCGGTACCCCTGCCAGAGAAAGTAACCGGTACCGACGTCTGGGACTGCACTTTCTACGCCGAGTGCAGGAAGAATGAGACACACGACAAGAAACTCAGCGAGTGGTACGACAAGGTTGTAAGACAGAAGGCCAAGGAAAGGTTTGAGAGGCATATTCAAAATATCAACCAGCAAAGCGCCGAAAAAGTGAGCCACTGGGAGAGGGACCAAAGAGCAGGCCAGCTCTCGGGCAATCTTCAAAAGGGCGCACGGCCAATCCCACAAGAGGTGAAATATCACGCATTTAACGAGGCAAACCTCCAGCATGGCAAGCCGTACTCTGCCGAGATCGAGCCTGCAAAGGATGCTGGAAACAAGATACCTTGGCTACCAGCAAAGCCCATCCAGTGACGAGAAGAAATCGGTTGCCAATTAGTCCAAAACTCTTTAAGTAATAGTAGTGCCATGCCCTTGTACGTTAATGAAAACTTCAGCCTCTCTACAGTACTCGAGCTGTCGGCCTAGTCGTTTGGCGTCTCAGGCAGCGAAAGCTTGGCATTAGCTCTGTCTGCCTGAATGGCAGCACCGCAGAGGACAAGGAAGAGAGAAGACCTTTGACGAGCACGTTCAAAGAAAGATTAAATTAAGAACCCTGACTTCTAGATGTCTAAGTGAATTAATTTATAATAAAAACTGAACATTGCACACTCTCTAGCCCAACACCCAGCTGGAGATCCGTTTCAGCACCCCTTTAGGCTCCGCGTCGTCCTCGAGGCCCTCATACATCTCATCGACCTCCTTCTTGCCCGACAGCAAGTCGACATCCACGGGCCTTACTGCCCTGGACCGCGTCCAGACCTTGTGCCCCACGAACAGCACCACGAACAGAATGACGCTAATGTACGCAACGAAGAAATCCACGGTATTCCACGGCATGAAGCTGGTGAAGCCCTGGGTCAGGATGATGAGGACGTTGAAGACCACGCCGTACCAGCTGAACCACGGCTGCCACATGGCCTTGTAGGGCAGGCTGTCGCGGGAGATTCCCTGGGCTTTGAGGGCGCGCATGAAGGCCAGATGCGAGATGCCGATGGAAGTCCAGGAGATGAAGCCCGCGACGCCGGCAATGTTGATGAACCAGTCGAACGCCTGGGCACCGCTGGAGGACTCGTTCATGAAGCCCAGCAAGCCCATGGCCGAGGTGACCGCGACGGCGACGTAGGGGACGCCGTTGGCGGAGGTCCAGCAGAGGAGGCGGGGCGCGAGGCCTTCGCTGGCGAGGCCGACGAGGATACGACTGCCACTGTAGACGTTGCTGTTGGCGGCGGAAAGGACGACGCAGAGAAGCACGCCGTTAATGAGGCCCGGCAGCGTCTTGACGCCGGCGAGCTGTGCGGCGATGACGAAGGGGGAGGCGCTGGCATCGGTGCTGTCGGAGAGGAGCTGCTCGTTGTCGTAGGGCACGAGAAGGCCGATCAGGAAGATGGTGAGGACGAAGAAAATGAGAATGCGCCAGAAGGTCTTGCGGATGGCGGCCGGGACGGTCTTGCGTGGGTTGTCGGTCTCACCCGCGGCGATACCAACCAGCTCGGTGCCCTGATACGAGAAGCCGGCTTGGATGAGCACGGCCCAGAAGCCGACGAACTTGCCCGTGTGTCCATCGACCAAGTAGCTTGCAAAAGCACCGGGGCTGTTCCATGTCGAGAAGCCCAGATAGCCGTTCTGGCCAGCGCCCGCGTCAATGCAAATGCCGAAAATGATGAAGCCGACGACGGTAAGGACTTTGATGGCGGCGAACCAGAACTCGATTTCGCCGTAGAACGAGACGGGCAAAAGGTTGAGCGCTGTAATGATGACCCAGAAAACGCCAATGAAGATGCTAACGCTGAGGTCCTGTTTCCAGTACTGGATGATGAGGCCGCTGGCGGTGAGCTCCAGGGCGAACGTGATGGCCCACGAAAACCAATAGATCCAGCCCATGGAGAAGCCCAAGCTGTGGTCCACAAAGCGACTCGCATACACGGTGAAGGCACCCGAGACGGGCAGGTATGTTGCCATCTCGCCCAATGCCACCATAACGCTGTACACCAGGGTGCCCACGAAGGCATAGGCGATCAAAGCACCCGCGGGACCAGATTTGGCGATGGCGCCGCCCGAGCCAATGAAAAGACCAGTACCGATGGTTCCGCCGATGGCGATCATCTGCAGGTGGCGCGACTGTAGGCGGCGCTTGAGCTGTGCAGTCGTGCCTTGGTGCACCGACTGCTTTTCCGGGTCGGGGCTCGTGCGGCCGGAGTCAATGCCCGCCACCTTGGGCTCCTCATCGGGCTTGACGACGACCTCGTTCTTCTCCATCCTCTCTGATTTTGGGATTCAAGGGCAAGGGAGGTGTGGAGATGCAAGGGGAGGGTTGTATCGACTTGACCCTAACGGCAGTTTGAAGAGAGAAGAAATCCCTAATGGAAGGAGGGTTGACACATAAATACCTAATCCTGCTCCCATCACCCACAGCGGAGACCATGTTGAAAATTTTGTTGCCCGGCTTGGTATCAGCAAATATCTGTAGGGGTAGCTTTGTAGAGTAGTATACTGGAGTTTGTTAATGCCGCACAGGCTGGCTGGTTGGCCAGAGGAAAAATTTCTGCCTTTATCGGATATCTCGGCCGGGTCTGGCCGACCAGTAGCGACAAACATCTCAGCTTGATCGTGTGTGCCCTAGATAAGACACGCGAGGATAAATCAGTTTTACAAAGATTGTACCCCATCAAGGCTCTTCGCGCGTTGGTTGGGGCGAAGAGTGTCGCGTGCCATCCGGTGCTCATGTGTTGTGATGCAGAGAAGCTACCGAGTGCCTGATTGCCGTGAAGCTTAACCGGGCTTGGCCGCCTTGGCGCCCAGTCCTCCCCAACGAGTGCCTGGAGAACTCCATGTCTCCTTCCTTCGCAACTCGATCAGAGGACCTCGAAAAGTCGAGGCAGGTGCTATGAGGCAACATCAAAAGCAAAGACGACCGCTCGGAATAAGGATACAGCTCACCCACAAATCAATCAATTAACATTCAAATAGCCCTTGCTTTGCACATGCGCTGCGGTTTCAGGTCTTCATCACCTACACAAGCGACCCTCATCCCAAGAGCTTCCTCTTCCAACTGTCATGATGATGGTGTTTGGACGCAGGAATCGCAGGTCTCCGACCGTTTCAAGGCGGCGCTGACCTCTTGTATCCCGCCCTTCTCGTTCATTGGGTAAATTAGCGTTCCAATCAGCTCATCCCGATGCCCGCCAATGCAGTGCGCCGATCTCTATCTGTAGAACGTGTCACGAATTCACCTGCCGAGAGCCTCCTTCCGTCGAATCCTTCTCCATGCAGTCGGGCGAATGCCATCTAGCTCGCTGACTGCGAGCTTTGGGTCAGCACGATCAGATCACATTGATGCCTTACTGGCCAACTCAATACTATGCGCCTTCTGCGAGCAGAAATCATGGGCGGCTTCAGCCTGACGAAATTCGATCGCGACAAAATCCCTTGCTACGCAATACTATCTCACACGTGGCTGTCTGATGAGCGAGAAGTTACGTTCGAGGATATACACAACCACACTGGCTCAAACAAGGAGGGATATGCCAAGCTCACGTTCTGCGCCGAACGAGCCAGGCGAGATGGCCTGGAGTTTTTCTGGGTTGACACATGTTGCATCAAGCAGTCGAACTCAAGTGAGCTCGCTGAGGCTATCAATTGTATGTTTCGTTGGTATCAAGGCGCGGAGAAGTGCTACGTCTTTCTGGCGGATGTTAGCTTGCTTAACTGTGGTCTTGCTAGAGCTGAGCGTGACTGGCAATCTAGCCTACGAGACAGCAAGTGGTTCAGACGAGGGTGGACACTCCAAGAGCTTCTAGCGCCACAATGCGTTGAGTTCTGGTCCTGCGATGGCGCATTGCTTGGTGACAAGAAATCGCTGGAACAACAGATCTCCGAGATCACCCGTATTCCGGTGGCCGCCCTCCGCATGCAGCCTCTTCATACGTTCAGTGTCGACGAACGAAAAAGCTGGATGCTCGGTCGACAGACTCAGCTGGAAGAGGACCAAGCCTACTGCCTCATGGGTATCTTTGATGTATCAATGCTCCCAAACTACGGTGAGCCAAAGGACAAAGCAATGAGTCGTCTCGACGACGAGATCGCCCAAGCCTTTCGAAAACGGCTGAACGGATTTGGCCGTGCTACTCCAATGAGCAATGAAGCTGACTTGATGGTTTTGCCAGGTGGAGCTCTGGTCAAGAAGCGTCGAAAGGTATTGGAAAGCCTCAGGCTCAACACCTTCGACGCAAGACGAAAAGAGATCAAACATGTGCGTCCCGGCAGCTGCTCTTGGTTGTTGAAGGTGTCCACATATCAGCGTTGGGAAGACCCCATCAAATATGGGCAACAATACGGCTTTCTCTTGCTTGATGGCAATGCTGGGACAGGCAAATCTACGGTGATGAAGTTTGCCCACGAGCATGCTAAAAGTCGAAAGCTTGCTGATGACGTTGTCATCTCTTATTTTTTCAATGCCAGAGGCGAAGAGTCAGAGAAGTCAACCTTAGGAATGTGGAAAGCGTTATTATACCAGGTCCTAGGCGAATGTCCAGACTTGCAAGATACAATCGACATTGGAGTCTTCCCCTCTCCGTACGATCCCAGTGCTCCGCCGTGGACGCTGGACATACTTTGCGCAACCTTCGCGGCAACCGTGGTGAGACTAGGGAACAGACGCCTACAGTGCTTTGTCGATGCATTGGACGAGTGTGAAGAGTATCAAATACGCGAAATGCTCTCAACTTTTCATGAAGTAAGTATCGATGCCGCTGACTCTGGTGTTCAGATGAAGGTGTGCTTTGCCAGCCGCCCGTATCCGACAGTAAGCGTGCGGAATGCTCAAACAATTACGCTACAGGCTCAAGAGGGCCACAATGATGCTCTAGCCAAATTTGTTAGTTCACGCTTATACGAAGGGCACTCTAGTATAACTGAAAGGGTCAGAAGCGACATATTGGAGAAAGCGAATGGTGTATTTATGTGGGTAGTCCTCGTGATTCCGATGCTCAACGCGGCATTCGAACGCGGACGTATTTATGCTGTTGAGTCGTTGCTGAGCACAATCCCTACTGAACTCAGTGATGTCTTTAAGCAGATATTGAGGAGGGATACAGCGAACATGGACGAGACGCAACTTTGCCTACAATGGGTTTGCTTTGCTGCTCACCCCTTGACAAAGGAAGAGCTCTTTTTTGGTGTGGTCTCCGGACTTGGGAGGACTCATGTCGAGGCGCTTGAACGAGACCTTGAACAAGTCACTGAGGATTCCATGCGCCGATTTGTATCGAGTTCCTCAAAGGGGCTTGCGGAGTTGCCCAAGTCGTCTAACACTGTTCAATTTATTCATGAGTCTGTGCGAGACTTCCTCGTCAAGGATCGGGGTTTGATTGAGCTGTGGCCAGAGCTCGGCGACGATCTTACGGGTATCTCACACCAACGTCTCAAGCAGTGTTGTCAAACCTATCACGACATTGACAGAACCAGCTTTTTGCCACTTGCTGACACTGTGGCAGCTGCTTCGCAACGAGAAAGGAAGCAGATGCAAGAAGAGCTTCGAACCAGATTCCCCCTGCTCAGCTATGCAAATCAATATATTCTGGAACATGCAGACCAAAGTGTGAGTGATGTCGCAGGCTCCGTATTCCTCAAGTCTTTTCGGTTTGATTCTTGGATCAAGATCAGGAACCACCTCGCAGAGATTCCTTCTCGCCACCATATCGGAAACACTAGCCTGCTCTATGCACTCGCAGAAGGTAACTACACGCATCTCATCCGAGCCCTGTGTCCGGACGGTCCACTTGTTGGAGAAAGTGTAGGACACTGGGAGCACTCTCTTTGCACGGCGCTACAGAAACACCATCAAGATGCGGTCCAAGCACTCCTACAGCCCGAATGGTTACGCAGAGGAATGGAAAACAACTTCAATGCGTTGATCAAAAGCAAAGAAAAGGGAGCACTGCTCGCCACGTCATCCAACCAGTACCTACATCCCTTGCTCTGGGCAATTAGGGAAGGCTTTGATGACGTCGTTGCGATTTTATTGGATGCTCCCGATTTAGAGCCAGATGCAGTCACTCATCTTGGTCGGGATGCACTCTCGTTTGCCGCAGAATCGGGCTGTGAAGCCGTGGTGTACTGGTATATTCGCACGGGTCGAATTGAGACAGCCCTGAACAAGAAGGCGACTTCCTACTACGGGGAATGGACACCTATACAATTTGCAATAGCTCTAGGAAGAGAGTCAATGGTCGATCTGCTGCTCGGCAACGGTGCAAATCTCTCTGGTAACGCAACGCTACTCCACCTAGCCGCCGGAAGGGGTCGTTGTGGCGTTGTATACATCCTACTCGATAGGGGCATTGACATCGAGACAAGAGACTCTCAAGGCGATACTGCACTTTTCTATGCTGTACGATCCAGATTCAAGAAGGCCTTGCAGGCGCTGTTAGACCGAGGTGCAGATGTGGACGCCCGGAACACAGATGGTGACACTGTCTTGATACTAGCCGCCTTCGAAGGGGATCTGAAGTACGTCCGTTTCCTGCTTGATAAGGGTGCAAACACTGAAGTCACGAACAATGACGGAAAGACGGCGTTGCTCTCAGCTGCTGGCAGTGGCCACAAGGACTGTGTACGACTACTGCTGGAGAAGGGGAGTAGTATAGGACTGCCAACAGTCCGTGGGTTGAGTGCCCATCTGGCGGCAACGGAGCAGAATCGCGAGCAGTGTGTCCAGGCTTTGTTGACTTGGGGACGTGAAAGCTCCAGATACGGCCAACCAATGCCCGGGCACCAGTACGACACCTGCGATCGAAACTCGCAATGACCGACAAGTTGAGGTCTGGCCGGAACCATCGGACGAAGAACTTTTGGATGCCCATCCCGGCGTCAACTCTCCTGAGTCAGGCGCCTACAGCGACGGTTGAACGGTTAAGATCTGTTCAATTACGCCATCGCACCGATCAGTACCAAGTGCTCTTTCATCGTGGAAGTGGATCAATGACCGCTTGACCAGACAGACTCGACTTGGTCGTTCATTATTGATGAATCAAGAATCACTATGAATGCATCTACTCAGTTATCGAATCTGCACCACCCTTCCTCAGATAAGCTCAGATCTTGGATTCAACCTCCAAACTCGACAAAAAGCTTTTTACAGCTTCGCCCTCCCTTGGACTCCCTCCCCACCACCCTCCGCCCACACCTCCCTCATCCCCCTAACCAAATCCGCCAATAGATCCTCCTTCCTCTCCACACCAACACTCACACGCAACACATCCCTGCCTACCGTCGCATCCGTCATCGTGCGCCACTCGATCAGGCTCTCGACGCCGCCCAACGAGGTCGCGTGGTGGAACAGCAGCAGCTTGCTGGGGAAGCGGCGGGCCCATGACGCGGAGTGGAGCGTGAGGCCAAAGACAGGGCCATAGCCGCGTGGCATCTGCTGACGGAGCCAGCAGGAGGCGGACTCGAGCGCGGCGGGTTGGACGCTCGCGTGCTGGATGCTCTTGACGACGCCACGGACCACGTTGGCGTCGTCCGCCGAGAGGATGCTGCTGCTGCTGCTGCTGCCGCCGCTGTCGTCGCCGCAACCCGTTTGGAGGTCACTGGGCTGCTGCTGCAAGGCTTGATACAGCGCTCGCACGATGTAGTCGGCGGCCTGGCTCTGGCGCAGGACGCGGAGCTCCAGCGTGCGCAGACTGCGCACCAGTAACCAGCTGTCGAAGCCGCTCATGACGGAGCCCAGATACAGACGGTCCTGATACAGGCGCTGCACCCAGTCGGTGTTCTTGCACGCGAGCACGCCGCAGAGGAAATCCGAGTGGCCGCCTAGGTACTTGGTGCCGGAGTGCATGACGACGTCGGCGCCGAGCGCGAACGGCTCTTGGAGCGGTGGCGGGGCGAAGGTCGAGTCGACGCTGAGGTAGGCGCCGCGCGAGTGTGCCTTGGTGGCGTGGTGCTGGATGTTCAGCGCCAGGCCGGTGGGGTTGACCGGGGTTTCGAGGTGGATCAGGTCTCCCGGGCCGAGTTCCTCGGTGTTGCAGTCGAGCGGGAGGATCTGGCAGCCGCTGGCGCGCGCGTAGAGGTTGAGTACGCCGTGGCAGCCGTGGTAGCCGGCGCCGATGGCGACGCGCTTGGGCGCCAGCATGGTCAGCAGGGCGTGGAAGGCAGCGAGGCCGGAGCTGTATGCCACGGTCGGCTGCTTGAGGAGGAGGGTCAGGATGCCTTCGACGCGGGCGAGGCCCGGCGTGGACTGCCGCGAGTAGCAGTGTTCGCCGAAGTCGAGAACGGGGTAGCTTGGCCGCTCGTGATGGGGTCTCAGGAGGTCTGGGTCGCGGGGGTAGCGGTAGGTTGTTGTGAGGTGGATGGGTGGTGCGACGTCGTCGATGACATTGAGCACATCATCGCCGTGTACAGCCTGGGTGGCCGGAGAGAGGAATTTCATTGCCGATGAGGGACTCTGAGGAGGACTGGCGGGAGTCCGACCACTAGGAGAGGCGTCGTTGCCCATTGTGGCTCAACACAGCACACCCTCACGTAGATTTAGAGACCTTCAATAACGGCCAGGTGTGTGCTGTATCGGATCTCACAGGTGCAATCGTGTTCAGAATGTATTCGTAGAACGAGTTGAATATGTACACATTCGCCCCGTGAGATTCAGGGCGATACAGGGTCTTCCTGACGGTTTCCCTTCGACAGCCTCTTGAGGATCTGACAGCAGAGATAACAGCCGTTCCGGGAGTAAAAGATACAGTTATTCCACGAGCCTTAATGGCTCAGTCCGTGGTTACGTTCCTACATGCAGGATACCTGTGTCCCCCCACCCAATCACCCCCCATTGGAGAGAAGTCGTGGAGGGCCCGCCCGGAGCATCTCCGTTAGCGTCCGAGGACCTGTGGACTGTGGTACATGCACTGCCAAGAGGTACAGCAAAAGGTCTTCTGAACTACAGTACCATGTTAGGGAAGGCAGTGGTTGGGTCTGGCGAAGCAGAATTCTATTTAAGACTGCATTCTGGCTGAACCCGCAAAGCGCACTTGCACACACACGAAGTCGCAGTTTCCCGTGGATCACAAGTTCACAAACCCCCGAAAGCTCACAGGTTCCCAACCTCCCACATCCCAAAGTACGGACTCCCCGAGTCCTGAAACTGCATGAACGGGTCGTGCGTGATGTCCATGATCGAGGCATTCCCCGTGAATGCACCTAGCCATGGCGCATACTGGGGCGCACCAGGAGGAGGAGGACCTTGCCCCTGAGGCGGTCCCGCCATGTTCTGATTGCCCCCCGGAGGAAGAGCAACGGCCGGGTTGGAAGCCATCGCAGGGTCTGGCAATAGCCACTCGGCCTGCTGCTCATTGCGGCCCCGGCTTGTACGAGGATACGTGGTCCGCCGCACGACGTGGTCTGAGAATGGGGGTAGAGCCTGGCCGCCATCAGAGGTATCGACTTCGCGGGTCGAGCTGTGGAAGATCTGGGTTTCGACCGTGTCGTCTTCTTCGTCGGCTGCGTCGGTGGTGGGGCAGAGGGATTCGTGGAAGAGTGTGCCGCCGCTTGCGTGTTTGCGGCGGGTGTCGACGTTGGTGTAGTCGAGAACCTCCCACATCAAACTGGTGTTGATCGAGACGGTTCGACGGGACGAGTCGCGCTCGTTGGAGTCGAACGCGGATCTCATCAGTGCTTGGAGTCTGTCGTGCTGTATGTGGTCCAGATAAGGTAAGCGAGCACTCTGTTAGGGATTCTGGCTTCGACTTTCTCAGCAGGAGGAGGTACACATACCATCGTCTTGCAAACGGGCCATCTGACTGCAAGCTCGCTCAGATAGATCTTGCACACCGTAAGCTTGCTCTGTGCCGCCTGTTTGAGGTTCGTGTCTGCCGCGCGACAGAAGTAGATGAGGATCGTGGCTGCAATGGCAACACAATGGCCCACGAACGGATCCGAGATCGGATAGGGCTTCTCGGTGACCATGTCAATCAAGCGAACGATCCAGGTGGAGTGGAGAAGGGCAAGCTCAGAAGACGTCTTCCAGAAAGTATTAGGCACGGCGAGCTGAGCTGACTGCTGCGGCCGCGATGAATATAGGAATGGGTGATTCAGCAGGCTGTGAATGGCATGGTATGTGAACTGGATCGACAGCCAGGGACTCCAGTAGGCTCGATTGTTTTCGAGATCTTCGGTGGATTGATCTGGGAAACGCGCCAAGTCGTATCGATGGGCAGCTGGCAATTTGGTCTCGAGATCCATCAGGTGTGCGCATATGATCGAGTAGCCAGAGTCAGCAGACCATGGGGTCTTGGTGTTGCTATCAGCGCACTGGCTCATGTATGTCCGCACCTGTCTCCAAAGCGTAGAGAGCTGGACCAGATAAGCCCAGATGCCGCCACCTTGTGTCTGGCCCGAAACAAACGATTCCTGTGGCCAAGAAGGTGGAAGAATACTGAACTCGCGGGGGAGATCCAATTTTGATCCCACGTACTTGGGATTGTCAAAGTTGGTCAGCACGTTCAGCGGTGTGCTCTGCTGCCCATAGATCTGGTCAAGGTATAAGAGACTCCAGAACACCCTTCGACGTGCCTCTGCGGGTCCCGAAAGATCTCCAGGCCGTGCCTCGGCGTCCATGCCTGCACACCTGAGAAAGGTCATGGCCATGCTGATATGAAGCGAAGCAAAATGCACGTCTCTGACTAGGGCGGTGTTAGCCTGGCAACTGGGCAAGATACCTGATGTGGAGCAGCAAACCTATGAAGTTGGCAAATGCCAGCATGCAGAGTCCCTGAATGGTAGAAAGCTTGACATTCCCTTCCGTCACCTGAAGCAGGATGCGATCGCGAGCCAGCTTCGAATAGTGTCGACTCAGCTCCTCGGTTCGACCCTGAAAGCGAGTATGGGACGAATAAGGCAGCGTCAAGGCCATCAAAGCCAGAATGATCTCTTCGCTATACTTCTCTGGCGAAGCCAGATCGTCCTCGTCGAATAGCCACAATGGTTGCATGTGGCAGTACTGAAAATACAAACTTGCCATTTCGGTGACGAGTTGCATTGAAGGCATTGCACTGGAGAATCAGAGACTGTGCTTTTGGGAACAGCTTGGAACGGTCTTACCTCGAGGCCACTGCTGATGCAGGTCTTGATCTGGGGCTCTCTCGCCGGCTCGGCGTTTTAGCTGAAGCTGAGCGTGGTGTTTCGGTCTGAACAGTTGAACCTGGTCTGGGGCAGCGGGTAGTCAGCTAAACTTGGCAACGCCTCGCCCACGGCAATATAGGGAGTCCCCCCTTCAGATACCCACGAACCTTCCTTGCTCCAGAACCAGGTTCATCTGCTCCTCCAACTGCGCCAGTCGCCCTTCCTATGAGAAAAACGATGAGCGACTTTATTCAACCCTTCCAGCCCGGGAGGAAGGGACTGGGGGTGATGTACCAGGTTTCGCTCACTCTCCAGTGCGCTGACATTGCCGCCACTGTAATGACATGCCTGACCGAGACGAGCACATGTCGAACAAGCGGGTCGCTCTCCCGGACAGCGCGTCTTCTTCCTCCTTGTATAGCCCTACTGTCAGCGATCTTCGCCGTAGGATTTTGGGACCACAAAGGCGCTATTATTGCCACCACCTACCGACAATTCTCGCATGCCTGGTGCATGCGTTTTACGATCCGAGCATGACTGACCGACATGTCATGTCACCCACATGGTTGCAAGATGGCGTTGGGCACGAGCGTTGTGATCGCCCGTAGAGAGGGAATGCCGTTCGGGAAATGAAGTCTGGTTAAGGCCTAGCTAGCGCCCCCACAGTGTGATGGTGGGGGGTGGGCGGGCGCTCTTTTCCGGGCTCTGCTCGCAAGCCTAGACAGAGTGTGAATTCTAGCGATACGTAGGATGCACTTTGAGGCCAATACAACAGGGACATCAGAGAACCTCTTGTGTTATACCATGATGTGGTCTGCTGGTTATCACTTCACCAGACTGATACATACGACATGAAACTGTGTGGCATAGAATGACAGCCTCGAAACGCCGCCTACTTAGCCATGAAAAGCACCATACCGGCAGTTCCCCCTTGAGAAGCTGCTGAGAAACCACAACCACAATCACGCTTCACCACTCCGAAGCCGTCAACGTAGCATCACTACAAGCCAACCCTTTACAGAACTCATCCTCCTCCTCCGTCTTGGCACTCGCCACCCCGCGCCTCGCCGGCCAGATATCGCGGCCCCTCGCATTCTCTTCCGTGCGGTGGTCGACCAACAACTTCTTGACCACGCTCTGGAAGAAGATGGGCGCGCTCTCGAGCTCCGGGTGCAGCTGGCCGTTGACGAAGACGCCGGCGTTCAGGTTCCGCTGCGCCGCATTGCACAGGTCCTTGTCCTCGCCGAGGACGCGCTTGAAGAACTGGTCGATGTAGGTGAATTCCGCGTCCGTGGCGTCGACGTGGCGGTAGACTTCGTATTCCATCGAGGTGGTGGTCGCCGTGGTGGGGACGCAGCGCATCATGTAGAAGAAGTGAGGCCTTTTTGGGAGGGTCAGTCAGTAATTGTCAGCTTGAAAAATGGTTCACATGTCAGGTCAGGGGGGCAAAGGGGGCCGAACTCACGAGACCGTCATGCAGGCATTGGGGAAGTAGTAGGTACTCGCGTTCTTGATGTCCACATCCTCTTTCCCCTTCTGTGGCCGTGAGAAGTGCTGGATATGGCCTGGTGTAGAGACAGTATAGTAATACTGCAGGTCTGCCAGCTTGGCCACATCGGGGTGCGCGACGGTACAGTGGTAGCACTCGTTGTAGTTGTCCGCGAGCGTCTTCCAGTTATAGTCACCTTTCATCCCCCACACATGGTCAAACTTGTATTGTGTAAAGTCAAAGTTCTGAAAGCGCTCTTGTGCATCCACGTCCCGGAAATCATCTTCCCACGCGACTGATGGGTGCTCGGAGGCCTCCAGGTTCACCCACACGAAGCCAAGCTTGTCGACGTGGATGTGGACGGGGAATAGACTGTGGTCCTCTTTTTGAAATCCTTCAACATCGTCGAAGCGAGGCGCCTTCGCTAGCTTGCCGTTCAAGCCATAGGACCAGCCGTGGTACTTGCACGAGAAGATCCTCGCGTTTCCCTCCGACTCTGTCACGACCGGGAACGCGCGGTGTCGGCATATGTTGTGAAAACCGTGCAAGGTGCCGTTCCTGTCAAGGCAAAGTACAAATGGGTAGCCAGCCTCCTCGAAGCGGAAGTAGTCTCCTGGCTGTGTAAAGCGAAGTTTGTGGGTAACCATCAGCCATTTCTTGGAGAAGATGGCCCGACGTTCCAGCTGGTACATGTCTGGAGAGCGGTACCATGATGAGGGAAGTGCTCGGGGTTGCTGTTTGGTCTGAATGGACGGTTTCTCCTTGGTACTCAGGTCTGAGTAACCTATGTATGAGTTGATAGAGGATAGCATGATGTTCGTAGAATTAGATAAATGGTGTGGAAGTTTCTTGAGTAATTCCAGCTATGCTAACGGCCGGCTAAGCTTTGATAACATACGTGATTCTCGCGGTGTATGATCCTCTTATGGCCCACCGGACGTGGCATTAGCCACTCCGTCCAAGACATCGCTCTACGTGAATACCCACGGACGGATACGTCCTCCGGCCGCATGAATGAAATGTCCGTAGCTGATTATTCAGTCTTGATGCCATTGAACGTGAATTAATAACCTGAAATAGATAAAAAGTCCTACAACGCCATGTGTATGCCTCCAGACGGGTCACGTGGGCGGGAACTCGGAGGTTGCCCGTGCCAATGTACTCCGTCTACTAGTAGTAGACTGTTTACAGTCGCGATATCTGTCTAACAGCGGAATTACTGGCGAGATCAGAATTTGGAACCAGCAAAAGGCACAGAGGGCATAGGGAGGCTTTGGAATGAAGAAAGTTCCACACGAGTCTGCGACTTACACCTTCTAAGACGACATTCAGAGAGATAGGAGGACCAGGGGTCGACTACTAGATTGACAGGCCCTGGTGAGTAAGGAAAGTACATTCTCCAAACCTCTATAGGCCCGAGTCTGAACTTGATCAACCATGTCTTTCCTATTCACAGCTTCGCCTGCTCCCAGCTCTCCAGCCGCCTCTTCTGCGGCCCACGCCGGCTCCCATCATTACAGACCAGCGGCTCTCTGGCGCCGGGATCACTTCTCAGCCTCCACTTCTCGCGCACCTCGGCCGTGGCTTTCCCTTCGAAACAGTCCGCAATGTAGCGGCCGAGCACCGGAAGGAACTTGAAGCCGCTGGTTTTCATCGTCTGCGTTAGCGTCCTACTCTGATATCTCTCTTCATTCCAAGGGATTTAGAATCTACGGCAAGAAAGGGGGGTAATAGGAAAGGGGGTTAGCTCACTGTCCTGCACCACCCGCAGCAATAAAAAGCGACTGGATCATTGGATGATCGTCCACGACGAAATTCCCCTCCGGCGTGTCCGTATACCAACACAGCCTCCGCCTCATCCACGGCCGATCCGCAAACTCGGGCAAAATCTGCCTCAAGCCCTGCCGGAAATGCTCGTCCGCCGACTCCGGAATGAACGTGGAGGCCGCATTGTTAGCGTCCCGTTGGGGAGCAGATATGGTGCGTTCATTCCCTTCTACGCGAACCTCGGTCTCGAAGCCGTGGCCGTGGCGCGCGACTTTGAGGATATGGGTGCCAGGAGTGGGCGGGAAGACGAAGAAGCCGGTCGTCATGTTGATCAGGACGGGCATGTCGGCAACGCGCCGCGCTTCCTCGGCCGTGAGTTGGATGAAGCCGACGGCGTGGGCGGACGAGGACATGGCGTACGTGAGGTCGAGGAATCGGTTCGTCCAGGCGCCCGTGGCGAGGATCACGTGGGATCCATGTAGGGATTCCCCGGTCGCTACATTGACGCCCTCGATGCGCGAGTCGCGCACTGTCAGTGACTGTACTGTGCCTCGTGGGCCGGTGACGAGCGACACCCCGCGCTCGGTACACCTGCTCGCCAGTGCGCCAATGGCGCCCGCGGCATCAGCCCACCCAGCATTTGGATTCAGATAGCCAGACAGATCGTCTTTGATGCCGCCCAGGGCCGGAAACATGCTCCGCAACTCCGCTGAGCCAGCAAACGTCTCAAACCGCTGCCCCTGCCCAGCATGCACGCCCATCAGCTTCTCCAGAAACGGGTCGTCCTGCGCCTCAGAGGTCAGCACGAAGCCGGAGTTGTGGTAGTACGGCTTGAAGGGGCCATCGCGCCACTGCTGCTGCGCTTCCTTCGCCATGGCGGCGTAGAACGGGTCGGAGTAATCGCTGCGGACGATGCGGGAGATGTCGTTGCTGCTGCCGTCGGGCACGGGTGGGGTCATGCGGTCCAAGACCGTGATGTTGCAGTACCCGCGCTGGCGGAGGTCGAGGGCCGTGCTGAGGCCGAAGACGCCGGCGCCGACGATTAGAATGGGTGAGTCTTTGCTTTTGGGGGCCATTGTGGGAGAATGTGGCGTGGACTGTGTGGTATACCGGCTGGTATAGCGCACTGGAATACAACTTCAAACCACTCTATGCAAACGTAACATTTCTGGCCATCCGGGGGGCTTGGGGGAGACTGTACGTACTGAAATGTTGTAGTACTACCAAATCTCGATGACTGGCTTGCCAGGACTCCATTCGGTGAAGACCGGTAGTATGTCTCCAGAAGAGCGGTATGTCTCTGGAAGGGCGGTACGGAGTAGCTACCGCTCACGTGACCGGCCTCTCCTGATTGACCTCCCCCTCCGTTGCGTTGGCATTGCGCCTCAATACTCGGCGCATGCTGTGTTGTAGTCCGCTGAAGAGTAGGCACTTTGATGCGCATGGCTTCGAGATGCTTCGGCATGGATTGAGGACAACACAAGCTGTGTCATCAAACATCAAGTCCGTCATCCCGTCCTGCATTCGATCGAGGTTTGTTCCCCCTTGCAGCTGCGCCCCGACCCCTACCTTTGTCTCCCCTGGTTCCTTCCACGCCTCGCCTTTGGGCGGCCCGACCCTTTCCCATCGGCAGTGGCCGTCCCTTCAACCTGTCAGGCAGCTCCGCTACCACCTTGCCGTCCTTCCAGAGCGTCCCCAGACCTTCTTTCACTTCCACGATCTCGATCCAGAACTCTGCTGTCACACCCTCAGGGTCCTCGTCCAATTTCGTTTCTTGGGTATTCTTGCCCTTCACTTCATCCTCATCAGCAGCTTTTGCCCCCTCTTTTTGAGTGTCAGTGTAGTGTAGCACACCATCCGTCAAGATGACACCATTTTCGCTGCGCCACCATTTCATCCCTTTCCTCAGCGAGGCGGCAAGGTCGACGTAGACAAGTACTTCCGCATCCTTTCGCATGCCGCTCACAACGCCTGCTTCGGCCATCATTTTCCCGAGTCGTCCCTTAGCAGCACCGCCTCTTGACACCTCGGGGGTTCCCGTTGCATCATCATGATGCCCTCCTGTGTTTGCTTCCGCGACCTGAAGAGTGCCATCACTAGGAGCAGTCCCTCTCGCCATCTCCAACGGCGGACCAGTGCTAAAGTGGACGTGATTCCGTCCCATTGTCCTGATACTGCCGTCCTTGAGAATAGCTTCCCAAGCGCCGTAGAAAGTGCCGTGTACCACCGTCTCGGGCAGATCACCATCGTCGAGGGTGATGGGCTTCAACAGCCCCTCCGAGCTCACGCCTGTCATGCTATGGCCCTGATTGGCACGAATGGCGAAATGCCGTGCTTCTACATCAGCCCGATGATCGAAAACCGCGAGAGCACGTTGCGTCTCGTTCTCCACCACTGCTTGCCCCGCGGGTTTGTCCTCGTCAGCGCCATCTTCGACGGCGGCCGCCACGCCGTCGGTACTCGCACCCGTGTATTTCAGACCAAATCGCTGCTTCTCGTTGTCTCGGACAGCTGCAAAGATCTCCTCCATCTGTACAGCCGGCTGGAACTTAGAAAGGCCCCGCCAAGAGAGGAGGTGGTCTAGCCGGACGTAGCCCAGTTCATCGATGGGGACCTTCTCCTGCGCAGCGGCGTGGCGGAGGAGGCGCGACATGGCTTTGGACAGTAGTGTGGGTCGTGCGAGGGCCGAGGAGGGATCATGACGAGACTTGCGGTCGTCAGGGCGGGAAGGTTTATTGTTGTTCGGCATAGTGACTCTTGGAGAGGAGTGAAACGGGTGGGTAGCGCTTAGTCGATGCCAGGTGTAGAGGCTGGGTCGTGTTAGGTTTATCGCTCTTGCAGGGCGGAAATGAAACGAGAGTAACGCCGACGAGACAGATGTATATCTCGTCTTGTCACCGGAAGATGTCCGAGCAGCGGCGCAAAGGAGTGAGTCAACTGAATGTTGTGCGGAATATAATTTGAGTCACCGACAGGCTGCAGGCTCCAAGTATGGAGCGGTCCTCGGCTCTAGTAAATGAAGGCGTAAACGGTTCAGAATATTCCTTCTAAGTAGGACTTGCCTACTAGGTGGGCCCAACCAGCGATTGAAGATGAACGAACGCAAGACATAGATGGCCAAGAGGTCTGGTGGTTTGGTTTGCCTTTTTGCTGCCTCGTACCTCTTGGCATTTCCATGCACAGGCAGTCAGCCGACCTAAAAGAAGAGGCTCGATCAGGAGTCGAGGCAACGTCGAACTCGGCTGTGGACACATTCGTCGGTGATTCTTCACTTCAGCTCGATCTGGAACGTCTGATGTACATTTCATCTTATTGCACCAATCTGATCTCGATCATGTCATCTACACACTCAACTTCTGGCCGGACTATATACTGGTCATTCGTCCCCTTCTCCCTCTCCTCAGCTTCATACACTTTCGCAATCACTCATCGAGTCACCAATTACCCACTTCTGCACTGTAGAGCTATATACTTCCCCCGAGCCTTGCTGCGCAAGGTGCTCGCTCTCAAATGCATCAAAGTCGTCCGTTAGATTCCCACTCGCCGCAATGCCACAGATAACCAAGAAATGATCGTGTCTTGCTTTTCGCACATGCCGATAACGCCCCAAACGATGCTATCACATGCAACGCAAATATACTGATGCTTAAAAGTTCTGCGAGATCCCACCTTGCTGTTGCGGGAATGTCGGCGCCCTTTCAATCCTCGTATTTCTCCTGGCTTGTACATCCCTCACAATGGGCTGATCATTACCATACGACCCGTGCGGTTGCTGTCCGTAGTCGTTGTAGGGCATTTCCTGCTCATAATAGGGCCTGGGAAGGCTCGGCGCCTCACTGGATGCTTCGGACGGCGCAACGTTCGAGTACGCAGAAGAAGCGTTGCTAGGCCCACGACGCACACCACCATGGCTGCGATTGCGGCCAAGACCACCAGCGGCAGCACCAGCGACAGCGGCGCCACCCAAAGTGCCAACACCATCACCACCTTCAGGGTGACCTTGCATGAGCGGATCGGCAGAGTACGCGTCCGAGTAGGCGTTGGGAGAAGGTTGTGAGTAGTTGCCACCTGGTTGAGAACCGCTGTCGGACAGGCCTGGAGCACGGGAGCCATAGGTGGTGGAGGCTTTGTGATTGGAGGTAGTGGCGCCCCAGCCACGATAGCCCGAGTTATCTTCGGTCATTTCTGACTGATCTTCCTGGTATGACGCGCCTGCGGGAGCAAGAGATGGATCATTGTTCGGGTTGAAACCATATTCGGCCATCTCACTCTTGCGCATCTCCTCGGCCTGCTTGCGAGCCTTCCTCTTGCGCCACAGCCAGAATCCAAGGAGTAGGAGGCCAGCAATGGCGACAAGGGGAATCACGACTGCAACAGCAATGGTGCCACTCTCACCGAGACCAGACGATCCGCCGCCATCTCTATCGCCAGCGCTTAAGGTTGAAGGAGTTGAGGAGGTCGAGCTTGCCGATGACGTGGTATCAGCAGTGGTAGGATCGCTGGTAGGAGTGAAAGTGGATGTTTCGACAATAACCTGAGTAGATGGTTGCTGGGTAGGATCTGTGGGTGGTTGTACTATAGTTGTGGTTACTGGCTGTTCTGTGGTAGGCGGCGGTTCCGATGAGGTGGTTTCTGACGGCGGTACTGTTGTGGTGGCGGTAGGTGGGATGCTCGTGATTGAAGTCGTATCTGGTTCAGTGGTAGTACTTGGAGGCGGGTCAGCTGCAGTGGGAAGATCCGTGGTAGTGTCGGGATCCGTGGTGGGATCGGTGGGCACTTCAGTTGTATCAGTGTCAGTGACAGTCTCACTGGGAGTTATTGTGGGTATGGTGTCTGCTATCAATCAGTCACAAGAACCTTGCGACTGACAAGTAGCATCAGGGTAAATGCAGCTCACCTGTTGTGTTGGACATTTTTCAAAGTGGCCTGGCGCACGACAGAGGAAAGCTGCAGAAAGGCCTCCCTCACAAGAGGCAGAAACGCCGAGGGTGACGTCGAAGAGTGGATGAGTGTATAGGTCGGTGCGAGGTCGCGCAGCGACAATTGATGATGTTGGACACTCGGCTGCGACGCTCGGGGTCAGGGTGTTTCGGATTATGGTCGCGTTTCCTGTGAACTCTGAGCGGGACAGGTCTGGGCCTTTTGGTTTGCAGGATTGCCGCACAGCTAGCAGTGAAGCAGTGCACGTCTCAAAAGATGATGGCGGTAGAGTGAGTGAACAGGAAGCTCGGTTCGGACTTGGTCGGCGACGAGGTTGGAATGAGGGTGGAGGAGGAGAGAGGAGATAACTGGGCGAACCTTGCAGCCACCGGGGTCTTGTTCAGGTTTTGGGGGTGGCAGCCAGAGAAGAGGAGCATTGGAAACATGCCTAACCACAGTGGTGCCTAGCACGAACCTTGGCTTGGGTGATTGCCTACTGAAGACAGCGCCTCTTTCGTATTTCCAAGGGCCCGGCGAAGGCCAGGCCAGCACCCGCATCATCATGCTTACGGCTGTCCTTGGTATGGATGATCCAAGAATCCCTCACGAACACTACGGTGCAGCTCACATGATATCCCGTCCGAGTATGCAAATAATCTATCTGGTTTGCAGCCTCGTAGTTCAATGACAGGACCTAGTTTCGTGAATCAGCTCCAGGGCCCCCCGGGAATGCAACGCCGCCCAAAACAGCCGACTGGGTGCCGCTGTTCCGCAGCAAACGCATTATTGAAAAGTCAACCAATCCGTCACCCGGGTACGGGCTGCAGCAAATAATCAATATCTGAACATTCCTTGCTTCAGATGCGCTGATCCCATCGACAACACCATCGTCGCCCACAATGCTACACATGATGCGCGGGACTCTCGGCACCGATCACGATCTCATAGCGAGGGGATGAAAAGGGGTAACTAACATGCTGATCTGATGGAGAGTCGGTGCCAGCGATGTTGCATCTGCCGTGGACCTTGTCTCTGACTTGCGTTGTCGGCCAAGCAATCTCTCCGTAGCCTGAGTCCGCTACCTAAATGCTTATAAGCGAGATGGGCCAGCAGCCATGCGTGCATGTTCGGTAGGGGTTGCGCGACTGCTTCACACTGACCAAAGGTACACCAGTAGGCGTTGTTGGCACGAGCGTCAATGGTTCTTACCCCCAGCCCGTGCTTCTGGATGCATCTTGCGTGCACTGGCTGTGTGAGTCTGTACAAGACTCGGAATCGATGAATCCGGTCATGCGGAACCGCTTGTTGATCTGAGAAACAACACGGGATATTAATAGTAGCGACGTCTGGCCAATCACAGCCTCAAACGCAGCAGCTGGGGCTTCGCTCACCAAACCCATCAGCAGTACCTACAATATCTGATTCGACTGATTAATGATGCTGGTGGACAGCAATAATTGTATTTCATTTCTGGCACGTTCACCAGGCCGGAAAAGACCAACGTCTTTGTTTCTGTTCATATCTACGCCGTCCGTTTGCTCAAATCCCTTTCTATATGCTCCCAGTGCCGCCGTACCATGGTCGTGAGTATACACCAAACCTTTCAACATCAACCCTCTGGTCAGTATCTGCTCTGGACATGCTTTCTCCCGCATTTGCACACCGTTTCCTGGTCCCTAGACATCCTTTTTGTGCTCTATTAGAATAATGTACAGAATAGTCGCCTGCCATACGTCGCTCATGCCTATTTTCGACCAATATCCATGGTCGGCTTCAAAGCGTCTGAGATTTCGTCCCGCGTTCCTGCGACCTCGCGCGGAATACGGCTGACACGATAGGCGCCGGTACGAATGCTGTGCTCATGCATACGTGATATGCCGGATCGAGCGCTGCGAATGCTGCCTGCGTCGCTCGCACTGTCTCCCGGTACGTGAATCCGTCCTGGTGGCGCAAAGTCGAGTCCTGTGAAGGTCCCAGACTTGCGCAGCAGGTGCCTAGATCATGTTAGCTCCACGCTCGAACGAGCAATTGCTGAGGTACTTACGGGCTTGGGAGAACAGCGAGGTCGTCGTAAGAGGACTGCAGAGGCGTAAAAGCACGAACGTTCGGTGAGAATGGCCTCTGCCCTCCACGTGGCGAGCTTGGCGTTCCGGAGCGCTGGAATCTGGCCTTGTCAGGTGGCGCGAAATCAACGGCCATGTCAATAAGGAAGGTGTCGTCTTTGAGTTTATGTGGCGTAGGCAGCTCATTGAGAGCCTTGGGAGGTGGAGCTCTCTTCTTAGGAGGCTGCCTGGGTCCGCCGCGCGGAGGCATGGCGTACCGTGCAGAAGCAGACGAGAACGCACGTGGCCCATGCCGCATGTGGCTGTTGTTGGACATGGCACGGTGGCGTGGAGCTCCGGCAGCAGACATGCCCCGTGGCGGGTAGTAGTCTTGTTCGTAGTAATCGTCGTAGAAGTCTTCCGATCCGTCGAAATATTGCGCTACATTCCCGCCACCAGGCTTGCTAGACTCGTCAAAATACTCCTTGTAGAACGATCGGATTCGATTCGCTCTCTGTTCCGGATTCTCAGCTGGATCGTCAGGAGGCAGCGGTCGCACACCCCAGGTCAGACGGCGTGGATCATAACCGAGCTCGTCTTCGTAGTCACCATACACACTGTATGTATCCTCAGGATCATAATAGTCTGATGCATCATCGTACTGCTGGTGAGCTTGAGCGTTCGATTGATCACGGCTGTGAGTTGTGCTAGGCTGTTGATGATCGCCATAGGTTGATGTCTCCCGACTTCTGTCTTCAGGGGTCCATCCTTGACTGTTCTGGCCACCATGCATCGACATCTCCCTGCTCTGGTCCCGAGGAGTTGTTGATTGGCTGTCGAAATCCATCACGTTGAACTGAGGAAGCTGGGGTTCGCGGTCAAGTGGCATACTAGTAGTTCGAGCAGGTCTTTGAGGCTCCTCCTTGGGTTCTGGTGCCGGCTGATTAGGGATCGTGTAATCCGAAGACATTCGGGCGTGCTCAAGAGGTGGCTCGTTCATGACGATTGCGGGCATTGGAACTGGAGCGAACGTCTTCTGACTTTCGGGCGTCTCGGCTGTCTCACGTTCAGTGACTGTGACCTGGGGTTGCACCTTCGGATCTTGGTTTAGAGCCTCTTTTTCGGTATCAGGTTTGGAACCCCCACGGATAAAAGCACCCAGGTAGTCATTGCTGGCTCTGAACGCTGCAGTGTTGCCTGTGGTGCTGACTATTGATTCGCGTGTATCCTGGGCCGGAGCAGGGGCGAGGAGCGACGTGGGATTGGGAGAAGTAGTTCGTTCAGCGGGAATGGGAGAATATGCTTTTGGAGGAGGATTTGGACGAGCCGGGAGACCGTGCGCAGCGTGAATCAAAGATCGACTGGAGTCGGTGTCGTTTCTGAACCGCGTCGAGCCCGAGAAGCTGGACGAGTCGTCACCATGATTTCGTACCGTAGGCGACCGAATGGAGCCGTCGTCGGGAATAAAGTCAGTCCGCTGGTATTTGTCATCGTTGAGGTGCTGGGACCGGGACATGGAGTGCAGAGATTCCCGCGAGTGCTGCAGACCTGGGGGAAGCAAGTACGGGCTGTGACCCATGTCGATGGACATGCCGCGCTCTTTTCTAAGAGCGTTGTGTGCATCAGACATGCTCATCTCTGGCGGAGGGAGAGGAGGTTGCTTCTTCCATCTTTTTGACTTGGTTTGCTGGGGTCTGCGTCCCTCACCCAATCCAAAGTCCAGAGAGCCGTGCTTGTCCTCAGCATCCTCCTGCCGCAGCTTCTTGACGTGTCGTCGGTGGAGAAAGATCATGATAACCACGGCAATGGCAAGGGGTACAATTGTGCCCACGACTACTGGAGTAGTGATACTGGAACCACCTGACGATTTCTCGCCGGTTGCCGAGCTGGACGAGGCAGAAGAGGAACTTGAACTATCTCTGACGACCAATGAGGGGATGTGTTCGTGCAGGAGACCGTTCAGACCCGTGTCCGGGACGAGGACAGGATGAGCCAGGGGATCGGGCGCCTGGAACTGCGGCTCATTGTCGTAAGAAACGGGAAGAGGCTCGCTCATTATGGGACTCAGGGTGTCTTGCTGAGCACGATACTGGCGTCTTCAGTACATTGCGTGCTGGTAGAGAAAGGGTGTTCGGATTCGGGCGTGAGGAATGTCAGGGCGATGGAGGCAAACAAAGCCACCCGGTTGTGATTGACGAAAAAAAGAATGACTTGGGTGAGTGAACGCTGAAAGAATGACTCAAATGAGTGGCACGGACAAAAGTCCTTGGAGCTGTGGTAGCGATGAGGAAGGTGAGAGGCGAGCTGCTTCTCGGCCTTTTGGGTGGTGTTCTAGGGAGGTTGCAAAGAGTGGAGTGGCGTCGTTCCTTAAGGAGAGGCTTTTGGGGGAGCGGACGATGATCAAGCCATAGCTTGGCCCACACCCCCGGGGCCTCCAAGATTAAGGGCATGGTTGGCTGGACTTGGGTTAGGCGACGCCATGTTGAGTTTAGGGCCTACTTTTAAGCTGCAAGCCTCCCGCCGACACACCTGCACCTGCAGTAGCCGCGCAATCTTGGACATCAACCGACTGCACGACACCTGCACAGCTGCTTGCACGCTCGAGCTCATTGGCAGCAACAATGAAGAACGACTTGGTACAATGTGTATTGCGAGCATACAGCACCATCAACGATTCGTCCTCGCATACTGCATCATGCCCCTGGTCCGCCGAGGCCTCGCTTCTAGACGAGCACCGGCTACGGAGTTACATGGAGCTCCAATTTCCTGGCCTACCGGGGGCATAGCACCAACGGCGGCTGTCAACCAACCGTTCCTCTCCACCACCTTTGACAAGCGGTGCACATCAAAGCTAGCTGGTCCTTCACCATCCACCTTCGATGCTCTTGGGCTTCTTCGAACAGCTTGGTGAGGACTTGTTCTGCGCTTGAATTCATCTGTCTTATCGGCCACACGTGGCGCTACCGCGGAGGTGCAATGGCGTAAGTGCAACCGCCGCCGTTTGGTCTAAAACAATATCCGCCCATCTAAGGCGCATGGAGCTTGTCTTGTTTCTCATAAGAAAGAAACGGGCTAATCCATACCCAATTTCGGACCGTCTCGCGACCTGTGTACCGGCACACTGCTACAACAGGCGAGTCTCACACCGAGCCCACGGTCTCGATCGCTTAACAATGAGGTCATGGTCCCATCGACAGTGCTTTCCTGTGCTTGTATTTTCTTCACGTGCACGATCGCCGACCGTTTAGATTGTTCGGCGCTTGTATCGCACTTCTAGAGAGACCCACTTCACACCAAAAAACCGAACAGGAACAGCAAGACGAAAGCTAGGTGCATTGTGACTGCAGTAACGAGCTCACAGAAACAATCCTATAGTTCTTCCTCTTGAGATCCGGGAGCACCCTGCGAAGCATGGGAGTCGTCCACGGACGTCCATCGTGGCAAATGATGATACCACCGGGACGGATCAGTGAGCGAATATGCCATGCATTCAACCTCCACAGACCAATCTGCGCATCATGAGGATAGATGCCACCAAGGATAAGGCGATAGCCTAGAGTCGCCACCACCTTCAACATCCGACTACTAAAGAAGCCCGATCCGGGTCTGAAGAGCTTTGAGGGATGTGGTTTCTCAATGGAGTCGTATATGGTACCAATTTGCTGGTCTACTGTTCGAATTTGTGAAAAGAGCGCATCATCGGAGAGTCTCCAGGCTGGCTCGTCATACATGCCGTGGTTCCCAAGCTCGTGGCCGTCCTGTAGAAGTTGTTGTAGCATTCTGTCTCGACCAGGAATATGAGAGCCGATGACAAAGAATGTAGCTGTAGCTCCGTTTGCCTTGAGGACACCAAGTATTTCTTCTGTGAATTCTGATGGTCCGTCATCGATGGTTAAGGCAACGACTTGCTCCTTGACGTCGGCCTGCCACAACACTTGTGGCCAGTGTTTCGCCAATGCCTCAATGACGCCAGCAGGAGGTCTCCAAATGACCAGAGACAAGCAGAGCACAAAGACCACAGCCAGTACAGGTACCATCATGGCGGCGTTAATGCCAGAGGGCATTCACTGGCAGCATCGATTGCAAGCGTCTCAGTGCAAGTTCGTGCAGGGAGGTGAAAGGCAACAAGGCGACTCCGGAGCTAACGTGATTAAATCCGGCGCATCTGCCCCACGAGCACCGAGCAGCTGCAGCCTCGACATCACCGCCGCCTTCATCCAATCCGACTGTAGCTCCCCCGTTTGAGCTGACCAGTTCTGCGCCTCCGTCACAATGTCTTCCTTTTTCTTCTCCACACCGGTGGACATTGACATTGTCCTCGAAGATCTCGACGACCGGCAGGCTGTCGATGTCAAGCTGGACAAGAACAGGCGGGAGAAGGCGCCGCTGTACATGGATGGCGAGTCAGTCAAAGGAGCAGTCACAGTTCGTCCCAAGGATGGCCGACGACTTGAACACACTGGCATAAAAGTACAGTTCATCGGCCTGATTGGTCCGCCCACCCCCGTCCTCTGGGCCCAAAATACATGCTGATTCTCATTTAGAAATGTTCTTCGATCGCGGTAATCACTACGAGTTCCTCTCACTCGGTCAAGAGCTCGCTGCCCCCGGTGAACTACAACACCCCCAAACCTTCCCTTTCAATTTCAAGAACGTCGAGAAGCAATACGAGTCCTACAACGGCATCAATGTCAAGCTACGCTATTTCACACGTGTGACCGTCAGTCGGCGGATGGCGGATGTCATTCGCGAAAAGGACATCTGGGTCTATAGCTACCGGATACCGCCCGAGATCAACAGCAGCATCAAGATGGACGTGGGGATCGAAGACTGCCTGCACATCGAGTTCGAGTACAGCAAGAGCAAGTATCATCTCAAAGATGTCATTGTAGGCAGAATATACTTCCTACTTGTGCGACTCAAGATCAAGCATATGGAGCTGTCTATCATCCGGAGGGAGACGACAGGTGTGGCACCCAACCAGTATAACGAAAGTGAGACGCTGGTGAGGTTTGAAATCATGGATGGGTCACCGTCGAGAGGAGAGACCATCCCCATACGGTTATTCCTAGGCGGATTTGACCTCACACCAACCTTCAGAGAAGTCAACAAGAAGTACTCTGTGCGGTACTACTTGAGCCTGGTATTGATCGATGAAGGTGAGATCGACCCCCTACCTGTTGCTCCTATCTCTCAGACCCAGCTCTCGGCAAGCATGTCCCTGATGACGGCTCCCCAATCCATCACCCTCACGTTGCGCATGGCGCTGTGAAGCAACTCGCTCGCCCTTGAGATATTGTTCCAGCTCACAGCCCAAAATGGATCTGCGCCCACCATTCACGTCTATTCTATTTGCCATAAGCATTCACTAACACCTGCCGCAGACGCCCGCCGCTACTTCAAGCAGTCCGAGATAGTGCTGTTCCGGCAAGCGCCCGAGAACGCGCCACACCTCGCACTCGACAAGCCCAGCATTGGTGGCAAGGACCCGGAGGAGACGCCCTTGGCTCCTGCCTGAACAAATTGTGCCCTAGGGCTTGTGCTGGACAACGTCCCAGGATTCTAGCACTCGTGTAACTCGTTTCAGACAGAGCGCTGCTGGGCTGAGCATACAGATGTCGGCGAGTCAGAAAGTTATGCATAGGATCCGTTTGCAGTGCGAAAGCTGGCAGAAGCAGCTGTGGGCGTCAACTGCTGTGTCCGGTGTCTGCTCAATAAGGCGTTGATGGTGAACCTGCGCCGGAGTATAGTCGGCGCACCTAGGCCGGCGAACTCGGGAAAACGCTCAAAAGGATATAAGCGCATGGCAAATCCTCATGATGATAACGAAAGCGTCCTACATTCTATATCTTCTTCCTTCCTTCAATCACATGCGTTAACATCCCCCCTCGCAATGATTCATGCATTCTCTCTCCATTCCCTTTCCACCATGCTCTCTCCTTTTCCCCCTTCAAACAACGTTCACACCCCAGTCCCCCCCAACAGCCTCCACCCACCTGTCCAAGCACGTCTCAATCTTCCTGCCCACACCGTCCTCGGCATCCATCCACCCCTTCCCGCCCGGCACACGCATTGCACCCCTCCACTCCCGCTGCACGCGTAGCACCAGGGTATACAGAGCCCTCAGGTGCTCCTTGCCATCGCTTACGCCATCGCCGTGCCTATCTGCTGCGTCTCCGCTAGATTTGCCTTTACTTCCGCTCTCGCTTACACGGTCGCTTGCACCACCACCTTCGGCTACTGCAGTCGCATTCCCCTCAGCTCGAGCCTGCGCCAATGCAGCGCGAAAAGCCACATCATCACCACGAAGCTCCACCGCACGCCGCAGCACGGCCTCCATCTCCCGCTGCATCGTGCGCGGCATCGGCGTCCAGCCCCTGCTGGGCTGATCCGCGAGGAACGCTTTCATCGGGCCGGCTATGCGCAGCAGGACGTATAGTGCCGCCTGCGCGGCCACTGCGCTGTTGTAGCCCGCATGGACCTGTTTGTATTGATCCTCGTCCGCCAGCTCATTGTTGGATGTTGGACAGACGAGAGCGAACAGAGCGTCCAGGGCTGAGTACGCGATGCGTTCCCGCCGTACGAAGACGGGATTGTGTACCGTACCTGGCCGCTGGGTCGTGATATGCGATAGCGGCGCGGAAAGCAAGACGGCTGGGTCGGGCAAGTCGCCGTACCAGGGCGGCGCGAGGAGGGAGGCGCGAAACAGTGCGACGATGTATGACCGCTGTGCCTCGGGTGTGGAGGTGGTAAGGAGGGGGAGGGTGGCCTGGTGGAAGCGCTCGAAGTGAGATGTGTCGAAGGACTCGTCTGTTACAAGGGTGTCTTCTGACGGGCAGGACGAGGTCGGAACCGGAGGTAGGCCACCGGGGCCTAATATGGCAGTGACAGCGGCAGTTAGGGTCTGCGACAGGTCGGCAAGGTCCTCGGCAGCGGCTGGTGGCGTGCTGGTTGCTTCTACTAGGTCCACCGCGGCAGTGGTGGCGTTGCGCCAGATGGGGTTGATGGCGTTTGTAGGGAGAGGGGTGTATTTGGTCTTGATGATGGCGGAGAGCATATCAAGTGCGTAGGGTAGTTGTACCATGTTGATGAAGTCAGGCCGAGATTTTATGTCCACAAGGACTTTGCGGAGTAGGTCAATGCAGTGCGAAGCGACGGCGATATACGTTGGCTTTTGGTGTCTTTTCGAACGAGATAATTCTTCCACACGCGGCTTAAGTGAGCCTTTCTCAATGTCGAGCATGTCTTGGATGAGTTCAAGTACGAAGCCGCTGAAATTTTCCGGTTCTTTTTTGAAAAGCACTTTGAGAATTTCGAGTGTGCTGATGATTTCTTGCTGCTCGGGAGTCATCGTTCTCACATCGTTTGTGTACGGCGGATGAGTGGCTGTGAGTAAGGCTTGTCGTACAGCGGTAGTGAGATACTCACTCATGCTCCTCCTATGATGAGAAAATCCTGTGACTGTGGCTGGACTTGTGCCATAGGCTTCCACAAACATGTGGAGATGGGCCGTCAGAGCAGCTTGATTAGGCTCGTCGCTGCCCTCTTTCTGATGTTCTGGAACGGGATGCCAGGTCCATAGCAAAAGAGCCGGCTGCACCAGTGGCACATGGTCGGTCTTCACTGCACGAATAGCTTTCAGAAGCTGCGAGACGCAGTTGTAGACGAGCGTAAACGTTGTTAGCTCTCCGCCTTCCAAGGTGACATTGAATATATCAATCAGCCTCGACCAGGTGTCAGGGAAGGCGTTGTCAGTTGCCATGACCTCCATGTTTTGGACAAACAGGCTGGTCGTACCTTCAAGGAGATGAGCTGCGGTAGTTGAAAGTGCTTCATGGTCGATATCTCGCTGACTCATCGCTGATTGGTAGACTTGAGAGATGGAGAACGGCACAGCTTCAAGCAGAGGACCCCAAGACGAAGGTGCGAGCTGGCCACTTGCACCTTCAATGGACTGTAATAGTGTCCGAAGAGACGCATCTCTGACTTCCCGTCTTGGATCGCTGCACATCTTCGCGAGTTCTGTAAGAGCCGCGCACCACAGTTGCAGGAAACTTGGGCTACCTTCCCCGTTTTCTGCTATTTCCGAAAAGTCATCGTCGGTCACATTGATAGCTCCTAGTCGGCCTTGCAGTAGAGTCGCGGTGTTCCTGAGCAAACCGGTGGCGGTAAGAGCCATATTCAAGTCTTGCTGCTGCGAACCAAAGAGGTACATCAGCGGAATCAAAAGTCCCAATGATTGAAGATTGAGCGATTGAATGAAGTCGTTGCAAATCAATTGTACGCAGCGAAATGCTACGGGCGTAGAAGCAGCGAATTGTGCATGATCGGATTCAGCATCGCCATTGCTCGCAGTAGACACAGATTCGAAGCTGCGGCTTAAGATTCGGAAGACAACTGTCCAGCCACTGCGCAATGTTTCACCAGAGTGGCCAAGAATGTCCTCAAGAGCCTCGAACACCAGTTTGGTAATATCTGATTGTACAAAAGGATTGACTCCCGAGTCGTGAGAATCGGTATGCTCCACCACTACCTGTGTGGCGAGCGCCTCAAGGCTCAGATTCTGGAGGTTGTCTATGTCGTCCGCACTTGTCTCTGCATGATCGAGAAGTTTGATTGTCTCGGTAGCCACGAGGTCCACCGCCTTGGCGGCCTGCAGACGCAGTGAATCATTCAGGTCGGGGCTTTTGGAAGCTTTCAGAAGTCTCGCTATCACCAGATCCCAGGTACAGTGTTTCGCTGCTACGGACGTAAAACGGCAGAGATTGACGCGAGAAAGGTCTTTGAGCTTCGCAAAGACAAAAGAGACTTCCACATCAAGCGCTTTTGTCTTGACCCAGAGCCCGGAAACACTTCTCGAGGCTCTGTGTCCGTGCTTCCGGACGATGGGGGAAGTAATGGATGGGGAGGCAAGAGTGGCAGGGGATGCCGCAGTTTCTTGTATATTGGCGTTACTGGCCTCTGGCGCCTCGCCCATCAAGCGAAACAGTGAGCTTATCACAATGGCAAAGGCTTCATTCGTGTAAGAGCGGGTACTCTCAAACATTCGCTTGGATGCTGTGTTGACCGCGGCCATTTCACCAGTCAGGGTATTTTGGCCTTCTTGAGCCACGCCTGATAGTTGGCCGATCGAGGCAATCGTCATGAGTGCCTCAACTTGTTGCAGGGTTTCTATGACGATGAACCATGATTCTGATCCTAAAGTAGGTCCAAGAGCAATGCCCAAATTGAGGAGCGCTCGCAGGCAGAGCAAGTGTCTCACATTCAAAGTCTGCCTCGGCGTCTGGAGAGACAATTGATACGACTCTGACGTTGGCGATTTGAGAGGCTCTCTGTGGTTCTGTTGGCCAGATGGATCGTGATGTCTCTTAGCGACGGGTGATGAAAGTTGTATGACGGAGCTAGCATTCGGTGGCACAGAACCTTTCGCCAGGCTTGTCAGAAGAGCATCCCTCGGCGTCGAGAGCTCAAGCGTTCCTGAGACTTGGGTCAACTTCTGTATCGACCTGATCAGAATGTGATAGAAGTGTGAGTCGAGGGCGGCATTGAGAAACGTCGAGCACATGGCCAGGATAGCAGGCCAACAGCTCTCCACCATTCGAGCGCATGCCTGAACTTGGGGCAGCTGTGGTAGATCTTTGAAACTGAGCGGATTAGCCAGGCGCTGGTATTTATGCTTTTGAACTCGTCGCCGTTGAGATGATGTTCTGGTCACTGACTGACTGCGCCTTTCTGTACCGTTCTCTGTATCTTCGTCACCGTCGTCTCCATCTTCCTGGTTTCGCGTGAGCACGCTGAGGGGCATGATGAATTTAGAAAGCCCCTCGCACAAAGATGATATACATTCGAGCACCAGGGTACTCAAATACGTCTTCGGAACGGCGTTGAGGCGAGATGCATCCGCTGTATCCAGGAGCGTTGCGTCCATAGTGCTGAACTCCAAACTGATGCCAGTAACTCCGACTTCAGCGGAAGTGACTGATGCCAATCCGCCACCAACGCCCTGTGCCTCGATAGCGGCCATATCATCCTCTCTGGTTTCATTTCTGTGCTGAGCAGGAACTGTAGATTGCCTGCCAAGGCCTATGAGGGCAGGATCCTCTGAGGCGATCCGAACGAAGCTTGCCAGAGCATCAGTGACAATGTTGCCAGCGTCGTCTTTGAGCTCATCAAAAAGGCGCGCGACAAGGCCAAAATTAGAGAATATGCGTGAAAGGAACTCTAAAGCTAACGCGCGCTTCCACAGTGGACCCGCATCTCGATCGGTGAATCCCAGGATGATAGAAAGCACCGGACTCAGGTCTGTGAACAGCAGCGGTGCCAGCTTCTGCAGTAGGGTATAGCTAGTCTCCAGAAGAAGAACCATAAAGGCAAAGTCGTCACGATTCTCCAGCAGTCCCGCAATGGCCGGAAGCAGTTGCGTACGGCAGGCTTCAAGTAAGTAAGGCTTGCTCCTGATATAGGATGCATGTCCATCAATGACTTTCTGGAGGGTTTCAACCAGATAGGCAGGCGAAAGGCTTCCAGTCTTGATGAATGTCGGCTCTGTCTGATTAAGAGCGGAGCACAGATCCTCGAAGAGTCTACCTGCATCATCTGCTGAAGTGGACGCACGAGTCTGAGATTCGTCTTCTGCGCATTCCGTAACCTCGGAACTTGTCTGCTCATGACTCGCTTCCTCAAAAACCGATGCAATCAGTTGCCATAGAGTAGCCCCAGCACTGGAACTGACTAATGGCGTTTTGCTGCTCTGAAGGATTGCACATATCTCCAGCGTTCTAGCCAATAGCTGGCCATGAATTTGGGTACCATACAGCTGCAATAGTGCAGGTAGAGTCTGGAGGATCTTCAGCTGGACGTCGTAACTAGCATTGACGACGTCCTTCAAAGCGTCGAGGACCTCTTCTAGACGCTCTGGAGACACTCCTCGGCTGGCAATAAGTCTCTGTAAGCAAGCAGTGGCGGAGTTTGCAAGCTTGGGGCTTTTGGTCTGGCATGCCAGCAGGAAAGGGTCGATGAAATGCGGTCGTCTATTCAGGTCTGCCGCCACTTGCGTCTCGGACGTTACCGTAATGTTTTTGAGGTCTGCTAGAGACTTCTCCGCCGCGATTTTCACGTCACCGAATTTCTTCTTGGAATCTGCAATCAGGCTCGTAAGCTCTGACTGAAGAAAGGCCGAAGTCATTCCAGCTGTCTGTCTTCATCGTGGACTGCGTGTTGGCATTTCTCTCGTGAGATCGTTATTGTCTGGAGAGATCATCCGGGCTCCGGGGTGCCTGCCCTGGAGACGAGACTCGAGAATGGTCTTTAAATCCTGCCTTTGATGTGCCAGACACAACCAAAGACAGAGGTGTCCTTTGTCGAAGAAAGCATGCCAGGGTGTCGGGAGCCAAGAAGCCCGCTGCACCGCACCCCACTTGTCATGGCCGGGCAAGGCTGGACGAGGCTGACAACTTTGCCCCACTTGTCCCCCAATTCACAAGTTCAACAGTCCCGCGACACAACTCACTGATCTACCGCTACGACACTTCCTTCTCCTAGACTACCCTCTGCAGGAGAAACGCCCGTCACAATGTCTGCCAAAGTGCCTCGTAACTTCCGACTGCTCGAAGAACTAGAGAAAGGCGAGAAGGGCTTGGGCGCAGGTAGGTTGAGCAACAGTCACACGTCAGTGAGAAGCATTGACTGACGATGAGAACAGAGGCATGCTCCTACGGTCTGGCTGACGGCGATGACCTGATGATGACCAACTGGAATGGCACTATCCTGGGACCTCCTCATGTACGCCACCGGCCTACCGACTTGAAGTCAATAGCCAGCTGACCAGTAGCCAGAGCGCACATGAGAACCGGATCTACAGTGTCAACATCCATTGCGGAGATGACTACCCAGACAAGCCACCTGTTCTACAATTCGTCTCCAAGATCAACGTTCCTTGTGTCGATCAGAGAACCGGCAAGGTGAGCTTCTACGAAACAATCATTCAAGCTGGGCTGATATTTACAGGTTGATCCCACAAAACTTCCGTGCCTTGCAAGTTGGCGCCGTGAGTACACTATGGAAACAGTTCTGATTGAGCTGAGACGGTACGCAAGGCACTATTATCCCACCAGGCTCGAACTGACCATTTCAGGTACATGGCACTTCCCCAGAACAAGAAACTACCTCAGCCGCCCGAGGGCACGACCTTCTGATTAGAGCCTTGTCGGAACCAGCATGGCGTTGGGGAGGCATGGATGCTTTTCAATGGCATAAGCGACTATGATGCATTGGGGGCGCAAGAACAATTGGGACCGTCTTCACGTGAGGCTATCATCTTATATTGTCCGATAAAAGGCAACGAAACAATGTTTCTGGAAACAAAAAACACTCCAAAAGCCGCAGGACAATCTCATGATCACAACCAGCTCTATGGAAAAGTTAGCGGACTCGAATTAGGTCCACCAGGTCTACTTTCACTCGCTTGCCCACATTTTCCCCTAACAAGCATCACAGTCTCTTGGGGCCATGACCGCATTCTAGAGAAGGGCTTGCATTTCACACCATCAAGTGAACTCGGATTGATACCAGCTGGCCAGTCTGGACTAGATGCTTGTTACTAGGTACCTTGCTGCTGCCTCGATCTCGTAGCACGTGACTTATCGAAAGTACCTCCTAACTCCGCTTTTTCAACCCCAACGACCAGCTTGACCCAAACTCCAATTCACACTTGTACGGCATCAGCTAAACCCACGAGCAATGAGCGGATGCGTCACAAGTTCGTTCCTCATCAGTCCAGTGCTCACCGCATAGCATGTACGCAACTCTTCTGCGCAATCCAGTCAAAATCTAACCCGAACAGGTATCTCCCTCTTCCGCTCCCTGCTCCGCCAATGCGATGAACTTGCGCACACAACGGCCTCTCATGGCCAACCCCGTTCCAGTCCCTTCCCGTCCGCCATCCTGAAAGACATAATCCGCTTTCGGTTCCGTCGTGACGGTGATCCAGCACGCCTGCTGCCTCGGACCGCGATCGCCAACGCTCTTCAAACGGGCCATGAACACCTTGCCCTTCTACGCAATGCCACAATCGGTGATCCCCCGGCGCTCAGTCGCTTAATCACTCTGCTGAAGGCGACATCCGACGATCTCGCCATCCGCGCATCCTGGGCTACAGAGAACGGCGCCCGCGCCCGTCCTATGTCCCGAACTCTGCGATACCGCCTTCGGCACGAACACGAGGTTCGCTCCAAGACCCTGCAGACCCCCCCAGTGGATGCACCACTGGCGGCACACCCGCTGCCTGCTTCGGAGTTGTCACGACAGCGTCGCGTGCCGCATCTGGTCGTCACGTCTGTCGGCAACATCCCACTGCTGCGGTACAAGACAGGGCGGGCACCGCCATGGATGCGGCGCATCGTACGGCAGAAGCAGATGTGGATGACCCGGCAGTTCGAAAAGGTGCAGGAGATGGAGTACGTGCGGGGCCTAGGCTACTGGGAAGACGAGTGGGAGAAGATGGTGTGGACCGAGGCTCGCAGACAGGGTTGCGTGTCCAAGACCGGTCAGCTGCTGAAGGTGCAGCGCCACACGGACGACATGCCGACCTGGAGCTGGAACGAGGCGTTCGGCGATAGCTACTCGTTCCAAGCCGCCGCAGCGAAAGCTCACCTGTGGAACCGGTTCCATGACAAGATCAGACAGCACGCCGTCAAAGGCTGGGAGCTCTGGCAGATCGTTAAGCGCGAGAAGTGGCTTGCGGACCGCGAGGGTCTGCCACAGCGTGTCGCGAGCGCCGTGCGCGCCGGCCAGTGGCTGCAGGAGCAACTGAGGGCGTGGGCGCACGAGCACGGCCGCTCGTTTCCAGAAGGCCGCTCCGCGAAGGAGAGCAAGGCCCTGGCGCGGGATGCTGCCGATTGCGGGCCGCTGCATGTCCCGGTTGAGTGGAGCGAGGTCGTCGTCGAGAGGGAGCGGCCGGCGTATCTGCGGCAGATGGAGCAGGCGGCGCGGGAGAAGCAGCAGGTCAGGAGGCCGGTTAGGCACTCTCTTACTAATCCGGGGACCAAAGCCGGAGGGTCTAGAGTGCCAGGTGAGGCACGGAGGAGTCTGCCGGATGGGCACCCGAGAGCAGCAGGTCAGAGAGACAAGGCGTTGTAAGTACTGGGTCTCGAAGCGTGGATGTAAGCGCGACATGGCCCGCGAATAATCTGTACAACATTTACGAATCATCACGATAGCGTAAAATGAGAAGAAAGCCACTCACTGCCCGACTTGATCCATTCTTTTCTCTCTCTATATCTGATCTCTGCTCTTTGATCTAAACATCACATCTCAAAGCTATTGCCCAGGGCTGCCTGCTCTCTCGCCTCCGCCCACCATCTTGCAATTGCCTCGTCTCCACGCAACGCCAATTCCATCCAGTCCCGCCCCCCCAAAACTCCTCTAGGGCCGCAAGCGCTGAGGATCTCTCGGGAAGGGCGTCGCCTGCCTGACGTTATCGAGGCCCAGGAAGAACTGCACGATGCGATTCAACCCCAGGCCACCACCGGCGTGCGGCCGACACCCCTGGCGGAACGCGTCGATGTAGTCCTTGAAGCCCTCGGCGTTGGGGTCGACGCCCTTGGCGCGCATGCTCTGCTCCAGCTCGGAGGCCTCGTTGATGCGCTGGGCGCCGGACATGATTTCCTCGCCGCGCATGAAGAAGTCGTAGGAATTCGAGAGGTTTGGGTCCGTGGGGTGGGCTTTCGTGTAGAAGGGTCGGACGGCCATGGGGAACTCGTCGAGGACGTAGAAGTCGGTGTCGTATTTCTCGCGGATGATCTTGCCGAGCTGCTTCTCCATGGCGGTGCTGAGGTCGGTCTCAAAGCGGTCTTGTTCCGAGGTGTCGACGCCGGCTTCCTTGAGGAGAGCGATGCCGTCGGCGTACTTCAGGCGCAGAGCTTTGTTGTCTTTGATGCGGAAGTCGCCGGCGCGCGGGTAGATGCGTTGGATGGTGGCGATTTCGCGCGCGTATTCTTTTTGGAGCGTGGTGAGGATGTGCACGATTAGGTTCTCGCCGAAGGAGAGGACTTCGTGGTAGTGGTTGTTGAAGACCATTTCGAAGTCGAGGCCGGTGAACTGGGGTAATCAGTATTGTGGACGGGGCCATGGTTAGAGAGACTTACCTCAGTAAGATGGCGGTGGGTGTTGCTGTTCTCAGCACGGAAAACGGGACCAATTTCGAAAACGGATTCACAGTCGGCTGCGATGAGCATTTGCTTGTAGAACTGCGGCGATTGGGCCAGATAGGCGGTCTTGCCAAAGTAGTTGGTCACTGCGAAGACTCCAGCACCGCCCTCAGTGGCTGCACCCACGAGCTTAGGAGTGTTGAACTTGCGAGAGCCATGCTTGAACATATACTCCGTGAAGAGCACTTCGACAGCACTGGAAATGGTGAAGATAGCCTGGTTGATGTCGGCTTGCAGATCAATGACACGGTTATCCAGGCGGATATGCATAGGAACAGGCGGGCTTTTGTCCTCTGGGTCGACGATACCTGACTCCGGGATAGGCTTTTCAGCATCCCGAACAGCCATGGGCAGAAAGTCCACCGCACGAGACACTTCATAGACTCTCGTGACAGCGACCTCAAGACCAGAGATAGTAGCTGAAGCGATGGGAGCATCGACCTTCTTGACCAGACCAGTGACACGGAAGATTGAGTTAACCGGCGTCTGGAGGGCCCATTTGACCATTTGCTTGGATACATCGTCTCCAGCAGCTGCAAGCACAGCCTGGATAGTATAGCCCTGTTCGCGGAGGGTCAAGAATCCCAGCTTCGCGCTCTGTGATCTTGTGTTCTCTACCCGCGCGAAGAAAGTGACTGTCTTGTTGGCGTACTCATCGGTGAGGTCCTTTAGCTTGACAGCATCGGCCTCTTTAGCCTTGGAAATGTTGCCGTAGTTGTCGACCGCTTTGTCTTCATCTGCAGCGGCTTGCTGGGCAGCTCGCTGTGCCGCTTCCTTCTCTTTAGCAGCAGCCTTCTTTGCAGCCTTCTCAGCCTCTTTGGCCGCCTTTTTTAGAGCACTCTTGGTGGGCGCACCCTCGGCGTCAACATTGGGGTTGTCTTTCGCATGGACAGGGAGCGCGGCTCCGGGTTTCTCTTCGGACGACATTGCGAGATGGAGTCAACGGAGCAGGCTTGCTGAGGTTGCTGTAATGATTTCCGGGAATACGAAAGAGTTCGTGAGATCTGACTTGATCTGAGTCACTAACACAAGGCAGCCTGCACACGATCGATGGCCAAACATGCCACCGTCCCACCTTTTTTTCGACTGCGGGGCAAAATCTTGGGCGTCAAATTTAAGCATAAATTCACTGCCTGATGCGGGTTGCCTTTCTGCCGCCTCACGACATGTCGTAACCTGTAGCCGGACTCTAGAGACGTTGTTTTCCCCTTGCCAAGTGTCTATCTACTACTTTCTTTGCTTTCATAACATCATGTTCCTCGTCAGTCATTACCTGGATTCTCAATCAACAGCATAGTGTGCCTCCATCACCGCCCTTCTGGTCAAGTCCTGCTTGACCCAGCCTTCAACCCGCTCGGCAGTATCTCCAACCAACTTTGAATACGCCTCACTCATGAAGAATAGACTCGTGTGTGCCACGACCTCGTCCATCCCTTCCATGTACACTCTTACCCAGGTCGGATCTCGCCTGCCGTTGATCTTGGACGGGAGACTACAAAATTTGCGATCCTTCTGGTAATTTGCAGACGGGTTTGGCGCTTTCGCTTCTTCTTGAAGCTGCTTGTCGTAGGCTTCCGGATTGATTGTGTTTGAACGCTTGATGCGCTCTTTTTCTTCCTTTTGTTGTTGTTTCAGCGCAGCCTTCTCTCGTTTCTGAATGAGCTTCTGCCGGTCGCGAATTGTTTTCTCGCGATCCTTCACAGCACGCTCATATGCTTTCACGGCCCGATCGTGCTCCTTCTGGCGAAGCTTCAGCGTGTCTGGATCGTGGCAGGTGCTGGGATCAAAGGCTATCGGAGATATCGGCTCGGGTGGTAAGGATGGCAGATTCACTTCATCGGTTCCATCTTCGAGTTTTCCTGTGTCGATCTTACGTGGTGTCGATATGTTCGTGGAAGTCCTTGTCAATGCATCGGATTCTGTTTCACGCGATTTCTCCCCGCAACCAATAGACCCATCACCGTCACTATTATATTGTTGCGGGTCCACGTGCGTGAGTTGGTCAGTGCCCATGTCTTCCGCTATTTCGTCGAGCTCTTTATGCACTACCTCTCCATCACGGTGTTCCTCGAGAGATATCCTGGGGCTAGGGCTTCCGCTTCGGTTCGGTGTAAGGGAGCTGGAGTCTTCTGGGAGTTGCAGTGTAGAGTTGTTGTGGCTTGGTACCGGCGACGATTTCTTGCTGCCTTCCTTTTGCTCCTTGATCCGGCCAGTGCTGGCAGAGTAGTAGTTCACGAACCGTACCCTTGGCCGTTTGCCCCTAAGGTCGAATTCGTCAATGTCTTCGAGTGCCCGGACTGCATCGTACCGCCTGCGCAGCCCAGGGTAATCCATGAGGCAGCCACCGAATTCGAGATGTGAGGTCACATATTCCTTCGAGGCTTTGGTCAGCTCGCCCCAGTGTTTGTTGAAGAAGTACCAGCCGCGCTCCAATTTGCCCTGACGGTTCGCAAGGCGAATATCATTGAAGAAGGTGGGGTTGTAGTTCGGATCGGAAGGACTCAGTGAGAGATCTGAGAGTCCAGAAGTGGAGGTCTGAGTGGATAACGGCGACATGTCTGCGCTGGAGTCTTCTTGTTTCGGTAGATCTGGCGCCGGTCGGAACAGACTGGCGATTCCTGTTCCAACAACGCCAGGATGCATGCCCAGAAACGGGGTGTCAAATGCGACCTGACCCAAAATGCGGTTTTGGAATTTGGTTGGATTATCTTTGGCAGGTAGTAGAACGACTTCGGCAGCCAAGATGCCTCCTAGACTGTGCCCGAGCAGAATAACGTCCGTCGTCGGCGACTCGTGGGGAATTAGCCACTTGCTAAAGTCATCTCGGGCGAAGGTTATATTCTTCCTGGACCGGTAGCGTGGATAGATCTTTGAGTGAACAACGTGGGTTTCTGCAAGGGTCACTGCAAGAATGTTGTGGACATGGGCCGGGAAACTTCTGAAGCTCGTCTCGTCCCCCAAGAAGCCGTGGATATAAACCAGAAGCAGAGTCCTCTGTGCGTCGGTGGCGGACTCGGCGGGCCGCAGAGACTGCTGTGAAGATGCTCGGGGGTCGTCGAAGCCACCTCCATAGGGCGAATTGTTTGTCGGGACTGGACTGAGATGGCGATCGTACGACGGCGGATGCAGCTCCGACTCAGAGCTCGCAACGCTCACGGTTGAGGGGTTGCGTGGTGGCAGCGGTGGTGGTTTGCCCATGGCGGCGATGAGAGTAGTGGACCGGACTTGCTCATGGTATCTCGACGGCAGCGGAGATCTTAAGAGATCAACAAGTCCCCTGATCACGCGTGTTCGCGTTCCAAGAACTAATGCCTGAGCATCTGGTCGTCTGAAACCAGTTGCCTGGAAGTTTGCTTTGACGTCACCCTGCAGGCGCCCACTTCTTCCTCGGCGCGTGAGTCGTTCGCAGACACTGCAATCGACCACTGCACTGTCGCTATAGTAAGAGTCTCGTCCTGTTTCGCGAATCTACGGGACGCGTGCCTTCAGATCATTGGTATCGTCTCGCATCCGTGTCCCGGCATGGCACCCACCGTGGAAATTTCCATCCCAAATGCTTCTACGCGTAGCGAGCCCAAACTACATACAATCTACAACATCACGCTTCGCCTGCCACTTCGATCCTACAATGTCCAGAAGCGCTACTCCGACTTCGTCGACCTGCATTCCTCCCTCGCCTCGGTCACCGGCCAGTCTCCGCCAGCCACCCTGCCTGCCAAATCCTGGTTCTCGAGAACCGTAAACAATCCGGAGCTCACCGAACAGCGGCGGCAAGGTCTAGAAACATATTTACAGACGATCAACACCACACCTGACACGCGCTGGCGCAACACCTCTGTCTGGCGTGCTTTTCTCAACCTCCCTTCATCCTTCGCCTCGGCCAACAGCTCCAAGGCCGACACCCTACACTCATTCGTCGCCGGACCTACGTCAGGTAATGCCCCCATAACCGACCCCGTCCTGTGGCTCGACTGCCATCGCGACCTCAAAACGCATCTGCACGACGCACGTCTCCACCTCACAACTCGAGATCAAGCGTCCACGCCACAGAAACAGCATGAAGCGGGCGCGGCGGCTAAATCCAGTCTTGTCAAAGCAGGCAGCATGATAGGGGTCTTGGATGAAGGGTTGACAGGGATCCAGAAAAGCAGTCAGAAACTAGGCGAGGGGGAACTACGGCGGCGGAAAGACCTGATGGCCTCGGCCAGGAAAGATAAGGACAGCCTGGAGAGCCTGCTCAGCGCCATGACGCAGAAGTCCAAACTCGACTCGGCCGTAGCCGCCATCCCGGACAAGGCAAACCTGCTGTCCAGCACCGCCGCCAGCACCACCGGCTCGTCCGGCGGGGGCAACAAGCCGAAGTCCGGCGGCCGCGTCCTGGGCAAGGAGACGGCCGAGACCCGCGAACTGGACAACCAGGGCGTGCTGCAGCTGCAGAAGCAGCGGATGGCCGAGCAGGATCTGGACGTGGAGGAGCTGAGGAAGATCGTGCAGCGCCAGAGGGAGCTGGGCACGCAGATTCACGACGAGTTGGAGGTGCAGAACGACCTGCTGCGCATGGTGGACGAGGATGTCGATCGCGTCAAGGGCAAGATTGATGTTGCGAAGAAGAGGGTCGGCAAGATCAGCTAGTGAGGGTTCTGGCTGCGGGGCCGGGCCTGCTGTGCGGCATCAGGTATGGAATCGAAATTCCTAAGGGGCGTCGCGGTCAAAGGAGAATGTCAACTGCAATTCATGGGCAAGCGAGGCGTTTCGTGACAGGGTGGATCAATCTCATCGGTAGACTTCAAGCAATATGCGAGTGAGCAAGTCTTGTTGGGTCGTCAAACATGGGTATCATTTCAGCCAGCACAATCTGCGTCTGCCTATCTTCACACATCTTCTTCGCAATGTTTCTCTCACAAGCCCACCTCAATTTTCAGTCATCGAGCCGCCAGAACTTTTGCGCCTCTTCTTTGCTCGCCCCACCGGGATACACCTCCCCAGATTTGGCTTCCGTCTCCTCAATCAAACCAAGCCGGGCCATGCGCACGCGATACCACCACTCCCGCCGATCGCCTCCTAGTCTCCCTTCTTTCAATTTTTTCTTGATGCCATCCATCAGCTCAGTCCAGATCTCCGGGAACTCAAGCTCTTTCATCTCCTCCCGCACGACGGAAAGCATCTCGACCGCCTGTGCGTAGTTCTGGTCTCCAAAGCTGTCCGTGACGAGCTTCTCCACAATGGACTGCATTTGTTTGACCGCATTGCGGATTTTGCCTTCATCATCGGGGTTCTCGAATTGTTGTTTGAACTCGGGAATAGCGTTGTCTGCAGAGATGGTCCTTGGACGATTCTCTTTCTTGAAAAGAGCGCCGATGTCTAGGCCGGAAAGAGGCTTCTCCGCTTCCCGATATCGTTTGCGGCCTTTGACCTTGGGCGGTACCTTTTTGACATCGGCGGCTTTGATGAGTCGGTCAAGCGCAGGCTTGGCCGCCTCCTGTAGATGAGTTGGCTGATGAGAGTAATTGGAGAAGAGCTCAGGCTTAGGTGGGAGTGCCTGGTCGGGGTGTATGGCGCGATACTTGATGGCACCTTCGATGGTGTGAAGCACCGGCGAAAAAGTGTCGTCCATGGGAAGCAATTCCTCCTCGCCTTCAATCAGAGACATTGAGTCCACAAAGTCTGACATGGACTGTAAGAGGTCGTCATTGGGTAGATTGCGGTGTTCTTTGAGTGCTTTGCCGGAAACGGTGAGCACCTTGTCCAATGGCGGAAACCTGTATGTGCGGATGTCTTCTGCGAATGGCAGTGTGTTCTCGATCAAGCACTCGTAATCTGGCTCAACAAGTGGTGACAAAAGTGTGATGGCAGGCTCGGCCATGTCTTTCTTGACGAAGCGAGCAACAGCTACGGAGCCAAGCTCGTACAGCGCATGTGTAAAGGATGACAGTGCGAAGGCCGCTTTGTCGTTTCCTTTCTGCGGTACAAGCATAGTAGTGTTGTCGATGATCATGTAGCGCTCAATGTTCTCTACCGGTATGAAACCTAGGATGTCATATGAGGAGTAGGTTTCCAGCTTCGTGATATTCTCGTCGGCTTGCGATATGTAGACCGCCGTCCTGCCGTACTCGTAGCCTTTGGCCAAGTCGTCGCGCTCCACAGGCTGTCTTCCATCGACCTCATTCTCGTTCTTGACAGTGTATTGAAAATGTTGTTCAACGTTGGCAAGATCGCTGGCCGATGTATCCTGCTTGATGGCAAAGGAGCTCGCGGTAGGTGGCTTCCGGACCGATACCTTAAAGTATCGCTCGACTTCGATTGCCAGCGCTGTGTCGTAGTTTTCTGGGTCTCCCAATCGTAGCACACCTCGATACGTGGGAGTCGGTCGGGTGACCTTGACTTCGGGTCGCGACAAGCCCTCAGCGGCCTCTTGCATGGTGCCGAACATACCACCAGAGCCTTCAGCAAGCTCTCTGAGAGCCTCTTCGTTCTTGGCCTTCTCAGCCGGTTTGTCTTCCTCCTTGAATCCATATTCTGGGTCATCAAAGTCGATTCCGAGAACTATTAGCTCGATGCCTTCTTCCTTGATCTGATCGGCGACAGCCTGCAATTGATCATCGTCGAGCAGGCCTACACCGTTCGTACAGACTGTCAGACGTTTCTTGTATTTCAGGTGCTTGCAATGCTTCAAGATCAGATCGACACCAATGATAATGCCCGAGAGCAGGTCTCGTTGGCTCTCGGGGGTGTTGCTCGGCTTAAGGAGCTTGGGTAGGCGCTGTAGCTCCGGAAGCAGGATCTGAGCTATCGGCTGGATTACAGCAATATTGGAGTAGCCATCCTCGTTCTGCATATTATTCTCGGTACGATCAGAGCCCATTGCAACAATTCCGCATTGTAATGTCTTGCGACCAGTTTGCACAATGCCAGAAACTTTGTCCCAGACATACTGTAGAGTGAAATCGAGGTCGCTTTGTTCCCGACCTTGGTGACACTTAGCCATGGACCGGCACACATCGATCACAAAGACATTGGCTTCTTTGTCGGCCATTGTGTCTCTAGCACTTGGAAGCGGACTTGAGGTGGGGTAGCGAGGAAGTGGTCAGTAAACCGATGCCGACCAGGACCATGCTCTCGCGGTGGTTGGAACGTGTCATAGAGCGCTACTCGTGCAATTGTAAGCATAGCAGATGTAACGACTACCACAGGCCGCTGTCATGGGAAATCGTAGAAGTGCAGCGAAAGGCGCATCCGTATTTCCCGCCAGAGCCAGGCACCGGCAGGCGCGACGAGGCTGAGCGCGTAGTCACGTGGCTTGGTGTTAATGCCTTCAATATCGACCAACATCTGGTAGGTAGGCTTCTCGCCTCCTCGCCTCCTTCTTTACTCGTCTTGCCTCGCCTTACCGTGCCTTGCCTGGGACCGTCACTACCAAGTGGTGGGCATAGTCGCCATGGGAAGTGACGCTCAGGGCTGCCTATCGTCCATCGAGTGGCTGCCTCTCATAGACGATATATGCATCAACACGCGTTCTATCTAACTTGTCGATAGTGCGTTGGAACTGTCTGGCCGGCAAGATGTCTCCAGTGATTCACCCGAGGCAAGTCTTGGTGCAAGGTCTTGCGAGACCGTTTCCAGCCTGACTGCCTTCAGCGCTGAGACAACATCACTTTTGACAATGGCTGCGATGTCTCGCACATAACCCCAGGACACGTATTCAACAAAACCATGAGTCCGTCACCAAGCCAAACGGTAGGTCCTATCACGGCCGGGCAGCTGCGGAACCCCTAGCTCTATGTCATGCCTCAAGCCAAAAGCTGTTTACAAACCTCCCCGTTGAAACCCAAGAACGACTTTCGTCCACAGCCCACCTAGCACAACGCATAACCCCCCATCACCACTACAACACCCACACCAAATCTTCAGCACCCTTCATTCCGAACCCACCACCAACAGCCAAAATGTGCCATACTACCGTCCAAAACGCCAACTGCAACCACCCCGTCGCCCGCTCCACCCAGCCCTGCACCAGCGTGCAGCAGCACAAGCCGTGCACCGGCCCGACCACCAGCGCCATCAACGTCCCCGGCCTATGTGAGCAGTGTGGCGGCGCCGGTGCGACTCACATTCAGCCGGGGGGCCGGCGCCCCGCGTTCTCCGGCCCGTCCGGCGATAATGCGAAGCTGGCCGCTGGGGATCGGCTGGGGTGGAAGTAGAAGTCAGACTGAGACGCGCAAACAGAGGCAGAGTCAGGAAGCGGAAACAGAAGACGGGGAAACAGTAGCGAGAGAGCAATTGCGAGTTGGAGGATAACTCCTGCTGTGGGAGAGATTGAGCATGTCGAGACTGTGGTCGCAAGCATGGAGAAGAAACGGGGTGGAAGATGCTGATGGGCTTGTGGGTGGAATTCGTGCGAACGGGCGAGATTGTCCGGATCAGGTAACGATTCGGGAACGCATTGTACGATGACATAGATAGAGGGGAAGCAGGCTGTTGACGAGACTTGGACGGCGACTCCATGGCAAAAGCTCCAAGTACTGCTCAGAGGGGTGCATGCTCAGGATGCGTACGATGACTACTCCAATGAATGATATCTGTGAAATGTACTCAACGACCGAGGGTTTACCACAGCAGTCTTCCTCTGCTTCTAATGCAGCATGTAAGCGGCAGGCGTGGCATAGCCGTTGAGGACTCCAGGATGCTAAGACAAGCATTTCGGAAGGTCAGACACAAGCATCAATAAGCTCATATCATCTTGAAGTTAAGAATACGCTATCAGCGCCGCAAATCCAGCTTTGCGTGATGCCCTCGCTACAGCCTCTCATCCTATCCGCGCCCCTCCTCCTCCAGCAATCGATGCAAGCTCTCTGTCCCGGCGCCCTACGCCTTCCACCGCAGCTTCATCGACGTGGGATACGGCACATATTGCGACTCCTCCGCATTGAGATACATGACGGTGCCAAAGTCGTCCTTGATCTTCTTGATCTGCCCCTGCGGGCCCGGGGCGCGGTTGATGTCTGGATGCTGTGCCAAGATCTTGGTGATGACGGTGTTGCAGATGTAGGTGACTTTGTACGCCAGGTCAACCTCGGGCCCGTACGCCTTCATCGAGTACGCAGACTCCTCGCGGTCCAGACGGAACGAGTCTGCGCCCTTCAAGCCCTCGCCTTGTGCCTTGGCAACATCAACAACGACAACTTGGCCGGGTTGGACCGTGGTGGTAGACAGGCTTGTCCAACCTTCCTTCACTTGCACTTCGGTAGTAGCCTTCTTGGCAAGAGTGATGTTGGAGCTGAGCCGAGTAGCTTCCTGCGCGTATCTGCTCAGGGTGCTGGAGTCCGACGCCTTCGCAGCAGCTTCGACTTTGCGTCTTTCTTCCTTTGCATCAAGGAAGAACTCGCAGGTCTGGGCCGAGAGGCGAGATAGGGTATTGAGCATGAGCGCAGACGTTGGGATGACGTCCTGCCAGGCAGCTGCCTTGACATCGTCGCCGGCTTTGGCCAGGTCGGCGAACGCCTGCTTTGCGAAGGACGCCTGGTTGGAGTCAGATCCTCGTCCCAGGTGAGATGAAATGGCATCGGCCAACCAATGGGTTCCGTCGCGGGTGGAAGCATTGAGATTGCTGGGCTTGGGACGGCCGAACGCATGGTCGAAGACTTCACCAAGCAACGAGAGAAGTCCTTGGTGACCATGGTGCTCCTTGGCCTTCTCCGTCAAAGGGATGCCTAGCACAGTCTCGATGTAGCCAACGTGAGCCGGGTTCAATACATCTTTCACAATATCAATCTGCTGTGCACCACCAAGCTCGTACTGCTTTTCCTTCCACAGGCGCTCGATGCTCTCTGTGTACCATTTGGTGGTATCTGGCTGCCACTTGTCGTTCTTCAAGACAACTTCAGCAAGCGGAAGTTGTGCTTTTGCAGGCGTAGATGGCGCGCCAAAGCGAGTTGATCGCTTGGCCCACAGAGAGTCGAACTTGGCCGAATCTGACAGAGCTGCCGCGCCAATGGCGCCTGAGGGTTGGGAGATGGCGGCAGATTTCGCGATTGGCCGCTCCCAGCTGTACAGTCCGTCCCGTCCCAGTTCCCTAAGAATAGGTTTATTCTTGTCGGGAATGACCATCGGGTAGTGGGCATATACTGAATTCTTGGAGAAGTGGTTCGGAAAGGCATTGAGGATGAGCTTGTAGATGACGCAGCCATGATTGATGTCCAAGTCGTAGTTGGCGGCATTGTAACCCCAGTTCGTGAGGTTTTGAGGAGTCATGTCAATAGTGTGGAATCGATCCGACCGGACGAGGGCGACCGCATCAGAAAGTACAGCGCGGGATGTAGTGTAGCTGGCACACAGGCCAGAGCCCGGTTTCATAGGCTTCTTGGCAGCTTCTACCACGATACCAGGGTAGATCTCGACATTGTCTGGGTGGCCGTACAGTCGCTCGAGCTGCTTGGCTATCTGTGGATCAGGATTGATGTCTTTGAAGGTTTTGTGGGGCTTCAACTTGAAGTACTCGCGGAACTCGTTGAGACTGGCCAGATTCCAGGATCGAGACTGCATCATGCCGAGTATCTCGACCGAGCGAAGGATGTGAGGGACGTGGGCCGCTCCGAAGGACCCTGCAACATCGTCAACGCTCGCGGCCCAGATCTCAGCAAGGTCATCGTCCGAGAAACTGCCGTCGGATTGACGCTTCAGGCCTTCGAATGTGCGTGCCGCAGGGTCTGCTGGGATTTTGTCGCCCCATACCTTCAGGGCTTCCACGAAATCGCGACCCTCAGGTACCTTCCCCTGACCCATAGCTTTAAGGACGTCCTCAGTCCATTTAGCATCACGTTCCGATACACATGAATGCCAGCGGTAGACCAAGTTGAACTCGGCGGAACACTGGTTTCCCATTGCTTCTGGGATTTTCTTTCCGAAAATCGCTTTTCCCTCATCGGATCTAGGGTCAAGATTCCACAGTGTATCAACCTGGTTGAGTCCAAGGATGGTGCGAACGTAGTCTTTCAGGATGATGTTGGCGTAGAGGCCCGTAGTCACTAGGCGGCCAGTTTGGAATAGAGCCTCATCGTATAGCTCTTCAGGAGAAGGCATTGCTCCATCCTTTTTGGGAGTTCCTTTGAAGCCACTTCGACCGCTGCGGATATGAGAGAAACGACCACCCTCATCAATCTTGGCGATATTCGCAACGACGTGATTGTGAAACCGATTGAACATGATCAAGAAGCACGCAACGCCAGGAGGAAAACCAAGGATGCGCTTGTCTGAGAAGCAGTCCGGCTTGATCTTTCCGTCCTTCAAGGTTCTGACAGATCGCTGCTGTTCTTCATTGGACCCGTAGAGTGGGGCCAAGTCGAGGTAACTAGACGTCTCCGAGATGGCAAAGTCATCGTGGCTGGTGTGGAAGCAGTCGTGAATGATGATCGAAGCTAGATAGAACAGAACGCTTGAGATGCCGTTGGGATGAGGTTTGTAATCCTTTCGGGCGAGGACTGAGTCAAAGACTACGCCAGGATCTGGTAGCGACGTAGGGCGCATCCGAGTAGACTGAACTGTCTTGGCGTATGGTTGACCTGCCTTGCCAACATGGGGAAACATCATGTTATTGTTCGAGCCATCTGGTTTGCGGAAGGCAAAGTCGAACCCTAGGGCACGCTTGGGGGGATGCTCGAGATCGTTCCACAGTTGAGTCAGGAGGCTGTTCGTAAGGCTGTCACTGACTCGGTCGTGTAGGGGGAGCTCGGCGGTGAGTTGGATTATGCGTTCCATAAGATAGGTCTTGTCGTCGATGGGGCCGCCCTCGAGGCCATGGAGGGCGACATCAGCAAGGGTATCGATGTTGCGAGCATTGACGGCTTTGAGAGCATCAAGAACCTGGCTCTCTGATTTCTTGTTCGTACCGCTGGGGATAGTAGCGGTATTAGGCGAGGCAACGCCATTGGCGGAAGGTTTCTGGTCTGCCATGGTGTCAGTCGAGGCGTTCGTGCGCGACTGAGAAGGCATTGACCAGGCTTCGAAGGGTGCTTTTGTATGATCGGGTGGGCAGCTGTACCTTGATCACGTCTCTCGCCTTTTCCGAATTTCTTGACGGCACCTTTCAGCTCATCAGCCCAGCCAGCCATGTCTGCAATGAGTATCAATAGCTGACAACGCACTCAATGTGATACGAGAGGAGAATAGAGTGCGGCATGTGCGTGGTAGTCCAGTGGTAGGGAGGGGGGCTAAGTCGAGTTGAGATAAAGAAATGGTCTAGGCCTTCTAATGCCGTTCCTCATGCTTTCTCGACGGACCAAACAGGAAGGCACGTCAAACATGCGTCAAGCTGTTCAAGATAGGGCGATGTGGCGTTGAAATGCCATGCGTCGCTTGGACGGGGTACGAACTAGGCGGCGCCCAGATCGTCACTTTTGGGAAGCTACGAGATGATGGCTAGCTGAAACCTGCATGCCCCTCACATAAACAACTTACCAGCATCGCCGAAATTCAGCCTGGGCACTCACGATGAAGGCTCGTCGCTTCCAGACTCGAATTCGGCTTCAAAGAGCACCGTGCTCGACGTGGTTGATGGAAACGTGAAAGGCGAAGCTAATGGAGACCAGGCACGTGCCGAACCCTGGGGGCGCCGTGGTAGGGGGTGTAGTGAGCCGGGAAGCTGTAGCCAGGCACCCGCCCGGCACTCGCGGAATTGACCTGTGATGTAAAATTACTCTAATATCAACACCTGCCGAGAATGGTACTAACTGCGAAAGACCCCTAGCGACTTCGCCTTTGTTGCCTGGAGATGCTAAACGTCCTCCACGTCAACCAAGTACACTGTCACGCGGCAATCGTAAATTCCTATCCCAAGGCTTTTGTGTATGACTATTTCGACACTTTCGTCCGCGGCGCCTTTAGCTTGCATGTTCTGGCTACGAGGCTGGACAGACTCCGCTATATTCCGTTTTCAGCCTGCTGATGCCTGTTTTCTCCGCCGCCTTAGATCACGTATTTGCCCATTGCCAGAGCTGTTCGGAGTTGACAATCAACACGGAACCCGGTCACACGAAGATTTACCTTCGGAACCATCAGTCTACTCTGGGTTCTTCCTCGCCGCCTACCGCCGCTTATCCGTGTTCCGACTGCACGACCGTTGCTATGGAAAACGAATGCACCAATACTTCCGCTGCTTTTTCTCTGCTCTCTTCTCTACCTCCCTGTAACCATTGCTAAACCTTTTCAAATCAGTCTCAGCTGTTGCAAGAGGAGAGTAAGGATCAAGTAATGCTAGAATAAGACTCTTATGAGCATTGAGAAACGAACGAACCAGTAAAAGAGGGGGATTTGATAGATATTTTGCTAGTATGCAGCCTATTATAGTATTGTCCTATTTGCTGCATATCACCCTGGCTTTGTCCAGCCGACCGCTTTCCCCATCTTCAATCCTGGTATCACCGCCGACAATTGGTCTTGGTGGAGAGGAGTGGTCGCCTCTTTGATAAGTACGCTTAAGCCAACATCCATGTGGAAGGAAGCCCACCTTAGTAGAGCGTCTTCTGTAACCAACCAAACATAGCCCTATTGAGCTCCTGCAAGGCTCCAACCTGACAGTGGTACCCGGCCGTGTCTGCGAAAACATGAAGCGTTGCCAGATCACCGAGAGCTTGATGCACCAACTCTGATTGTCCTTTGAAAAAGCCTTCAAACTCAGCATCTGCGATCCAAACAGGCACCTGGATTTTGTCGATGATGCCCTCCATCGTGAATTCTTTAGTTTTCTCGAAGAATTCAAACCCAGACCTGGTGTTAAACGACCATAGTCCCTGTTCGAGGCCCCAGCGAACATTGCTGGCGAGATCAGGCTGAGCTCGCATTGCCTCCACCGCCTCGTCAAATGCTGCTTGGTCGCCGGCGTTGAAGAGTTCCAGAGCTTCAGGCGGCAGTTGAGGTGAATAAGAATCGTAAAGACTGTAAATCCCTCCATTGAGAAGCACAGCAGACAGCCGTGACTCGAAGGCAGCTGCTCGTGCAGAGAGATAACCACCCATAGAGTACCCGAACAGCACCAGCCGGAGAGGATCGACGACTCCTTCCTTTTCAGAGAGGACGTAATCAACTAGCGGGGTGATTACCGCTTCCCAGTTATGAATGAAACCAATATTCTGTTCGCGGCGCACTTTCGGGTGGCCGGGACCCTCGTATGTGATCGCATTCCATCCGCGTGCCAAGGCTGGGACAACAACTGTATGGTACAAGTCTTCCTGAGCACCATCGTAACCATTGCCCAGGATGAGGGTCGGGCGTTGCGTGCTGTTGTCATAAGACGGCGCGTACCAGATAGCTTCAATTGTAAAGTTGTCCGCAGGAATCTGGACCCGATGAGCCGGATGGGGCAGCGACGAAAGCCCCATGTCGAAAGCTGCAAGCTGCTCATCCCAAAGGGTATTGATGAGTGGATTCTCCCAGTCCCCGTGGAGGTAGAAGTCTGCACGGCGGAAGTACGTCGCCGCTGAGAACCAAGTATCTCTTACGTTGACGAGATCGTACGCATTGTCAGGATCTTCAGCTTGAAGCTTTGTTTTGTTGGCAAGGTCGTAGAAGACTTCGCTGAAGCTGTCGAAATCACCAGGGGTGATTGTTTTGGCCGCGGCAAGTAGAGGGTTAATGTCTGCACCGCTGTAAATGGCCTCACCTAGAGGTACCAGCAGTTCGAAATGGAAAGATTCGTCCTCGCTGAGAAGGAGCACGGGGTGCTCATCTTGCGACTCCTGAGCAGTCGTGCTTGAGAGAAGGGCGGCAATAGTCGTTCCGAGCATGCAAGCGGATGAGGGTTTCATGAGGGGCGAGCTTGACTGAGTGACTGATGAATTTGATGGCTCTGCGTATGGACCATGGACCAAGAATATGAAGAGTTCTGGAGTCTCAGAGACATACTGGGCGGTTTAATATGCCGCTGACCACCTGCTTTCTCGCTCGGCCGTATCGCAACATGTTCGAAGGCAGCTTACTAGACAAGTTCCCCTGTAATAGTCAGTCATGTGGAACATTGTACTAGACTGCTCGGCAAGATGACGGTTGTCTTCATTCCGTGTACCTGGATCTCCAGAAGAGCCATACTAAGGTCTCCTCTTGGGGGCTAGGATGGACCAAGCCTCAGAACGTAATTATCTATTTTGTTACATATGGGAATACCTTGCGACGAGGCTGGTTTAGTCTAGGAATGGTTTTTACCCGTCACGGCGGCGATCGGTAAGTCCCCATAAATACGGCCGCAACGTCCACTAGGCTTTAAGCTTGTTGCCTAACGCGAATGTATGCCCATAACAATTGCTCGCAAGGTTCGGGAGCTGCACACCACCTGTATTTCTTGATACTAATATCGAAGGCGAAAATGGTATACAAAGGTCCTTCAGCAGGCTGTCGCACATGCAAAACTCGGCGAGTGAAGTGCGACGAGGAAAAGCCTAGCTGTCGACAGTGTATACGTCTAGGTTACAAATGTGGAGGTTATGAAAGCGCGACTGCAAAGATCAGATTCAAAGATCAGTCCAGAAAATTTTGTCCAAGAGGCTACAAAGGATGCCAATCAGCGCTATTTGGCCGTTCTAGCAGCCGGAAGTCCCCGTTTATCTGCTCTCTGTTCCCCAGCAAGGAAAGTCTGGCCATATCTTTCTTCCTCACAAGTCTGGTGACGACAGGTCGGGGCTGTAGCTCCTCGCGTGGGCTTTTTGAACTCATTGGGCCGAGCATCTCTGTCGAGCACCATGATTCTGCCATGTCGCGGGCTGTCAGCTCGATAGCCATCTGGACCATGTCGATGTTCCGCCGGCAAGCCAACGACAATCATGTCACAAAGACTTATCAAGGACTGGCCATCGAGCGTGTAAGAAGGGCCATCGAAGACCCAACAGAAAGGAAAAGCTACGCAACCATCCTGGCTGCTTTAATCTTACAACTTCAGGAGAATCTTACAGCAGTTCATGAACAATACACAGCCAAAAGCACGCATCATGACGGTGCTGTGGCATTGATTACCCAGGATGGATTAGATGCTATATGTACACAACACAAAAGGTACTTGTTATCGCACATCCTACACACTGAAGTCTCCTCCGCCATTCGGGGGCAGCGCACGGTGCGAATGTGCTTGGGTTGCTGGGACGTAGTGCCTGAGAATGCTAGCACGAAACTTGACTTGATAGGAGTCTCCATCGCCAACTTGCGGCACCATGTCACCCAACTGTTCTCAGGCGATTTACAGAAGAATTCGAATGTCCCGGCGCGGCCTCAGATGCTTGAAAAGACACATTCCGAGGCCAAAAGAATTTACACGGATCTTATCGCATGGTCTCGGTGTGTTCCACATGAGTGGTATCCACTGCAAGCACTCCCAGCGATGATCGCTCGTGGTTCTGTTCCAACCTATATGAGTGGTTGTGATATTTACCCTTCCGTTCAGGTGGCGTCCATCTGGAATCTTTGGCGGTGTTATCGTCTTATGGTTCTGAAGATAAGGATCAGTTGCATGGAACTCCTTCCACAAAAACTGGCATGCGACGACGTCGCCACAGTGTCTACAAACTCCACCAGAGACGGGGGATATGGAATTTACCAGGAATTTCAAGAATTGGTTGATTCTATATGCTACAGCGTTCCATATCACCTCGGCAACCGCCAAACAGTGGCAGCTATCAGCGACCTGATCGACACAAGCCTTTCTTTCCCCAGTTTCCATGACTTCAATCGGTCTGACCCCAAGCTGCCGGAATATATTCGAAATGGTGACTTCATGTCATTACGAGAGCACACCAACCACGTCATCGTGCAAGGACCCTGGCACATCCTCAGTACGCTTACCCATGTGCTCAACCTTGTCTCGGAGGGGATTGGTAATGCGAGCGGCGAGGACATCGGCGGGATCAGCCACTTGATACGCCCCGGCCAAATCATATGGATGCAAGACCAAGTCGTTCGCATAGCCCGGCTGCAGAACCTTGGAAACATCCATGCAGGCAGCGATGCAAGTGATATTGACGCCGACGCCACCAAATTCAACTTCTCAACAGGAACTTGTCTTCCCCAATGGGATGCATGGACACAAGGAGGTGTAGACAGACTCGTCAGCTGCATAAGAGAAGGAATGAAGTGGTCAAGCGGGTCATAGGAGAGGTCGAAAATCCAATGTTACCCATCCATGCGGCTTCCTCAATGTGATCCCCTTGAGCAAATCACCTGCAACGCTTCTCTGACATGGTGCTGAACCTGTCGTGACCCTTATGGAAAGCTCGAAGGTTTCATCATGAGCCCTCACCACACTATGGTGCCAACCCGGCGTCGCTGACCGCTAGTTCGTAAAGAATCTCTTTGGGCTCACACGCATGTCCATGGACGACACCTTCCTCCCAACGTCCCTCCACTCCTCGGCTTTATCAGCATCCGCAGTCAAGGCCCCACGGCAGCCAAGCTTCAACACTCGATCGCCGTACACGAGCATGCTTGCACGCCACCTGGTGAAGTCGTCTTCGTCGGCGAGTTCAAGCAAATCCATCCCGTCTCCTCCTTCACCTTTGGCGGCAACGTCAGCATCCCCATGGAACTCGAAGTAGTGGTAGAAACATACTGAGTCATCTTCGGCCTCCTTGCTTTCCTCCTGCTCCTCCTCCACAAGACCGAATGCACGTACAATCCTCGGATACAGCTCCGTGGTCATCCGCTCATCCAGCTCGCGCAGAGATGCGCACTCTTCGACATTGACGGCCATCGCGGCAACGAAGGAATCCTGCTTCGCGCCGGGCATCTCTCCCTCGAGGCTAATCGTAACATGCACTTCCAGCTTTCGAGGCCCCGCATGGCCGACAGAACGACAAGCGCCAGGTCTCACGGCGGCCATGAGAGCCGTGAGCATAGCTTTGATCTCTCGCACCTCCCCGCGCATCGAGGTCATGTCATCGGACAGGGCGTCCTGTCCGCCGCCACAGTCCTTGACGTCCTGTTGCACGTCTGCAAGGTCTTCTTGGACGCCGGTAACGCTGTCGTTAACGTCATCGACCTTTTTGTCGAGGGTAATGAGTGCTTGGTTGACTTCAGTTGCGCTATTGTCGAGACTAGACAGCTTTGACTTGATGATGACCAGGTCGGAGCGCATCGCGAAGGTGTTGTTGGTCGTGGCTTGCGACGTTCCACTGATCTCGTCCATGTGCTGCGCCATTACTGTCATTCCGTTGACGAGGCCTTTGTATTTGCCGTTGACGCCTTCGGTCGTTTCGTTGAGGGCTTGGTACTGAGTGTTGAGTGTGTCGAGGGCCGCAGAAATCGTTGCATGCTCATTCTCAGCATGTTTGTTGTCAGCGAGAGCCCTCTTGATGCCAGCCATGCTCTCTCTAACGTAGTGGTCAGACAGACCAGTGACATTCTCGACCTGCACCAGCGCCGCTGACAGGTTGTCAAGTCTCACGTCCATGGTTTGGCGTTCGGCAAGATTGCTCTCAACCTTATCCTCGATGCGGCGCAATTGACCCATAAGCTCGACTTTTCTGGATAGCTTAGTCTTCAGAGACTTCCGAGACGTGCCACCAGCGTCGTCACTGTCGCTGTCGGCTTGTGACGTCTCCGAGTGTCTGCGCTTCTTCGATGGCGGTCCAGCCTGCAACTCTTTCAACTGCGGAAGGATGCTCTCCACGCTGCTCCTGAGAGCAGCAGCTTGGGTCTGCTGATCCTCAATGACCTTCTGCTGTAGCTTGACTTGCGATTCCTGGGTTTCGACGATGTGCTTCTGCTGGTTATAGAGCCGCTCGAAACCAGATACACCAGCATCGAATGCCTGCATCTGGTAGTCGGCCGCTTGATTGGTCCTGGATACTATCGTGTCGCTCACACGGCTGGCGACATACTCAGCACTGCGCATTTGGTATTGCACGCCTCCTTCGGCAACATAAGCGATGCTAAGGGTTGAGGCATCGCTATTCGGTGGAGGCAACTCGGTCGTGCATCTGTCATGAATCGCATTGGGCGCGTCACGGCCAAGGAGTGCCATCCAGTCGTAGCCCGGACTGGTGTTCGGCGATGACATGCTGTCAGTGACGGGGAGTTTCTATCGTCTTCACGAATATCGCGAAAATGGAAGAGGTATTGCCAACAGAAGTCGCAAATAGGGTAAGTGCTCTGTGAACTCAGAGACCCTAGGTAGGATGAAAGATATAAGCAGTGCCGGAATGCTTGGTAAAGGTAAGGTGAAAGGGGCGAGGCTGAGTGAGGCAGAACCAGTGACTCGCCTTGGCATTACTGTTTGCCTTGTGTTTCGACCAATGAAACCCACCTTTTCGCTTGACGCCTTTTGCCTTGTGGTCACTAGCGCCCCTCTTCTGGGGCAAAGTGTGGAGTCGGAGGTACGGTCAATCGTATTGTGCCGCAGCAGTTGTCATATGAAGCCAAGTCTTTGATCGCGTCCTTGGTAAATTTGCGCCTGTTGACCGCACTTCGAACATGAGCACTTCTCTGATCCTGCAACCATGGCACGAGTTATGGCCCAGAACGATGTCAATTAGCGATCGAGAGAAGTGTATTGGTGACTTGTCTTCGTGTACCATGTACCCTGACGACCGCTGTGGTAGGTATAGAGAGAGCACGCAGCTTCCAGTAGTCACCCTAAATATTTTTGGTCCACAATGCCTAGGACTTGACGCCGAGCGTACTGAACGACTATCAAGGCTATCCTACGGTTGTCTCTTGCAACCAATGCTTTCGGTAAGTTCTCAAAAGACAGAGAAACTACATCAAAGATTTTAGAGCACCTGAAACGCTTTTAGACGTACCACTCTAGTTGTTCCCTAACTTGAGGTATACCGCCCTACCCAAGGCCGCAGGCTCACACAAAGCCTAAGGACAGGTCGCCTCCGATCTGGCGGTGTTCAAAAAGCGGCATAATGCTCCCTCGCGGCAATCCACATGGTGCCCGCCTCGGGCCCCACAAACTCCGGCCGGAACGTCTCTACATACGTAGACCTCAAGAACGGCATGCCCAAGACGACGCCAAAGTCGGCGGCGGGTTGAAAGGCGCTCACGCATACCGTGCTCCGATTCCGCGTCGCCAACTCCGCCACCATGTCCAGGGGATGCAGGTAGAAAGGCTCCCCACCAATGACCAATCCCACGTCAGGGGGTTTGGCCTCGCAATCCACGACCCAGAAGCCCTGAAACTGGTAGGCGGGGGGATCGAAGCGGGAGGCGATCAGTGCTGCGTGCACGTCGCTGACGTAGTTCAGGGTGGTGCCGCTGTCGATGGCGGTAGTAACGTACTCTTCGCTGAAGCGATATCCTTCGAAGGAGTTGCTGTCACGGCCAAAGACTAGGCCTGTGACGTTGCAGGAGTAGTTGACGATCGAGGGCGTCGTGGGATCAGATGCTGTTCGAATAGGTTCGAGAGGCACTGTAACGTAGGGCTCAGTGGCATTGACGAGGCGGTTGCCCAGGTCTGCTGATTCGCCGATCGTGAGTAGGCCTGCAGGCAAAGATGTTATGTTGCTGGGACGAGACAGCGCCAGGCCGAAGCTCGCTGATAGCGAGGTATTGTTGAAGAGACTGGTTATTAGAGTGCCGTTGTGCACCGTAGCCTGCTTGTTGGCAGCGACCACGTTCTTTGGTCGATGTAACAACACATCTGATGCCGCGACTTGGCTCTGCCGGTTGACGCCACGCAAGCTGTTGACGGATCCGCGGTTGCGTGGGTCCATTCCCAATCCCAGGAGCCCCGATGCTGGCCAGACCGGGAGGGCAGCTGTCTCGGTCGCAACGACGAATGGGGCACGTGCCAAAACAAGACCACCGACCACAATATCGTCATAGGCATAAGTACCTTCCACGTAGTCGTTGTCTGCATAGCGAAAGAAGGTCTCGTTATCGCTCCCTGAGTACCATTCAAAGGTGGGACTGGGCACGTAAGGTTCTCCGAAGAGCATCGAGCATCGCGTCCTGCTTAAGGCCAAACTGCGGGAATCCCGGCATATTGTTCCGTTGTAAATCACCCATGTCTCCGGAGAGCCTGTATCGACAAATAGCTTCAGGGTCTGGTTGCCGATGGTGACCTGAGAGTAGTAGAATCCGCCATAGCGGTCCGTGTATAAAGGTAGTTGTAGAGCAAAGGTTGCTGTGGCAAGGAGGATTACCGCAAAGAGCGTGGCCAATCCCATATTGACGGGAGGTGTTATAAGATTGTCTTGAATGATGTTCGGTCAATTTCAGTGGCAGGTACCTTACCCATTATATGAATGTTCACAGCAACCTGAGTCTGGTCGTGCGCTGGGAGCCATGTAGCCCATGCGAATCTGAGCCGATAAGTTGGCTGGTACCCCCCCGAGTCTTCCGTGGAGCAGCCAAGGAGCATGGTAGCATTTGGATCTTGCACCTGCGGCTCGCCCTGGGAATATCCTATCATGCTCTCGTAGTGGCAGAGCTCGTCTCACGGGCTGGTTGTAGGGACCGTCTGGTCAACAGAAAACACCCAACATCTGCAATGCCTGGTCTGCGTACCGCGCCTGAATCTCCGATAATCTGCAGGTACCCACGATGATGGTGTCGGGAGGTGTCGGAGATAAACCAGGACATGGCCATACCGCTGCTTGTGTAACAAACCTTGTCCACATCGAATGTCAAAACGCAAATCTTGCACAGCTTCACGAGTTGCGCGGGTGATGCCCGATTATCTGGACAAGATTACGATGCCCCGATGGTGGTGTATCAAAGACGCGGTCTCCCTACTACTGCGGGATCTGGCGGTAAGATTGTTTGCTCACGACAGGGGTCTGAGCATCCTCATTTCCATGGCTGGCCACAGTCCTTGGAAAAGTCTCAGGTGCAAGTGAGGACCCGGTTTCGAAACCATGTCAGGAATATCAGAGGATATTCAATGTCTCCCTGTCCAGATGAATGGATCCGAGGTGTGACAGCGAATGCTTTGTGAGATGCGCGATTCCGATCCGCTGGTAAGACTTCAGGTCACTTGCAAAGCTCAGGACAAGTGCCTCGATGTACTTTCCGTCAGAGCCCATCTTCAACCCACGCAGAAAGGCACATTTGACCTGCGACCCGAAAACACCACTCGCTAATTTGGTATCGCTAACGAAGAAGGCACGTACATTCTCGTTGAACAAAATCATGGCGTCTCCGTGATGCCCACTGGTTGAGAGCACACCATCGCATGCAGGGGTAGAAATTTCGAGGGAGGCGGCTTTGATGGCACCGTATGGATCTTTACTGGATAGTGTGTTTTTCATATGATCGACGGAAGCCTCGAAGTCTCTGTTGTGGACGATCCTGTCGTTTCGTATTAGCCGACCCTGCACGGATGCCCAGGACCAGCTGGGAGCGACGTAGCGATCCGCTTTCTTCCCGGCCTTCACTTCCCATAACAGCATGCTCAGGGCATAATTGGACCAAATACCTGCGACATAAGTGCCAAGAGCTTCGTCCTGGAACAAATGCGCCATACTGGAAAGCGCAGGAAAGCGGTCACTTTCTTTCGTCAGGGAACGATTTTGGTACGACTGCAACGCCAAATCGTCCCAGGCCTGCGCTCGTTCATCTGGTGTCATCTTGCTAAGCCTCGCCCTATCGTAACGGAGCTTCGGAGTCGCGAGTGAATCCATATGACCGCATTCACACGCCGCCAAAGTGCAACATTCCCAGGCCAACTCCCCAGCGGTGAAATGGAGAACACGGGTCGACATGAGGCGCTCCTGAAGGCACCAGGCCCTTTTGAGGAGCGGCCATTCTTCTTCGGACCTGGGACTAGCAAACAAGTTGCTGTGCACGCTCGGCTCTCGTACAATGACATGACTCGGGCTGTTGTCACCGTATCGCAGGCGATTCCTGAACGTTCGCGTCTCTGGTCGCTCATGAAAAATACCGAAACCCACATGGCTTGCATTTGCAGCCGCGATGGTGAGCACAGCATTTCGATAGATATCTCCCATCCGGCTTGTCTCTTCGTGGAACTCATCGCGATCGTCCTGAAGGATGCAAAGACTGTCAATCCAGAGCCAACGATATCCCATCGCGCGGGTCAGCTCGATGGCGTCGCGGCAGGTCTTGGGTAGAGACTTCCATGATATGTTATGAAGCATTCGCTCACAATTCGCTTTGGTAGTTGAGATGTGAGGCGTGCCACCCCAACAATAGCTCAGCGCAAAGTAGTTCATTTGGTTGCTTCCGCATTCCACTAGCCGGACCTGATGCAGACCACTGCCTACGAAGAGCAATCGAGTGGGCATCAATGGTTTCTCGGTCGGCTCAGCCGGTACACAATCAATGGTCCGGTGTTCAGACAGGCAGCGTTGCAGCCAGACCGCGGCACGAAAGAAGCTCTGCCGAGGATCTTTCGGGATTTGGGTTCCCACCGTCAATGTCGACCATGGAGAACATTGTGCCAATTCCGGGAGGCTAAGCTGGAAGTCGTAGACTCTTGGTACAGGGTAAGCCCATGAGTACGTCAAGACCACTGGTGGCCCGGGTTTGAACGGAATGCATATTTCAATCGTAGCGTTGTGGGCCGCCTTGGATCCATTGCCCTTGGTCCTGGACACCCATCTGAACACATCAAAAGCAACGACACAAAACGGGCACGAGCGGCTGGCGGACCATTTCAGATCCCTAATAGGCACGTTCAAGGAGTGATAGTCCGAGTGCTGGAAGTAACGTTTGAACATTCGGTGCCGAGAAGGCCCACCTTTCCAATACTGGATCTTGCTTCTGTCGAGGTCGTGGCATGTTGAGCACGATTTCCTGGTGCGATTTGATCCCGAAGTCGACATGAGACAATCGTGCAAGGGTCGTGGTTCATTAATGAGGCCATGGGTGGCTAGTCAGGAGATCTGACATGGTGGATATGGGTTGTCGAGTCTTCCTCGTTGTGTTACACTTTGACAGGAGATCCAAAGAGCCGGGCATTCAGACCAAATACCGACGAGGCTGCGCTAGCAAGGCTGACAAATCCGCGGCCGCCGATCATCAAAGAAAGTCTTCGTACCAACTCTCAGAGCACCTTTGTAATCACCACTTCGTCCACCCATCTCTACAACACACTACGATCGTCGCTACCATACACTCCCACTGATCCAGACGCTCTTGCCGACCTCATTGCACCGATCGACAACCCGCTACAACACTCCGCACACTCCCCCCACCTCTTCAGCATGTCTCAAGCCACCGGCGGCAACCCGTTCGCTCAGAGCAACGACGACCGCGACGTGAACACGACGGTCGCATACCGCTGCATGGAGTGCGACACCTCTGTCAAACTGGCCAAGGGCGATGCCATCCGCTGCTCGGGCTGTGGGCATCGCGTGCTCTACAAGGAGCGGACCAAGCGCATGGTGCAGTTTGAGGCGCGGTGAGAATTTTGCAGAGGGCGACGATATCAACATGAAGAGCTTGACAATTCTGCACGTCGAGCATGTCAAGATATGGGTACGAGAGGATCCCAGAGGAGGAAATGGCCATGATGGCGACCGGGCGAGGCCCAGGCCTTAAAGGGCGCGCGCGCGCGCGGACGGTATTCACGATATGAATGATTCGCGACGTTGCGGGCTGCTACACGAGGGCGGGAATGTGATGCTCTTGTGAAGTGCGGCGCAGCGCAAGTGGCCCTACAGGCGCACCCGGCCGGGTCCATCGTCGAGACCCTCTTATCATTCGAGCACAACTGCCGGCGGAGAGTACGATGCAACAATCAGAACACGGGCGGACGAGCTATAACTTCAGAAAGTGCTTGTATTGCACATGAGATCCAGAGTACTCTATCGAGAGCTAGCAGCAAACTTTTGGATTTTCCAAGCACCTATATAATCGTTTTTCCAGTGACCTAAATTCTGCCACGGCCCATAGATATTAGCTCTAGATGTTGTTCGTGAATTCAATGAAGGCTTCCAACTGCTGCAGCGCTTTCCCGCTCTCTATGCACCATCTCGCCTTCTTGACGCCCTCCTTCCACCTCAAGCCCGCCGGGCCTGTCTCCGTAATGACCGGGCCACTCTCGCACTCGTTGGCATCGCACACGCCGCTGACAACGAGTAGCGCTGCGACGTTCATGAGCACAAAATGCAGGATCGGATTGTCTGGCGGTAGCTCGTTCCTCATCATGCTCATGAGCACGCCTGCGTTCTGCCTAGGCAGTTTGCCACCGCCCACTTGGCTAAGAGGATGTCTGGGCAGGCCGAAATCCTCGGGTGTGACTGTGAAAGTTTCGAGCTCGGAGATGTATTCCTTCTCACGATCTTCGTCGTCGTCCTCATCCTCGCCTGTATCAGTGCTCGCGATCGAAGCTGGCCTATATTTCGGATTTGGCTTCTCGCGCAAGAACCAGCAATTGGTTGGACCGGCGCAGCTTAGCTCATCCAAGTCCTCTTGCCCGCAAATAACCATTGCCTTGTTTGCATTGCTGAGCTGCAGCGCTCTCGCAAAGATAGGCCCTAGCTCCTGGTATGCAACACCCACAATGCGGGCCTCGATGTGGTCCTCGACTGGGTTGGCCAGCGGGCCCATGAGATTGAAGATGGTCCTGAGGCCAAGTTCACGGCGGACTGTAGCTGCGTACTTCATGCCAGGATGAAAGTTGGGCGCAAAGAGGAAGGCATAGTTTGACTTCTCGTAGAGCTCGGGGAGTTTCTCGGTCGTGAGGGCTTCAAGTTTGGGAGGGCGGGGTAGAATCGCGTTCAGAACATCTGCAGAACCAGACATGGAGGTTTGCGCACGATTGCCATGCTTTGCGGTCATGAGGAGAGGGCTTGCAATGATGGAGGAGGACGTTGAAATGTTGAAAGTCGAGTGAGAGTCGCCGCCTGTGCCGACAATATCACATAGTCCTCCTCTATATGTGCCTTGTGCTAGCTTCCGCTTGCCTATAACCTGCCGCAGGGCTTTGTGGTCCACCAAGTTGGCGGCATCTCGCATCGCCTCCGCGCATTTTGCTACGACATCTGGATGTTTGTCTTTGCCCGTTGATGTCAGAAGTGTCAGCAGAGAGGCAAGCTGCGTCGGATTGAGGCGGTTTTCAAAGGTTCTTGACCAGGCCAGAGCTATGTCGGCTGCCGGTACATCATTATTCGGTGGAGGGGCCGACAGGACTTTGAGGAGGGGTGCAATCGAGACGTATTCCAGGCGGGGCTGTTCGCTAGACATGTTGACAGCCCAGTCACTGGCGGCTGGAGACCTTTGTGAAGGTCCGTGTGCACCAAATACAGTAGCTTGACCGAGTGCAGGCAATGGTAAGTCAAGGTACTCGAAATGTGATATGACTCCGAGCGCGGAGTAATTTCGTGCGAGTCAGTCCCTGCAGGTCCCACCCCGCCCATGAATCTTTCCCGTTCCATTGCTGCCGCCAAGCATTTTCCCCGGACCCCAGTTGAATTGCCGCTGCACTAACGACGTCGACAAGCTCCTTCGCTAAAGCTTCCACACTGCCGATCTACCACCTTCCACTCCGCGTCTCCGCATTGCTGATGCAACCAGAAAGAAAGGACACCGGAATAATCATGCCCACATGCGTGGCATCGTCATCGTCGCTCTCCCGCCTACGGAGCTTCGCCGCCACCTCTGGAGCTTTGCTTCCGAGAGTCGTGGTCTATCTCAGGCTGAGTGACTAGAGTAAGGTACAAGTACTGCTCCCGCTCCTTCCTCGTCTCATGTACTATCTGCATGTAAGTTCGTGAAGCATTGCTTGCCCTTGACCCAATCAAGCCCAACATGGTCAGAACGTCTTGGAAGGCAGCGGCCTTCACTTCATTTCTCGTGGCTACCCAGGCTCAAGACAGCACCGTTTCCTCCCAGTACACGAGTCCTACGGTCTACCCATCCCCCAACAGTACCGGCAGTGGCGGTTGGGATGCAGCATATGCTCAGGCTCAGCAGTTCCTCAGTCAGCTCAACGTCACTGAAAAGTCGTGGATGGTCACAGGCGTACGTGGCCCATGTGTAGGGAACATTGCGCCCATTCCCAGACTGGGATTTGGTGGTCTCTGTCTGCAAGATGGTCCCGCTGCGATTAGAATTGCAGATTACGCATCTGTCTTCCCTGCAGGTATCACTACAGCATCAAGCTGGGATAAGAATTTCTTCTTCCAGAGAGGTGCAGCGTTGGGTGAAGAGTTCCGAGATAAAGGCGCCCATGTCATCCTCGCACCCGTTGCTGGTCCTCTTGGCCGAGTTGCCTTGGGAGGTCGGAACTGGGAAGGTTTCTCACCAGACCCTTACTTGACAGGTTCAACATTCTCACTTTCTGTGGAAGGCATGCAAAGCGTTGGAGCGCAAGCTTGCGGCAAGCACTACATCGGTAACGAACAAGAGACTCAACGCAATCCTTCCATGAACGATGAAGGAGAGACTATCCTGGCCATCTCCTCCAATATTGACGATCGGACTATGCATGAGCTCTATCTCTGGCCCTTTGCCGACGCTGTCAAGTCAGGCATGGCATCTGTCATGTGCAGCTACAATCGGATCAACCAGACCTATGGCTGTGAAAATTCAAAACTTTTGAATGGTGTTCTCAAAGATGAGCTTGGGTTCCAGGGCTATGTCGTCAGCGACTGGGGTGCAACCCACAGCGGCCTCCAGTCCATCAACGGTGGCCTTGATATGGACATGCCTGGTACCATTGGCTGGACAGGATCAGCTTCGTACTTTGGTGGCAACATCACCACGGCTGTTCAGAATGGATCTCTAGCCGAGTCGCGCCTTGATGACATGGTATTACGGATCATGACTCCTTACTACTTCCTGAGACAAGAGAATTATCCTACCGTTGATCCCTCGACTGCAGATCTCAACAGCTTTGATCCTGCCGAGTCGAACTATACCTGGAATCTTGAAGGCGAAGGCAGCAGAGATGTGCGTGGTAATCATGCCCAACTGATCCACGACATTGCCGCACAATCGACTATCCTTCTCAAAAACACCAATGGCACTCTGCCCCTCCGATCGCCCAAGAACATTGGAGTTTTCGGTAATGATGCTGCTGACCTAGCAAATGGTGTAGGTGACTCTACTGTGTCAGCAATGTTTGGCTAACTTGACAAGCTCTATAACTATGCCGATCTCAATTATGCTGCTTCACCTGGGTATGACCTCGGGACCATCGCTGTAGGTGGTGGGAGTGGTCAGGGCAGATTCACAACTCTTGTTGCACCCCTCGAGGCCATCAAGCGACGAGCTATGCAAGACAACAGCGTGGTACAGTATGTTCTCTCAAACGAGGTTGCGACAGGTTCCGACAACCCTGCCCTAAGCGGCAAAATCTATCCTGAACCCGATGTTTGCCTGGTCTTCCTCAAGACCTGGGTCTCCGAGGGCTATGATCGCAATGCGTATGAAGCCGACTGGAACAGCACTCAGCTCGTAACCAACGTCACCAGCATCTGCAGCAATACAGTCGTCATAACCCATTCCGGTGGCATCAACACTATGCCGTGGGCTGATAATGAAAACGTCACAGCCATTTTGGTGGCACACTTCCCCGGCGAGCAGTCCGGCAATTCGCTGGTCAGTGTGCTGTACGGAGATGTCAATCCGTCCGGCCACTTGCCTTACACGATCGCTGCGGAAGAATCAGACTACAATACCAAAGTCATTAACATGACCATCGATAACAACACGGACCCCAATGCCTGGCAAGACGACTTCACCGAAGGCCTCCTGATTGATTACCGACACTTTGACCAGGAAGACATTGAGCCACTGTAAGTTCTATGCCTTCAGTGACTCATGGGAAAGCTAATGAAAGATAGCTTCGAGTTCGGGTTTGGATTGTCGTACACAACATTCAATATGTCCTCGCTTTCCGTCGGTCTGTCTGCGAACACTACGCTAGGCCAATATCCTGCCAACAGTACAATTCAGCCCGGCGGCAACCCAGATCTGTACACTGTTCTTGCTACAGTCTCTGCCACTGTCAGCAACACTGGGGACGTATACGGCGCCGCTGTGCCGCAACTTTACGTAAGTATTTCCTGACCCAGTCTCTGATGTGCGACAGCCTGACAGTGCCGCCAGGTCTCACTGCCGACTGATTCTACTCCCGAGGGCACGCCGGTCAAGGTCCTCCGCGGCTTCGAGAAGATTTCTCTTGCGGCCGGGGCGTCTCAGCAGGTCCAATTCCCATTGACCCGCCGCGATCTCAGCTATTGGGACATTTCTGCGCAGGACTGGGCTTTACCTGCCGATGGCACGCCCAGCGTCCAGGTGGGCTGGAGCAGTAGAGACCTACCTCTGAACGGGACCATTACATGGATGGTCGGAGGATAGGTACATAGAAGGAATAGCGTTATGTGACATGTGGAATGACCTGACCTACGACTCGATGATCAGCGGGGAAGAGCGGGTGTGGATAGCAAAACGCGGAGTAATTCTTAGAGCTCGCTAATAGTAGTGCTTGAGGTACATCGAACACGCCGCGGCTTCTATTTGCCGGCTCAACGCAGCACTCAGGCAGTGAATAATCAGACTAGGCCGGAACGGGAAGGTGGGCTTCGACTTGTCTTTCTCCAACACAACACGCGCTTTCGGTGCCCCTCATCGATTTTTTGTTGGACCAAAGATTCACGCCTCGACCGGACACTCGAACTCTGCTACAACACTGTCTGCGACTGCCCAACATGCTGATACAAGAGAGCTTCAAAGATGTGCCCACCAAGGCGGACGGCGAGGGGACCATGCGTACGCTCACCCTCCTCCAACTCCCTCCAACACCCCGCCCGCGTCCACGACTAAAAGCTCCGTCAAGGCATCTTCATCTTCCACCCCACAATAGCAGGCTACCCACAGGCAAAGTTCCCCGGCGTCGTCCTGTTCAGTGAAATCTACCAAGGTACGCTTTCTCCCCTGCCCCTCCCTCCCCGTCTCCCCGCCACCGACCCACCGCCCCCACAGCACGAGCTCACATCACACCACCTCCACACAGTAACCGGCCCCGTCTCCCGCTTCGCGCGCCAGATCGCCGGCCAAGGCTACATCGTCGCGGCCCCGTCCTCGTACCACGAATTCACCGGCCCGGAGCCCCTCGCATACGATGTCCCCGGCACCGACGCGGGCAATGAGTGGAAGATCACCAAGAAGGTTTCCGCGTACGACGAGGACGCACAGCTCGCCGTCACGGCCCTCCTGGGCCTCAAGACGTGCAACGGCCGCGTCGGCGCCACGGGCATGTGCTTGGGAGGCCACCTGGCCTACCGGTGCGCGCTGGACCACCGCGTCAGCGCCGCCGTGTGCTACTTTGCCACCGACATCCACAGCCACAGTCTAGGGCAGGGGAAGCAGGATGACAGTCTGCAGCGCGCGGGGGACGTGAAGGGGGAGTTGGTGATGATTTTTGGCAAGAGCGATAATCACGTGCCGCCTGAGGGGAGGGATCTGATTCGGAAGACGCTGCATGACAAAGGGGTGCTGTTTAGTTGGTATGAGGTGTTTGGCGCGCAGCATGCGTTTATCAGGGATGAGCTGAGTAAGGGGCGGTATGACCCGGCCATCACCAAGGTGTGCTTTGAGATGCTGCTGGAGGTATTTGAAAGGAGGTTGAAGGTCGATCTGGGGGAGCCCAGTGGCGAGAAGTTGGTGGTGGAGGATGTGTGTTGAAAAGAGGCAGAGGGGAGAGGAGAGGGAAGCCCATCTTGAGAGAGAGCTGTCAAATGGGTAGGGAGCGGGTCAGTCGCCGTGGATGGGCAGAGGAGATAAGATAAGCAGTACTGCATGCAAATTGGCTGTAGCGATACGCATTCGTCAACACTCTCCGATCGAGAGAAGAGAATGAAGCTGTGTACACACTACAAGTCCTGACTCGCAGTCGAGTGCGGAGGAGTCATCAAGTGTTGTTAAGTGTTTCTTAGCTAAACGTTGTTGAGACACGAACAAACGGACGCTGCCCTCGCGCCGCTGAAAGTCGAGAACTGCCAGATTGGGAAGGTCGCTAACCCGATAGAATATTTTCGTGGTGCATTCACTGCCTGACTGGCGTTCCAAGTATTTGACTTCAAGTACCACTGCCAATACACGCACTTGCGCGGGCAAGAATTTCTCTGGGAAGAGGCCCCCGCCATCGTCCCAGTACTGTTGTACCCATCGACTTCTCACAACTTCGCCCCGGCCCCCTGCGGATCCCCCTCGCCCGTCGTCTTATACCCGAAGAGATACGCAGCGACCTTGCGCATCTGCACCTCCTCACTCCCCTCGGTGATGCGATAGCGCCTGAAGTGCCGCCAGATGTGCTCGAACGGGTACTCGCGACTGTAGCCCACGCCGCCGTGGACCTGAATGGCGCGATCCGCCGCCTCGCAGCACAGGCGGTTCGCGTAGTAGTTACACATGCCGATCTTGCCGCCGAGTTTCCTCTCAATGTCGATCCAGGGACTGCGGCCGGCGGCGTGCGCCGTGGCCGTGACGGCGTCCATCTCAGTGGCGGTGCGCAGGATCAGGAGGCGCAGCATCTCCTGCTGCGTCGAGAGCTCGACGAGCGGCCACTGAATGGCCTGGTTGGCGCTGAGGGGCTTGCCGAAGACGACGCGCTGCTTGGCGTAGCGGACCGAGGCGTCGATGCAGAAGCGCGCGGCGCCGCAGCTCGAGGCGGCCTGGCGGATGCGGTTCTCGTGCGTGAAGGTTTGCGCGATGGCGAGGCCGTTGTCGGTTGGGCCGAGGATGGCGGAGGCGGGGACGCGGACTTTGCGGAGGGAGATGGTGGCGTGGTCCGTCGGCATGTTGAGTGTCCATTCGAAGGACTCGACTTTGAAGCCGGGGGTGGTGGTGGGGACGATGAAGGCTGTGATGCCTTTGGGGCTGCCGGCTTTGCCCGACGTGCGCGCGAAGATGAGTGAGTGAGTCGCGCTGTGGGCGCCCGTCTGCCACTTCTTGTTGCCGTTGATCTCGTAGCCTGGCGTGCCGTCGTCGAGCTTGCAGGGAGTGGCGGTCGTGTCCATGTGAGTGGCATCGCTGCCATGGTGGATCTCGGTGACACCGAATGTGGCGCGAAAGGTGCCGTTGGTGGAGGCCGGGATGTACTTGTCCTTCTGCTCCTGCGTGCCGTAATGGTGCAGCATGATGACGATGGGGTTGTTGCCCACGACGGAGTGCTCGTTCTGTAGGTCATTGGCCAGGCTCACACCGCCGCCATAGACGGGGTGCGATGCGAGGTGGTAGCGGATGGCGCACATGGTGATGTTCTGTTGCGTCGAGCCCGCACCGCCGTATTCCTTGGGGTAGGCGAAGCGGAAGAAGCCTGCTTCATCAGCCAGCTTCTTGGCTTGCTTGAGGAGTGCCTCCCAGTCCTCGGTTGGCAGACCGCCGTTGTTCCATTGCGTACGAGATGCCTCGCGGCGGTGGTCGAAGAAGCGATTGTTGTCGTCCTTGTGTTGGAGAGGCAGGATGGTTTTGTTGATGAAGGTGTCGATACGGGAGATGTGCTCCTGCACGTCTTTTGGTAGGTCGAAGTTCATCGTGGCGGGATTTATGCCCCTGTTACCTTTGCTGATCCGTCTCACAGATAGAAGACCAGGACTGACCATCGACCATCAACCATTTCTGCAGCCGTGGCAGACAATGGAGGAGTGGCGTGTCTCTGTCGGCTAATGCTGATCTTGGATGCGGAGATGGAGCGAGGTCCTGCGATGCCGAGGTCGAGCTAAGCTCGGTGCCAAGACTTTTACTGCCCCATCCCCACGGGGTTGAAGATGGGAGCATAGATGAGCTAGCACGCTACAAAATAAAGGCATAAGAGTCAAAAGCAAGCTTCGGTATGGGATAGAGTGTATCCTAAAAGCGTAGCAGGCCAACACTGACGACTACCCGGTCGCTAAAGAAAGGACAAATGTCCTGATTGAGTCTTCGTTCGCCCTCAATTCTCGGCTGAATCATGGGCTTAGAACACCAGCGTAGCCCCAGCCGTACCCACGACAGCACTCTTGACGCCTCCAGAGCCAAGCAGAGTGTACTGGTAGGGCACAGTGGTCAGAGAGCCTTCCGGGGCAGAACTCTCGGCGCCTCCAAAGTCATTGTCCTTCTCAACTGCAAACCCTTCGTTCGTTGCGTACAAGGCTTTCTTGCCGCCACTGAAAACATTGCTCTCAACCAACAACTCGGCTCCCAGACGGGTGTTGATGCCATCGCTGACATTCTCGTATACGCTGTTGAAGATGTGGCCGGTTCCAAAGCGGAATGAAGGTCCTCGAGAGTTGATGTTAGACCAGTAGTTGTTGGCGTATGTGACATGCAGGGTTCCTCGGTCCTCGACCTCGTTCGAGTCAGAGTGTCCAACAAGGGAGGCCTTGAAATGATCATGCAGGTGAGTATTCGAGACAGTCACGAAATCGCTGCCGTGGGTGATATCAAGCAAGCCGTCATAAAAGTCCTTGTCATGGGCCATGTCGGAAGACAGGTCGCAGTGGTCGACCCAGACGTTGGTGGAGGCTTCGATACCGATAGCGTCGCCATTGGCAGCTTCAACCTTGGCGATGGAAAGATTGCGCACAATGACGTTCCTGACGCCCTTGATGTAGAAGCCAAAGCCCGAAATCTTAGCATTGCTGTCCTTCCCAAGGATGGACTTGTTCGAACCCACGCGGACCTTCTCTGTGCCAGATATCGCACCATCGATAATGACGATCGCAGGCGCATCCCCACTAAGGGCAGTCTGAAGGTCAGCAATGTTTGATACTGTGACCGTTGAACCACCCGCACCGCCAGTCGTGCCGCCGTTAGTTGTTGCGAATCCAACGTTTGCTGCTTCGGTGGCATCAGCTCGTTTCACAAGAGGTACAGCTTGCGAGAGCTGGGAAACGGCAGCCAGGCCGAGAGTGAGCAGTGAGAATCTCATCGTCATTGGCGCAATACGTGTGCTGCTATATCAGGGAGACAAAAATCGAAGAAGCGAACGAAACAGTCACCAGCACCTAGAATGAAGGAGTGACAAGAGGCGAATGGAACGAAGGACCGACTGCAGTAGCAGGAGTGAGGACGAGAGTGCGAACGCTCTGATGCTCGCGGTATATACTCCGCGGCGCTCAATCTGGCACCCCGGTGTGCAGTGGAGACGACCAAGAAGGTTGGTTTTCTGCTGACCAGGGCAGTGGTTGCATTGAGAAGAAAGCCAAGCGAGACCAGTGGTCTGCTCGGCGCCAGCGGACGGGGATGCAACAAGACGGGCCAGGAGCCGAATTGGCCCTGATGAAGTATTTGAAAAGGATACGTACATACCTGGTCCGGTCCCACGTGCACAGGATTGGACAAAGACCGCGATCTGGTATTTGAAACGACACTGAGCCGGGTATCCTGGCCGGTGCACAGGGCACGATGGCTAACCGAGGAGCAGGCGTGTTTCACGATGTGGACGCTCGGCTAATAGAGTAACGTTCTCGGCTCAATTGCAGTGTCGTTGCTGCGAGATCTTTCAACCCGATCTTTGGGAGCGACGGTCCCGGCGCTGAGAAGGACGAAGGAATTTGCCATGGCGGCGTGGTCATAGGTGGGAGGCGGAAATTAGGCACTGTTTCACCAGACGGCTCGTTCCCTCGGCGAGCGACCAAGCTGGAAACCTCGCTGCACGCGCATGATGCGGTTTACTACTTGAAGACGACCCCTTCGGCTATAACAGTAGAACTTCTGCTGGCGTACGCGTCTAGAGCTCGAAGAATACGGCGCAGATAGGGAAGGGCGCGTGCTGGGTGATCGTTCTCAGGGCTCTCCGATCTCACGTTACACAAGTGCAGTCTGCATTAGATTTGGCATTGCGGTGCAAGATCTGGTCGATACCGGCATCAACAGCACGCAGTATGCCTCGCTGCCGGATCAAGAGCTTCATGACGAAGTACCGGAACCCCCGTGGTACGTCCCTTGATCACGTGACACTGTGCGACACATTCATTCGTGCGAAGTGACAAGAGGCTACCGCCGCGGTGAGTGTGGTGTCCTGGTTCTCGCTCTAGATGTGAGAAAGAACATCCAGCGACGGGTCTCGCAACATCATTGTTCAGCTCCAAGCCAATGTCTTCTCCGTCCGCCGTTCAGATCCGCCCGCTGGCTTATGCCGAGACCTCATCCAGATCCTAACTCCGCTAAAACGCGCTGGTCCCCATGGGATTATGCCCTGGCTTTGGCAAGATTGAACGCCGTTACATAGCCAGCAATGCTCAGAGACTGGCTGACTATAGCATCTCCAAAGACTTGCCACCTCACGCCGGAGAACCGCTAGCCGAATCCCAGTGGGCCAGCAACGTGAGTACGAATAAGGCACAGCAGCTGCTTGTATATAAGTATCGACATAGCGCAGCCCATCGAAACAAGAGCAGAGCACATCAACTCGTGCAAAGCATTTGTGAACCTTGATATAGCCTCGAATCTTGCACCATGACAATCAACCACATCTTCATCCGCGTCACGGCCTCGCGCTTCGCCGCCGTCCGACACTTCTACGCCAACGCACTCAAGCCTCTGGGCTACCGCGAACTAATCACCGTGGACCCCAATGGCTACGTGGGCATCGGCTCGGACTATCCGTATCTCTTCCTCAAGGCCCTGCCTGAGGGTCAGCAGAGCCTGCCCACACATATCGCTTTTGACGCCTCGGGTATGAATCCCACAGCTAAGAGAAAGAGCTACTGGCGCTGACCGAGACTACAGAGAACGCAGAAGTAGACGCCTTCTACGCATCAGGGATGTGAGTAGTGGACCTCCATTGATACAGTCCTCGAGAGCACGCTAACACACCCCAAAGTGCAGCAGGTGGCGAAGACAACGGCAAACCTCGCATTCACAACGAAATGAGCGTGCAGCCTTGTACGTTCCCCCCCCGCCCCCTCTCTCTCCCTATTCATCCAAAAACACAAGGTCCCATTGACCGTCCGATTGAGTTCAATCCACTGATCATTCCTTTCGGCAGACTATTCCGGCTTCGTGCTCGACCCAGACGGGAACAACGTCGAAGCCGTCTCTCTCCCATCCCGGCAGGGCAGATAGCAGCGCGGTCGCGAAAGCAAACGCCCACCAAGCTCTTCGGAGGATGGGCGACCGGGAACGAATTACAGCGAGATACAGAAATAAAGAGGCCCCTTGTTCGTGTCGCAAAAAGTCTTTGCAGATCACTAACCGCCTACCAAGTCTTATTTTGTGGCTGTGTTCTTCGCAGCGCTGCATTACTTGTTTACGAAAGATTCTGTTGAAATGCCGCTGACAAACATTTCTCGGTCTTGTTGCCAGATCCGGACGAAGGGGGTTGTGCAACGCAAGAGTGTGATCTAGGCAACATTGCTACAGGCACGAAGTAAACGGTTAAAGGGGCCTCAGTTCTGACTAGTGGGCATTTCGTGCCCTGAATTGCTGTACTCACAGTCGCATTCGATGTCGCCCACAAACCTTCACTTTGTTCACGCCCAGTCTTCAAAGACGAGTTGAGCGCTCTATACCCAAAACCGCGACCAATACCTAAAGGTACTTAAGGCACAAAACATGGCAAAAAATGTCGGGTCAAGTCAAATCAAATCAGCCATCATAGATCTCACCCACAGGTCCGTTCATTACTCCTTCCACTCCACCGAAGCAGCCAAGGCCCCATTCTCATCCACAATGTCCGGACCCAGCACGACCTGACAGACGAAATGTTCGCGGAAGTGGCCGCCATCGGGGAACTTGAAACAGCTTCCGTGGTCTGCAGCGTCAGCAGCGCTTGCTCGCCCCCTGTCCGAATGCTGCATCGGTGTTGCATCATCGGCGGCAGGAATATCGCGCTTCGACGACAGCCGCAGGCATACGCAGCGGTCACACGTCAAGACACGCCAATCCAGCACGACGAGCGCCACCCTCCTCCGCACCTCTCTTTCCCAGCGCCCGTCGGCCTGACGATGGTTTGCCAGCTTGGCAGCCGCTATCCCCAGATCCCAGATATCCTTGGCTGCGGCGTCCTGGTTGGCTGCGTCAATGAGCATCACTGAATCGGTGTGGTTTGCGTTCAACGCGTTCGCAACGAAGGTGCTGCGGCAGAACGTGAAGGTCCCGGTAGATTCGGAGAGTGGGTTGAGAATGCCTTCTGCTGACTGGTCGGAGGAAAGAATGCTACCGGACAGGAGCATCGACATGGGATTCGCCGAGTTCGTGCTGAGGGATACACGCATCCGCTCGCGCGTGGCAAGGTCAGACTTCGATGGACCGGTGGGAAGGATAGCGGTGTCTGCAGGCCGAATTGTGTCGGGTGAAGGCCGACCATGATGGTCAGCCGCCTCTTGAGACCGTGGGAGCACTCGCTCGCTATGGGACATCCGGCCTGCATTAGGCACTTCAATTTGGACTCGCTTTGCCGAATGGTTCGATGGTGCCGGTGCACGTTTGTCGGAGGGTGCTGCAACTGCTTCATCAAGGATTGTGTCTCCCGTCCGTGCTTGCTCTAGCTGCGCGGTCTGCTGTGGAGGTTGTCGTGCTGTGTCCTGGCGAGTTGCCTCTTCTTTGCGCGCCGCCTCTTCCGTGCTGGGCGGAGTTGGCATGCGTGTTGGTGGATCAGGCCCAGTCGTGGCAAGGTTTGGCTCCGAGTTCTTTGTGGACTCGGAGATAGATAGTTTGGACTTCATGGTCTTGCCTTTTCCGGTAACGTGCGGCTCGCGTGCTCTTGTCCCAGATGCAGAAGGGGGAGGTACTCTCTGTACGGGGCTTTGACTCGGCATCTCAGCTAGCGGTGGCCTCTCGCTGCTGACACTACTCATACTCGTCCGTCTGGGAGGGCTTTCGGATGCGCCGTCAATGCAAATCGCGCTTGGTCGCCTTCTTGTCTCAAAGTCGGTGTCGGTGCGTGACGCGCCAAGGAGAGAAAGCGGTACAGCAATCGGGGATGATGGAGGAGGAGTAGTGGACTGCAAGCTGGGAACTCTTACTGTCAACGGATCTCGCGCGTTCGTTCTGGCTAGCACGACATTGGTCCGCCTCGCTGCTGGCGATGGAGGCGGAGATTGCGTAGAATGTGTCAGGTCGATACACTCCTTCGCTGGAGAAGGCGTTTGCAAAATGGTCCAACCCTCGGTGGTCGTTCGCTGTCGCTTGTTGGCTCCTGCAACGGGACTTGTATGCATAGCTCGCCGCTTTCCGCGCGGAGGCTCCATGGGCGTCGGCGAAGATGGCGGTGGGCTTTGTCGCTGCGATGCATCCAAGATGGATGAGTTTCCAGGAACACTTGAAAGGCCCACAGACCGCGCAGGCTGACTCGCTGAGGTCCTTGTCGTAGAAGGCGTTTTCGTCACGGTTGTCGCCGTGGTCTGAGAAGCACTGCTCCGCCGATATGGCTGACAACCCGGAGGAAACTCGACAGGATCCGTGAAGATTTGCGGCCGAGGACCCTTGCGACTCGAGACTGGCGAGAGGCTGATCGCGGCTGCGCTCTGCGGTGTGCGACCAGGCGAGACAGTGCTTTGCGTATTGAGTTTGTCAGCAGCCGCGCTCTTCTTTCCATCCACTTTCACAAGGCGTTCGAGCCAATGCTGAACTTCTTCCGAATCTCTTTCAACAGGTCCGGCATGAGCCTGGACAGCAGCCTGTTGTAGCTCCTGGTAGCTTTGCGTGTCGACGATTGTCCGATCAAGGTGGATTTTCGTCACTCTTGGGAATCGTAGCGTCCAGAAGTTGCAGTTGCTATTCTTATCATATCCCGCTCCCAAGCACTCCACAATATAAGGCTCCTTGAAGAGCACGGCCGGCGTGGCTCCTGAGATCATCATTTCAACCTCGCACAGATCTCCATGATTGTCGAAATCGACGACCTGGCCTTCACCACGAGTGTTGAGGAGTTGGAGACATTCTGGTGGTATTGCCTTGACCCCGGCATAGATTCGATCCACGACTCGGAAGACTGGCTTTCTTCCGTACCGTTCAACAGCCTCCTTGTTGTGCAGGCAGGCCAGGTAGAAGCAATTCCATTGACGCACGCTGGACGTGTCGCGCGCTGCATCTTGTCTGGCGCCGACGATACACAGATCGGCTGAGTCACCGAGCTGAGCCAGGTAATCACGCTTCAGCTTAAATACAGGCGGCGGGCGGGTGTCATCCAACGAATGATACGGATCGTCTTTGCCCTTGAGTACGAGACCTTCCCATCTGCTGCTGATCGCATGAGCAAAGATCTCGCGGAGACGACGCTTGCATGCCCTTGCGTCTCTGAATTGACTGAAGTCGATCAGTTGCCGTTCCACAATATCTGAGATGCCCTCAATCGTCGTCACCATCCTCTTCAGATGCCGCCGCCGGTCTTCGTGTGATGCTTGCGGTGAGATTTTATCATCGAGCAAAAGAACATCGTAGAACACGATCATGAGCTGCTCATGCTCTTTTCGCGGAGAATCATTCTCAGTACCAAGCCACCTGCCTCCATGCATAACGTGCTTCCTGATCTTATGAAACGGCTCAACCGCCTTTGTGGCTCGACTCCAAACTAATAGTTCGCCGTCCAGGATCGCTTTGGACTTGATTCTGCAATTTGGCCCGCCCAGATCCAGTCCTTTTCTGATGGCTCGCTGTAGTCGTTGACGGTCCTTGGTTGAATCTTTGCCGCTTTTCGAAAAGATTTGAATGGTGTAGTTGCCCGAAACCTGGTCCCTTTCAATGTGAATTTGGCAATACTCGCCATCATACTTCCTCTCGACACTCATGATTCTGTTCTTTGCCAGCTTGACGGCGTGGTTGAAACCTCTTGCCTTTTCGAATGGCGTTCTCGACAACATCGTACCGACCCGTGGCCCAATCAACTCAGCCGCTCTGGCTTTCAAGGCCCTTGCTTCGACCGCGCTTGTCGTATGGGACCAAACACTACCACAGTCTGTACCAAGGATCTCTGCAGCCGTCTCCAAGTCGTTCACCACCCTGAGTACGTCCCGCAACAGGAAGTGAAATGCATCCATTGTCACCGGCTCAGGAATCCTGATAGTTTTGAAGTCCTTGAAGATCAGCCGCGTGAACCACTTGGCCTCGTTGCTCGTCATGACCCTGAGCAAAGGTGTGAGGATCGCAGCTGCCGATCTCCCACTTGCAGACTCACAAACCCTGGCCGCCGAGTAAGGAGAATTTGAGGCAAGCTCAAGCAACGCCGCATCGACCTCCTCGACCGTTACCTGTCGCCGATCCGTGAGAGTCCCATCCCTGGCCTTGTCCTCAGTTTCAGCCACCAGATCCCCGACGATCTGCGCAAAGTCCCTGGTGTCGGTCGCCCAGTCACGCAGAAGCCTCGCGCGGCCACTTCCGAGTAACAGACAACGCGGAAGGATGTGACTCAGGGACGCTTCGCGAACGTTGTAGCTCCGGTGCGGCAGGCGCTCGGGGAACAGACATGACAGAAGTGCTACCGCTGCTGGGCCGTGTCGAGGGATTTGGACGTCATGGTCTCGGAACCATGTCCTGACGACCTGGATGGCAGGATCGATTGCTCGGTTATGGGTGATGACTCTCTGAAGCGGAGCGCACTCGAGCTGATCTAGGAGATCGGCGAAGTCGGCGAATTTTAATGTCATAATGGTGAAGAGGCTGTTAGCGCTGCGGATCTTCCGGGGAGATGGAGGCCGCACGAGTCCTTCTGGCTTCGCATGGAAATGGTGGGTGCGACTGGCTGGAGTAATAAGATCAGCATGATGATGACTTGAACTACGGCCACTCCAATCCAGTTGGTTATAGCAGAGTGCTGAGGGCCGTGACTATCGGCATTGGCGATGGACTTGAAGGGTGACAAAAAGTGAGTGAGAGGTGGAGGTGATTGATGTGACGCGTCAGCCAATCACAACGCGGCATACAAATATCATGCCAAGATTCTCAATATGAGGCTCGACCTCGACGGGAGCCTTCCAATACCTATCTCAAAACGCCTCGCAATGCTCATGATACTCTTCGCATGATTGAGCAGCCTCCTCTAGGAGCTATACTCGACCATGACAAACTTCTTCAGCCACCGAATCAAAGTCGACTTCTGAGCGGTCACTTCTTCGAACGTTGGTGGCGGCGTGCGACTGCCATCCCCGTTCTCGCTCGGCTCCTCCTTGTCGTCGTTCTTTTTCTTGTTCTTCTTCTTCTTCTTCGCCGCCTCCTCTTCAGCCTCTCGTCGCTCCCGAATCACCTTCTGCGCCCACTCACCAATGTTGTCCAGCGCCTTCTGCGGGTTAGACTTGCGCATGAGGATGAAATCCTGCAGCTCTGCAGGCGAGATCTGGAACTCGGGGACCTGCTCGGCGAACTTGCCCGCCATCTCCTCCAACGATGCCTGTGAGTAGTTGTGCTGACCCTCCGTGGTGGCCTTCCGCCTGTAATTTTGCGAGTACATGCGGAGGAAGATGTCACGGGTCTGCGAGCGCGAGCACCAGTCAAGCTTGACTTTAATGTCAACGCGGCCGGCGCGGACAAGGGCATCGTCGAGGGTGTCGAGATGGTTGGTTGTCATAATCAGAACTTGTCCTTCTGGCGCACCAACGCCGTCGATCGCATTCAGAAGGCCGGAGAGCGTGACATTAGACTTCTTCTGCTTGCGCCGCCAGTGTCCGTCGTCGGACTCGTCATCATCAGAATCATCCTCGTCGAAGTCTCGACCAACACCGGCCGAGTCAATGTCCTCAAGCAAGACAAGCGGCCTGCCACTCATTGACTTGATCAGTCTGTTGAGCGTGTAGTCGTTCATGTTCTTGTCGAGCAGCGACAGGACATGGATATCAAGCTTGAAATTTCCAGCCAGGGCCATAGCGAGGGAAGACTTGCCAGTCCCTGGCGGGCCATGGAAGAGGTAGCCCCGGCGGTAGGGGATACCGAGCTTATGATACCATTGCTAATCCAAGTCAGCAGACATCACACTGTACAGGCAGAACTACAGACCTTGGTCTCAGGGGCGAGATACTCCGCCACATCATTGACGATCATCTCCTTGTCACCCTCGTTCAAATCCACCGAGCTGATCGGCCGCGCCAACTTCGTCTGCGGCCGCGACCAGCTCGCGTAGCGATCCTCCTCGTGGGTCCGGATAGTCGTCCAACGCTCCTGCTGCACCACCTTCTTCGACTTGTCAATCTCCGTGAGCAGCTCGGTGATGGGCTTCGGCGACCAGCCAAAGCAGTAAAAGGTGATCGAGTCAACCGAAGCGGGGTTGTAGAGGCTGTCGCCACCTTCCTTGCTGACGAGGAAATAGCGGCCCTGGTGTCGGAAGAGCTGCATGTTGTGCTTGGAGTGCAAGATCATCCGAAACGTTTGCTCGTCTTCGTCTTTCTGCATGCGGTTGCCATCGTCGTCGTACTCCCAATCGTCATAGTCGTTGTCACCCTCACGCTTCTTGATGAAGTAGCTGGACTCCCCCTTGAGCGAAGTGCCGGTGAAGGTGCGAACCTTCCGGAGCCATGACTGAACATCGTCGACGATAGGGTCTTGGCCCGAGACCGTGATGGATGATGTGAAGAGCTGAATGAAGTAATGCCAGGCTGTTGACATGGCACCAGTGACCATGGAGAAGTTCAGATACGAGGCTACAGCCAGCGTGAGGGCGAATGAGAGTAACTTGGCCAGGCGTGGATATCTTGCCAGTTTGGTCATGACCTTGGGGAACACCAGCATGATGTATCCCGGGATGCCACCGATATTGCCTCCAACGAGGCCGCCCATCTGTTGGATAATGTCGGAAGAGATGTCAGAGCGTGCACTCTGAAGCTCAACTGAAGGCCGAGGCGATCCAGGCGGCGTGCCACCAGGCAGGGCACCCGCATCCGAGCCAGGCATGTTTGTGTGCGTTGGAAGTCCTGTGTTGAATCTGTAAATGTTGAATTGAAGAATGATAGGATGAATAATCCCAGCGAGAGGGAAAAGAGTTCTTCAAGTAGGCTGGCATCGCACAATGGGGCGCAAGAGTTGGGTGGGTCGAATAAAGGCTGCGCCTGATCGTGCCTAGGTGAGTCACTTGAAGGGGTTGATGAGTCCCGGGCAGAGTCACACAAGCCACATACGGCTTCCGATCATTAATTGCTACTAGTACAAAGCTACAGACAAGTAGATAGCGCTGCTGGAGCTTTGTTGCCTGCCATGGTGCATGAAACGAGGAACGTCGTCGGTTGCCTAATGAACTGTAGGGCTATCGATCGGACGGGGACTCGCGTGAGCTCTATTGGGTCCATGGGTCGGAGCCCCAAGTTCAACAACCTATGAGGACCTCGAACGCCGGCATAGTTAGATCCGAGAAACATCGGACAGCAGAAGTTCTTCAAGGAGGGGCACTGCCTAGGAAGTTGTGTGGACGCCTGGCCTAGTGCGTTAGCGCGCCAAGTCCACGGTTCCACCCAAGCCTAGCGTGAATGAAAGGCACTTTTGCCTGATTCTTTCCTTTGAGCGGCAGCGGTTTTATAGCAGCACATTAAGCTAGCATTTCTACAACTTGCTCTAGTGAAGAACGATTGTGCGGTGAAAACAGCTTCCGAAAAGCTTTGTGAGAGTCAGTCGCTTTCAACCAATGAACGCCAAGAACCACCAAACCGGTGAATATATGTGGTGGCTTAGCATGATGCACCGAAGTTCCACTGCAGCTTGCCGATATCATTTTTGAGCCATGATCATGTCATTACCCAGTTACTCATTTTCGGTTATGACTTCGCTTTGCTTTGCTTTGCTTTTCGGCCGCAGGCCCATTTCATCTGTTCCTATCTTCCAAAAACGCTTCCCCACATCGAATTCAATGCTGCGATCCCTGCAGCCCTGTAGACATCGTCCTCAACAAACGAGCCAGTGTCATTGGCATGCAACACCATATCCTGTCCGTATCCTCCCATTCCGCTCTCCGGCTGTCCACCTTCACCATTCATGTATACTGGCCAGTTGGGCGTTCCCTCGACGCCGTGCCCATTGGGGTCTCCAGTAGCGATGAAGCTCGCCCACATCTTGCTCATCAACTTGGCAAGGTCAAAATACTCCTGCGGCTTGCCGGTGAAAGGATTCTCGGCATAGCCCAATCCTTCAGTGTTGTCGAACACGAATGCCACCTCCTGGAAGTGGACGACTCCCATCTCGGCGGAGAGCGGGTAAGGGATGGTGTCGAACCGATATGCATACGTCGAGACGTTGTATCGCGCATATTGCTGGTTGATGAGCCGTCGCCCAGCAGTGAATGCAAAGTCTCCCCCAAACGCACTCACGCGCTTGAATTGCTTGCCGAAAGTCTCGTCGGGGGTCCACGTGAGGGTGGCTGGGATGCCAATAGCTGGTATATCCGGGTAAGTGGCTTCGATGATCGGAGCGGTCGTTTCATCGAATCCTTGTGAAATAAGGTAGGCTCGGAAGTCGGAGTCATTGTTGATACCCATTGCTCCAAACCCTCCAGCACCTTCGTCACTATTGGTGCCGATCAGATAGGGCACTTTGACAAAGTCGCCATTGAGCATCGCGTCGTATGCATTGTAGGGGACGATCCCGCCGTCTGGTGCCCCGGTGAATCGCAAACCTGTGACGTTGAAGGCGGTGTTCAGCGTATCGAAGTCCAGCTGCCGCAGGCAGTCCAGCTTGTTGCTCGCGTCGCCACAGCCAGCAACTTGGGTCACGTTGTCAAACGAAGCTTGAGCTGAAGTCGCATTGTAGGCAGGGATGACACCATTGCCCGACTCGCCGATCACACCCGAGAACAGACCATCATCACGGCCTCCGTAGGATAAAGTGTGGACACCAGTAGACCAGGCACCAGCCGACTCGCCCCAGATGGTCCTGATATGCTTAGCTAAGTGAAGTGTATAGAGTGGCGTGCTTACACTTTACGCGGATCGCCCCCAAAGGCTTGGATATTCTCCTGGATCCACTGCAAGGCTAGCCTGGACCTGTCAACACCTCGACATCGTACAGATGGCTCGGAGATTACCTTTGATCATGAACACCGACATTGGTCGAGCCTTCATCCCTCACCTCCTGTCCGTCTAAGAATCCCCAGGCATGCAGCCGGTAGGCCATCGACAAGCCAATGATGGGCTTGCCAATGTCTACGCTGTTTTGAACGATGAAGCTGAGATTGTATCTCCGATCGGTTGCACTGCCCATGACCAGTCTGTAGAGCAATGAGTCGTGTAGATTACAATCACAAGAGTCGAGACTCACCCTCCGCCATGAATCCATGCACCAATAGGAAGCTGCTGCCCTTCCATGCCGCTAGGCCTGACAATGTTGACGACAAGGCAGTCCTCACTGACCTCATAGCCGATCTGGTCTCCACCATAACCAACGCATGTCGGGTAGTAGCTGGTCGCCTCGAGCGTGCCGTTCCATTTCTCTTGCAGCGGTTGTGGATGTCGGAATCTTAGGTCACCGAGTGGTGGTTGTGCACTGAAGGCGTTAGTAAGACAGATTCCACGCTCCTTCTCCTCGACCTGGAGTCTCGAGCCGGGGTCTAGCTATCGATAGTCGAAGGAGACTGTCTCCTTCTGAACTGGCTGACTGACCAATTCGTCTAATGAGCTGAAAGAGAAAACTCACTAGGGGACGCCAAGAAAGAGGTCTTGGTCGTAGGTTGGTTGATAAACACCCTGCACAGTTCCATTCTGGATCGTGACCGTGGGCGGAGAGCTAGCTTGCCTTTGGCCCAAGCTCAAGCCCAATGCTGTGGGAGCGACGAAGGTAAGTAGAGCGGCACGCATGACAGCCATGATGGGATAGTACAGAGCTAGAACACCGAACAACACAGGAGTCGCGGAGGACCATCGCAGCCTTTTGTACCACAGGATCTGCTTGACTACGGGAGTGCCGTGGGTTGTGCCTCCGCTCGAGCTTGGCCGTCTGCTTCATGAAGCCGACTACTGCAGATCACCTGTGGGCAGGTAAGTGTCACACATCACGGACCGCGGAACCGAGTTCCAACGGTAGCAAGCTTTCTCGAAGCCTGCTCGGTATTGCGGATCGGTGGTCATTGAGCTTGCGGGGGTAACATCAAGTATCAATGACTCGCAAACTGCGGGGAAATTTAAAAAGCCGGTGGCGAGCTCGAAGCTCCTCTCATTGCCAACTCTGGTTGGAAGCGGCGCAATTATGTACAGGCCTTGACCTATGTGGGGCACTAAATATGTAGGTCGCTGTCGAGCGGTGTTGGTGTTAGTGTATGAAGAGATGGGCCTGAGATCACGAGCTAAGGAATGCAGTGGTGTTCTAACGGGAATACTGCCGCATTAAGCCAGTCTTGTCTAGCCGAAGCGTCATGGTTTCAAGCGACGCATAAATGGCGCCGAAGAATTCTGCATCATTGTATACAATACACTGTGATTGCTACCAAGTAATCTGTATGAGTTTGCTTGTGGGAGTTCTGCCGGTGTGGCTTGGTCATTGCGTACCGCTCACTGCTAACGCCAAAATCCTCGCTTGATAGCCTAGTCATCAGACACACTGGCAAACTTCTCCAACATGTCCGAGAGAAGCTTGTCGTACTTCTTGCTAACACCTTCTTCATCGTCAGGAAGTTCGAACTTCATCGACCGCAATGCGTGCTGGATATCACCCGTGCTATCGCGAATCTTGGCCCAACTCTGTCCGCTGCTTACCGCCTTCTGAGACTCATCGTGGAACTGCATGAACCCCTTCATCATATATTCGGTCTTCCATAGCGGGCAGAACTGATCGTAATCACTGTAGCCGTTTTGTTGCAGGAAGTCGTCCTTGAGCATGGCGGCAACATCGAGCACGATCTTGTCCGAGTCACCAAGCGCAGATTTGCCGACCAACTGCACCACCTGATCCAATTCTTCAGAATTGGTGAGCAGCTCCTTGATCTTGTCGCGCAGGCGGGGAAACTCGGGATGGTCCTTCTTGTAGAAATCGTCAAGCACACTTGAGTACTTGCTGTACGATAGCGAGGTGTTGATGCTGGGAAAGTGTTTCCGCTGGGCGAGCTTCTTGTCCAAACCCCAGAAAACCTGCACGATGTTCAAGGTGGACGTGGTAACGGGGTCTGAGAAATCACCTCCGGGAGGAGAGACAGCACCGACAATTGAAACGCTTCCATTGCGCTCGGGCGAACCAAGAGCAGTCGAGGCACCAGCACGCTCGTAGAAAGACGCAAGCTTGGCTCCAAGGTAAGCAGGGAAACCCTGATCCGCAGGCATTTCTCCGAGACGACCCGAGATTTCTCTCAGCGCTTCGGCCCATCGAGAAGACGAGTCCGCCATCATGGCAACAGCCTTGCCTTGGTCTCTGAAATATTCCGCAATGGTAATTCCGGTATAGATGGAAGCTTCTCGGGCCGCGACAGGCATGTTCGAAGTGTTGGCGATCAGACATGTACGCTTCATGATGGGTTCTTGTCGGCCGTCGATGGTGATAGAGAGCTCTGGGAAGTCCATCAAGACCTCAGCCATTTCATTGCCACGCTCGCCTAATAGAGGTCAGTATAAGAACTTCACCTGGTGGAAAGTATCAGACATACCGCAACCAACGTAGACGATGATATCGCTGTTGGAGAACTTGGACACAGACTGAGAGATGACAGTCTTGCCACAGCCGAAAGCACCGGGAATGCAGACCGTGCCACCTTGGACAGAAGGGAAAAGAGCATCCAGAACACGTTGACCGACGATGAAGGGAGACTCTGCGCGCTGACGCTCGGTGACAGGACGGGGCACACGAACTGGCCATGACTGCATCATAGGATACTCTTTGGTCTCGCCGTTGAACTCAACTGTGAGTAGTGGCTCGGCCACCGTGTAATCACCCTTCTTCGCGATCTTCTTGATGGTGCCACGAGCTCGGGGCGGGAACATGACTCTGTGCTCATTGAGCAGGGAATTCTCGACGACTTTGCCCCATACATCGCCACCGCTGATATGATCTCCCTCTTTCATGGTAGGCGTAAACGCCCATTTCTTCTCGCGGTCAAGCGCTGGTACCGAAATTCCGCGGGGAATGTAAATGCTATCCGTCTTGTTGGCAATCGTCTTGAGAGGTCGCTGGATACCGTCGTAGATGGTCTCCATCAGGCCAGGACCTAGCTCGACCGACAAAGGCTTCCCGGTACGCAGCACGGGATCGCCGACTGTCACACCAGCTGATGAAAGTTAGCAGCTGCGGTAAGCTTTGGACAAGCAACTTGCCGGTTTCCTCGTAGACCTGAATGGTAGCTTTATCTGCCTCGATTCGGATGACTTCGCCGACCAGCTCGTCCTTGCCAACCTTGCAGAGCTCGTACATGGCAACGCCGATCATGTTCTCGCCAACGATGACGGGGCCCGAGACGGAGAAGACAGTGCCATGCTGGCTGTCCTCGTCGAGGCCACTCTCCTTTGCAGCAGGCATTCTTCGATATGTGCGAGCTACAGTTTCGAGTGTATTGATGGGTTGCGAAAAGGTGAAAGGATGGGCAAAAGAGGACGGTGTGTAGCTATCGTCGATGCCTTCTTCCTCAAGTAGAATGCCAAGCTCGCGGTGAACGAGGGAAAGCTCCGAGAGGTCTTCGATGCTCTTGCCAGTAATGAATTCGAGAATGCTCTTGCGATGCTTGAGGCGAGGTCTACCAAATCCTAGCATGCATGGAGCGCAGAACTCAAGTTTAAAGCTAAGAGAGTTCTAATGATCACAGAGGAGCTGGAGAGGGCGAGCTTCGCTGCCTGCGTTCGCCCAGCGTTGACTGCGCCCGCTCAAACATAGAGCCGGCCAGTGTGCCCCTCACCGCAGCCAACCACATCCTGTACCGCACCAGTCTGCCCAGCCATCCAGATACTTGACTCAACGTTAGGATACCTGGCCTGGTCTCCGACACGATAGAAAAGGAAAACCCCCATGGTCGAATGAGTACCCGCCACACCGCCAGAGCAGCCGGATGAAACAGGCGCCTGAGCTGCTGTTCGCCCAATGAGTGCTTCCTGACCACCCGCTGGAAAGGCTTATCTCCCGCTGCAGACATGTACTGTGTGGCCTGGTACGGATTTAGTGCATATGGCGTACTTGATAGAAAGTCACAAGCCCGCATTTCTGGATGTAAATGTCATGTGGTGTTCGTAAGTGAGAGAAGGGGAGATATGCTTTAAGCAGAGCCAACCTCCGGGGCGTCTTTGTCACTCGTTACGTCGGCATGTCCTCCAACTGCTTCTCCGACCTCATCTCGCCACGACCACCACAACTCGCTGGCACTCTGACCCGCTCCTCTTCCGCTTGCATCTTATCCTGCTCTGCGGGACCGCACTTCCCATTGCCACCAACCCATCTTTACGGGCAAAAGAAGCCAACACATTGTTCCGACCAAGGCGTGCACGCATCTGGTCCGTCCCCGCAGCCAGATCCGTGACCATCACCTGGCATTGTTCCCCAGTGTCACCCTGAACACCGCAGTCTACGACGCATCTCTTAGAGTCTCGATTCATTGGTGTTGCCTGCACGCTTCGAGAGCGTTGCAAACCGTCAAACGTCCGTTCAGCCGTACTGGAATAAGCACCGAATCTCCCCCGGGAGGTTGCTGCTGCCAGTGCAGGGAACGGCTGAATACCATAACGGCGGCTCTGCCGCCTCGAAGATCTGGCACATCAGAACTCTCCTTACCCTCCTGAACTCAACTCCGACGGCCCATCCACTTCGACCTCCCCTGAAACCTCTAACCACCCAACTATCTCTTCCCCAAACCCTATTCTCACCACACTTTCCTCCCCGAGGCAGCCTGCAGCCGAGCTTTCGAATCCCGCCACCACCCCACAAAACCGGTCACGCAACCTGAGAAGAAGGCGTCGATCTTCATCACAAGAACCAAGCTCTGCCTCCGGACAAAGGCGCGAAGGCGCCAGTCCAGAACGTAAAAGACGCAAGGAGGGAAGTAACACCATGCGGCCTGCGGACAGCTCGATAGAAGCAATATCCAATGGCCAAAACGGAGAAACAAACGGGTCTGTACCCAAAAAGCCAGTTCAAGCGGTGCTTAATGGGCACGATAAGCCTATTCAGAACGGCTCAAGTACCTCATACGCAAACGGGTCCGCGAAGAAGACCAACCCGATAAAATCCACGCTATGGCAGGGCCATAATCGTGAAGAGGTCACTCGAATCCTGATTCAAGGACTGGTGGATCTGGGTTACGATGACGCTGCATCTACGTTGATAGGCGAAAGTGGCTATGAGTTGGAAAGCCCATCCGTTGCTGCCTTTCGGAATGCTATTCTTGAGGGTAGCTGGGCTGAAGCAGAACATATTCTTCTTGGATCAGTGTCTCCAGATGTTTCGGACGAGCAGCCGGATGTTGGTTTGGTCCTGGCTGAAGGCGCAGATCGTGGGCAAATGCTTTTCTGGATAAGACAGCAAAAGTTCCTGGAACTACTGGACCAGCGCGATCTGGGCCGTGCTCTCGGCGTACTACGGTCAGAATTAACGCCACTGGACCACGATATTCATCAGCTACATGCTCTATCGACTCTTCTGATGTGCCCTCCTGAAGATCTCAGGGCCAAAGCCCACTGGCCTGCTACCATTGACGAGTCGCGGAGGTTACTGCTGCAGGAACTGTCGCGATCAATAGCGCCATCAGTAATGATCAGAGAGCACAGGCTAGCAGAGCTATTCGACCAGGTTAAGCACGCCCAGATCAATGAGTGCCTCTACCATAACACCTCGATCCCTCCCTCGCTCTACTCGGATCACGTTTGCAGCCGGGACGGCTTCCCACTGAGGACATCCACTTTATTGGAGGAGCACTCGGACGAAGTATGGCATGTACGCTTCTCGCCCGACGGGACCAAGCTAGCAAGTGCAAGCAAAGATAAAACCGCCCTGATCTATGACATTTCGTCATTCACGGTTCTGCACAGGCTGACCGACCACATGAAAGAAGTTACGGCCTTAGCGTGGAGTCCGGACAGCACTAAGCTCATTACCTGTTCCAAAGATGCCAGAGCTAGAGTATGGGACGTCGAAACAGGGCATTGCCTGGCTACCTACCAACATCGTGGGGGAGACAATACCTACGCCATCACCGAAGCCGCATGGGCACCGGACTCTCGCAACTTTGTGACCGCGAGCCACGACCGTAAGCACACGCTATGCCAATGGCAACTTGAATCTTCCGACCCGGTATACGTTTGGCCAGAAGGCTTTCGAACCGACTCAGTTGCCATTACACCTGACGGAAGGCGAATAGTGGTCGCGGATACAGACGAGAGGTTGCGCTGCTTCGACTTCCGCACTCACCGAGAAGAATTCGTCATCCAGTTGACGAGCCGAGTCACTGCAATAAGCATCAGCGGCGACAGCGCGTTTGCACTCCTGAACCTTGCCGCTGGTGAAGTCCACATGTTCGATCTTCTGGTTCGAGATACCGTCAGAAAGTTTGTGGGACAACAGCAGGGGACATATATGGTTCGAAATTGTTTCGGCGGTGCTGCTGAAAACTTTGTTCTCAGCGGCAGCGAAGGCAAGTGCAATGATCTCAAGAATGCGGTTCATGCTAATGGTTTGCAGATGGTCGCGTTTACGTATGGCATAAGGAAAATCAGCAGCTCATTGAAACTCTGCAAGGCCATGGCAAGGGCCAGAGTGGCAAGGCCTGTGTCAACACCGTCGATTGGAATCCTACAGATCCTGGCATGTTTGCCTCGGGAGGCGATGATCGCAAGATTCGAATGTAAGTAACGCCGAAAATTAATAGAGGAAATCTGCTGATGACTTCCAGCTGGACCAACACAGTTGCACCAGCAGATGCTATTCCCGGCGTGGTAGATCGACAGATGGTGCGACAGGAACTCGGCCGGACCAGTGCCATCCGCTCAACATTATGATTTCTGCCCAGCTCTGGCTGTATTGGCGGCGTTCACGAAGGTACCCACAAACGGCTAACGGACCTGATAGACATTGGTTACGACAAGAGCATTGAAGGAGTCATGTTTGGACTGCAGTATTGATACCACTGGACAGCAGATTGGACCGTCATATTACATAGGGCATAGAGTGACAGAGGACATCGGTATGGCGAATTCACAGACCCTGTCGAGGAACCGAAGCATGGGCAGCTACATCTGCCAGCCACCTATCTCAGCCATCAACACTAGACATAGGGATATCTTAACGAAGTGTTCAACCGTGCTCTAAACTCCCCGCGTTAAAGTTGCACCCGAACCAGTGCCCTGAGTCAGATTGGGTGGTGGGGGGCCCAGCCTCGTGTAGATATGAGGCCCAACGGTTGCCCAATGGTCTCGTGCGCAGGGGCCAAAGGAGAGCAGGACACGCGTGATACCTTCCTACTCGATTCTGGCAGGTTCGCCGTTGCCTCGTGTGGCCAACAGATTCGTTGTTGCCTAGCACAAACGCGTATCTTCTTGCCACGCACCCACTCCTTACATACCCTTTGGAGCCAAGTAGCGTGCATACAGAATATGGGAGCCTAAAACATGCCCGTGGCACTGACGCTGGACGGCTCCTCATACTCCACCGACTCAGCCTCGTTTCTGTTTGGCGAGCCTCGCAGGCGCCAAGCGCCGACCAGCGACCAAGTTGCGCATGCGAAGGCTCACCATCATTCTCAACGAACAACTCCCTTTGCCGGCCCTTCCAACCTAGACGACGCACTTCAGAGATCTGCTAGAAGCAGCCTTGATAGCAACAACCACTCCGCACTTAGCGACACTTCTCCGGTCACCTTCGCGCCCATCATGTCGGCTCCGCCGGCCGGATACTCGTCAGTCCCGCCATCCCAATGCTCAACACGGAGGCTGATACTAACGGTAAACGCAGGATCAACGTGAACGATCCGGCTCTGATCTCTCTCGTCAACAAACTCCAAGATGTCTTCGCAACAGTTGGTGTATGTCCCACTCCCTTTCCACGATAAGCCAGAGTGTTCCTCTGACGTATGCCTCAGGTTCAAAACCCTATAGATCTGCCTCAGATTGTCGTGGTAGGATCGCAATCCAGCGGCAAAAGTTCGGTGCTTGAGAATATCGTTGGTAGAGACTTGTATGTTTGTTTATGCCATTTCAGCCCTGCCCCTCACTAACCTTCCCAGTCTGCCCCGTGGCTCGGGCATCGTAACGCGAAGACCGCTGGTCCTGCAGTTGATCAACAGACCAGTACCTGCGAAAGGCCTCCAGACCAACGGCGTGACCGAAGACGAGCTGAAAGACTCCAAAGACTCGCAGGCTAACGTCGATGAGTGGGGCGAGTTCCTGCATCTCCCCGGCCAGAAATTCTACGACTTTGACAAGATCAGAGATGAGATTGTCAAGGATACTGAAGCGAAAGCCGGTCGCAACGTCGGCATCTCCCCACACCCTATCAACCTACGCATATACTCACCCAACGTCCTCACTCTTACGCTGGTAGATTTGCCGGGTCTGACCCGCGTTCCGGTTGGCGACCAACCACGGGATATTGAGAAACAGATCAGGGAAATGGTTTTGAAGTACATCTCCAAGTCCAACGCTATCGTTCTCGCCGTCACGGCCGCAAACGTTGATCTGGCCAACTCCGATGGCCTGAAGCTGGCAAGAGAAGTGGATCCCGAGGGGCAACGCACAATCGGCGTGCTAACAAAGATCGACTTGATGGATACTGGAACCGATGTCGTGGACATTCTTGCCGGCAGAATTATTCCCCTGAGACTCGGGTACGTTCCCGTTGTCAATCGCGGCCAGAGAGATATTGAGAACAAGAAGCGCATCGACCTTGCGCTCAAGGCCGAGAAAGATTTCTTTGAGAATCACGCCTCATACCGGAACAAAGCCTCTTACTGTGGCACCCCTTACCTTGCTCGCAAGCTCAACCTGATCCTCATGATGCACATCAAACAGACTCTCCCGGATATCAAAACTCGTATCTCAAGCTCATTGAAGAAGTACTCAGAAGAGCTCGACCAGCTCGGTGCAGGCGATCTTCTCGGAAACAGTGGAAACATCGTTCTCAACATCATCACCGAGTTCTCCAACGAGTATCGCACAGTCTTGGATGGAAACAGCCAAGAATTGTCAAGCAATGAACTTTCCGGTGGTGCTCGCATTTCGTTTGTCTTTCATGAGCTCTATTCCAACGGTATCAAGGCCGTTGATCCATTTGAGCAAGTCAAAGACATTGACATTCGGACCATCCTATACAACTCCTCCGGTTCATCACCCGCGCTGTTTGTTGGCACAACAGCCTTCGAACTGATTGTCAAGCAGCAAATCAAGCGCCTTGAAGAACCATCTCTGAAGTGTGTATCTCTCGTCTACGACGAACTTGCCCGCATTCTCGGCCAGTTACTCGGGAAGCAGCTGTTCAGACGTTATCCTCAACTCAAGGACAAGTTCCAGCAGGTTGTCGTCGCCTTCTTCCGGAAAGCTATGGAGCCCACAAACAAGTTAGTGAGGGACCTTGTCTCGATGGAAGCGTGCTATATCAATACTGGACACCCTGACTTCCTCAACGGCCACCGTGCTATGGCCGTTGTCAATGACCGACACACCCAGGCCAAGCCTACACAGGTGGATCCCAAGACCGGCAAGCCCCTTCCTCCATCCGTCCCACCTCGAGCCAACTCACCATCGCTCCCAACGGATGGTAGCGATCCTGGCAACAGCGGCTTCTTTGGCTCTTTCTTTGCGAGCAAAAACAAGAAGAAGATGGCCGCCATGGAACCTCCCCCACCAACCCTCAAAGCCAGTGGCACGCTTTCCGAACGCGAAAACCAGGAAGTTGAAGTCATCAAGCTGCTTATCAACTCGTACTTCAACATTGTGCGGCGAACAATGATCGATATGGTACCGAAGGCTATCATGTTAACCCTCGTGCAGTAAGTCCGCCGGAGAGACTGACTAAGGTTCATATACTAACGCAAGCTAGATGGACCAAGGACGAAATGCAGCGCGAGCTCCTCGAACAAATGTACAGGACTCAAGAACTTGATGAACTCCTCAAAGAAAGCGACTATACCATCCGGCGGAGGAAGGAGTGCCAGCAGATGGTGGAAAGCCTCAGTAAAGCCAGCGAGATTGTCAGTCAAGTACAGTAAGCCCAGAATGCTGGCATGCAACCAAGCAAGGAAGCACGCGGTGTTATGAGCCTTTCTCCAGTCGCAGACGGAACGCTACTGTATGTTATGACCTATTCGGTTGATATGGCGAAGGAGGTTGCAGAAGCGCAGGAGATGAGTTTGCAACTATATCGATATTACTGCTCGGGTTTTCCGATAGATAGAAGCGACACGGCCCACCATAGCTAGATGAGCGATCGACTGGAGTCAGATGTGGTCGCAAAGAGTCACGCAGGGTGTCAGGCGTCAGTCAAGTCGGGCCAGGTAGTCATTGATTGGAGAGTCGGACAGGTGCCGAATGTCAAATTGTTAATGACTAGATCAGAACATGAGTTATTTGGTGCATGCCCCGGACAATATAGCGGAATGAGTTGTTCCGCTGTGCCGACCAGGCGAGGAGGGTTGTAGGGTCGCGCTGTGATAAAGTCCCTTGGGAAAGCAAGCAGCGCCAAACTCGCTGCTCTCGAGTAGATACGAGTAAGGACTAAGCTCAACCGCTCGCATCCCACCAAGATCCTCATCGTCGTCAGCACAATGTCTTGACGGTCTTGGCACGGCATCATCAGGCGGCGGAAAACGTAACAGAAAATCAAATCCTTCCTCTCAAGTTTTCTCTTGTCTCACGGGCAGCAAAGCACAAAATCCGGCGATAATATATGGGCCCGTGACGTCGGTCGTCCGCAAGATGGCGAACAGTACAGCGCAAATGGCCCTTGTGCCTGCACATGCCTATGCTTGCTTGCGGAAGCCATGCAATCCCTTCTCCACCGAGTCGGAACATAGCTGACGTCTAGAATGAGTTGCCACATATCCAGAGACCACTACCATTATGTCGAGCTCGCTCACTCTACATGACCGACCCCGTCGATCCGCGAACATACCATAGAACAGCCACACTCGCCACTCTGCACCACACCGAAGTTCGCCAACCATGAAGGCCAGCAACGACGAAGTCCACATGCTCGTCCTCGAGACGGACGAACCTCATCCAGAAACCCGAGACCGGAAAGGCAGCTTCGGCGACATATTTCACAATCTCTTCAACGAGGCCGGCCACACGCACGACCCACCCCTCAAGATCACCACCTCGATGCACTACGTCGTCGACGACCCCGCCAACAACCATCACGGCCACGTGCCCAAACTCAGCGACATCCCCGTCTCGACGCGCGCCATCCTGCTCACGGGTTCCATGTACGACGCCCACAGCTCCGAGCCGTGGGTGCTCCAGCTGCTGGACCTCCTCACCCAGCTCTGGCAGAGCCGGCCGGCCATGAAGTTCAGCGGCGTCTGCTTCGGGCACCAGCTGCTGTCGCGCATGCTGGGCGCGCGCGTCGAGCCGCACCCGTCTGGGAAGTGGGAGCTCGCGCACACGGCCATGGAGCTCGCGCCCGTGGGCCGGAAGCTGTTCCGGACGGACAAGCCGCGGCTCGCGCTGCATCAGATGCATCAGGACCAGGTCACCAGCGTGCCCACGCCGGAGCGCAGTGCCGGCCTGCTGTCGCCTGATCAGAAGGTTCACGTGTGGGCGAGCTCGGGGCATACCGAGGTGCAGGGCTTGTATATGAGGGAGCGGCTGTTCACGAGCCAGGGCCACCTGGGCTTCGATGAAGAGATGGTGCGCCGGCAGATCGACATGCGGGTGGAGAGTGGTGGGATTGGTGATGCCAAGGCCGCGGAAGAAGGGAAGGAGGCGGCGCATCTGAAGCACGATGGCCTGGTGGTCGCGGCCGCGATCGTGAGGTTCTTTCACGGCGATGATGTGGATGTCGAGTGAGGATCGGGACCACGTCGTCCAATGTTACTTGGCTAAATCTGTACACTTGGATCGGGGGGCGGGGTTTTCAGTCCCTCATAGCCTCATTGTCGCCAAGGCGAATAATTGTGAAGAAGCAGCTATGCAAGTCCATCATCCGTGATTTGAGGTTGAGGACCTGGATCTTGTGATGATGGGGCATAAGTGGCTGGACAAGAAGGTGTATGAGTCGGTATGGGGGGGAGGTCGTCATACTATGCGCTCTCAGGTGCTCAATCACCGGCGCGACCCTACCGGATTCGTCGTGGAGCCTTACGCCGATAGTGATGTGGTCAACAAAGACACACCAATGGTTCGATCTGGGGGCACGGCAGCTGCCATATGGGGACATCCTGTACCAACCGTCTGGCACTAGATACCGAGGGCGCATCACCGTGTTGGTCAATAACATCTGCAACATCACTTGGAAAGAAACATTTTTTGTGTCTGCAAGGAGCTCTTGTTATCTCATACTCGGGTCTTCGTATCTACTTCGGATGCGGGTGTTGATCTGATCGAATACAGTTCCTGTCGCCTCGACAGCCATGCTTTGTGTTGAGAAGATGCTAGCTGGTGAAAGAGTATTGCCACGGACTCGATCCCCATCTCGTCATCTGCATGCTCATTCGGTTGCCATTTGCGTTTCTGAGGGACTATTCGACACTCACTGGGTCGAACATGGCGAAGCACTTCCCGTGCCAGCCGTATCCTGCGCGTTGCCAGACTGCTGCGTCGTATGAGCATTCGACTGCGTCGTATGAGCATTCGACTGCGCACTAGCAGTGTAGACCGTCGCGCCGTCGGGCGTAGGACCACCGTTGGGTCCGCTCCTTTTGGCTAGCGGATCATAGCCTGGAATGCACATTGGGGACGACTGCAGGGATTCGACTGCAGGCGGAGCGGGCATTTTGGCAAATGCCTTGCAGAACTTCTTGTGGTTGGCCCAGTCGCTCTTCTGGCAGTCACGTCCGCAATACATGACCTTCTTACACTTCCCACAAGCCTTGAGACCACCGTCGACTTGCTCAGGAAATTTGTCGCAATTGCGACATTCGCGAAGGACAGGGGCACCGGGAAAGTAGGCAGGCTCGCCTTCTGAACAATCGTCAGCTATGAACGCAGTGCCGAAGAGAAAGATTACTTTTGCGTCGTATCCCCTTGACCATGGCATGAGTCCAATCATGTGTTCTGCACTGTCAGTGAGTCTCCTGTAGTCGTGTATGTAAGCAACTCACGGGACGCCCTCCTCGTAGTAACGTGGTCCGTGATAGTTCATCATGGTGAATCCACTCCTGACTTTCTGTCAATAGGTAGGGACATCAATGATCAGATAGACTCACCCGTTCTTTGACCTCGCCTCATCGAAAGCCATCTGTATGTTGTGGTCGGTACGGTCCGGCTCCTTGAGCTCGTAGGGAGTGCCATTGATATACTCATCAAGAGCCTTGCCCATCTGCTCGATGCCCTCCTTATGTAGACCGCACTTCTTGTAGATGCTGCGCAGATACTCACGCTGCGCACTGCTGATATTGGCTCCGACATTCATGGCCTTTGCACTGAGGATGACACAGGCATGGGGACCTGTGAGGAGCAAATCAACATGCTGAGTCGCCTTGTATTTGTTAAAGACCCTGGTGAAGTGGCCCTCGTTGAGATGACGACGTGTATCGGCGGTTGATTTAGACTGAGTTGAGTGTTCACAATCGTAGTGATCGGGGTCATCTATGAAGTTGACGTTGATCTTGAGATCGTCCGAGAGCGTGCCAGCAATGAGATCCATTGCATAATCCTGGACATCAGTATCGACTTGAGAGAACCACAGATACAAGTACTCACAGATTCATAGATGCCACCACCCCATTGACCCATATTCGCCGACGGACCGTTGAACTGTAGTACCAAGGAAGGGGACGAGAGCGGCTCAACAAGCGAGGAGGCTGACGGACGGATAGCAGATTTCCGACAACGTGTAGAAGCTTTCGATGAAGAAGGATGAGGTGGGATTAGTCGAAGGTGGAGCTTGAGCGGGCAACTAAGTAGCGACATGGAAAGTGCAAGAACGCGTCCAAGTACGCGTAAAGTGGTTTCTGACTTCCAGAACGAGCCTTCAATTACGGTCAATTGCGCATTCAGTCGGCATACGCGACCAAAGACATCGGATACCGGAGGATGGAATGTAGGGAGACTTGACTTGTCAATACCAACTTCACTGATGGACTTTAATGTCCCATATGGCCACCCCGTGCTGCTCCAGTCCATCCAAGAACCAAGCTGCAGCCCACCGAAGCCACCCGGACGATTCACCGAAACACGAAGCCACCTTCCGACCCTTAAAAATAGACTTACTATTCACTCGGATCCATAGACTCAGATATATCGGCCGGCCGTAATCCCTACGGCCATTGCTCATCCAAACAACACCTCAGTCTCACCTCCCTTATCCCCCCTCTCCAGTTCCTCAATTTGCTTTCGCAAGACATCCGCTCTGAAGCTTCTGAAGGCCTTCTCGATCCTTGCTTTGACCTCCGGGTCACTTGAAATCGTCCGCTTCGCGGACCAGGTTCCGGTCAAAAAGCCTGATTCGCCTCCCACGAAAAGCCCCGCAATGCTGAAGAAGGTATATGCAGCGATATCTCCCAATGTGCTGGGCCTCATCAAGGGAGTGATGTCGGGGATCGACTCCTCGCGTCCGCTTGCAAACCTGACATGGGTCGGCTTCTCAGCAGCTTTGATGGCTTGGAAGATACGGTTGCGGTTTGCGCGTAGGCGAAGGGCGAGGAAGGCGCCGAACGAGATTCCAAGCAGGGACCCGATGAGGGCGTGTGTCTGGACCTTTTTGGCCGCAGATACAAGCACGGTTTTGTCCTGGTCCTTCAGGCTGTGGCCACATTAGATGCTGTAGGTGGGGCAGGGCTAGAGACGGACTCATGCTTGAAGTGCTCTTCGGCGAGCTTGGCGAGCTCCGCGCTTTGATGTTTGCGGAGCGCAGCGAATGAAGCAACTTCTGATGACATGATTACGGATTGCTCTCGTTTTCTTGATCAGTCGCAGTATGATAAGTTAGAAGGCAAGGAAGCTCAAGCAGCTTGGAGCTCTCTTTTAGCTTTCCCGTACGAGCTGAGCTCGTGCGATGCTTTTGCGTCATCCGTATTGACGTCAACTCGGGAAATCATATCCGTTGACGATGCACCTGGTCTAATCAGGCTTACTGGGGCTTCATCGCTTCAAGTCTCTGAGCATCCTATTTGACCTTGAACTCATGTCTTAGGCAGAAGTTCACGCAAGATGCCGTGTATTAACAGGAGACGTCAGAACTTATGACCCTGTTGCTGCTGAACGCTCACCGTCATCAACCGGGTCCCGGTCATCCCCCAATCCCCCCCCCACATCAGGAATCTCAAGCCCATCCAAGAAGACATCAGCCTCCTTCCTGCTCCTTCTCTCCTGAATGGCCTTCCTCCTTGCTTCAATCTCTCGTTTCCGGCCTTCTTTTACGCCATCCCTCTCCTTCCTCTTTCTTTCCGTCTCTGCTCGCTCCTGCTCCAATGCCTCCATTTCCTTCTTCCGTGCCTCCTCGTCCTTCGAGAATGCGAAGAAGCCAGTGCCCTTGGTCCTCACCTCTGCTTTTCCGTCGTAATGGCTATCGGGAGGCGGCGTAGCTTCTTTGTCCCGCTTCGCTGCAAGCTCTGCCATGCGCTCCTGGATGACGGTGTCGGGATTGAAGGCATGTGTCTGTACCGTATCTCCAAAGATGATGTTCTCCGGGGCTGCCGGTCGTGCTTTTGCATCCTCGAAAGCAGCTTCTGCGGCTGAGGCGATACGCTGCGACCGCTCAAAACGCCGCTTCTCCTGCGCCGTGCCCGTGCGGAGGCGGCCAAACTCATCTGTCCACTGCGCTTTGTCCTCTTCAGCCTTTGCCCGTCCGCTTTCAGATTCTGATCCACCGTCATCGCTATCACTGTCCACATCATCGGACTGTGACGCTTTCCCTTGTGTATCCGCCCATTTCTTGTCAAAGTCCACAAGGCCGCGTTCGTCGTAATCATCCCGGCCAATATACTCGCCACGCTTCATTGCATTGTAAAGACGAGTTTTCTCAAGCATCTTGCGTTTGCTACGCGCGAGGTCGGACTCATCAGTACGACCCACATCGCGTGAGGTCTTGTGTTCTTGCTCATCATCTCGGGTCCTTTTTTTGGACTCCTTTGCCTCACGATGGGCTGTGAAGAGAGACGCTTTGGGTGCGGGGGATGGCACGCGTTTGTTGACTTTTGACGCCGGTTGTTGTTCAGAGGACTTGGTTTTCGAGGACGCAATGAGGGAAGAGAGGTTACTGGTGAAAGCGAGCGAAGTCGACGAGGAGATCGGTTTATGCTTGGACTTGGTGTTCGCAGGATCGCGGTCGCCATAAAGAGTGGTTGCCGACCCCATATTGATGGCTTCTGCACTTGTCGGAGACGCCCGAGGCGAGAGCTGTTCCGGTGATGGTGGTGGGTGAAGTACATATTCGCCGCAATACACAGTTCGTAATTACTCGTATTGCTATCTAAATATAATTACCGATCTAGGCAAGCATGTTCACTTGGCGGCTGCCCCGCGTTTCAACGCTACCAGGACTCTTTTTCGAACTCCTTACACTCGATACCCGGCACTCTTGGATTTCCGCTACAAGACAATAGGTCAAGATGGGTGTGGACGAGCAGAAGGAGGAACGTGAAGTCCTCGACTCCATCTTCCCGGATGAGATCACAGGTGTGCCTCATCTCTTGCTAGCCGCAAAGCACACCCAATACTTACAGGCTCGTTAGATCTTTCAGACACCTCATACCGAATATCAATCACCCTCGACCAGCCTGCCGACTTCCATGATGAGTCCGTGGAGCCACCAATCATTCTCCTGAATGTCACATACCCCGAAACGTATCCCGACGTGGGTCCGCATCTCGACCTCAGCGCTCCACCCAGTGCTGCAAAACATCCTCTTATTGAGGTGGCCGAAGACAAAGCCCAGTTGCTTGATGCTCTTGCGCCCACAATAGAAGAGTCGTTAGGAATGGCAATGGTATTCACTCTCGTGTCAACGCTGAAGGAGCTGGCGGAGCAGCTCATGGCAGATCGCCAGCGCCAGGAAGACGAAATTCGCGATATGGAAGTGCGGAAAAAGGAGGAGGAAGCGAACCGTAAGTTTTACGGCACAAAGGTCACGAAGGAGCGGTTCTTGGAATGGCAGGCCAACTTCAAGAAAGAAATGGAGGAGGCGGCTCGGGTCCAGCGTGAGGAGGAGGAGGCCGAAGAGAAGAAGAAAGGCGGAGCGAAGGCTGCAGCGAAGGCGGAGGAGAAGCGTATGACTGGCAGACAGCTTTGGGAGAAAGGTCTGGTCGGCAAAGACGCGGACATCGAAGGCGAAGATCTAACTGAAGGCGTCAAAGAGCTAAAGGTTGGTGCTTGAGCCAAACAGGAAACGAGGCACCCTGATATGCTTCACGCCGAGGAAGGGAAGAAGACACGGATCAATCGTTCCCACCTGGCTCGCTATCAACAGCGAAGCCTTGGAAATATCGCCGCCGGAACGAATTCAAGTCGTCTGCTCTGCCACCAGCATCCAGGCTCAATGCGCTCGCGGCAGCCGCTACGACTCCATTTCCCGCATCCTCGATCACCCCCAGCTTCCGCTCATACACCAGCAAGCGCCGACTCCACCTATTGAAGCGCTGCACGCACACATGTTTCAGAGCCAAGCCCGGATGTGTTGGAATTCTCGTTTCTTCTTCCTCGCCCCTTTCATTCTCATTCGCACTGGGCATCCAGAAGGCCAATCTCCCACTGTCAACAAGCGTCGCCACCGCAAACTCCAGCACATCGTCAAGCATCTTGTCAAAGCTGTACGGTCTTTTTGGCGCAACATATCCGGGCAGGAGGTACGCTGGTACACCATCGATAAGATACGGCTTACGTTCCATCGACTCGTCCTCGCCGCCGAGGGGTGTGGCTGGTTTCCGAGCACCCAACACTTTCAGACCCTCACGTACGCCATACGGCGGGTCTGCGATGATCCCATCTAACCATCTTCGGCCCTTACCATACGCTTCACCGCCACGTATTAACGGAGTATTGACAAGATCTCCTGTCAAACAGCCGCCTAGCCTGCTATGCAGCTTGTACTTTGCGAAATTTCGCCCCACGCCCTTCTCCAGGCCCGCGCCGCCCTTTCCCTTGAAGCTGCGGCCGTCTATGTCGCTGCCTAGCACCCACGCACCCAGCTCTGCGGCCGCGACAAGAAAACCACCGGTGCCGCAAAAGGGGTCGAGGAACATCTTGCCTGTCGATGCAAGTGCGAGGTTGGCGGTAACTAGCGCAAGCTCGGTATCCATGGAGGTGGTAGAGATATATGGACGCTTTTTGAGATCGTGCACTTCGATCAGGGGTCGGAGAGTAGTGGTTGAGACTGCCCTAGCGAAGTATAGGCGGGCCAGTGAGCGATATGTGTTAGGGTAGCGTCCGTTGGTCGATGTTGATGGCGCCGGTGCAGCGTCTGGGATGTTCTCGTGGGCGTCTGACTGATTAGATATTTTCAGATCGGCAGCAAACGATGCAGGAGTTGATACTCTTGATAATAATGCGGAAGGAGGTCCAGCCCAGTCCTCGAAGACGACCCACTCTTCAGCCGCGTCTTTCATGCGCACCAGGCCGTCGAAATCAAGATATGCGAAGGAGTTGATGATCTCCACCTGCTCCGGGGCTGAGCGAGCGTGGTTGAAGGAGTCGACGCTGAACTTGAACTTGAGGCCAGGATTGCTTCGATATCTAGACCAGCGGTGGGCAGAGTATGTGTGCGTTGAGGCGTGGAGTGCAGCATACAAGGGCGGCATCACGGTTGAATTGTGATTGTCCACTGCCGGCTCACCAATGTCAGTAAACGAGGCTTCAGGCTTCGCAGCCGTAGTCTCTGGCCGCAATGCCTCACGCTGCTCCGACCCATGGGTTTTTGAAGCCTCTATAGAAACCGGCCGCGTAGCATCCTCCCCGAACCCAGCATCATCAGCATGCCCCCAAAGCTCATAGATTCCCTTCGCCTGCACGCTGCGCGCAATAAATCGCCGCGCAACATCCCCCAGCAGCACCTCATCATCGCACCGCACTTCTGATTCGTCGTCCTCGGCACGCGCATTCTGTAACCCGTTCTCCCCACCACCACCAGCACCACCACCGGCCCGCTCTCGACGACCCACGAGCGTGAAGCGCACAACGCAAAAGGGACTGCCGACCTCATACCGCACGACGTGCACCTTGACGCGCTGGCGCCGCTGGCGTAGAGAGAGCGGCAGGTTGCGGTTGAGCAGCGTCTCGAGCGCCTCGAGCTCTGCGAGGCGGAAGTCGATGTGTGTTTGCGTGAAGCGGATCAGGTAGAGGTGAGGGTTGTCCATGGCGGGCGGGCGTCGAGATGGAAGGAGACGATGCGGCAAGGCGGTGCTGGATTCTTTGACGGAATCTGGCGAGGGTTTTGTAAGGGGGGTTTTGCCGCGCTGTAAGCTGGTCAAGGGTGGGGTCGTATCATATGCGATAAAGTGGTAATACCGCTGGGGAGTCAGAGGTTGTGCTGCGGGCTGAGTTCCGTCTCGTATGTGGGGGTTGTTGCGGCTCTCCAGGCGTCGACTGGAGGCACCGTTGATCTCTGTCACTCGATCGCTTACGAAGTCAACCTCGCACGCTCAAAGTGCATTGTCGTGTGGTGAGATGTAAAGAAGGCAAACAGATGTGGAATATTTTTGCTTGGCGGACCCCGTCAGGCAGTAAAATACTTGGCAGCAAGAGTACCGAAGTATGCAGCGCAGACGCGAGTCACGGCGGGAAGGGTCTGGACTGGAGCTGACAATAGATATTCTATGCGAGACCTGAAGTGAGCCAGGGCCGCTTTTTGCCTCTCCTCTAACCTACGGCCATAACGACAACATGTACACCAAGTTCGTCCCCTCCACCAAGTACCATCCCGTCATCCTCCCCATCCTGCTCCTCCCATCTCTCCCCCGCAGCCAAGAACCTAAGAATAATCCCCCAACCAAGTCGGATGCGCCTTCACCGCATTCACCTTGATAGGCCACTTCCCCGTCCCTGCCACGGCCCACAGGTCCTGCGGCTGGATATTCCCTTTACACTTCCCCTTTGGCGGCAGCGGAATGCTATGACACGCACAGTTCCACTCCATGGTTGCCCCCTTGCACTTATTCCACGGCTTGCACTGGATGTGGCCAAAGTCGGTATAGCATTGGCACTGCTCGGCGCAGATCTCGGGGGTGATGACCTGCTTGTTGCAGGTGTGGCCGTTGGGGGTGCACATGGTGGGCTCGGTGGGGCCGTCGAGGTGGTGGGGGCGGGGGTCGCTGCCGATGCCGTTCTGGCGGCGGAGGAGGGCGGTGATGTTGGCGTTCACGTTGTCGGGAGGGGAAAAGGGGATGCTGGAGGATGTGGTGAGGGAGAGGAAGGCGAGGAGGGGAAGAATGGTGGTGGTTAGTTTCATGGTTGCGGTGCTGGGATGGTTTCTGATACTGTGGAATGTCCCGGTCAAAATGGTGCTTAGCACTCGCGGTGCCAGGATAAGCGGCAGTCGTGGCGGGATAACATATTGTACTCGAGAGCCAAGAACATAACAACGGACCAGGCTTGAACAATGCTGCACACTCACACATGGAACAAGGCAGCTTGATCATACAGCTTGACTGTTCAGCCAACAGCACCGTGTATGGGCAACGAGCAAGCGCTGATGTATCCGTCTTTGTTTACAAGCGGCAGTCGATGTCTATTCATTGGCGAATGAGGGCACAAGGTACAGTCCCGAAAGTGGCCATTGCGCACGGTGTCATTGTCAACGGTATGGCTTGCCTCAGTTCTGTGGTGTACGAATGGCATGGCCCCCTAGAACGGTACAAGAGAAGAAGGTGAAGCCTCGACCTGCGAGGCTGCGAGTGCTTGAGCCCTGGCCCGAGTAGCGGACACAAGTACAAGTTACCCGTGCACGTACCTTACTTCCATGCTCGTTCACCGTGCCTGATGCATGGCGCGATTACTTTCTCTTCTGACGAGAATCGAGAACGACCCTCATAGACCCAAAACCATTAAGCCCACGTAGCTCGACTCTGATAATTACAACCCTCTGCGAAACCAAGATTGCACCGGTTCAGACTCGAAGTCCACTATTAGTCGCCCATGGCTCGAACGTCGACTCGAAGAGCTGACTAGTGTAAGCCCTGTGCTTAATCCCCGGAATATCCAGAATTCAAGGAGCCATAAAACATGAAGCCAAAACTCCCACCTTACCGAGCTCCCATCTACACAAGCTGGTACCAGTGCCCGCACCGGTCTTGACAGTTCCCAACATGTGAAGATAGGTCCCAGCTGCTCAGAGATTGCAACAAACAACCGAAGTACCACTCTTCGAGATGGACCAGCGCAAAATCGACGAAATTCAGCCCTTGTGCATCTGCCTGGTTATGTCGATACCAGTCGCATCATTGTCTGTTCCAGTGCCAGCCCATTCAGCTGTGCGTCCTATTCAACAGCGTCGGGGGTGCTCCTCTCAGCAATCTCCTGCTGTAATATTGCCGGAGGGTGGTAAATAACCGTGGCTGATCGATCGCGACGCACTGCAGATGATAGCTTGCCGTATATCTGGCTGGTCCACCGTATGGCGGTCTTTGTGGTCGAATCAGAATGAATGGATGATCTATCTTCTTCCGCACTGACCCTTTCCACATGCTCGACCATATATAGAGCAAGATCGGCCGGCTCATCGCCCTCCTCGACACAAATCTGGTGTAGCTGAGGGGGTCTCATTTCTTCATGGGTACTGTCAACGTCCAAGATAATGCTGGTCTTGCCATTTTCAGTACTGTCAATTGACGGCTGTAGCATCTCTGATGACTCAGACTGATAGGTCTCCCATGCTGAGGGCTGGCTTGCGAGGCTCCGACGGCTGGGGCAGCGGCGCGAACGCGGGGCTTCGATAGCCGTCTGGATTCTTGGTGCGTGCGCGGCCTCCCGACGCAGCCCGTGCTGTCTTGTGTCACCTGCAAGGTCTCTCGTGCGGTTGTTAGAACGAGATCCGCGATTGGCGGCATGCTTCGTAGTTATGACACGCCGGGACGTTGCCCTGCCAGAATGTCTTCCTTGACGAACCTGTTGGGTGACTCCGTGATGTGTCTGAGACCATTGTGTTGCTTCACCGGTGCCTGTTCGCGGGCAAGCGACAGAAGATTCGGCTTGGTCAGTACCAGGGTTTTTGCACTCGACTCCCTCGAACAGCGCGCTAGGAGTTCTCCGGCTAGTCCCGGCTTTGTTTCCCGGCTCTTCATCATCTGAAGCCACTGCACTGTCAATATTGTCATCATCAAACAAGCATGGCGTCCGAGGCCTAGCTGCTTTTTCCCTAGTAAATTGATTTTGGGTAATGTTGTGCAGAGGATTGGCTTCGGTCTCACTCACTGCCATTGAAGGCTGTCGAGACATCTTGAGACGTTGTTTGATCTCGCCATCGCTACTTATGCTGCAAACTGAGGCCATCGAGGCTTTTCGACGCTTCATCATGCTATCGTGGAACGAGCTAGATGCAGAGGAATTGGTGGATGGTGAGAAACCACGCTGGACGAGAGAGCCGCGGCGACGGTCGATATATTCAGTTGGGTAAGGCAATCCGCCACGGGGAGAAGCTGTGGAACTGGCGGGACTCGGTCTCTCGGAGGTAGCCTCTTGAAAGATTCTGGGGTCGACGAGGTTCAGGCGGGCAATCTCATCGATCATTGGCTTACTGAGATCGGACGTCGTTCGACGGATGTGATTGATGCGGTGCTCGTCCGAAGCATTCTTAGCCATTCGGTATCTTCCAAAGCCATTCATCTCGGGCAAGGGCGGCATCTCAGCCTCGTGATCCTTCAGCACGGGGACGGTGCTGGAACTGATGGTTCGCGTGATTTCTTCCTGAGTAATGTCGGACGCCGTTATATCTGGAGGCATGTTAAACACTGGGAGTTTGGGTGGGGCCTTCGGTTCAGGCAGACCTAAGAATTTTCGAACCATTTTGGGGTCTGGCTCTAGTTGGATGATTCGTCTAGGGGGTTTGCAGAGTGGAAGGGGATCAGTCATCTTCGAGAATTGAGAAGGCGCTGCAGAAAGGTTAGCATACGGGGATTGGGACTGCGGATTCACAAACGGGTCGCGACCACTTCACGGGTGACTTCTGTGACGCGCTTCAAGTCCTCGGTGGTGCTTGCATACTGTCTTTCGAGGCGTCTTTTGTGGCTTCGATCAGCAATACCTGGAAGATGGTTAAGATCATGGCGGTTCGAGAACGTCTGTGATCGACCTACCAGAGCCTGCGACGAGTCGGGTTATTGGTTCAGGGATTGGCATCGGATGTCTTATGTCGTCTTGAGATGGAGGAAAGAGTAGGCGAAGTTGCGCGCGGATGGGTGGACGGCAGCAGAGTGAGTGTGCTGAAGGCAAGATTGAGCGATGTAGGCCAGCGTCACGAGAAAGCGCCGATGATACTGATCTTTGGAGGAGCACTTTGTGACAGGCTCAATTGTACTGATTGTCGTCAACAGCTTTGATGGCAGTGGAGGTGGTCAAGTGGTTTGAGGTGAGCTTGTAGGGGAAGAGGCAAGTGATGCAAATTGAGAATACTGTGGGCGTATTCATGCCAGGTGTACTGCGTGTGAATAGACAGAGGGGAGGCTGGCAAGTGAATCGCAGTGAATAACACCAACAGGCAGACGGCATTCCGACTGGCAATCGGCGGTGGCCGCTGCCCTGAAGTGAATGGGTTGTGGCCCTGGGCTTGCTATCGTTGTCCCTGTCAATGTCGCAGTTTCCTCCTTCGATTTTGCAAGCGTCCTTCAATCCAACCTCAACTTTGCAAGGCAATAACTGTGGGTGAGTGAGGTTCCTGACAACGAAGATAATGCTCTCATATACGAGGAAAGTCGTAGGTACCTGGCTCGTATAGGTCGTCGTTAAGGGAGAGGACTCTTCGCGCAGGCGAAATTCCATCCATTCCATCCTTTTCACTAGTTCACACCAATCGTAGACGACAATTGGACCTAGTCCACTTCAACGACTATCACTATCTCTTACTGGTTAACGCCGTCCGCGAGCCGTCTGCCGACAAATAGGCCTGTATCACATGTACACAGCCGTGCGCAAAGGACCGGATACTGGACATGAGGAGTACTATTGGCCCTGGCGATCTTCGTCTTCATCTGGATGTTCGTATGGTCGTTGCCAACTTTTCCTTCCCGCACCGATGCTGATCCAAGCTAGTTCGATAATGTACCCTCAAACAGCCAGCTATGGTTCTACAAGTCGACCCCGCGACATGGTTCCGGGGTGTTCCATGCAGGATGTTGCCAACCGGGGATCCTTCAATCCACAGCCATCAGAGCGAGGCCGTTGTTCGTCAGGGAGAGCCAAGGCGGTGTCCATAAGGGCTGGGCCGTGACATGCGACCGCAGCCACATGCCCGAAAGCTCAGACTATAGCTTTCGTGAGCCATCTTTTGACGACAGGGCTCTCCTCTTGCAGGTGCTGAGCTATTTCAAGTGAGTCTCATTGGCAGTATCTCGAAACAAAGAATTGATTGCTCCGATCAACAACGGCTTTGCGAACTTGTTGAGATCTGGAGTCTAGCCCTGTTGACAAGGTGGTTATTGGACGATGCGAACAGGATCTTCACTCACAAGCGAGCTGTGTCTGGCAAGGACGCCTGGCCAGGACTGGAGCAAGCCGACGGAACGTGTGCCCTGTCAGACTCTGAGAAGCCCGTACCACGCCCAACGTGTCACATTGCGCGTGCTGGAGGCACGCTTGCTGCTCCTATTCTGAACTGTGATGACGGCCAGGGAGCTTCTAGTCCGAACTCAAACCCGTGACACCCGAAGTACCGCACCCCGTTCAAGCTTCCGAAGATGCATGCACATAAGATCAAGCGATTTCTCGGCTTGCGTACCCGCTGCACAGCACGCGTCCACAAGGAAAGCACAAGGAGGACCATGGTATGTCTATTCAAAGTTTTAGGCGACCTGCTAGCCTAGAGCTTGTGCTTGGAACTGGCCCCCACCAACGCATCCTTGGCGACAAACCCTTTCACCCCTCAGCTCTCCAACAACTTTTATCAGATCGTCTAACTGTTGCTTCGTCTTGATCTTGGTTGCTGGAATAATTGTATCTGAGGTCCGAACGCTGATCTATACGACGAACTTACTCGAGCCACATACAATCTGTGCTTATTCGCTCCTCACCACTACACCGCTCCCGCTCTACAAAATAGTTGATTCCCCCACCCAATATAGCCCAGCATGGCCACGTGAGTACTACCCACGATCTCTTTCTTGGACGAAGGCCTTTTCTTGCACATGTCGAGGTGGCTTCAAGCAGGGTATGCTGCTGTTCTTGTGTCTCTCTGCGTGGTTCAGGCTTTTCCGTAGCCACATCTTGGCCCCTCCATCCCAACAAAATGGACATTCATTGCATAAGAAACCGGTCTTTACAAGCTTTATACTAATCTTGAGCTTTGCAGAAACATTACTTTCCACCCAACACCTCTGACTGTGCCCATTCGAGCCGGTCTCCGCAAGCAGAATGGCCTGACTATCTGGCTGACGGGGCTCTCCGCCTCTGGCAAGTCGACGATCGCTGTCGCCCTCGAGCAGGCCCTTCTTCGCCATCCTTACAACTTGGCCGCATACCGTCTCGATGGTGACAACATCCGCTTTGGCCTGAACAAGGACCTCGGCTTCAGTCCCAAAGACCGTGAGGAGAACATTCGTCGCATCGCAGAGGTCGCCAAGCTCTTCGCCGACTCTTGCACCATTGCAATCACCTCCTTCATCTCGCCCTATCGTGCCGACAGAGACCAGGCAAGAACCTTGCATGAGGCTGAGCGTCCCGGTGGCGAGCCCGGTGTGCCTTTTGTCGAGGTCTGGATCGATGTGCCGGTTGAGGTTGCCGAGCAGCGCGATCCGAAGGGCTTATACAAGAAGGCCAGAGAGGGCAAGATCCCGGAGTTCACGGGTATCAGTGCGCCATATGAGGAGCCTCTTAAGCCCGAGGTCCATATCAAAAGTCACGAGACGTCCGTTGAGGATGCCGTCAAGATCATCGTCAAGTATCTTGAGGACAAGGGCTACCTGAAGGCTCCTCCCGCGCCCAAGGACGATTAAATCACGCCGTGTTCACGTCGTGCAATCCGTCACTAGAGGTTCTTAGATCTTGAATGAGGTGGTCACATAGATTCCTCAAAGACAGGCTAGTATAGACACATATATATGGCGCTCTAAGCCTATTCGTTTGCGCCTTTTCCCCTGGTCCCTTCTACACCCTTGCCCCAATCGCCCGCCTTTTTCCCCCATCGCATCATACCCCAGGCATGTTGCCAGCCAAACTTGGGCGGCGCCTCTTCGCTTGTTCGATATGGGCTCGCGCCATGCTTGAACAAATCACCTTCCGCATCCCTCATAGCGTCGACCCTCCTCCTACCACCATCATGCGTACCCTCCATTCCCTTCTCCACCTCGTTCACCACCTTCTCAACATCCTCGTCCTTGATGCCTTCCCAAAACCTCCCTGCCCCACCCTCAGGCCGCCACCACTCGGCCACCGGCCTTCCCTCTCGAACCCTCCACCACCGCCGCCCACACATCTCCCACAGCCGACTCCTGGCGCGACGGTACGCGAACTTCTCGTCCTCACCGACCAGCACCCTCGTATCCGTGAAATCCGGCGCCATACCAACACTCAACCCACCGCCACCGCCACCACCACCATCCATCCCCTGCCGCCTCAACACCTCCCTCATCCCCTCCTGACTCGCACTCGGCCCATGTCCCCTCCCATTCCCATACGTTGGCCCAAAATCCGCATCCTCATCCGCGAGCATATTCCTCGCCTCTCTGCCCCCAGGGACAAACGTCGGATCCGCACTCCGCCACTCATTCCGCGCCCCGCCTCCCGCCCCATCGTAACTCGCCACATTAGGCCGGAACGGCGCCGTGCTGTCCTGGTACATCTCGCTCATCGCCTCACTCTCAATACTGTCACTATGCCCCACGGCCACCGCGGGACCAGTTATCCGCCCGTCCTCGCCTCCTTGGCTGCTGCCGCCACTGCGGCGCCTCACCTCCGGGAAGAAGAGCCGGTCGACGGGTGCCTCGGCGGAGACGACTAGGCGTACGCCCGCCTCGTACATGGCGTCGATGAGCCAGATGAGGCGGCGCGCTTCGTTCTTGGTCGTGGCCGTGAGGACGGGGATCGAGGTCAGGATTATGCTGTGGAAGCGGGCGCAGAGCGAGACGTAGTCGGCGGGGCCGAGGTGGCGCGTGCAGAGGTTGGCGAAGGTGGCGTTGAGGACACCGCCTTCGCTTTTGGCGTTGGCAGCAGGGTGAAGCGTGGTGGCGGAGGCATGGTAGGTTTGGGGGAGGGTCAGCGTGCGGCCGTAGATGGTGAGGTTGAGTGGCGACCAGTGCTGCGTAGGGTTCAGTGTGGTGATGTCGTGGGTGAGGCTGGAGGAAGGGAGGCTAGGGCCTGTTAAGTGGTAGTGAGGCGGGACATCGGAAGATGCTGGCTCGACTGGTGGCGAGGACGAGGGCGACGTGGACAGCGTGACGCCTGGCTCACCAGTGTTGTCAGCAGGACCCGTCTCGCCATCGAACGCCGCAGCGTCAGCTTCAGCATTTTCCTCAGTCTCCTCCCTTCGCCAATCTCGTTCCCCTTCCATCTCCCAAAGTTCGCACCTCGCTTTCAACACCTCGACAAACCGCTCCGCCTCATCTGGTGGACGCCCACCAGACTGGCCCTTGCCAAACCACCCCACCCATCCCCCTCGCCCCCAGCGCCCCTGCCTCCCACCCCAGTACGGGTCACTGAACCTAACACCCTGCCCTTTACTCAACTCCTCGGGCATGCGATTCGAGCTCGCGACCAACACTCCCCCCAAGCCAAAGAACCCGGTCAGAAACCCATTGACCAGCCGACTGCTCGCGCGATCCGGCATCTGGAACTCATCCAGGAACAGCACGGGACTCGTCTCGACCGTCTCGCGCGCCAGACTCAGCACCACATGCTCGTGCTCCACCCCTCTCCCATCACCACCAGCACTCCGCATCCTTGCCAACCGCTCCACCTCCAGCCGCCGAAACACGTCCAGCATGAAGGTGTTGAAGTGCCAGCGCCGCTTGCCCGCCGTGGGCAGGCTCGCGAACAGCAGGTCCAGCAGCATGGATTTGCCGCGGCCCACGCCGCCGTAGAGCAGAAGGCCCTGCGGGGAGTCGATGGCGAGCGCCGTGTCGTGCAAGGGGGTGCTGCGCGTCAGGGCTTTCATGTCGGCCGTCGCTCTGGGGCCGAACTCGAACAGGGACGAGAGGAGAGACTTTTTGGGCGGAGAGGAGGAGGAGGAGGAGGGCGACCCCGACTTGGCGCCATGGCTGGAAGTGGGATGACTGTTGGCGGAGGCGAAGGAGGAGGAGGGAGAGGAGGTGAGGCCGCGGGTCACGCGCTGTAGGCGGCGGCGGTAATCGATCTCTGGACGGTAGTCCTTGAGGCGGAAATAGAGCTTTTGGAGTTGGAGCGCGAGCCGGTGCTGGGCGGGATCGGCTTTTATGCGGTTGGTAGCGACGAGGGTGCGGTAGAGGACGAGCGGGTTGGTGATGGCGAGGCTGGTGCTTGTGTTGGTCGCCGAGGGAACCGGCGGTCCGGGCATGGGTGGAAACGACTGTGAGAAGAAGGCATAAAGGGAAAGACTGTGAAAGAGCCGAGGAGGGAAGTATTGCTATGACGGGATGAGGTGAGGTCGGGGTATGCTGATTGGCTGGGGCTTGTACTCTGGTAGGCTCAGTGGGCGGCCGTAGCGGTATACGGCGGTTCCAACCGGTCATGAGGAGGCATGTTGTAAAGGATGACTGGGCATCGAAGATTGTACGATGGCATCTGATCTGGCTATGTCGGCCATATACGAAGGTATCTACATGCTCATGGGATGAAAGCATCTCCCACAGATCCGAAGCACTCTATCAACAGCAGCAACAAGCTCACTCTACATCCAAGCTCTCAACGCTGCGTTCCAAACCAGTCGCTGCATCACCACCATTGAGGCTCGTTGCTTGACTGGCTGTCTTCTTGATTCGGCCTTTTGATCCAGCCTTGCCTTTCTTCTTGCCACCGCCCTCGCCAACACCCGAGCTGGGAGGAGGCGCTTCCCGCACCCACCGCACGATCGCCTCGGCTCGCTCGGTCGTGATCGGATACTCTTTGCCGTCCTCGCCTTGTGCCCACCGCTTGGGAGCATGCTCTTTGGCAGCGTGGCTGCCATTGGTGTCCGCTCCCGTCTTCACGGGTGGCGGACTGACGGATGTGGTTCTATTGTACTCCTGGCGCTGGAGTTCTTCCTCCTCGCGAGCGGCCATCATCTCCCGCGCTCTGACACTTTTGCGGAACGAGTCCTCGTCAACGACTCTCTCGTCGCCAAGAGCTCCTTCTATGGCTTGCCGCTTGATCCGCTCCTTCTTCTGCTCTGGCGTTTCCGCCTTCTGTTTGTTTTGCTGACCAGGGAGTGGCGCTGGAGCACATAGCTTCTCCCAAGTGCTTTCAAGATTGAGAAAGTTGCCCGAGCGGCGAATGATCTCTATCCAATCGGCACGGGATGGGGAGCGAGCAGCGAGGAAGATCGGGTAGCCGTCGCAGACCCGAGCGATGCGTGCGGCCATGTAGGCGTGTCGAAGGTGCTCCTTGGCTGAAGTCTGTATCAAGCAATGACAGAGCAGCAAAGAATGGAGAACGTCCGTGAGAAGCGGGTGATATGTGACAGCTTCCGAGAAGTCTGGCAGATTGAAGATGGGATGTGGCTTTTGTGCAGGATTCTCCGAGTCTGCTGGGTACGGTGGCAGATCCGCAGGCGCAACTGCAGCAAATAGACTGTTCAGCTTATGGATCCTGGGCTTGGGTATCTCGGGTAGAGAACCATTAGATTGCTGCTGCTGCCCTTCGTACCGGACCAACGCATCGGAAGCTCCAGATTGCGAGTGCGCATCAATGTCCAGTAGGCGCTCAGCTCTTGATCGGTTGCCGCTCGCATTCGAGGCCGCACTCACCCGTTGCAGAAATGCTTCGGTATACTCTGCAGACAAGCCAGGAGTATAGTCGAAGTGAGACAGGAAGGCGAGGTAGTCCCGCAGAGCTCGTTTGGCATAGGTTCGAACATACTTGCGAGCCTCTGCACGAGCTCTCGCTTCCTCCCTTTCCTGGGGGTCAAGCTTGGGCTTTTCGGCTGCATCGTCATCAGCGGGCTTGGAAGAAGCATCCCGCGGAGGTTGGCCCCTTAGTGCCGCCGCGATGTACTCGCATGCCATCGCTAGGTAGGTGTTGCCTCGATGAAACAGAAATTGAGGCTCCAAGCTACTAGGCTGGTCCTTCTCGCTCACCTTGGCTTCCCTGCCATAGTCCCTCGAAATCTTGGCTGCATCTTTGGCGAGGATGATATCGGGTTGCTGGTTCTGGTGTTGGGGATGGTAGAGCCTGAAGACCGCAAGCCCATCAGTAAGGTCCTTGATGGCCCCAGGGAAGTCATCCTTGAAAATGCGCGTGACCGCCCTGGTCCTATACGTAGAGGCCTCGGTCGGCATTTGCCTGATAATGCTGTTGAGCGTGTCAAGGGTAGTAGACGCGGCCAGCGCGCGAGATGGGATCTTCTCGTGGAAGAAGTGCACGTACTGCGCGTCGGGATCGGCCTCCTCGCGTTGTAGAACGATTTTGGCGACGTCCTCGAGGGCAGAGGCAGACTGCATCGTTGAGACACTTGCTGCGATCTCATCCAGACGGTAGGCATGCGACAGCTTCTGTGTGGCATGCTCGCGCATGCGGTGTTTCCGCTCCCGACTTAGTTTTGCATTGCCGCCTCCTCTCGAGGACCCTATACCAAGTATTTCTGCGTCAGAGCCGCTTAATATGCCATTAGTTGCGCTTAGCGAGTTGCTGAGCGCGGAAGAGGTGGTGCCATTGACAGCGCGCACGGCAAGGCTTGTAGCATCGTCGATGAGTCTGCGAATCTTGACTAGATCGAAGAAGACCGCCGGATCAATGGGCTGTGGTCGTGGAGAATAGTAGTTGCTGTATGCGAGACTCTCGAGCACTTCGGGTGGAAGATTCAGCCAGGGACCGTGGTAGGACGAGATGTACCGCCAGTGTCTGTCGGGGTGTCAGCATGGTGTCCACAGGAGAGTCATGACGGCGTACTTGTTACGGCAGATGACCAGCGTTGGCGGTGCCTGAGGCTCAGCTGCAGCGAGCGTCGCGGACTTGGGCTGCGCATTGTTTGCTACGCGGCCGTCAGTCGCGCCATCGTTACCAGCATCCTGCCCCACCGAACTCGACGCGTCCTTCTTCTTTCGAGTCATACCGACCTTTATAGGCCGCAAGCGTTCTTACAAAAGCATTCGCTGTATTGGCTAGAAAAAGTCGAGGTTGCACGAGTTGGAGGTTCAAAGGTTCCCCAAAAATGTTGCGCCGCAGTAGCATAGCGCTTTACGACCTTCCCTAGAGTTTGAGGATTTGAAAAGATTTATTCACGCGATGAATGATCTGGAGAGGTCATGGAGTGATCCGTGTGATGCCTCCGGGTGTTGATTCAGAGCTGCGCGTGGCTATTGTTGTGGTGGTGTGCGCCATCTGAACAGGGCAGTCAGTATGTTATATACAGGCGCTTTCAATCTGTCAGGACAGGCCGCATACTCTGTGCGCAAGCGAGTAAGACGGGGAGAGGTGCTCATATTGTGTTCGACGTGTCTTCGTGCATTGGGTACCTGGGGAATGCATGTGCTAGGCTCTAACGTGCTCGGTCACCGCACGACATTGTCCTTCTTTGAACTTGTACCACCCATCTCATTGCGAAACGTGAGCGAATGCGGCCTGTACTTCCCGACATCCTCACCTCGCAAGATACAGTCCTCGGCTGGTGCTTCTGTACCACAGTACCGCCCATTGTCGTCCTTGGCATAGTGCTTCAAGTAATCCCGGCGCGGCATCTTCTTCATAATAAAGTTGCTGTTTTCGGACCTCCTTCGCGACCAGAACCACTGCTTCTTAGACGTCTCAGCTGGGGCGGAGCTGTTGGGTGGCAGGACTGCGACGGGTATCAGGGAGTCATCCGTGAACTTTACGGGCAGGTGATTGACACCAGCAATGCCCCCAGTGTCTGACGCCATAACGGACGTGAATGCTGCTGATGCCTTGTCCCGCTCAGTGGAAGCCTTAAAAGGTCTTCCTGTTGCTGTAAACCGATCCATGCCATCGGGCATGTTGAGGCGCTCGGAGCTTTCGCTGGCCATGCTGATTTGAAGTGATGTACTTGATGCTGCTGTAGGTCGTTAAAAGGTTCCACGCTCAGTGTTGGAAGTCTGGGGACGCAATTAGCAGCAATTCAACCCTGGATTTTGCGTCTGGAATTTGAATGCAGGCGTTCATCCCAGAATAGCAACAGCTTTGCGAACCTCCAGGGCCGATGGAAGCGTTTCCTGTGTCCTCATTGGCGTGAAATTCCCACTTTCTCCCGTCCTGGCTAGCAGAAACTATAAACCATGCGTGGGATGGGGAAAGTTGCCGACAGCTGTACTTTCGATCCGAGCGTTCTAGAAATAACGTGGAGGAAGTGTACCGAAAGTAGATGGTGGCGGTCGTTCATCCTCGTCGCTGGGTTGTATCATGTGCTCTCGCGTAACTTTGCCAGGGCCGCAGCAATACCGCTGGCAAGCTCAGGGTCCTTTCGTGCTTCACGGCTTGCAGGGGCAGCTTGCGGCCGACTATCTTGAGATGGACGTTCTTCAGCGGACGCCAGAGCAGCCAAGGCCTCAGCATCATCATCGTCAACATCGTCGGCCGTGATCTCCTGCATTCTAGGCCGCTTGTGGCTGTTCTCGGGACGAGTACTTTCTCGAGACAAGCCTGGAGTTGCTGATGCCCTGCTGGATCCGGGAACGGTAGAGATGGGCACAGCGGTTGCTATCGGCGTTGCGGCGCGACTCGACTCTGTGCTGCTATCTCTGCCATCCGCCGTCATGCTGCTCTCTTGCCGGTACATAGCGATGTTGGTTCTGCCTGCCCTCTTCACGCGAAACGGTTCACGAACAGACGAGCACCATGCCTTGACTTTCTTTTCGCCCCAGCCAGGTACCATTGCCAGTTCTTCGGGTTCTGCGTTGACTGCTGCTCTTAAGGATCCAAAATTGCCGATCAAGCTCGTGGCATCAGTCTTGTTGATATTTCGTGGGGTAGTGACGAACTCGATTAGACTCTCCTCGTATGTTTCGGCCTGATGCGCTCGAATTGAGGTCGGGGAGGCGTGCTCGTAAGATTTGAATAGCTCGAGGTACCGGCCTGCCTCCTGAGCTGACCAGCACAAGATCAGCGTCAGGTTGTTAATCATCGAGGTCTTGGAGAGCTCCTTGAGTGCTTCTTCATGATTGTCGATGTCTACCATGGTCAGCAAGATTCTCAGATTGTAGAGCTTCCCAAGCTGGCGCAGTCGACTGTAGATGTACTCGGGATGTAAGCGGTGGTATTTCAGCGACAAGAACAGCGCGCACGTGGTCGTCCCGAGCACATAGTCGCAAGGAATATCTGAGTATTCCCATGGAAGCGACTTGACATAGCCTAGGATCGGATTGCCCTTCTGACGCGTTGAGACGAGGATCGCCGAGGGGCCTTGCCGCTGGGGCAATGCCTGCGGTTTTGGCTGCACCACTTTGGTGGAGGGTCCGCCGGTGCCAGAGGATCGCTGAGCATTGCCAACTCCTTCGACCGCGGCAGCGGCTGCGATGAAGTCTGCATCATCGAACTCCTCAGCCATGGCGGCGATGCGGTCAAATCAGTGAAAAAGAGCCGTCAAACGATGCCCCGGATACCTCGCCGCGACACACGCCGGTGGTTGGAGAACTTTTGAACGAAGTCACGTGAAGACGCGCATGCGCATACCACTTTAAGCGCCCAGGCGCGTCCTGGAGCGAAGCGCTATCATCTGTCGAGAACCGCATCGACGATACATCTGTGTCTGCCCCGCCCCGCAGGTCGCAAGAACACTACAGTCGATCTTTAGGAGATCTTGATCACGAGCTTTCCACGCACACGGCCTGTTCCCAGCCTCTTGAACGCTTCTCTGACATCTTCAATAGCATACACCTGCTCAATCACCGGCTTCAGCACGCCATCCGCCACCCAATTGGCGAGCTGCTCGTAGTCTTGCGACTGTGTAGCAGCGGCCAGGAACTTGAAACTCCGCTGACCTCCACCTAGGAACGATGGCCAGAGGCTCACAGACATGTACCTGGTGATGAACTGGAAGTCTGGTCCGCCGGCAATGGTGAGATACCTTCCAGACGGCTTCAGATACTCGTGACAGGACCAGTATAGCTTCGCATCGGCGAAGACATTGTCGACCATTAGGTCATAGCGCTGTCCGCCCTGCTTCAGCACGTCCACGACATCTTGCGACCGGTAGTCGATGACTTCGTCTGCTCCCATGCTCTTACAAAGCTCTGCATTGGCGCCGGAGCAGATTGCAGTCACAGAACATCCGATCACTTTGGCGATCTGGATGCCGAAAGTCCCAGTACCGCCACTCCCGCCATTTATCAGTACCGTATCGCCCTTGCCGACGAAGGGCACGAGACACTGGTATGCTGTGAGTCCTGCTATGCCGATGGTTGCGGCGTCTTCGAGTTTCACTTCATCTGGAAGGAGAAAGCATGACTTCGAGCTCACCACCAAGTACTCTGCGCACGCCCCAAAGTTTGGAATCTCAGTCTGGCCAAACACGCGCTGTCCCTCTTTGAATTTGGCATCGCTGGATCGGACCACGGTCCCAGCATAGTCGAAGCATGGTATACCTTTAAAAGCGAGTCGTCCAACCAACGGTGCATCTGGGATCTTCGCATCGACCGGGTTTAGCGAAGTATACGCGACCTTGACAAGTACGTGTTTGGGCGGGAGGGCGTTTGCGTTCTTTGGCCAAGGCACGTCCGTGTCAACTTGGAGGCTATCGGCCAGATACCCATTGCCAACCCTACGGGCGGCTTTCATTGTGGACGGTACTGACAACGACATGAGGCAGTGTAGTGACTTGGCGAAACGGTTGCTAACACTTTAGCTATACACAGCCAGGAACTAAAGCCCCATGCCAGCGATAGGACAGGATTTATGCATCTGTCTGAACCCCGTTCACCAAACAGCGGGGGTTATGTTGGCGCCGAGGCATGGTAAATCCACAATTCCAGAGGGGCTACTCCCTCAGTCGTACTTTTCATCGTCAACGCAGGTATGCTGGACCTTATGACGACGAGACATGCCAAGAGGGGGTTAGTGGTGTAGCTGGTTCGATTCTGTGCGGCCCAATCCGATGCAAGTCATGAACTCTCGTCGACCGTCCCCTGTACCCGAATCTGCCCGTGACTAGGCGACAGGGCGTCCACGGAAAGGCTTCGAACTGAAGTAAAGTCACGATTCAAACCATTCACCCAGTGAGATTCTGCATGATTGTGGCAAAAGTCTCTGGCCATAACATTCAGTGCCAAGGTCCTAACTCCAGGCTGCCTACCAGGTTCATGACGAACGATTTGCAGCAGCTACAGGTACCTGGTCAACCGAGCATTGAACGCCAGGGTGGCCGGACCGTGGGTGACCCTTGAGGTAACATCAAAGGCTGTAGCAGCGTACAAGCTGAGCCCTACGACTCTTCAACCGTGTCCTCGAACTGCATTTCCTCCATGCCTGGCGGCATTTGATGCCCAGCCGTTTCCGCCTTCTCGACAAAAGCCCGTACTTCCTTCTCCTCGTCGTCCGTCAATTGAATCTGCATGGCCTTCCAGTTATCCTCGAGATACTCGATCCTCTTGGTTCCCGGGTTCGGAATGATATCCTCACCCTGCTTCAACAGCCAGGCCAACGCCAGCTGGCTGACATTACAACCCTTCTTCTCCGACAGCGCTTGAAATTTGCGCACCATCTGTACATTCTTGTCTCGGTTCTGCCCCATGAACCTGGGCAGTCCCTGGGCACGACGGTCATTGACATCGGCGGGGCTGTCGTTCTTTGCGAAGACCGAGGTAGCCATGCCGCGGCCCATGGGGGCGTATGCCACTGATGCTTTGCTTAGCCTTGTGCCGGGACAGAGAAATGCCACATGCGCTTACCAATTGCCACACCGAGCTCACGAGCGGCCGCAAGGAGGTTGCCACTGACGGACTTTTCAATATCGAGAGTGAACGGTGAGTACTCGACCTGAATTGCGGCTATGGGTGCGATTTTGTAGGCACGGCGCAGAGCATTCGCACCGATGTTGGAGAGGCCGATGTGTTTGATCTTCCCCTCGCTTCCGGACTGTTAACGCTCACTCATGAGAATCAAGAGGGGCAATGAAGACATACGCCTGGAGCTCTGCCATCGCGCGGACAGTGACCTCAATTGGAATGTCATGGTTGGGTGAGTGGAGGTAGTCTGCACGACATGTAAATCAATGTCCGAATTTCTCACTCCGAAAGCCGAACGCGGTACTTACACAAATCGATATAATCAGTCTGCAGATCCTTGAGGCTCTTTGCACAAGCCGCCCTGCAATACTCAGGACTACTGTTCGGGGCTGCCATGTGATCGTTCTTGTTGAGACCGAACTTGGTTGCCAGGAAGATCTGGTCGCGCTTGCCGGTGCGCTTGAACCACTTGCCCACGAACTCCTCACTGTCGCCGTACAAGCTTGCACATGGTCAGTCTGACCAAAGAACGACGGTTTGTGGGGCGGTCTCATACTCAGCAGTGTCCCAGAAAGTTGCCCCGATCTGAACCGCGCGGTCGAGCAGCTTGAAGCGATATTCGTCGTCGGGGATCGTGCCGTATGCTATGGACATGCCCATGAGCCCGAAGCCCAGGGCAGGGACCTGCGGACCGTTCTTGCCCAGTGTGCGGGTCTGGACGGGATGAGAAGCCATGATGTTGAGATCTCAGAGCTACTGCGAATAGGTTTCAGGGGAAGAGGCGTTTTGGGGTGGTCTCGAATTCAAGCACGGCTGGTCAGACAGGGAAAGCTGAGGATGGAGAGGACTGCGAGTAAGAAGGATCCGCAAATCGGAGGTGCAACAGCAAAGTCTTATGCTCGACAGACGATCAAGAGAGTCAGCCGGTCAAGCTGATATTTATATGCGGGATTGCTATAATCAGTGCCAGCTACGGAGCACAACGGATAATAGCATTACGAAGACAATATTGTACAGCTGTCATGCAAGCACCACAATAAGAAACCCCATTGTCCATCATTTTGCTAGATGTCAAAATATTATCTCCGTTGTCTGCTCAGAAGCCGGTACTCGCATATGCCCAGGGGTCGAAAAGTGGGGATCGAAGTGCTGTCTGCCAATCACCGCATTGGAAATCCGAGCACGCTCATGTCCCCAACCTTGAGTACCCCCCGGTGCGGACGACGTACATGTTCCACTATGAGCGGGTTGAGGCTCTCCGGATGTAGTTTCGACGCAGTAGTCAGGGCTCGGCCAATGATGGCTGGTCTGGTCCGAGCTGGCCAATTTTCTGTCGTCCTGCACTATTGCGGCGACGTTGGCCGAAACGGAATCAAGCTGGGTTTCGTACTCCAGTCGCCGTCCAGAGTACAGTACCACCGCACCAAATAGAGACTGCCACGCCGGGATCACTTGTCTGAAGCAGTAGCGCCACAGAACCACATCAACAGCTCATTTTAGAGCCCCGTCTGTCTCCTGGCAATTTTTCCGGAGAAACAGACTAATAGCGGCGTACAAGCAGAACACCGTCGACAGATGATAGATGCTAGAAACATTACGATTCTAGATGCGATGTCGGGGCGCAAGAAGACTTCACGGTGAGAGTTAAACCAAATAGCTACGTAGATCGACCCCTGATAAGAAGCGCTCCATGTGTTAGTTAGCACTGATGAGCAACCACAAAAGAAGATGCCGGAAGTTGGGATTGATTGAGATGGGGGTTGCCAAAGTTCAGGCAGTGAAATGGTCTCCGCTTTTGCCAAGTGATTTGGAGAACCCAAATTTTTTGGTCGAAAGCCGCGACTCTTCAAGTGAGATCGAACTTTTTGACGACCTCATTCATTATTGCAGCAGAACCTTCTTTCATTCGCAGCTGCTACCGCAAAAATGGCGCCCTCTTCAAAGCGCCGTAAGCTGTCGGACGGCAGCCCTGCAGCACCAGTCATAACCCCTGCAACCGCCATGCCTCAGTCGCCTACCTCATCTGTTCAGGCCCTCTCCACCGACACCCCCAAAGACAAAGACAAAGACAACCGCCGCTCGCTTTTTGTGCGCTCCCTGCCCTCCTCCGTGACCAACACCACCCTCGCCGCGCACTTCAGCGAGACCTTCCCACTCAAGCACGCCACCGTGGTCCTCGACCCAGCCACCAAAATCTCGCGCGGCTTCGGCTTCGTGACCTTCACGGATGCGGCCGACGCACGTGCCGCCGCCGAGCAGTTTGACGGCTCGACGCTCGAGGGCCGCAAGATCAGAGTTGAGGTCGCAGAGTCGCGGCACCGAGATACCGATGCGAACGGCGCCGAGGGCGTGCCGCGGCAGAAGGGACAGAAGGGCGGTGGCGCGACGACGAATACTACGGGCGAGCGGCTGCGGAAAGAGCGCGAGCTGTTGAGGCAAGAAACGCAAGGGCAGCCGCCGAAGCTGATTGTGAGGAACCTGCCGTGGAGTGTGAAGACGGGGGACGATTTGGGGAAGTTGTTCCTGAGTTATGGTAAAGTGAAGCATGCGGTTGTGCCGAGAAGGGCGAGTGATGACGAGAAGAAGGGCCAGTATGGGTTTGGCATCGTGATCATTCGAGGAAGGAAAAATGCCGAGAGGGCGTTGAAGGGCGTCAATGGCAAAGAGGTGGATGGGAGGGTGTTAGCCGTTGATTGGGCTGTTGAAAAAGAAGACTGGGAAAAGGCTAAGGCAAAGGGAGATGGCGAGGAAGCCACAGAAGCTACGGGTGAGCAGAGCACTGTTGTCGACGATGACGCTCTTGAAGATGGCAAGGATGATGAGGTCCACGATGCCGCGCCTTCCGATGAGAACATCGACGACGACTCTGATGCGGGTATCAACCTCTCATCCATCGATGAAGATGACGCCGAAGATGAGACGATGGAGGACGCTTCCATTGAGGATGAGGGCCCTCCCAAACCCGACACGTCCCTCAGCACAGTCTTCATCCGCAATCTCCCCTACGACACCGATGACGCCACTCTACGCGAGCACTTCAACCAGTTCGGTCTCACACGCTACGCTCGCGTTGTATATGACCACGAGACCGAACGGCCCAGAGGTACAGGCTTCGTGTGCTTCGTTGAAGAGGACGCCGCCAAGGAGTGCGTCAAGAATGCGCCCAAGAAGCACAATCCTCTCGATGCTGCCTCGACTGCCGACCCCAAAGCCCGTCGCCGCGGCGAGCAAATCACGCACTCTATCCTGCAGAACGAAGCCTCTGACCCGACCGGTGCATACACTCTCGCCGGACGTGTCCTGCAGGTGTCCCGCGCTCTCCCGAAAGCAGACGCAGACCGACGTGCGGCGGACGGTGCGAACGTCCGTGAGAAGGCCCGCGAGGCCGACAAGCGCCGACTGTACCTCCTCAGCGAAGGCACGGTGCCCAAAGGCTCAAAACTGTACAACAGCCTGAGCAAGACTGAGCTCGATATTCGAGAGGCGAGCGCGAAGCAGCGTCAGAAACTGATCAAGAGCAACCCGAATCTCGGAATCAGCCTGACAAGACTAAGCATCAGGAACCTGCCGCGATCGATCGGAAGCAAGGAGTTGAAGGCACTCGCCAGACAGGCCCTGGTGGGCTTCGCGCAGGATGTCAAGGAGGGGAAACGCAGCCCGCTGTCCGCCGAGGAGCAGAAGCGTGGTGGCGAAGAGATGCGCGAGGCGGAGAAGAGGAGGAAGGAGAAGGGCGTGGGTGTGGTCAAGCAGGCGAAGGTGGTGTTCGAGGGCAAGGAGGGTGGGAAGGTGAATGAGGGCGCGGGCGGAAGGAGCAGAGGCTACGGCTTCGTCGAGTACTGGGCTCACCGTAGCGCCCTGGCTGGTTTGCGGTGGATGAATGGGCACCTGGCGCTGCCCAAGGAAGGGGCCGAGGGAGAGCGTGGCAAGAGGCTGATCGTCGAGTTCGCGATTGAGGATGCCAGGGTCGTGCAGCGCAGAGGGGAGAGGGAGGGAAAGGCGCAGCGAAAGCGGACCGAGGATGGGCAGGCTGAGGAGAGCAGCAAGGCGTATGGAGGAAAGAATGCCAAGAATGGCAAGTACGGCAACATCAATCCGCAGGACAGACGAGGCAAGAATGACAAGAAGAGGAAGCGGGTCGAGGAGGAGGTGGTGAAGGAGTCGAAAAGGGCAAAGGTCGATGATGATGAGGACAAGAACAAGATCGCGAAGAGGAACCGAATCATTTCGAAGAAGCGGCACGCAAGAAAGGCGAGGAAGGGCTGAGCGAGCAGCTCTGTCCGGGATGTCATTCAATGTCTGGTGCATAGCGCCCATAAAAGCAGTCCACATTTTGTGGCATAACGACTGATTCCAGGCAGGACTGGATTCCAGGCTCTTTGAACCTGGGGGTATCTGATATTCCCTGTCATAGTCTCTTCAAGCCTGTCCCGCGATAGGGGTTGTATTCGTCGCTCCAGTAACCTGGAAGCTCCTCGGTCAGCTAGATCGGTCTGTTGGACGCAGCGAGTCACCATTTCCTTCGAGGACGTCCACGCGCATTCTCTCTAGAGCTTAGCTTCATGACTGACCTTGCCAACGATATTATACCTCTTGCTGAAGAAGGTATACCACTCATCCAGAACGGTCTTGTGCTTGTCTTCAAGATCCGACCAGTCGGGGACGCAGTCTTCGGGCTTCAAGCTCGACATTGCAAGGGCGCGCGAGGGATCCTTGCCAGCAAAGACTACCAACCATCAGCAAACAGGTCTATACCGTCTCGCGTGGTCCGTCTGGTGTACCATGATAGTTTCCGCCTTGTCCGTATGCATTATTCCGAGAAACATCGAAAATGGTGCCTTTCACAGCAACCCATACGGGGTGATTCGGATCCGAACCTGGGCACGTGCTATGGTCAGCCTGAAACTGAATTCTCCATAACCTCTTATATATAGGTGTCTAGCATACCATCATGCTTTTGCAGCTCCTCGTATGAGATAGGGTCTTCCTTAGGCTTCTCGAGCGCGACCGGTGTTCTAGGGTCGAAGCTTTTTGTGGACTGTAGATGAGGACGCGGGGAGGCTAGTGGATCGGCCATCGTGTCTGGCGCCTTCGAGTCGAAGAATCCCTTCTGTTCGGACACTGCAGAAATGATAGTCAATACAGAAGAGCGCAGGAAGAAGCCGAATTTGTGCAAGTTGAGGATTGCAGGCAGTAGATGTACTGCCGTGTGCCTCACGATGAGCTCTGATTACATATAATACATACTCTTTGTTAGCCGGACCAGGAAAGGAGCAGGTAGCCGTTGATGGGGATAGGCGAAGTTTGAATGTTGAGCCGTCGGACTGGGGGGTCGTGTCCGGGGGGGTTTAAGTGTGGTTTGGGGAAGAAAGTGTTGGACAGCGTGCTCAGGCTGGACTGAGGACAAGCTTGGTAACCTGATGACACACTTGACCCTTGCTCAGTCAGGAAGCCCAAGCCCAAAGTTGACAGCTGAACGCCAACGGCGCAATGGTTGGTGGCAGTGCAACGGGATTTCCACAATTGCAGCGAGCCCCTCACATTGACGGCTGCCCCTCCATTGAACAGCTGTGGGGTTGCCAAGATCAGATCAGCACGTGGCCTATTGGTGGACGCGTTGATGCTGCCAGATATGGCAAGAGCAACAGTGATTGAAAAAAAAGGTACGATGAAGAAGTCAAAGCTGGCAGCGAGTGTGCAATTGGACTCTCGAGGTCCGGTCTCATTCATCTATCAGGGCTTTCACCGGCGTCTGCACCATCAATGTCATCAGGCTGTGTGCTACCTCGGCGGCAGCAAGCGTCGTGGTCTCGCCAGCATTGTCATAAACCGGCGCAACTTCGACCACATCAGCCCCGATCACCTTCAGTCCTTCCAGACCGTCGAGGATCGAGAGCAGCTCACGCGTTGTCCAGCCTCCAACCTCAGCGGTCCCAGTCGCGGGTGCATGAGCAGGATCCAGTACATCAATATCCACCGAGATGTATACCTTGTTACTCCCGACTCGGGCCTTTAGTTTATCGATGATGCCGGCGACACCAATCTTGTCAATGTCTCGCGCCGTCACAATCTCAAATCCGCATCGTTTATCATTCTTCCAGTCGTACTTCTTGTTGACTGCTGGAGCACGAATGCCGGCGTGAGCGGATGCATTCAGGATCAGCCCTTCCTCATGGGCGATATGAAGAAACTAGAGCTGTCAGCCATACTTGCCATGCATCAAAGAGATGAACTTACAGTCCCATGGTTGACTCCAGCATAATGGGAGATGCCACCGCCGAGCAGTTTTGGATCCCAGGTATCTATATGGCTATCGAAGTGAATGACGCTTACAGCACCCCAGTGATTGTAAGTGGACCTCAAGGCAGCGAGAGTCGTAAGGTGGTCTCCGCCTAACGTAATGATGCGAGGGACACTTGCCAGCTCCGTTGCGTTGGTCTGCCGGTTCGACACAGTCTTATGAGCTTGACCAAGCTGTTTCAATGCCGCTGTGTTATCCAAGAAGGTCAAAGGAGCGTCGCCACAGTCCACGATCCGAGCCCAGCTCTGGAATGAGTTCTCGTGAGTATATGGACTCCAAGATCCTCCTGCATGTATGCGTCTCGAGCCCAAGCGAATGCCAGTTGGTCCGAATCTCGCACCTGGCCGACCCGTTGTGCCGGTATCAAATGGGGCACCCAGGAAGGCAATATCAAACGGGGTAATACTACTGTCAGTTGACAAGCAGTGAAGCCAAGGTAGGTTGGCATATGTCGTTAAGCCAGCATAAGTCTGATCTGGACTGAAATCTGCTGATCTCGCTCCCATCGACGCTTGATGACCATCGAGCTGGATCTCCAATATTGGGGGCAGAACAATGTCCCTTGTCAGCACCAGGGTCGTAAGGAGAGATCCCCAAATCGTACACAACTTTGTCAAATGCATGATTGCACGCATGACTGCAGCACGATCCTAGTCCTCGAACGTGGATACAGGAAACTAACGGTACCGAAATGGACAACACGCACCTCTAGAAGAAGGATCTCTCCCGGTGAGAAAGGCCAATCCACGCCCCATTCACCAGTGGCCAAGCCACGGCCCACTATCTCCCACGTTGCTGTGGAGAGGAGTGAGCACGAGAGCTTAAGCGACGCCGGTGCAATTTGCTGGGAACAGTCTAGCCCAACGATCAATCGACCCTGAATTTTTTATCGGACTTCTGTTTGGTCAGGCAGCTCTGCAAGTGGCCTCGCTGCAACTCGGTACATGGTAAAGGTCACTATGAGGTCGTGTGGCAACGCCCGCGCTAATCTTGCACCGGGCAGCCGATCCGAATGAGTATCCCCAAATGCTGTGTGGGAAAGCCATCAGCGGGGCGTGGTGCCAAGGGTCCCACGTCCGCCTGTACGCTCCCCCGAGAGTCGTCTGACTGGTCCGCCTGTCGGGGTTCACGCTCGCCAATGCTGTCCAAAACTCTTGGACTCACGCTTGCGAACAATCGCTGTCACCTTGCGGCGTCATGGTCGACTCAGCTTAAGACGAATCCACGCATTCTGGGCCGACTATCACGATAAGCTACTCCTCTAAAATGCTTTCCGCTAGGTTAGTGGGGTGCTCCAGGCGACCTGGTGCTGCGCATCTTTCTGCCCGCCAAAAAAGTCGATCAGATGTCTAGCCAGGCCTATGCCACCTGATTGTCGTACATATACCCGCCCGCCGCAGTCTGTGCTTACAAGACTTCTTACATGTCAGGCTCTCCCCTTACAGCCCATCACCATGTCTTCCGATACGTCCCCAAATGACAAAGAATTCAACGAGAAGGAGGTCCGCATGACTGGACCTTCTCTACCAGAACGCACTGCTTCTATCACCGATGGCGTTCAACGCGAGTCGCGTAAAGGCTCCCTGGTTGCCTCGATCAAGGCAGGCTATGGTCTGGCCGACGTCAGTGATGAGGAGAGTGTTAGGCAAGGTCTTGATTTGACCCACCGCAAGCTCAAGGCCAGACATATTCAGCTTATTGGTATTGGTGGCACTATTGGTACTGCCCTTTTCGTGCAAATTGGTCGTGGTCTCATGAACGGCGGACCTGCGAGTTTGTTCCTGGCATTCACCATCTGGTAGGAATTTCCGAGCGTCAAGCCGTGGCCTAAGCTTCCAACAGTTAGCTTGTGCACGCCTCCTGAGCTCCACCCAGTATTCAGCCTTGGACTGACCTCCTGCAGGTGCACATTCATCCTCGCTGTCACCAATTGCGTTGCTGAAATGGTTACATACCTGCCTCTGTCGTCTCCTTTCATCCGTTTTGCAGATCGATATGTTGACGAAGCGTTTGGTGTCGCTGCTGGCTACAATTTCTTCATTTTTGAGGCGTTCCTGGTGCCTTTCGAAGTCGTGGCATGCAACTTCATCATCCACTACTGGACAGACGTCATCCCAACGGCTGCTGTAATCACCATGGTTATTCTTGCCTATGCGTAAGCACCTCCCCTGATACGAAGCGGACTTGTCTGACCCAAACAGCGCTGCCAACTTATTTGCAGTGAAGTACTACGGAGAGACTGAATTCTGGCTGGCACTCGGCAAAATGCTTTTGATTATCGGCTTGATCTGCTATACTTTCATTGTCATGCTTGGAGGAAACCCACTGAACGACCGATTTGGGTTCCGGTACTGGAAGAATCCTGGGTCCTTCACCGAGCTCTATTATGAGGGTTCTCTTGGCCGTTGGCTCGGTTTCCTCCAATGTTTGATTCAAGCATCTTTCACCATTGCTGGACCCGACTACGTCGCCATGGCTGCTGGCGAGGCCGAGAACCCTCGCTACATCATGCCGCGCGCTTTCAAGGCCGTCTTTTACCGCCTAATGTTCTTTTTCGTCATCGGCTCCCTCTGCATCGGCATTGTGGTCCCTTATGACGATCCCGAGATGGTGGCCGCTTTCACCAGCGGCGAGCCGGGAGCTGCAGGCTCACCCTACGTCGTTTCGATGAACCGCCTCAATATCCCTGTTCTGCCTCATATTGTCAACGCCATGGTCCTGGGTAGTGCTTTCTCCGCCGGCAACAGTTACTGTTATTGCGCCAGCCGCAGCCTTTACGGCATGGCTCTCGAAGGCAAGGCGCCCAAGATCTTCACGCGATGCACCAGAAATGGTGTGCCAATCTATTGCGTCGGGGTCGTACTTGCCATTACGCTACTCAGCTTTCTACAACTCAACAACAACTCCGCCACCGTGTTGCAATGGTTTGTCAATCTGGTACGCTCCAACCTTTCTATTATAGCCCCTGCCATCTGACGCATTCCAGATCACCGCTTCCCAGCTCATCAATTTCTCTGTCATGACTTTCACTTTCCTCAAGTGGAAGAAGGCCTGCGAAGTGCAGGGTCTCGACCGGAACACCCTTCACTACAAAGCTTGGTGGTCACCCTTCACCGCCTACTACGCTCTGACAGCCACAACCATCATGACTTTCGTCGGCGGCTACACTGTTTTCCTGCCAGGCTTCTGGGACATTCCCACCTTCTTCTTCAGCTACACTATGGTTGGCGTGTTCCCGCTACTCTTTGTGGGCTGGAAGGTTCTCAAGAAGACAAAGTGGCGTAAGCCTCATGAGGTCGAGCTACGGCCCAAAGAGTTGGCCGAAGTGGATGAGTACGAGCGGAACTATGTTTACATTCGTCCCAAGTGCGTGACCCTTCCCTTTCAGGAGTCAACCATACTGACAGACAACCAGGAGTAACATTGTGTACTATTGGGACAAGATCTTTTCGTGAGCCGACGAAGGCTTCGGCTGCGAATTATACTACCAGAACAGGAGCGCCCTCCTCATACGGCGGCTGGTAAGTACGTGTCGGGACATCGCCATGCGTGCAGGTTTCTTGTGGAAAACGGGTCATACACGCTTATGCCCTTATGCGCCAGCCACGATGCCATTTGCAGGAGTCGATTCCCAGAAGCAGCATTCGCGTACACGTACAAATCTGAAAACAGTTTACTTGCCTCTTGTGATGCCCAAATGCGCTCATCATGCCACTTCCGTTCTTCCCTGCCATGTATGACCGCAGATGGCAAACATTTCCCAGCGTTGCTATCTACATACGCACGCCCAGCACCGCCCAGGCACGAAGTGCGATCTACAATCAACGTCAAGCATTGGCAAGCGTTCCCGAGCGCCTTCGCCCAATCGCTTAGACTGCCGCGCATATTGGCACTTCGTTCAGCAATGCCCACGACAATCCCTGAGCGCACCATACACATCACCGTATTGCACATGTACAAGCACCTTCGTACAGAGTATGTACGACAGGTCCGAACGACGCTAGAAAGGCAGGTCTGCATACCCAAGAGCTCTGGCCAGGCTCGCTCTGGGACCCCCTTCCCTGGCTGGCAAGCAGGAATCGGACCCCATCATCCGATGATCCATCGTCTGGTATGTAAAAACCCCAGGACGACCCTGTGCGGAGAATGTGGCTGGCTGGCTTGCAAATTGAGAAATATTGCAAACATCATGCAAGCCCTTGAAAGTTACTGTGTATTGGACTGTAGCCTCTGAACCGAGGCACCTTTGCCGCAGCAGCTGCCTGTGGCTCTATCGATAATCGAGGTATCAGCCACGGCCCACTCGTGAGTATCTTGCTCGGAGGAGGCGCGAGAAGGGGTGGTTGTGTCTCTCTGCAGCGACCAAGGTTGGGTGCTCTACAGTACTTCCTGGGTCAGGGTCGGGTGTGGTTCTTTGTTTGATTTGGTGCAGTGTAGTTACATACAGTAGTGTGCCGTGCCAGATGCAAGCCTCGTGTCGCGTGACTGATGTGGGGGGGTTTTCCCTATATCTCTGTGTGTGGATGTATATGACACCAGGGAAACGCAGGGACCTTCGTCCTGCGATTGGTTGCCCCGCAGTTGTCCGAGGCAGGGGCTACGCGATCCTCCAAAGAAAGGGCTTCGAGGGCGTGACTGGGGCTGCATGGCTCGTGGCTGGGCGATGAGATGTTTGCCATGACGTTCGTAAGACCACAAGGATTGGGCGGGACAAGGGTCGGCTCGTACCCTGCCGATGGTCCCCAAACGTTCGGATTAGTGTCCAGGAGCCCTCGATATCCCTGGGTGACATTGAACGGGGGTAGACCCTTCGGTATGTGCTCATTAATTCAAATCGGCCATCGTATTTTCCAGCGAACATGCATCTGTAGAAGTAATCGACGTATTGGCGATCTGAACCTCGAGTTCGTTCCACGGAATAGGTATGCCGACGAGGCCGGCGCTTGTGGCACGGAAATTCAAAGACCGTCCGGGGACAGATTGAGGTTCTGGAAGAAGTGGTCGCGCGCGGGCTGGCCCCGGTCGTCATAGCCTGGTCGTACAGTACTCGGGACGCGAAACGGCTGCAGAACAGTCGGAAGGGGCGGTGTCCGGCTAGAAGAAGAGGGACGAGAGTGCGTCAGATGCAGATGAAAGATGCAGTGTAGAAATGACCATAGATGTTGTGGTGGGGAGACAAAAGAGGCCAGCGCTGCGCGATGCCGATGATGATTAGATGCAGTAGGTCGAGACTGCTTTGGGTTGAACAGCTGTTGCCAAATGATCGCAATCAACGAGTCTGCATACAGCGATAGAAGGCAAATGCAAGGCGGTCATCTCATCAGATATGGGACCGCAAAGTATTGCTGACCGAAGGCTGCTCGTTCTAACATGGGACACTGCCAAAGCTATCCTGACGTGGCGATATAACATCGAAAGTGACGAGCAACACGAATGGTTCGGTAACGCTCTCCACCGGCTTGTGGCTGCTCATGCCTCGTCACCCTTCGTCCGCTCCTAGAAACCTGAGGCTCAATATGATGAGCAGCGTGACGCCGGCGGTCGCATGAAAAGTCCTAAAATAGAACCGTTCATCCTCCTGTTCTGCTCGGCTGTTCCCCAGGTAGTCCTCGTTCGTCATTGTAGTTGACTTGTGCTTCTACCTGACCTGCTGGTCTCTGGCATCCTGGTAGCCTTCGACTGTCTGCCAGTCATTCGTACATCCACTCATTAGCTTCGTCCCGTGTCTCCGACTTGCCTTCAATGTCTGCTTCATTGAGATTGTCGCGCTCTTTCGGGGACTTGAGGTCGGCGTCGCATTGTTCCAGCATCACGTTTGGGATCTCTTGCACCACATCATGTGTCCCGCACCTGAGCTTTGCGGCGCACCAGCCGTCGAGCACCGCGAGTCCCTCTCGCCGGTGCTCATATATGGTAGGAATAGATATAGCTCCAGCTCCAAACCCATCTTCACAGCAGACGCATTCACACCCCATCCACGAAACTGCTCCTGCGACTCCCACCCAGGAATGCCCCCGGCGGCGGCATCAACAGGGTATCCACATGCTGCACAACCCTCTCCCTCCTCTTCTCCACCTCAATCCTCTCCATCTCCTCCTGCGCCCTCCTCACCAACCTCTTCTGCTCCTCCGCCTTGCCCACGTTCCCCGCCCCTCCCCTCCCCACCGTCGGCGTGCTCACCCCTCCCCCACCGGGTATCGGACTCACCGGACTCCTCGACAACAGTATCTCACTGCCCTGCGCCAGATTCCCAGCTCCCCCGCGGCCCACGTGCACATACTGACTCGAGATGTTGCGCGGCTTGAGCTGTTCGCCCGTATTGATGCGCTGCAGCTTCGTCGCCGCGGCTCGCCGCTCCGACAAGCTCGGGTGCTGGCCCGTCTCAAGATCGGGCGTCGACTGCGACGCCGCAGCTTGCCAGTAGAAGTTTCCCGCTCCGCCTCTTCCCACCGGAGTGTAGGGCCCGTACGGCGACAGGGATGACGTGGTGTGCGCGGAGAAGCTGCGTGGGGCGGCAGCTGACGACGAGGAATGGCTCGACGCCGCAGACATGGGAGAGTCTTCGGAGTGGCGTGTATGATGGTGCTCGGCGCTTTCGTCGTCGGCGAAGTGGATGGGTTCGGTGGTGATGGGGGAGGAAGCGGCGTAGGAGTCAAGAAACCAGTCGGCCCACGACTGCTGTTGCGGTTGGGAGTTGGTGGTCATGGTCTCGGAGACTGGCGGACCCCTGCGTTTGTGGCAGATGGGTTGCACGGCACAGTGGGCGTTTGGTGGAGTCCTGCAGGGCTCGATAGGCTGCGAGCGTGTGCGGGCGCACAAAGATGGCTGAACCGCGAGTGTAAGTGGCACTGTGGCTGCCGTGGGCTGGGATCGGGAACGTTTTTCGGAGGTTCACTGGCTCATGCGCTGCAGTCAAGTATCAAATCTAGGAGGTAGTTGTACCATGCCGCTGCAGTAACTCCTTGCTGGCGATGTCTACAAAGTAACGAAGAAGCACAATCATCAGCAGCCAGCAGATCAACTCCAAGTAAGCACTTCATCACGCCAACGCCGGACTTTGCGATCCGCAATTCAAGCGTTCATCACTTTCCGTCAAATCGTCTAAATCAATCAAACACGAGGCCCTCGCTTGCAAGGGTCTGGACGTCCCTGGGCCAACGTGGACGGGCTTTCTGGCTTGGGCGCCGGGCTTCGCGCCCACTCACATTCCTGTCTTTTTTGGCTCCAAAAGTCCGGCTCTACCCTTTGCGGCTCTGGTTCGCGCCTGATATGATGTCGGCAGTGCAAAGCGACGCGAACAATAACGACTAAGGGCGATAAGATCGCCGTAAGCAATCTTGCCGGGCGCCTGCGCAATTGCCGAGGGTGCCGGCTAGGGGCGTGGAGTCTGTTGCCCCTGGACCCCTAGAATGCTGGGCGTCCTGGCTCCTTATAAGCCAATAAGGCTGACCGGCGTGCACCAGGCACCATTACAACACTTGTTTCGGTACAGTGCTCCGTAGGTTAGGGGACAACCTATGCTGGTATGCAGTGACTCGCCTTGCACATTCTGCACTTGATTCGTTGTTAAGAAGTATACCCTGAGGATTATGCAGGCGAGCTTCCCCATGCAGAGCCCTTTCATTCAAGTTTGCATCGTAGGAATGGATGGTCACGTAGGCCACCACACGAAGACAGAGCAGGATTTCAACTACAGCCCTTACATCTACCAACTGTCTCCCTTCTTGATGAACCACTGAACCCCGAACACACGAGCCACTCGATTCATCGCCCAACACCTCTATCACTGCTGGCATCTGATATACCCCTGACCCTTGCCGAAGGGCGATCACCGGGGCCGTAGCGCAGAGAGGCCACTGGTGATCTTTTGACTCCAGTCGTGTCCATGGTAAGACCGCCTACATGCTGCCATCATTGACATCATTCGCTGCATATCAGGTGGTCTGGGTATCGGGATGTGCTAGTAATGACTGGATCGTAGAGCAAACAGGTGGGGTACGCGGTGGTCGAGGGCGTTGTATGTAGGTAGCTTGGGCACGTTGCTGGCTGCTTCGATCAGTAACAAGCGCAATGTATTCTTGGGGACTGCTGTCGTTGATCCAAGCATTTCCGTGCAGGTTCTGTAGCAGCTTCGACGATGCTACACTGATGTTGCCGTTTACCTCTATGCAGAGAATCCATGCGTGGCTAGTCACCTCAACTCACCTATAGCGGCCTCGCTACCGTTCCCAGGACACTACCCGCTGCCCCCTAGTGTGCGGCGGTCCCGAATGGTGGAGGGAAGCGTAGGCAAGGCAAATCGCGAATTTCAAGGCAAAAGCCTCCGCCAGGTTCGGGATTGTGACCAATCAGCCTCAATAGTTAGGCTCTTCGACCTTGCTGAATTTGGAAATGATTGCCGAGATTCGTGAACGACATTCGAGCCTTCCCACCTTTCTGCAATGAGTCTGGGGCATATATACCATGACTGCACATCTCCAAAGTCCAGCTCTGACTCTTTTCGTAGTACAACATCCAAAATGTCTTCAGTTTTGGCCAGAGGAGCAAGGTCTCTCGGTGGTGTGCGCCACAGGCTCGCCCGATGCGCCAGTACTGTAACCTTGATCAAACCATCGCCATATGAGGTGAGCAGAGGACAGCTGGACGAGCGAAACCTGGAGATCGCGATGAGACATCTTCATCAAGACGGCCTAGTCGTGGTGGAAAACGCCATTGACCATGCAGTGCTCGACCGATTGAATACGAAGATGGTCCAAGACGCCAAGATCCTGCGGGATATGGGCGACAATAGTCCATTCAACTATAACAAGGGGAATCTGCAGCAGGATGCGCCACCACTTGCGGAGTGGTGGTCGGGGGACATATTTTGCAGTGAGTGTGCAGTGTAATGAATAAGGTGGACGAGGTCAAATTGGAGGGGTAGGGCTGACCGACCTGAAGACCCCTTAGCAACACACATCACCTCGACAATGCTCGGCCGCCGGCCCAAGCTGACTTTCTGCTCGGGAAATACGGCGATGCCACCGACGCCGGACTCGGAACCAAAGCGACAGCCGGTGCATTCGGACGCAGACTTCACACACCCGTCTCACCCCTTTGCTCTCGTCGTCAATGTGCCATTGGTCACCATGAGGCCCGAGAATGGCTCGACAGAGGTCTGGCTCGGTACACATAACAGCAGTATCGCGGATCAAGAGGGTTCCCACGGTGGTCGAGCCAGCGGCCGCATCAAAGAGGCCTTGCTGGAAGAGAGGCGGAAGGTTGCGCCTCCCGTTCAACCCATCGTGCCAAAGGGAAGCGTGGTGGTGAGGGATCTGAGACTGTGGCACGCGGGAATGCCCAACTATACCAACGAGGTGAGGGTGATGTTGGCCATGAGTGAGTACCAAATCTTTCCCTTTGAACATGTCGGTGCTCGGTAAATGATAGCCCGCGTGGGTAATTCATCCCCCACTCGCCGAAGCCCCGGCATAACCCCATTCATGTCCAACAAAAATGCCTTCAGGCCGCGTTCTAGAAGGCTTTTGGCTGACCGGCCCGGCCGTCTTCTGGAATAGTCCATTTTGCCCCATGGTATCGGAATCAGATGAGCATGCAGTTCGGGCAAGGGGTTCGGGATTTTCTCGTCGAAGCGAACCGAGACTTGGACATCCGCGCGGGCTATGTGTCGGATGAGGAAGCAAGATCCAATTACCTGGCGAGAGGGTTTGGAAACAGCTATGACTTCAGTCAAGCGCCTTGACAGTTGCCTAGTCTGTGGACATGGTGCGCTTTCGGGCACCAGGAAGTGTCAGTTTCACTTTGCAGTTCGCCAAGGAGGGTATAGGGTCTAGGTGTAGTGGCCATGTGAGTGGCTGTAAGATGCGTTGCTGAAAGGCCGACAGGGTGTCAGGATGATATGTCGGGCATGGACGGGTACTTAGCTGCGTTTGTGAATTGTCATGGTATCATGATCTCATGCTCCTTGGAGCGCTTCGGCATTAGCAGCACAGCAGGCTGATCCAGTCGCCGAAAGCAAGACATCGGACACTGCGGCTCCAAGAGATCTGTTGCGCAGTCGAACGAATCAGAATAGCCAGTATGAAGCCTTACCCCGGCTAGCAAGCTTTAGCCTTGTAACGATGCTCTGACCTAACGCAAGCAGCTTGTTGCACTATGATGACATGGCGTTTCGAGCGTTTCCAGAATAATTGGGGCGCAAAGGCGAGAAGTTCTGGACGGACTACGTGACACCTAAGTGTTGGAAAATTTGCTCAGGTCCTTAGTCGGTGAGTGGATGGCTTTCGCTCGGGGGATAGTCAGGGAAACGGAGGCGCCCCCTGAGCATCGTGTGATGCCGGTAGCGGTTCAAAGTGGCTTTGAAACCAGGAAACTCTCTCTCGTCGTTATCGATAAGCAAGTGGGAATATACTGGGGCCAGTGATGCCTGGTGAAGTGTTGGATGTCATATAACAGGTGTTGTCGCAAGCATGACCCAAATATTGGTCTGGCCCACTTGTATGCGTCTTTGTGGTAATGCCACGTACGGCTGACGCCAATTCTTGCTTGACTTGCCGCCGAAGACGTATTCGGTGCGATGGCAGACTCCCCATATGCGAAAGATGTGAGAAGCGGGATGTTTATTGCGATCGCTCGAGTCCGCTGGTCGTCAAGCAGTACACACCAGAGACAGGAGTTGACTTAGACAAGAGCCCTCGAGAGCTGCTCAGCGAAGCACTCATTGCGAAATTGTTTCATGTTTACATCAAGGACCTTGCACCATGGTACGACCTTTCCGACGAGACTCGAGTATTTGAAAAGGATGTGGTTGAAACGGCTCTCGAAAGCGCCCTCCTCTTCTCGGCCACCATCGCCTTTGCCGCAATATATATGCACCGCAAAGAGTCGTTTCCCCGAGCTGTCGCCGAGTCCTATCACGATCGCTGTGTCAAGCTGTTACTTGCTCTTTCGGCCAAAGATCAGGAGGTCATGGATGGCACAGCCTTGGCATCCACATGCTTGCTGCGATCATACGAAATCCTGGCCGAAGATGAAGATCCAAACCGTCATCTCTTTGGCGCATCGACATTGTTGCCGCCAGTACCGTCGCTGTCAGATCATTCACTCCTGGCCGGTGGGTTCTGGAACTATTTGCGGGAGGATATCAGCTACAGCTTGATACACGAGTGCCCATTGAAGGTTCGTGTAGACCGGGTTGGGGTCCAGCTGGTCTCTGACGACGCCTTCAGCAACGCGATGACCCTTCTGCTTGGCAGGGCTGTCAATGTCGCATTTGGTGGCCACAGCGATGATGTGTTGGCAGAACTGGGCGAGTGGCGGAAGGCGTTCTCTAGACGGCCATTTTCTCGAATAGACGAGAGGCCATTTCCTACCATTCGCATGACGCGCGATTGCCATGTGTTTGCAATTCAATACCACAACGTCGCGAGGTGCCTGCTACAGCCCGACGAGAGACCAGCGCTTGCAGCCGATATCTGCGGGCTCGCCATGTCTAGCGAGAGCGCCCCGATAGTGGTGAACAGTTATGGGCCCATTTGTTTTGCAGCACAGTGGCTCACCTCGACAGAAGAGCAACAAACGCTGGTGGACTTTTTGCGGAGCTCAGAACGGCGGACTGGCTGGTCAGTCGCTTTCTTGATAACGAAACTTCGGCAGAGGTGGGAAGGGAATGCTGTCGCCGCTTCGAACTAGTAATGAGGCTTTGCCCGCCACGTGTTCACGGCGGGCTGAACGGTGGACATACAGTCACGCAAATTTACCCCGTTGACGATGCGCAATCTTGGAGCTCTGATGCTACATCTTTCCCAGGAAATAGTAGATGCTGCAGATGGACGGGTAGCGGACCCGCCAAGCTGTCAAAGGAATGTACCACTGACTCGCCGGTCCAGGGTTTGATCCAGGTCATCAACGCTCGAGACCCTCCGGGATGTGTGTATCGGGGTACGGCTAGAATCTAGATGCAAAGATCTTCGGATAAGATCAACAGAACGGTTCACTCCCAAACATGGTTGCCGGAACCATAAAAATTTAGAGCCTAGCCAAGCAGCTGGAGATTTTGAGGTAGCCAGATGGCCAGATTCTGGGGAAGTTCTCTCTTGTTCATGGTCCAAGGATATGGCAGGAGAGACAAAACTCTTCTGTCCGTCTTGCTGCAATACTACTGTAGCTCGAGCATTCCTGCGAACAGTCTGAACGTTTCAAGCGATGATACAAGTTGTACCCTTCGAAACTTGTGGCCCCAAGATTGGAATAGGCGGTTGTAGTTTAGCGGGCAGCCTCCGCATGCCTTGATAAACCCTCCTGACAGGTTTGACCAACTGGGGAAGGCTAACAGGGGTCAGCGCCTGGCTCGGGAGCTATGTTTTGCGCAAGAGCGACGGCTTCGGAGATCGACCTTACGAGGGGTGCCTCTGATGATCGGCTTGTCTCAGACAACTTTTTTTTTTTTAAGGAATGCTTGGGACTGCGCACAAGTAAACGGTTCATTGTCCCACAGCTGACAGCACTGAGACAAGTGGATTCAGAAGTCCTGGTGCATTCTTCTGAAGACTGGGACTACTCTGGATTGCCACGATAGTCGGTCATGTGGGACGGCACGGTGCAGGAGAGGTGTTGTGACCCAATGCCGTCAGAGGCGCTGCAGCATGAGCTGTTTGGCTGGACGGAATCAGGCGGCCTGCCTGAATGAGCCTTAGAAAGGAAAGAGGGGGCTTGTCTGGGCGCGCGTGAGCAAGCCCTAAGCCGGCAAATGGCGAACGTGGCTCTATCTTTCAAGCAGAATGGCGTGCGATAGGCCAACCATGGCATTCAACGCCACTGGCTAAGCGAAGAGGGCGCTCGCTCGTGGGCACAGATGTAGGCGCCAATGAAGGAAGCTATCGCTGCAAGGTTCGCTTTAGTCGAAGGACCTGCAGCGGCTGCTAGGGCCTATCTCCTGCCAGTTGTGGGTGCCAGCGCCGCAAGGGAGGGCACACTATTCTTCTGGAGGCAGCGTGGAGAGAGGGGTAGCAGCGTGAGTTGGAGTACTGCGGTAGGATTCTGAGACGTCGTGGTTCGTTATCAGCATCGACACAGCCTGGACCCGGAGCGGCCGGCCCATTGGGTTGTAGCTAAGATTGTCGGGCATCCAGCTGGGCGGCAACAACGTACCTCAGCTCCAAACACTCCGGTATGGTGGTACCTGCCCAAGAAAGCATCGCCGATAAATGCTAGTGTCCGACACGCGCAATGAAACAATAGAACGGGTGGGCAATCCTGGTAATCTCCCGTCTATGCGAGTGATCAAGGCGACTCGAAGGGGCCGACCCCGCAGAGCCAGCACGCGCAGTCGGCCAAGTCTGGATAGCGTCGCGGGCAGCGTGCGGGTCGCGGTTGTTGCTGCTGCTGCTGCTGCTGCTACTCGCTGATGGCTATGAGGGAGTAGAGGGTTATTATTGTTTGATAAGGATGGTCAGCAGGGACATGACATTCCCATCAGACGAGCAGCAGCTCACGCGCCTGTCCTCCGGACTCGTGCTGCGAAGTCCGGGGGGGGTTTTCTCCCTTTAGGGATGGAGCTGGGAACGAAGCACCTGACAATCATGCCTAGGGTCAGGTACACTGTGCAGGTGCCGATCACGATAGCCAAACAAGGCCGCAAGTCAGACGGCGAAGAGGCTTTCCTCGCGCCTCCAACCTTTCTCCACTCCGCGCTCGCAATTATAGTGCCTCGAGTAGTCTGAGCCACACACTACACTCTCCAGCAGTACGTGTGTGCCTGGCCCTGTCATCTGGGCCTCGCAGTCATCGGACCAGTTGATTCCGTCGTGCCTGTCTCTGGCTGGCCAACTTCTCTCCACGGTCCACGGCTCACTTTACGTCTCACCTTTTTTTGTGTGCTCTCCTTGTCTTCCTTAACCAACGAACATCCTCTCACCCTGCACGGCTACACAAAAGATCGCATTTGCTGGCGCTCATCTCCTCGTCCCACTTGCGGCTTGTCGTGCAGGGCGTCGCATTGGTTCCGCCGTTCTCGGCTCTCCTCCTGCCCCCCTCTCCACCCCACGGACCAGCGATCGTCTTCTAGCCGACCTGCTCCTTACTGCCCCCCAACACATTCCGAGATAATAATATTTTGTGCGCTCTGGGTCTCTCAAACAATAGCGTACACTCATCGCAGTCATGGCCTCTTCTAAAGTAAGCACGACCACCCCACTCGGTCCCTCGCAGCCTGCTGTTGCCCGTGCTCACATTCCTTACTAATATAGGATACGCCTACTTCTCGACCTGTCTCCGGCAGTTTTTCGAAATATTCACACAACACGAGCAGACCTCATTCCCATTCCATCTCCGTCTCAGGCCCGTCCCACCGTATCAACCGTAGGAAGAGTGTCAACTCTGCCGCCTCCTCGTCCACCGCGCAAGCTGCCATTGCTGCCGCGTTACGAGAGCAGGGAAACGCGTCTGGATCTGCTCATCGCCGGAGCATTGGCTCAAAAAGGGGAGAGGCTCACTCTATGAACTCGCGGCCCAGCATGCACGCCTACTTCGGACCCAATGCCCTGTCCGAGTTGCCCGATCAAGAGGTTGTCGAGGACAACTCTCACGACGAGGACATGGCTGCCCAGAAGAGCAAGAACAGAAATCGCAGGGCTAGCGAAGGATCCCACCTCATAAAGGGCGACAAGAAGTCTGGCTCAGACCTCCGCTGTGACACATGCGGGAAGGGTTACAAACACAGCAGCTGCCTCACCAAGCATATGTATGTTGCTGATTGAGGTATCCTGACTGACAAGACTGTGTGCTGATCTACCTAGGTGGGAGCATGACCCCGCGTGGGCAATTACCTCTAAGCTACTCATCTCCAAGCATCAGCAGGTCCAGCTCCTTGAGGCTGCCTCGGTCTTGTGCAACATAAATGCCGAGGTGCAGGCTGAGATGGACGTCTCTCAGGTCGATCCGAGCGAAGTATCATCGGCCTCTCCAGAGTACTCTGGCTCCTCTGAGATACCCGATGAGCTGAGTTCTGTCGAAACCACCCCGCCACCTATGAGCGAGGGCTACCCTGTGCCTAGCTCGAAACGATACAGTGGTGGTAGCAATCTATCCCGCTCGTATCGCTCGATGCACTCTAGCTCGTACGCTGATAGCGTGGTGTCACCGGGCTTCCCTCCTGCAAAGCTCTCCGGCGTCAGTGACTTTCGTCCAACCACCTCCGGTACCGACGACGGTGTTCTGGCTGCCGCTACCGCAGGACTGAACTTCTCCAACACCCCTCGAACGAGAGCCTCGGTCATGAATTCAGACGTGCCTCCTGTACCACCTTTGCCGCAACAATACCAGTCCTACAACAGCAAGTCATCTGACAGCACTTTGACCAATGTCTATAGCCCAATGGGCATGCATCCACCGGCGTTCGCGCACAACATTTCTGATGAGCGGCACTATCGTGCTGGCAGCGACGACAGGCACACGGACCATTTCCGTCGCAGCAGCTCGCACGGCGAGGACGAGGAGATGTTCAAGATGGACGAGTCATAAGTCTTCGCCGTTCCGGCCTTCTGCCCTTGCACCATTCTACAGCGTGACGACGCTTCACGACGCTCTTTACATTGATTTCCTTGGAAGCTTGTTGCATTGGAGACATTTATTGGATTGTATCTACTTTTTGCTGCAGGCCGTATTTCCCCAAGAGCGGGAAGTCCCAAGTCGACCGAGCTCCGCGACACAGATCCTCAAAACACCTATGAGTCGGCGAGCACATATCAGCTCTCGATGAGGTTAAAGTGGGTAAGGATACAGTCGCGTCGAGCAGGTGGCCACAAAAAAAGACGAAAATGATGAAAACTTATCGACATGAAAATATGACCATACAAGAGTCGCTATAGCAGAACTATACGGCTACAAAATGGAGGACTCAGACGAGCTTCAAACAAACCCTTCGTGCTCGTTATAATCATTTGGCAGGAGCAGCTGACACCCTCTATGATGGTGTCGGCGCCCGCTACAATAACACCAGATATTCAAACCAGCCCTTTGCGCGTTGTTGTGTGTTGTGGCTCTGGTCTTTTTTCTGATCCATCTTCGCTTTTGGAAAACCTTTCCCTGTTGACAGCTTTGCAGGGGAACTAACGGACGCGTCTCTGGGGCTGATCAGCAGTCCTTCGCGCTCTCACGCGTCATGATCTACAAAGTACGGATGTCCACATTGCTGATCAGCGAGGGGAATGCGACGAAAACTACTTTTTCCTCATCGGAAGTACATTTCCCGCATCGGAAATCGATGATTGACAGCTGTACTTGCAGTCGATTGACGAGTACACAAGATCGCCGCACGATGAGCGTCGGTTCATCCACGGCTGAACGAGGGACATGCGGGAAGATCATAGGGCTACGGAGAGCCGGGTACCTATCTCTTGGGGGGCTGATTAGCGTAGCTGGCACCTATTCCACCTTGCTTAGGCGACCGCACAATCTCGTCGCCTGGCGGCTGGCGGTACAGTACCTGGCAGAGGAGGCGCCAACAGTCGGGGAGGTGGTCTTGTCAGCTAAGACTGTCAAACTCGCATCCGGGCTTCCTCAGCACGCCAGCAGCTAGGCTACACCGAAACTATGCCCCTCCCAGCAGGGCTGATCACTTGCCCTGTCTGGCCTGCATGCATTATTGCTTTATTGAGAGCACGATCGTTACCCGTCACGGGCCTCGAGCTAGAGATAGGGCGTGTCTCATTCGGGCGCGGAGCTGCGGCCTTCTTGACGGACGTGGGAGGTCTCGAAGCAGAGCGGCGGGGGCGGCAGCAGCGGCGGAGCAGTGGCATCATGCACTCTTCTATACTGCTGCTTTATCATGTCACCGTACCGCGCACCTTTTGCTGATGGGATGCCTAAGATTTTGCCCCATATGTGCATGCTACGTACTGCACTTTTGTAAAGTCGCCTACCACGGCCCGGGGTGGGCTGGCAGGCGCTCCGGGAGGGACACCGCAATCAACTGGGGGCTGAGATAAGCTCGACTTTTGACGGCTAAACGGTGCCAGTAATGTGACGCGCGACAGAAAAAAGGCAGTGAGTGATTTAGCGTCCCAAGGCTTGATCGGGGCCGAGAAGCGACAAAGGCGGCATCCGAGGTTCGCGGATTGCGACATGTCAGTCTACGGGATTTGTGTTGTCCCGTCACGGTCACGGGGTGATTACGAGTACTCCCGTACCTGTCTGTGCCTTGTCTCTAGTACCGTTATAGAAGCCGGAGGGATGCGCGGACAACCAAATGTATATTGGGGCTTGGGACGCAGCAGGTGGTGGTCCTGGAGGGCCTAGGGCGCGTCATGTGTTTCTTTGAGCACATCTTCTGCGGCCCTCCGCCATCAAAGAAGCTCGGACGACTTTCTACAGAGTACGAAGTACATTTGCTAGCATTGATAAGGGGGACTTCACGTGGTCAGCTTTTGTAGACAACGTCTCCGTGCACAGCTACAGCAGGCCGAGGGTCGTTGTCAACAAACACCATTGGACGGTCTTTTAGGCCACTTGGCTGTTCATTGTATGTACATCCCAGCTAAGCCAGGCACATCAGCTGCCTCTCCATCATGCCAGCTATCTAGCACGTACGAGCAGGCTGCGATTTACGGTGCCCCGGGCTGTGGCAACCACCGTAGGTTCAGCAGTACGATGATTCTTTCTGAAACTTTTTTTTCGTGTTCCGAAAAAAGAAAAAAAAAAAACTTGGTTGAACGCTTGCCAGAACCTTGGAAGCAAAGTACGGTACTCCGTATTTCGGGGCCCGCAGTTCAGCCGAGCTGGTGCCAGCACGATCGTCGATCGCCGATGGCCGATTGCCAAGAGGAGCAGCTCGAGGGACAAGTGGATACCCATGGGGGCTGGCGAGGCTGTGGAACAGCCTTGCGGGGGAAGGTGAGTTACAAGTTTGCTTCGTGACTTCAATACCAGGTCCAGAAGCTGGACGCGTCTGTAGACTCGTCATGGAGGCCAGGGTGGTTTACATGGTCACAGGTCGTGCATGATGCTTCTTTTTTTCAGTCTGGATGTATCTCGTTTTTCTCATTTCGATCTAATCTCATTCTTCGTCTGAGTTCCATTACGATCAATATCATGTAAATGCATAAGATCTTGGTCTAAGCAGGTAACACCTCCCAAATGTATCACTTTACCCTCAAGCCATGGGAGTATGCAGCAGGCACAGCCTATAAGTCATCGGCCCAGGATGCTCCAGGCTCCAGGAATGCCTTATTCCCTGCGCCGCTCTTCTCACCTCCCAACATTCCTCTCCTGGCTCTGCGCTCCGCACTCATGGCCAAACTCTGCTTCAGCGACTTACCCGCGCTACGCCTGGACGACTTGCGCGTCGCCTGGCCATGCCGAATTTCAACTGGCTTCTGGAAGCCGGCCGCCTCAGCAAAAGCCGGGTTGAACAGGTAGCCGCGCTGCCGCAGCAGCATCTCTGCATTCTCGTATAGCTCATAGTAGGAGAGCTGGCCGTCGGCGGCCCGCGTGCTCTGCTCGGCGGTCAACGCGGCGGTCTGCGCCTGGAAGGCCAAGTCGGCGATGGCCTTCATGCAAGTTTTGTAGTCGTCGGGGCGCCGCAAGCGGAGGGCGCTTTCTTCGGCGTCGCTGACGCGGGAGCCGCTGGCCACTTTGACGAGGAGCTGCGCGGCGTTACCTGCTCGGAGTTTGGAGGTGGTGGAGGAAGGGGCTCTTGCGCTGCTGCGCCATGATAGGGAAGTAGTGGACTGTTGGGGAGATGCTGACTTACCCGGATTCTCGGCTCCTTGCCGCATGGTGCTCCGGAGGGCAATTCTCTCTTCGCGCGCGATCTGTTCCTTTCTTTGACGCCCTGAAGTGCTGCCACAGGCGATTGTGGAGGACGTTGCAGTTGCGCTTCCACTTACCGTCCGGCTGCCTCCTGCGACAACCCCAAAGAAGAGGCCATATGTATCTTCTGTTGAGCTAGTGCTGGCGGGGGACAAGGGCGGTGTCTCCATTGCGTCGTAGACGTAACGTGTGGGGCTGTAGGGAAGAACGTCTGGTTGAAGATCCACGACCTCGACCTCGACTTCGATTCTCTCCTTCGAATTGGATGGTCGAGGCGGCTTGGATGACTGTCGAGTATGAGTTGGTGAGGACGGTTGGGAAGGCATAGCTTGCTTACAGCTCTCAGGCTGATGTGAAAGGCTGGGACTAGAAGCCGAGCGCTTCAAGAGATTGCTCAGCTTCTGCTCCGCGGGTGTCTTCGTGTAGCGACTCGTTTTGGGGCTAGCCGGCGGAGTGTTGTCGGAGATGCGAGGGAAGGACGTGAGGACTCGGGACTGCCTGAGTCGCTTTCCCAATGTGGGGGACGAGCTGCGCCGGGCAAGATCGTATGCGACTGGAGAACTGGAGATGCAAGTGCTGATGTGGCTGGGGCGTTGACGGCGTTGTACCCGGGAGGACGATCGCCTACTTCGTGGTCTCGTGTTCTTGGTCTGTTGGGGAAAGAAGCTGGGATGAACGAACGTAAAGTTGCTGAACGGGTTTGCTGTGTTTGATGTGCTCGAGCCGTTCTGGCTGTTCACGCTCGGAAGGACAGATGTGAAGTACTCCATTGTCAACAGAGTGGTCTAAAGAGCCAATTCGAACGTGGCGGTCAGTAGTGGAGGGTATTAGTACACGAATGGTCTGTCAGTAGCAGCTTTGTCCTAGGACAAGACATATTGTGAGAGGTCTCGAGCCGACAATGAAGTCGCACAAAAGAAATCCAGCATCCCAAAGAAACGATGGCTTGGACATTGTTGACACAAAGAAGATGCCGAGGGGACCGGCGGATGCAGTTCGAGGAAGTCTGTTGTGTCCCATTGATGCTGTCAGCAAGCCAACTGGTCGCTGTGATCCAGGCTCCGAAGTTGATGCTGCTTTTGTAGCCACCGTGACTGTCCGCGCAATCTTTAGACGCCCAAACGCCGAGGGTATCGTAACGCATTACTCATCTTTCTGCTTCACTATCAATCCAGGTCCATCTCTTCCTCCATGCCACCACTCCTCAGCATCTTCCGCTTGCTCTTCTGGCGCATGCGCTCCTCGCCCAGTAACTGACTGACAGTCTGATCCTGCTCGAGCACGGCCTCCTGGCCTTCGGCCCTCGCGGCCTCAAGATCCTGCAGTTCCTTGCGAATAAGATGCTCTCCTTCCGCCACAACCTTCATGTCCTCCTTGCGCTTCTGATCTCTGCTGGCCTTGCCACTCAATCTCCGTCTCGTGAAGACCTTCTCTCTTCGTGCCCTAATCTCCTCCACGCGCTCCATCGCCTTCATCGTGGCCTGCACCAGGTTTCTGTCGTACTTGACGGGTGCATTGCGTCGCTTCGCGAATTGACCGAGCAGAAGAGACTGATCGACTATCATCTCCTTGCCGCGTAGAGCCCGGTGTGTCTTGGTCCACTTAAGCTTACGTGCCTGCCGCTTCATTTTGAAGTTCTTGTGGCACTTGCTTCGGCAGAAGCGAAAGAGTTTGGCATCATTCCGCACAAATGTAATGCCTTTTGAAGGGTATACAGGTCTCGAGCAGAGGTGGCATGTTTCGATCCTGAGAAACGGAAAGTGTTAGTTGTGGTCGTTTGCAATCTTAGTGGGGGGATTAGTACCTCATACTGGCGGTTGCTGAGGATAGAGATCCTTGTAGCTAGAGCGATAATCTGCAGTAGAGGACGTCGATTTCACAAGCCTCTGGAGGTGTCGTCGCTGTGAGGGAGCCAGCAGACTCGTGCACGTTGTGATGAGTGCCCAAGTTGCGATGGGACCCAAGCCGCCGGACTGCCAGAAAATTATTGATGGACGGAGTTACATTGTTCCGCTCCGCCTTTGCGGCGAAATTCACCTGCGACCGGAAAGCAACTCGATCTCAGGCACCTCATATATCTCTACAACCCACTGCTCCTTTGACCCTCTTCGCCGCATTATCCAGACACCGTCTCTCATTACCTCGCCCTTATCTCTCACCACAATCAATGGCAACGACGACCATCGCCGCCGGTCTCGGCATCGCCGGGGCCGCATTCCTTGGGCGCGCCGGCCTCGTTGCCTTCCGCCGCTGGCGCAATCCTGACGCCTTCAACGCCCTGGGCAAAGCCTTTTACAAGGGTGGATTCGAATCGAAGATGACGAACAAGGAGGCCGCGCTGATATTGGAGATCAATGAACGGACAATGACGAGGGACAAACTGCGGAAAAGGCATCGTGAAGTGATGCTTTTAAACCACCCCGACCGAGGAGGCAGTCCGTACCTGGCTAGCAAAATCAACGAAGCCAAAGAGTTGTTGGATAGAGGTGGATGAAAAGAAATGTGAATTCCTTCATAATTATTCGCTTTTTGGAACAAGCGCGGCGTTCTGGGAATCAGCCACCGGGTTTGGCTGGGAATGCCCTGAACCACGGGCAAAGTTGTGCCTACTGTATACGACCGGGTATGTTGCGAAGCACACCACGCGGCACTGTACAAAATCTCGACTCCAAACTCGAACTCTGAGCAGATGGCATGGAAGTGGTGGATGAGTCCGTTTATTCGCTCAAAAGCAGGGCAATCTTAACGCCCACGTCCCACGCCCCGCTCGAGATATATATCAAGATATATTTTATCCTCCTTGTCAGCTCTCCATGGATTTGCATTGTTCAATGAACCCAGCCACCCATGAGTTGAAGTCCTTTTCTTCCTCCCACATCAGCACGTGGCCGCGATTCTCGTAGCTCTTCCACTCGACCGTCTCTCCAATCTCGTCTCTCAGCAGCTCGCCATGATTGTATGTGATCATCCTGTCCAGTTTGCCATGGGCAACCGCGATCCTTCCCTTTCCTACATGATCACGCATCTCCTGCACCTGCTGCGTACTCTTGTAATGCCAGCCTGCCGCAATGGCCTGCAGGATGAAGGCCTTTTTGGTAAACCCCTCTTTGTCCAGGCGCTTCTCCATTTCACCCGCGCAGTACCGGTCACGATTCGTTGGGTAGTTGGGTCCACCCGGGCCGTATGGCTCATCACCTTCAGTGTCAGGCAGCTGTAGAAACTCATCGGAGAATAGTCGATCGCTGATGCCGTCTAGTTGAACATCGATATCGCGCGGAATGAACATATTGATCCGCTGTCGCAGGTTTTCCATGAAAGGTACTGTTCTGACAGCCCGTGGCCAAGTGGAGATGAGGAAGAGAGTGTTGAGTGTGCCCGTTGGGAGGATCAGTCCCAGCTCCTGTGCAATCATGCCGCCCATGGACACGCCGACGACGTTCAGCTTTTCCTTAGGGTCCGGGAGCGAGCGGTCGGCGTTCAACCAGCCGATATGGATCAATAGATCGACGATGTCCTTGGCCATTTCTGAGGTTGAGTAGCGGCATGTTGGTTTATCTGATACACCAACACCGCGGTTGTCGAAGACGAGAGAGGCATATTCCGGGTGCGTGTGGCCGAAGTAGCGACTTTGGCGTTTCCAGGCTGTGCGATAAGCACCAAGGCCCATAATCCACTACATCAATCAGTATTGCACGCGTCGTGGGTATCGGTCGTCGGAATTCGCGAAGACGAGTCTCAGTAACATTCCACTTACCACTATGCGATTGTCTCCCTTTCCATGGACATCATATCCCAATTTGAAAGGCCCACCAGCCCGGCCCTGGGCCACCTCAGCATGACCCTCCTGGTCTTTGGGCAGATTCCACTTTAGATGCTTGAAGCCAGGATGCTCGACCAACTCCTTGGCAGTGAGACCCTTCATGGTCTTGTGAAGGCCTCTGGATGCAGCCTGAGAATGATGGACGACCAGTCTGTGATGACACGGAAGCTATCGCGGATCAGCGGGCTGGGATGTGCAAACAACCCAAAATACGCGATGTGCACGCGACCACGGAAGTCAAAGTGATGTAGACGCAAACGAGCCTCGGATCGTGGTCACAGGGTATGCAAGCATGTGTAACGTGGCTAGGAGGCTGGCCACGGATAAGAACGGCCGTAGATGAGTTGTAGTTCGGGCTGGCAAGGCAAGGGGCTTGGCACCGGAAAGCAGACCAGGACGAATTTCAAGGCAACTACACCTCCTTCTTATGATGGCAATGGCCATCACACTCACATGCATTTGTCCGCTATGAGGAGGCTTGGCTGTCATTGACGATACTGATGTTACTCTCCAGGAAAGCTGCGAACAGAATCTACAAGGTCTGGAGGACTCGCTGTATGCGTGTATATTTGGGGTCTTTCGACCCGAGGTTCTGTTCCAACTTTGACTAACGGCGACGACTGCGTACACTCCTATACAACACAAATCGTTCGTGGTATGGAGCATGGAAATTCCTGTTCTGCGGGCCACCACACCGCCAAGCGAACAACAAGCTGAACGACGCATCTAAGCGAGCTACCACTCTACGTAGGTACCAGGCAGTGAAAGTCTTGGCAAAGTCTGCTCTGCAATCAGGCGTCTCGCAAGAAAATCTGGATGTATGCAGCGCTGAGTCACTTGCTTCCCAGTGAGGCCCGCAATTGCGCGGCGACATTCTGAAAAGCCATCCCGACTTACGACTAACATAAGATGAAGAGGCCGACAACAAGTTCTTGTATCCTCAGAGTGTGACACTGTACAGTATGCCACACATTAACTCCTGGTTTTGGTATATTCTCGAGAATTACATTTATGCCATCCCCGAGCCGCCACCACATACGCGGACAAAGCCACTGGAGGTAATATGCGTCGGGCTGCCCCGGTCCGCGACACATAGTTTGAAGGAGGCACTCATCATTCTAGGCCACGAGAATGTGTATCATGTACGTGGCCCGACACCACAAGCCTTCCCACCCATTCTCTCTTCAACAACACTAGAGCCAGGTACTGAAAGCTTTTCTCAACTCATGAAATAGGGTTTTGATGTCCTCCGAGAGCAGCCCGTGCCACGTATGCGTGCCTGGGGACGGTTGACACGGCTGAAGCACTTTCCCAACCTCTCCTCCACGGCCCCCTATCCCGGGCCCGTCAACACTCCCACAGGCCTCCTCAACTCCTCACACTTTGACCCGCTGATCGGACACTGCACCGCGTTGATCGACTCACCGGCAAGCGTCTTCGCCGCCGACCTCATCCACGCGTACCCCAACGCCAAGATCATCCTCAACACGCGCACCAACGCCGATGATTGGCAACGAAGCGTGAACGATGCCATTCTGCGGCCACTGGTACGTCCCACCCACCCGTTTTCTCACCGCCCTATAACGAAGGGAATCCTTAACCCTCGATACCCACCCACTAAGCCCCCATACCCAACAACCAGATCTCCTACCCCGGCATCCTCATCCAATACCTCGACCCCACCTTCTTCTGGATGTACCACGTTTTCTGCCGCCTGATCGACCCAGCCCTCTTCCGCGCCAGCCACCCCTCCGCATCCGGCATCCACGACGCCATGGCCGGCAAAGGGCGCGCCACCAAGATCGAGCACGAGGCCATGGTGCGCGGCCTCATGATCGGCCAGGAGCATCGGTTTCTCGAGTGGAGCGTGCAGGATGATTGGGAGCCGCTGTGTGAGTTCTTGGGCAAGGAGAAGCCCGAGAAGGAGTTTCCGAGGGCGAATACGACAAGGGACATTGGCGAGTTGGAGATGGAAGTGTTGCGGCAGGCGGGACTGAGGGTTTTGAAGAGGCTGTTGGTACTGGCGGCGGTGGGGGTTGCGGTGGGGGCGATGGTCTGGAAGAAGAGGGGAGGCGGGCCTGAGCTTCTGAGCTTTTGAGCTTGGATGTGGATGAGATATTGCAGGAACAAGTGACATGGGACGAAACAGATGGAGAGGAACTTCTTATCTAGACTCTGAAACGCGGTGTTGACCATCCGTGTGATTAGTATTTGGTTCTGTAGGCTGCCCTCCCCTAGTCCAAGCATGGTAGGACTTTTGTCAACACTGCCGAGGGTCCTTGGTCTTGACGAGCCTATCCACCCTCCGAAACCCCGTCGCGAACACAAAGTAGGCATCGGCTTTCACGGGCCGTCCTCGCCAGCTGCTCCTCCAGCTCCAGACCTCAGGTGCCTCAGACAAGTTCACTTGCTTCGCTGCATATCACACACTGTTCGTAACCAGACTTGAGGCCGAGATGTGTGGCATGCCGAGCGAGATCTTCGATGTCTCCGTTGACATGAGAGGTCTCGGGCTGTTGTAGCAGCCAATGAAATATACAACGGACGTCCTTCCCACAGAGGTAACAGCGGAGATATGTGACGCTTGGGGCTGAGTGTGGGGAAGACTTGATGCCTTCCACTGGCGCGCTTGAATGTCCTTGTCCACAGACGTTGGAATCAGGATACAAGCTCCTGGACGGAGCAGCTTGATCAATTTGAGCCAAGTTTTCAGAGAGATGTTATTACCTGAAGGACATGTTCTGCAGATGCGACGTGAATCTCCTGCAAGATCACTTGCAGTTGCTCGCACGAAGGGTCTCGCAGAATAGCTGCACCACCATCAACTCTACTGCGCCGGAAGCGGCGGCATCTTGGCCAGGACAATGCTCTCTTTGATTGTTAGGCTTCAGATATCGGCCACAACGCGAAGTGGTCTAGCTAAAAAGCTTAGTCAACCGCAAAGAGTAGTCGAGCCACGGCAGCGGATCGGAGTATGATAGAGCCGTATTAACGGTGGATGTCTCAACGGAACCTAACATAGCTCCCTGTGTCGTCACGGGGCTGATCACCAAGAAGCTACTGTCAAGGCCATGATACGCTGGAGGTGCCATATCTCCAGACCCAGCTGAGGTTAGTGTTGACGCCTACCAATTACCCTCCTCTAAAGCCAGGTACTTTGGTTGAACTTGGTCACTTTTGAGATTCCGGTACTTATACGCATCGCAGCCAGCTAGGGCGCCAGTTTGCCTGTGACCTCTGTTGTTTGTCTTTCTCTTCATTGATGCAAGCTTTGTATGGATGCAATGATGACATCGTGAAGCAGCGTATGGTAGAAGTAGTATGGTGAGGTAGATGGACGTTCGTAAAGACTTTCGGCTACATATCTAGATACGGTACGGTAAATTAAACGTGCCGTGGTACGTGTTAGGTCACCATCTTCACGTATGGATCCGTATCCACTGTAAAGCGGGACAACAACCTTTCACTCCAATTCCCCCGCAGACAGATTCACATGCATCTTTGACACACTCCGAACCCGTGGAGAGCGACCCTCGGACTACCACAGAAGGACCGTAAGCTCTGACTGCTCGTACCTTGAGCTCCAGTACGTTAGACTCACCAGCGAACCCTCCGTCAAACAATATGTCCTCCGAACCCCCGCTATCTTCGACCGATCCATCGTCGCAATCTCTCGCGTCTACTACAAGCGACTCTGATACTATCTACTTCTCCCTAAGCTCATACCCTTTCGACGACGATCCTGAATATCTCGCCGGCCTCTCCTCCATCCTTGGACACCCCTCCATCCCACCAAACACAGCAGAACTTACCTCCAATCCCGATCTCATCCTGCAAGCACGCTGCTTCTACTTTGCAAGGAAACACAACCTCTCGCCCATTGATCCGGCCGCATACAGCAAATGGCTCGCCGAAAACTCGTCTGCCAGAACTACAACTGCTCCGTCTGGCACATCGCAACCAGGCGGCACAGCCCCCGCTGGCGCGCCACCGGCACCTACATTGCCATTCACCGCAAATGAAGTCGCTCCCAACGGATCAGAAGTCTCTGAGCAGCCGCCCTATCCGACATCCTTCGCCGAGATTGTGGACCTCATAACTCGAAACGTCCCTGTACCAGGGATTGAAGAGATTCCGAACACTGTACTGGAGCATGGCTCAAGCAAGGTGGATCACACGCCTAGACGGCGCAAACCGTGGGAGAAGGATGGCGAAACGACCGCTTCAACGATCAGTGACACTGACGTGACTGGCGGGCCAGTGACAGGAGGCGCGGAAGGAGCTGGGCCTGACAGTGAAATCAGCGGGGAGGGAACGGAGCAGAACGCCGACGACGCAAAAGTCAATGGCCATCTGGAGACCGGTGAAGGGGTAGTCAAGATCCTGCAGGCCAACGCGATTCCGGATAGCGGACTACTGGCTAAGGACTGATTGTCCCTAAAGTGATTCGCTCGCTTCCCCGCTGGCTTCTACTGTATCACTGCCACGAGAACAGTATATGCTACGCCACGAACTCGTATCAGATCACGGCGGCGCACGAAACGCCTAACGGTAGCCTTCAAATCTCTTGCTTCATGCTCAACCTGAGACAGCGGCTGAGTGCTATCCGACCAACACATGCTCATAAAGAGTACGACCTCACCGCCGTCTGACGCGGACTGGCAGCATACACTTTCAGCGCGTCAGGAATGGTCTGATCCAGTTGGCTATGCACCACGAGAAGAGACCTCTCAATGCATTCATGGTGTTCCGCTGTATGTAGTCCTCCAAGACCCTCCCTGAAGACGATCTGGTACACTCGGCAGCAGCAACTGACGACGCTCCAGCGCTCTACTTTCCACAATGCCGCACTGTTGCGGATATGCAGCAACTGCATCATTGAAACAGCGTCATGCAGAGTACACTGGCGACGATACGCGCGCACATACCGGCAGCCAATTGGGAAGTCCAATATTCGCGATACTCTCGGTCCTCCACATCTCCCTGGTCTGACCCAGCAAGTCCAAACTAAAATGAATTCAAGCGACTGCCTGCGTCGCATCCAACGACGAAAGATGACACCCCCAACGGCGGAGTCACGCATCACCCACCCATCTGACCCGGGATCGGCTCCCTGGTGTGCTCAACCATGCTCTGCAGTGCGCCGTGTCCAACTCTCCAGTCAGACTCGATCATGCCCACCTTCCTACGCCGACTGCCAACGTGCGCTACACACAAAACCGACAAGCCGTGCCTGGAGGCGCCGTCGTCGACTCCGCCGTCCAGCGCCGTTGTGTCTTCATCGTGTTCAATGCCGAGATCGCTTCGAGGCCGTGGCAATATAAGGGATGCCAATAGAGGGCAGCGGCTCAGTGGGGCAATAGTAGCAGATCAAGTCAAATCTGAGGTGCTCATGCGTTGAGAGGAGACAGGCTATGCGATCAAATCCCATCGATCTTTGGCCATCAGACCTCCGATCTCGTCTCGTTTCTTTTCACGAATCATCTTCCATGGACAGCAGAATCCAGGTGATAGCGTTAATCTGCAAGAATAGAAAACACCAAGATCTGTGGACCAACTCTTGATTGGGCACAAACTGTACCAGTCTAATCTGATCTCTACCATCTAGCTACTGCAATGCGTCCGAATGACCGATGATCGTTGGGCTCTTTTGGCCATCAGGTTGTTTTCTGAAGACATATGCCCCTGAATTTTGGGAATGCTGGAATCTAATTCGGCAGCTCTTCCATGATGTGATCATATTGATAGCTTGACTTGTGTCTCCAAGCCTCCCACCAAAACTTGTCGGTTGACCACAACTGATACTGCACGTTGATCTGTCAAAATAAAAAATCTGGGATAAAATACATATTTGCGCGTAGTGTGTTGGACAATTCGAAGGAACGACCGGGGGTGTGCTGTTTGAATAGTATGTTGAGACCAGAGAGGGAGGCCGAAGGGTATGGCGTACGCCCACAAGGGAGATATGAATCTCCGTCGAGCGAGTATTCCAAGCCACAGGGTAGATGCAACTGCTATCCCGAACAAGTAGAATGCATCGGAGTTTGGCATGATATAACCAGAGGTAGATATGGCGGCTGGCGCCGCAGTCAGGTAGTCTAGCGAAAGCTGCGAGGACCCCAGTTGTTGCGAGGCTGGCCTGGAACTCCGAACGGATTGGCAACGGCAGGAGGACCGGGACGAGTAACCGAATTTGGGTTGCAACAAAGCATTGCCACCCGAGAGCCGAATTTCGAGCCGCGTAGGGAGACCATATGTTTGCGGATGTGCACAGCGACTTGCTCGCGTTGGTGGTGATGAGCATTCATCAGAATCCACTGGATGAGATAGTTGCCATATTGGTCGCCAGCAATGTCGATGAGCGGGATGCGAGGACGGTCAGGGCGAGAGGTGGTAATGACACCAAGATAACGATCCAGGAACTCAAGACCGCCAATCTTGAGACACTTCTCAACAACTTTGGACGCAAACTGATCAATACTGTAGTTATACGAGTTGGTGAGAATATGGTCGATGACACGACGTTTGTCAGGGGGAGAACCGTGCTCGCATAGATGCTGAATGCACCAATTGCCGAATTGGCCGTGAGCAATGAGGTCGATGTTGGACACGACTTCCTCGATCGCAGGGCGCTAGGGAGTTACAACATTAGCTGAGCTGATTAACAGGTGGAGGTAGCGTACCTTTTCCTCTTCGACACAGTTCTCGAAGATGTTCTGAACAACAAGACTGCCGGTCTCGCCGAGAGCCACCTCGTGCCACATCCCACGAAGAGCCTCGTTGACCTTGACCATGATCTGGGGTGGCTCGCCGGACCAGCGTAGCTCGAACAGCTTCTGCCAAACGTGACAGGCATAGCGGTGGATCACGGTATCCGGAATGCGTCGGAGAAGCTCGCGAACCATGTCGGCCTTGTGGTCCTCCGGAACAGAGTCGAAAGCCTTCTGGATGACGTGACAACCAAATGGATCCATGCTCAGGGCAATGACGTTGCCATGAATGGCATTAGCAATGGCAACGACTTGCTCAGGTGTGCCGTGCTCGAAGCAGCGCTGAACGAGAAAGTTGCCGAAACGGTTGATCATCAGGGGGTAAGCCTGATTGACAATGGACTCGACAATCTCGAACTTTTGCTCCGCCGTGCCAACCTTGAGCTTCTGCTGTAGGAAGATAGAGGCCTGCTGGTCATTATTGCACACAATTTTATCGACAATGTATTTCCAATCACACGAGACAGACTTGTCCAACAGACGACGGTAGTTCATGGGCTCGAGAGGAGTGACGTATGTCTGACTGTTGACGGAAGGCTGCAGGACATTAGCAAGAACTTGGGCGAGAACAGCTAGCAAACTTACAGGCAGAGACCATCCCTGACCAGACATTTGGCCATTAGGAAAGCTGGGAGTAATGGGAGTCTGTTGCATGCCTAGACCACGCTGGGCATAAGCGTACTGCTCGGGAATACCCAACGGGCTTAGGGGTGGTGAGTTCAGACCGCTGAGGCCAGCCATGCTGCCCATTGAGAGAGCATCGCTCATGTTTGAGTTACTGCGCAGCTGCGAATTGCGGCGGCCGACAGGATTCACGCCATACATGGCAAGGTCGCCGCCGAGACGTGGATCATAACCTAGCGAAGAGGATGATCCGGAGAACGAACGATGGTCACCATAAGTGTTAACCTCAAGGGATGGTTGCCCTCCGAACATGGCAGCGTACTGCGGGGCTCTCTGGTTGGCCAAGGTACCACTGGCATTGGTATAATCGGATATGCCGCCTAGACCCATAGTGCCCTGGTTCCAGGTAATGCGTGGGTTGAAGCTTGTAGCGGAAAAGTCAGAGTCAGAGCGAGCATCGTCCTGGGAACGCCAGACTGGGGCTTTGGCAGTGAAGGGCCGAGCAGAGGCGTTGAAGGCACTCTGAAGGTGGCCAATGGTCTGCTCTGAGATGTCATTGTGGCCAAAGTCGACCTCTGAAACAGGACCCATAGCTTGATCCATGGTGTGCTTGAGGTTGCGGGTCTCGGCAAGTTCCTGCTCTTGACGATTGATGACAGATCTTGCAGCTTCGAGTTCTTGCTTGATACGAAGCATCTCCGCAGGATCATGTGCAGCTTGATCGGAACCTCGAGAGGTGGAGCTAGAGACCATGTCGTAGGACTCTGTGTAGCGGCCAGATGCTGAAGAATCGTCGCTGCTCTTATTGGAGCTGTCTTTCAACTCACGACCTTGCTGTTTGAGGGTCTTGTTCTGGTGGCTCAAACCTGAGATCAGCTTGTCAAAGTTGCCGTCATCCTTGACCTTCGATAGATCGAGATTGGTAGGGGTAGTGTTGCGGGAATCGTTAATTCGAAGCTTGGCAAGAATATCCTCCATGCCGGTGGATGTCTTGCGGACTGCGCTGGGAGATTCCTGTGTGATGTTAATAATGTCTGGGGAGACAATAAAGCGACACACAAACCTTTTGAGTTCGACGCTGCGGCGGCATGCTGAGCTTGGTGGTCTTTGTAGGAGCTGGTGATGTACCCTTGGATGCAGCGCTGGCAGACGAAGGCTACGTGATATTAGTGACAATTGACGCTGTCCAGGCAGGTGTCAACACATTGAATGGTAGGCGGAAACATACAATAATCTGACGATCGCTGACCTTAGTCTCTTGCACTTGCCCCAGGACATTTGGCGACGGTGGAGCCACCTTCTTGCCGCGAGGAGAGCCGTTCGAGACAAGGCCAGTCATGTTGTGCGACCAGTTGTATTCCCAGTATAGTGGTTACAGGTAGCGTATGCGTTTGACAAAATGGTGTGAGGGTAGAGAGTGAAGCGGACAAAGCGTGATCCAATCTGCTAGATGCCGAAAAGGGTTGCAGAGTGCTGAGAGGATCGAAGACAAGGACAAGGTGGGGGAAAGGTGGGATGAGATGGAGTGAGATGTGCGAGGAGAAGAGTTCACAGAAAGGCGGACGAGGAGAAAGAAGTTGTTGGGTGACTGCCACTGTTGTTGATGAATCCGTGGAGGCAGGTGCAAGTTGCGAGGCGCGTGAATTGAGCCTTGCAGTATTTCCCTCTACCTTCTTCGGTAACCGTCACCTACCTCGAGCACCTTTTCATCGCTAGCAGATCTGAACCTCCAAAACCTGTTCGTGATATCACGCCGCCTCTTATGGCACGTATGATGCCGCCGATATGTTCCATGCAAAATCGAAGAAGCCCATTGCTGCCACCCGGCTGTGCACCCCATTCAGTTTGTCATGCTCGAAGATGGTGAAGTCTGGTTTGCCCGCTCCTGTCAGCGTGGGAATCAATCGTGCAGCCTGCTGCAGAGCCGGAACGTCTACTCCCCATAACACCAGCTCCAGCCTCTCGCCCTCAAGTGGTTGAAGCCACGTAGCACTGGAAGCATTCCGTATCCTCCTACCTCGTCCCACCTCATCCTTCTCTCGTACGAAAACACATCCCTCGTCTACAAAGATTGGAAAGGATTGCAACAGAGACTGAGGCGTAGAGCCCGCAAGCGCAATCACGATGACGTTCCCTCCTTGTTGGCGAGCCTTTTCATGGTGCTCGACATATCTAATTTCAGAGTCTGCTCCAAAGTACTGGAGGAGAGTATTGCTGATTTGTAATGCGATTTCGTAGGTCTCTTTCGGAGTCACGATTCGAAAGGGAGCGGCCGTCCGTAATATTGAATCCATGGAACCTCTCTGCTTGCCTGTTCGACTTCTCACATCTGCCGGCTGACGTATATTCTCATAAATCCATCTTCCCGCTTCGAGAACGAAACTGCCTTCGATAGACAGTTCTGAGACGGACCAGTCAGGTGACCGCTCGTCGATCTGTATCGTTTGGGCGTCGCCCATTTTGCTTCGGTCTAGACGCAGGCGGCGGACATTACGAGTGCGTATCTTCCACTTTTTGAGATTTTTAGAGGATCGTGTGTCGACCGACACTCGAGCTAGTACGTCAGGCTTGATGACTTGATCCACATGAATCCCATGGAGCGAGCCAAACTCAGATGTATCGGCAACATTGTAATGGAACTCGTCAGGGATGATGGGTGGGATTGCGAGATCCCGAATCTGTTGGTCGTAGAATTTCAGCATCGGCTCTGTTGTCATTGCCCCATCCCACCAGTGCAGCTTGGCCGGAATCTCGGCATAGTCTATCTCAACCGCGCTCTTGAGCACCGAATAGGCTTTCATCAGTCTTGAATGATAGGCTGGTACGTTGTCGTCCAGTTCTCCGTGCTGCACCAGCACCGGCTTAGCCTTCAGATTCTCGAGGAAGAGCTCCTGCCGGAAAGGAGCTCTCGCAGCCGCCAACACAGCGAGCTGAGCGGGATCTGCATCGTCCCACATTGTGAAAGGAACATAGTTATCGATTGAGGTATAGCCAGATGCAGGAGCCGCGGCTATCACGCGGTCTGGCTGATGTAAGGTTATGTGCCACGTGCCGTGCCCGCCGTTCGAATGCCCGGCAAGCAGAAAGCGGTCAATGTAAACACCTGGTCCGTCCCAGTGGTTGTGCTTAATCCAGTCAGGAATGGCCTCTAAAGCTGCATCAACATCCCTCAATCCCCAGTTATGCCAGTCGTCGCCACACCATGTACTCATACCCGTGGGGAACAGAATCCATGCCGGAAAGTTTGGGGCTCCGTCAAAGGAGTGCTTGAGCTGGTAGGAGTTCACATCTAGCCCAGATCCGTGAAGTCCAACTAAGACTGGAAGGGGCCCTTTATGCTGCCTCACCGTCTTCCTGGATGGCGGCAATAGCACAGCGTACGACAGCGACCCAGAAGGGTGGAGGAAGGTCAGTCTCTGGGGTTCTTCAATTCCACGCCCTGAGGCGAGAAACGGTACGTATATTTCTTCGAGTTGCATGTGGTCTAACTGTCTGAAGTGTACTGTTGCAACAAGCTCGGATGATGGGTTGTAGATTTCATCAAGGCGGAAGAGAAGTGGCCGCGACTGGCCCACGGCAATCCAGACCTTCGTATGAGTGGTCTGTTCCCCTCTTTTCGGCGCGTTGACAAGAATTGATTCAACTAAGATTGGTACATCGGCAGTGTTGGTGATGGTGAGGGACGCCAACGGGCTGATGAAGCGGCCGTGGAGGATATCTGGTACAATAAGGCTACGTTCGACAATGCTGGCGTTACCTGTTAGAACCTCGGCACGCAGCGTTGCCTCAATAGAGGGCGGAATCTGGCCACCGTTGGCCCTTACGTCACGCACAAGGCGAACATTAAATATGTTCGTCCCTGGCTTTAGCTCCAAGACGATAGGTGCTCTTTCGAAACCGTAGAAGTCTACCCCGAAGTGGCTTGATCGCTCATGGTAGCCCTCGAACGTGAACTGGAGAACGCCGGGTGCATGTAGGGCGATTTTGATCGGTTCAGCTTGGTGGTTATGCAAAACACCCCTAACCCACGTCTGGAACTGCAACGCCTGCCAGCCATAGATGCTTTGCAGGAACTTCCAGTCAACGTCCTCGTGTGACACAAGTAAGTCGACCGAAACCTGGCTCGGGCTACCCCTCGCGTTGAAGGCCCGTCTCTCCCAGCCCACAGTGGCATTCGTAGTCAGGGGGCTGGGATACAATTGCTGCTCATCATAGTCCAGGTGAGGGAAACCACCCAAGACCTCCAGCGGATCCGGCTGCCAAATCGCTTCTACCACTGGTCAATGTCGAACTCATTCCACAGTATAGAATGTCTATACCTCTTGTACCGTATTTGAATGGGCCCAGAATCTCCCACTCCTCAGCAAAGCTAATGGGCTTGGACATCAACAACTGCTGCTGCGATGCGGCCGCAGAGCGTGCATGTACCAAAAACACAATGAGACATGCCCAGGCATTGCATCCCTGCATGTTTCTGCAAGTGGTGAATTATTGGGAGGAGCATTTCCGTGGTTCACATTCAAACGCCGTCAGGAACAAGGCCTTGCAGGCGTCATGAGAGCCTATGCCGAGGCGGGCATAGCGCTACAAGGCAATGATCTACAGCTTTCTCCGTGCTGTATCGGCTAACCTGCCATACGGGCGAGAGGCCGGACTTGCCACGCGTACTGAACACTGGAGGCGAACACTGCGGGCGCAGTTTGACCTTCGCTCAGGTGGTTGTTAGAGCTAAAACTCGCTGCTTTCGTGCAAACTCACACTACCTCAGTTACTGCCTGCGACACTTTTGGCTACCCAGCTTATGGTAGCAGTGGTAGCACCAAGCATACCTGTCCGTCGCTTGCTTTGACTGATTTGACGTCGCCGATTCTGGACATGCGTCCTAATCCTACAACCTTCGATCCTCTCACGTCAAGTGTCCCTTGAGACATGAGCGCAACTATGACTACGGCTCCTCTCGACACTCACACTGCTGCGCATCGCTCCCTATCCCCACATTCTGGGATCAGCGAGGTCTCCAACGAGCGCTTCCCCTCTTTTGAAGATGAGCCACGCCGCACAAGCCTGGCGCAGATCTCAGAGAGTCCCTTAGAGACTAGTACTCCAATCGTCCCGGAATACAAGTGGCCGGGCAGGTCTAACAGTCAACGGGTGGGTCGCGCTGGTGGTCACAAGCATAGGAGAAGTGTGAGCGAGGCCCTGAACAAGTTTCGGACCCGGCAAGGAAGTGTGGGCGAGAATGCGCACGAACTGGCCGAAGCATTGAGGGCGCCGGTGTCTTATAAGTTGATTGTGAGTACAGCGAAGCAAGCAGTTGATTGATGTCGCTGATTCCTCAAGGCACTCTGCATTGGATGGTACATGACCTCCGCTCTCACCAACACCTCGTCGAAGTCCATCCTTAACGCTTTCGACAAGCCGGCAACGTTGACCATTATCCAATTCGCCTCGGTGTCGATGTGGTGCTTCATTCTGGCATCTTTGGCCTCCATCTTCCCGTCGCTGAAGCGAAGAATACCGCCCCTTAAAAATGGATTGCGAAAACCTTCGTTCGACGTACTGCAGACGGCCCTCCCCTTATCCATCTTCCAGCTCCTGGGCCATCTGCTCAGTTCCTATGCAACCTCAAAAATCCCTGTATCATTAGTGCATACCATCAAGGGCTTGTCACCGCTCTTCACTGTTTTCGCATATCGAGTCTTCTTCCGGATCCGATACAAGCGGGCAACATACCTGTCCCTCATCCCTCTTACGGCTGGAGTAATGATGGCGTGCTCGGCTGATTTCAGTGCGAACTTCTGGGGCGTTTCGGCCGCATTCGTCGCGGCTCTCGTCTTTGTTACTCAGAACATATTTTCCAAAAAGCTGTTCACCGAATCCTCGCGCGCGGAAGCTGAGGGCCAAACTCATCATGGCGGCAAGCTGGACAAGCTCAACCTCCTCTGTTATTGCTCCGTCGGCGCATTCATGTTTTCAGCACCAGTCTGGTTCTATACCGAAGGTGCCTCTATCATGGGCGATTTTCTCAAAGATGGCGCGGTGGATCTGTCCAAGAAAAAAGGCAGTCTGGACCATGGCGAACTGGCGTTTGAGTACATCCTCAATGGCTTGTTCCATTTCTTCCAGAACATCCTGGCGTTCGTGCTGCTATCGTTAATGTCGCCAGTTTCGTACTCGGTGGCGTCACTCATCAAGCGCGTCTGGGTGATTGTGGTGGCAGTGGTGTGGTTTCGGAGTTCAACAACCAGTCTTCAAATGGTTGGCATAGCGTTGACTTGTGTTGGCCTCTACCTCTACGATCGGACCAGCATGGAAGACGCGGCGGAACGCAGAGCAAAGACTGACCACTTCCGACACGCCAAGCAGCCTCTGCTGCCATTGACCGAGATGTCTGAACAGGATCAAAACGGGCACTTAGCCCAGCCGCGGAGGCTCAGCATGAATCTAAATGAGAAATTCACATTCCCCGCTGGCGGGAACAAGCGCGAAGACAGTCCCCATAGGCGGGAGAATCAGCGGTCAGATTTATTGCCGCCGGGTACCAAACAGGAGACCACCTGGACTGCCGCTGATGGCAAGGCTTGATATCAACATGTAATATTACGAATGCACGGACAGCGACAGGAGTTGGGTACTGATTCTGGGTTCAAGCCCCGTAGACCAACGTGTGACTACAGCTTCTCCATAGAAATAGACTGGGCTTGAGCAGCCAGCATGTGTGGAGACAGGAGTTAGATGTGAATGATGATAGCCTCATGAGAATGAGTGTAGCAGCCGTTGGTAAGGAACAAAGACATCACTGATAAAATCTAGCCTGCTCCAGCTACGGTGCCGATGTTCTGCTCTTGGAACACGTAGCAGAGGAGAAAGAGATGATCGAAGATTCGACCCTGCCTCCTACAATAAGTCGTGACCTTGAATGAGTTTTGTACTGAAGAAGGAGAAGCATGAAAGCAGCTCGAAAAATTTAAGAATAGCAAGAATGCAGGGTCACGAGCGAGCTAATCTAAATATGGCTAGGCTGATCTTCGTAATCCGCCAGGGCCGGAGGAGAGCCACGCCAACTGCGCCTTCATGCCAGCGCTCCTAATGTCAGCCAGCGCCCCGTCTTGACCTCCCTTCCTTCCCACTCCGCCATCATCCACGCCGCCGTTATGTCGCAGACCTTGACGCATACAGACTCGATTGAGCAGGAGGAGCAGGACAGGAAGAAGTCACAGAAGAAGCAGAAGTCCAGGAGACCCGCAAGTTCGTCCATCTCCCGCATACCATCAGACCTCTACCCGGAAGCCCACAACATGTAGCTGACTTGCCATAAGATACCGCGTTCCGCCAGCAACGTCTGAAAGCATGGCAGCCTATCCTTACTCCCAAAACCGTCCTTCCAATCTTCTTTGCGGTTGGAATTATATTCGCGCCCATCGGTGGCCTGTTGCTGTGGGCCAGTGCTGGTGTAGGTGCTGCGACGCTACTCTGATTCATGACTGATCTTGCTTGCAGGTCCAGGAACTCATAATCGACTATACAGACTGCTCGACAGCCGAGTCCGAGTTTTCCCAGATACCCGATGACAAAGTGTCAGCCTCGTTCAGCTCTTCGAATAGCACAGCCCGACCTCAATGGAAACGCGTAGAAGAGTCGCGCCGACCACCTTACAGCGCTGTCAATGTCTCAGACACTTCGGTTTGCACACTCCAATTCTCGATTCCGAACGACATCAATCCGCCGGTCTATATGTACTACCGCCTCACCAACTTCTACCAGAATCACCGTAGATACGTGAGCTCCCTCGATACATCGCAGCTTCGTGGTAGTGCCTTGGACAATGATACTATCGATGGGAGTGCATGTAACCCTCTAAAGCTTGCACACAACGGCAAAGCGATATATCCTTGTGGCTTGATTGCGAATTCTATCTTTAATGATACGCTCTGGAGCCCTATTCTTACCACGGAGTCTGGCGGCGACGGCCCGAGCGAATATCGCATGACGAACGAAAGTATCGCCTGGGGAAGCGATTCGCAGCTCTACAAGAGAACTGACTACCAGCCTGAAAATATTTGGCCTCCACCAAACTGGGAACGTCGCTACCCGGACGGCTATACCAGAGATGGCCCCGGACAGATTCCGGACCTCTCAACCTACGAAGAGTTCCACGTCTGGATGCGGACGGCTGGCCTGCCCACTTTTAGCAAGCTCGCCCTTCGCAACGATAATGATGTTCTGCGGGCCGGAATTTACCAGATGGAAATCTATGATTACTTTCCAACCTCGGAATATGGTGGAACGAAGTCCATTCTCCTCAGCACCCGAACGGTTCTCGGAGGCAAGAACTCTTTCTTGGGCATTGCCTATGTCGTCGTTGCGGGTATCTGCGTCGTCGTTGGCGTGGTCTTCACACTGGCCCATCTGATCAAGCCAAGGTCAGTCTCATTCTTCCATTCCCCCAAATTTGACTGACGGTTCTAGGCGCTTGGGTGATCACACATATCTCTCTTGGAACAATGCCGACCTTCCTCCCTCGACCGCCACTACCACAGGCCGAGACACCAGGCCTGGCACACAGGGCGCCTGATCTTGGCGCTTCCTGGCTTCCTGGCAATGTGTTACGACCCCTTTCTTGGCGCAAGGCGTTCTCAGTACGATCGGTCCACGTTTGACAGTCAGACGGACAGCAAGCAGAAGTGTGAGGACATCGCTTGTATAAACATTGATTTTGTGTGATGGAGCAGGACGGATCAATGTCCACATATCATCTAGATTGCTCTTCTACGAACTGGTCATGGCGTAACGGCATTTTTACCCAGACTTCTTTTCTCTAGCCCGTGCACTGTCAACATCGGTAAGAAGGACCTGTGCTTTCCATCTGCCGTATATTTCTGTTTATCTCAGTCAATCTCTGACTGTCCCTCATTTGCCTTTACCACCAGCGCTACACTCCGGCCCTTGCCCCTTATGCTCTCCCCAACCGTCGCCCTCACCATCCTTCTCTTACTTATTCTCCCGAACGCCCTTGCCGCGCCACCTTTTCCGCCCCTGATCAAGTACTTCCCACTAGCTACCCCCATTCCTCCCACGTCACCGCCTTCTGAAGATCCAGCATTACCTGCTCCCCAACCCCAGCAACCTCTCCTCAACGCCAGAACGTGCGGCACCTCTAATCCATCCAACAATCTGCGCTCCGCCCTCGCACAGCTCCGCGCTGAAGAGCCTCTCGACAACAATAATCTCTGGTCGGCACGTACCTTCTCAGCCCGCATCTTGTCGCAACCCCTTCACAAACGCGCCGCAACTCCCCTTGTCACCATCCCGCTCTATCTTCACATCGTCGACACCCCCGCCGCCGCAACCCCGGGCTCCCCATCCTACATCTCCGACGCGCAAGTCGAGCAGCAGGTCGCGTACCTCCGCTCCGCGTACGCGCTCCTGTCCATCGCCTTCGACCTGCGCAATACCACGCGCACCACGAACGCCACGTGGGCCGGCAACGGCGATGATTTGGCCATGAAGCGCGCGCTGCGCCAGGGCGCGTACGACTCGCTGAACGTCTACTTTCAGAGTAACCTGAAGAGTAATGGCGACGATGGCTTGCCGGCAGGCGCCACGCTGCTGGGGCTGTGCACGTTGCCCGTGACGGGTGTCTCGGCTGTGACGGCGCCGGCGAGGTATGTTAGGGATGGGTGTAATGTCTTGTCTGGTACGATGCCGGGTGGGAGGATGAATGGGTGTAAGTGTCTTCTGTTTTCCCTGTTCGCCTGTGATTGTGTGGCGCGTATGTGTGTGGGGGGCTGACGCTGGTGTCAATATAGACAACCTCGGCGCCACGGCCGCGCATGAGATGGGCCACTGGCTGGGTCTCCTGCACACGTTCGAGGATGAAACGTGCGACGCGGCTTCGTGGGGCGACTACGTGGCTGATACGCCGCAGCAGGCCGTCCCGACCGAAGGGTGTCCCGCTAGGGGGAGTCAGGATTCTTGCCCGAATAGTGGGGTTGCTGAGGTATGTCGTCCCCAGAGATAGGGTTACGGGAGAGCAAGTCACTGACCAGGGTGTAGGGCTGGAGTGGCCTCCCAGGACAAGGTCCTAATCCATATGGGCCTCAGGGCTACAGCGGTGTGGACAACACGAGGAATTATATGGACTATAGCAGTGATGTCTGCTACGAGGGGTGGACGGCGGGGCAGGGTGCTAGGGTCGTAAATGCATGGAAACTGTGGAGGGAAGGTCGGTGATGGCTGTCAGAGACTGGGGCTGCATTCGGGGCAGGGGAGACGAGGGAAGAAGTATTCGAGAGTGCTTTGACATGGGCAGCTTATAGATGAGTTCTGGGTCAGCTTTCTATTTCTCAGATCCAGGAATCTACAGTTTTGTTGCGGCTGGGATAACGGATGACCAATTTATTTGCGCATAGAATGCTGCTGTAACGGCTTTCGGCTCCTCCGTTCTATCCTGCTTGGTCATAACAGTACTTGTTCTGATGCTTCTCCGAGATCAAAGTGACGCGGACTGACTAAGAACACCTATATCATCTGCTCGAGTGCTCAGTCCTGAAGCGAGTTCGAGCCATCGGTGAAGCGCGGCTGGTGTGACGAGGTAAACCTCCCAGCCTTGGGCTGCCTGTTGGTAGGTATGCTTGGTCTGGACTCGAAGTTTGTTCGCGGGGTCTTGAGATTATTGTGTTGCAGCCCCGCGGTTATTCCTCGTCGTTGGTTCCGTTCTGAGAAGTAGTCCGCTCGTTTCGGGAGAGGTACGGAAGGCTTTGGCCTTTTACCATCTCGTAAGAAAGTCTCAGACTGATGCACTGTAGACTATGTCTAACGCTCCAGCAGCTGGAACGATGGTTTTCAGCATGAGATATAGCCTGATTGTAGTCTGCATTGATGATTTGTTGTTCGGACAGGATTCCTGCCACGGGCAAGGTCTTGAGCTCTTCTTTGAGTTTGACAAGTTTGGATAGGGCCTTGATTGAAGCTTCAGGGGTCACCGTGGCGGTGTTGAAGTTCTGCGTTTGACTTGGCATGGTGAACTTTAGGAGCAGGAAGAATGGTATCGGTGGGTGAGATGCTGAGCATAGGGTGCAGGAGGCTATGGCAATGTGAACGCTCTGGTTCCGTAGACTTTGCAGAGCATTCCGACTGTAGTAGGGCTTCTATAACTGAGAGGCGGCCAATCAACGAAGCAGGAGTGAGACCAAGAAGACTGTTGGACATCAGAAGCGAACTCCTCCCCTTTCCCACCCTGGATTGCGAAGAAGGCAAAGGCACAACTTCAGATAACCTATGGCCCCTTACAGTCAGCATTCCTGTGGCAGGATTTCAGAGTATTGCTTGTTAATTGAGCTTCTTCTCATTTGTTACCTCTGCCTTGCAGTGCAATCATGGACTGCCGTCAACTTCGAGCTTCACCTGGCTCTCAGTGAGCACTTCTTTTCTTAGTCACCTCTTGGCACGAGTGACGCCCTTAGACACCACCACCTCTGCTCTACTAACTATAAAACTATCCACGAACTTCGGTCGACCTTTTGTATCCACCTTACTAAGTACCTCGTCCGCCGCGAGACATGGATTCCATAACTGTTACTCTCGCTGCCGCGTCCGTGTCTCTCGCTCAGGCTTCCAAGACTCTAGCAGAGGCATCGAAGCTTGTTGCTGAGGCCTGCAAGGTATACGCTCCTGCTTCTAACCCAATGCATTACCCATATGGCCGAGATTTTGGTCCTTCGACTGATCATCAGGTGCGGGTTTCTCAGTCCTGAAGCGTAAATGCTGCTAACTCTATACAGAACTCTGCATACGCCGCCTCCGGTCTTTCCAATCTCTGCCGTCACCATGTCAACCACGAACTCCCGCCGAGCTTTTGTCAAGCCTCTCCCTATCAGTGCCATCCTCGATTCTATAGCGCTGCACCTGAGCTGCCGTAAGTAACAACTCATGAGGAATTCACTCCAGAGCATTCTAACATATGTATAGTCGTGGCCCACCTCCTAATTACCCTGCACCTGATCTGGACAACGACAACCACCTCAGCTGGAAGTACTCTTACGAGGAGCAGCGATGGATGCCATCCTACGCCGACTCCGGTTCAGTCACATGTCCTCCCTCATCTGTCTACTATGGGGCTGAGAACTCTACTCAGCACGACTATGGTGCTCATGCTCGGGGCTGGGGTACTCACTTCCCTGCTGGACCGAACGGTGGACCTGACTGGGGTGACGGCGAAAACAATGGTGGATGGTCCGAGGATGATGAATACTATGGCGAGAGTCCTACAGGTTGGCGCAATGGCAGCGAGCATGGTGAAGATGGACCTGATGGGCACCGCGCGAACGAAGTTGGCTCTTGTTGGGCTGTTCAGAATAAGTACGACGACAATCAGTCCTGTGCTAATGACTACGACAACTCTTGGGGAGATCGCAACCTCAACGGCTGGTCTGACGTTGAGTCCTGGCATCAGCAGGATCAGACTTCTGACAATGGAGGTATCGGGTCTGAGCATGGTGCGCTGTACGATTCTGATGGCTGGGACACGTGTGAAGATGAGTTGACCTCTCCTGAGTTCTACCTATGTGATGACAGCCAGTATGGATGTTGGGATGACTCTGAACTGGTATCAAACAGTGTCCCAGCTTGGTGAATTGATCGATCGACCAGGAGCAGCCACGGGACAATGGGGGCAATCATAGGAGGAGACTTGGACGCGACGCTGGAAAAAGATCCGAGAGATACGAGTCAGGACCAGCAGTGACTTCCTCGCTTGAGTACGGGGACACTAAGGTACGAGCCTCGAGTAAAGTAGTAGCAGCTGCAGCAGTATGCAGCACGATGATCCCACCTTGCCTGCGAATCGTGGCCTGGATAGTCTAGCTTCAATAGCTCTTGCAATACGTCCGCACGACACGATGAATAGTAGGCTCGCCATTGCGTTGTGTGTTCGTGCGCGATCTGAACGATACGGGTTCAGGATGAGGAAGGCGACGGCGGCCCCGGCAAGGCTCGCCCCCTATTAATGCGCCAAGACGCTAAACAGACCCTCAGCTATTAGGCGCTCTTTCGCCTTCGAACGACTGTCCTTCTTCACAATTGCAATGACTCTTCTAAGAACAAATGGGCAGCCTATTGCGCACGCCCGGAAGTTATGGCTTCCATTGCTATTTGAGTTCATCGGAAAATGGTCCACTAGTGTTTTCGGCCGGGCTGAGGCTGCGACCTATTGACGCCTTGCGCGCATCTGGTCATCCATCACAACAGCGAAGAATGCTTTGCCTTACTACCAGACGACAATCAATCCGGACGTCGCCTGATTGCTCACAGATGGGTTGGGTAACCTAGTCTTTCGACATGTAGCTGAAACACCGTCGCAAAATCCCCACACGGTAACTCGACCATGGTCCCACCGTTTTTCTCTGGGATGACCCGTTATGTGAGTCTGATCCGAGCTGAGTCACATACACAGTTGCCTGAATGCGCAGTCAGGTACTCAGCACATCACGCCCACAGGTATAAGTATGTCGCTTCACGATCGTGACTTCTCAGATTCCTACATACTAGACCCTCACCAACAAAACAAAGCCTTATAGTCCCCGAAGCCGCAGTGCCTCCAAAAGGATCACTGGACCAGATGCCATCGCCTCACAGCAGCGAAAACGAGGATGGAGATCTTGAAGACACCGTAAAATCTGACGATGATGGATCCTATGTCGAATATCGTCGGAAAAGAGCGAAACTTGACGCGAGCAAAGCAGAGCTTGATCGGGCAAATGCCGAACTTGAAGCCTGGATAGCAAAAGAGCTTAGGCGACACGCAGCAGCGTCCGCCAAAATATGCCGACACACTCGTCGCACAAAGGGGCAGTCGCTCAGAAAGTACAACTCGTCTAAAAAGCGGCCTTCAAACACATTGCTACACCATAATGGCGATCAGAGGGTCAAAGTCGAAGATGACCTCGTGTCTGTCTCGCCGATTAAAATGGAAAGTCGCGTGGGTCCGGACCATATTATTGCCAACGAGGTCACAACAAGCAGAACCACTGAGCCTGCAGGCAGCAACTTCCCTGCCGACATTCCTCGGCCGTTGTGGGAGACACAACTAAACACCCACTTTGCGGGACCACCTCCTCAACAGCCCTTTCTCTCTCTAGTTCCCAACAGCTACCTGTCTCCTCAAGGTCACTTTGTCTGCCCACACCTGAGTCTTGGTATGGCTGGCTCAGGCTCTCGGAATGGCAATCAGGACTTGATTTGCGATCTCTGCCAGCAACAGGTGGATCGATTCTACCTTCAATACGGCACATCAAACGATTCGTTTTCCTTTCCGCTGGGTCCGTACGACTACTAGGTCATAGACGAGGAATCTCGACGAGAAATAGTGTGGTACTCTTGAAAATCCGATATCTGTCGAATACACAATCAGAAACTGGCCTGAATCGGTGAATCTGCGACGCAGATAGGTGAAGGAGCTGCACCAGCGAGGAGAGAGAGCCAGGCTGTCGGGGGTGTGAAGAAGATGCAAGCATGCAGGAGGAGAGGGCGATTGATGTGCAAAGAAGACCAAAGAAGACGCAAACCGTGAGATTGACGGCCAGCTGGCTCCAAACAAGATGCAGAGAGGAGCAGTCAGGCATCAACCCAGCCGCACACACCGACATCTGGTTCTTGTGTCTACAGTCTGGTTCTTGTGTGGGTTACCCTCTGTCAAGAGTGGCGTTCAGGGAAAGATTTTCTTCTGAAACACCTATGTGCCTGTGCCTGTGCCTGTGCTGAGCCGCGTTGGACCGCTGGTTCCACAACGAGATCTGCCTACTGCGGCCATTGGGTCCGTATCCGTCTTTTGCTAAGAGATTGAGACTTCTCGTGTATTATGTTTATGTAGACGGAACCTTATTAGGTTATTAATCGAGCCACTCTGCATGCTAAAGGTCCAACTTTGTACTAGTGGAGGAGAAGAAGGTGATACGTTGTCACGTTTAAATTCGAACTGCTCTCTGTACCGACCGATCCTGCTCGAAGTACAATAAGTTCCTTGCATTCCAGACACCTATATACGTAGCTTATGATGTCTCAAGGGGTGGTCCCGAGGGAGGAGTGTCGAACGTGCCTGTCCAAAACCGTAGGGACAGGCTTAACATAAGCTAGGTGCAGCAGCAGGGAATCAAAGAGTGAGACTGTGCACGGAACGCTCGTTAAGGGGATCTGAATTATGCCTAATGACTGGAATGCGTACTCCACCACGATGTAATGCTAAGATTGATTAGTGCTTCAACTTGAATTGCTCAAGATTGGGTAGGTCGGTCTAATTGACTCCTGAGACCATCATACTCTGCCCCTTCAATAAGCCACAGGCAGGAGATCGACCCGGGAACAGGACTTGGGCAGGTCGCCAGTGGAGTAGTCGAGCTCAGCGAACAACTGGGGAGCCCCGTGCCACCAGTCGCATGCCAGCCAACCGATGAACTCGGTAGAATTCCACTGCAAGCCAGTCGAGTTGAAGAAGTATCCGGCAGAATCGGATTCGCTAGCGACGGAGATGGTCACGGCAAGGAAGGCTGTGTTGGGTCAGCTTTGCGAGGTATCATTGTCTTGGCCGAGTCACCCACATTGGTAGGAGCCATATTGGACGGCGAGCGGCCATCCGCCAATCTGGTTGCCTTCGTATGTGAAGTACTGTTGCGAGTCTGTCTTGTTGTAGTAGGCCTCCATGGCGGTGTCCTTGCTGGAGTCTAGTACGGCATCGCCCAGGCCGGCTCCGGTGTGGTATGCTGCGAATGAAGATCAGAAGGCGCAGCAAGTGACACAGCCAGTGAAGACGAACAGTAGAGCCACAACCCTCCCTTTGCACTTCCGCAGTCGTCTTTCGAACTGTCACCCCGTAGTTGCGTCTGTAGATAGTACTTGGCGGGCGGCTCTGTGGTGGCGCGGGAGGCCAGCGGGCTGCCTTGAGCAAGATTGAACAGCGCAATAGAAGAGGCGGCAATGAAGGCGCTGAGATGCATCTTGAGGGTTGATGGAGAGTGTGACGTGATGAGCAAGGATTCTGAAGGCTTACGATGTCCGAGATGAAGCAGTTGGAGGGGCTGCTCAGATGTGTCGATGAAAGTAACTGGCCTTGTGGAATGGTTCCAGAAGCACCGAGGTAGTTATACGTGGTCAACAGGTTGCTTGTACCTACCGGAAGCAGCCAATAGAGGCTGTGCTACAATGCAGGCACGACAGGCACGACAGGTAAGACGGTCCTCTATGAGGGATAAATCTGCGGAAGGCTGCAAGAAATCCATTGTGCAGGTCACGAGGAAGGGTGGTAGCCGGAGGAAGGTGGTGGTGGTGGCTGCGGCTGGCCGGCAAGCTCGGTGTAAGTTTTGTGGGATAGCCGCAGTAAGTAGCACTGGCAGCTGCGGGTTCTTGACTAAGTCTGAGACAGGCTGACGTTCAGAAGTTTGTGGGGTCTCCGGTACCCCAAATTTAGGTAGGTACATACCCTCCCTGATAAAAATGTACTGGTCGCTGCTTCCGCGATTGATCACTCGAGCTCCCGAGCACAGCCACACCGTCGACCACCAACTTTCCTTCCACCTGCGCCATTTCATCAATTCCATCAATTCCATCAACTCTACCCTCGGTGTCGACTGGAATTGTTGTGCGTGTCACTTCGATGCTCCTTCGGCGCAGCCATATTGACACCTTCGTCCCACTGAACGGTAAAGCTGTTGGGCGTGTTGTATCGCTGGCCTTTAAAGAGCAATTGTGTGTCGATGCTAGCTGGCTTCAGCTGGAAGCGAATCGTAAAGTCGGCTCGATAGTGAGTTTCGTACTTGTTCCACCAGCGCCACCAGCGCTTCTTTCTTTTCTCAAAGTCCGAATAGGGCACAGAGGTAAGATCTGAGCGCATTGTGCACAGCATCTTGACAGCCCCCTCATTTGATTTGAACGAGTTTGGCAAATCTTTGGCCCCGCTGTTGCAGATCACAATGCGGTCTTCCCAAGGCTTGCACTTGCCCTTGAGGAATCGGCGCCAGAATTCATGATCCACGTGGTCTTCATCTTGGTCGATCTGCTGGCCTTGTTTGACAAACCAGATCACTTGGTCATTGGCGTACGTCTTGTTTTCGATGGGACATTTGTGCAACTGTGCTTGTTGGTGAGCCACATTGCGCGGGTTATACCTTTGTATGCAGAGGACACCCAGAGACTGCCGGCAGGTCCGTGTTCGCAGCACCGATTTGGCAGTCTTCAGTTTCCGCATCCGATTCTGCACGATTCCCTTGACCACGGCTAGCTGTCTAGTGCGGATTTAGCTGGACGACTCCCACTCAAGCTTGGCGCAATACTCACGGCACTGTTGATGACATGACACGCAGCTCTGGCGCCCTCCGATGGACCCTGTCGACCGTGTACCGCTGTGTAAGACGATCCTTGACATACTGAGAACTTCCCAGTCCTCCGGACAGAACAAGATGTGTCTTTGTCGTCAGCAAGAGCATACCACTTAGGGATGGAGCACCAACTATTCGCTCATTTGACGCTTCTGTGTCCATGCGCTTCATCTGGAAGTCGATCAAGTCAAACATCTTCTCGATCTGGCGGTCGAACAATGCCCGGATCTCCGCCCTGCCCACGGTCAATTATGCTGCAAAGGTGTAGAGGGAGATCCTTACTGGGAGAATATCATCCTGCCACGGATTACCTTCGCTGAAGGCAGACTGAAGGTGTCGGGACACCCTGGCATTTCAATTTCGAATTCTGGAAAAGTCAAGCTGTCCTCTGTCCCAAAATTCTCCTTGCATCTGCGAAATCCGGTCGGAGAGCGCGACATCTTTTCCGCAAGCTTGCGAATGGTATGAGGCGCCATGTTCAAGTCCTTTTTCGCAGCCATTAATCGCTTCTCGACTAGATCGGCAAATTCAATGTCGATTTCGACGCTCCCAATTTCATCGCCTGTAAATCTCAGTGAGTCGCTCGAACAGATTGACATGACATACCTCGAACCTGGTCTAATGATCTCAGAGATGCTCCATCACCGCTCGCCTCGGCAACCTTTAGGAGAGCGACATCCTACGAGACGTTAAGCGGTGCGTGCCGATGGAATCAAATCATACTTACTGTTGTCCCCCCGCCAGCATCTACGGTCAGAAGTACGTCGCCATCCTATCATTGCGAGTTAGAGTGGCTGCTTTCGATGATTAGGCCGAGCACGAACCGAATATACTGCATTCTGTGAGTTGAAGGTGTACACAGCTGCGGCCTCGGCCTCTGTCAGACTGACGTCGACTATATGATTTCGAGAATCAGATCCGAAGCCTGCTCGACAAGCGATTGTCTTCAGGTCCTGTGCCAGGCCCAGCTTGGTCCACGTCGTGGGCACCGAGAACAGGAATTCAACGTGGGCCGTGTTCCAATCCCTCACGTTGTCGATGAGACTTTTCTTGATATGAGGATACAGTTTGCGGAGGAAGTCTTCGTAATATTTTCTGACGTCCGCATGGCTAGGCGGGAGTTCTTCGGGATGCGGATGGCTGCGACGAGCCTTGTTGTATTCTGCTTCGTCAAAGAATACTTTGAACCAATCTCGGACTCGATCTTGATCGGATTCCAACTGAGTCAAGAATCCCCAGGATATGCGGTCATCGATGCCATAGTAGATTGAGGTCGGGACCTGCTCTGCGGATAAGCCGATCGCCATAAAATCGAAATGCCAGGCTCTTTCAAACCTTGTTCGCAGAACCGCCAGCATTGCCAGGCCAAGTCTGGATCGTGTGCGGCTCAGGCATGTCTATGCCTTCGTTCTTGATAGCAAAGCCCACACCTGATGGACAGAGTTATCAGAATGGGTCACTGGATTCGTGGGTCACATCGGGTGGCAACCTACCTGTACAGGTCATACCGACATCTATTGCCACCAGCAGGACTGACGTTGCGCTGCTCATGGTGCTTAATTCAAAGAGATATGATTTTCGCGATACGTTCTCCTTGTGAGAGCAAACAACTGCAAGGAGAGACAAGGTCGACATCTCCTGGAACTACCCGCAAGATCGACTTATGATTGCAAACAAGGCTGACTCCGCGACTGAGTCCCTACCATCCATCAAGACCCTTGTCGACGGGCAGCCACTAACCAGCAAGCGACAAATGCATATGAACGAGGCTGAACTATCGATGTGAATGCGCAATATCCTTGTTGTCACATCAGGTGGCTGAGACGCGACCTGGCTCGCCTCGGGCTGCGGAGGGTTGGCTGGGTTCAACTTAAAGCAGCGAAAGCATCAGGCTGAGAAGAAGACGCACTTTTTCCTATGCTCTGCCGGAAGACCTCTCGAATTCGTACCAATTCCCAAGGATGTTCGTAAACACTCTTCCAACCATTACTCATACACAAGTTGGATTGTAACGAAAAAACACCTCGTGTTTCATCTACAAACAAGTTCATGCCGTCTCAAGTACCCTCGCAGCAATAGCCATCACTTCCCACTGACGATTGCGTTGCTGCCTTCGCGCGAAACACCTTGCCCTTACCCGGGACGAACGCAGTGAGACTACGAGAAACTATTGTTGCCGTTATCATTACTCCGAGCGACTCGGCGAACCCCATCGCGATTGGAAAGTCGTGTTCTATACAGTACTAAACAGGTCCTGGCTAAAGCTCCGTCGGCATCTTCTCGGAGACCTGTCCACTTCGCTATCACAATTTCCGGGAGCAGCCGTCGGAGCGCTGATAACAGGAGCCCTTTTGGCTTCAGCAGTCTCCCACTTTTGCATTATGAGGCGCCACAGGGAACGAGGAAGCCATGTTAGCAGATTCCGAGGGGAACAGCCCGGCGGTTTCATGCCTGCCCAAGATGCAGCTAGCCATGAGCCTGCAACGGTCACGAACCCGAGTCAGGTCCTCTCACATAGTGATGAGCCTCAGCGTTCTCAGGAGGCGCAGAAGAACAAGGCCATATCTTCCATCAGCAACATCCTCAAGTGGCTCTGTTTCGGGGAACGTCGAAAGGAACAGGACGGTAGATCCATGACTTTCGCGAATCTGGACTATATTCTGCCACAATCGCTTGACGATAGCAGCATTCAAGCGGCTGTCTTTGATTTCTTCAGACGTATCGACGCGCATGTCAATAGCCGCTTCTATCCGGACCATGTTCGCCTTGACGAGGAAGACGCTGTCAATGCGGCACCTCAGTCGGCACACCATGCTACGCAGCCAGGTCTTGACGTTGGCGCGTTACTCCGCTATGAGCGAGCCCGCTTCCAGACGATCAAGTCGCTGATTTGCGGCGAGGTGCTTGAAGCCATTGATTTCTACGGCGATCAAAGCAAGTCGCTGTTGCCGAAAGTTGTCACAGCTTTCTTGAGTAAGGTGGCTAAACGACGCGAAGACGATCATCGTAAGTGCACTCGGAAGAACCTGACGCAGCATACTGACTTGGCGCAGCAAATAGGCTCTCCACGTCTCGCTGGAGGACGAGCACCGGCTATCTGCTCGGCGACCGCCAAAGTCCTGAAGACCAGGCAGCTCGTGACGAGGCCATCCAAAAGATTATTCAGACACTCAACCCTATTCTGCAGCCGTTTGCTGACCCGAAACACGAGGACACTCGCCAGGCTGATCTTGTTTTCATCTGCAGAAAGGCTGAGCAGCTCGGCATGATACTACTTGCTCAGCCAGCCGAATGGATGTTCGACTGGACGTCAGATCCGGAACCTGTGTCTAAAGAACCAGGAAGATGCCCGGTCACCTCTCGCCCATTCGTTGTGTTTCCAGCCTTGGTCAAAGTCACTGACAAATCTGCTCGAGTCATTGAGCCGCCGCAGATAGTTTTGAGTCAGAAGAAAGTGTCTTTTGGAAGCTGGAAGCTTGACGCCCAGGTCCTTTGGGAGAAGCCGCCTCATGGGGGAAGCAAGGAGGATGTCACGCCGTAGTGGCTCCCTCTTTGCGAGCCGACATGTATCCATGTCGTTCCAGCTAGGCGCCGACACTTGGCGGTCGTAACTTCATCCGTTCTAGCGTCAGTCAAACTGGACCAAATACGAGGACACCGTGAACCTGCCTAGTCACGTACATGATCGCACCTAGACAACAGCTTCGAGCTCTACCTCTCGCTTTCTGCGGCCGAGGGCAGTATGCTAGGGAGATAACGAAGCGCTCGTCCATCTCGAGAGATGCCCTCAAGCCATTAAGAAGCGCAGAGTTACAGCTCTGCGCAGCAAGGGAGAACTCGAGAGGGTGAACCGACAGGCACTTGCATTGACAGCGTCCGGCCAAGGTCCGTGCGCCCAATGCGAGACGAACATCCAGAACAGGGACACGATGTTGCCGCTTTGTCGAGAAAAACGAAAGGCGTGGACTTTTGGTTCGTACTTGCGACTCCAGGCACACATGGGGCAGAGTGCTAGGCAATTCGGGCGCATCTGCCCTTTTGCACCAGCCGATAGCCACAGAGAGCGTTCATGCCATTGCAGAACCTCAAAGCTGGCCGAGATTAGGCGGAGGTACAACCTGCCGATCTCGGCAGGCTGTATGATAGCCCGCCTTTGACACATGTCTGTCTGCCGCGCCCATCTTTCCTGCGAACTACTCCTAGCGTTCTTTGCAATCTGCGTCGGCAGACTGACGCTTGCCACACTCTTCGCCACGCCTACTCAATCCGCAAGATTGGACTCGTGGGATTGTCATGTCTCAAACTGAGCAGATCCAGTACCCGTGCACTCACTCATCGCGGTTATGGAGCCCGGCTCAATTGCATCCGCCGTATTCTCCGGGCTTAACGCCCTAGTGGTTGTCATCAAACACTCGGCACACTTTGCTGCCGTGCCAGAAGAGGTGACGCAACTGCAGATCAACGTGCGCCTCGCCGACGATTCTGTTGGCACGGCGCGCCGTCTGCGGCGCCTCAACGCGAGCGTCCTCGATGACCACTTGAAATCCGACGTCGACCGCGCCGTTTCCGCCGTAGAGGAGATCCTGGGCTTGGTGAGGGAGACGGTGGAGGCATGCCGTAAGGACCTGGAGATCAAGAAAACGGTGGGCTGGGGTAACAGAGCAGCATGGCTCGTTTGGCGCAAAGAGGACTTCGTGGGCAAGTTGAGCACATTGACAAACGCGCTGGCCGTGCTGAACCGGGATGTGGGGCGTATGGAATTGTGCGCAAGGTTGAGTGCCGTGACTGACAGCATTGTCGTACCGCCGGGTCGACGTGTTCAGCGTACCGACGAGGACGAGAACGGGGATGTCAAGCCAGTGATGTTCCCCAGAAGACCAACCATGCGGAGAGCTCGATCCCGGAGACAAGCAGATGACGGCGACTCGGCGAGCATCGTCTCGTTCAACGATTGTGCAACTCTGGTCACCGAGACCTCGTCATCACCCGCGAGCACGCAGAATGCCGTTGAGGGCATCGGCACCAGCGGCAGCCTGCTGGTCCCAGTCCTATACCAGGCCCACAGCGCGCCCAGCCAGATCAGCCTCGCCCCGTCGTCGGACATGGCAGACATCCAAGCGGTAGACGAAGCTGAAGCACACAATAGCACATTCTCCAGACTCGAGGCGCGGACAGGTGACGGCGCCACGACCGAGGCTTACGTCCTCCATAGCAACCTCGGTCTAAACACGCCACACTCTGGCAATCGTCCTCTCTCGACGTCTCACTCCGCTTCTCCCAGCACTTCTCGCGATCCGGGCCCACACAGTGGAAGTAGCCGCCGGCCAAGGTCGAACCTCATCTAACGCACCTTTACGAGTCGAAGGGCAGCAATTGAGCGTATGTCTGTCTACGTCAGCGCAAGAATTTTGCCCTGAATCTCCGGAAGCTTTCAGTGGCAATTGGGGGACGGCGAACCAGACCTACGGCAAGAAGCTCCTTCCCCCCCCCCCGTGTTTGGCCTCAAAAGACTGTACGTCTATCTGCTACTGAGCCGTTTTCCGGCCTGCAGATGAGCCTGGCAGTCTGTGGAGGCCATTACGGATGTATGAATTGGGGAAGAAGAGCCAGGATTGAGCGCTCACCTGTAGGTTTGAGCTTGGCTTTGCATCTATATATATATCACCATATATAACCATATATGTATATGTATGTGCACCCTAGGCATGCGATGTGGTATATACAAGTCTCGAGAGTTACAGCACTACCACTCTCGCATTCTACGCCGCGCCGCCAGGTCGCCCTGAAGTGGCGTTGGAAATGGGGATCTAGAGCGTGGGCGGATGGCGGGTGGAGCGTGAAGGTCTGACCTGAGACGTGGGAGAGGTGTGGGTGTGTGGGTGAGTGTGGTACCAATACATCTATTTTGGGCTCGAAGGGGGCAATTAGCGCTGGAGGCATACATGATATACAGTAGGCGGGCAGCCACTACTCTCAGGCAGGGAGGGTTTCGGGCGGGCGCAGCAAAAATGTACCACCGAGGTAGTAGCCGAAACGGAGCTTATGACGAGGGTTGTGGGACGACTTTTGTGATGTATGATACTTTCATGCTACTATTTTGCAGGAAGGTTGCGTGCCTGCAATGCCTTATTATATTGCAGGCCGCCAATACCCCCGGTTTTTGTTACGAGCGGGTGTTACAAAATCGGTCTTCGATCTGGCTCAGGCAGGTAAGTACGTACGTAGCCCGGGGAAACTACACGCCTTCTAGGACTTGTCAGTGTCGGCAAACTTGTGGTTCCAGAACCCGCGGGCGTGGTGCTGCGCGCCCGTCTCAGTGATCTGCTCGAGCTCCTTGGGCGTGAGGTCGAAGGTGAAGACGCGAAGGTAGTCGCTGAGACGCTGCTCTTTGCTGCTGGTGGTGACGGCGACGACGCCCTGGTCGATGATCCAGCGCAGCAAGATCTCGCCCTCGGTGACGGCGTACTTTTTGGCCAAGCTTACGAGGAGCGGGTCTAACGGGCCGCCCTTGAATTTGGTGAGCGGCAGGAGGGGTCCGTAAGCGGCCACTTTGATGTCTTTGCTCTTGTGGAAGTCCAGCAGGTTGCCGTGCTGTAGGTAAGGATGCAGCTCGATCTGGTTGATGGCTGGCCTGACTTTGGCGGTCTTGAGAATGGCGTCGAGGTCGGGACGCAGAAAGTTGGAAACGCCAATCGACTTGGCCTTGCCGGCCGCTACGACCTCTTCCATCTGAGCCCACTTTTGCTGGAGCTCGGCCTCTTTGCCGTTGGCGAAGAAAGGTTCGTGGAGCAGGTACAGATCAACGTATTTAAGTCCGAGTTTCTTGAGACTGGCGTCGATGGCTCCAGGGATGTCTTGGATGTTGTCGGTGACTAGAAGACGTCAGTAACCAAGCGTTGGCATTAGAAAGGGTCGGTATCAACGATGCTATCGCAGAAGCGACGAAAGAACCATCTATGCTCCGATTCAATCCTATGAGGGGGTACTGACCCTTAGTCGTCACGAAAAGCTTTTCACGTGGCACCTTTGATTTGGAAATGGCCTCCCCAAGCTCGGACTCCGTTCCGTAGGTCTCGGCACCATCCAGATGAGTGTAGCCAACTTTGATGGCAGTCTGGATGGCTTCTACGAGAGCCTTGTCCTTGCTCGTGTCCCCCTTCTTCTTGTACCACGCCGTGCCCGTTCCATACCCGATTTGAGGAATCTGTGCACAGGCGTCAGTCGGTGCTGGCTCAGTCGGACTATTACATGGTAGAAGTAACGGCTCGATATCGCCATATGACGTGCCTGTTGCACCGTCGGAGGGTGAGGACTAACCTTGTTGCCATCTGGCAGTGTAAGATCGGGGATGTTTAGCTCCAGTTTGGCCATGATGAGATCACAGAACCTCAGCTAAAGGCAGAGTAAAGGCAAGGAGAGTAGAAGACGTCTTGCGAGACCGGAAGGAAATTCGACTGCCGGAAAAGGATATGTTGAAGCTGAACTACGGCGGTGAATTAGCCTTGGTAGGAGTTCGCCGCGTAATCGGCGCGGGAGGTCGACGTGGGGTTCGTCTGGCGTCATCGTTTCCAGCCGTAGCACCCTGTTACGGCCCGAGACCCTATCTTGTCGCTCAATTCGGTGCATAGGAAGCTCATGGGAAGACTTTCAGAGCAATGGGTGGTTGTAGACATTTGCCGAAAGGCATCCAGTCGCCTTGCGAGCGCAAAGCGACAATTGGTGGTCGCCTTACTTGCCGCCTCGCTTGCCATGCCTAGTCCAGCTGAGTCAGAAATCAACAGCATCCGCCCCGCGGTCCACCTTTGGCTGCATCGCCGACGGTCAGGTTGACTGCTTGAGGTTGCTTCGCATCTCGACCACCCGCCGCGCCAAATTTCTTCACGCCACTGCGACGGTCGGCCAAATCGTATCTGCCAGCCTCAATGTTCTGATAAATTCGTTCTGCCACCTCAAGGAATGCCTTCTCGACATTCTCACCGCTTTTAGCGCTTGTCTCGATGTACTTCAGCACGCCTTCCCGGCGACACCACTCCTCAGCCTCCTCCTTGGTGACCTGGCGCTTGTTGCCGCCCTCGATATCGGTACTCTGACTGGCCAGATCGAGTTTGTTTCCAACCAGGACAACCACGATATTGTTATCTGCAATTTGCCGAAGATCGTTGAGCCATGCTGTGGCCGACTCGAAGCTCTTTCGGCGAGAAAGATCGAAGACCAGGAGTGCCCCAGATGCGCCACGGAAGTAGCTTCGCGTTATTGACTTATACGTCTCTTGCCCCGCGGTGTCCCACAGACTGAGCTTCATTTTCTTTTGCTGGCCATTGCTGTTTTCCGCAAGCTCCGCGGCGGTGGCTGTGTTTCCTTTTTCCAGAGCCTTGTTCGCCGGAGGTCCCACAGGGACAATGCGTGAACCGAACTCGACCCCAATAGTCACATCGTGCGTCGCTGAAAATCGGTTCTCGCAAAGTCGCACTGTCAGTGAGGATTTACCGCATCCACTGTCTCCGATAGCAACCAGCTTGGCGATATAGTCCCAGGGATTCCTCGGGGGCTCGGTAGTTCTGACGGGCATCGACTCGGTCGAAGAAGGTCGAGCAGTACAAAGAAGGTGGCTGCAAACGCCACTGGAAACAAGGCAGTGCAAATTGTTGTACAGGTAGAAGGTGAATGAATATGCACTGTCAATCGCGATACGAGAACATTGTACACACGGTTGTGAAGCGCGCTTTGCTTTAGTGACCGTTGGATTGGGGCAGATCATTCGTCATACCAGGCTGATAATCAGCCTTGCGGCCTAGCTGATGACTCTGGCGGCGATAGCCCGAATAGACTCGTGCTCTCTTGCTGCCTACAACCTACCACTTGCTGACCACAATCTTGCTCTCTTTGTATCTACTCACAGAAATCTGTAAGCGCCTATCATTACGTTTCTTGCCGTTGTAGCGGCAGAAACGCAGCGTGAACAGCAGTCCCGCTTATCATACACTGACGCGGACCTCCGACTGACTCCGCTCCACGGCGACATCTGCCCTCGGGCAGCATGTTCTCTGAATGTAAGCCGTCCCATACTCGATGCAACCAGTGCCTTACGATAGCATAGATGCTTCTCGCTTCTTGGCGCAGTCTCAATCACGTATCGCTTTTGCGCCGACCAACGACCGAAGAGACGCAACTCGAGACAACCGTGGACGTCAACAGAACCCTTCCGGCTGGAGGTTGGGCGGCTCCCGCGTCAATCCATCTCGCCATCACAATCCGTACCAGTCTACCACCTCTCAGGCCTCAGGCTTCCCTTTCGGCTCTCGACTCAACCCGCAACCAGCCCCACTCTTCTATAGTACTACCGACGAGTTCCGCGAAGAGAACGACGAAGAAGAGCATGAGCGCGAAATCGCAGACTTCTACGCGCTCCAGCGATCCAGGCGGCAACTGGGAGAAAGTGGCCTCAAGGAGTCGTCCGAGGCGGATGAGCGAAATGGCTCAAGCATAGGAGACAGCGGTCACAGCGCGGACAGCGACCGCGGCTTTCGCCGTAAGGGCGGAATCCGAAGCTCATGGCGAGGTGACCTCTCGCGGAGCCATGCGAAGCGACCAGCCGTTGAAGATGTCGCCGAATCGAACGAATCATTTGCGGGCGGTGCGAGCCAGTTGGGCATATCCAACCCCATGGTCGATGTTGGTCTGGAGGACACGCTTCGACGCAGCGAGTTTGACGACGATGAACCTCCTGATGATCTGATGGAGAATCCACCTTCTGTTCAAATGCCGAGAAAGGACGCATATTCAGGGTCTGAGCAAGGGTACGAGTCTGATGAACAAGGATACGACACGGGCCACGAACGGTTGTTAGGGAGGAGTCCAGGTGTCTACCCCGAAGGCGACTCTGTGCCAGAGATCGTTCCGTCCCACGAAGGCGCTGCTCCACAACATGATGCGTTCTGGGGCCATCTATACCTCCTAGCGTTGGCCGGCATGTTCGCGACCTGGTTTCTTTATTGGCTGCAGACGGATCCAGGAGATGCGCGGGGAGACACTGTGTACAACACGTTACACGGATCCTTTGGTCTCCTATCGGCCTATACAGTCGTGTCTATCTTCGTTGCCCTACTCTGGCTTGCAGCACTCCGCGCCTATGTCCGATATCTGGTCTATGCAGTCATCCTTGTACTGCCGATCATCCTCTACTCCTTTTCACTCTATCCCTTTATCGCCAGTTACACCAGGGTTCCCGAGGGTGGCGGTACTCAGAATGTTCTCATGCGCTGGGGCTCATTTGTGCCATTTGTCATGGCTACGCTTTGGATCCTCGCAGTCCTTCGCAGTCGGCTGGCCATGCAGAAGGCGATTTCGATTCTCGAGTTCGCGACCCGGATTCTGGCCGCCAATCCAGCGTTGGTCATTGTTGGATTTGCTACCCTAAGTTCAATTATTGGCTTTACTTGGATGTGGCTGGCCATGTTCACTCGTGTCTTTCTACGCGGACATCCACCCGATCGAGGAATGGTTCTTAGATTTGTCATCGACACATCGACCTGGTGGGTTGGCACGTATTTCATCCTGGTCTACCTCTGGACCATCGCCGTTATCTTCGGTCTCCAGCGCACCATCACTTCGGCAACAGTATCTCAATGGTACTTCCACCGGCTCGCTGTTCCAGCGCCAACGTCGCAAACGATTGTGCAGGCCGCGCTACGGCATTCGGCTACAACTTTGTTTGGCACCATCGGGCTATACACGGGTCTCAGTCTCGTGGTTCGCCTGCCCTTGCTAATACTTCCACGCCGGTTAACAATGCTTCTGAGTCTAGCGATGTATTCGCTCATCCCGAGCCCGATTGCTGTGCTCATAAACCCGCTCACCCTCACATACTCAGCTATCCATTCGCAGCCGCTGCGGGTCAGTGCCCGAGGCTTGTCGCAAATGCACTTCCTGGTGCCAAACGATGTAAGCACGTCGCTTCATCCAAATACCTTCAGGAAGCAAGGTCGAGACGGGTGGTCGAATGACAACACGCCACTTCTACCCTATCGTCTTGCTAAATTAATTCTACACTCTACCCGCTTTATGATGTCGTTTGCGCTTGGCTTTGGCGGCTGGGTCACCACAAGCCGAGCCTTGAAGATTCAGAACGAGCAGGGCGTCCGAGGCAGTCTATACGCGTATGTTGTTGGCCTTGTCGCCGGCGCCATCGGATGGGGTATTCTGGGAGCAATGGAGGGCGTCCTGGCTTGCATTGTGGATGCAGTGGTAGTTTGCTGGGGAAGTGAGGTCGGCAGCAGCGGGACTGGTGAGGCGCGGTATTGCAGAGAGGCAGGATTTCTCTTCTCTGAAGATGCTGATACTGGCCCGGGGCGAGTGAGTCTTGCATGATGCCGGCCACGAGACATAGTCATGCTGAATAACAGCTTCTCATACGAATGACTGATGTTGATTCCACATGTCAATTGTTGGCATGTGCTTGAACCCCTATTCGCGGTTGCGAGCCAAGTGGAGCGGGGAATCAGCTGCCGCGGCCGCCCCTGCATCGCGGCCTTCCACCACGTCGCCAAAAATACACCTCAGCACACGTGTCGCTCCTGCGATACCATCTCTTCCTCCACGACAGCAAGCCTTTGCAGGTCGATATGCGAGGGAGGTCGACATTGTAATATTCTTCCCTTCAACCGTGTCCTTGATCTGGTACTCTTTATTTCCCCACCTCTCCTTGATAATCCCCTTGCGAACTTTATTCACCACGACCAGCGACGTGGCCTTAAACCCCTTCCTGCAAGGAGCCGCATACCTGGGCTCGATTGTCAGCTCGGCATCAACATTTGATTCTTTCATCAACACGACCTCTTCCGTCCACCTCGCCCCCGAAACCTGCAACGTGCATCCTCCTACAATCATGGCCGCCGTCAACGGTGGTTACACCACCGGTGCCAGTAGAGATGAAGCTGAGCTCCACCGGAGAAACGTTGCTTCCTATGAGAAGACAAATGGTGGTCACGTCGTGAAGCTGGAAGCGGACGATACCAAGAAGCTCCAAAAGGTATACTGTATACTCGCCGTCGCCTGAGCGTTGCCTAGCTAACACCTTGCAACAGCCTCAAGCGGGGTTCCTCCAGATTCTTGATGAGTATGAATATATCATTGCGCCCGTAATTTTCACAGCATTTGCACTCTTCACACGATTATGGAAGATCGGCTTGTCAAATATTGTGACCTGGGATGAGGCTCAGTATGTGGAATCACGCCTACCTGCAAGATTATGCTAACAAGCCCAGTTTCGGCAAGTTTGGCTCCCACTACCTAAAACGAGACTTCTACTTCGATGTCCACCCTCCGCTCGGAAAGATGCTGGTCGGCCTGTCTGGCTATCTGGCCGGCTATAACGGTTCGTTCGAGTTCAAGTCCGGCGAGACCTATCCTGAAGAAGTCAACTACACCTTCATGCGTATCTTCAATGCGATGTTTGGTGTGGTGACTATTCCTCTCGCCTATTTCGCCGCTCGTGATCTCAATTTCCGACGCGAAACAGTCTGGCTCATCACGTTGATGGTCCTTTGCGAAAACTCTTACGCCACAATCTCGCGCTTCATCCTGCTTGACTCGATGCTTCTCTGTTTCACCTTCACCACGGTCCTCTGCTGGGCAAGATTCCACAAACTGCGGAACCAGAGCTGGACTGTTGAGTGGTTCGTGTGGCTCTTCCTGAGCGGCATCAGCATTGGCTGTGTGTGCAGTGTGAAATGGGTCGGACTATTTGCAACTGCTCTTGTCGGCTTGTACACCGCAGAGGATCTGTGGAACAAGTTCGGAGACCTGAAGATGCCGAAGACTGAACTGGCCAGTCACGTCGTCGTCCGAGTCATCGGCCTGATCGTGATACCAATGATGGTGTACATGTTCTCGTTTTATCTTCACTTCACTATTCTCAATACCTCTGGGCCGGGCGATGCGCAGATGTCGTCGCTCTTCCAGGCGAATCTCAAAGGCACAGAAGTTGGCAGAGACGCTCCTCTGGAAATTGCTCTTGGTTCCAAGATCACTCTTAAGAATATGGGCTATGGTGGTGGCCTCCTGCACTCTCACGTCCAGACCTACCCTGAGGGCAGCAAGCAGCAACAGGTCACGTGTTACCACCACAAAGATGCCAACAACGACTGGTTCTTCTATCCCAATCGCAGTCGACCTGCGTACGATGCTGAAGCGCCCCTCGAGTTCATTGGCGACAAGGACATCGTCCGGTTGATTCACGCTCAGACTGGCCGTAATCTGCATTCTCACACCGTTAGCGCTCCTGTTACCAAGGGCGACTACGAAGTCTCGTCCTATGGCAACATGACAGTCGGAGATGAGAAGGATCACTGGAAGATCGAGGTCGTTAAAGATGCTGCATCATCGGATCGGTCTCGCATTCGCACCTTGACAACGTCCTTCCGACTCAAGCACGCTGTCTTGGGGTGTTACCTTCGCGCCGGTAACGTTAATCTCCCCCAATGGGGTTTCAAGCAAATCGAAACGACTTGTGTCAAGCAGAATCATCCTCGCGATGTGTACACTCACTGGAATGTCGAGTCCCACATCAACGAGCGACGTAAGTTCCCAACCTGGCAAAGTCTACAAGAGAAGAGATCCAGCCGCTGACTAATGCTGTATAGTTCCTCCGGGCGATGCCAAGGCGTATCGCTCTCCCTTTTTCACCGATTTCATTCACCTGAACGTAGCTATGATGACCTCCAACAACGCCCTGGTCCCTGATCCAGACAAGCAAGACGATTTGGCCTCTCAGTTTTGGCAGTGGCCAATCCTCCATGTCGGTCTCCGCATGTGCTCCTGGGACGACAAGATCACCAAGTACTTCCTGCTGGGCAACCCTTTGGTATACTGGGGTTCGACTGCCTCGTTGGGGGTACTCGGCCTGATCGTCGCGTGGTATCTGGTGCGTTGGCAACGCGGCTACGTTGAGCTCACTCAAGGTGACATTGACCACATCCACTATGCGGGCATATACCCAGTGATTGGGTGGGTGTTCCACTATTTACCTTTTGTGATCATGGCACGTGTCACTTATGTGCATCACTACTACCCAGCCCTGTACTTTGCTATCCTCACGGCGGGATTCTGTGTGGATTGGGTCACTCGTCCACTCAACAAGAGGTTGCGTTGGGGGGTGTACTCGGTGCTCTTCGCGGCAGTCATTGGTTTGTTTGTGCTCTTCAGCCCAGTTGTGTTCGGCATGCAGGGTAGCAACCGACAGTATGGATATCTTCGGTGGTTCGAGAAATGGAGGATCTCCGATGCCTGAGACGCTGCGAAGGTTTGAAGGAGACGTTGGGGAAGGAAGTTGGAGGAGGGGAAGCGCATCATGGGGAAACGGGCGCAGGAGAAGCCGCGGTCAAGACGCATCTAGGGAGTCATTGGCCGTTCTGCGGGACTCTTTGAGGCGAAAGCTGTTGGCGGAGACCTGGGTCGAGGCGTGAGTAAGCCAGCCAAGAGTCCGGGGGCGCCACTCACAGCGCCGATAACCGAGTTTGCCAAGCAGATCTGACGTGGCGCCGTCAGACTTGGTCCTGCTGACGAGAGGAATCACACGACCAGGTCGCTGTTCATGCACTATCGAGTATCCGGTTCCTCTTACGTGCTCGTACAGCCCAGGAGCTGCCGTGTCCAGGTGCATAAGCGCAGCCTTGGTAAAGGAACGAAACGGCGATGGTCCAAAGACCGGCGCACGAGAATTCTCCCTTCACAGGCAATGGTTTCTCTATCTTACTACAGTACCGTAAACCACCAGCATGCCCATATTTCTCCGCTCCCCGTCCGAGATAGATCCGTGCTTTCTTCCCTGCGGACAGGGAATGGGGAAAAAATGGAAAAAAGGGCAATGATCATCCGGCTTTACTTTGGTTTTTGGCTTGTCTCGTCTTGTCAACAACGTCAAGGAAATGCAATGGCCACCCCCTGAAGCCGTGGAAGGAGGAAAACATATCCGTTGACCACTTATTGGCGTACATTATACGAACGTGTTAAACACGTGAAAAATGAATACGGGACGGGCGAGAGCGGACGAAAGCAAAAGTTTCTCGGGGTTCGGGGGAGAGCGAAGTTGTGAGCTGTAGACACGAAGGTTTCCAGTGAGGGAGAGTAGGAAATGCATCTGCGCTATTATCCTTACCATTATGAAGACTGTGGTTGGTTGGCTCGATGATGAGCATGCAAGCGCCCCTGCAGGGCTGCAGGATCGAATACGACCTGCTGAATGCGGGTGGGACGGGCTATTGCCTATGAAAGGCGTTTTCGGGCGCCGGCGCGTTGTCTGCTCCCATTCCAGAAAACCGAGTCTGCCCTCAATGCAAGGTTGTTCAGGCAAAAGGGGGCGATGGATGAAATTCCCGGCCGGTGGAGCGTGGCGCGTTCGAAAGAAGCATGAGGTTATCCATAGGTAGCTTTTGACAGGCCTCGTAAAGCGGTACTCCGTACAGAGTCGTTACCGGAACGGAGATTTTCGTGCTAAAGAATGGCTTGCGTGCCAAGGAAGGTTGAACCGGGGAGAAAAGCCATTTTACCCTTACCCTGTCTCGCATGCTTCTGCTATGATTCATACGGCGGTTTCGAAGCAGGGATTATCTGCATGCATTAATGGTTGATGGTGACACTTTGCGGTCCCTGGAGGCCAGGCTGGTCCAGATAGTGTCCAGGCTTTGCACGGCCGATAAAGAGAAGCGCACGTTGATCTCCGGTCAGGTGTCGATGCGAGTCGCACTGCACGTTCGGCCCGCTCGCGCGACCAAAGGCCAAGGAACTACCACGTGTTCTGGACGCCGGACCGTTCAATTTACCTCCATACCCCTGACAGGGACAGCGCAACGGGCGGCCCTGGGGTGTGTTGGGCCGAGAAAAAGCCTCATTCCAACGTCCCGGGTTCTTTGTACAGCCCGTCCAGGTGCAGAGGTGTTTGTTCTGTTGGGTGTATTTGAGAGTGGTGAATTTTTCTGGGCCAGCTCGGACGCTGACTTCGGAAGCTGACCGGGCGAGAAAAGGCGAGCATAGGGCTTGACAGTATGGTCCTTACGCGAGCAACTAGCCTTGGAAAGCCTAATGATCAGCATAAATCAGCATCGTCGACGCATGATTTGCGTGACCTGTCTGCTAGGGCGATCGGAAGCCGAAGCAGGCCAGGCGAAGGTGCGAGTCGATAGGTTGGCAAACATAAAACTCAAGATCGACCGCCTCGGTGGTTCACAGGGCGGTGATGAATTCCGTGGAAAGTAAAAAGGTAGTTAGTAGAAATTACGCCGCGTTAGAGAGATGGGTGCTCTCCGTTAGTCGGCTGTTGCACAGGATCAGTTGCTGATAGTTTGAAACTTCTTGCAACCGGAGCTAAAGCTAGAATGTCAGCGGTAAGAAAACACAGCGCGTCTTGGGTTGCAACGAGCAGATATTTGGGATTTCTCCAACGACCAAACTTCTGATATGTCTTGGCACGGTTTTTGTGGACGCACCCTGGCCACAAGAGCCGCAAAGTTTGGTAATGCCTGCAAAAGCTTCCCGATTGTCTGTGAGGCGGCATGTACGATGATGGCATGATGTCATGCAGGGTCGGGAGATGTGCCATAAGCGATGACCGAGCGAGCACCGGAAGCGTACTATTCTCGTTGCACGGCCCCGTTGCTGCGAGTTGGGGAGTGGTTCTGATGTATGAACAGCTGGGTATGGATGGCCTTATGCTATATGACTGCGCTGCGGCGCACAGCTCGTCGCAAGAGCCAATACTGCGGTACGGGACCACTGAAGCTAAGCACACGTCCGTGAGCCAACAAAGGAGCTTCCAATGTTGTCGAGTTCGATCGGTCGGATGGCTGCATCAGAAAGGTGCGAGTCGCAAACAAGGCTTCGTACTGTGCCTTTCGCGGTTGGTTAGGCGTCACGGCGATAAGGCAGGGCTGCGGGTGGACGGGTTTTGCTCGTTCTGGCACCGGTCATTTGGAGACAAAAACTCTCAACCTTTGACACAGTCCTCTCATCGCAGGCGCGATTATCCTTGATTGCCTTTCACAATCCTGGAGGCAGGCAACCCATATAGAGTTGCTCGTTGGTGTTGGGACCGCCAGGGAGCGGTACCCCTATAAGAAATGGGTGTACTCGAAGCTCGGCGATGAGGCAAGCACAACGAGGCGTGCGAATCGCACTGGACTTGGCGCAATAAGGGCCTTGGCAGTCGCGGATCCTACGGCTGCCCGGCTGGCGGTGGCAGCCTTGCCGGGGACTGACGGACATAGACCAATCAACATTCACTGTCCACAACCTAGACTCCGGACAGCACGGGTGATCATTCCTCAACTTGAGGCTGATCAGGTGTGCCATACCCATATGTCCCTTGGAAGTGGGCTGCTGTGAAACGCTAAGACTCGTCACGAGGAGGCTTCATTCCACGCAGCTGTATGACATGTCCAGCGTCAGGCGATTGCTGCGTTCTTGTCAGCAATCTCCGTACGTCGATGCCACGGGGTGAAGCAGCCTGGCTCATTCTAGAAGGAGCGGTCAACATTTCCTCGTCGTGACGCGCTACGGGCTTCTAGAACAGGCCGTTTGCGGCCAGAAAGAAGGGGCAGAACGAGGCCAGACCCAGAGTGCTGGGTTTGCCAAGTACCAAGACTTTCGCCTGATGCCTGCCAGAGTATGCAATATGCACGTAAACGGTACCAATAGACGCATCTCGCTGAACTAGGTCGATCTTCGCTGCTCGGGAGCCCGGGATCATCGTTGAGGTGGGGTCTGCCTCGATAATCTGCGTCACAATCGACTACTACTCCGTACACTCCAGAGGCTGGACTCCCATGCTTAATTGGTGTGGCCCTGTGACTACCACCCCCCTTGACTTCGGTTCTCGGGCTGTTGTCACGCCCAGAGTCAAAGCAGCCTCACGGTTGCTCGTTGCTCGTTGCTGGTGGCTCGTTGCTCAAGCTCAACGACGCAGTGCATCGATGATAGCATGTGCCGTATCGGGCAGAAGGAATCTCGGACAACTGCCTGTCTCTGCCATTGCCGGCTCATGCCGTGGACACCGCCCACAGCATCCCGTGCGTCGCGCCATCTACTGTATGCGCAGGCCCCAACAGCTGCACAACCGGATAGATAATCACATTACGGTCCAGCGGCTTGGCCAGCGTGGCGCTAACGGACTCTAGCGCGCCCACTGGCTGAGCATTGACCTTCCCCGTCATCTGTGTGGTGCCATCGGGGTTAAGGACCAATCCTAACCTCGTTGGGACTATACAAGACGGGCAAATGGCAGCGCAAAGCAGGCTCACAAGAGTCGACGTAGATCATATCGATTTTTGGTACATTACTGACTGCGTGAGTTCATCGGATACCAATTGTGCAGGTATTCTGAATCAACGAGCAGCCTGAGGGTCGGGCAGCACTAGTTCGGTGCACACGAGGTCTTGACAAAGTCAAACCCGCTCAGCCTTTTCGACGATTCAGCGCCACCACGCCCATTGGACAACCAGCCTCTGTGGCGACCTGCTGTTCTCTTCAGCCCGTATTCGACACTGCGAAAGGAAGATACCCACCTTCCACCGTTTGGCCAACATGACACTGCATCATGGGTCTGCCCGTTGGCTAGCCATGTGGATGAGTAGGGGTCGATCGGGGACGGGGCCCGTCTGTATTCGGCACCAAATAACTCCGCCCTGCTGCCAAGCGAAGCAGTGCGTAGGCATCCTTCCCTACACAACACGCCCCTTGACTGCCACCAAAAGTCTATTCGCGCCTATGGTCACCATATTCATATCCTGTCTACACACGACTTGTCTGGCCCCAGGGGACTTTACCATAGCGCCTCACCTAGATTAACCTTTGCACGGCTGGAGAACTGACCCCGGTTCATCGGCTGTACTCCAACACAGATTCATCGATGGGATAGTAGCTGAGTTGCACTTGACGGTGTATTTCCTGAATCAGTAAGCCAGGTAGCCGGGAGCTTTCCACAGGCGATAGACGCCTTGCCTCTATAACGACTCCGTCCTCCATCGACGTGATCTGCTAGATATGCGGATACCGTCAGCCCGGAGCAGATCGCACTCTCGACAAATTTGCGATATATTAGCGCCCCGACATTCCACTCTTCATCATCCACCCTCTGTTGATATATCGGCCAAGTCTTCCCCAGACGCTCATCCGAACACACCGTCTTCGTTTTTGTTCCACCCGACACTAGACACCGACACGGCTCTGTTCGAACGTGCTTCTACCACTCCTGTCCATAGCCTTATGGCAATCAAGCTCTCCTCTTTTGTTACTTACTCAACTTGAGCTAGGTGGCCCAAAGCATATCAGTTTTGACTCTGGGGAATCGACGCACCCCTTCGGCGCCGCTCATCTTGACAATAACGAAGAAACCCAAAAGTTGGAAGACGTCGACATCAGCCACCGAGCCACCGAGCCACTGAGCCACAGCACTAGCCACAGGCCTGCCAAGTGTCAAATTGAGCAGCCAAGTGGGCGATCACCCTTCTTACTTTTAGGTAAAGCTTCGCGCGACTAGGTGCCCTAACCGACGCCTGAAGCTCGCCCCCGACCACCCCTAATGCTTGCCATTTGCTCGCCCAGTCAAACGTCAATGGCGGGGCCCGGGATGCCCAACCGCCACTACTGGCAACTCACTTCTTCCCACCCGACCCCTCCACACACTCAGTCGTGGCCTGCTGGCTATGATGAACTGCACCACGCTCCCCCTCCCCCTCAATCTCCCTATGACCACTACGACCACCATCTCAACGGGTCGCTCGCCTACCGTCCGCGCGCCGATGAATATCCCTACTCTGGCATACATCATTCCATGACCTCACCACCACATGCTATGCCCTCGACCCCGGCCACGGGCCCTTCTTCGGGCCACCCCGATTATCCCGAAGATGCCAGTTTTGAGCCGAATGGCGACGGCCGGGTCGAAATGGCCCAGGACGACGTCGATGCCATCATCCGCAACAAACGAAAGGTCCGCGATCCCAAGGCCTGCTATGCATGCCATCGCCGCAAGGTCAAGTGCAACCGCGAGTTGCCATGTGATAGTTGTGTGAAGAGAGACCATCCAGAACTGTGCAGCTACGAGAGACCCACCAAGAAGCGCAGGATTGCCATGACGACTCAGTTCCCAAGAGATGGCAGTGAAGGCACCGACGTCAAGGACCTCGGTCTGCAAAGTGGTCCTAATGTCACAGTGCCCAAGGAACAGTGGGAGCGGGTCAATAGGGAACTTCAAAGACTCAGAGAGCAGCTGAGTACTGGTGCTACTCAGGCCGATGCCGACGCCGAAGCAGGGGCCAAGGATGGTACGATTGAGGACGGTCCTGCTGCCGCTGACGAGGGAGAAGGCATTCATGCACCCAGCAATCAGATGGGTACCATGCACCTTGGCTCACGCTCTGTCCTGGCCTATATGATGGGATTGGGACGAGATCAATCAACACAGGACTCCGCAGTGTCGTTATTGAATGACAACATCCTGCCAAAGCTGGGACTCGACAACGACAGTGTCACCTACCCATTTGTGGATCTCTGGAGCACCGACAACAGCATCAAAGACATTGATGGTCTGTGCAGTGCAATCCCTAGTGATGAACTGTGCAAGCAGTATGTTTCTGGCATCCCCTTCCCGCCCAGTTCCGCTGACCAGACTCAGATTCTTCGCCACGTATCGTGATGTTGCTTGCACAATGTACCCTGTCGTCCCCGAGTGCGATACCTTCGAAGCCACTCTCAACTACATGCTCGCTAATCGAGCCAAAGCTGCCCGCGAAGCAACTCCCCTCGACCCGAACAGTCCTATGGGGATCTCTTTGGGCTACCTCGCCCTGGTCTTCGCGGTGCTGGTTTCTGGTGCGCAGTGCTCAAGTATCAGTTCCAAAGAGCGAGAGCTCACGTCGCAGGTCTATATTTGCTGCTCGTACCAAGCCCTTCGCATGGGTAACTTCCTCACCCACCCTAGCCTCGAGACCATTCAAGCTCTGCTGGTCATCACCAACGTCTTGTCCTACAACATGAATCCGGGTGTCGCATATATCTTTCTTGGTCTTGTGGTTCGCATGGCTTTCTCAATGGGCCTGCAAATCAACCAAAGCGGCTTCTCGGACCATGAGAACTGGCTTCGCCGCAGGACTTGGTGGGCCATCGCTTGGCAGGATTCTCATTTCTGTGTCAGCTACGACCGTCCGAGTGCTTCCTGCTTGTGCAGTCCGGATATCCCGTATTCCCCCGGGAGTGCACCCGACGACCGCAACTACGCCGAGACGATGTACAACGTTATTCGACTTACCCAAGAGCTTGTTCGCGAGAGAACTTTGAAGCCAAATAAACGCACTAGCTGGGTCCAGATCCAGCGGTATCGTGATGAAGTCATTGAAATTATTTCAGATGCTACGCCTCACTTGCGTGAACGCACGGCGTGTGGGAATGACACTTGCAAACATATCGAGCGTCTTGCCCTGAAGCTCCATACTTCATACATGATAGGCGAGCTCTGCCGGCCTGCTCTCAAGGAAGGGGGCGATGAAACCACACCCACCACAACACCTGCTGGATCACCAGGTTCTCAAGGTCAACGTCGTAAAGGTTCTCGTCCAGCGTCCAGGTCGCCTCCTGTCGATCCCGATCTGCCTCAACGGCTCCGACAAGATTGCCTGCGTGGTCTCGAGGGAACCATCACGGCCTACGTAGAACTTTCAGAGCTCAGCCAGTTTGCCGCACGCTCCTGGATTGCGGTCCAACGCGTCATCTCTGCCGCCTTCCTCCTCGGTACGCTGCCTGAAGCCAACCAAGAGCCTCGCATCATCAACGTCCTTCGCGAGTTGGAGAAGAGTATCGCCGCCCGCATAAGCGAGGACCCGGGATTCGACGGTCTCCGTGCTGCCAATTCGTCGTCGGCAGAACCAGCGCCAGAGTTGGAGAGTATCTGGGCGCGCAGCGTGACTAAGAGCTTGCACGCGCTGCAAAACCTGAACGCCGCCCTCGCAAGCCACAAAGCCCAATCAGCAAAGGTCGGTCAGGCGGCTATGGGCGTGAGAGGCATGTACATGGACGGTGAAAGCATGCGCATGGCCACGGACGCCGGCGCGACCATGCCAAGATCTCGCCCACATATGCAACCCTCGTTCACCCCGTCAAGATCAGGCATAGCCACGCAGGGCATCAAGCAGGAGGCCTACTCACCCACCGTGGGTGCTGCAATCATGATGCCCCATACCATAGGATCAACGAGCGTGGGAAATAATACGAACGGAGCATGGGATTACGGACGATTAGGGGAGCGCGCTCAAGGGTATATTCAGCGGCCTGTCTGGCAGTAACCGAGGCTACGGATTGGAAAATAACGACCCTGACGACTATGATGCGACGAGATTGCATATTTGCATCAAAGCATACATACACCATGGCAAGGAGTTTTGACATGCACTTTTGTTTCGTCACCAGAGATACCATGGGAAAGGATGTTTGATTCAAAATTCTATTAGCTGCAAGCGTGGGCTCAATCACCGATGTTTGTCCCTTGTCTGGTGGCAAGGGAGAAACGATGAGGGCCTGCGAATGAGATGGGGAAAGGAAAGAGGGAATGACATAAAAGCAAGATGGAGAGATACCAAATTCACGAAAATGCAGCCGCCCATTCCAGTTTCGCCTACAACCTCAGCCTTGACAAGATCTTGCTGACTTTCCAAGATGTGCGTATATGTGCTATGTGGGTGTACACTCTGTATAGAGCGCATGTATGAGTCGAGACTTCGACTCTGAAAGTAGATATACATCACACAAAAGTCTACCACTATTACTACACACACGTATTAGTTCCTCGCTAGTTTGGTGCTATCACTCACTGAAGTGGCTTTGACAACTCTCCACACATTCCGTCAGGTTTAACGAGATTATCTGCGCGCCTTCCCCCGAGACCCGATCAGGGTAACTCCAGAAAGGGAAGGGGGTAAGGAGGGACTGGGAGCAAGGGGAGGGGAGCGAAGAAGACAGGAGAGAACAGGAGCAAGGGGAGCGCCACACACAGGTCGGGACAGCAGGACGTATGGACGGCATATATTCGGCTATGGTACTGATATCTCAATCGCTACACCTCCACCGTTTGCCGGGAAGACGACTGTTGACTATCTGGCCTCCGTTCCAAGCGCTTCTCTCGCTCAGCAAGATGTGACATACCTTCTGTCAGTGAACGCCCTCGTCTCTCACCGACATCAACCAAAACGCCTCATGCTCCCCGTCCTCATTCCGCTTTCCCTTTCTGGACAACGGAATGAAAAATCAGAACTCCGTAATGAACTGGTCAAACGCCGTCCAGTCCAATCCACCAGCGCCTGTTCCCAAAGCCAAGCGGTCAAATACATCTCCGCCTGCTCCATTCCCACCAACGAATTGTCCTTGTGGAGCTTGCTGAGCTTCTTGCCCTTGAGGCACAAACAAGCCAGCAGCGGCAGCAGTCTGTGAGACCCCGCCTGCCGCTTGGCCCTGCAGCAGTTGACCTTGTTGCGTCATGTTTGACTGTGCCGTACTTGGGAAGAGGCCCAGAAGCATGGGGCTGTCGGTGAAATTGCCGTTTGCCCAATTGCTGTAAGGACCGGAAGTATGGGGATAGGGTCTCACGCCAATACCGGTGCCAGTATCACCGCCGCCAGAGCTGGTGCTGCGCTCCTGGCTCAGCGCGCTGGATGGCGCTGGTGAGGGGAAGATGCCGAAGAGATTCTGGGTATTTGGTGGACGGGTGTCAGGTTGGGTAGAAGAAGGTGGTGGCATGGAAGCGCCCACAGGGAAGCCATTTAGGGAATAAGGCGGAGCCGGTTGATAGGCTGGTATCGCCTGGGATTGTGGCGGTGAGGACGTCACCGCTGGATTCGTGAGGCGCGGATCCATGGGAGTGTCGCGGCCGTACCGCGACAGAAGCGTTGCAAGGGCTGAAGCAACACGAAGGGCGCCACGGGATTTGGGCGATAGGTCGAGGCAGATGGTGCGCGCATTTTCGAGGGTTGTAAGAATTTCTTCGCGATTGATGGTCGAGTTGGAACCTTTGCGAGACGAAGCAGGTGAGTTTGGGGCGAGAGTGATGAAAGCCATACTGAGAGTCATGCTGGCTAGAAGGAAGTCGTTCACCACGGTGGCAGAGAGCATCCAGGCTTTGCCCTCCATCAACTTCCCGGGGCGGAGCTCTGTGATGAGATCTCCGAAGCTGACGATAATGCTGTTGGCGGCGTTGATGCAAGTCTCGCGACTGCTTGAGTTAGAGTCGCCCATGCGCCGGCGATGGAGAATGATGAGAGTTTTATGATACAAGAAGTCGATGGTCAACCGGAACATTCGCAGCGCATCAGGGTCATTGAGCGAAAGAGCGATAGGTTTCGTCCTGAAGATCGGAGGCATTTGTGAACGACGAGCTTGGAGTAGAGATTCGAAATGCTCGATGCTTGCATCATCGTTGGCAGTGGTTTGGACGTTATGGGCATTAGTGTAGATCTCAGCAAAGAGCGTCATGAAGTGGTTCTTGAGGAGGAAGGAATTGACAGGCGATAGCTCGGTATCAGGACGTGAGGGTGGCAATTCAGTCATGCTCTCGTTCAGGTCGTTATCGAGGAGATTACGCGGTGGACCTATGTCGGTAGCATTAAGCTGGATGGAAGAGGGCACACCAAACTGGCAGGCGATCTGACAGTCGAAATGCCGAATCATGACCCATAATCGACGGCGCATCTCGGCTTCAAAGCTGGTAACCAGAATGCCAGGTTCTCGGTGCAATCCACTTTGAAATGCTAACCGAACAACGATTGATATCAGGAGCGACACTTCTCGGGAAGGGTCAAGGTAGCGCATGTATTGTGACTGAGCCAGCATAAGTAGTGCCGGGATGAGGTAGGGTCTTGGCTTGGTGTAGCCACCCAGAGAAAGACATTGAGAGCAGGCATTGATCCAGTTTTCGTGCTGTGCAACGTCTGCTTCATCACCTTGAACTGCCGTGATGTGTGCTGATAATGAGAGTATCGCAAACAAAAGGGCTACCCAGATCGGATCGACAGTATCGGGTGTTGCACTCCAGAACTCTTCGTACTCATCCAAGAACTTGCCACTGTGGATGACAGGAATGACCATGTACGAAGACCCGAAGTACGTGTTGAGTCGATTGCTGACATCAGCCTTGTTTTGAGGAAGATACTGTCGCAAGATTGTACTCAGGGATGAGGCGGGCGAGGCTCCAAGCAGAATCGGCTTCTCCTCGGAAGTGATGACACCATCTCCAGCTTCAGACAAGCCGTCTTCGTAGCCTTCCATGGTCGAGCGCAGTTGCTTGAACAAAGAACTCCAGTGAGGTAGCATGGACGAATCAAAGGCATCTGGCGAGATCTCATCCTGGTCTGTGGCGGTAGGAGTGAGCTGCGAAACTCCAAAGCCGTAGCCTTGATCCTTAGCATTGCGATTGTGGTTAGCCTGGTCGCCCTGGAGGTATCGCTTGAAAAGGGATTCTAGTTGGCCTAGTTGCTCGAGCTGTCTAGCACGGGAAGCTGCTGCTCTGGCGCTGCGACTGGCCGCCTGCGCGCCGGCTCTCTCCACAGGTTCGGCATATAAGCAAAGGTGAGCCTCGCCACGCTTTACACATAGTGAGCATGGTTTCTCGCGGCTGCATTTGGAACGTCTTTCGCGACATGGCATGCAAACCACAGGTCTTCGGTTTCGTCGTTTGACTTCTCGCTGGGCGGGTTGTGATTGAGCCTGGGGTTGCGGCGCGTTGCTCGGCGCGGCGAACTGTGGAGCCGATGCATCGGTGGCCTGTTGTTGTGGGTTCGGATCGAACTCCGGTAGCTGATTTTCGGCCATCGCTACCCACACAGAGTTATAGACACTGTGATGTCTCCAATGCTGTGAGGATTGATGACCGACAGAGTCGCAATAGCTCTTCCGACGCGTTGTGAGGAACGGACGGATAACACGTCGAAGGATGTAAGAGCTTATGTCCGAAAATTGCAGCAACTGTGACGAGAAGAAGGCGCCTCCGCTAACACACGCTAACTGGATATAGGTTTAGGGTCTTGGCAACAACTCACATACGGACTTTGTCACGGCAATGTGGTGGCCATGAGGGAAAAGAAGCATGGGGGGTGCTGGTGCTCAAAAGAAGCTGCCAGGCAGAAGACAGCCTAGTGATAGTGCATTGACGGCCTGTCTATGGGTGTAGTGATCATAGAAGAGTGAACAGGATGTTGTGCTATGTCAATTGCTCGGCAGCATTGATGTGTGACTCCATCCATCAGCACACCGTTCAAGTAATGAACACTCGCCTTGAAAGAGTGATAGGGAGGCCTGTGAGATGTCGCCCTCGAACCTGTAGCGTTCACACTAATGCTTCGTTGGGTGCAATCAAATGTCGATGGACACAGAGAATCTCTACATTCTGCCACGAAGGACTCTTCACTGACCAGCAATCAGCAACCATCGAGGACACGGAACCTCCGGCGGCAAGTAACTGAGCTGCATCATGCGCTTTCGTTCGTGCAGATTGGACATCAGTCAATGAAGGTCTGGAGCAGGGAAGATTCGGAGTTTAGGATTAATCGCCGGCACAGAGAGTCCGCTCCGTCAGCGACCGCACTTTGAATAGTGCGGGGATCTGACGCTGGGGCAGCTATAGCCTGCCGATGAGGAGCTCTGGTTGATGTGGTGATTATCACAGCTCTGCGAGTAGCGTCGCAGGGAGTACATGGCGACCTCACGAGCCACCCACAAAGAGCGAGTAACTGGCCTAGGATCTTGCAGACCCCCTCACTTCTGTCCTCTGGCGTTAGTCGAGTGCGATGGTAACTCTCCTGCGTCGGGAAAGGCGCCACTCGGTGTTGCGGTCAGCGCCTGCTATGGCTGTGTGCCCGATACACTAGCCCCTGCCACTACATTCAGGATGAACTGACATGCTATTCGTGAAAGCTGCCTAATAGCCATCGATCAAGTGAGAGATGTACACAAGCTTAGTATCAAGCTTAGATAGCAAGCCTAGGTAGCAAGCCTAGGTAGCAAGCCTAGGCTTCCACTTCAGGCCAGGCGGCAACCTGTTTCGCAACAGCGACATACCTAGGCGCGGCAGAGATCGTGAACAATGGAAAGGGGGGATCTGCCCAGCTTCAGCTAAACAGGATCTTTAGGTCTCGAAGAATATCGCTACCCAGGCGCCGCGTGCGGTCAAATGACGTCAGAAGGCGTCCGTCTTGGCATGAATCTGCCTTGCATCATCCTTCCTCCACAGTACTTGACAGCTGTGTCCCTGTTGCCTGTTCCGCTGCGCCTCGGCAATCTGCCGCTCTCACGGGCCCCCAGATCTAGACTCTCCCAACTTCAGATGTCATCTGGCAATCTGGCAGTCTGCTGCGGTGCATCTAGGTGGTGTAACAATCACACATCACCGTTGTCCAGTGCTTGTCACTGTGACCACCTACGAAGCGCGCGGGAGGAATCGATGCCATTACAAACCCCTATGACGCCTGATGCAAGATGGCGCCACGATCTCATGTCCCTCCGACCAACGTCCCAGTCCACCGTATAGACCTCTCATTACCCCCACGCGAGCGCTATAAGGAGCTCGCTCGGCAGTACATCCCTCAGATCGCATCAATCACCCCACTATTCAACCAGCTACTGGCGGACTTGGGCATTCCGGAGAAGCGTCACGGCACCGTCAACACCCTTGCTCGTCTCATGCTTAGAGGTGTGTATTCACCTGTTGAAACAGCAGAGCTGCGAGGCATTTGTGAGGTAACTGGCGTGGACATGTATCTGCTCGTGGCGTTAAATGTTGTACTGGACCTTCTTATGGGTTGCACGAGCAGTACTGTCAGGTCCGATATCGGCAAAATCTGGCATCTGCGGACCCTTGATTGGGGCATGGATCCTTTACGAGATGTAATCGTGCAACTCGACTTTATCCGATCGGATTCTAGAAGACGGGAGAGGCCTCAACCTGATGGAAGCGACCGTAGCGATGAAGTGATCGCGAGCAGTATAACGTATGTGGGCTTCGTGGGCGTTCTCACCGGAGCCAGACCTGGCCTGAGCATGAGTCTAAACTTCCGAGCTTTACACAATGCGCATACGCGCTGGGGCCACATCAGATTCTACGCACATCATCTAGCGGTACTGCTTGGCTACAGACAGAGTATTTCCAGTGTTCTCCGGCAATATCTTCTCGACGATGACCGAAAGCCGGTAACCCTCGAACCGAAGAAGTTGGCCGAGATCGAGCTGGATTTCCAGCTGATTCACACTACTGCGGCCTACCTGGTGTTCTGCGATGGCTCACATTCAGTCGCAGTAGAGAAGGACTTCGCCACAGCAAACATCAGGTGGGACAAGGATGGGTTTCTTGTTGCCACAAATCATGACCTTGAAGATACGAACACTGGGAAGGATCCTACGCCCGCGGGTGCCCACTCGGGGCAGCTGGCCCGCATGAAGGCCATGGAAGAACTTGTCGAAGACAGCAAAGAAAGGTCGGAATGTGTCTCTGCGAAATGGAGAACTGTTGCGAGACGGGCGAGCGGACGTTCGACCAGGAGTTCGAGGGGCTTGTTTGGCATCTCACAGGACGATGCGATCAAGTGGGTGTGCGATTGGCCAACCACGAACGAAACAACGCATTTCGCGACCGTGATGGACGCCAAGGATGGCGTTATACGTTGGGCCCATGCGTATCCTGAACCGGCGCTTGAACCCTCAGCATGTCGCGCTTGAATCTCGCCATCCATCGGTATGGAAGCCTCTGCTTGCCGGTGAGTATCTCCAGCGTCACTAGCATTGCTTCTAGGCCCTGCAGATCATCCCACGTTGTGGAAGTGCGACTGCTAGGGGCGTCAATGCACCCTGATCGCTCCCACGGAAGCATGAGAGCTGGCTTGGAGGTTCCATCAGGCTCTTCACTGCCTCGACAGCGGATTTCATCGTTGTCGTCCTCTGAACAAGCCCAAATTCGAAATGTAGTTTGAACAGAAAGATGAAGCCCGTCGTCCAGGTCGTGCATCAGTGACGATCTTGCCTCAACAGCTTGGAGACATGGCAGTGAGGATGTAATAGGCAACGCAAACCCTAGGGCGATGTTTCGAGGGTAAGAGTGTCCCAAGGTGACGTCCCGCGCTTCCTGCCGCTCATGCACCAGTAGCTCCTGCCTGACAGCATGGAACTCCGGATAAATCAACAATGCCGCCGCCTGTCCTTTTCCAATCCCAACAGAATCACCCAACCGCACTTTCGGCAACATTCTCTTAGGATCACCATTAGTGAGCTCATCTGGTACTTCAACATGGCTAAACATGCCGTTATCCTCACCTGTAGCTTTTTGGGTACCCCGTTCGCTATAGCTGTAACGAGTCTGCCACCTTTCGGCCTTGGGCTGCCTCATGACGCTCATCTCGAACAGAGATGGGACGATGCCAGTTGGGAAGATACAAACCGTGCAGCATGCACTGTCGACAAAATGCGGATCCGACATGACTTCGGCTGTCTGGCACCAAAGGAGCGAGAGCACTTCACCGATGCCATCAAGTGTCTCGTTAGAAAGCCGTCACAACTTGACCAAATCCGCTATCCTGCTGCGAGCAACAGATTCATGGACTATGCTATCGTTCATGTCAATCGTACGCGCGAAGTGCACCTCAATGGGTTCTTCTTGACCTGGCACCGATACTTCTTATGGCTCTTTGAAGAAGAGCTTCGGAATGAATGTGGCTACAAGGGAACTCTTCCATACTGGAACTGGCCTGAGACGGCGAACGACATACACACAAGTCCAGTGTTCGATGGCTCGAGATTCTCCATGTCGGGCGACGGCCAGCCTCGAGGACGCAAGCCCACAGTTTTTGGGCCGAAGCTCACAGTTCCCCATGGAAGTGGCGGAGGCTGTGTCTTCAGCGGCCCATTTGCTGGCTTCAAGGCCACTATGAAGCCTATTCCAATCAACAATCTTATCGAAGGCAAGCCATTGCCCGCCAATGCTTTTGAGAAACATTCGCACTGCCTCACCAGGGACTTGAACGAATGGGTAGCTCGCAAGTGGACCAATCACACCGCGCTTGAGGAAGCACTCGAAGCTGATAGCATGGAGAACTTTGATTGCCTGGTGAGTTTAACCATATGAATTCCAAACACCCTATTTGTTTTCCTTCATGACCTTTGAATTCCAGACCTGCATGACCATCCACCATATCTTCCTTGCTGACATAGTGCTAGCTCAATGGCTCCCCTGGTGAGGGAGACTTGGGCTTGCATTCCGGTGCGCATTTCACTCTCGGAAGTTCAGCAGTAGCGTCCAACATATACGTATCTGCTCAGGACCCGATCTGGTATCCGCTTCATGGCATGCTGGATCTGATGTACACCTCATGGCAACTGCGTCATCCGGACATTGCCGACTCTTTATGGGGGACAGAGACGGCAGCTAACCAGCCGCCAAGTGCGAAGGTGTATCTGGACTCGTGCATGCCAGATTGGGGCGTTCTCGGAGCGCCATATGGCGTAATTAAAGTCGCCGACTTGATGAAAACAACGGGAGGTCCATTCTGTTACAAGTACGACGTTGAGCTATGAAGGGAGTCGGACTACCAGTAGATGACGGCCCATGGGTATCGTTAGCACCGCTGTCAGGCGTGGTAGGTAGAAGCTCACGAAGCAGAGTGGTACCAGCAAAAGCACTGGATGGTTTCAAGAATGTGAAGCATCAGCAAGCCACTGTATCGCCTGTTGAGAGCGGTTGATGACGTCTGAGAGCCATTAAGCACCTCTCGCTCGCCGTGAATATGGACTATGTCACAGCCCTCGAATCCAAGTCAGCGGAAGTTCGGTTGAATTGATGACGGCAGGGATTGCCGCTTGCATTCACTCGATGTCCTTTGATCAAACAGATATATCTCCTTCCACCGCCCCGGCAACCACCTTTCCATCTGACACAAACTCCATCTATCACCACGAGACCCACCAATCCATCTTCAAACCCTTACAAAACCCCAGTACAACTGCAGAATGTGCTTCTCATGTGGCAGCTGGCCATGGGGTCAAGCTACACACCTCGCGGCGCCACCCGCAAGAGATATCTACTTCAATCTTCCGGAAAGCTACACTTGGATGCCAGACTCGTATGCGCAGGTGAGTTAAGAGTCAATTGTTGCCCAAGTTTTCGTGTGACACGCCTGCCTGCGGTTGCTGCGGGTGCCAGTCACCTCTTGCAAAACTTCCACCTCGCACCTTGCGGTGTCGCACCTTTCATCATGCCATATCTTCATCCACGACTTCCATTTCAATCCCATCAGTAAACCCTCGCGAATCGCCCAAGATGGTTCTGCCGTACTACGACTACCTTTCTTTGACTCACAGCACTCGCAACGACCCTGGCGCAGGCCACTGGGAGAGAGTGGAAGATTGGCCAAAGACTCACATGTACACTCCGACTTACGAACTGGTACTGCAGGCACCCGCAACCTCTCAAGCATACTATGCCAACCTCCCAAACTCGCAAGCGACGTACTACTGGTCGGTAAGCGCTCAAGCACAAACTCATGCGGACCTCACTCACAATCTTACAGGGTAATGCCACCCAGGCTGCTGGCTACTACTACTCGAACGGCCAGTACTACGGCGCCACTGCCCCTGCAACTACAGGTTGGCCCTACACCTCTTCTCCTTCGTACCCCTACTACTACAGCCCATCGTCTTCTTATCCGAGTACTTACTCCTACCGCATTCGATACTCCTATCCATACAAATACTTACAATCGTACTATGCAGCCCCGATCCAAACCTGGCCCGCCTCTTGGTCGGCTCCAAGTGCATGGCCTGCCGCAAGATGGCCTAGTGGAGGATGGAACACTGCTGCAGCTCAAGCCGCCTACTACATCTCTCAGAACACTGTCTTGGCCCAGGCTCCGGCAGCTCCGATGTATTTCGTGGGCTCGACTCCGGCCGAGATCGCCGCTCAGAATGCTCAGATTGCCAGTTTGATGGGTATGTCTGTTCCCGCCAATAATCAGCTCATTCCATACAAGCCGAGCAACAACCCACAGTTTTGGTGCAAAGAGCTGGATGGCAGCTGGACTCTGAGAGAGCAGAACGACTTCGTCATGGGCGAACTTGGAAATGGAGCTTGGGAGCGGCACCCAACCAGTGGCTATCACTACTATGTCAGAGCTCCCACCTGAGCAAATGAAGTCACGAAGTCAGACATAGCCAACACAAGGACAAACGATGACAAGGATCGATTGATATCGACAACCGAATTGAATCAGAATTCAAGCGAGGATGAGAACCAGAGGCAGTCTCTCCGCAAGGTTTGGACGCCAAAACTCCTTCAGGGGAGAAGGTATCAGGAGCTTGACAGAAGCTGGCTATGGTACCACAAGGCCACTGCCCAGGCATCTACGATAACGTCACCTGGTTGCCCCTGGTGTGCTCCGTATCCTGTCGACTATTAGGATGGCATAGATCAATGGCACCAGATATGATGCAGCGGTAGCAACACAACCAGAGACTTGGACAGCCGCTGAAACAATGGACTGGGGTTGCCCCAATATATCTACCATAGGCCAAGCCCCTGTTTACCACTGCTTCACGGCTACTGTGATGATGATTGTCGCCATGAGCCTGAGCACCCCTCGTCACTGGGAATCCATCCGTAAAGCTGGGATGGATTTGTAATTCAAAATCTCAACATCGCACAGTCGACAGCTGATTGACTTGGGACTCCTAACAACCAAACTCCGCCCGGCTTGCGTGGTCATCACTACCAGCGTTGGCTTTTACCCCCACTTCCGATTCTCTCTTTCTCGCTACCTGAGGCATCATGGATGGGATGAAAAATATAGATTTGAATCCGTGCCAGCTCCGCAAACCAGATGGCCACTACTACATGCCCCGAATGTACATATAGATGTTGGCTCAAGCCACGCTAAGCCAAAGGCACCTAGAAGTCTTCGCACACCACAAATCGAATGTCACTCATTCCTTTATTCTCGTTTCACGCCTCCTTTGATTTCCGCTCCAACTTCTTCTCCTCCTCCCACATCTTCTTCTGCGCATCTACGCTGCGGAACTTCTTCAACCGACACTTCCCCACCGCGCTCTCCATCCACATCTTCGCATACTGCTGATGCAGCCACCACATCGTAGGTCCTAACCCGCTGGTGGCACCCTTGTTCGCTTCCGTGCCGTTGAAGAAAACGGATTTGAGCTGGAATTCTGCGTAGCCCTTTTCGAAATTGGTGGTGGCGCTGATCTCGAAGAGGCCGTCGGAGTCGCGCGGCTCGTAGGGGGAGGTGAGGGGGCTGTCGCCGCAGCGGATCAGGATGCTGGTGGGCGTGCGGGCGAGGACGAGGAAGTGGTTAGTGATTACGGTGCCGGCGGGATAGGTGGAGATGGAGAGGGCTGTGGGGGCCCAGAGATCTTCGGGAGGTGTTGAGGGAGTGGTGGTGGAAGAGGAGTCCTTGGGCTTGGCGGCGGAAGGTGAAGACGAGAAGAAGGATGTGAGGCTGGACCAGGTGGATTTAGTGGTGGCGGCGACTTCGTTGAGGATGGGAGACGAGTCTGATACTGGAGGCGGCGGTGGGAGTGAGGATGCGGGCTTGTTGCGGCTGTGGATCAGGCGTTGAGGAGTGTAGTCTGAGAAAGTTAGAAGAAGTCTTGGAGTCATCAACCGAGGTGCTGAGCGGGTTGGGCACGACGTCTCATCGCCATAGTAGCTTCAAGTGAGAGGTTTGGCGGAGTCTGGATCTGTCCAAGGCAGATCCGCACGCAGAGACAAGGCAAGACTTACTAAATCCGCTCCAAATGGCGCCACAAAATTGCTCTACGAGCCTGCTGCCGCCATTCTGGGCATCCTCCAGCAGATCAGGTCGAAGCTGGTGTAATGGGATGCGCCGAGTGATAACATCTGCGTTCGTAAAGTTGTTGTAAGGGTTGTACTTATAGTAAAATGGAGACTTGTAAAGCGGCTCGGTGCTGGGGTCCAGTGGTGTGGCTTCACAGTGCTTGGTCCAGACGAAAAATCCGCCAATGGACGTCAGGGTGGTGATGACTGTGCCTTGCACGATCTTGGAGGTCAGGGACGTCGTCATTGCGAAGAGGCGGCCCACGCTGCAATGCAGGATATGATTGACACCTTGAGATCAACTCCTTTGTTGATAAAAGCGCTCGAATGGGTCAGCGTGGGCAACTTGTTGGAGAAGCGGAGCTTTCGCCGGCTTGCGATTTAGCCGAACGATCTGCTATGTGTAGGGGAAATCCGTGGCGCGGAGAGCGACGAATGGGATGGATTCAGAGTCACGATGAATCAGCGACCCCGAAACCGGGGAGGATGGACAGACAATGAGCAGTCAGAGAGTGTCAAATGGCCGCATTGAGGCATGGAGGTGAGGTGATGCGAGTTCAAGCGATGTGAAGGTCCGGTCTCTTGGCAGCGGACTGGCGCTGCTACGGCGGTCCTTTGAGCGATACGACGCAGTTCGATATTTTGTTCCATGTTCGAGCCTACTCCCCAGGTTTGCACTTTACACAATCCTTACGTCTCTTGTACATTCCTCACCTCGAGTCGCACACCATGGCGACCGGGCTCTTCGCATCGCTGCCGCAGCCCAAATACACTGGCGAGCACGAAGAAGTTCCTTCGCACGCACGACCCTCTGGACCGCGGATAGTTGGACGGGGCGCCATAGATGAGTCTCAGATTGTCCTCCGCAAAACTGGACCCCCTCCATACGGACAGCGATCAGGATGGCGACCACGATCACAAGAAGACTTCGGCGATGGCGGCTCCTTTCCGGAAGTGCCTGTGGCACAATATCCGCTCGATATGGGGAAGAAGGGCACTAATAAGACGTCGAATGCGCTGGCACTGCAGGTTGATGCCGAGGGCAAGGTCAAATACGACGCGATCGCGAGACAAGGGCATGGCGATGACAGGATCATACATTCCAGCTTTAAGGATCTTATACCATTACGACAACAAGCGAACGCAGGCGACATCAGCTTAGACAGACCCACCGAGGACGAAGTGGCGGATACGACCGAGCGAACGAAAGCTGCGCTTGAGAAACTGGTGTCTGGTGCAGTAGCGGCTCAGAAACCGAAGAATGTCAAGGGAGGCAAGCGAGACGATCCTACCTTTGTGCGCTACACGCCCGCCAACCAGATGGGAGATACCTCGAAGAAGAATGATCGCATTTTCAAAATCGTACAGAAACAAGAGGACCCGATGGAACCGCCGAAGTTCAAGCACAAGAAAATTCCCCGTGGCCCGCCATCTCCGCCGCCGCCTGTTATGCACAGTCCTCCCAGAAAGTTGACTGCCGAAGACCAGGAGGCCTGGAAGATCCCACCACCCGTCAGTAATTGGAAAAACCCGAAGGGCTATACTGTGCCATTGGACAAGAGACTGGCTGCCGATGGACGAGCGCTCCAGGATGTCACAATCAACGACAAGTTTGCACAATTTGCCGAAGCGCTGTTTACTGCTGACCGACATGCACGAGAAGAGGTTCGATCACGCGCCCAGATGCAACAGAAGCTTGCCGAGAGGGAGAAGATGCAGAAGGAAGACCACCTGCGTGAATTAGCACGCAAGGCTCGCGAAGAACGTCAAGGCTCGTCTCGACGCGATTCTGATTCTCGGCGCCGCTCAAGGTCACGTTCTGACTCAGCTTCGTCCTATGATTCCCGCTCCGGCTCTGACTTTGAGGGCGGCGCTGTCCGCGATCGTGAGCGCGCTCGCCGCGAGAAGCGTGATGAAGACCAGCGCAAGCTCCGGCAATCGCGTATGGGTGCAGAAAAACGCATGCAGCAGATGGCTCGAGAGCAGAACCGAGACATTTCCGAGAAGGTTGCACTGGGACTGGCGAAACCGACGCAGAACAAGGAAACGATGTATGATTCGAGATTATTCAACCAGTCCTCCGGCTTCGATAGCGGATTCAACGAGGATCAGCATTACGACAAGCCGCTGTTTGCTGCACAGGAGGCCGCGAACCGCATCTACAGGCCGACGCTCAACCAGGATGATGCAGACGAAGAAGGCGCCGGCGAGCGGGAGATGGACCGCATTGGTAAATCCAATCGCTTCGACGTCCTCGGCAAGGCGAAGCAGGGATTCAAAGGGGCCGAGGTGCAGGCAGAAAGAGAGGCTGGGCCGGTCATGTTTGAGCGTGACAAGGACGATCCGTTCGGTATTGACGGGTTGATCGGCGAAGCCAAGGAGAAAGTAGAGAAAGAGGGCAGTGCTGGGAAGAAAAGATATGGGCTGGAGAGAGCGGACGAGGGCAGAGATGGAGAGAGGGACCGGAAGCGGGCGCGGGTTGAAGAGGACGATGACTGAAGTCTTGGATTAGATCTTGCTACCCATGTTGAGTCTCATACACCACCTCTCGGATCAACACCAGTGCCAATCAGCCCACTCAATCGCACACACCTTTCAGACTCTCTCTGCTGAACCTGCTCAGATCTTCTACCATATAAGGCGACGGTATTTTTTCACGAACACTGGTCGCAAGAGGCAGAATGCCTTGGCGATACTGCTGTGAAATTCCCCGTCGTGTCTATCGTCACGACCACCCTCATCATTATCATTGTGCTCGCATCCAGCGGAGTCACCCTTGTCATCCTTTTTGGTCTCACATCATGATGCATTGAGCATCGCCGGCTCTTGGTGATCGCTGTCTCTTCCTAAGCATTTGGTAGCCTAAGTCTAAAACTTTCGTGCAGCATTGGCTAGCTCTTCTCATCTATGCCCCATCCTCCTTAGGACCGACCGCGACGACATACATTGCTCCACTATTATGTCGTCCTTCTCCCCCGTTGTCAGAGCAAGCTACAAAATCGACGGAGCCGGTAAGGTCTGCGATTACATCGAATTCCACGATACCAAGCCAGCCAGCCATCTGGGCTGTGTCTGCACCTCGTCATCAAAGCCCATCACTTTACCACGTCTTCGCTGACTGCATCGGCGTAGACGATCAGGTCGTGACTCAGTATGGTCGCAGATTGCGCCACATGGCCGGCAAGGTCAGGGGGGCACTTGGATTGGAGCATCTAGACGATGCAGTATCTTTCAACAGCTTTGATAACATCCTGCAGCCACCTTCTTGGACAGAGCGTTTCCTGGAGGTACGTTTTGCCAGTTTGGAAGCCGTCCATCATCCTGTGACTACCACAAGGTCAGAGCGAGATCATATCAACCGCGGGCTGCTGATGACTAGCTACCATGCAATCCAGGAGCAGCTGCTGCAGACGATCTGGAGCAACCCTTCTCACAGCATGACCATGCTGTACCGTGGCTTTCCCCGGCTCATGCTTGATAACCTGGCTGTCCATCCCGACTGCAAGAACAAGCTCAAAAGTCAGCGGACGGTTCTGTCGAAGAAGGTGGCCCTTTAGATGATGCATCGCAATCAAGCGTACTCGCACCTGGTCGAGCTCGCTACGCCGAGGCATGTTCTGTTGAGTATACATGCCCACAACAATAAGGGACCGAAGCTTGCGATCTTACTTTTACCCCAGGCGACGTTTAAGCCGCTCACATCTTTCGATGGCCTCCGCATAACAACAAAGTACAACCAGTACAACGAGAAGCATCACCTTCACGTCCCAACACCATGGCACAACTTCATTTCATGCCAAGTTGAAAGCGCTGTCTTCGAACGGAATTGCTCCGAGAAAGTGGTTGCCTTACCCCGCCTTGTTCAGTTGTGCTCGCTTCCCGTCGGCAAATTCAAGCCTCCTCCATGCCACTGGCCATTGACAATCCACTACTATCTATTTAGGCAGCTTTACAATTCCTATTCTACCGGATACAGTATACACCACCACTGGCTTGCTTGGCCTTCCGGAAGGGCGTGCGTGTCATTTAGCGGACCCTTGGAGTATAGCGACTGCGAACGAGGACGGTGGGCGATATATTACTCACAGCGACAAAACTGAATTCTTTGACTCAGACATCGAGTATCTGGCGACTTCTGTCCTTCTGATATTCTCCGAGCACTTCAACAATCAGCCTCCTTCCGCGATTCCTTCCTTTCAAACTATTCCGCACGAGGTCGATCCCACATCGCTCCCACGCCAGCGTTCTACCGAGTATGGAAACACACCCACTCTTCGGCAGAAGTGGTCCGATCTAACCTCGACAGTCTCACTGTGCGTGCTTGATACTCCGGCGACAATGTCCTTCCCAGTTCCCGTAGAAGGGCCCTCACTACGTATCCTGGTCGCTCTCTTCCCAGGCTTCCAGCTTCTCGACGTCGCCGGCCCGCTCGATGTAAGTATACTGTCTCGCTTGCAGCTGGCTGCAAAGTCAGCTATATGTACACATTCCACATCTTGATCGATCTTCGCTCCTGCACCCAGTACCTGCTTCATGCCCCTGGAGACGATCTTCTCATAAGCCCCTCCCTCCCCCAAATACAAACACTAACCCGCAACCCTCTTCCCGCCCGACAGATGTTCAACATCCTCTCAGGTCCGCCCTACAACGCGCCCTTGCGCATGTCCTTCGCAGCCGAAACCCTCGACGCAGTCCCCACCAAACTTATCAACACCCCCAACAGCACCCGCCACTTCGACGTCCACGGCGCCACGGGTCAAGCCGACGTCAACGCCTCCTTCAACCAGCGCTTCGCTGTCGACCTCACCTTCGCCGACGCCCTCGCCGACAGCCAATCCTGGGACCTAATCTTCATCCCTGGCGGTATCGGCAGTCGGGTCTTTTACGAAGGCACAGGCACTGCTGCCAATGGCGGCGAGCCAACGCTGGCGGTGCAGCCCCTCCTGGACTTCATCCGCCGCGTGACATCCGCAGGCCGCGTGAGCCTCGGCTTCATGACCGTCTGCACGGGCAGCGACATCCTGGCGCGCACGGGCCTGCTGGACGGGCGCCGCGCCACCACCAACATGCTGCGCTTCGAGGATGTGAGCACGCGGAGTCCCCGTGTGAAGTGGTGTCGGGGCGCGAGGTGGGCGAAGAGTGATGTTGAGGATGGGAAGACCAGTGGGCGAGCGAAAGAGGAGGGCGGGGGGCTGGAGGTGTGGACGAGCGCCGGCGTGAGTGCGGGCATGGATCTGGCGTTGGCATTTGTGGCGGAGAAGTTTGGGGGCGTCGAGGTTGCGAGGGATGTGGCGAGGAGGTCGGAGTGTGAGTTTCTTGGAGTTTCCCCCTGTGTCGCTTTCTCATTATCTTCTCTTCTTTGTGCCTCTCTTTTCTCCGCTCTGCTTTTGCTCGGATACTATCGAGCTGTGGTTGTTGCTGACTGACAATGTGTATCTAGACGACTGGAGCGAGCCCAAAGACGGAGATATCTGGTAAGTCGCCCGCGATACGCGGTCGTTTAGGGGACGCCTTCAAGTTGCTGACCACGTTGTGTGCGTACACAGCCCCTTCTACGAACGATATTATGGAGTCAAATGATTCTGCGACGACGAAGTCGAACCCTGCATCGATGATGAAGTATTTGCGGTGCGAATGTACACCGGCAGATCAGAGGGGACTGTAATGAACGACCTAGACAATTGGAAACCACGTCATGGCATAGTTATAGATATGCTGGCCCCAAAATGTCCCGCATACAATCCTGATATACCCAGACGAAATTACAGAATCTATCGACTTGCATACCTCCCCCTATCCTAAGCATACCGAACATTCGGCTTCTTGACCCGTCTCCCGCGACCGAGCTGCACATCGTGCTCGTCTGCATGAGCCTGGCGATCATTCACTTCGCTCTTTGCGACTTTTGATTTAGGAGCCTTGGCCTTCTTCGCCTTCTTTACCGTCTTTACCGTCTTCGCCGCCTCGTTGGCTTCCAGCTCTTCCACCTCGGTCTCCTCCGGCTCAGCAACCTTCCTCTTCCGGTTCCTCCCAGCTTTGGGCGCCTTCTTCTTCGTGGCTCCAGCTTTTCCCGCTGCAGGCTTTGTCGTAGGATTTCGCGCTCTGGGAACCTAAGAAGAAAAAAATAGTCAGCATCATGTTCCTCGCAGACAAAGAAGTCAGAGTGGGTGGGCAGGTACCTTCTTCACCTGCTCTTTGTGCGCAACATCATCCTCTGCCGCCTCCTCGCCCTTCCCGCCCTTGCTCCGTCCTTCTTTCTGAAGCGCCTTCTCCGCGTCCCGCACGCTCGCGTAGTTATGCACGTCCAAGTCCTTGAGCGACATGGCGTTCCCCAGCAGCCTGTCCTTGACGACCGCCTTCCTCGCAAGGTCGCTCACACGGAGCCATTCCCGCTCGTCGTTCTTCATGAAGTCCGGCTGCCTGATCATTGGACCGTCGGGGTCAAGGCCATTCAGCAACCTGTAGGCCCAGTCTCTCAGCCAGTCCAGCTCTTCTGGTTTCTCTTCCGTCCAGTCGATTGGACCCGTTGGTATTGTCGCCCACTGCTCCTGGGTGTAGTACAGCGATGGAAATCGTTGTTTGGCCGGCCTAGCTTTGCGGGATTTGGACTTGGCCCTGGACTTGGTGGACTTTGCAGACTTTTTGCCTCTCGTGTCCGCGCCGTCGTCGTCTGCCCCTGCCTCGTCCAGGGCGCGCTTGAGGCCAGTCTCTGCCCGTAATTGGATCTCATCCACACCCGGTCGCTTCCGCGGAATCGGATTCAGCATGTCGCCGATGAGAATGATGCGGTCTTCGGAATAAGGGAAAGACTCGCCAAGTCGTCGATCTACAACTTTACCCAGCATCTCCTTCCACTTCTCGAGGTTCTTGTACATTGGATCCCTTGCCTGATACTCCATGTAATCGTGATCATAGTCCTCTTCATCATCGTTGAGTTTCAGGAAGCGTCCAAAGTCCGTGCCCTGAATATGAGTCATGAGCTCGAAGACGACGCGTCCGATGCCCCAGACATTGTTGGCTCTCGGTATGATGCGCTCTCTCAGTCGATCGTAATCATCGGCATCCAGGTTCTCCCTTCTTTCAACTTTGTCGAGGACCTTTTTCACGGCAAGCTCCTCTCGAGGCTTGTAACCTTGCGTGCCGCCACATGCAAGACTTCGAGGATTGTTTGCATGATTCTCATAGGTATAGTCTGCTTCCCCAAAGTCTGCAAGTACAGGCACAGGGCGCGCATGGCCTTTCTTGGGCTTATCCTTTCCTGGCAGATCGTCCAGAAAGACATTCTCTGGCTTGATATCTTGATGAATGGTCTTCAAGTCCTCCCGTTCATGCGTGATACCTCGAGCATCGGTCAAGTCAACTTTGGTGTCCTCTGGAGGCGGCTGATCGAGAGCGCGCAGAGAAGCGCAGAAGTCGAGGAGGATTTCGTAGCAGAACCACTCAGGAAGCCAGTGGCCATAGATGGCGTATGCCTTGTGCAAGAGATCTAGATTTCCATACTTGTAATGTTTCAGGTACAGCCGGCCTCGACGCGTGGCTGCTCCATATTTGTAGTTACGCAGGTAGCTAATGCTGGTGGCGTCGTAGGTGTTCAAGTCTCGTTGGATGGCCACCTCGATCGGCAAGTTGGGTTCACGCTTGTTGGCTTCTCGATTCATCCACATATGATCCGCCTCCTTAATGGCAATTGAGTCAAGCAGCTCACCATCCTCCGAAATCTTGACCCAGAGACCAACACGGCCGAAGGTCCCAGCTCCCAGATAGCGGACAAGTTTCCATTGATCATCCCCTTCGTCTTCCTCGACCCCAGGCTTGCTTTGTAGAAACTTCATCAGCTTCAAAGTGTCGATGTTACGTCCAATCAGCTTGCCATCTGTATAGCTGTCCAAGAGGGTTAAGAGGCCCACGCTCGAGTCCTTCGTCCAGGACTTGCCAACGACCCCATATGCATCTAGGTCAAGGAACACAGGCGGGTTTTGGAGCTGGGCTGGCAAGATGTCAGTCACCTTCTCGGACGCCTTCTTCGGCTTGGGAGCTACTCCTTTCTGCTTTTTGGGCGGCATGGTGTCAAGTCAGCAACACGAAATCGGTCGGAAATTCGAATCAATGGGTACCAGTGGGTGGATGGAGTCTGCAGGGCGCTTGGAATTCTGGGAAACGCAGAATGCGTCCAGTGCTTCCAGTAAGACGCTCCAAAACATGGGCCCAAAACTCAACGACGAAAACGGACGGAACCATGCTGAAAACAACAGAAAAGATGGGGTTCAAGCAATTTTTCTTTCTACACAAAGGGCCTCCGCGTTCCCGGCAATAGAGAAGACTGGATTGCGCTCCTTGTCACAAAGCTTTTGTTCAAGGCCATGGCTGGCCTCAACAAGACATACTTTTCCGGCGAAGCTCATGCTTGGAGCCGTGGCTTCGAACAGGAGGCGGCACGAAACTTATCCGCTGGGAGTAGTCTGGGACATGAAAGTAACGCGGAAGTCATCAGGCTTGAGATATATCAAACACGCAACATGGAAGAGCGAGAAGGAGATGAAGATGAAGTTGATTCTCACGCAGGGCAAATTGCTTGGCAGTAACGGACCCTTGCACAGTTTTGTACTAGCGCCTTTCCGTTCTGGGAATGCTCTGGTCATGAACGCTACCTACCGACCATGAATTGATACAGAAGAGCACTAACCCAAGCAAAAGTACATTGGGCAATCAAAGGCCGCCAGTAGTGCAAAAGTCTCTCCTCTACCCAGGTCCACACACAGCAGCCAGTAACACAAGACAGTAAAAGTATCGGCAGATAACGTCTCGCCTCGCCCAACACGTTGAAAACCCCATCGCGTGCCATCAGTTCGTCACCCTTCGCTCCGCTGCCACATCGTTCACAGTCTTTACAGTCTGCGGCTTTTACGTACTGCGCTTCTCCTTCCTCTCATCGCGCCTCTTCCTCCTCGCGGCCCGCCCCAAATCTTTCGCCACCTTCTTCTTCGTCACTCCCTTGCCCGACCTCTTCGCTTTAGGATCGACCTTCTTCAGCTCGGCCTTGAGGTCGTTGAAGCTCTGGGACAGATAACGCTTGACGTCGTCATCGTCGCTGCCAACGTCTCCAGCTTCTTCCATGTCGGCATCGATATCTTCAGAGTCCTGATACCTGTGCGGCCTCATCGACAGCGGCCTGATCACCTGCGGGAGCTCTTGGAGCGCCTGCATTCCGGATCTGCCAATCCCGCGCCAAAATTGCTTGCACTTCGGCCACTGTCGCGGCGGTCAGGACATCACCAGGCTGGTGGCTGTCCAAGGCTTGCTTGTGCTGAGGCGACTTGGCTGATCCCTGTCCACTGTCTTTGGGGATGTTGACGTCGGAAGCTTGGATGATTCGAGGAGCAGCCGCAGAATCATCGCGTCCGACGTTCCCCTCAACGTTGTGACCAACGTCGTGAGTGCCTTTGGGTGCATGTCGTTCCTGGCGAGGAGACGGATCCACGCTCCGTGCCCAAGAAGGACCTCCGTAGCCACCATCTCGCTGGCTATCATAACCGCCACCACCACAGCCCCCGTCATCCAATATCAAGTTGCTCTCATAGCCGCTACCACCATAGCCCCCATCGTCACCCTTGTTCCGTCGCCGAGCTGGACCTCCGTAGCCGTCATCGTCATCCACACCATGGCCACCGTCAACTCCCTGGTCCCAGCCTTGCCGTCGACCATCCTGCACGCCATCACCAGCGTGGCTTGAATCGCCCCGATTCTTTCCCCTGTGCCCCGGATGCTGGGTCTCCGGCCTGCCAGTAGACCCCCAATTTATTCGTTTTCTCCCCCAAAATCGACCAGACCGCCGTCCAACTGACGAATACGACCTGGACACGCGGGGATGTATCCCAGATTGCGATTGATGTTGTGAAAGTCTTTCATCAGTCCTGGTGTCCACAACTCCTCCGAAAGCTTGATGGAGTGGTCCGGGTTGCGATACTAAACTTGAAATTGTTCGAAGTTGGGGTAGAATGGTATATTGCCAGGCCGTTCCAGGCTAGCTGGAATGTCCTGGATGTCCTGGGCGCGGAAATAGAGTCGGTGCTGGTTTTTTCCCTCGGGTATCATTTCACTGACTTTCGTGTTCCAGTTGATGATCTGTGCGCGTGCGACTTTGGAATGGCATCCAGATCCGGCCGCTCATCTGCGGTGGGTCTGAGGCATCGATGGATGAGATCGTACAGATCCATGCTATTGCACGAACAACACCAATGGCTCATAGCTGAGAGACTAGACATGTGAGATCTCTGAGTGTCCTACACCTCCTGAGTGACTGGAGGAAGGAGCTGGTCCTGCAGAAGTGTGGGGTCAAATAGCGTCATCGTGTCGAAAAGGACCTTCGCCATTCCCCAGATGTTGTGAGCCATTGTGATTCTGAACGGTCGAGGATTCGGCCGGGGTTCGATATTGGCCAGCCAGGGCTCAGCCTCGGAACTCTGATAGTATGGTGTACCGTGGTCCTTGGAAGGCTGTCGAGTACTGCCTTTGCCCACATACATAGCCACTCTAAAGTCCGCTAAACATACCTTGGGATAATCCTCGTTAGATCGTTTGGGTACTCTCCTGGGGTATAGGCTTGATCCAAACCCTCTCCATCTTCAAGTTGTGCATAGTCGAGGAGAACGTTGCCAGGCTTGACGTCGCAGTGTAGAATGTAGTCGTCCGGATTGTACTCTCTCCATCCACTGACCGGTGCTGAGCAGCTTCTTCATCCAACTGGCCTTGCATTGTCTTCAGGCCCAGAGTCAGAGAATGGAAGAGGGTCCAAGCGAAGGGCTCGGGAAGTCTCTGGTTGAAGGCGTTGTAAGCGGTCGTCAACTCACGGAGACTCCGATGTGGGGTGTAGAGCAAGTAGAATCGCGCCTGTTCTTGCTCAAAGTTGACTGTGTACCCACGGAGCTCCAAAATATGCGGATCTACCTCGGCCTGGAGGGTATGCTGAGACGGCGCCGGAAGGGAAGACTGTGCCTTAGCCTGTAGGCCTGCTTGAATAGTCGCCTCTTGTAAAACTCTCTCACCCTGCATTCTGGGCCCATTCCTCGTCGTCCGGCTTTCCATTTTCGTCGAAGATTTGTTGTTTTATGGCGATTTCATCAATCTTCTTCCCATTTTCGTCCTTTTGGACCCACGAACCAACAGTGCCGTACCCACCGATGCCTAGCAGTTCCATCGGGCTCCACATATGTGACATCTGGCCTTTGAGCTTCCCGGGATGTCATGCGCACTAAGCAAGAAAGGCAATATCCACCGGAATCGCTTGGTTGTATGCTGAGGCAGAGGCTGGAGCCACAGCATAGAGCGGAAAATTGGACCTGCATTGTGTACGCCTTGGGGCTTTTGCCAATCTGCTGTAGACTCGATGTTGTCATCGCTTGCTAGGTCCGAACTATCAAAGCGAGGGGGAACCAGGGTATTGAGATCAGGTCGAGGCGGCATATTGATCTTCTTACCGTAGCTCAAGCTGTAATATGTCTGCCCCAAACGAGGACTTGATTTGAACAAGTACTATAGACGGCGAAGCAAGCCCCACAAACCGTCAAGGTGCCCTTTGTGTCCATGTGAAATAAACCCGCAAACGGAAGTCCTTTGTCCAAGTATGGCCGGCTGCTCTCTCCCAGATGTTATGGAACTAGCCTCTCGAGGGAACGAACTTGAACTTGTTGTTCTGGAGGTGACTCGGCGACAATTGCACATCGGCTGGTCACTCAATCAGGACCTGCAAAAGGAGGCCAAGACCAGGCAGTGAAAGTCTTGGCTTTGAACGTCCGTTCCAGGACCAACATACATATGCATGCATTTACCTCTTCCTCCGCCCTTTTGAGCCCTGGAGCTTCTTCTTCTTCTTCTTGGGTACTCCTCTTCCAGTGTTGCCGGCCCTATCGGCCCGTACAAGTGCCTTGGCTAGAAACTTCTTCGTGATGCCTTTGCCAGCCAGCTTCACAGACAGTTTCCTGTGCTTACATTCGGCTCGCAGTCCTTTCATATCCGCCTCTTCATACAGCTTGAGGGCTGCGTCGTCATCGGCGATCGTACTTGGCGGTGGTGGCGAGCGCATCCTCTGACGAGTGACACCGACCATCTGCGAGAGACGAGGTCGTTGCTCTGATTGATGCTCGATTTTCATCTGCGGAGATGGTCTCCTAGACCGCTGTCTTCTTGATGGGGGTCTAGAGGAAAAGTTGAAGTTACGCCCCAGGGCAGTTAGATCTGGACCTACGTCATTGGAAGCTAGTCGCCCGACATTGCCGTTGCCTCGTGGCTGGACATTTCCCACAAACGGTTGGTGCGCGCTGCCGGTCTCCGAGTTAATGATGGGCGCAACGTCGCGCGAAGAACCTGGCTCGGCGTTGCCACCACCCCACGGCTGAACATTTTGTAGATGCGGTTGAGCCAGCATGTGAGCGACGGGATAGTTGTCTATCCCATCTATGCCCTGCTGGTAACGTCGCTGCTGGTCGGTTTGTGCTTGAGGGACTGGCTGTGGAGGCACCTGCCCTTGATGAACCATTGGTGGTTGAACCATATTTTGATTAGGTGGGGGTTGAGGAACTGACTGTCGATCGACTGTGCGAGGGCGTGGTGGCTGTTGGAAGACTGGCAGCTTATCAGGTATGTCACGGTTCGCTCCAGTGCGGATGGGGTCCACGAGGCCGTCATTATCGGCCGGTATCACTTCACCGTGATCTCCGAGCGAGACTTGTCCTTTCCCAGTGACCTTTCTATGCTCGCCGGGGTATAGCTGTGCAAGGCGCCCAGAATTTTCACGGAGCCAATCGCCCCATATTGCTTCCGGTAGGTCAACGGGAACTTCTGGATTGCGGAATCGCACCTGGAGATACGTGTAATCATTACACTCGAAGTCTGCCAAGCGCGGCCCCGGCACCAAATAATTCAACTCTTTCTCCCGAAAATAAAGCCTAGCTTTTCGCATTGTCTCGGTACCGGCGTTCTCTAGATGGTGTTGTAGCTCTTTGATCTTTGCGCTTGTTTGATTGAGGATGTCGTCAAGCGAGGGCCGTTGTGCTGCTTGTGGAGACAAGCATTGATGTACCAGGTTTGCAAGCTCAACATCTGTGTACTCGTCCACCCACCGCCGGGACAAAAAATGCCCACCTCTTTCCTCGTATTTCGCTTCCTCCAGATTGTCTAGCGCGTTTTGAATGACCTTGAACCCGAAGCCAGTCATGGCATCGAATAGGACTTTGCCAATGCCCCACACGTTGTGTGCTGTGGTGTGCTTGTAGCGTTCTGGATTAGGGGGCCTGGCAAAACGACGCGAGTTGTGACCTACGCCGAAGCCTATCTGCTCGGGAGCTACTTCGGTCAGTATTATTGAACAAATTACTTACAGCAACCGTTCCGAGGGTGGACAAGGTAGTAGTGCAGACATGGCGTAGCAAGCAATACGACAGATCTTGAACGACACAATCTGGGAAGAATTACTTACGACGATAGCCCAAGGTACCGGCCCCGGGCGGCGGGTTCAGAAGAACGTCAGTCCGGGTATCGAAAACAAGTCCGAAATCAGCGACGCAGACCTTGGGGTACATGCGTGTGAAATCGTCAGGACACTCGCTTGTCTCAAGATGGCGATCTAGCTCTTCGTCCGGCATTGCTGCATAGTCCAGCAGAACGTTCATTGGTTTGAGGTCGCAATGCAACATGTAGTCATTTCTGCTGCCTGTTCGGCCCCTGGCTTCGTGGAGCAAAGCATTCTGCAGCAGTGGACCGTCCATCGTCTTCATGGCAAGTGCAAGTGAATGGAGCAATACCCATAGAAATTCTCTGGCTACTTATGGTTAGCACTGGAATTCCTCGCTTTGCATTTGAGTGACTGATACAAGATAACCGCGCAGAACTGCTCCAAGAAGAGATAAGATAGCACTTACGAAGAATTCTTCCGAAGGCTCGATAGTGAGATATGAGATCGTCCAGCGCTGATTAGTTAGTCTAAACTCTGCCAACGCTTGCAAAGGGGTTACGACGACTTACTGCCATGAGGAGTAAACAGGTAGTACTGCCGGGACTGGTCGAGATGCGTGTGGTACTTATATCGTCGCAGGTGCAATATATGACCTTCTGAATCGAGCTGAGTCTGGTCTTGTACGAGATCATGGCGCGCTTTATCCTGCAAACCAACCTGAACGACAGCCTCGTACTCGATACCGGCGTCGCACAGCCCCGGGGCCTCCGCTACTTCGACGAATTTCTGTTGTTTGATAGCAATCTCGTCGACCGCAGTGCCTTGTTCATCCTTTTTAGCCCATAGAGCCACTATACCCGCCCCACCCGCCCCAAGAGGCTTCACTGGTTCCCAGGTCTCAGCTGACGATATGTCTGATCGTGAAAGCATGAAATTGAAGAACCTCTCCATAGTGTACTGGAGATGACCTTGGAACAGCCCCAGTTGAAGGCGGGTGAAGAAGATTAGGTCATGTGTACCTGCTGGTTGATCCCAAACTCGGGCCGAGATATACTTACCGGAGCCAAAGTCTGGCTCCTCCAGTTCGTCAGGCTTTGGTCGCGGTGGCATGTTGTCGATCAGGTTTGCAGTAAGTCAGGCTGCATGTGTGTGCGGGTGACCAAGGCAATGGATGAGTACGCGCGTACATGATCAACAAGGTCTTTGAAGAATAGCGACAACATACAATGAAGTTGATGTCTTTGTTCAGCCAAGCATGAATCGCGTACCGTTTTCAGCGACACGGTGGTGGTTATGTATATAGTATTCTTTGTTGAGTCTGTGAGCCCATCTTTAGAAGGTAATCCGGCACGGAATGGCCAGTGGTCAGGGTGTACACCTCTCCCCAGCCCTGCACGACTAGCCACAAAGGCGACACGCTTGCCATTGGGAATCCAAGCTTTAGCGTAGTACTCGAAGCAGGGGCATGTTGTTTGACGCGAAGAATCATGCGTACTGCTGTTAGCAACATGTTGGGGGCTTATAGACTGCTCAATGAATGTACACGAGCATGTAAATGGTGGGGCAAAGCCCGGCGGTAACCTCCCCCAGTGGCGCGGGCGAAACTGACACGATCAGAATGACTTCATGGCGTGCGGAGACACGCCGCTGCCCGTGTTGAACGCAAGCTCGCATTTGGAATAATGCATCCTCGTCGTGACCTCGGTGAAGAAACCTTTAGCTTTTGGTTATGACGAAACATCAATGATCTAGAAGTTCAGGTTTTAAAAGGGAATTCTTCTTCCTCTCAAAACATCGAACCGTTCAGCGTGCAGATCCTACCAACAAGTCAACGAGAATTCCCGCGAAGATGGGCTTCGAAGGTGTTCCCAAAGAAATGAAAGCCGTGCAGGTCGTCGAGGTGTGCATTGCTTACTGCTCGTGCAACGAATGCCGTACTGATGGAAAAGTTCAACAAACCGTACAAGATACACCAAGTTCCGACGCCCAGCGAACTCGGTGATCATGAAGTTCTACTCAAGACCGCCGTTGCGAGTCTCTGTCATACCGACTCAATGGTAGTCGAAGGAAAGTTCCCCACTCGACTGCCATGCACGGGGTCGCATGAGGGTACAGGGGTAGTCGTGGCTGTCGGCAGCAAGGCAAGCATATTGCAAGAGTTGTGAACGGGTACTGACAGGCTTCAAGGTGAATAATCTCAAGAAGGGTGATCGCGTCATGGCAGGCATCATGCTTAACGAATGCCAAAGCTGCCCGAGCTGCAAGCGTGGCAATGACTTCCAGCAGTATTGTCCTAATGTCAGTGGGCTATTGGGCGTCATCGTCAATGGAGCCTTCGCCGAATACCATGTGTCGGATAGTCGAACGAGCTGCAAAATTCCCGACAACGTTAGTTTCGCCGCCGCGGCACCGTTGGCTTGTGCCGGCTGCACCATCTACCGAGCCATCCTGACAAGCGGAGCGGAGAAGGGCAGTTGGCTGGGCTTGGTGGGTGCAGGAGGCGGGCTTGGTCATCTAGGCATCCAATTCGCCAAAGCAAAGGGTATAAACGTGGTCGCAGTCGACGCTCGAGATGCTGGTATCGAATTGTGCAAATCTGCCGGTGCAGAGCACGTCCTGGATGCCCGCGAGGGCAAGGATGAGGTCGTCAAAAGGGCCCAAGCCCTGACCAACGGTCAAGGAGTTGACTGCGCCGTGAATGTGTCGGAGCACGAAACCTCAGCTGGTCTCGCATGTGCTATCACCAAGATGCACGGCACCATGATTCAGGTTGCTCAGCCACCAAATGTCTCGGTACCTTTCCACGAGCTCGTCTTCCGCGACATCAGGATCCGCGGCACATTGGTGGCTGGTCAGGAAATCTCGCAGGAAATGCTCAACGAGGTGGGCCGCAGCGGCATTCACGTTGAGACGCAGGTGTTCAAAGGGCTTGACAAAGTTCCCGACATGGTTGAGCTCGCGCACTCGGGAAGCTTGAAGGGCAAGGCGGTCTGTGTTGTGAACCAGGAGCTCGTTGATGGTGACAAGGACAAGGTATAGCTACCATGTCCGCCTTGATCGGAACTCGATGCCATCAGCAGAAAGGGACTCGATCCGGAACCGAGCGTCGGATCGGGACAAATTTTCATCAACCAAGTCACAACCCTAGCGATCCTAGACATCATAAGTAGCATGCTAAGTGAAATGAATGGTTCTGACGCGGTGAACTGAAGAATTCGGGAGCTCGGCCCGCGCACGTAAACTTCGTGTTGGACCCCTCCTAATTTTCCCCGCAAAGATAATACATCCAGAGTTCCCGAGTGCTACAGCTTTTCGTATCGCCTAGCTGTTCAGCTCATTGTAACAAGCTTGAAGCTGTACGTGTTCTTTCCATCACAGCACAATGAACGGCGGACCGTCAGCCAACGAGCTACCTCTCCCCACCAACGCGAGCCACGTGCATGGGTCCCTCTCCGATCTCCTTCCATCCCATTTCACCACCGAGATAACAGCATGGCTGGCAGAGGATACACCCTCATTCGATTACGGCGGATTTGTGGTGGGATCTGCTCCACGCACAGCTCAGCTGCTGTGCAAGTCGCCAGGCATCCTTGCTGGGGTGCCCTTTTTCGACGAGGTATTTCGCCAGCTAGACTGCCAGGTTGAGTGGCACGTCAATGAAGGAGCATACATTGATACCGTTGCTAAAGAGGGAAAAGTCCGCGTTGCTACTGTCAGTGGCCCTACAAGGAAACTGCTTCTCGGGGAAAGAGTTGCTCTCAATACACTTGCCAGGTGCAGCGGTGTTGCCACCAAGAGCAGGCGCTTGCTAGACATGGTAAGAGAGGCTGGCTACACTGGCATCATAGCTGGCACAAGAAAGACAACGCCTGGATTCCGCTTGGTCGAGAAATATGGAATGCTTGTCGGCGGCATCGACGGACACAGGCACGACCTTAGCAGCATGATCATGCTCAAAGATAATCACATCTGGGCCAAAGGGAGCATCACCAACGCTGTCAAGGCGGCTCGATCTGTTGGAGGTTTTGCTTTGAAGATCGAAGTCGAATGCCAGAGCGAGGCCGAAGCCGACGAAGCTATCGAGGCAGGTGCTGATATCGTCATGCTTGACAACTTCGATGGCGCCGGCCTAAAAGTTGCCGCACAAAGCCTCAAGCAGAGGTGGAAGGGTAAGAGGGAGGTCTTGCTGGAGAGCAGCGGAGGCCTGACTGAGCACAATGTCAAGGAGTACATCAACAATGGTAAGTGCAACCGCATGCAAGACGGATCAGTGCTGGGTGCTGACATCTTCCAGATATCGATATCATCTCTACCAGCTCGGTCCACCAGGGCGTCTCGCATGTTGACTTCTCCCTCAAGATCGATCACTAGCTGGCTCCGAATCAGAGTATCAGAACCAGCCGCATCGTCAGACCCTCGGCCTTCCAGCACCGTTTCGTGGATCTTTTGTCAGCCAGTGAGTTGCGAACGCCCCGGTATGACCAGATCAGAAGACTGGGCCCACGCCTGCCACGTCGTCGACTTGGTCGCCCCGGCCTGCATCGGGCCAGTTCTTCCAATACGCAAGCCATGCCTTTAAGTAGGTCTCCACGACTAATGGTACAGCCTCGACACCTGAGATGTCTCGAAGGTTTGACAACAGGGCTGCCTTGGGTCAAAATTTACCCACTACCAGGCAATGCAACAGCGGGAACGCCCGTCCGTGCACCAACCCGCTGCCAGCCGCTCGAAAATACAGCACTTTGTCAGGCAATTTGAAGAATGACCTCGCCCCATCGTCCTCGGCTGTCGAGATTAAGCCGTAGCCTTATCTATCAAATATGACCAACTCTAGGTCATGAGGATAATCCAGGTTAAAGCGGGATACCGAGCATACACTAAAAACGGGGGTCAGTCTGGACCCTCGCTCTGCTGCACGAAGCGAGGCACGCGATATTGCCACCTTGGTCATGCACCGAAGCTTTCTCGATTGCGACTACTGGCTCGCCTTTCTGCATACGTCGCCCTGCGTGCAGTAACATTGCACAAGCATTGGAGGGTCATCACACAGTCAGAGATTTTCTGGAATCTTTGCTATCCCCGACTACAGTCCTTCAACGGGCGGGGAGCATCTCGAGGTGTTGTCTCAGCCGCAGACGAAAGCCGAATGATCAGTCGTCGAATGCCTACCACTGGAAAAGCCTCTTGCAGAGACCATACCGCCATTATACGATGGAATATTGTAGGGATCGTCCACAACCGCTTAACCGACGTATTGCCCTGTCTGCGAGATCGTTGCTTGCAGCCCGCTGCGTCTCCGTTGCAGACATGCGGCGCTTTCCCAGCGCTCTCTTCTGCCGCTACGCTTAGCACCGGATCTATACACAAACAAGCATCAAGTTTGCTAGCATGTACCACACAGATTGCTCAAGAAATTCACAATGCTTGTGTCTGCTGCCGTTCAGCCCAAGCTAGTATCGAAACAGCAGGCCAGCCTCGTCCGGTTCCCAGATCCGGTACCACACTCCGCGCCACGCCTGATGCCCAGTGCCCAGGCCGACCGCCCAGAAGCTCGGCGGCGTCGTTTCGTCTCGTCGACGCCTGCTCGAGACCAATTCCATTTCACCCCCTCTTCTCGGCGGATTCTACGGTGCTGCCGGGTTTCGTTGATCCTTCAGATTTTCTTGGGTCATTCTTACGAAAGACTTCTCTGTGTTGCCCGACGCCAATCGTCACTTCCTCAATCCGTACGCGCAATTCCATCACAGGCCGGCGAGAACCTATCCCGCAATACCAAGACCATCGATGCTACCTCATGTCATTCTGAAATCGCCTGCCCAGACGGCGAGATCATTCTGTGGCAGTATGTCAGGTCTTATTCCTCTCACATGCGACTCGTCTACCGGTTCGTAGCTCGTGACGAGGCTCTTGTCGTCGCTGGACCCTGGCAATTACCTTGATGCGATGCCCTTCGTTCATCAGCTCGTGCTGGTCCCTACTGGTCTCGCATATTTGCTTCCGTGCCACTCGTCGAGGTCTACGATTGAACCAAGCCTTTTGACTGATAACCAACAGAACATTCACTGGTTTCACTGCTAGTCAGCTCGCGTGCCCAGCGACCCATCCACTTCCCTGCTACCCTGCATGTGGCTATATCATTTTCACAGCTGCCGCTTCTGACGGCCTAACTTTTCTGTCACTTCTTTCTTCAATCATTCCCCGCGCACACATCGCACCCATCGCACCATTCTGCCCGGTACTTTTTCAAGATGGCAACCAAGCCCGTGTTTGCCGAGGATGCGAAACACCGCCCCAGTGTGACAGATATTGCTGGTATCCCTCGCGACTCCGACAGTGGTGAGGATGTCGGCAAGGCTGAGGCTCCGACCGAGACCTACTACAAGCTGCCCTTCTGGACGCGGATGGGCTGTACACCAGAATCTTTCAAGCGCAGGACCAAGGCCGATGAGCATAATCAGCTCAACCAGACTCTGAAGGGACGCCACTTGCACATGATCGCCATTGGTGAGTGTTGCCCCTCAATCACAATCTCCACACTCTAACTCGGATGCAGGTGGTTCCATCGGCGCTGGTCTCTTTGTTGGTACTGGCAGCGCTCTCCGTCGAGGTGGCGCCGGTTCTCTCTTGGTCGATTATATGATTATCGGTGTCATGATCTTCAATGTCGTCTTCGCTCTGGGAGAAATGGCCATCATGTACCCTATTTCCGGCGGATTCTACACTTACTCCTCTCGGTTCGTCGATCCTTCCTGGGGCTTTGCCATGGGATGGAACTATTGTATGCAATGGACCGTGGTGTTGCCTCTCGAAATCGTCATCGCCTCGGAAACAATCAAGTACTGGAACCAAGACATCAGCATCGCGGTATGGATTTCAATGTTCATAGCGGCCCTGATCCTCGTCAACGTCTTCGGTGTCTTGGGCTACGGCGAAGAAGAATTCTGGACTTCTCTCTTGAAGCTGTCAGCCATTGTCATCTTCTTGTTTATCGGTCTCGTCCTTGTCTGCGGCGCTGGACCGGACAGTGGCCGATACAACGAATACTGGGGCGGTCGCTACTGGAGTGACCCAGGTGCGTTCCAGAACGGCTTCAAGGGTTTCTGCTCGGTCTTCGTCACTGCCGCCTTCGCATTTGCTGGTACTGAGCTGGTCGGTCTCGCTGCTGCCGAGTCAAAGACTCCCCTGCTGTCCCTCCCATCCGCCGTCAAGCAAGTCTTCTGGCGTATCACCCTCTTCTACATCCTCTCTCTCCTATTTGTCGGCCTCCTCATCAGTCCCACCGACGAACGTCTAATGGGTGCCGGTCAGGGAGGTGACTTCGTCGACGTCTCCGCCTCGCCTTTCGTGCTTGTCGGCCTCTATGCCGGCCTCAACGGATACGACAGTTTCATGAACGTCGTCATTTTGGTCTCCGTCATCTCTATCGGCAACTCCGGTATCTATGGTGGTAGCCGTACCTTAACTGCTCTTGCTGAGCAAGGCTATGCTCCCAAGATCTTCACCTATGTTGATCGCGCGGGCCGTCCTCTGATCTCAACCGTTGCCATCATGTTGTGGGGTCTCCTTGCCTATGTGGCGCTTGCCTCCACTGCCGTCGAGGTCTTTGACTGGCTCCTCGCCCTGTCAGGTCTCTCCTCTCTCTTCACCTGGGGTTCTATCTGCTACTCCCACATCCGCTTCCGTCAGGCCTGGAAACACCATGGCCATACACTGGATGAGATCCCCTTCAAGGCTCTCGGTGGAGTCTGGGGCTCCTGGGTCGGTCTTGGCATCATCGTACTAGTGCTCATTGCCCAGTTCTACGTTGCCCTCTTCCCTCCTCTTAACGACGGTCAGATGAACGACGCCGCTGGCTTCTTCAAGTCTTACCTCGCCCTGCCTGTCGTTCTATTCTTTTGGGCCTGTGGATACCTGTGGAAGCGTACTGGCTGGCTCACTATGGGCCAGATCGACGTCGACTCTGGTCGCCGTGAAATTGACTGGGAGACGCACAACGCCATACAGGATAAGCGCCGCAACGCAAACGCCTTCATGCGGGTATGCTACTTCCTCTTCTAGAGGATGGCACTCAGGATATAATCCCGTGTTTGTGATATACCACATTTCGGCAGCTATCAGACGCGTTCAGAGCACCTGAGGGAGGTCTGCTATATGTCGTATAAATTGTGTAACCAAAACACAGACGATCCTCTACCGAAGGACAAAGTTTTCTTTCCATATTCTTCTCGTGGCTGTGACAAACTTGCCCAATAATAACGACACGACTTCGGACAAGTATGTAAAGTTCTCTGCAGATCGTCCGTCTGATTATCCGTAACACCAAGGAAAACTTCGTGGTTCTTGAAGTGCTTTAGGAGCGCCGTATTGTGCCAAGATTTTACTGCCTGCCTGGGGTCTGGAAGCGCAATCGCTGAGAGGTATAGCTATGCTTCACTTGGTCAACATCCCTCCTCAATCCAGAACAATGAATCAAACAAGACTCCGCTACGGAACAATGGGAAGTGCATAGATGTCAGTGACTATATGCGCAAAGTTTATATGGTTGCCTTGTTTGCCAAACGCCAAGCAGTCGTTGCCTTCTTGCCGCTGGACTACATAATCCTTCCTGCCATGTTGCTTCACCCATATATCACTACATTCATCCTTTCCCACGTCTTTCCCTTCTTCACATTGTCTCTTTCACCATGAATCAAACACGCCAAGGATGTCGCTCAAGGTCTACCAGCCCGTCACCAACAGCGGCCATGCCTTGGTTCGGTCACGCTTTTCCTCTTCAAGCATTCTTGTCACTGGTGATGTGGAGCTGCGGCGCTGTGACAAGGTAGTGCTGTGTTTGCACCCTCGTCCCTCTACTATAATTACATCTTAGCTATGCTGCTTCTTCTATATAACACACTTGTGCTTATGCTCTCTCCCTACTGTTGGAAACACAGCCTCGAAACTGTTCAGCTCACGCCAGCACTGCACCATAGGCCATAACCCCATTGTTACACTCTCTTCATCGCATAACTAATCGCAAGAATGCCACCGAAGAAGCCATCTCGCCCTCTTCGACCGCGCAGCGGCAAGGATGCGCAATACGACAGCGCATCCAGTTTCTCCGACACAAGTAGCAACGACGACGCTCCAGCCTCTTCTTCTCCTGCAAAGTCCACCACTGCAGGCACTTCTGCGCCCAAGAGAGACCGCAAGAGAACCATGAACCAGAAGGACATGGACAAGGATGCGTCGAAGAAAAGACGCGACGTGGAGGCGACCATTCGTGGTAGTGCAATTGCGTACATCAAGGCCAACCTGCCCGCCGAGTACGACAAGACTGCAGGCGAAAAAGGTGACCACAACACAAAGATTGGTCGGGCCCTGAAGTCGTTCGTCGACTGGGTACAGGCTGGAAGCCCCAGTAGGGATGGTCCGGCGCCTTCGACCACGGCTGCTGCTGGTATCACGATTCAGACTATACCACAGCAACCTGTCAGGGCCGGAATGGTCGACGTTGGTGTTCAAACAGACATAAGAGCACCGATCGCTGCCACTGCCGATGACTTTGACAGGTTGCCTGAGGACTATTCTCAGAACCCTGGCTCGGCGCCTCATTCCCCCGACGCGGTCAAGGACAAGGGCAAAGGCAAAGGCAAAGCAGCTCCCGAGCCTTCCGATGACGCTGCCGATGAGGGTGACGGTGAGAAGGCCTCAGAGACGAGGTCGGGGAAGCGCAAGCGCTCCCCATCTCCTCCTCGTCGCGTGACAAGGTCTCGAACGAGTGGAGTCCCATACCTCTCTGCACCAACTCCAGGTGCCCAACTCAGAGGGGACACAGCCCCCGAGGGGGCTTTTCATCTCGCCTCTCCTCCTGCCCCTCGAGCCACATACGTTGCCCCGACCGCCATCGCAACTCGCACGGGCAACCAAACGTGTTCCTCACAACCACACCAGCCGATACGCATCGCCGACCACCGCGAACTCGCGAGCGTCGAACAAACCCACATCAGACTGCAGCAACAGGCCGCCGGCACAATTCCTCGCAACGGCGGCAGAATGACTCCGCAGGTCAGAGACTTGCTGAACAGCTTCGACGACCTGCAGGCTGATGTGGCCGAGGCACTGGGAGGTATTGATGCGATTACCACTCAGGAGCTTGTCGATGGCTTGGTGCAGGAGATGGAGGAGATGCGGGAGCGGTTGCGGGAGGCGAGGGGAGGGAAGGATCGTGATGGTGGCGGGAGTTAGGGCGGGCTTTTGTCGTTGAGGAGGAGTTCATCACCGTTGACAGTGAATGGTTATGTTCTTTTCGATGGGTTGGTGATGGGTTTCGCATAGCATGGCGTTTGTGGTAGGAGTCGTAAGCCTGCTAATCGAAAAATCAATTCTCGCATAGCTCGACGCCTCGTTTGCCTTGTCGGCCTCGTCGATCTCCCCATTTCAGCGCGCGGTACAGTTTCGCTGTGAACTCACGTATCTTGAAAGCGACATGCAGCATCCATCATCGATGCATTGTAAGACGTTTGGCTGACTTGTCGACCGCCGTTTCTTCCCAGCGCTTCTGCTGCCGTCCAGCAATGCTTAGCGTGTAGATGATCTTCGCGTCGCTGATTGTTCGCTTAGGCCTGAATCGAAATTGAGGAACTCCTCACACTTTGACCTCTATATCTTCAAATCAGATATGGCATTCTTGCAGTCGTCTCCACGCCTGGTGTCGTGGAGGAAGCCTTCGTCGCTTTATTGTGTGAATGCCCATTAAACATACAATGCTCACACCTCACACCTCCCAAGCTTCAATCCGCCCCTTCGTGCTCAGCAGCAGACTCTTGACTCCCTCGCCTCGGCCCTCAAGATCCACAAATTGCATGCACGCGACCGAGTCTTCAAAAACCCTCTCCTCCAGTCCCCCCGGCAGCATCTTCCCCGTACTCACATCCCACAGGCCAACGTGGCTGCTGCGCAACATGCCAGGCCACGCCGCCGCCACGGCGCCCATCTCGGCATCGAACGCGAAACCCATGCCGTACTGCCGCTGCATTCTGCTCTCCGGAATGTCGAAGTCGAAGAGCGGCTGCGTGGCCCATTTCGGTCGTTTCTTCCTGCCCTGTCTGCTCCCGTTGCGCTCGAACGAGGTGCTCTCGATAGGGACGTCCTTGGTCCACCGCAAGTCATACACCGCCGCTCCAGTGATCCCCCAGACCAGCACTCCCCACGGACACCTACTTCCCATGCCCTGCACGCGACTCACTGCGCCGCTCCCGTGCCTCAGCCTCCCCACCACGCCCTCTCCTTTCAGCTGCACTCGAACGTCCCCCATCCCGACCCTCCCATCCCTATCCCCCGTCACCCACACGTTCTCATCCTTCCAGCCCACGCACATCGCCTCCCTGGCTTCCCCCACCCTCCTCGTCACCACATCCCCCGGATAGGCCCCGTCGCCAGCCCCACCCAGGCTCCGAACCACCACTCCCCGACTCGAAGCCCACACCACTGTCCCATCCCTTGCCGGACTCCCCGCCACATCCCACACGTGCGTGTCGATCTGCTCCATCGTCTGCGTGCCCCAGTCGCCGAAGTCGTCGCGCCACCGTGCCCACGGCAGTGGAGGCATGCCGCCGAGTGGGCCGTCACCGCCGCCGCCGCCACCGTAGCGCGTTGATGTATGGATCGGATCCGAGCTTGCGCCTGGCACGCCAGCGATGTTGTGCTGCAGCTGATTCGTGGGGTCGTGCGGCGAGCGCGTGACCCATACGACGCATCCGTCTGCGACGGTCGCGGCTGCTATCAGTGGGGCGGAGTCGAAGATGGGGATTGTGTTGGCACGGTTGTAGTGCGCAGCGGCAGCAGGAGCCGCCTCTTCTTCATCGTCTGTTGTCGCCGCAGCAGCAATAGGTCCATGGTTCTCCCGCTCTTCATCTGGACTTGTGGCTGCGTCCGAATACGGTGTGACGCAGAACTCCTCGCCACGGCCACGGCCCAGCTGCGCGCTGGTGAAGAGCTCTTTGCTCACGGGATCGACGACGAAGACGCCCGAGGTGCCTACCATGCCGGCTGACGCTGTCCCCTTGCGGGGCTCGAGCGTCGCTGCGTACCGCTGTTTGATCAGAGACTCAACTGAGGTTCCAGTGGTTATCGCGGCGCGGTGACGGAAACGCAGCTGCAGCTCTAGCTCACTGCTGAGCCTCCTTGTAGAATGGCGTTGTCTGTCGGGCGCATGCTTCGCCGACCCTCTCCTGTGCGGTGCAGACTGTCGCCCTCCCTCCACTCCACCCTGCGACGGTGTCGTCTGCGGTTGCGATAGCGGCTGCGACGACCCCTTGTCTTTCCGCCTTCGCTTCTTCCGCCCCTCCCCGGCCCATATGCGTTTCTGTCCCTCAACGACCTCGCGCGTGTATCGTGCTCCCACACCTCCCCTGGATCTCCCACCGTCGACCGGCAGAGAACCCGCATGCCGCTCACCTGAAGGTTGTCCCGCGCTTTCTCCGCGGTTACCGGAGCCAGGAACGCTGCGCAGCGCCACGTGCTGCGTGTTCTGATGGTTCTCCTGTACGCGAAAGTAGCGTCCGCGCGCGGCGTCGTAGACGAAGCCAGGGATCTCGACCGGCATCGTCTTTGCCCGAGAGAGCGACCTCTGGCTACTTGTCTGCCCTCGAACGATCTAAGGAAGCAGCATTCCGACGTGCTCTGTACCGTTGGGGATCGGGACTTGGTGGCGAAGAACCGATGGCCGTGGTGGACCTCGCGCGAGGTCTTGGCGCATGGATTTCGTGGTTGATGGTCTAATGGCGAACAAGCTGGCGTGACAACTAGAAAGTCTAGACGATGGTTGATATATGTTCGAGTTCACTTGGTAGCCTGGAGTGGCAAGAATGACGTTGATTCGATGAAGTGGACAGCACGAGGAAGTCCATAGAGGAAGACATCAGACATCGGTCTTGGCATTATATTGGTGGGGTACGATGGCATCCTCGTTGAAATAGGTCGCACTTTGCCTACAATTTGCGATTCAGTATACGGTCAGGCCTCGTGAACAGGCCATCTGCGCGAACACGACGAGGATGAATATAGATCGCGAACAGTATCGCAATTTCAGGGTTCTGAATTGGCTATTGCACATACTAGCACGCCGGGTTAAATGCAGACAGGGTATCGAAGCCATGCCTTCTGCAAGTCGGCGAGTCTATCACTCTGCTCAAAGCAACATCGACATACCGGTTGTAGTTATACCCTCCTAGACCTGACCCTCCTATTCAACGCAAAGAATGTACTCGACTACTGTTCCATTCGCGGCGGCGTGACCGCCCTCGCAACGAAATGAGTTCGGAGGTCATCTCATCTTCAAATGAAGGTCCGGACACAGTGATCTCCGGCAGAAGCGGCAAGACCTGTTCTGGCTGTATCTTCCGTCGCAGTGAAGAACGGGATCTTATCTGAGGAAACGCCACCGATTCAACTCCAAGAATTGTAGCTCGGCACCGCTCGAGGAAGGAGACAGTGAGGGTTCTGTCGGAAGTTTCTCCTGTCATATGTAGCGTTTGCAACCGCTCATCTCCTCGCTGAGCATCTGCCATCCTCTATGGGCCTGTCTCTTGCTGAGTTTTGGAATAGTCGTCGGATGAGCCTATTACAAGTCAGCCTAGCCTCATGAATCATGGAGATACACCTACTCTGCATCTGGGTGCGCTTGATCCTCATAGTTGATGTTCCGTACGGGAGTTGCGTGGCGCTCTTGACCATAGCATTACTTCGAAGCAAACAATAGAGCCCAGCCATCAAACAAAAAATGCCAAAGGAAAAGGCCCATACTTTGACAATGGTAACCATGCTTGCTCCTCCAGAGTCCGAGAGCCAGCCGAACATGCAGAATAGCGTTGCAGTAACGTCAACGACAACGACGGCACCAATAAGCTTCCACGAAGGCATCGTCGACCAGAAAGGTCCATTGCTTCTGGTAATGAAGATGAGCCAATTTTGAGTCAGGCAGATCTCAAGAAAAAGGACAGAGTGCTTGCCAGTTCCAGGTTCAGCAATACCGCCTCCGTCTCCTCCGACGATCATTGTGGTGAGAGCAATCCAGGAACCGATGGCAAGCACAACGCCGAGCGCGATTGATGTCACCCAGAGCCGTGGTAGATTCTATTTGACTGGAGCTCTTGAATAGGGTGCATTATCGTATGCCACGGCAAGAGTAGCGATGTCCGAAAAGAGACAAATAAAGACCACCAAGGCAGGATGCAGAGACTCATTCAGAATGACAATCCACAAACCCAAGAAGATCTCCAGATGAAGTGACAGGGCAATGCGGTATACGACGTAGGCATACATCCGATGGAAGATCTGACGCGATGTCTTGAGGGCGTCAATGATGGCCGATAGGCCTGGGGCAAGGAAGACGATATCTGCGGCAGATCGGGCAGCATCCGAAGACCCCTCAACGGCGATCCCAGTATCCGCTTTCTTGAGCGAGGGTGCGTCGTTGACTCCATCGCCTGTCATGGCGACGAGGAAGCCGCGGCGCTGTAGTGTGTCGACCACATTATACTTGTGTTGAGGAAAGACTTCGGCAAATCCATCGGCTGCTTCAACGAAACCGCAGACTTCTGAATCCGACATATCACCATTGCTAGCATCGCCGAGGTGTTCGGCATTGTAGACTTTAGTCCCCAAACGAAGTTGTTGAGATAGCTCACGAGCGATATCAACGGCATCACCGGTAAGCATCTTGATGCTGAGACCAAGTGATTTTGCCTCGTCGATAGTTTTGGCCGTGTCGAATCGGGGAGGATCGGCACAAGGCATAATGCCCAGCACTTCCCAGTTGCCTTTTCCCAGCTTCCTCGCCACACCCAAAGAGCGAAAGCCACGGGCGGCAAGTTCGGTGACCTTGTCGTTATAGGCTCTCTTGACGTCCCGGGGCACTTCTTGGTCATTCTCAACCATACGTAAGACAAAGAGAGGCGCACCCTTGACACAAGTGTACCAGCGCCCTACTGTGTCTTCCACGACGGCAACCACTCTTTTCGATACTGGATCGAACGGTGTAAAGTCGATGTACTTGTAGTATGGCAGCTCCTGCTTGACGGTGGGGTAGTATTTCAAGGCTTTGAAGAAGGCCTTGTCAATGGGGTCCATGCCCTGGCTCTTCCGGGACGCAGCAAGGCAAGCGGTGAGCATGAGATCCTCCGGGCGGACTCCAGCCATTGGGAAGGGCTCATGGAGTGCAAGCTTATTCTTGGTGAGTGTCCCGGTCTTGTCTGTGCAGAGAATCTCCACGCCAGCAAGCGATTCGATAGCCGATAGTTTCTGAACTATGGCCTGTTTCTTGGCTAGATACGCAGCCCCAACCGCCATCGTTGTCGTAACGACAGCAGGGAGTCCGACGGGAACCCCGATGATGGTAATGGCCAGCGTGAATCGAAGGATGTCGATAATCCGGTTAGACCTGTAGAACGAGGCCACCCATGTGGCCAGAAGAGTAAAAATGACCAAACCAAGCAAGATTATGCCAATGTCGTTCAGCACCTCGGTGAAGTGGCCAGTTGTTTTGCTTGACTGATTGACTAGAGCAGCAGCCCGACCAACGAAGGTGTGATCGCCGGTAGCAGTAGCCACCATGAAGCAAGAGCCACGTTTGACGGCAGAGGATGCATAGCACGAATCACCTTTGCGTTTATCCACGGCCAGGGACTCCCCTGTGATAGACGATTGATCGACTTGTATGAAAGCATCGTCGGTGACCAGGCGGCCGTCTGCGGGAATGATCGCGCCTTCGTCAAGCTGTACGATATCGCCAGGCACGATCATCGTTGTGTCGATTTCGATGAGCAGTCCTTGCCGTAGAACAATAGCTTTGGAAGCAAGGGTCTTCTTCAGTTCTTCAACAACGGAGCCAGCCTGAAACTCTTGGAAGAATCCTACGGAAGCATTGAGGAGCAGAAGGCAGCAGATAACGGCAAGGTCAATCCAGACACGAAGAACGACTGCTAAGATGGCAGCAATCTGTGGAGTGGATTAGCGAGGCACCGATTGACTTGGAGAGGCTGTTGCTACCGTCATGACACACTGGACAGGGCCGACAAAGAAGCCGAGGAATTTAAGGAACAGGTTCTCGGAGTCTTCCTTCATTCTGTTGAGGCCATACCTCTTGCGTCTCGCCACCACTTCTGCGTCATCAAGGCCAAATGTGATTTCGGTTCTGAGCAGGCTCTCGGTGATCTGGCAGTGGGCATCTGCTTTGTCGTCGAAGCTGTCAAATTTTTCGTCATCATCCTCACAGTCGAGCTCCTGAATCAAGAGGTCTAGCTGCTCGGTTTTCTCATCGGATAGATGGCCTGATGGGGCCGGGGTGATGGCATCCGAGTGCTGCTCGGGTTCGATAGCTCGGGCTGCGAGGCCTGCCTGAGACTCAGTCTTGATCGATGTTTTGTAGCTCATGTCGGAGGAACCAAGTGCCATAGCTAAGAGGTAAGATGTAAAGCAACGGTCATACAGCTCTATTCTCTGGAGGTGCAACTCCAGGGAGGTTAATCATGCGGTTAAGAATAGGTGATAGCTGAATGAAGCATGATAATGGCAGGCGCGGAAGCTGGTTCCCAGCAGACGCATGGCAGCAGCACCGGTCAGTTAACGGTGGTGCAGGTACGAGGGTAATAGCGTGAAAGGGCAGCGCTTTCCACGGCCTTATAGGGCCTTTGCCAGAAGCTCCTGGCCTCGGCAGACTACACGGTGCACTCATTGTCAATAGGTAACGGAAGGAGAGAAGACTGAATGAATGAACGAATGGAAATGTGAATGTGAATTGTCAGAGAATGTGACCAACTTGATGTTTGGAGAATGCCGATCGTTGGTGAGTCTTGGCGGTGTAACAGCCTGGTCCGAAGCCAGATACGCTAGCTAGGTACTTTCAGTAGGTGGCTGCTTGAAATCGCCTTCCTCATTGTCGAGTTGTGCCAGGTTTTTCACATCCTCCCCTAGCTACTATGTGCAAAGGAACAAACCCAGTCTTCTCCCTGAGCTTATCCATGGCCCAGACTGGAGAATCTGGCGCAGAGACCCGTGAACGCCACGCTCATGCTGATGTACCCTTTCGATAATGGGCCTTAGCTTCCACTGATAGCCATCAATATTCGGTAGTGTCGATACCGTTCGCCAGTATCCTATCACTGGTTGTTGTTGCCGCCCTGCTGGGGAAAGTTCTGAAAGAAGTTTGGAGGGAACATAGGCATGCCGTTGGCCATTCCAGGGAAAGGAAAGGGCATGACTGGCATGTTGTTGGGATTGGAGTTGTTTGCACCGCCCATACTGCCACCCATGTTACCGCCAAAGTTACTGCGAGAGCCCGGACGATCATCGTTCTGCTCATCGCGGCGAGAAGGCCGTGATGATTTGGGTCCATGTCTACCACCAGTGTCGGTGGCGATACGTCTACTCATAGCTGCGGAGCTGTTAGCTGATAATCAACATGAATGAGGACAGTAACCTACCTTTGGATGAAACACCAGCACCAATTTCAATGTCGGGTTCCTCCACAACCATACCAGGCTCTAGAGGCTGTCCACCAGTGCCGCCATACTCAGCAGTCACCATCCACTTGCGATCAGCGTCAGTCAAGCGCTCGATAGGGATCTTGCTGACGCCCGTCTGATAGTCGCTACAATCACGAGGTCCGAAGCCGACACCCCACTTGGTCCGTAGCTGCGAAGAGCCGTCTCGGAAATCCTCCATTCCGTTGCGAGCACGCTCGGCGTCTTTGCGTGTGAGCATCTTAATGAAGGCATGTCGCTTGTCAATGTTGACTATGCAGGTCTGCACAATGCCAAATTGCGCAAACATGTCCCGAAGTTGCGCTTCACGCTGAGTGACGCCACCAACAAAGAGAGTACGACTGAGGACCATGATGTGACCAGGAGGGAGTGAACGGTCGTACTGGATGTTTCGTGGGCCTGGAGGAGGAAGATTGGGCTCGTTTCTTGGCGGAGTAGGGGTACGACGTCTTCTACCCTGAGGACTACGCTGCCGATAGTCACCTCCTCCACGTCGATCATCACGGAAGGGATTGCCAGCAGGGCTACCTCGACCACGGTCTGAAGACGCACCCCGTCTTCTATCAGAACCTGGCGACCGAGACCGACGACGACCGAAGCCTGGAGGAGATCGGGTTTGTGCAGCACCTCGATCACGTGACGCAGCACCGCCCCATTGACTTGATTGAGCCGGTGCCCCAGCATTACCACTATCACCACTGGCCTTTTGCGCATTCAATAGCTGCAAGGCAGTCGCCCACTGTTCAGGAGGCACGTTGTTTTGCGCCAGGGTCTGGATGAGTTGGAATTGCAATTGAGCTTCTGCGCTGACAGGAGCAACAGTTTGAGGAGCAGCAGCATGAGCCTGAGCCTGAGCCTGATGCTGGCCTAAGAAAGCAGCAAGAGCGTTTTGGTTTGGAGGTGCATTTGCAATATTCTGGCTCGCGGTGCCATTACTCATCCCCGGAAACATTGCTCCTAGTGGATTTACAGCCTGTGCACTGGTCGTGGGAAGACCTTGGTTTACGGTACTGGCCGATGCGCCTCCAAATTGGTTGCCTAGGAGATTACTCAAGCTAGATGGAGGAGCAGCGGATGCAGTAGATGGCTGACTGGCAGTGTTTTGCTTGTGCATGTTCTTCAGCGCCTCGAGAATGGCAGATGTATCCTGAGAAGCTGGAGCAGGAGCTTGACCGTTAGTAGCTTGACCAAGAGGAGTGAACCCGGGAACAGGTGATCCAACAGGCGTGGTGCCTGAGAGCAACGTCAGTATTGCGAGACTTGACAGTATTCAGACTTACTGCTCGCCGGTGGCGCGTTCAGCTTCTCTTTGAAGGACGCGAGCATTGTCGCGGGGAAGGTATTGGATCGCTCCCAGATTTCAAGGAGTTTCTTGATCTTGACCTACGTACGAGAATTAGGGTCAAATGTCATGCAACCGGGCAAGTACAAGACAAAATCTAGCTCTGAGTCTTATGCGTACCTTTTGGTCCTCAGGGGCCGTGTTCAGAATTTCGTTGATGAATGAAGGAAGAAGTTCGGTCACTCGAGCTACACCTGCGGCAAATGTACCATCAGAAGCCCCACCTCCTAGAGCCTGCCCGGCTTTCTTTGCTTGATCTACCCATTGCCGCGATACTGAGTCTACGACATACAAGACGCCGAGCTTGTGGTCAGGTGGTGTCTTTCTGAAGTGGGTATAGATCTTTTGAATGATGGCGGATTCAGACTGCAATAACATTAGCGAAGAATAAATGCTGAGGTGAATGATACATACCTGAATGTTGGCGGTGCACAGAGATGTGATGCTGGTGATCTTGGATCCAGAGACGCCTGGAGGCTTGAGATTGAGCATGGACTGCAAGATGGTGTCCAGCTCCGCTACGGCGGAAGTCATGGAGACTCCTGTTACGTTGATCAAGCACTCAGCTGGAGGGTACAACCTAAGCTATTCGTAGAAGTTGCAACTGCGCGCAATACGAGTACTTAGAACTCGCAGAATCACAGATGCGAAGTATGTTATTGAAGCAGTGATGGGCACTACGATCCTGGATTATCCGACAAAGCGCCTCGGTAGAGGTTGCGACGAGACGTCAAGAACGGCGCCACCGACAACACGGGAAGGATATGTACAGGAAAGAGATGGCGTCGAGGTTACAAGTCGAGCTAGCTGAGTTGTGCAGCCGAAGAGATTGTGTCGCTTGCCGTGGGTGTGTGTCAAGTAGAAGGAAAGAGATGATGAGGTTGAACAGCGTAGAGTTGGATTGTGGTGAGGAGTTTGACGGCTGGCGCAATCAAATGACCGACAAAGCGGAGTTACAATCACGTGAATGGATGAGCTTGCGGATGAAACATCATGCCTCTATCAACCACCGTAGTCCTACGCCTGTAGTGGCTGCCCGTGGAAAGTGAATTGTGGAGCTCTCTGCCGACGGCGCGGTGGTGTTGCAGTGGCTCGTGAGCTTTGCTGAATCTGCAAGCTAACTTGTGGGCATCCCGTTCCGAGAGATCTGCTCAAGTTAGTAGCACAAAGGAGCTTCCCAAGGCTCCGCAACAGCCCAGCGGCCCAGCAAAGCATCACAGCTTTTTCTCGCCTGTTGTCCGAGCCTTCCCTTCTACTTCTGCTCTTATCCTACACACCTTTTTCTTCTTACTGTATTCCCACTACCGTTTACACTTTCCTCTTCTCTCACAATGGCTGCTCCCCTTCGCGTGGGAGGCTCCCTCCTCCGGGCTTCGTCGAAACCCGCTATCTCGAGAGCTGCGTACTCGGGTGTCCGAGCTGCGAGCACCCAGGTGAGCTTTTCTTCATTCATGGCCTACTTCAGTCCCACTCACATACGCATGACAGTCTCTCAAGGAGGTGTTCGCTGCCAAACTCCCTGGCGAGATCGAGAAGGTGAAGAAGCTGCGGAAAGATTACGGTCCGTCGGTCCCCGAAGTGTTATACCATGTCCCTGACACCTGAATAGGATCCAAGGTCATTCAAGAGGTCACCCTCGACCAGGTCTACGGCGGTGCGCGCGGCATCAAGTCTCTTGTCTGGGAAGGCTCCGTGCTCGACTCAGAGGAGGGCATCCGCTTCCGCGGCAAAACCATCCCAGAATGCCAGGAGGTTCTTCCCAAGGCCCCTGGCGGCGAGGAGCCTCTTCCCGAGGGTCTCTTCTGGCTTCTGTTGACCGGCGAGGTCCCCAGCGAGCAGCAAGTCCGTGCCCTGTCCGCTGACTGGGCCGCTCGCTCCGACCTCCCGAAGCACGTTGAAGAGATCATCGATCGCTGCCCGACCGACCTTCACCCCATGGCGCAGTTCTCCATGGCCGTTGTTGCCCTCGAGCGCGAGTCTGAGTTCGCCAAGGCATACGCGAAGGGCCTGAACAAGAAGGAATACTGGCAATACACTTTTGAGGACTCGATGAACCTTATCGCAAAGCTGCCCACCATTGCCTCCAAGATCTACCGCAACGTGTACAAGGACGGCAAGGTTGCGCCGATCCAGAAGGACAAGGACTACAGCTTCAACTTGGCCAACCAGCTGGGCTTTGGCGACAACAAGGATTTTGTTGAGCTGATGCGCCTTTACTTGACCATTCATACCGACCACGAGGGCGGCAACGTCAGCGCCCACACCACTCACCTGGTCGGCAGCGCGCTCAGCTCCCCCATGCTCTCTCTTGCCGCAGGTCTCAATGGTCTTGCTGGTCCTCTCCACGGTCTCGCCAATCAGGAGGTGCTCAACTGGCTCACTCAGATGAAGCAGTCGGTTGGTAACGATCTTAGCGACAAGTCCATCACCGACTATCTCTGGTCGACTCTGAACTCCGGCCGTGTCGTGCCTGGCTATGGTCACGCGGTACTACGCAAGACTGATCCTCGCTACGTTTCGCAACGCGAGTTCGCTCTGCGCAAGCTGCCGGATGACCCCATGTTCAACCTCGTTAGCCAGGTTTACAAGATTGCTCCTGGTGTCTTGACTGAGCACGGCAAGACCAAGAACCCCTACCCCAACGTTGATGCGGTAAGTCCCAACGAACCTGCTGCGCTCGAGATATGATGCTAATTAGACTACAGCACTCCGGTGTCCTCCTGCAGTATTATGGTCTGACTGAGGCTAACTATTACACCGTCCTCTTTGGTGTCTCTCGCGCCATTGGTGTTCTGCCCCAGCTCATCATTGACCGTGGTCTCGGTGCTCCTATCGAGCGTCCCAAGTCTTTCAGCACCGAAGCCTATGCTAAGCTGGTTGGTGCTTCTCTGTAAAAGCGGCGGGTTTGGCCAGGCTTCGGGGGGTTGCGCAGCATCTTCGGCGTGTAGTTATACAAACCGCGGTCTTGGGCCGTGAGATCAATTTGTAGCTTATGACATAAGTCATTGTGATTGATGAACCAGAGCCAATTGCGACAATGCTGAGATGACGCCCCGAGGCGTTGGGGCACAGCAATTTTGGTGTCTGGTTCAGGGTTCACACTAAAACTTTTTTTGCTTCTGTCCCACGCGAGATGAGGCTTTCGGTGAGCGGTAGTTTAAGCGCAAGGGTGGCTCCCGAAGCCTGGGGCTTGGAGTCTCGGGCCGCTTTCAACTTGTTGAGGCAGCCTCAACTGAAAGTCCGGCCCTAAGCTATTTCGAGTAGGCCCCAATCACCCCTGCGGGTGGTTTCGGTGACCAACCGGTTCACTGCATGCGCCGCTGCCTCTCATGTGCCATTATTATTTTCGGACTGTAGCCGAACATCTGATCCAGCTAGTACAACGACAACAGCATCGCAGGCACCTCTCCGCTCTTGCATTAGATCCGTTCCTTTTATCGCGATTAATCGAAGTATCTGTGAACAGGCCAAAGACCTTCCATATCTGCTGGGCGTTCTATCGAGTGCTCCTTTATCTCAGTCAGCACCAAGGCGACGAAGCCGCACTCTTCCCTTGGTCAGGGCCATCCATACAACACCAAATCTGATATGTCCACGCAAGCAGCTATGGGCAACTCTGTCCCCTCCCCCCAAAAGATCGAGAAGAAGCCGGTCAAGTTCAGCAACTTGCTACTCGGTGCCGGCCTAAACATGTTCGAGGTCACCACACTCGGCCAGCCCCTGGAGGTGGTCAAGACCACCATGGCGGCCAACAGAAAAGACACCTTCGCCGGCGCTATGGGAAGGATATGGGGTCGTGGAGGTGTTCTCGGCTGTATGCAAATCGTAACATCCAATGGCATCCATAAGCTAACACGGTGCAGTCTATCAGGGTCTTATTCCTTGGGCATGGATTGAAGCATCGACGAAAGGTGCCGTTCTCCTCTTCGTCGCCTCCGAAGCCGAATACTACGCAAAGACGTTTGGTGCCAACAACTTTGTCGCTGGTATCAGCGGTGGTATGTTCGGAGGTTTGGCGCAGGCATATGCGACCATGGGTTTCTGCACGTGCATGAAGACAGTCGAGATCACTCAACACAAGCTCGCCGCGCAGGGCATCAAGCCTCCCTCTACATTCAAGACTTTCGCCGACATCTACCGGAAAGAGGGTATCCGTGGTATCAACAAAGGTGTTAATGCTGTAGCCATTCGCCAAGTCACCAACTGGGGCTCTCGCTTCGGTCTGTCTCGTCTGGCTGAGAACGGCATTCGCAAGACCATGGGCAAGGAAAACGGTGAAAGACTGAGCGCTATCGAGCGTATCACCGCATCCGCGCTTGGTGGTGGTCTTTCCGCCTGGAACCAGCCTATTGAAGTCATCCGCGTAGAGATGCAAAGCAAGACCGAGGATCCCAACCGCCCAAAGAACCTAACTGTCGGCAAAACTCTCAGATACATCTACAGTCAGAATGGTGTCCGCGGCCTTTACCGCGGTGTGGCTCCCCGTATCGGACTGGGAGTCTGGCAGACCGTGTGCATGGTTGCGCTCGGCGATATGTGAGTATACCCAAAGAGCATTTCTAGAGCTACGTTGACGTTCATCTCAGGGCCAAAGAGGCGGTCGAGAAGCTAACCGGTGAGGCCGTAACCGCGAAGCACTAAACGACCAACCTTCGAAAGTGTACATCCTACACAAGCTCGATTGGCATCGGTATTCGGGCAACCTATATCAAAGAACACCACAGCAGATAGACGCGGGGCACGGTGTGCCATTTTACCATGGGAAGCAAGCATGTGCGCAATCATGAGTACTGTGCAGCAGATGCAAAATCGAGGTCTTCACCTGATCGTGGCGGTGCAGACATTTCTTAATTTTTCCAAGAGGCGCGCGAAATAAAAGGCGATTTGGTCGATGGATCTTAGTGTGCCGACCACAGTGCGAACTGTTCTCTGCACTTTCTGTCTTTCCAATCCCAGGACCTTCGTAAGAAATTCTGGCTCAATGCCCGTAACGGGCCTTCGTGCATGTTAGCGCACGAGATTCTGGACACTGACCCAGCTTTCCGGGCACGCAGCGACCTCGGTAGATGCAACGAGCCTGAGGACTCTCTTGAAAGCATCGGTCCGCCCGCTAGCTCCTACACACCCCGCGGCCCGCTAAGCATTCCCTTCAAGAAGAACACATTTGGGGCAGTTCATTGGCCAAACATGCAAATAAACCTTCTTCACTCCTGATCCCTCATCCCTCCTCAAACATCTCACTGTAGAACTCGCGATGCATCGTCCTCAAGTGAACTTTGACTGACCTGCCATCCCATGAACACTACTATCCGCCGGACGCCTTGCGTGGAGTATGCTCCACTGAATAACGTTTTTGAAGTAAGGCAAAAAAGGCAACTTGCGAGGCTGAGGTGTGGAGACTTGGGGCTTGGGTTAGGAATGCTTCGCTGTCAGAAGGAAAGGGCGTCACGAGGGTGAAGTGAGAGACAGACTCCTGTCAAGACGTGAATAAAAAAGGGTTCGGTGCATTGATACTCTTTCGATTGGTCCTAACTATTGAGTCCGTATGCATACACTCCAAAGGGGGCCCCATCCTTGAGACGCTCGTTCTCAACAATGGCAACGGTGAGGCGATCGTCGATGGAGGTGCACATCGCATGAAGCTCCTGGCTTGAGAGCATTCTGAGATAGTGCTGGCTAGATGGACGAAAGCAATAAGGGGTTGAATGACGATGGACTTCTTATTTCTCAGTGGGCCAGGCAGGCACGACGTTGATCAGCAAGGCGTCACCAAGCAAACGGGCAGCGGCTGGAGATCAGCCCACCAAGCCCCTGCCTGGTTGATCTCGTTGAATATTGCTGAGGCTGGAGGGTGTCACTGTCGTTACTGTAACTCACTTAGCCGTTTGCTGTCACCGGTGGCGCAGTGGTAATGCAGTGATATCCCCAGCCTTCGGACTTTTCCAAGTACAAAAGGCTCTCCGCTCTCCAGCAAATGTTCCATCCTCTTGCTATGCATCAGGCATCTTGCTCAGAAGAAATACCAGGTATACCCACTCTCAATGAAGCCACATCGTGCTGACTGTTTGATTAGTTCATTCTGTGTCTCCATCCGATGCAGAGAACGAGCAGCTGGAAAGATGTTGCAGTGATTTTCGTCGTCCAGTTGCTGGTGCCACTCGTGGTACTTGTGGCTGGATGGGGGGAATGGGTGACACCTCGCTTCCTCTTCGCGACTACTAATTCAGGCCTTTTATCGCAAAGAGTGGCTGACTGGCTGGCCTATTCCATCGATTGTCCTCCGTCTCCCAGTGGTCTCAAGCGAGGAGGCTGAGGCTGGCGCATCATCGGGAATGCCATCGAGCACTGCGATTGCCCAGCCTGAGCCGCTATTCTTTTCGTCAATTTCACAAGTACTCGTGTCCATGGCTGTCGTTTCCGACAGGTAATTTCGATGGCCGTGTATCAGGTGCCACTGGTACCACAGCCTCTGATTATTTGGAGAGCACTGAGACTCTTTCTTCGAGCACGAGGAGAGATCTTCTGCGTCCTTCAGGAGGTTGTTTGTTTTCGAGAGTGCTTGCATTTGATGTCTTGTGCTTTCCCAACTTATTTCATGCCAGTTGAGGATTGTTGATCCTGGCTTTCAGAAAAAAGAAAGTAGCAAGAGATGGAAGGCGTGAGGCGCCGCCTGAGTTGCACTCTTGTCCTCATTCGCGTTGTCTATGGTAACACGATGTACTTCTCTAGGTGCTTCGGAATCGCCTCCCGCAGGCCTTTGCTCTGCAGCCACTTCTCACTGAAGAGCCGATCCGCATATCGGTATGCACCATCGCACAGTATTGTCACAACGGTATGGTTTGGTCCGAGTCTCTCTGCGACTTCCTTTGCCGCTACCACGTTCAGCGCGGAACTGGCTCCCAAGTAGAGACCTTCCTCATGCAGACATCGGTACACCATCTCAATGCTCTTCTCATCGCTGATGTGGACCGCTCCGTCCACTTCTGCCACTTCGCCCTTCAAGTTGTCGGTAACTCTTCCTTGACCAATTCCCTCCGTGATACTGCCCCCTTGCCGTTCTGTCAACTTTCCTCCACTGGTCACATAGCTGTACAGCACACTGCCCGGCGGATCAGCCAGGAAGCATTTCACCTTCCCTCCACTAACGTCTTTCAGGTACCTCGTCACGCCGGCCAGCGTGCCGCCCGTCCCGGTGCTGCAAGTAAATGCATCCAGCTTCCCTTCCGTCTGAGTCCAGATCTCGGGGCCCGTGGTCTCAATATGTGCTCTCCGATTGGCAGTGTTGTCGAACTGATTCGTCCATACCGCACCTCGTTCCGGATCTTCTTTGGCCACCCGCTCGGCGTGCCGCTTGGCCTGCCAGTTGTAATTCTCTGGATTTTCCCATGCAACCGCGGGCACAGGGTAGACCTCAGCGCCCAGCAAGCGCAACAAGTCGACCTTGCCCTGTGATTGCGTGTTGGGCATATATATGACTAGCTTATAGCCGCGGGCACGGCAGACATGGGCTAGCCCAATGCCAGTGTTGCCGGCAGTGCCTTCGACGACAGTGCCGCCAGGCTTGAGGAGGCCACGCTCTTCGGCGTCCCGTACGACATACAGGGCCGCACGATCCTTGACGCTACCGCCGGGGTTCTGAAACTCGGCCTTGCCGAGGATGGTGCAGCCTGTCTGGGCGGAGAGATGTGGTAGTCGGATGAGGGGCGTGTTGCCGATGGCTGCGGGGTTGCGTTAGTACAGGCCAGTGGAAGTGGGTAGCAGATGCGACGGGAGAGGCTCAGTTTGAGGTGATGTGAGTGCGAACGTACCTCCAGTCAAGGAATCGGCAACGCCCTGCGCCTTGGAGACCTGCACGTGGTAGTCGGTCATCTCCTGGGGTGTTGAGGTGTACGCCGAGGTCGCAGCACGGGCGGCGGATGTTGCGAGGCGGCGGACTGAGGTGCGGAAGGGATTGACCGCCATGATGAATAAGGAGGGGGGCTTGAGCTAGGATGTAGACGGCAGACGTGTGTTCGAAGTCAGGGCGTTCTCCTTCTCCAAGCTCGAGCTCGAGCTCGACTCGCTTTTCGAGATGGCATCATTTTTGAAGTCGGAGCTCGGCTATTGATCTGGTTCCGACTTTAGCCAATCACGGGAGGAGTAGTGGGCTCTACTACGACATTCACTGCCTGATGTTTGCTATGCCATGCATCCTACATCCGGGACGTAGGCGATTACAACAGCTGAGAAGGATGTCTGTTCTCAGTGGAATACATATATCATCCTTACATACTTATACTTTCAATCCCCATTCTTCCCGCTCTCCTACTTTCATGCCCGCCGGCGTCTGCCCAACGCGCCCAACGAGCACCTGACCTCTGCTCCGACTCAGCCACTGTCCATCCCCTGGCCCTCCCAACAGTCCTTTCCCATATCCGTCTTTCAACTCAATGTCTCGGTCCCACACTAATCTCCCTCTCAGAAACGTCTTCCTCGGCCAATTACAGACCTCCATGCCCTCGAACGGCGTATAGTCAATGGCATGGTGCAGCATCTTGTTCCCAATCCTCGTCTTCCCTCTTGCGTCACTTTCAGGATACCAAACTGTGATATCGGCATCGTACCCAGGCGCAATGCTGCCCTTTTTGCCAGCCATGCCATACAGCTTCGCTGCATTCGTCGCCGTCACCGCCACGAACTTCGGCAGCGAGATCCTCCGCTCCGGTCTCATATCCGGACTGGTCGCGGCGTGGAACAGAAGTGGCAGCCGTGTCTCAATGCCCGGCAGGCCGTTTGGCGTTGCCGCAAATGTCGGCTTGGAGCCGTCGCCTCGCGCTTTAGCTGCCTCGACAGGCTTCTTCTTCCCGGTTACATCGTCGTAGCACGTGGGAGCATGGTCTGAAGAGATGACGGTGATGGTGCCATTGTTGACGGCGTCCCAGAGACTCTGCAGGTCGGATTCGTCGTGCCGCAGGGGTGGTGCGCATATATGCTTGGCTCCGGCCCATTCATCCTCGTCTTCGTGCACGTGGCCGTGCTCGTCTTGGTGGATGTTGGTGGTGGATGCTAGTTGTTGAGACGTCAGGTAGAGGTAGTGAGGGCAGGTCTCGGCATGAACTGGCAAGAGCTCCTTAGACTGGGCCTTGCGGGCGTGTGTTAGAGCCACGGGCGTCGACATGTGGACGAGCAGGATCGGTGCGGAGGTGAGTGTTGCAAGCGCGATAGCCCTGTGAGTGGCCTCGGATTCTGCAATCTGCGGCCGGGCAAGCGCGTGGTAATAGGGACTGGTACGTTGATGTTCGAGCAGCTTTTTCGTGACCAGGTCGATCATGTCGCTGTTCTCAGCGTGGATCATGGTGGTCATCCCAAGCTCTCGCGTAGCCATCATGATGTTCAACATGGAGCCGTCGTCCAATTTCTTGCCCGGGTAGGTCATGTAGAGCTTGACACTGCTGATGCCTCCTTCCGCCGCCAGTTTTGGCAGCTCATGCTCGAGGATGGTCGGGTTTGGCTTCGTCAAGATGACGTGGAATCCGTAGTCTATGTAACACTGGTCTCTTGCCCTCCCGTGGTATTCCTCAAGGACCGGAAAGAGAGTGTCGTTTTTGTGCTCCTGAGTAGCAAAAGCGAGAATGGTAGTGTTGCCTCCAGCAAGTGCAGACCGAGAGCCGGACAGCCACTTGTCACCAGACGGAGCATTGTCCTGGTGTAAATGAACGTGTGAGTCAATGCCACCAGGCGTCACGTAGGCTCCCTCGGCGTCAACAACTAACGTCGATGAGGTTGCTGGTAAAGATGTTGCGATAGCCTGGATGACGCCATCCTTGATGCCTATGGCTGAGATGTGTTCATATACTTCCGAAGCTGTGACCTAACAATTGTGAGCAGTCCCCAATATGCTAGAGGCGTGGCGCGTACTATTCTAGCATTTTTAATGATGGTGTCAAACTCGAAACTTGGAGATGCAAGACTGGCTGTCATAACGAGAATCATCAACCAAGTTCATAGGCAATTGGCAAGATACTAGATGGAAGGCAGTAGAAAGGATAAATGAGCACACAAAGACCAGATCGAAGCACCGAGTCCGGTAGAGTGGTTGATAATGACGACGGGGATGTCCGAACCGGTAGACACGGCGTGCCGATGGTCGAGGGATAACCGGCAGAAGAGAGCATTCGGGCGGAGGTCAATGCAGGTTCTTTTGTGCTCCTTTGGAAGAGCTGCCCATCTATCTTTCATGAGTCATGAAGCTCATATAAAATTCGACCTTGGCCGTGGTCTCCTCCTGGTCTCTCCCTGTGAGAACACCTCTTTCGAGCTCACACACCACGCGCCGCCGGATTCACTCCTTGCCCGTGGGGATCTTGAAGAACACGCCCGGCGAATCTTTCGTGGCCGCCTTGTCGCACCTGTAGTATCCTTTTCGATCGAATTGAAGGAAATCGTTGGCCTTGATGTCGGCAACGTTGCAGTCGGCCACGGCATTCTCCACAATGTCAGTGTTGGCCGCCAGGAAATCCTCCCAGTGTTCCTCTTCCTCCTCGCTCAGTTTGTCCTTCGACAACAGATGATCAAAAGTATGCAGCTCGACCAGGACCAGATCTTGATCTGTGGACAGCCAAGTTATCTTCTTCTTAGTCATCTTGAAGTCGCCCTCCAGATGAAGGTCAAACTCGATAGACTTCACATTGCCCAGAGACTTTACTCCGTCCACGATGTCAGACTTGTCGTCAGGAGTCTCGTACTCGATCTTGCGAACAATAGCATTGCCCCAGTTCATCAACGTGATTTCCTCGTCTTGATCAAACGTCCGCGCGTCTTCCTGTTCGATGACGATGTTCTTGCTGTAAACCAGCTTCTTGTCTCCTAGGTCATATTTGGCATGCTTAGGCTTGCTCTCCGAATAGGGCTCGTCCTTGGCGCCATTGATCACGCACTGGACCCTCTTAGAATCGATTGCAGTGAATCTTCCGGCAATAGGATCAATGACTTTCTTGTTCATTGTCCAGATTGTGTGCCAATCCATGTTCACTATGTTTTTGCTGGGACCTTGGCTGACCATGAACTCACGTAGACCCTCAATCGTCATTCCACGCCTCCTCATACCACGAACGGTAGGGAATCGAGGGTCATCCCAGCCAGACACGGTGCCGGCATCCACCAGCTTGGTGAGCTTCCGCTTCGACATCAACGTCCGGACAAATTGGATTTTGGAGAACGTCCAGATGAAGACAGGTCTCAGCCCAAGAGCCTTGAGGATCCACTTATACTGGGCGTCTTGGTCATTGTACTCAGTCGTTCTGAGAGCATGAGTAACGCCCTCAATCGAGTCCACAACAGGACAAGCGAATTGATATGTTGGGTATGCCTTGTACTTGTCGCCAGTCCGGTGGTGGGGTGTCTGATTCTTGGGACAGCGATATATGACAGGATCTCGAAGAGCAGCGTTGTTGTTGGCATGGGAGATTTTCGCGCGAATGCACCATCTGCGGCCTTCATCTGTGCCTTGTCTCATGAGATCCCATCTTGCCAGATTGTCTTCCACGCTATCGTCGCGATGAACACTTGGCTCACGCGCCAGCCTCATCTGGCTCATCACATCGCCCGGCGTGTCATCAGCAAAGGCTTTGCCGGACTTGATGATCTCGGTGCAGTACTTCTCAATCTCATCAAAGTAATTACTGGTGTACGAGACCTGGTCTGGCTTAATGCCTAACAGGCCGACATCTTCGAGGATGGCATCCTGATACTCCTCCTTCTCTTTCTCGGTGTTCGTGTCGTCAAATCGGAGAATAAGCTTCCCACCCTGATACTGCTCGTGCGCAAAGAAGTCGTTGAGAAGTGCAGCTTTAGAGTGACCGATATGGAGGTATCCGGACGGCTCGGGAGGAAATCTTGTTACCACACCTTTGTCGCCCTCGGGAAGACTGAGCTTGCCGACCTTGGGCGCTTTCTTAGGAGGCATAACTGACGAAATTTGGGGGTACGCTTTGCCGACAATATGAGTTGTTTCTGGCCAGTAACACGCAACTAGTCTTGAAGCTCTTCTCAAGTGCAACGGGTACCACTTACCCTACTGACTCACAAGACATAAGTTGCTCGTGTGAGGATTAATCGAGGGGCAGTGGTGGGTTATTTTTGACTACTTACGAGGCTGATCAGTAGCCTCGCAGTCGAACAAGCTCTACTCCGATTGGCTCAAGATCCGCAGCTCCAAGTCCCGTGCACTTTTCCACAATCTTGTCCGGTACGAATCGCGCGTAGAGTCAAGCCACCGACAGCGAAACCGCGTCGAGACCATGGCCACAATATCCATCTACAGGCCGAGCTCTGTCTTGTCTCTGTCTCGGTCTTTTGCGCCCTCGTCATCGTCATCGATATGCCGCTGCTTCTCGACGACACCATCTGCATTCGCCCAACAGGGCAAGAGCAGGAAGGAGAAAGCCGCAAAGGAAAAGTTGAAGAAGAAGCGGAAGAGGAATCCATACTACAAGTTCTATAACCTTAAGGAGATGGAGCAGTACACACTATGCGATGCCATCCAGTATGTCTTGACAATGCGGCGAACTTTATTCAGACCTCATGGAAATACAGATACCTCAAAGCTTTCGAAGTTGGCCGAAGCCCAGACTCGAGCAAATACGAAGCACACGTCAAGCTAAAGACGAAGAAATCAGGACCTGTCATCCGACCAAACCAGGTCCAGTTACCATACCCCGTCAAGTCCGACGTCAGATTCGCCGTTATTTGTCCACCAGATAGCAAAGCCGCGCGAGAAGCAAAAGAGGCTGGCGCGGTTCTTGTTGGAGAAGAAGACATCTTCGAAGACATCAAGTCGGGCAAGGCTCAGTTTGAGCGACTGATTGCGCACCCTAAGAGTATGGAGAAGATCCAAAAGTCCGGTCTGCCGCGTATCTTGGGACCGAAAGGCCTGATGCCGAACGTGAAGAACGGCACAATCAGCACGACTCCGGGAGAACTTCTGCGGAGGCTGGTGGGTGGTGCGCTGTATAGGGAAAGGATGGGCGTGATACGGATGGCTGTCGGTCAGCTGGGTTTCACCCCGGACATGCTGCGTGACAACCTAAGAGCATTCGTCTCCAGGATTAAGGAGGATGCCTCAAAACTACCCGAGGACACCGCGAAGGACATCAATGAGGTGGTGCTGAGCTCGACTAATGGGCCGGGGTTCTCGCTGAACGGGCAATTCAGGACGGAGAAGAGTCCGCCTACATGGCAGCTGACCGTGTAATTTGTAGCGGGCAATGTATATCAATTGTGCTATCTCATGTCCTCGTGGGTATGGCTTTGATGTCGTCATAACCTTGAGGGCCGTTCTCAAATTCAGACTTCATAAAAGAGCTCTCAGTCCCGGCTTACACTCCGTCGTCGAGCTTGATGGGCTCGGTCTCTCATGTGATTGCCTCTTGGGGCTAATTCAGTTCCTCTGAGCATCTGAGGTGTTGTTGTAGCTCCGCCAGAATAGCATAGCCAGCGTCGTGTCATATGCTGCCGGTCTGAGACAACGGTTCAGATTCGTGCATCTATAAGTCGATGGTTGTATGCCCGCCACACAGACGGGGGTGGAAGGGAGTGATGCCATAACTATAGCGTGCCCGCCTCAATCCTCGATGTTGGCACGTAACCGCATCATGGCCTGCTTTCCCTTGACATTGGGCTCCGCCCGTATCGCTGCATCGACGTCGAGAAGCACCGTTTCCCTGACCTTCTTCATGCGTCCTTGTTCAGCTGCTAGGAAAGGATGCTCCTTGTCGAATTTTTGAGCCAGTATCTTCACGGCGAGGTACCTTTCGACCTTGCTCTTGAGTCTGATCGGGACATCCCTCTGCTCCGAAGAATACTCTTCTTCATCAAGATCAACGACTTCATCATCCCACTCTGCGCCCCATGGCTCGTCGTCCGCGTCGTCTTCCTCGTCATCACGTTGTTCGACTGCTGGCGTAAACCTTTCCTTCAACCCCAGGTCTACCTCCAACTCCCCCAGCCGATGGTCAATCTCCAGAAGACTACTTCCCAAGTTGAGTTCTCGCATCACCTCCTTCTTCTCCTGCACGAATTCTGATATTTTTGTTCGCTCCCCCTCCACCTTCGCCCTCAAGCCCTTGACATCTCGCTCGAATCCCAGCAAGCCCACGCGCACGTCCTCGATCTTGCCCTCGCCGCCTTGCAAGCTCGATCCTAGGTTCAGAAATTCCGAGTAGTTGTCGTTCACCAGGTCCACAAGCTCGTTCTCAATCGTCTGCGAAAGTGAGACCAGTTCTGTCCGTAGGTCCTCGAGGGTTTGAAAGCGATTGGTGAGCGAAGAGAGGAAAGTGGCAGGGTCAAAGTCCGGCTCGAGGAATGAGGCGCGGTCAAGCGGCTTGGGAAATGGGAGGCTGTCAGGATTGGCTGATGAGAGGGATGAGTTCGAGGTAGAGGCAGGGGACGAGAGGTAGAAGCGGGATGACATTGTCGGCGTAGTCAGTACTACCCATGCAGCGGCGGTCGATACAGGCGAGTAGGTTGCGCATAGAGCGACATGGCAAGTTCGTACAGGTTTTATGCCTGAGGCCTCTGCTTATAATAGGTCATGGTCGAGCACGCAAGGGAGTACGAAGCTGAGTGTATCCCACCCTGAGGGGCAGTAAATAATGTTGTAATGCGCTCAGCCCTGTGAAGCGCCGTTTCAACGCCACGCGAAAATGCTCATGAATGAGGAATTGCTATATTATCTGAATGATTAGATTAATGTACCGAACAGGCTTCGCCTGGTCTACCTGAGACAGTAGCAACGTGGCTGCGATCATGGGCCCGCGGCCTTTCGGTCACAGGTGTCGTTGCCTCAGCCTCGAGTTGGCCGCGGACCTAGCAGATCCCACTTGTTGCCAGCGACGTCTTTGAAGACTACAACCTTGCCATACGGCTCATCTCTAGGACTACCTAGAAACTCGACGCCGGCATTCTTCATCCTGGCATGGGTGGCTTCGAAGTCGGCGACTTGCCAGAACAACCCCACCCGTCCAGCCCATTGGCTTCCTGCAGCAGCCTCCTGTTCAGCCCCTTCTGCGCGCGCAAGCAGAATCCCACAGTCCTCTGGACTGCCAGGAGGGCGAACAACGACCCACCGCTTAGGTTTGTTGGAGTGGCTTGTGGTGGCAGGTTCGTCAGTACTCAACTCGAAGCCCAGCTTGTCGACGAAGAAGCGAACAGCGTCATCATAATCCTTCACAATCAGGGAAACAAGCTTGATTCCTACACCTGACGACGCCATCGCCTTCTCGACGTGTTGGGAACACTGCTAGCGTGGCAAACGGTTAATATGGGGCACCGTGTATCCATAGGGACCGCTTTTGAAGCAGCCAGTAAATCCAGGAGGACCAGCGTCTGCGTGGTTGTTGACCAACGGTTTCGTCGCACAATACGAGGAAGCTCCTCGAAACATTAAAGCGTCTACAATGCAGCTGACGTCGAATTAGTCGTAGCACCAGTGGCCGTTAGAAAGGAAGGTTGCCAGATCTTGTGCGACCTGAAGTGTGTCCCCCCGGCCTCGGCTAAGCCGTCCGCAAGCGCGTCCGCAAGCCGACCACACCTCGTCTGCCACGTCGATTCACCTCACCCCTTACATTATGCCTACTGCAACCTGCCGCCATCAACCTTCGACCACACTTTCGCTTGTCATGCCATGCGAATAGCCTTGGCCGAGGCCAGCAACTGCTTCTCCGCCCGTTGTCGACCCTGCTTTGCTCTTGGGAATACACCGCATCAACATTACGGCCCCTCCAGACTCTGCGCTTGACAAATCGCTACCCGCCTCCGCAAAGGATCCCATTCGCAGGGTGCGAAGACTGCAGATAATGCTGCATGCAACAAGGATCTGATACCATGTGTTTGCGCTGACGCAGTGTTGGCAGTCCGCTACAACCACCCAGCGTCATAGTAGTCATGGACGCCCCGAGTCAAGCGGACACATTGTCGGGCAGATTTCACGGACAATGGGCCTTCCTATCCAACCCTCCACCGCCTCCAAATCATGGTCAAGCACGATCTCTCCCTCCTTCTTCCAGCTACCTTCGCAGCGATCGAAGTAGTGCGTCCCCTCGTGTTGCGGTGCTCCCTTTTCACCACGGAAATGCCTCTCGATCAAGTCTGAACAGGAACAACAAAACAGCCTCCGTTGGCGCCCATAGCTACGGCTCAGCTACAACTCCATCTCAGCCGGTTCTGCTTCGTATCAACTCAGATGTAGCCTCCAGTCATATTCTCGATCCATCCCCACGAAACCCGCGCCGGACCGGAATTATGAGCAGACCAGACCAGCTCCCGCCGCTATCAGCCTTCAGTTTCGACGGCATACTCGGTTCAATACAGGAAGTAATCGAGGAAGATCTGAATGGCATCGCAGAGATAATGGGAAGAAGTCGATTGGTACTTGCAGACCAACATGACAGCCACCTTCCACCCACCGGCGAAATCAGGGCAGGACTACTACCCGCTCTAGCTGAAGCCAGCTCCAGCAACGAGAGATTGGCGGGGGACGATGTCATGATCTTGGATGAGAACGCCAGCCTAATCGATGGCAGTCACGCTGGTTCTGCTGCCTATGGTCTCTTAGAGCGTCTACAAGCCGTGCCACGAACGAGGCGTATGCACAGCGATTTTCCAACGTCGTATGCCAGATCGAGCATGTCGGGAACAGAAGCTCGTGTCCTGACGCCTACCATTCCGACAGACGTGATAGACTCGCCAACATCACCACCGCCAGAGGGATCTCAAAGTTCGCGCAAGCCATCCTCCTCGCTCCTTCGATTAACATCAGCCGGCGCGGCCACCACCACCGAAGCACCCACCGCAGCAGTCGTGTCCTCGGAAGTCTGGCTCTCCGCCGGCTCGAAAGGACAGTTCTCGATCCCCATCGTATCCGAGGCCGGCAAGCACTTCGCCCTTTATAGCTACGACGAGAGCCAGATTTTCGAAGCAGAAGACCCACAGCAATCCCCTGGGCCATCTTTTGCCGCCCGGATGCAGCGCCTGGTGCTTTTGAAGGACCTGCAGGGTGCGCTGGCGTGGACATTGGGCCATCGATCGCGCGACACGGCATCCGGCGGTAGCAGTAGCGATGCAGAGAGCCAGCTGCGTGATATATTGGGAAAGCATCCTGCCGAGCCGGTCGGTGAGTCCTCCCTACATCCTCCGGCGGGGGAGAGCCAAGATATGTATGAATGAGACCACTGCTGCGGCAGTGCTGGGGCGAAAGGCCAAAAGGCAAAAGGCATATAGAGATTCAACGCTGGAGTCTTTGACGAATTTGTACGACTAACGATGCAATGACGAGCAAGATACGAGGCCAGGAGGCTCTGGAATTTTGCAGCGTATGCAAGATTGGGCAGTTCAGTGCACAGTCTATGATGATTATATCCTCATGCATACATGATTCCCCGCTGTTGATGAATGCCGTGCAACGCCATCGCTATGCGTTTCACCCACAATATAAACCCAACGACTATGATCTTTCCGTAATAGCTGGCGGCGGCGACGGCTCGCCTTTCGCGACCTCATCCACCACCCTCGCAAACCCCTCAAACACGCGACTCAGCCCCGTCTTCGCATACCTGTCGACCAACAGCCCCGCACCTTCCCCCTTGGCTTCCACCATCTCCCCGTAGCCCGTGTCGACCGGCACACCGCCGAGGAAGCGGATCCCCATCTCCCGCGCCATGACCTCTCCGCCCCCCTTGCTGAAGATATGGCTCACCTCTCCACAGCACGGACACATATACCCGCTCATATTCTCCACCACGCCAACCACCGGCACCTGCGTCTTGACGCAGAAATTCAACTCCTTCCTCACATCCGCGACGCTGATGGCCTGTGGCGTCGTGACGACGACCGCGCCCACCAACCTCGGACCAGCAGCCGCCGTGAGGCCCTGGGCCGGTCCTAGCGCATCCACGGTGGCGTGCTTGTGTAGTTCCTCGACGATGGCGATGTGCTCGTCCGACGTGCCTGGCGGGGTGTCGATGAGCAGGTAGTCGGTGCCGGGCGGCCAGAGCACGTCGGACACGAATTGCCGCACCATGGCGGTCTTTTTGGGGCCGCGCCAGATGACGGCGGAGGAGCGGGAGGGGAGGAGGAAGGCGAGCGAGAGGGCGTGGAGGGAGCCGCGTTTGGATGACGAGGGTGGTTGCGCTTCTGATGTGGCGGCGTCTGTAGATGGTGCGGAAGTGGCTGCGCCGTTCGAGGTTGCGGCTGTGGATGAGGCGGACGCGGTCAGAGCATCGTGGACTTTGACGGGCAGCCAGCCACCCGGGGCCTGAGTGACTTTCTTGTCTTCCAGACCGAGGAGGCGTGGTATTGAGGGGCCGGTCAGGTCGATGTCGAGGATGCCGACGTTGTGGCCCTGCTGTGTGAGCGCGAGGGCGAGCTGGAGGGTAACGCTGGATTTGCCGACGCCGCCCTTGCCGGAGAGGACAAGGACGACGTTACGAACGTTGTCGAGCGGCATCGTGAGCAATTGCGGACAATCAAAACATTTCAAGAAGAAGTTGAGATGGGCTCGGCGGGATGTCAGTGGTCAGCACGCGCAGGCAGTGAAAAAGCGGGACATAATTGTTAAGCATGTGGGGCAGCTCTAGTGAACGGCCGGATTACCCCATTTGCCACCTTCGGTCGGTTGTTTCCTGATTGGGAATACATGGTTGTAGACTATCATACATGTACTAATGGGTATCCCTTTGCGGTGATGTTCATCACGTCCTCTTCAATCAGTGGTCTTCTCGCTCCATCGGGCCTGTACAGATGTATTTCCATCCACCGCCGAATCTAGCAGAGTCGTAATAGTAGCCACAATGTATCGGCCTTGTTGCCTTGTTGCTCCACATTGCCCGCCCGAAAGATATATACGTCTCTCTGAATTCAAGTTGAGATGAACCAAAAGCAGTCTGTCCGCTCATGCCTTCTTCCGACGTATTGCCGAGTGAACATCCAATCGTCTCACACTTTCTCCGACATGCCTCGTTTCCCACCCGCACGTGCACTACTCCCTTCGCTCATGTGGTCCGTTGATCCGCAATGCCGGCCAGCGGCGCCCTAGTAGCATCTCTAATGTGGAGGTATTCTGCTATCCATTATGTTGTACGACAGTTATGCTGGAACAGGCGCCGTCCCATAGACTCCCATCCAATGAATCTTCAAGCCACTTCGCACACATCAGCGTTACTGCCCAACGTATACTATCCGGGCGTCACCAACGCGTAGATAATCAGGGTCATGAGGATTCCCGTCTGACCGGTCTACTCGTGGCACCTTTCCACCTCGAATCACTTTCCAACCTCCACGACGACTGTGAGTGAGTTTGATCGCATAGCTTTGATTCCTTTGAAGTCAACACTATGAGTCAACCGGCTTATCGTAGAGTGCCCATGCGAGGACATGAGACCCAAGACAGGCATGCCTCGCATGACGGCAGCGCATATGTCTTGAAGCAGCCTCCTCAAGACAGGCCTGAGGATCTTGAGGCTACAAGGCGGCACCCGTCGGTTGGTGGTGGCGGAAAAGGGCCGAAGCAGTCTACCCGCGGTATAGTGAAGAACGACCTCTTCTAAGACGGCACTGACACCGCAGGCTACGATCTCGAGCCTTCTGGCAGAAGCGACCGACATGATCTACCGAAGCTGCAGCAGCAGCAGCAGCAGCACATGCGAAGCCAACACTATGATCAGATTTATCAACGTGATCAAGCTGCCCCTCGACCGAATTGCAGCTCCAAGAATGAGAATCCGGCGATGAGCACGAATCCCAGCGTACCAAAAGCCAGGTACAAGCCCGTAGACTCCACGTTCTCTCAGGATTCCGAGACGGGTCCTCACTCCGAGCGGCACGGCGTGCAACCCCTGCCCGAACACAACCGTCGGCAGAGCCGGTACAGACCCTCGTCGAACGTGCCCTCCGATTTCAAAGACGAGGGTTGTTCACCGGCAGCACCGCGCCCAAGACGCCCGGCAGAGCCTTACCGGAAGATAGGGACAGGGAAAGCTTCAGACCGTCCGACCAAAAGACAAGAGATCCCAGGGCAGGTTGTACCACCCATTGCCGCCCCGGTTCAAGAGATGTTGGTAAGTCGACATTCAAACATCTGGTATACTACCGGTAGGGATCTCTGACATTTCGGTGATTGGACAGAATCCTGGACGCGCCGCAAAGAAGGTCTCAGCAGACGCAGGCGCAGGCGGAGGTGGTGGTGGTGACGATGACGGACCATGCCCTTACTGCACTCTACCCTGCAACTGCAGGCATTGCAGGTACAGGTATTACTGTCCCAATTGCCTGAGTGTTTGCCGTTGTGCACGCGAGGCGTGAGATGCAACTACGGGTGCCACCCTAAGGGATGTGCAGAGCGTGCTTGCCCGATCTACAGGCAAAAGTTGCAGGTGTGGTTGAGCTGATCCGACGATCTGGGAATGTGCATGGAAGCGGGATTCCTCGTCGCTGATGTGACACACAGCATTGCTGTTGTATACAAGCTACACTGTCATTATCGCGGATAGCTGCATTGGCAACAGATGCAGCCACTATTCTTAGTGGTATCTGACTGTGCGCAATCTTCGTCCCAGGCACGTTGTTTAGGCATCTGTAGTTGCGTTTCTGTGAGGGTGACCATCTCACTCAGCTATTCAAGCCTGTGCTCAACGCCTCAGCTATACCACCTCCTCCACACCGCCAACCCCACTCCCAGCACCAACGTCGCCAAGCAAACCCCCATATCTCTGATGTCCCTCGCCCCCTAAGCGTTTCAACACAGCCTCGATGCTGCCCTCAAGCCCCTTCGCATCATTCGTCCTCGGAAATGGCTCATCCGGCAACCCCTTTGACGAACACCTGCATAGTGGCTGCCACCCATCCTCCCCATGCCACAAGAGCAGCCGCTCCTCCTCACCCCGCGAACTCAGCAAGCCGCGAATCATACTCGCATGCTCCCTACAGATCATCATCTCCTGATCGTCCATGCCATTCCTGAGCATCGAGTTCGGACTTGCCCCGGATGGGTCAATATGACCGCTTTGCTGACGGTCCGCATCTCCATTGTCCAGATTGCGCCCCAAACAATTCGCTGCGTTTGGTGTGGATCTCCTGCTTCCGCTCGTCCTGCCCAAGAGAGTTCTGCGGGCATCGGGTGCGAGACAAGGCTTAAGCCATCGAGGCAACCGCCAAGCAAGAGCCCCGGCACTTCACACAGTAAGGCAACACGTGCCACTCTTGTCGGCCATACTAATGTACTCACCTAATCTCTTCTCGAGTTTCACAGTATGGGTTCTAGCTCGAAGCTCGGTAGCAACGCGAGTGACACAAACGAGGTTGGAAACGGGCCATAAAGCTAGGCTTTGGGAACAGAAAGTCCCGGTCGTGCCTTAAAGTCGTTGAGTACTGGTCAGCCGCATATTGCGCCACCTTTGTGAAGCATATAGCTGCCAACCGTGTCTGTTGAGAAGTGTTGGCTCGACACAGCAGTCTCATCCAGGCTGATCCAGCGAATGAGTCGGCACGCTACCGTTTTCGTTGTTGTCGAAGGTTTTCTCTATGCCGCCCACGACCATCTTGATCACATTGCCACCGTATGGTTCTGTGTCTACCACATCTCTATGCCAAATGTCAGCTCACTAGGCGTACCAATGGGACGAGGGGTTGTACTTGTCGCGCCATGCGTCGTTGTCGTCGAGTTGCTGCATCTTCTCAAGCCCTTCAGGCTCGTTTCCGAAGCTCACAAACTGGATACCAATGTGGCGAGGCTCGTAATGAGTGTTCCGCATAGTCTGGACAAGATGGTCGATTGGTGAGAAAGGATCGGCGTGTTCTCGCCAGATGCCATCGGTCAAGACGTAGATATTCATCGGCTTCGGCTTCCGGCTCAAAAATGGCCAACCAGGCGCCGGTACTCCTGGAGACAGCATTGGGCATCTGCTCATTTTCTTTCGGCATTCAGTGAGGATTTCGGCGAGACGCAAGGAGATGTCGGATGATTCTTGCAACGCGTGACTGCGTGCCCTCAGAGTTCTAGCCAAGTCGCTTGAATTCGAAGCATTTTCCGGTCGCTCTCCCGGAGGCGAGGTGGAAAAGTAGAGGTCCATTCCATTTTTGTCGCTGCCCTTGAGAAGGTAAGCTAGGAGCGTTACAGTCTCCGTCACCTGCTTCCAGTGTGGCGCCATTGACTTGACATCATCAACCAAGAAGACCTAGCACTATGTTAGTCGGCGAGTCGCAGATTCACGATGAGCTTGCATCAACATACGATGTCTCTTTTGCCCATCTCCTGGAAGTGTTGCTTATGAGGCAACGGTGGCGGATACTCTCTCAACCTCTGTGCTGCCTTCACCTCGTTGTACCAGGTCCAGGCAGCGGCTTGTGACCATATTGGCACCTGCGACAGGCGGTTGGTTGGGTGTCTTCTTGGACGTGGCGTGGGTATTGGGGGGAAGCTTGGAGAAGTACTGGTCGCAGGGGACTCTTCGATCGCACTGCCGTATGTCCCAGAGCTGCTGTCAAATTGCGGATCCCGACCGGGTCTCGAGCTACCGGAGGAGAACATGTCGTCGATATTGGATGATGAATGTGCAGTGTTGCGCCGTCGTGGCGTTGTCGAAACGCCTCGTAACAGCTCTCTAACATCGAACACAAGTTCATGCGTGGTAGGCCGATTGTCTGCCGCCACCAGCATTCGTTTCACTTGCTCGACAATGGCATAGGTGAGATGATCGTCCCTCTCTGTTGCCTCTTGCTGGACGCTGTTGATCATCTCCTGAACGCATAGAAGCAGATTACTGCCATCATGGAAACAGCGAATATCAGAGTGTCGATGTCGCTTCTGCTCGGTTTCGTGACGACGGGATTCGCGAAATGCGATCAGTCCGGCATGATCACCAATGAGCCAGCATGCAGCTTCCAGACAGATGCAGCCGAAAGACCAGACGTCAACAGATTGGCCGACAGCGCGATTGAGGTCTGGTGAGTGACCATCTGGTCGAACGCACTCTGGTGCGCCTGAGAGACCTGCGTCAGTATCTCTTACTAAATGGATGGTTTACGTACCATATTCTCGGGTACCGCCCACGTCAGCGTCATGCGGGTTGCCCGTGTAGCTGTTTGACAGTCGAAAATGACTTAGTCCTAGATCGCAAACCTTGAATCTGACGTCGCATGCTCGGCTACCGCTCCCGTGTAGTGCCAGGATGTTCGAAGGTTTGATATCTTGATGCCACCTAGGTCTAGTCAGTAGATAAAACACCCTGCTGCTAGCGATGCACGTACCCTCTTGTGGCGGGAAAGTCAAGTGAGACGTCGGCCGGTATCCCGTGTAGACCATATATGCCTTCCAGAACATTGCACAGGTTTATCCAGAACTGCCGGATCTCGTCACTTTTTGTCGGAGGGCGCACTTTGACAAAATAGCTGTCAAGTGTACCGACGTTGGCATATTCGAGAATGATGCTCAGTGAAGTGCCATGGCGGAAGCCACCATAGAAACGAACGAAGTTTTCGTCCGCTCTCGCGTTGATTATATGCTTGAAGGCAGCAACTTCGGTATCGTACATGGCCTGAGCCTCTTTGCCACGATAGGTCTTCATCACGTAGGTCTGGCCGCCGAATGCGTGTCCCGCCTATTCTAGATTTAGTAACAGCAACGCAACGCGGGTGCTTTATAATACCTGCAGTTCCTGGTCATCGTGCAGTTCATCGTGAGCTTCGTGTATGGAGATCCTGTTGATGATCGAGGTTGATCGCCTGTCGATCCGGACCTTCTCGATGATGGGGAGTATCGTCTGCTTGGGGAGCTTAAGGTCTAGTCCGTGCCCGCGCTTGAATATATGAGCACAAAATTCCCACTGTGCGTCGTAGAAGTCTTCATAAAAGTGGTCCCTTTTGCTTGGGGGCCGCGGGAACGAGTAGGGCTGCTCGAGGAACGGCAGGTGTTCGTCATACAGACGTTGACTCTGGACAAAGTCTGCAATGTACTCGCCTTTGCCAATGCTCAGCAGTATTGCCAGCCCAATGGAACAGTTGTGAACGACGTCCTGGGTAGCTGGAGCGTAACGCAGGTCCGGGAAGAGAGCCGTGATGAGAGGCGCTGCATGGCGCTTTATGTATACCAACGCATCGTTGCGTGGGACGAACGACGTGTCGAGGTTAGACGAGCCACTGCCCAATCCTTTCGTGGACGATCGGTGGTCCTCGAGCCACGCGGCATAATTCCTGAGGTGGGTGTTGGATGAATGGGGACGGTGTCCGCCCGACATGACTAAGTTCTAATCGTTCGCATTGCAGCAGAGGGAGGTGAGGGTGATCGGTGGAACCTGACTTGGAATCAGAGCAATGCCAGATCTTGCGGTATCAGGTTGCGCATGGTCTTGCAGAACGTCAGGAAGCAGAATTGGGACACGGGCAAAGGGTTCGCCTCAGGCTGGCTGTCGCAGTCGGATGAGAAGCTAAACCAAAAAACTATGACTATGTCATGGCATGGTGGGGGGCGAGATAAGCCGACACGAATTTGGCGGGACTTTGGGAGTCATCGAACCGGACCAGACCAGGCTTGGAATGTGCGAACAGCCTATGCGAACCAACATATCTGGACGTGGTTGTTGCCTCCCAGCCGACTGTCGTCGAGAAAAGCAAGCACGCCCAGAGCTGACCCATAATATAGGCTTAGCTCTGGAGCCGGTGGAGATACGCCAGCCGGGGACGGGGCGCGTACCTTCTACCCGGAACCCTAAAAGGCTTAACCATATGGCATAGAAGACAGGGGCTCTGGTGAATAGCGCAGGTGTACTTCATGGACTGATGTCTGTGATAGCTTACTGAAATGGCATTCTGTGGACCGATTTCGTTTACGTATACTTCTGCGCGACATTGCGATCTGTAGTGTGAAGCCCGGTCCATAATAATTGCCCCACCCTGGCCATGCGTGATGTGTAGTTACCTAGTCCTGCGTACTTCCGCCCATATCAAATGATTAGGCCGAATTTGCACTCTTATCTCTCTTAAGTGCCAGCTGTCGAGCACGTCTATCGATGATATACTGTGCTATGACCCACGCCATAAGTGTGACGAACATGAGTGGCAGGCAGATGATTAGGAATAGATCTAGGGCCTTCTTCGAGAACACACGGCTGGGCGGACCACCCCCATCTGACGAGAACCGAATGATATCAGTACTCATGAGAGTTGATATGAAGGTTCCCGGAAGGAAAATGAGGGTGATGATGGTGATGATGCGCATTGATACCGTGTCTTTCTGTGTCTTGCGCGACACCTCGCTCATCTCTTCAGTGATACGTTCCATCTTCAGTGCTGACTGATGCGTACTCTCGGCCAGCAACTTGCTGGCTTCCATGCTTCGGTATTGGATGATGCCATGGATTAGTGTTTTTCGATCTGCCAATAGACACAGCAAAGTCTCCATGCGTGCCCGTTGGTGGCGCAGATCGCTCTGTAGTTCTTCAATCCGACTAGCAAATTCGAAGATCACCGTGTCGTATGTCTTGCCCCAGAATTTTGGAAAGTCTGCTCGCTTGTGTAGGCTGGTATAAAAACCCACAAGTTGCGTCAGAACTTCGTTGTTGGATTTCATGATTAGTACAGCCGCGTTGGCCTGCTCTTCGAGCCGTTCAATATCTTGCATCTTCTCAAACTGGTACTCAGACGATGCAGAAGTCTCATCAACATCACTATCCTTTTCGTCGAGCGACGTATTCTGTACCACTGGCGCTTGCGTGGTCGAGTCGACTCTACGAAATGCGCCCGTAAATCTGCGATTGAGTGACCGGAAAGAGTCGACGCGGAGTCTTGGTGTGGAGGGGAAAGTCCTAGAATGGCTAAGATGTTGTACTGTTGTCTGAGCTCTTGCGAGAGCCATCTTTGCTTCGGTCTCACTCTTGACCTCGGCAGCCGATTTGTCGTGGGCACCAGTGGTCTCCTTGTGTACACGCTTCTCAAGATCGCTCACAAATGCTCGAAAGTTCTGGCTTGACCATTCACATAGGCATAAATGCGCCACGAGCGCGGCTTGCAGTCGCTGAGGGAGGCTATCTAGCGATCTGAGGGCTCGCAATTGCGGAGACTTCGTTGCTGTAGTCAGCTTGTTCTTGATAGACTGGTCACATCGGACTAATATCCAGTTCGCATGGCCGGTCGCAGCATCGTAGTAGTGATAAGTCCCTGTATTGCGGAACTTCCAGTCGTCCCCGTCAAGCTCTGCCGAGCGCAGGTTGTAGCACAGTTGAATGCTCTGACCAGAACGAAACATCGAGGGAATATTCAGACTGGAATCAGCGTCGTTCAGCCTACATTCATGCCGGAATGTTGTATAATAGAAATCATTTGGCCGATGCTGGCGACCGAAGCAGAACAGTATATCAAGAAAGGATGGCATGACTTGATGGTAGCTCATAAGCGCGAGTAGCATATCTTTGGTAATGCTGAGTCTTTCCCGTGAGTTAGGTGCATGTATGAAGCTGCAAAGTTTAGCGTGGTCTGCGATATCAAGCGCTGAGTGCTCACGTATACCGACTGACAGGATCAGTGGGCAGGTGTGCCGTGTCTGGTGGTACGTTCTCTGCGACAGCTGGGAAGCCAATCTCATTATGTACATCTGTGAGACTTGCAAGAGTCTTTGCCGTAAATCCTAGGGCTGTCAGCGTTTTGCAAATATGCCGCCAAACCACCGCCTTACCAGAGCTGGGTTGAAGACACTGCCAGACATCGACCTGCGCCGAGTTAAGATCGCAACATAGGCGTGATCCTGGTTTCTGAAGCTCTCTCTCGTAGTTGTCCAGTACATGCTGATATGTTTGGTGACGATCTAAGTTCTTAGGATACGTCTGGTATGTATTGTAGAGCCATCGTAGGCGATCCATGGCGGAACGGCTACCGTATCACCTGTTCGAGTTGAGATCCGACTGCACAGGACAAGCGATATCGATGCTCTATAAGACATGCAAGCTCTGCTCCCGAAACTACGGTCGTGAGCTGCGCCGCAAAGGACTCAGCCTGGGTCAAGGGCGCCAGGTATGCGGGGCTTTACCGGGTGTCGACCAATAGGAGGACCCGAAAGGCGCTGCACCTGCACCCGCGGAGCACTGCCTCTTGGTCAACCACGGCTTTGGTATGGTTTCCAACCAGAAGCGCCTTGCGCCGCCGGCTCTCAAAGCACACTGTCCGCGCTCAGGCGGCTCGATTGTCTCTTTGATCCAGGATTGTCTCAAGCTCGTCCTATACAGCAAGACTTTGGTCAGATAGGATCCAGGAAGATGAAGCTGCGGCAGGGTTCGCGATGCTTACATCAGTCAACTCAGTAGCGCGAGGAATTCGAAACTTGTATTGATCGCCTGCCACCTGCACTCTGTCAGCACGGTGCATTGCAATGAACATATCACCACTACCTCGACTTTAAAGTCGTGATGTCCGAAGATACGCTCCAGTGCAGCTATAAGGTTCGTGTCTTTCAACCGGTAGGTCTCAACTCGCTGCCACTTCCAAGGCATGTTTCTGTAAGCCTTGTGATCGATATCCCGACTCAGCTGAATAGTCAAGAACTTGCCACAAATCTTCTGATTTCACGTGGCGGAAGTCTGTTGGAGAGCAGTAATTTGGGCAATTGGTGTACCCAGACGTAGGCCGATGGCAGTGTTCCAAATTCCCAAGCCTCAAGCAATGTCAAGAAGACTGCGCGCGGAACACTGACCAAATGGGCCTCGCTGAGCTGGCACCCCGCATCCTCGCTCAAGGGACCAACTTTGCCGAAAATGAGGCTGAGATACTGGCATAGGGCATGCGCTTCGGCCATATTGCGCCGAGATTCAAATGCATTCGAATCAGATGCGGTTGCAAGAGGCATACACCCCTGTGCCATGAACACTAGATACGGATATCATTGGTGAGAATGGTATGAGGAGGGGATCACCGGTCAGATATGACCAATGGCGGGCTTAGCGAAACCCCCTGCAAGCGCGGTGGCTTAGGCGTCAGGGGCGTTTGCACATGTCTGAATCCCCTGCATAACGGCACGCACCGTGGCACCGCCCCTCGGATATCATACGGATATCTGTCTTTTGCAATACCCGGATGGCTGATGTTAGTCTGAAAAAGAGCAAGGCGAAGAAGAGTGGAGGATCTGGCGGAAACTGGCTATCCTACCTTGAGATGTACTGTAGTCCAGACCACGACTAGAGGTGGACAAGCGGTAATGCGCAGTAATTGTAGAATAGACTCAGAGCGATACAAAGTTAGCACTGAGCACTCAGAGGTTTAGTCGTATCATTCTGATACCGTAAGAAGCGGTAGTATCAGCATCAAGAGTTCCCCGTAGGTTCGCGGAAACTAACATGATCGAAAGTCAACCAGGCGGTGTTGGGACCGCAGAAACGAACAAGAAAACAACGAAGCAGCAGCCTAGGCATCTCAATGAATCGAAGCAGTGAACATCAAGTATCTGATCGTGGTTGATCGTGACTGACAGCTTTCACGTTGCTTATGCTCAAGACAAATACTCAGTATATTAAGAACAACACAGAGTCGTAGAAAGGTACTGGATTCATCGATCCGCCACTCCGTCCGGTCACGATTCTGAATCAAAGTTAGACTATCTTCCTCAACGTCGAGAGGATCTCCTAGAGCCAGTCCGACGCACCTTCAGCTCTATCACTACCGAAGATGGCTTTTCTACACACGGGGCAGACTATTTGCGCAGCCTACAATGCCTACAAAGACCAAAGTTTCTACGCCTTACTCGTGCCACTAAACCCCCTGCGTCAGCATGGCGGTCGTCAACGCCCCCATAGCTCTCTAAAGTCGTACATCTAACCTAGATCTTCATCCAGAGGATAAATATGCCGTTGAAGTCCAGTCGTAGCACTCGCCATATTTAGGCCCAAGCGCAAATGCACCCACGGTAGACTGGAGTGTGTTACTCTCAAGGTTGTATCTCCATCTCACCCTAGAACGCCCTATCGAAGCTCGGCTTCAGCACGCTCGAGACTATGGTATACTGGCCATCTATGTTACGCGGAATCGCACAGCCACACTCCAATCCCGCCTTTTCCCTGGCTAGCCAAAACTTAGGCGCATAAGTCACACAGAGTAGTCGTTCACCCTTCCTTGACCGGTGGTCGTCAGACACCCCTGTCTCCAGGGAGAAGATCAGACACGCGCAACCTTCTTGTCAGCCAGGGCGAAGCAGTTGGGAAAGGTAGTATGAGTAAAATCAGCAAGGCAAAGCAAAGGGCAAGCAGGCGACATCAGGCAGTGAAATTGAGCTTAACTTGTGGGGCCGTCGTCGCCAGCCTTGGCACTTGCGTCCTGATATCATGAGGAAAAAAATGCTCTCTCGAACGTTCAGTCGAGCCCCTTCTGAAGATGCTCCTTACCAATTCCCAGAGACCTTGTTGATGCCGTAACAGCTGTCCGGTGTTTCCCCACAGGACATCGTCCTAACGTAGCATTCTACCGTCACAACCACAACCGTCCATCAACCATATTTGCAGTTCCCCCTGCGGAAAGGTTCCAATCCCACTCGGGAGGCAAGAAGACAAATGTAAGCCCGCAAGATGCTACTTGCTGCAGGGACAACAAACTTGCGGACGGGCTCACCTGCTACGACAGTACGGGTCTGGCTACCGATCGACGCGAGCGACCAAGCTCATAACACAAGCTTTTTGTGGAGCTGATCAGGGTACATTGGACCCCTGCGTACATCGGCAGCCGTGGGGGGCTGACATTCTTGTTACAGTCCAGCGATGAACGGGTGGAGTAGACCTATCGTGGTGCTGGTACTACTACATTGTGTAGCGATCCCGCACGGCGGCTGCTATCTACAGGACATGAGACTTTTGGCGTGGTGCGCAGCGAGACCTAGGCAGGAATCCCGGAAGAGGCTATTGCCCAAAGAGGTAGTTTGTGGATTGCCGTTGTTGGTGCATGGCACAAAAAGCTATTCTGGAGCGCTGATGCTGCATCCTGGACCAGGCGGTTGGTTTTTCTAGTGTTGACCTCTGAGGGTCTTGTGTAAGCGTACTTCCAGACGCGGGCATTTGTGGACCTGAATGTAATCTCGATGAGACTCTGAAGCTGTACGGTGTCTAATGTGGCTGATGCGGTTATGTGGGGGCGTGTATGCATGGAAACTGGCAGATGTTGCCATGTCGGATAAATTGCGGAGGGGAAGGGATGCTATAAGCGCGGAGCCTTGAGGAAACTTCGAACAACGGCTTCGGCACACGCGAGAACCGGCGTGACAATTGCCGCGTCAATGGCTGGGACGCAAAGTTGTGGACGGGCTCTTGAGTCCGCCATGTCAGGCAGTGGATGCTTGGTCGTCGTGGTAATCACATCGTTGTTGGAGACTCCAGTGCCTTTGGCCAGATGTATCGCGCGGCTTTGCTGGAGCCTGCGACGTGGACGGGCAAGCTCGATGTCTGACGCCGTTGTGCGAATACAACGCCTGGCCGGGGTGCTGACCGACGCGAAGCGGCAGATCGACAGGGTCCTCTGACGGCCTGCCACGACAGTTGTCTTCCGCACGCTCTCGCTCTCGCTCGCATCTCATGAAAGTCAGGTATTACACTTCCGTCCTCGCTCCGAGACCCGAATTTGGCGATGCACGACTGGCGTGGAAAGGTCCCTGCATATCACGCCAAGGGATTCACTGATCCCGGCTGCCGAGAATACGAGTTGCACACGAGTTGGTTCCCGACGGTCTTGAAAGCCTCTGCGTCTCTCTGATTTCGAACACGTACAGTTGTCCCAGACACCTTATGCTTGATGCGGAATCATAAAGCAATGAGACGAAAATGCTGGCCCTGCAGACCAATAAGAAACGCTTACGCAAAGCCGCATCCCCAGGCGGAAAACCTAAAGCCCTAACAAATCTGACAAAGACAAATTGCAGACGATCAGTCAGCGCTCGGATGTCATGCGTAGCGGCTTTGCAGTGTTGTCACCTGAAGCATGACCACTGCGAAACAGGGCCCGGGATCCGACAGTCCGCATATATGTAAGTGTTGGAGAAGGGGAATGAGACATTATCCTCATTCGAGCGATCGGCGAAGCTCTTACCGTAGACGGCAATGGTCTGTCTCGGGGTCGAGGCTCGTGAGACCGTTCTGGGCCAGTTTTTGATTATCGAGAGACGGCTGGACGAGACGCTACCGTAGACCGAATTTCCGTCGGGGAGTGTTACAAGGCTACCCTGATTTGTTGTACGTCTCGAGTCTTAAAGCCGCTCCCGCAGAACGACATGACCGCTCTCGCGCGTTGTTGTTTGCTGCACACTCGGGATATTCCCTGTTTGGGTAAAACGATATTTCCTGTTGACTTATTCGATGACCGGTATTGGCAATGTGGCAACTACCTTGCCAAGGTCCGAGACGCTCCGTCTTAGCCTGCGAAGGGCATGTTAGTCAGGGCGTGTGTGCAGCGGGGAAAACAATTGACCAAGCTCAACGCCTGTGCACCGTGGAGGACAGCCAGTTATACGTCGGTCCATGTGCAAGCCACATCGGCTCCCAAGCCACCATGGTGTAGATTGTCGGTCCCAAACGGCGCTTTGACCAAGCACCGTGGGAGGATGTAATTCCTAATGCAGCAGTCGGTACAGCGATCAGGCGGGAGGGGCAGTGTATTGCATTCACGGCCAAAACGAGGCCCTTACCGTAGTAAATCGGAATTGGTATTCCTGTTCTCCCGAGCTCCGGCTGTTGTCCTAGCCCAAGGAAGTGTGGCACTCCTCCAATCCTTCGACCGGCGGTTGCAGTCTCACTGGCTGGCAACAGTGCCAGCGTTCCGCTAATTACACTTGCGCTATCCGAGTGGGATTGAGCAACGCGCCGCACCAGTCGGCCCTGTGCCTCTGTCGGGCACGGAGTAGCATAGTGAGTATGGGTCGATAGCCTTATGGACCCTCAGTGGTACTAAGTCAAGTGCTTGAGGACGATCACGGTGGAGCCTCGCTTGATGCTTGTTTGGACCACGTGGCGCGGTTGTTACAGCACTGCTACGCGGATCACACCAGGCATATCGAAAGAGGAAAAGGCATCTGTCATCTGCATACGTTGCGGGAGTAGGTACAAGATGCCCAGCATCAATCTCATGCTATCAGTAGCACGTGGCCCCTACTGCGGCGCTCTTTCCGCGTGCCAGAGCTGCAAGATGCCAGCCACCATGCATAGCGGCCTGTACAGAAGTCCGTAGGAACAATTAGAGCTCGGTATTCGGCTCTTCAAGTTGTCGCGGCTGACAATACCCGTGATAGAGTTGCCCTCACCCATGTCGGGGTCATCAGGCCCAGCTTAGAACCAGATTGACTCTTATGAGTGACTCTTAGAACTCCAAACACCGCCAGGATATATGATAAAGGGGTCGACCAGCAGAATAACATGCAACAGACAAGAATGGTATCCGCCAACACCAATTGAGACACATTTGCTCTCAGACATCACGTCTGGTGCATGCCAACGCGAGGGGATGACACTGACATCGGAGTTCCAACTTCAAAGAACGGTACCAGGTCAAATTCCGTCGGTGACTGACTGAGGCTTCCGCACAGACTGGGCAGGCCACTTTGCAGGGCGGCGATCTCGCTTGTGAGTTGTTCGATCTGGCTTTTCAGGCGGCGGACTTCGCCACCCTGCTTGCTGTAGGATTTCGAGAGCATCTGGTGCTTTTGTCGCCAGTCGGCGATTTGTTGTTCCAATTCGCGTTGATGGCGCTCCTTGCGGTCTCGGTATGCTCTCTGTGACGATCTGTTCTGTTCTCGGCGTCGCTGTGGCGGAATCAGAGTCTGTCGCCACGTGGCGCGCCGATTCCTTACCTCAATCTTGTCAGGAATAGATTTCTTGACTTGGGCAATCACACTGGTGCTGGTAGACTCTCTTCGCTCGGGCGTTGAGCGGTATGAGGCACTAGAACCTGACGACATGGAGTCTCTGCCATTATCGATCGCTGTATAAAAGTCGGCAGCTCGCTCTAATAGCTTCAACGGATGTCAGTTGAGGAGGCACAGCACCGATACGCGACCTACGTGATTGTACTGATTGACCATAGTTCGTGGCGATGTCATAGCTGAGTAGTCCCACTGATAGGACATATCGAAGCCTGAACTCTGCCAAGAATTCGCTGCCTGATAGGTGTTCATAACCGAATGAAGAAGTGGTAGAATGGGGGCGAACTGTTGAATCTTCGAAGATGTCCGAGGTTGGCAGAACGGTGCTGCGACGGGCCCAGAGGCAGTCGTATCTTATACAACCTTGCCAACAGCAAGCATCGACCAGCGTGCACGTTACTTCACACGTTCAAAACGTGCCATCCAAAGAGACAGGGACGATGCCATGATCCACCGTTCTGCCAGAGGCCGAAGTTACACATCTGCAGGCTCAGGGATGGCTGCATCTGGTTGCAGGTGTGTGGGGGCTTGCGAAGAGCCGTTTATTCTAGCTGGGCGCCGCCGAAGCTCGTGTCGATTTCGCGCCAAACCCTTCCTAGAAGGTGCACCATAGTAAGCGTTCCTTGGATCATTCGACCGCTGTACTCGTACTGTTGCCGAAAGCGTGCACGGGTGACTGAGCACTGGTCTTGGGCCGTGCGAGAAAACCGTGCTGCGAAAGCCCATGAGTCAGTTTCCATCTCACCCGCGAAAGCATCAGTCATCCACCGACGCTATCATCGTCCAGGTTCGCCTGGTTTTTCTTTACCAGGTTTGAATCTATCCACAGCCAATAGCTGATGTTGCCTTGACAAGTATCCTGGTCTATAGGATCCTCCTCGGATTGCGTGCGCAGGCAATGTAAGCACAATCTCTCAATACCTTCGGCAATCTGACAATGACATCGAGACGGCACCCGAGACATTTCGCACCACCGAACCACAAATGCTGGCAGATCTTTTGTGCTACTCACGACACTTGAATCCTTCTCTCGCAACATCGTTGCCGATCAAGATCAGTTTGCACTCTATAGAAGCGTGCAGCCTTAATGGCCAGCCTGGCCTACAGTCTATAATAGATACCGCTTTTCAGATGAGTGCGTGGCCTGATTCATCACGAATGAGGGCAGCTGTTCGAAGTTGCAACCCTTCATCAGACTGCAGGTGCCGATCAAGCAGGCGTGTTGGCCTTCAATAAGGGTGCCCCAGAGGAAACACGCGGAGCAAAGGTTCCAACGCTGGGGACATAGACCGCTTGGGTATGATCTCGAGTGGGTGCTGCATGATCCGTCAGCAAGCTTCTGCACATATATATTTCGTGGCTGCTGCATCAATATAATGGCACCATTGACGAGGTATTCATGACTCAACGGAAGAAAGTCGTGTGTGTTCGAGAGACTGCAAGCAAAATAGCGGTTGCGAGGCGTTGCACGTTGATGCACATAATTCCAAGATGGGCACATTGAAATGAATTTCCGGTCCTCCTCAACTTAAGTTAACATTTTATACTTGCTAGAACGCTTAGCATATCGATCATCCGTGCCAAAGCAACGGGCATTGATAATCACACCGGTCCATGAACGACAAAGGCGCCCCCGGTTTGATGGTACAGTCTCTATCATCAACTCCGATGTTGCTGATGAGAGGAGGCGCCACATTGTACATGGCGGCCTCCCGAAAGGACAGGACTCGTGACAATCGGCTGCGTCAATCGATAAGGTGTCGCCAACGTTCTGGGGTAGGACACTCTGGCGGTCACTTGATACTGCTCAGGACGCCTTGGGCTCATCGTCGGCGAGAATCGCCAACCCCTTACTCTTTAATGTGTCGAACAGACTGCCGTCCTTGTGCATAGACATTATGATATCGGCACCTCCGATAAATTCGTTTTCGATATAGAGTTGAGGAATGGTGGGCCATTCGGAGTATTCTTTTATTCCTATGCGAAGTCAGTATCTGGTGGGGAGACTTATACGCTCGCTCTATCTCGCACCTGATCTCAGCTCTGGATCCTCGAGTACATTATAGGCGGCAAACTTCTCTGGGTCGACACCGTTCTCACCCAGCATCTGCACGCTTGCTCGCGAGAAGCCGCATTGGGGGTTGTCTGGTGTGCCTTTCATGAACAGGACGACTGGTGCAGACTCGATCGCGCGGGATATGGCGGTCCTGACTTCTTGAGATAGCAGTCTGGTCTGCGATAGTGACTGGGACACTCTGGGGAGAACGGTGTTGTAGGTAGCTGATGGTGCAAGGGACGCGGCAGCGCCACGCAGAGCCTGTGAGCGTCAGCAATCTGCGGATGATTTTTTAGGCGCGCAGAATAGCTCACCGGCAGTCTGATGGCTCTTGACAGCATGATGAATCAGTCGAGAGCTTTGCTATGATTGAGCCTGTGAGACTGGATCAAGTTGAATATGTTGATGAATCTGAGCGGCATCGCGGTTGCCGCAAGACAGGCAATGATGCAATTTGCTTGGCAGGTCTTTATGGACTCTCCCATTAGTCATCCAATATTAATCGCTCGCAGACTCAAAATACCTGGTATCTAGTTCTCTCGACCTTCTATCCTTCTTTGTTCTGGTGGTGCTGAGTGCTACGAGGCTATGACCGCTGTAGAGACCAAGATTACCCCGTTCTCGGCCGAGGCTTTCGCCAACGACCAGAAACACCATATTCTCCTGGCCGCGAGCGGGTCAGTTGCTACCATTAAACTCCCTGCTATAGCCGAGTCTCTTGCTCAGCACAGTAATGTTGCCATTCGCATAGTCCTTACAAAATCGGCGGGAGAGTTCCTCCAGGGCCAGTCCTCGGAACAACCGCGACTGGAGTCGCTGCGCCAATTGCCCAATGTTGAAGCCATCTACCACGACGAGGATGAATGGGCAAAACCCTGGGTAAGGGGCGACAAGATCCTCCACATTGAGCTCAGACGCTGGGCGCATGTCTTACTCGTCGCGCCGCTCTCCGCAAACAGTCTCGCCAAAATGGCCAACGGGATCAGCGACGGTCTGCTCCTCAGCGTCATTCGTGCATGGGACACCACTGGCATTATTGACGCCCGTAAGAAGAGGATATTCGTCGCCCCAGCAATGAATACAGCCATGTGGGTTCACCCAATTACCAACAAACAAGTGGAAGTGCTCGAGCAGGAATGGGGTCAGCGCGAGGACGGCTGGGTGTCGGTTCTGCGGCCTGTCGAAAAGGAGTTGGCGTGCGGAGATGTCGGATCGGGTGCAATGATGGATTGGCGTGACATTGTTCGACAAATCGAGGAGCACTTGAATTTGGTGCAGGATGTTTAGCACCACTCAGACCGGCCGCACAACACTGTCGAGCTCCTCCTCATCCTGACGATCAATCTTTTGCTCACGCCGATACAGGTAGTCACCCAGCATGCCAGCCGATATTACCCCACCAGTCAGCCAGGCGCCTTTCCTAAACCACTTGGCACAATCCTGAACGTCTCGAAGATTCACCCTTCTGACGATGCTGGTGAGAGTGAAAGCAGCACCACCACAGCTTCCCAAAAAGAAGATTGGACCTGCCCCAGCAAAATAGCCGGCTAGACCGACAAGGCCCACCTGGACAGCAGACAAGCCCAGCAGGACCGCCTTAGCATTGTGATCGTGTGCCAGAGCGATCGACTTGATGCCAGCGTTGACATCATCCTTTATGTCCTGGAATGCGTATATCATGTCATAATTCAAGGTCCAAGTCACGCAACTCGCATAAAGTGCCGCAGCTGCCGCAAGCGCGGAAGGATTTGTTAGAAGATCAACACCAAGTGCAGGAAACCCAACAATGGCTCCCCAGGAAAAGGTCAGACCCAGGACAAATTGAGGGTAGTTGGTTACTCTCTTAGCGAGAGGGTACGTGGCGACAAGTAACAAACTTGGTGTCGCATAGAAGAAGCACTGATAGGGAAACTGGAGCAAGATGGCGAGTCCGGTCAGTAGCTGGAAACCCAAATAGACGATTGCTTTCTGAGGAGTGATGGCTCGCCTGGCGATGGGTCGGAGACGGGTTCGCTCAACATAAGGGTCCAGATTGCGGTCCCAGAGATCGTTGACGGTGCAGCCAGCACCCCGCATAATGAGGGCGCCGGCGAAGAAGAGCGCACCTGTGGATACAACTTCGATCGGTGTTGCCATTGGGGTAGCTAGTGGTGCGGCAAGTAGAGTAGAGAATAAGCATGGGAAGAACAAGTAGTAGGTCCCTGCCGGCTTGTCCAGTCTGATGAGCTCTGCGTATGGCATCCATGAAGGTGGAAGCTTTGAGACAATGCCTTTCTCAGGTGGCCGATATTCGAGTGGGTGGCGGTTCATGGAAGCGTGAGAAAGCTGAGGTGATGCCAACAGCATGGCGGTTGGAATTGGTGGTCGAGCATGTTGTGAACCAGGTCTTCTTAGATGGCTCGGTAGATGTACCTTGCACACTTGGCTTGCCCGGTGATATACCTGCCATCTTGCGTGAGAACAAGCAGACCGGCCTGCAACTCCCCAAAGCATTACTCCCTTTCTCTCTTCGCCTGTTCTTGGGGCCACAGGCAAATCTTTGATCGTCTCCTGCGCTTCTTCAACAGCTCCCCACTACTAGCTCTTCTTTGTATCCGATACTTCGATGAGACCAAACAAACATGCTTGATGAGGAGAGATTCAGCACATGCTCGAAGCTCTGGTGGTTCTTACCAAACCATTCCCCTCTAGGACTAGCGTGGGTACTTACCCCGACGCGCCGAGGCGGCGTCGCGACTGCCACTTTGAAGTACAGCCCGCCTACCATTCTTTGTTTGCTGCGGCCAACCTATGTGTCCTCTCCAGGCAGCGAACGCCGGCGCAAATTGAGTGTAACAACGAGGTCGTCGTCGTGAAACGAGACCGCTGCCATGCGAGCTGTTGCGCTTCAAGACTCGGTCGCCCATCGCGAACGACGCCGCGGCACCTCACCCCGACCGTTGCTTGCAAGTCAGTCACAATGCCTTCAACGCGGCCATGCGCGGCCTTCGAGCCCATCTCGCCTGACTTCGACGTAAAGGCACTTGTTGAGTCTACACCCCGCTTCGAATGGGTCGTCCGCATTGACTGCGACATGATCGATCATCAAGGCATCGAAGCATTTGAGAAATTGGTCTTGATTCATGTCATTCTGGGGGGCAAGCCTCTTGTAATCGAAGGTTATGATAGAAGACTTGATCGATGGACCTTTGCTGTGCAATGGCTGAGAGACAATCTGGGGTCAAAGGGTACCTACTTTCTCCGCTGCTCTGTGTCCCTCCTGCTAAACTCAATCACAGTTGAGAACCCTCGCGACCTGACTAAAAAGGCTTCCGTACCCATGACATTTGCCCATTACCTTAACCACATGGGTCTTCTGACGAATCAATGGAATCATACGAACTACAAGGATCCCGAGCGACAGCGAATTTACATGAAAGACATCGACTGTCCACCGTTGTGGCACACCAAATTGCAAACCATTCTACCACCGTTTCTCTACTATCTGAACGAAACCACTGGCGACGTTGGAGGATTTGGGTCCACTGACGAACCTGATCCAAGTGGTTCGGGCTTCCGCCGTGGAAAAGGCATCGCTAAAGCTGGTGACTTGATGAGCTGTTTGCCGAAAGAGATGCGCGCTGAGAACATGATGTGTTACATCGGTCATGAAGGAACATACACTCCGGCTCACCGTGAAATGTGTGCCAGTCTTGGTCAGAACATCATGGTTGAAGCGTCAAGCGGTTTAGTCGAGGATGGCAGACCAACCCAGCCTGGTTCCTCGCTATGGTTCATGACCGAGAACAAAGAGCGTGAGGTTGTTGCCGAATACTGGCTCTCCCGCTTGGGCCATGATATCGAAGTCGAAAACCATTTTGCTCAGATTAACGCTTGGAAAAATGCTCCATTCAACACCTATGTCGTCGAGCAGCGTCCAGGCGATCTCATTCTCATTCCGCCGCTTGCCCCACATCAAGTCTGGAATCGTGGCACAAGGACCATGAAAGTCGCCTGGAATCGCACAACCATCGAGACGCTCGAGATGGCCATCAACGAGGCGCTACCCAAGGCTCGACTTGTCTGTCGCGATGAGCAGTATAAGAACAAGGCCATGATCTACTATGGACTGCAAAAGTACTCTCGGCTCTCAAAGGTTGCTCAGCAGCACAAGCAAAGTCGATCAGGACCCAAGCAGAAGACCAAGAGTGATTCCAAGGTTCGGCAGCTAGAGAAGGATTTTCGCCGGTTACATGGCCTGTACACTCAGATCCTGGTTGACGAAAGTTTTCTCCCGGATAAACAGGAGAAATGTGAGATGGTACCCTACGAAGGCTTCATCACGTGCTCTTATTGCCGATGCAATATTTTCAACCGCTTCTTGACTTGTCCTTCCTGTGTGATCAAGGTTGGCGACGAAGAAGATGCCTACGATGTCTGTTTGGAGTGCTACGCGATGGGTCGAAGCTGTGGCTGCATCTCAAAACTCCGATGGGTCGAGCAGTTCCCTTGGCTTGAGTTGACCGACAGACATGAGTCTTGGAGACATCAGATTCTCGCCTACGAAGGCAAAGTCACCGAAAAGTCGCCAATGTCTTTGAAGGTCGAGCTTCAGCGCGTTGGTCGTAAGCAGACTTTGGCTCAAGTCTGTCAACAGGAACTCAAGCGACGTCCATTTCGGGACATCAAAAAGCCGATTGCTCCTGTGACAGGTGTCGAACGCGAAGAGGAAATCCAGGTTGACGAGAATGGCAACACCAAGAAGAAGAAGAAAGTGCGGCGCTCCGAAAAGTTTGTTCGGGAGCACGGAATCTGTCATATCGACAAGCATTGGGAGCCGAAGTGGAAACAAGCCGAATGCTCAGGTTGTGGCAAGAACTACTGCTATGGCTTACTGTACAGAGCGTACGACCTCATGCCGCAGGATATACTCGCAGATCCCGACTGGTCATGTCCTAGCTGTCGCGGTATCTGCAGCTGTCGCAATTGTCGGCACAAGCCTGGGTATAAGGCATACACCCCATCTGGTACTCGGCTTGGGCATAACACGAAGGCTGTGGCTGACCACCGGTCTGTAGAGAGCCTGGTCGACTTCAGTTCCTCGAACATCGGCTGGATCCAAAAGGCCGGCGACGACATAGGGGACAATACGCGACGGCTCAAGAAGCGTCGAATGGAGGCAGATGCTGCTCAAGCTGAACAGACTGAGCTCGGTGATGACTATATCGACGAAGAAGCGGATCGAGATGCTCAGCATGAGGGCATTCCTATCGATCCAGCACTTGAAGCCGCGAACGCTCCGGCCAGCAGTCCCGGCTCCGTTGAAGAAGACGACGTATTTGATGAGAATCCAGAAGCACGCCACGAAAACGGTCTCGGCAAGAGTCCCATAAGTCCGCAATATGTCATTCCCGAAGGAGGCATCTTGAGGGACTCGGATCATGCCTACGACTTTACCGACGCTATCACTTACGATTACCCCGACCCGAACATGCTTATACCGGCGCCGATAATGATTGAGAACGAGCCGGACTTTTCGAATGGTAACGCAGCCGAGCCTGATGATGATCATATTGAGATGATCAGCAGAAAGCGAAAGCGTAAAACCCTCGACGAGGGCGAAAAAGCGTTCAACTACCGCAAACAACTCCCGAACAGCAAGCCCAAAAAGAAGAAACAGCAATCTCTGATCGTCAAACTTACTATTGATAAGCACAAGCTGGACGAAGTCAACAAGATGGCCGGTATCGCACAACGTGCCTTGGATGGCGGTGAACCAGCACCAGCGCCAGTAGTGGGCTCGGATCTCCAGGCTCTGAATACCAGCTATCCAAATGTTGAAGGGCAGCCACCTCCCAAGAAGGCCAGAAGCGAGCACGTGATCATTGAGCGGGATGATGAGTATGCTCCTAGCCGGCGGCGAGATCGTCGTAAAGCTGTCTCTAATGGAGAGCAACCTTTGCCGACGAGAGAAGATGATGTGAGTCGGCGTCAAACAAGAATGCAGGCAGTCACCTATGAGGAGCCCTCTGATGAAGACGAGTTCGGCGAGACACCCGAGCCTGCTGCACCATCGAAATTGGCGGCCATGGAGCAGGCTGTTGATATTGATGATTTGGAGTCAGAAGATGAGCCGGCACGAGACAGTGAAGACGAGAGTGGCAAGGAGGAAGATCACATGGAGCTCGACATTACTCCAGAGCCCGAGGAGCAGGCAGAGCGTACGACGTCCAAGGAGAGCCCTAGAGTGCCTACACTTCGACCTACGACCATCATCAGCAAGAAAGTTTCGCGAGCCTCTTCCCGTTCGTCCACAGCTACCAGTGGCAAAGCGATGCCGGCGATTGGTCCAAGCACCAAAGCGTTGGCAGAGGCTGAAGCAAATCGAAAGGCCAAGATGGCGGCGCTGGAGGGGATTGATGGCGATTCGGAGGGTCTGGATGATGTGTGGTCTGATGAAGATAATCAACCATCGCCCAAGCCACAGCCAAGGTCGGCATCAGTCTCGCCTTCGACATCTCCAGCTCCTGTTGCTACACCGCCAGAGAGGGCAGAGCAGCTGTCAGATGAGACCGGATCGCCAGACTCAATCGAGCCCGTTCCTAGCATCGAAACAGCCAGCTCTGGGTCTTTATCTGCTGCCCGGCTGGGTACGCCTAAGTTTGTGGTGACAGCTGAGGCTTGGAGTGATTCAGACTCGGATACATCAGACAATCAGCCTGGCCCAAAGCCGATAGTGGCGACAGCACGGCCCTCAGGGTCAGGCTGGGCCGCTATCAATGGCATGAGTGCTGGCAGAGGCCAGAACGGAGGGCACATGTCTGCTGCCGGAAACAGTGGTAAAGGCAGAGGTCGTGGTCGAGGGCGTGGTCGAGGAAGGCCACCGCTGCGAGGCTAGGCGCACAGGTAAAGTACGGTGCGGCGACCTGGGGCATGGGTGTACAAGTATCACGAGGCTGTGATGAGCATGATTGGTTGCGACGGCAGGGTAAGATCGCGTGTCCCTAGGTAGGGCAGACTGGCCGGGTTATGATGTACAGTACTACGCAGGTCAAGATGCTGCCGCCCTTTAACGAGCCTATGACTGTGCCTAGACTGGTTCAGCTGGGGCGACGCTTGGAATGACGTGGGCCGCCCCGAGGACGCCGGGGCTGGACGCGGCAGAACGGGGCAGATCGGGCATTTGGGCGTTTGGTGACGATTGACAGCGCGCATCTTCAGGCGACCGGCCCCCACCAATCGACAGCATTCCCACTCCTCAGCTCTCCCAAGCCCGTGGACATGGGCTTGTGGCCCACCAATGCTCCCCGTTTCCCCAGATGCGAACAAAACTTATTATTAATAGTTGGGTCAATTAGTGAACGGTTCGGTGCCGCGCAAGGTGCGGTAGCGGCACACTCAAAAAGTCGACTTCCAGCGATACGATCGTTCAACTGTCAGTGAAGGTCTGGACCATCATCGTGCCACGGCTGCATATCATGTCGTACACGCGCGTCTCTGTTGGCTAGATTAACTGAGATAAGTAGCGGCATGCGCGAGCCACTTTTTCGTTATCGGCCTGGGAGGCCCTAGGAAGTGAAGCGACAGGACTCGCCATCCCTGCCTCAGCCCCCCGCTTGTGCCCTGCCGGCAGACGCCAAAAACCTTAGGTTACAGGCGGTGGGAAAGGGACCTTATCATGCGCGAAATTAGTCAAATCCGCGCACATCTCAACTTTCATCATCACTCGGGTTCTCTTCATTGTTCGTCGTCGTTGTCGTCGTCGTGTACCCTCGACCGGACAGGACAGGACACGCGCACTTCGCTATCCTACAAGGCGACTGTGCCTATGCGATAGAGCTGTCTACGACCATATGATGCATCTCGCCTCCTCTGGGGTGCCTCTTCCACAATGGTCCAAACCACCCTAGACCCTCGAGTCCAGCTCGTCGCCCGCGGGCCCCACGACCACTATGAAATCGCGACGACCAAGTCGTCCTTCGATGGCGAGTACTCGGCCAACAGCGTCATCGTCACGCTCGCGGTCGCGCTGGCCCTGTACAACTCGCTCGAGATGGTGCTGCTCATCACGTCGACGTTCAAGCAGTTCCGTGGCCTGTATTTCTGGAGTTTGGTGCTGTGTAATTTCGGCGTCGTCTTCTTCGCCCTGGGCATGATGCTCGGGTACTTTGAGCTGTGCGTGTTGTGGCTGAGTAAAGTCATCATCGACATTGGCTGGGTGTTCATGATCCTGTTCCAGTCACTGGTGCTGTACAGCCGGCTGAACCTCATCTACGACGAGCGCAAGATTCTCCAGGGCGTCAAATGGATGATCGTCACCACCAGCATCTGCTTCCTCATCCCCGTCGTGGTCCTCGACTTCGGCTCCACCTACTCGGGCCGCGCCTCCTTCGCCGAAGGCTACTACTACATCGAGCAAATCCAAATGGTGGGCATCACGCTGCAAGAACTCAGCATCTCGGGCCTCTACGTCTACAAGACCGTGCAGCTGCTGCGCATCATCGAGCGCGAGCACACGCGCAGCATGGTCTGGCAGCTCTTCGCCATCAACGTCATCATCATCAGCATGGACATCGGCATCGTCGTCCTCCAATTCATGCACTACCAGCTCTATCAGGAGAGCATCAAGGTCTTTGTCTACAGCGTCAAACTCAAGCTCGAACTCAACATCCTCTCCAAACTCGTCGATCTCGTCCACGGCGACTCGTCCCGTCGCGCCATGACCCTCGACGTCATCGACTCCAACGCCATCCAGGGCCAGGCCCGCGCCGACGTCCACCGCGAGATGAACGAGCCCGAACAAGGTCGCATGGCCAGCTGGTTCCGTGGCAGCACCGGCGGTGGGGGCGACGGGAGCAGCCCGAATGGCAATCATCGGGATGAGAAACACGCCTTCTCCTCGCTTGATCACGAAGTCGACGTCAGGAATGCGCAGAGATTAAGTGGCGTGTCGCCAACCAAGTCGATAGGCGGTGACACGGACGAGATCAGCCAGGTCATGTCGAACCAGTCGGAGATGACGGCGCGGACCAAGGGCAGGGAGTCGGATCTTCCGTATGCGGATTTCATGCGGTCTATATGAGAGCTGAATATGGCTTGAAAAAAGAGAGGGCTTGGGAGTCATTGACACGGCGAGTGAGTCTACTCGGTCGATAAGAGAGACTCAACCACGGTTCTCTGAAAACAAATCAAAAAATATCGGAGAGATCCCATCAGAGACAGTCTCGGAAATAAACGAGCGAGACGCTCTGAAGAGGTCACACACAGACGACAGACACCCAGCAGCTATCCAGATATTCCACGACTTCGCGCGAAAACCGCCGGTCGCCAACGACGAGAACAATCACAAGAAAATTAATCCTCAAGTATCTCAGAACCTGGAGCTAATTAATTATCCGTCCTTTTCCCGCCCTCCTCCACCCCGGACCTCTGCGCCAACACCTCCCCCAACGCCCTGACGTGCACCTCCCCTTTCCCCCCCTCATACCCATTCAACGCCCTCCTCAACCCACTACTCCTCGGATACACCACGCGCCTCAACCGATTCGCGCCTCCCACAGGCTCCAAACTCAGCAGCCCATGCCACGGATCCAGCCGCATCCGATCCTCCCAGAACGCTTTGAGGCCGTAGTCCCAACTCTGCTGTCTCGGAGCTGACGCGCGCGCGACCGTCTGCCACGGAAACTGGGACTCGTCCCAGGGCGCGCCGCCATCTTCGACGCTCTGTCGCGCGGGGTCCGAGAGGAGTTGGACTTGGAAGAGCCAGCGCGCGGCGTGCGCGAGGTGGAAGGCCGAGAGGCGGCCGCTGTGGGCTGTGGGGCCCAGATCAGCTGTTCCGTCGTCGTCGCTTGGGGAGGAGGAGATTTCTTGCTCGGCGGCCGCCGCGGTCTGTGCGGCTGTGTCTGGCACGAGGCGGTATTTGCAGATCAGGTCGCCGAAGCGGTAGGCCGTCTGCGAGTACCAGGTCAGGCCCTGCAGGGGCGTGTTGGGGACCTGGTCGCGCGCCTTTTGCAGGTCGGCGTCGGGCCGCTGCGAGAGATCCTTGTCGAGCTCCGTTTGGGGATTGTTGGCGTGTTTGCGGCGCAGGGTCAGGATTTCGCGCGTCGTGCGCGCGTCGGATAGCTCGATGGCGGGCGTCGAGTTGAATTCGATGTCTTGGGTGGGCAGGTCGGTGCCCGGCGTGTCGGGGAACATGGTGCCTGGGACGGAGAAGAGTTTGAGAGCGAGGCCGCGGGGTTGTGGGATTCGGTCCTGTTCGGTTCAGAAGGATGAGCGTCAGTGGGAGGGTGGGACAAAGAGGGGGGGCGATTGGGATCTTACGTCGATGCCTGGGTCCTGGGTTTCGGTGCTGTAACGTGCGGCAAAGGGATAGGAGCGCTCTTCGGCGAAGAGAGACTGGCGTAGGTGAGGTGGGAGGTTGGGCTCTGTGGTCAGCGTGCCATGAATGATGCCTTGTGTGCGGCAGTGCGTGCCTGTCGAGGGGTATGAGCTATTATGCGCCTTGATGTGCAGCGTTGATGGTGAGACAGAGGCCTACCTGTGTATGCATGTCTGGCTTTGTTATACACGGCGCGCTGCATCTCATTGATAAGGTCGGCACAAGCCTCGATGTCGTCTGCTTCGCCGGGCGGGATGCGCTCCCAGAGATGCTTGTCCTCGTACCGCACATAGCTGCGGTCTGTCATGCTGGTCACCATCTTGGTGCTGATACTTGCGTGGCGGCGCAGTCCTGCCGTGTGTTAGACCACTCTATGCCTCCTGTAATTTGAATCGAATAATTGAGGGTCCAGATGCCCATTATAAGACACGGTCAATTCCCAAATCTCCCATCACGCATTCCCTCCCCATGGTCATGTTCGTCATCCGCATGAACTCAGCGCGCATCCCGAGAACTCAGTTATAGCAGCTCCGTCCCGTCGTCGGCCAGTCGGATGTTGTAGTATGATGGAGAGATGATGAAGTCACTACGAACGTCACTTTTTCTCCATCCGGAGCATAGGTTCGTACGATTTCATCCCAGCATGCCAGAAGCGAGGATGCGATTGGCGACATCCGCCAATCTGATGAGGAAATGCTAAAGTTGATTATCTTGCATGAGAGCTGATTGGGCTCCTGTTGATACCAGGAAAAGGGTTATGTGCCTTGAAAAGTACAGGTTTCGACGTATGGCAAGCCCCCACTCACCCTCGACACCCAGCCTTGGGAAACTCCCTCTCACGAACACGGCGCAGTGAAAGAGCAAGGTAACTCAGCGGTGGACAACGTCTTGCCTCAGGACCACGCATCACACCCCTCACGCTGTGCCATTCCTCGCACTACCGCCTCTCCTCCTCCACCCCCTCCGGCCACCAGACCATGCCCCAAAGCGCCACGCCCTTCGCCTCCCTCCTCGCCCTTTCATCCTCCACCCACCAGCCCTCCTCATCCACCCACCCCACCCCCATCCGCTCACACCCCACACACCTAAACCCGCAACGCTCATACATCCTCCTCGCCCCCTCCGTACTCGTCTCCAACCACACGGGCCTCCCCACCTCCGCCGCCCTCGCCTGCAACCACCTGATCCACGCACTGCCCAACCCTTCCCCCCTCCTCCCCTCCAACGTCGCCAAGACGGCCACATAAAAAAAATCCCGCCGCCGCAGCCTCTCCGCCTTGAAATACCTCTTCCTCAACCGCCGCAGCGCCGCGTCGTACGCCGCGCCCCGCCACAGCATGCGCGGGCCCACGCGCACCACGATCCACAGCGCCGTGCCCAGCACGCTGGAGCCGCCGGTGTGGGGCGGGAAGGGGAGGAGCATGCGCGTGGAGCCCGCGTCGGAGGTGCCCGGGTCGAAGTAGATGCCGACGCTGCTCCAGTCGCCGGTCGCGTTGACTATGTGGCCGCCGTTGACGGCTGCTTGCGTCACGAGGTAGCGCCAGAGGTGGGTGCGCACGGCGGGGGAGTGGATGGGGTGTGTCGCTTTGTCGTTGGAGGAGGACGGGCGGATCGGCGTCAGCGAGTAGCGCTGGTAAGGGTCGGTGCTGAAGGCTTCGGCGTAGGTGGCGGTCGCGTGTTGGATGGCGGCTGTTTCGGGAGAGGGAAGTTAGAGTGAGTTCTGCTCGAGGAAACACAGGAGAGCGAGCGACGGAGAGGGAAGACGAGAGGAGACGTGTGTGTGTGTACCTTTGCCGGAGCAGATGGTCATTGGTAGTAGGTGCATCTCTGCTTTAGCGGTGGATGAGGGCTGCGACGAAGTAGCCCGTTCCGGTTCCGGACCTAATTCTGGTTCAGGGCCTTGTGCTGAAATCGTGGAAGCCATGCTGTGCGCATGAAGCGTGTGGATGGGTAACGGTCCTGGCTGGCCTTTTCTCCTGAGAGAAACACCAAGTCAAAAAAGAAGCCTTTTGGTCGGCTGACAGGAAATTTCCTGCTCACAAGCAAGCGACAAGAGCCCTTTGCTTTTATACAATTGAATTGAGGAAGCCCCTACGAAGCGAATGTCTCGCGATGACTCGGACTCGGAACGGTCATCGAATATGGTAAGCCCGGGTGCGTTTAGACAACGCAGTTTCCAGGATGGATGGGTCTTGGGCGCGGCTGTGTTTCTCCCGAGAAATTCTTCGGATTCAATCAGACTGCTGTTTTACGGGACCTAGCACAGGATACATGACTTGTCTAGAAAAGGGCGAATTCGCACGCCAGCAGATGGCCATCGCCCTCACGGTGCTGGATACGACCATCGTATTTCGTATTGCCCCCTGACCTCAATTAGGCATCGGACGTCGTATTCCAAAGCCTGCAACAGCTGCTTTATTCGCCCACTTTAGTACACGCGTTCCAAGTCGTGTAGTAATGCTATTGATGTATACTATACGCAGCGTGTAATGATAATGGTACAGCAACCGTGCTGACCAAACGCAAGAACCACAGGCCTGCTGCCACCCATCATGCAATATTTATTCCGTAGCGCCAACCGTATATATGCTTACCCAAGCGCCTCTCATCTATGCCCAAGGATATCCATGGCATCCGCGTCATCGTCGTCGTCGTCGTCATCGTCTTCCTCCATTGCATCAGGATCGTCTTCGTCCTCGCTATCGGACGAGCTACTCTCGTCTGCTTCTCGACTCGGCAAAACGAAATCTTCTTGCTTCGGACTTTGACCACCCCAGAAGTCCAGGTCATCATCTTCTTCCATTGGAGAGGCACGTCCAGCAGTGCTGATTCGGCGCGCAAATTCAGCTCCCGCTGCACCAGCAGCTGCCGCCATACCAGCAGCCATGCTAACTGCGCTACTAGCAGTTGTGGGGGTAGGGGATCGTTGGCTCCCAGTGTCAAAATAGCTGCCTACCACTGGGGAGACTGACCGAACCGATCTTGAGCTTGGTGAGTGAGGCATAAGCCAGGGTGACTGTACGGGAGGTGATGTTGCGATAGTGTTGAATGTTTGCGCCCTCGGAACGGCTGGTGGTGCTTCCTGAATAGATGCCGCCGGTGTTAAGTCCTCGGTAGGGGTGTGATTTTGGCTTGCTGTGATCGCCCGTTCCCCCATATTGGTATCGTTGACGCGGTCTAGTGCCTGATCTTGTTCTATCTGCATCTGCATGGTCTGGTCCTCGCCGATCATCTCAAGCTGGACGGTGTTGTAACTGTCGCAAAAGACACACTTGGTACCAAGCCAGTGGAAGGGGGCCACACATCGACTGTTGCAATCGTTGCAAAAGATGTACGCTTTCTTGTCCCGGTACTCCGGCGGCATTGGCTGTTCTTCAATAGACCGGTCGAGGCGACGAAATTGTGACTCCATGTTTGCGATCGACTTGGAGCATATTGGGCATTTGTAAGCTGTGTTACACAGCTCCTTGAAGCAGCTGTTGTGTATGCTGTGTCCGCAGCGCATGAACGCCACTGGCAAATTTGACGTGAAAAGGAATTCGCCACATATTGGACAGTCGCACTTGGTACTTCGCTCGATGCATTTGTGTGTTTTCTCGGCCTCAATGCTCATGCAAGCAGCGCACGTTTTGCAGTGGAAGAAGTCTTTGCCCAAGCCTTCACCGAGTCGGCAGAGACCACAGTCGTCACAATGGTAGATCGATTTATGTGGGTCGTTATTCCACAGCTTGCATATTGGGCAGTAGTAGCACGCTGCCTGCTCGGCACACACCTTGCACACTTGCGACACTGGCTGAGGTGACTTGCATAGCATGCACAGCATATGACGGGTCTCTCGGCGTGGTAAGATATGGTTCTCGACTTCATCGTGACAGAGGCGACAGGTGTACCATTTGTCACAAGTAGCGCACTGCATTTTGACATTGCGGCGGTAGTGAATGCATCCCAAATGAGGTTCTGGCACCTCGTTGGGGTGCTCGTCTATTTCTTCTTGGTCGAGCGGCGCATACGTTGGCGTGAGGTCAGATTCGCTGAGGTTAAATGCTGGTCCTTGGCTCACGGCCAATGGTGATCCAAACCCTGTAACGGTGCCACGGCGGGACGAAGCAGCATTTCTCTGTGTAGCTTTGTATCGCTCGTTCATCAAGATGTGGATGAGCTTGGATTTTTCCAGCGGCGTACCCGGCCCGGTCCAGATAGCATTGATTCGCTGTCTCAGTGGTCCCATACCGTCGTCTTCAGGCAGAGCATCTGAGCCATCTCTTCTTCTAGGGTAGCCGTCCTCCATGTAGACATCAGCGTTGGACTGATCATTCTGCGGTTCGGGAAAATGACCAGCATTGACTGCTGCGAGGGGATCCGACTGTGAATGCCCTCTCGTATGATCTGAGAATACTATTGATCGGTGTTGTAGTCGTCGTGCGGGATTGAGGCTCGTGTCTGATATCGCTCTCAGGTCCTGAAGTTGCGGTGGTGCTGTATACTGTGCCGGAGACGGATCCAAAGGTGGAAACTCCGACATAGAAGTGTCTTGCTGTATAGCCAGCCCGGCCGACGCCGGTTCAGCAATGGCTTCGAGTGGTGGCGATGGAAACGGATCGGCATTGAGTTGGTGCGTCCATAACTGTATTGTTCTCGCAAGCGCCTGGACCGTCGACTCGCTGGGTTCGACCGAGCCGTCTTCCTCACTGAGCGACGGCGGTGGGGAGGTGCTGTTCCAGAAACGCGCCGTCCATGCGCTGAAGTCGGGGACTTGCGGCAACGGAGGCAGGACGAATGGGCTCAAAGAGGGGGAGGACTCAGACAGTCGTCGGGCCTGGTCGCGCAGGCGTGGAAAGAAATTAGGAATATATTCCTGGTAGTTACTCATTGGCGCGAGGCATTACAGAACAGAATCGCTGGCGAAGAAGTAGCGATCGTGTGTGCACTGGCAATGAAAGACCAGGAGACCCAAGACCTGAGGCCTGAGACCTGGGGTAAGGACTGCAGGTGGCCAAAGTCTAAGCAGGCCCCTGTTGAAGCATGTGACGGCCCCGAAGATGCCAAGACATCCTTCTAGACGTTGCCCTATGTTCTTGCTGGAAGCAGAAGGCGATATATGCGAATGTCGTCGTCGTTTACTGCGAGGACTAGGCACACAAGCGGAGCGAAGGCAGGTATATTGTAGTGAGGAACGGCAGGTCTTCGGTCCAAACCTTTCACCTTATATTCCACGTAAATAGTATAAAGGCCTACATACACCACGACTACCGCCGATAATAGACCATACATACATAGCCACATCGTCTCTCCTCCACCAAGTAGTCAACGACTAACTAACTTGGCAGCCGTTCAAAAAGCAAAAACTCAAACCCCGGGGAAGGGCTTGAGAAACCCCTACCTCGAGTTGGTTGGGGGTTTTTTAGTCGTATTCCCATATCGCTTTGTTCGATCGATCGACCCTGGCGAGAACTTTTTGCCTTTCTCACAGGTGCCATCGCTGTAAGTAAACCGAAGGTTCGCTAGCTCACCAGAGTCGCGGCGGAGGAACTCAAACGCGACACACGACTCTAGCAGGTGTTGAGCCCCGCCAGCATGTTGAACCTTGGACGCACACATGCGGTGTGGCACCAGGACCTCTCTAGTTTAACGTCATTGCGGACGATTGTTGACTCAATTTTTCGATCGAACAATTATATCCTTTCAAAAAAGCTCGGCTGATCCTGCCGCGATGAGCAGCCGTTGCCAGGCAAACGGCGACGAGGTGACAAGGCTGCGCCACCGGATTCGCTGCTGGTTCCCCACCCAGCGATGAACTTGGTGACTGGTGGTTCGATCCCACAACATACAAGGCCTTTTTGGTGCGCAAAAGTGCCGACACCAGCACCGTTCGAACCCATGCCGCCGGGACTAGGTAAGCGGAGAGCCTCGGTCGCAACATGTCTATTGCCGGCTAGTCGACTTTCCGGTATCGTGCATCCATACACTGCCTGTCGTCCTTCAGCTATTGGCTTCAGCAGCAGTCTCAGTCAGTGCTTTCAGGGTAGACTCGATCTCGCTCGGATCGGAAACAGACCATACGCCTCCGCCCTTAGCAGAACTTCGGCCAACTTCCTTGGACACCAGGTTGCGGCCGACCTTGCCGGGTCCTAGACCGAGGTACCGTCTGCAGCCAGCCTCTCGATCGAGGAATTTGATCGAGTCCCACCAGAGCACCGTATCGATGGCTTGTCTAGCAAGGTTGTTGATCAGCTGGTCCTTTGACCCGGCTGGCTTGCCACTAGCGTTCATAATTGTCGGACACAGACCAGGCCATTTGACCTTGTCAGGCTTTAGAGCCTTACGCATATAGTCGTATGCAGGCTCCATAATGGGGCTATGAAAGGCCGAGTTGGACTTCAGCTCCACAGCGCGCGGATCATGCCCTCCAAACTCTCTGATGTGCACCAGCAGGTTCTTGATGCGATTGAAGCTGCCACTGAGCACAATCTGGTTCTTCGAATTATAATTGGCGATCGACACCTGCTGGATGGCTTGCTCGTGGCTTGAATCATCCTTGGCACCTTCTGAGCCCTGGCTTAGGAAATCCTTGACAGCCGCAATGAGACCAGGCAGCTGATCTGGTTCACAAACCAAGGCCATCATGCCGTACCTATCTCCAGACTCTTCCTTGGCCTTGCGAGTGCATTCACCCATGATCTCTCCTCTCTTCCGGACGAGCTGGAGTGCAAAAGGATACTCGAGGTACCCAGCAGCTACAAGGGCGGCATATTCGCCTAAGCTATGGCCGAGTGTAACATCGATGGTGTCTTGCGGCTTGAAGCCAAAGTCTTGTTCGAGAACCCGCAGGATCATGACAGAGGTCTGGTGCGCAGGTTAGCGGGCGGCATCGATGTGAGACATCGGGAGGTTACGTACGGCCATGATTGCAGGTTGAGCATTCTCGGTCTTGTCCAGCATATATATGGGTCCATCTTCTATCATTGTTGAGAGCTTGGTTTGCAGGATCTCGTCCATCTCTTCAAGGAAGGGCTTGCATGTGCGGGGGAATGCCTCGACCCATGGACTGGTCATGCCCTTCCGTTGTACTCCATGGCCAGGGAAGAAGAGGGCGGTTCGTAACGGTCGCTCCAAGGAAGTGGCATAGCTCCGACTCGATGCTCTCGAGAGGATTCGTGGGAGCTGCCGGGCTAGCGGCCTGACGCGGGTAGGCATCATGAAATGGACGGGGGATAGCGATGTCGCTGAGGCACGGCTAGAGCATCACTGCAAGGTCAGCCCAGGGACTAAGCTGTAGGAGCTTGAAATGTTCTGCTGGATGCAAACTGATCTATGAAGAAGGTGCGGACGAATCTACTTTCCCACAACAGCTCAGTGAAAGTCACCACGGCTCGAGATAGAAGCGGGAGCAACTGATGTGGGGATTCCCGGGGCCAATGTGGAGTTCTCGGCTCCTTCGGGAGAATGGCACAAGCCTGGGCGAGAACAACCGGGCTCAGAACACCAGGCCAACCTCGCCAACATCCTCAGGCATTGAACCAACAACAAATCATGCTGATACTTGGTGCACATCGAAATCTTAGTCCGAAATACGTTATAATCACAATGTATCTGCCCCATGGCTTTGGGTGCTAGATGATACATCGTAGCATACCCGATTTGGAGAAGGAATATAGTTTGTTTGATTGATTCGAACTCTCAAGGTTCTATGTCTTTACCGCTATCATAGTTCATCGAGGTCGTATCTATCCATGTCTTCTTATGCATTGCTCGGAGAACTCGGCGGCCCCCTTGCTCGCTTCACAGCACGTACCTATATCCCGACGCGATCTGCGCCCTTGTAGGTCCACTCTTACCCGTGTCCCTGCCCTTGTCCAACAGGCCATTCTGCCTTCGGAGGTAGATGCGCGTAACGGTGGCCAGGGCGATAGCCCCACCAGCGGCCGCGAGATTGACGAGGAAGGCCACTAGGTAGCGTGGTGCTCCCGTGTACAGGTATGAGCACCAAATGTTCGGCGTGTTGACAGTGGCGTTGATGAGAGCGATAGCCGCAGCGCGCTTGCTGGCCGGCTGGGAAAGTGAGGCTGTGATCCAGGACAGCACAACTGTCGAGCCACTGTAAAGACTCGCAGGCATCAACATCATGGCGAAATAGCGTGCACCAGTATTTGTCGTGGATACCGCGATCACAAAAGCAACAAGGCCCACAGTCAGGGGACAGACAATGTGGAGGTAGCGCTCTTGCTTCTTGTCGGAATGGAAGCCGATGGCCAGCATAACGCCGACGGCGAGCAGATAAGGTGGCGCTGTGAGCGCATATGTCGTTGAGCGGTCGAAGCCAAGAGTCTCGACCACGCTGGGGAAGAAATTTGTAACGGCGGAGGAGATAAAAATGCAGTATAAAGTCGCCAGCAGCATCCAGGTCTTGGGATCCTTGACTGCCATGATGAGGCCTTGTTTTGCGGTGACTTCGGCGGAGTTGTCGTTCTGGCCCTGGTCTTGCTCGTAGTTGTACCGGACCCAGTCGCGCTCCGCCTGCGTAAGGAGACGGATCGTCTTGGGCGAGTTCGGAAGTATCAGGGCGAATAGGAGGGCGAGTCCGACGGTGAGCACGCCCTCCACAAGAAACAGCCAACGCCAGCCCTGTAAGCCGTGGGCGCCGTCGAGTCTAAGGATGCCGATCGCAAATAGCCCACCGAAAGCGTTCCCTAGCTGACTTCCGCTGTACAAGATCGCTGCTCGGAAGGCATATCTGTGGGATCATTATCAGGTATTGTTCATCAAGGTTCTCTACCCCGGAGCGGGGTTTGGCAGTATTTATACGAGGCATTTTCGGTGGAATTGCTTACTGCTTGCGACTGTAGTAGACTGAAAGGTAGTACAGGGCCCCAGGGAAGAAGACGGCTTCAATGAAGCCAACTGTTCGAAGATTCTTGATCAGTCTGGGTCATTCCCTTGGGGAGGTGGGAGGAGACACTCACCGAAGAAGCGTGCTAGGAGCAGCCCGGTAAAGGAATGCACGGCTGCCATGCAGCCACTAACAACTCCCCACATAGCCATCGCGCAGCAAATGTAGGCTCCAGGATACTACAGATCGTGTCAGTCGGCAGTAGTCTTGGGCAGAGGGTCGCTATTTCAAGCGTAGGCAAACTGACTTTGATTTTTGATAAAACCATATTTGATGGAACCTGCATCAGGATATACCCGACGAAGAGAATCGAGACACACGTCTGGTACTGGACGGGCGAAAGGTTGAGATCAGTCTCGATGTCAGCCAGCTTCGCGGAAGCGATGTTCTGTCGATCAAGAAAGTTCTGTCCGATTTGTTAGATTTGTACAGAGACCACACGCAGCCCTTGGGTGCAGAGTAGATCAGCTTACCAGTATGAACATGATGACCTTGGTCAGGTTAGCAGATAGTCCCACAGCAGCTTGGAAAGCTTCTCACTAGGCAAGGCAGGATTTGGATATCCATCTTGAACGTCGCGCTGCGGCCCAATTTGTCGTATTCAGTATTGGACAGGTCTATCAGAGTATCCGGCAGAGGCTGTTTCGCCACATTGTCGGCGGTGAAGTCGACAGTCTCGACTTCAGCCTCAACTGGGTGATCCTTGGCCCGGGAGGAGTCCATGTCGTGTGCGTCGGTATTACTCAAGAGAGGCACTCTGGCTGAAAGAGTTGGTGATGGAGAACGAGTACCGCGTCCGGAAGCCATCACGGCGGCAACATGGGCTTCTTATAATGTTGCGAAACCCCGGGTTGTGGAGAGTCGGGGAGCGAAATCGTCGACCATGGAGGTCTCCAGTTGCCCTGTAGTGCCCCGTGTGGGCTTTGGATCCTCCCTTGATTCCGCCGGATTCGTTGTTTTACCGACAGCTGCGAGCCACGGGGAGGGTCTGGCGGCGGGTCGACGCCACCCCTAGGATGAGTCTGGCGCACGCTCTTGGTCACTCTGCGCAGGAATTGTCGATGGAGTTGATGAGATGGAGTCGAGGGCGACAGTGAACCGTGCCACAATCAAGGTTTGAGTTACTGAATAGAGTAGCAGAGCCGCACTGAAAGTTTGGTAGTCGCGGCTGGTGTCGGTGTCGATGGATCTGAGAAGGATCTCCCGACCTAGGGTTGCCTGCGAAAGGACAAGCTCATCCGGCTGTGGATTAAGCAACGCCGATTGTTGAGGCCATGATTCGGCCACATGGGCAAGGTTGAGTACAGACATCATAGGCCCTCTCACCCCACTGCCCACCCCCGTTTTGGGTCACACCGGCCCTATCTGCCGTGACCGGGTTCTGAGCGGGAAATACGCCGACACTGAGGGCGAGAGATTGCCTTGTGCATGTCAACACTGTATGATGGAAAGTGTATTATGCTATGCTATCGAAGTGCTAAAGTGCAATTTTCTACATATAAATGTCAAGCTGGTGCCCCCTGCCAAGAAATATGCCCAGACCGCGTATGGACTGCGATTCCATGTGCATCAAGTATCTATGGTAATGACTGATCCCCTGCCGTACGCAGAGTACAATAGTCAATGTCGACAAGTACTTGGGGAGACAGATCATCTCTCAGACTTGCGATCTGCGTCGATGTCGGACTTGCCCTCCAGAACACCCAGCTCAGGATCCTCGACACCGTGAACAACGTCACGGGAGAGCTCGACGTAGTCGTACGCAAACTCGCCGATCTCAATTTCGTCCATACCAAGCAGTTCCTCATCTTCGGTCGCCCTCAACTTGAGTCCTGGGATGAGGTTGATCGCAAACAGAAGCCCAATTGACATGACGAAGGTGTACGCCATACCTGAGACCCCATCGCAGAGCTGATAAGCCAGCTGGATCCAGTGCTGGTTGAGCCAGCCACCAGCGATGGCATCTTCTCCAATGCTAACACCGTCCAGACCAGCGATATAGTCTGCAGCAAAGAGACCGGTAAGTAGGTTGCCCACGAAGCCGCCAACACCATGAATGGCGAAGATATCCAGGCTGTCGTCAATGCGTAGTATAAACTTGATCTTGGTGGCAAAGTTGCAAGCTGCACCGCCAACAACACCGAAGATCACAGCAGCCCAGGCCGGCACGAAACCAGAGCCAGGAGTGATGGCGACAAGACCGGCAATGACACCGCTGCAGAAGCCAACGGTCGACCACTTGCGCTCGAGACGGTAGTCGAGTGCGCACCAGGTGAGACCGCCAACGGAGGCAGCCAGATTCGTGACGACGGCCGCCATGACAGCGCGCAGATTCGCGGATAGGGCTGACCCGGCATTGAAGCCGAACCAACCGACCCACAGGAAGACGGTACCGATCACGATAGAAGTAACATTGTGTGGCTGAAGAGGGTCAGCGATCTGCGTAATGCCCGGGCCTTTGACTTACGCGATAGTTGAGTTCGTGGGTGCCGTGACCCTTACGTTTGCCCAGCATCAGGGAGTAGGCCAGGGCGGCAGTGCCGGAGGTCTGCGTCCAAAGTTAGCAATGGTCGCGGTGAGGATGCGGCTTGGGCTTACAATGTGCACAGGTGTACCACCTGCAAAGTCATAGCCACCCATCTTGAAGACCCAACCATTTGAGTTCCACGTCCAACACGCCACAGGGTCGTAGACAATGGTGGACCAGCAGAATGCAAAGACCATGGCCGGAAGGAGTCGGCCACGCTCTGCGGCTGCTCCGATAGCCAGCGCAACCGTTATGGCCGCGAACATTCCTTGGTACACCGCGAACATCAGGTCTGGGATTCTTGAACTGCCTATGCTCGGCGCGCCGAGTACATTGCGAAAGCCAATGTGTTGCAGGTCGCCAATGAAAGGGCTTGCACCGCGCGAGAAAACGAGGGAATAGCCCCAGAAGAACCATTGGAAGGAGATGAGGGCGGTGGCGGCGATCGACAGCCAGATGAGCGAAAGGGCGGACTTGCGACGCGCCAGTCCGGAGTAGAAGAAGCTGTTGTGCAACGTTAGACAAGAAAACCAGTCAACCGAGCTGAGGTGGTGGAGGACAGGATCGGGGATCGCAGGCGCAGCCGCATGCGCCAGTTATCACTCACCCTACACCGGGAATCATGAGCAACACCAACGCGGTGGCCATGATCATCCATGCCAGATCACCGGATTGATAATAGACGTTCAGGTTTTCGGTCCTGGAGTCGCCGCCGGTGCCGCTTTCATTGCCCTGTTCTTCGTCAACGTCCGCGGGGTACGGCAACGCCTGGGGGGCATACCTCATAGACCGCGAGCGGCACGTACGGTAGCGTTTCGTCTGCAGACATGTCTGCGGTCTCTGTGCGTTGTGGTCAGGGTCAGAACAAGATTGTCAGTGCAGCAGAATGCGGCAGCTAGCACCGGAGAAATGAAGAAGCAGGGAACGGAAAGGCGCAACGGGTCCAAAGGAGCGACTGAAATGGGGAAAGGAAGGGTAGATGTAGCTTTGACGAAGTTGTACGGGTAGGGTGAGGTCCAGCGAGGACTCGAGGGAGTCGCCTCAGAAGCACACAAGCAATTGGTCCCTTGACCAAGCCATATGCGAGTGTTGCTTTTTGCAACCGAAAGACTGCCGAGTCTCCCGTGCTGCAGCTTTCCCGCGCATGAGAGGTGCATGAGCAGGTGGTTACCAAGGTGCTTATGGCTCGGAAAAAGATAGCACAGATTCGACTGTCAATCCGTGGCATGGCAGCCCTCGAGCAGGGGATATGCAGACCAATCACAGCAGGCTTGAAGTGCTGATAGGCGTTGGTTGGCTTCGGCACTAAGCGCCAAAGAGCTTAGAAACAAGCCTACCCTCGGGGGTCTCAATGTGTTCCTGGCGATCCCCGGGCCTTTCGCCCTGATACGTGCTATGGTACACGGGGTGCTGCTAAATTGCTGGACTTCCGAGTATCAATACTGTAAGATACAGTTTGGCAGGGGTGTCTATTGGGAGGCCGTTTATTAAATGTCCCAATGTTGAAAGATAAGGCGACCGATGCTGATTCGTGCCCGGCGACATCCCACGTTTCGTAGGCCTGGAACCGAGAGAGGTGTTTCGCATTTATGAGATTGGTTCTTCTCACATCAACTTACATAGATAGAGCCAACTTTCTTTTCAGCACACCTTCGTCAATTTTCCCTGCAACAGGACAAGCATTTAGGCTTCTGGACTCGTCGCTCGCGTCCGACGCGTCGTTGTTTGGACACCTTCGCGAGTGGTGGCAACCTTGCTTACGGAGTCGCAGGCGTACGAAAGACCGTAAGATGGCCAGATTAGTCGTGTACCAATGCGGTGTCGTTGCATTCCATGTATCAGAAGATGCAGTACTATGCATCGGTCCCCAACCTCTCCCGGGCACTTCTTAAAATGGTAGTGGTGGCATGACTATCCGTACCTTGAGGTGCTTCCGCATCATGAGTAAAGTAAATGCCGCCAGGTCCAGTGTTCTTCCGCCATGTAATCGGTAGAAGCGGCCGACTGGGCTGGTTTCGCATGTTCTAGAAAGGTCGCTTAGCCGTCGTGGTTGGACTGATCGCATGTGACGGATAGAGGTGTAGCAGTGTGCTCCTCGTACTCGCCTCCCGGGCATGAACTTTGGGGAGCTCAACCATATTGCCTGATCAGCAGGTCGATTGACGAGTAGGCAAGCTGCGGAAGCTCTGCTTCATACAAGGGTCTATGGCCATTCTCCGGGCGCCTGCAACATGTCAAGTTGTAAGTTCATTCGCAATGAGTAGTTGAGGAGAAGCAGAGTCGTCGAGCGTTAAACTGCTTCGCAGGGATGGTCGCCAGTGCCAAGACTGTCCTCTTGCAGCCTCCTCATGCCATAAACATCACCCGACACTTCTCGTTCATCCAGATCATCGTCCGTTTGCTCGTCTTGGTGCTGGCAGCAGCTATCTAGTATGGACTTCACGTTGACCTCGCGGCTGCGGCTGAGCCACTTGCTCGGACCAAATGCTGGCAAGCACTCACATCGATCCGTGATCTAGTTTGGTCGTCTTCACCTACTTGAGGCCTACAAGTCTGATGAGGCCAAGTCATGCAATTTGCTCTACCTGCAGCTAACAGGGAGAAAGCTGTTGACCAGCGTACCTGCGCTGGAAGCCAGAATATGCACAGGGTTTACGTCCTCTTGACTCCTGTCATACGCTGTGCTTCTTGTTATACCTGCATGCGTGCAGCGCGAGTGAGTTGAAGCACAGGTTCAGTCTAATCTCTTTCGATGCCGCTCTTCGAGAGACCTTCAGACAAGTCTTTGAGCTCTATGCTATCAAGGAGGCTGAGCGCAGCTGGCGTCTGACTCTGTTGCTCAATTACAGAGGTCCAACTGAAAGAATGTCTCCAGACATCAGCGTCGTCGGCAGACTTGTCGAAACCTACACGACTAATCGCTACCATACATCATTCAAGTCCATCCTGATCCAAGGTGCGATGATCAATGAGTCCTGAACCCGAGCTCAGCTTGAAGGTATCTTTGAGGGTAGGGAGGTATGACGCAACCCTTGCATCCTGGGAGTTTTGCCGATGTTGTCGATACTTCCCAGGGCGACCAAGCGCATGATACAATAGCTGCGGTGCTCTCTGTAGAGAGGCTTGGCAAGGATTGAGTACCAGGAAGTGACACCGATCATTTACTCAAGTACAGGTCTAGTATTGAGGTTTGCGAAACTTCCATGAATTCTGGAAGGGCCATATCAGCCAAATTTTGGTGGAGTCGGTGCGGGAGGTCGAGTGGAGGGCGAAGATGCTGATGCAGGCTTCATTAACAGGGCCCAACCATGTTCATCAGCGGCTAGAGCGATTGGAATCGACTGTCTAGCAAGCTCGCTTACCAGACGCGCGACAAATACTCCGTACATCCGTCCATAGTCGCTCGACAACTCAGTCTGCCAGGTCATAAGCAGTCCATATCAGGCCGTTCGAAACAGAAATATTTGTGTTGAAGACGTAAAAAGTTGGCACGAGCGACATCTAGCCTTGATTTAGCCGACCTCGGCACCCACATCCGGGTTATTGCTGGCGACGAGCTCATTTCATCGTGATCAAGGGGCGTGACCGACACGTGTACGCCGCTAGGCAAAAAAGTCGTGTACTCTGTAGATTATTCTCAACTGTGCTATCGTGCGCTCGATATAAAACAATGTCGACTTTTGATTCTAGTTGACGCTTTTGGGCACCATGACGGGTAACGGGAGCCCGTCCGCGGGCGCGGCAGCAGCAGCCGAGGCCAGCCTGATGCCTGCGCCGATGGAAACCTTAAGCGGCAGCCCCAATAACTCGGCCTCGAATCTGTCCCTTGATGGCAATAGAGACATATCGACGTCTGCGCCTAGCAGCCGCAGCATCCTTATTCCGACGCGTTTTGGTCCTCGCATGAAAAGAGAAGGAGACGACCGTCCTATATTGACCAAGATCATGGAACACGATGAAATGATGCCTAATGGCCGAGGCTCTGGCTCTTCGTCCGATGAAGACCAGCAGCAAGCGCAGTCTTACGAGGTTTATCCATTGGTGACCGGCGACTATTCTGATTCCGACGGCGGACCCATCACATACACACCAGCGAGTACAGTATTCACGAGCTCATCTGGCTTTCCTCCCTCCTCATGGGGCTCTTACAACCCGAGGCCGCGAGGCGGAAGCGGAGGTCCATCAGCAATGGAGCGGTCCCTCACCACCGACCCGCAACATGCGGCTACAGACTTGCGAACTGGCCGCCCTGTGCCAACACGTATACCATCTAGCACATATGCACCTTCTACGGCCAGAAGGCCGCCGCAGTTTCTCTCCCTCAATTCGAAACGCATGTCCTCCTCCGCCTCAGTCCGGCCATCGAGACGTGACCCAAATGCTCAATACAAAGCTCAAGAGAAGGCATACGTCCAGCGGGTTCGACAACAGCCTCAAGATTGGATTAATCCAGATCCGCGAACTCCGAGTTTGTCCTACAGCACAGACGAGGATGAGGATGATGAATCACCTTTGACCGAGCACCACTACGATGATCCCTACGATCCCGAGACGTTGATGTTCCTTGGAAACGAAGACAACGTCCTACCATCAGAAGAAGAGCTACAAGTCTCTGAGAACAGAGAACGGCTCGAATGGCATTCGATGCTCGCCTCTGTCCTCAAAGGCGATGTTGTCAAACAAGAGAAACAGCGTCTGATCGGTACAGCTGAACAAATGAGTCAAAGCCAGATTGGTGACGAGATCTGGATGGGTGCAAGAGCCAAATTCTATGGACGTACTGTACCGATGCAGAAGAAGTTGATTGAAGAGGCTCGTTCCAACTTGGGTTCCATGGTTGAAAGCATCATTGCCTTCGAGATCAAGGGCGAGACCATCGCGGGGAAGTCGCCGCTCGAACAGGTCGAAGAAGCAGTACACAAGATCGAGAAGTGCGAATGGCTGTTTCCAAGCCGAGCACAAATGGTTGCAACTGAGCCTCGAGCAGGTTCCGACCTGTTCAATCAGAGCTGCGATGCAATCATTTCCTGGTACAACATCACCCAGGTCATCAATACCGAGCTCGGAATCCTGCAGGCATGGGTTGGCAATCCTGAGCTCGACTTCACGAAGACACGACCAAAATCAGAAAGGGAGAATCTTACTGACGAATCATCATTTATCGACCGCATACTCAAAGAAGACGGCCTCAAGTCTCTACAAAGTGAAAAGAGCATGTTCAATGGCATCGGCGAGGTCATCAAGAAAGCAAAGATTGCCCTGACGCAGAATGCACACTCTTTTGCAACCCGCCACTTGCCTCCCTACATCGAGGAACTACTGACCTTGATCAATTTCCCATCGAGATTGATTCAGGAGATCATCAAGATCCGGCTATCATATGCAAAGAAGATGAAAGAGTCCGCTCAGCAGTCCATTATGATAATTGATCAGATGATCTCGCAATTCCAGATTCTGATGCAACTTGCCTGTATAGTCAAGCGAGAATATTTGACCATCATTCCAGCAGAAGCTGGATGGGACTTGCCGCCCTGTATCGACGAAGGGTTCGATGAAACGGTGCTCGAGGCTTTGAGGTTTTACTTCAAGATGTTGAATTGGAAATTGGGCGCCAATAAAAACACGTTTCGTGAAGCCGAAATTCTGGAGTCAGAATGGGACTTCTCGAACGAAATCGGCCGCCAACTTGAGGGTGGTGATATCGAGGTGGCGGAGCAGTTTAGCTCTCTCACAGCCAAATCGCTTCTTCGTTTGACCGCATCATTTGAAAGAGAGCTGCGCCAGAGACCGGAAGAGACGCCCCAAGAAATGGAGAAGCGGTATAAAGCGATTCTTGACTCAGTCCGAGTTCGACAGCGAAAGCTCTTCCGATTCTCCAGACTACTCAGACAACGCTTCGAGAATTCCACAGAGTTCAACCTGGGCATGGAGTCTAGTCAGATGCAGGACTTTACTGAATCTTTGGCCATGTCTGGGCACTTCCTAGTCGACATGGGACTGAACGCCCCCAAGGGTGTTTATTTCGTGGCCTCGCTTTCTCTTTGGGATCGGCCGAAGGATATCCAATCCATTCTGGGAACCTCCTTCCACGTTGAAGATGCGCCTGAAGACCTGTCATATCCCTACATTCTAGCCATCCGTCCGGAAGAGGGCATGAGCTGGGACGGTCCGAAGATGTCGGTTGAGGTTCTCGAATTACCCAACGACGTCCGCGTTGGTCGAGTACGACTGATCGCTGATGGCTCTTCGCAACGCTTATCGACAGCAAGGCAAGAATTCTCTAATGCTGTGGGGCGCGAACTGGATGTCGTTATCGAACAGCGCGCAAATCTCTCTCGGGTCAATCTCGAACTGGGCAAAATCAAAAAGACAACATTCAAGCTGTCCAACACAATCATGGAAAGCGTGGAAGCTATCAGATCCCAGTCTGGCGACGCGGCGACGCCGGAGCTCATCCAGTCTTGCTTCGCCTTTGCGACTGAATTTGGCAAGCGGTCGCTGTCTTACATGGATCCAAATCGCCGGATGATGAACAATTTAAAGTTGACTCGACTGGCTCTCGACTGGATAAGCTTCATATGTGACGATTGTGATGCTGCTGACCGTCGGACCTTCAAATGGGCCGTGGTGGCCCTCGAATTTGCTATGGTCATGACACGTGGTCGCAACGTGTTGGATATCTCAGAAGAGGAGTACTCTCGCATCCGTGTCAAGGTCGCTGGGTGCATGTCAGTTCTTATCAGTCACTTCGATATCATGGGTGCTCGGTCAACACTGGCCGCGCAACAAGAAAAGTCACGAGTCGACGCTGCGGGTGTTAACAAGCGGCTGGATTTCTCCAAGATGCGCAACGATGACGATTGTTACCAGCAGATGTGCGACGCACGTCTGTCACAGTTGGAAGAGATTGACAATCTGCGTGCTGAGCGAGGTCCATCAAAGGCAACACTGGGCAAGGTGCTCGAGGGGTCCAACGAGGCTGACCGGTCTTTGACCTTCCTGTCCTCAAGTGCGACTAACATCACGATGCGTTGGCAGCAAGGACGGTATGTTGGTGGTGGTACCTTCGGCTCTGTGTACGCCGCACTGAACCTCGACACCGGCAACCTTATGGCTGTGAAAGAAATCCGTCTTCAAGACCCACAGATGATCCCCACGATTGTCAAGCAAATCGGTGATGAGATGGGAGTGCTTGCTGTTCTTGACCACCCCAACATCGTGTCATACTACGGAGTGGAGGTGCACCGCGACAAGGTCTACATCTTCATGGAATATTGCTCTGGTGGGTCGGTGGCCGGCCTGTTGGAGCATGGCCGCATTGAAGATGAGACAGTTATCATGGTGTACGCCCTACAGATGTTGGAAGGATTGGCCTACTTGCATCAGGCTGGTATCGTCCACCGTGACATCAAGCCTGAAAACGTGCTCCTGGACCATAACGGCGTGATCAAGTATGTTGACTTTGGTGCAGCCAAGATCATTGCACGGCAGGGTCAAACCATTGTCGCGCCTGAACCGAGCCCTCTCAAGACGGACAAAGGTGGCGACCAAGGACGAGGAAACCCGGCTGGCAAGCCCGGGCAGCCTCAGAAAAGCATGACGGGCACGCCAATGTATATGTCACCGGAAGTCATTCGAGGAGAAGCACCTCCCAGCTCACGCTTCTTTGGCGCGGCCGATATTTGGTCTCTGGGTTGCGTCATACTCGAAATGGCTACGGGTCGGAGACCGTGGTCGACTTTGGACAACGAATGGGCAATCATGTATAACATTGCGCAGGGCAACCCGCCTCAGCAGCCTACGGAGGACCAGCTAAGTGAAGGAGGCTGCGCGTTTCTGAGGAGATGCTTTGAACGCGACCCCAGCAAACGGGCGAGTGCCGCAGAACTTCTACAAGACCCGTGGATCGTGGAAATCAGAAAGCTTGTTGTTGATGGCCAGAGTGAAGGCAGCACGCCTTCCCGGACGGATACCATGAGCAGCTTCGGCACGCAGTCTGGTAGTATCAGCAGTGCGAGTGGAGGTGTTGGCGTGAACTCGGGCTCTTGGAACTTCAGTGCGAACCCGACGTCGATTGCCGAGGGGTCAGGTGCGGCGGAGGACGACAATGAGCCTCGCACAGCTTGAATTAAAAGAGGAAAGGGTGAGCGTGGGCGGAAATTTGGTGTTGAAATGGGTTACTCGCTGTAAGTGCGATGTTGAACAGAACTTTGGTCTTAATACAGCAGACTGTCTTGTTAGCGTACGCTATGGATGGATCGACCAATTGCTGTTTCTACATAGCGAGGCGTTTGGTGGCATTAGTGTTCCCGACTTGATAAGGGCTTGCTGACTGACCATGCATGGGACATCGCCGTCAAGTACCATCCGTCTGATATGCCCCTGGGGCGGCAGCACGGTCCTGTATTTACATAATTTATGAGCTACGAATAACAGGAGGTCTGTACGAAGTAGATGAGAAGCGATGGGTTGGCTAAAGTTGACTAAAGTTCGTTGCCTTGACCTTTCCAACGCCTTGTCATGCATGCAACGCGCAGGTCCGAACGCAAGGGCGGCCATCCTGCATCCCGGGGTGTAGGAGTCTGCCAGCCATCCTGCATCTCTGTACCTCCGCCACAAATCTCTCAATCAGTCCCGTGACTCGTTTATCGTCGTTTCAGCCGTTAGACTATTGCACTGGTACTTTGCCCTGGTCCATCAAAACTACTGATTATGTCTGCGGCGGTGTCTACTCGTGAAGACCAGGATGAAATAGTCGGATCCGAGTTTGACTATTAGTCGCTAATCGGCCGCCGATCGAGCATGATCGACAGGAGATGCAAGCCCGAAACGGATGTTACCAGCCCGCCGTTCTCGCACAGGCCAAGTCGGTTCTGCAACATGACTGCTGTCATCAACGTTGTTGACGTAAAAGACATAAAGAGACGGCAACGGTGCTAATGGCAACCCACCAAACATACGGTGCGGCTAAAGAGCAGTGGATATCAATAACTACCCCATGGTGTCAATGGTGCGCATGAAGATCGTTCCCGACCCAGCTGTCTTCACCACTTCTGTCTGCAGACCAAGCCTGCCAGTTTGGATCCCTGCTTGAGCAGCACCCAATGATGGTACGAGTCCATCAAACCCGACTGCGACCCCCTCGCAAAATCATATGGCTCGTCGTATCTCCTGCGTGTCGATCAACGGCTCCAGCGGAATGTCTGAGCTATCCGACTCCCCAGACTCGGTCGCAAATCTGCCTCAAGCCAACGAGACCTGCTTGGCATCCTTCTTCCGTGAACACCATGGATTGTCGACCTTAAAAGTGCAGCGTTCCTGTCTGCAGTGGCCTGGCATCTCCGCGCGACCAACACTCCCAAAGGACGCTCGCTCCAGTCGATAGCCTCACCCCTCAACACACATTCGCGACAATATGGCCGACGCCGCGGTGCCGGTAGATACACCAGCACCTCATGTGTTGATGGACGCTGTCGGCAAGTGGTGGCTCGCATGGTGCTGCACCTGGTCAGCCTGCCTCTTCGCCGGCATAGCTTACCTGATCAGCAAACGCCACGTGCCATCTGTCCGCATTCGAGGCCTTACCCTGACCATCTGCGGTGTTCTTATGCTGCACGTCTACTGGGTCCTGTGCGCTATTGGCTACAATCTCGGCCCCGTATTCCCTGAGATGACAGAGTTCTGGGTCATGAACACCTACTTCCCAGCCGGGCTGGCTTGCTTCCAGGCTGCGAATAGTCGGCTGCTGCATGTGGCCAGACTACAGGAGAGGTATTCAACGCCCGGCGCTGTGGAAGAGGCGGTTCGGAAGACGGCCGTGGATAGTTCGCAGCCGTGGCATAAGCGGACTGTTCAACGGTTCAGGCAGACGGACGCCAGAGTCAAGATGCTGATTTACATCGGTATCGCTTTGTTCTTTCAGGTACCGTCATCTTCGTCCTCCATTCTCGGCCCGGCTAACTAGTTAGATTTGTGTCGCGGTCGTCATCTTCTGCCTCTCTCGCAAGTTCCATCCAGGCTGGGGCATCGAGGGTACAGAGACACCTGCCGATGAAGAGGGGCGCAAACACGCCATTCCTCGGGGTTGGGAGTGGTAAGTGCAGCATCCTGCAGTTTTCGACAGCTACTGACGCACGACAGGGTCCCTTCCATCGGGTGGCAAGTATTCTGGACGTGGATCTGTGCCCCCTACGTTCTCTGGCAAACTCGCCATATCAAAGACACCCACGGCTGGCGTATCCAAACAGCCGTGTGCTGCATTGCCGGGTTCGTGTTCTCCCCTTGAATTGTCCGTTCACGTACTGATAGCCTCGCAGCCTCCCCGCCGCCCCCCTCTGGCTTGTCGCGCTCTACGTTCCAGCTATGGCCCCAGTCAACAAGTATTGGATCCCACCACAGTGGATCTGCGTCTCCATCACCGTCATGGAGGTCTTCACCATCTTTGTCCCTTGCTATATGGCCTTCCGCCGAAAGGCTCTTCACGCCGACACCCTCGCCGCCATCCAGCTCTGGGAAGCACGGAAAGTGGGCTCGTCTTTCTCGTCCGGAGACACCACCGTCGGCGCTGACACCGACGCCACCACCGTTGCTCATCGGAAATCCGCCTTCTCCTATGCCGACACCATCCAGGTGTCTGTCAGGCCAGGCACCCCCGCAAAGCATCAGCAGCAACAACCAGCCGTCATGTTCACCATGGACTCCCTGGAGCAGTGCCTGCGCCTGAATCCCGAGCCACTCCAGCAATTTGCGGCGCGCAAAGACTTCTCCGGCGAGAATGTCGCCTTTTTGACATCCGTAGCGGAGTGGAAACGGCAGTGGCGCACGCAGACCTCGGCAGCGGGCAGCTCGGGCACGTCCGAGGACCGCGCCATCATAGAGCGCCGCTTCTTCAACAAGGCTGTGCGGATTCATGCCGGTAACGTGAGCATGACTTACGCGAGCTTCCCGATCAATGTCGCATCGCGGGAGAGGAAGGCGCTGGAGCGGCTTTTTGAGAAGGCAGCGGAAATCTTGTATGGAAGGAGGGAGTCATTTGACTCGGCGGCCACACTGTTTTCCAGCTGGAGTGGCGGTGATGGGTCCCAGAAGGAGAAGTGCCATGACGATGACAAGAGTACGGCTGGCTTCGCCGAGAAAGCGGTAGAAGAGGACGGTGCCGGCGTGGACGGCGAAGAGTACGAGCGCGCGTGGTACTGGGGCGAGATCCCCGACGGGTTTGACATTACCATTTTTGACGATGCGGAGAGGAGCGTGAAGCAGATGGTGCTGATGGACACGTGGCCGAAGTTTGTGAGGAGCGGGTGGGCTGAGGAGACGGAGAAGAAAACGGGTGTGCGGCGGACCATGAGCTTGGGGAGGATGCTTGGGATGAAGAACAAGAAGAAGGAGACGGACCGGAGTCGAGGGACTGTGTCTGTGGTATGAGTGTACGTCATTGGTATTGTCCTGTCAGCAAATTTCTTTAGCGTAATCATCAAAGTTGGTACTTCATGGTAAGCTGTATACATGTCGGTGTATAGATCCATATATGCATATCTATGCCAAGCGTTTTACTGCCTGACCGTGAATGCCAAGCCTACACGACTGATAGTGGAATTGTCATCGCCATGGCGCACACAACCTGTGGCATGTTTCGGCTTAGAGGGTAGCAATGCCATAGTTGCTGAGAATCTCCCTTCTGCCCTTGCGTATAGTTCAGGTCTGCACCCTCTTACCGTCTATAAAAGTGTGAGACTGGCTCCGGCGGCGTACTAAGACCGCCATAGCTGAAATCACCCACCGCTCGTCTCGACCCAGTTTCCGAAGACACTTTGAAGGCGAGGCGGCCACATGCAAGTTGCCGAACAGATTGGAGACACCATCAAACGACCGTGGACATGCCTCTGGGTTCTGGAGCCTCCGTTGCCAGCCTCACAGGGATCGCCGTATCGCTCCTGATCGCAGTCGTCGGAGCAAATATCCTCAAACAGCTCTTCTTCCGTGACGCCAAACTACCTCCCGTGGTCTTCCACTACCTCCCCATCATCGGCAGCACCGTCTCCTACGGCCAGGAACCGTACGCGTTCTTCTTCAAGTGCCGCGCCGAGTATGGCGACATCTTCACCTTTGGACTATTGGGCATGAAGGTGACGGCCTTTCTGGGCACCAAGGGCAACGAATTCATCCTCAACGGCAAGCTGAAGGACCTCAATGCCGAGGAAGTGTACGGCCCGCTCACAATCCCGGTATTTGGGACGGGCGTCGTCTACGATATCCCCAATGCCCGCTTCATGGACCAGAAGCGTCTGCTCAAGGAGGGTTTCACGTCCAAATCCCTCCGCGCATATGTGCCGCAGTTTGTGAAAGAGACGGAGCACTACTTAGCTACCAATGCTGCTTTCCGTGATCGCAATAGCGGCATCGCCGAGATCGACGGCGTGTTCGCTGAGATCAGTCTTTATACGGCCGCCGGCAGCCTGCAGGGCGCCGAAGTACGCGCCAGCCTAGACAGCACCTTCGGCCAGCTCTACCGGCACCTCGACGATGGCTTCGCGCCCGTCAACTTCATGCTGCCCTGGCTGCCTCTTCCGATCAATATCCGCCGTGACCGCGCGCAGCGGGCCATGGCCGCCTTCTACGGCGACATCATCCGCAAGCGCCGCGCCGAGGGCAACAAGGCCGGCACAGACGACATGCTGTGGGCAATCATGGACGCCCGGTACAAAGACGGCACGCCACTCCAGGACGGCGAGATCGCCAACCTTATGATCGCGCTGCTCATGGGCGGGCAGCACAACACGGCCAGCAGCGGCACGTGGATCATGCTGGAGCTCGCGCACCGGCCGGACCTCATCGAGGAGCTGTATCGGGAGCAAGTGACGGTCCTGGCCGGCGAGCCACTGAGCTACGAGACGACGCAGAAGCTCACGTTGCATAATCAGGTCATCAAGGAGACGCTGCGCCTGCACTCGCCCATCCACAGCGTCATGCGCAAGGTCAAGTGCGACATGCCCGTGCCGGGAACGGATATCGTGGTGCCAAAGGGCCATATCCTGCTCGCGGCACCCGGCGTGTGTGCGCGCAGCGAGCAGTTCTTTCCGGAGCCGATGCGTTGGGATCCTCACCGTTGGGACGCCCCTTCCGACTCTGAAGAGGCTGCTGACGGGGAAGACAAGACCGACGACACTATCGACTACGGCTACGGCGCGGTGTCGAGCAAGTCGGTGCACTCACCATACCTGCCCTTTGGTGCGGGGCGGCATCGGTGCGTGGGCGAGACGTTTGCCTACGCGCAACTCCTGGGGATTCTGGTCACGCTGGTGAGACTGCTGCAGTGGGAGCAGGTGGATCCTGAGGCGGAGGTGCCCAAGACGGATTACTCGAGCATGTTCTCCAGGCCGGTACATCCGGCGAGGATACGGTGGCGGCGGCGGTGGGGGAGGATGGACGGAGATTCGAAGGCGTAGAAGAGTTGTTTATTAGAATGGAGGGGACATGTCCCACCATCTTTGGTGGCCCTTTTCCCTCTATATGGCCGAGGGATATCGTTATCAATATCAATGCAGCCTACCCGGCGACGCACGCAGCACTGCACCAAATCACAGCACGCTTCATCGACGATCCAATCCACGTAAATAAACCGCGCAGGACGAACACAACCCCCTCTCCGTCGCAGCTGTAGATTGAGCTACCACATTTGTCAGTCGGTCAACCTCCGGCGCCGGCACCTCACCTCGTAGCCTGGTCCCTTCCAGTCGAACGACTTTCACCGTGGACTTAACCGTAATCGCCGGGCACTAACACCCGCCGCGGGGGACGAGGCAACCACGAGCATTGCCGCTGATTGGACGGGGAGCGTTCCAATTAGGCTGAAGTTCCCCCCTGGAAAGAAACCTTTACCCCACCAAGGTCGAACGATGTTGCAGCCCGTGTTGCGGTGCGGGGACAGCGGCCGGCGGCGGGTGTGAAATCGTTTGGGATCTAGGAAGCTGATCCCGTTCGTGACTTTTGGAGATGCTGTGGGTTGATGGAGAACGGTGGTGCAGATCGAGCTGGCGAGGGCAGATAATTGATTACGTCTGCTTGGGGTTGTTGTTGATATATAATCCAAACGTCCCAGTCTCGCACGTAGCCTCATTGCATCTTTCCCGCGACAACTGGTCCACCGCTACGACTCGACATCTATTTCATCCTTGACCGCTTCGTAACCTAGCTTCTCTGAATCTTTACCACCTGTGCCACGCGCAATAGTCCCACCCAACATTCAAACACCTGCCCTCCACACTCCATCACCGCCCAACATGGCCCTCAAATTCACCGACCAAAAGGACCGCCCCGCCGACCTGCAGAAGTCGCTCGACTCCACCAAAGTGACCTACCGCCGGCTCGGCAAGTCCGGTCTCAAGCTCTCGCTCCCGATCCTGGGTGCCATGTCCTTTGGCCACAAGGACTGGCAGCCTTGGGTGGTGGACGATTTCGGTGCTGTCGAGGAGCTGTTGCTGGCGGCCTATGATCGCGGGCTGGTGAGTTTCTGTTTTCCCTTTTGTGGGTAAGGGATATTTGGGCTGGTGAGGATGGAGGAACCGCTCTCCGCGCAAGGCACTGAGGGCGTCTCCAGTGCGATGGCGGGCCCTTCTCTTCAGCACCACATTTAGCCAACCACCGACTTCTTCTCCACCATTTCTCATGAGTTACAACCATGCTGACCGCACCAGAACACCTGGGACACGGCCAACGTCTACTCCAACGGCGTCTCGGAGCAGATGATCGGCGACGTCATCACCAAGAACAAGATAGACCGCAAGAAACTGCTCCTCCTCACCAAATGCTACGGCACCGTGGGCGAGAGCCCCGCCGCCATGCACATCCGCTACCCGGAGATGAAGACGACCAAGGACTACGTCAACCAAGGCGGTCTCTCGCGCGCTGCCATCTTCAACGCCGTTGACGCCAGCCTGAGCCGCCTGCAGACAGACTACATCGATTTGCTGCAGATCCATCGCTTTGACTACGATGTCCCCGTCGAGGAGACGATGAAGGCGCTGCACGATCTGGTCAGTTCTGGGAAGGTGCGCTATATCGGTAAGCTTCAACCCTCTTCACCCCAGTACTTATCATCTCCCCCCTTTCTCGCAACCCTACACTTTCTTCGACTGACACACCCTCCCTCCCAAACAGGCGCGAGCTCAATGTGGGCGCACCAATTCCAAGAGATGCAGACCGTCGCGGCCACGCACGGCTGGACGCAATTCGTCAGCATGCAAAACCACTATTCCCTCTGCTACCGCGAAGAAGAGCGCGAGATGAACGCCTACTGCCACAAGACGGGCGTCGGCCTCATCCCCTGGGCACCCTTGTACCGGGGCCACCTCGCCCGCCCGTTGGACTCAGAGTCCACAACCCGCAACGACGTCTCCAAGGAGGCAGGCACCAAGATGGACGCCGAGAGCATGACGAGCGAGGACCGCGAGATCGTGAAGCGGGTGCAGGAGCTGGCGGGCAAGAAGGGGTGGGCCATGAGCGTGGTGGCGTTGGCGTGGATCGTGCAGAAGGGCACGATCCCCATCGTGGGCTTCAGTAATGTCAAGAGGTTGGATGAGGCCGTGGGCGTTAATGGCAAGGAATTGACCGAGGAGGAGATGAAGTGGTTGGAGGAGCCGTATCGGCCGAAGGCGATTGTTGGGCACTCGTGAGGCAGTGTGGCGGTTTTGTCTATCTGTGGTCATGAGCATGAACTCAGCTGTGGTGGGGGATGGCGGGAGAGTGGAAACAGGAAAACCGGAAGCAGGAACGTAGGCCTACCACGGCAGTGATACTCACGGCAGGGCAGCGCGGATGCAGCGCAGCCAACCACATGCCTCATCGCAATGCAGTGCAACGAAAGCAAGGGACACGTTGCTGCACGGGAGGCTCACTTACCAACGCAAGAAACAAACACACAAACCGTAGATAGATACGAAAAGGTCCGTCGAAAAATGGTTTCTCTTTAAGAACGCCAAAAACACCAGTCTTTCATTTCCTCATAATCGTAGCCTCTATCTAGTAGAAAGACACCCCGAAACGATACGCTTACGCTTGCTTGCTTGCTTGCTTACAAAACCAAGAATAACTTTACCAAATCCATTAATTCACCACCCCATCATCCACCACAACGACCGGCCCCCTCCCCTCGGCCCTCTTCGCATCCCTCACCGCCGCATCCACCGCCTCGACCAGATCGACGTGGAAGAAGGGCCGATCCATACCATAGAGCAGGACGGGCGGCGACTGACTGCGGTCCGCCCTCCTCCTCCTCGCTCTCTTCACTTCCTCGGCTTCCTCCTCCTCCTCACCCTGTTCACTGCACTTCTCGACCTCACTCGCCGTTCCGTTCCTCGTTCTCGGCCTTGAAGACGCCGCCTCGCCATCACTGCTGCTGTCTCCCGGCACCTCCCCAATAGGTTCGCACTGCATCTCAAACTCGGCCTTGGTGACGGGCATCTGACACCTGCGCTCCTCATCGACCGCGACATCCAGCCTCGTCTTCTCCCGCCGCCGCCGACTCGCCTCCTCGCGCACATCGTCCGGCGTGGCCCCCGCAAACGAGCGACTGACCGTGTACACGGGTGCCCAATTAGCCACCGCGTCCGGCTTGTCCGCGACGGGGAAGCCGAAGCCCGCGACCGCCAACGCGCGGCGCGTCCAGCGGTTGCTCACGCAGGCGAAATGCCACTCGACGATGGCCGGGCTGGCGTGGCGGTCGAGGAAGTTGCGCGTGTCGATGAGACCCTGCACGCTGGTGATGTCGGTGTTGTTGACGGAGGAGCAGTCGAGCACGACGGCGCGCAGGACGGGCTTGTGGGCGTCGGCGGCGAGGGAGGCGCGCGTGGGGCCCGGGTCGTTCCAGAGACGGTCCGAGGGCCGCATGCCCTCGTCGGGCGAAGTGCATTTGGTGTTGGCGAGGATGTGGCGGAGGAGTGTGTCCATTTGCTGCGCTTGGTTGACGTAGTTGAAGCCTTCGGAGAAGCGGAAGATGAAGACGCCCGGATAGGGGGTTTCGATGTCGCTGTCGGGGTTGGTGGCGTCGGTGCGATCTGTTGCGAGGTAGGCGTCGCGGAGGGGGATGTCGACGGCGCTGGAGGTCGAGGTCGACTTGTGGTCGTCGTTGTTGACCGAGACGTTGATGGCCACGCGGCCAATGCGGACGCGACCCATGAATTTGCCTTTGGTGCGCGCGAGGCGCACCATGAGCAGCGTGAGTGATAAGGCGATGGTGACGTAGATCGAAGTCTCGAGAGACGTGAACAACGCGAGGAGGACGCCAGCTATCCAAATTATCAGCTCGAATGGGGATAGCTGCCAATATCTGTACAACGACTTTGGAGGAGTCATCAGATTCGAGGTGGCGTGGATGATCAGTCCCGCCAACGCTGCCATGGGTATGTAGTAAAAGACGGCAGTCAATGCATACAACGCCAGAATCAGGATCATGGCACTGAAGAGGCCCGCGAGAGGCGTCCTGACACCTGCCTTGGATAGCACGGCACTAGCACCGAAAGAGCCGGTACAGCAGTAGCCTCCCACAAAGGGACCGAGAAAGTTGGCGGTGCCCTGTGCGAGGATCTCTTGCGAGGGTCTCACAGTATAGCTGAACGTTCTTCCCATCGCCTTCGCAATAGCAATGTGTTCGATGACCAGGATGATCAGAATCGCCGGAGTCTCTGGCAGGATCAAACTGACCAGGTCGCTGTCGAGGCGTGGAGGCCCAGCTTGCGGAAAACCGGAGCTGATTGGTCCAACTAGGCGAAACTTGGTCTCGCCGCGGGGCATGGTGCGATGGACGATCCAGCTGATCAGCGTGAAGAAAATCATGGCCAGAGATAGTCTCAACGAGGAGATGGTGGCCCACATGCGCTTTTGGGCAGGACGCTTGACTTCCAGCTTGGCACAAACATCACGAACCACGAAAAGTAAGACGATGCATGAGATACCGATGGCGGCATCAAGCTGAGTTCGAGGCAGGCCTTCCAGTGTGTCCAGTATCACACGGTACGGTGAAAGTCTGGTATTGATTCCTTTGATACCAAGGCAGACAGGTATTTGTGTGCACATGATGGTGATGCTGGCAGCAGTGACGAACGCAGATATTGGTCTGTAGGTTTTTGTTAGCCTATGTCGGGTCTGAGGAGGGGTGAGGCGGTGCGGGTAAGGATGGCAAGCAAGATTGTGTAATTGTGCAAAAAGTCTCCAGCAGGGTCTTCCACTTGAGAAGCTCCTATTCTGTCCAGGAGGAGATAGAATCGACTGAAGGATAGAGCAGCAACGAAAGGACCGAATACGACTCACTACGATAGCTGTTAGCTGGAGTGGTACGATGGCGGGAGTTCGAGAAGTCTTACCACGTATGGAATGAACTCAATTAGCCATCCAAGTCTAAGCAAACCAATCAGCAGCAAAATCGCGCCGATCAAGAAGGACAATGCTTTCGCAATCTCGGTCCTAGTATAGTCGCCAGGTCTTTGCTCTTCGACATGGGTGATGACTTGTCCCACAAGCAGTGATCCCACGGCGGTGGTCTAGGATATGAGTATCAGTAGGTGAGAAAGGCTTCTGTATGATGTGGCTTACGCCGATAACAATGTCCTTGGATGTCCCAAATATCCAGTAGGTGGCTGCGCCTGCGAGTGAGGTGTACAGACCATACTCAGGGCTGAGCTGGGCGAGCAGTGCATACGCCATGGCCTGCGGTACAATGACGAGACCGATGGTGAGACCTGCAATGGAGTCGCCAGCCAGCCATCGGAGGTTGTAACGAGTGACCCATTGGGCTGACGGGAAGAGATCGTGAATGTAATCGACTGCAGCGTGTTTATCAGGGACGAGAGATCGAAACCATTCTGCTACTGTGGGCTCCTGCTCGCGGTAAGCATGTGGTACGATCTGAGTGAGAGGCTCCTCAAACTCCTTGAGCCTTCGATGCTGCTGATTGCAGGTGTCGATGCCGAATACTTTCTTGGCCAATTTCTGATTGAAGTTGGTGAAACCCATGGTACAATGAATGCGTAGAGAAGCTGAAGCGAAAAGAAGACGCTGCCAGAAGTGCGACGATATGGGCACTGGCCTCTGCGCAGTCGTAGCGACTGGGCTTGGAGAAAGTGCCCGGTGGGCGGCACTCGGCAGAAAGTGAAAATTTGCCTCGTCCGAGAGCCGGGACCCACAAAGCTGCATCTCCAACGCCCAGCACGGCCGGTGATTGGTGCCCATCTTTATCTTCGTCGGCGGTCAGTGGTCGATAGGCAGTCAGATGAGTCAATGTGGCGGTCGCCAGCCTGGGCTGTTGAGTCCGGATGCGCTGGCGCCCCTCATCATGCCGCATCGCCGTCAATCAGGCCCGGGCTGGAGGCTGGCCCAACCTCCTGTTTGCACTTCAATTGACGATATCGTCGTTGCATCGTTGTAGTTCAAGGAGCTGTGTCTTGTCATTGGACACGGCCATCGGTTCTTGTTGTTAGACGGTTGTCGCCGGAGTCGAAGCGTCGCCAAGGTGCAGTTAGCTTCCATCGAGGCCCCGCGTCTCCAGACGAGCAGGCGCTTGACCCAGTACTGGTGGCGATAGACCGAAGGGAGTAGGGATCCATTGCACAGATCAAGAAATGGCTGCTGCCCATCATGACCGACCTTTCATGCACTTCGCCTGTTACCGCCCTTTTCGATTTTCACGCAGGCCTTTATCGGACGATGGGCTCAGTGGTGCTGTTGCAAGTTGTACGGCAAGCCATCCCCAGGTGAATAGCAGAATTCTTTGCAGCGTTATGCGATGACGGCGGTTAGTGTCGCAACCTGCAGAGCGTCAAAGCATGGCCACACCAACACCTCAGTCTGGTGGAGGTAGATTCGTTGCTTGAAACAGGTGACACCGGCAGCACAGTGACCGTAGACACGCCCCACGGCTTGGGCAGTAGCATGGGGGCCACATCAGGTTCTCAACACCCCCTTACCGTCCAGCGCCAACTTTTTCGGAGCTGATCTTGGGCGCCGCCGCTTGCGGGCGCTTTCGGAGTTTCGCGTGCGGCTTGGCTACGCACTCGCACGCAGAGCGCCGCTTCGATGCCGGCCCGTTGAGATGTTTCTGTGCGTCCAATTAGTTGATTGATACATGTGCCTTTTGATCAGGAAGGATACACAGAAAGGCAAATCTCCCGGGAGCACTGCGAACGCCTGAACAAGGCGGCTGGTGCTAGGCTGCTAGCACTGGATGGCGACATCGGTCCCGGCGAATCATGATTCCGTGCCAAGCCATTGAAGCCGTGGGCGTCATTGACTGTGAGCATGCTGCCTCCTTGTCTGCTTGCTCTACGTACTGTATCACATACTGTACACTGCCTCACGCACAGGGGTCATCTCGATTACCGCGGAAACTATCAGCAATCATAGACGAATCTTCCGGATAATCCAGCCTCTGAGACCCCGAAGTCGCAAATACCCCCTGATTAGCGAAGCTCCTACCATCAAACCGCGACCATGCCGTCGATACTGGTGTCCGCGGCCCCTTACGTGAGTTCCATTTCTCTTTCAAACTCGACACAACCCTCTCCGAGACCCATGCGCCAGGGAAATCGCTGCCGCGGCCACAGAACTGCCCGCGTCTATATCTCTTGGCACCCCCAGTGACCGTTTCCCCTTTCCGTTCAGCCTCGTCCAAAGCCTGACTTGAACACAGCACATCATCACCTACGGCGTCCTCCTGGGCACGGAAGTGTTCCAGAGCTTCGGCGCCGGTATCATTCAATTCAAGACTCTCCCAAGGGCACAATTTTCCACCCTGCAACAAGCCACTGTAAGCCGACAATCCCACCCAGCTATCTGACTGAGTTTGGCCCTTCCCTCCCCAACAGCCAAGAAGCCGCTCTCCCTCCCTAGCCCCCACTAACAACCTTTCCTCTCCTCCCCCCAGTTCCCCATCTACTTCTCCCTGCAAACCGCCCTGCCCCTCCTCCTCGCCCTCACCCTCCCCACCGAACGCACCGCCATCGGCACCACCCCATCCTCCCTCCCGGGCGTCCTGCACCCCTCCAACCGCACACCCGTGCTCCTCCCCCTAACGCTCAACCTGCTCTGCGCCGCCACCAACCTCCTGTACCTGGGTCCGCAGACCACGAGCGTGATGCGCGAGCGCAAGCACCAGGAGACGCGCGACGGCAAAAAGAGCTACGATGCGGGCCCACACAGCGCCGAGATGGAGAGGCTGAACAGGAAGTTTAGCTGGTTGCATGGCGCGAGCACGGTGGTGAATCTGGTGGGCATCGCGGCGACGGTGTGGTATGGGTTCTATCTGGGGCAACGGATGATGTGATGTGTTGTATGTTGGGTGAATGGCACGATTAAAAGTAGAGTGGGGGCGCTGATTTGAGAGAGCGGTTCCCGATGTTGTTGTTTGCTTGGAGTCAATTTTGCACTGGTTGTGCGACATGTGGTTGCGCAAGTTGAGAGGCATCGATATTCGTGAATAGAACTCGATCTACGATCATCCCCCCTCCCTTTTCCGGTGCGTTTTCTAAACCTAGAGCTTTGTAGCTGAGCAATTCGTTCTACCTGTAGCATTTCTCCATCACCGCAAATCAACTGTCTGCTGCGCACAGCGCCGGGTCTGTGCGCGGAGATGTTGTTCGATCTCGCCATCCAACACAGTCATGAAACATTGGGAAGTCGCCAAAGCACGCGCCGGTTTCCATCAGCATGCTTGACCCATCAGCACGCTTGACACATTTTCTGATCATGCGCCAGTAGGAAGGGCTCGGTCCTCAACAACGCTGGCGTTCGAAACCTGCTCATGCACAGCCGGGCTTGAGACCATACTTTACGAACATGGTATCCTGCTCTCCATCTCAGCTGTGCGAACACTGTCTCCCGCGCTTGTGACGGGTTTCAGAGGGGCCTCTGACTCGGTTGCGAGGACCCTTGGCTAGAGGCGAGAGCGGTAAATTCTTCGACCAGCCAGCGAGGATTGAGCTACCTCGACATAGCCCTCTGCCTCGTCAAACTGCATCAAGGTTCCCAAAACCCCTTGGCCCTTGGTCCGCTCAAGCACCTCACCTCGCTGCCCCTCTCCGTAACGACAAAGACGTCCTCCGACCTGACTCCAAACCGGCCCGTCAGGTACACGCCCGGCTCACTGGTAAACGTCATGCCCTCCCTCAACTTCACTCTCGTATTCCCCTTGTGCAAATACGGTGACTCATGCGCCTTGATCCCTATACCATGCCCCACACGATGCGTGAACTGCTTCTCCCAGCCTTGCTTCGCAATGACGCTGCGCGCCGCGACATCCACGCTCGCGGCCGTCTCCCCGGGTCGGAAGTGCGCGATACTGGCGTTCTGCGCCGCCAACACCGTGTCGAAGACCTTCTGCTTCGTGGCGAACTGGGGATCCGAGGCCGCGACGCCCTCGGGCGTCTGGCCTCGAGGCGGATCGATGAGGAAGGAGCGGCAGATGTCGGAGCTGTAGCCGCGGTAGTGGGCGCCTACGTCGATGAGCACGACGGTGTGGTGCGTGAGGGTCTTGCCGCCGGTGGCTTTGCCGCCGTGGGGCAGTGCGGCGTTCTCGTCGAAGAGGACGATGTTGAAGAAGAGACCGAAGCCCGGGACGGAGAGTAATGCGTTGTCGAGGATCGTCATGACTTGGTTCTCGGTTAAGCCTGGGATGAGGCAGGGGCGCATTTTGCGTAACGCCTCGACGGTGCCGGTGTTGACGGCGCGGAGGAGGGACAGCTCGGCCGGTGACTTTTGCTGCCGCACTGCATCGACGTTGGGTGTGAGGCCGACCGTATGGAAGCCGGCTGAAGTCAGACCGCGCACGATATAGTCTCTCATCTCCTCGTCCGTCATGATGACCAGACCTTCGCGACGGTCAAAGGTCTGCTCGAGGAGAGTCTGGTAGGGGTCCCAGTGCTCCTCCCAGATGACGATGTCTAGTTCCGAGTCGGCTGGGATGCCGAGCATGCGCACTCGATCCTCCTCGAAGTGTGGCGCCAAATAAGTGGTCTTTGCCTTGACCGTGCCATCCAATCCAACGGTTGGCTGCATAACCATCAAGAACGGACGCTCCTCCGGCTCCCACGGCTCCCAGTCCCACTGGCTTACGTTGCCGTAGTACTGAAAGGTGTATCCTGGTTCCAGCACGAAAGCGTCGACACCATCCGTGTGCAACGCTTGGGCTAGACGATCACGACGGTGGATGAATTCCTCTGCCTTAATAGGAGTTGCATCCTCCAGGAAGGAAAGATCCATGTGTAAGTTGTCAATGGAGCATTTCTGGACCTTCGCGATATCCGCGTCTGAGAACTTCTTGGTCGATGCATCGAAGCTGATACTGCCTGGTGCGGACGTAAAATACGCCGCCAACGTGAGCATCATGGCCGCCAGGAAACAGATCACCACCGTGAGTCTGGCAGAGAAGCCTGGCTTCTGGCTTTGCGCATCGTCGCCGGCCCGCCAAGAGGAAGACGGGAGTTCTTTGTCTGGCAGGAGCAGAGGCTCCGATTCTTGTTCACGTCGCATCCCTACAATTGTAAAAGGTCAGGTGCTTTCGTTACTTGCGAGCGTGCTGAGTTTCTACGACGTATAGCCCCCGGGCAGCCGCAGTCGTGATCCTGATTGCTGGATAGCCTAACACGGCAAAACACGACTTTCAACGGTACAACAACCACCGGCTTCTGGGGGACTGCAATCGAAGGCTAGTGTAGCTGAGACCACCTCAAAATGCGAATGTCTGCACGAACCAGGTACAAGCTTTTCTGCTACAGATCACCCAATCAGTCATTGAAATTTGGTGTGTAAAAGACCCCGGCGAACAGGATGCAAAATGGAAAGGTCGCCTGCCGCTCTGGACACCCCCACCACAGGCCCGCAGCCCCCTCACAAGGGGCCATCCTGCGGGGGACTTGGCGCCCGGGTATAACTGGAACATTGAAGTATACTCGCCCTTGTGTCGCTCACGTCAAGCCTCTCAATTCTTCTACCGCCGAATTGCTTGACGGCACGCCAAATGAGATGGATTCCGTCGAACGGAAAGAAGCCCTCTGTCGTTGTGTATCAGGTATTGGATGAAGCTGCCAAGACCCGCGAGGCTGCCGCTGATAAGGGGGTCTGCTGACGAGGTAGGACAATGTATCGCGTTAAAACCGGAGATACTGTTACCATTTTGCTGCCTAAGACACGGATCGAGGGCACTACCGGGCACCACCTGAGAAGGCCACAGCCTACATACTAGACAACTCTGCAGGGTCCGCCTTGGGACTCATTACAAACTCGCCTCCCTATGATGATCCACGATCGAATCCTTCAAAGAGCTTGTGGACGTGCAGATACCACGCTACAGTATCAGCTCGTGACGGCCAAAAAGTGGCCAATGTCGATATGTCCGGTCTCAGCCTTCCGACAGCGACGAAGTATCTTGTCGCAAATTGCCGACATCATCGAGGTATTCAGGGTCTGTGGGGCGGGATCATTAGCATTTCCCAAACATAATTTCAGACGGGAGTTACTCACCCGCCTTGTGCTCCGCGATATATTTCTGAGTGCTTGTGATCAAGCTAGCCAGCTCACTAGTAAGCTCATGCAGTCGCAGCCGCACCTTCTCGTTCCTCTTGCTGGCCCCTTTCACAGCTTCGATGGCCACGTGATACCGTGACGTGCGATTCAGAAGCATCATGTCGAACGGCGTAGTCGTGCTTCCCTCCTCGATGTAGCTCGCGATGCTGATGCGATCGGCATTGGGGCGACCAAACAGCAAGCCCTTCAACTCGTTGGCGTAGCCGTGATAGTTGAAATGGATGGGGTTGTCAGAGGTGAAGAGGGATTCAAAGGCCTCGTTGTCGAGGCCGTGAGGATGGATCGAGTTGGTCTCTAGCACCATCAGGTCGGTCACGTTGATGACTCGGACCCGAAGCTCAGGCACATTCTTCCGTAGCCAGTCGGCCGCGGCTACAACCTCGAACGTCAGCTCCGTTCCGATTCCGACAATCACGACGTCGGGGTCGAGCCCTTCGTCGGTGGAGCAAAACTTCCATACGGACGCGCCAGCTTTGCAGTGGGCGTCAGCCTCTTGCGGGGAGAGGAAGACTGGAGTCGGCTGTTTCGACCCCACCATGAGGTTGACATATCCCTTCGAGTGGAGGCAATGCGACATGGTTGACAAAAAGGTGTTGGCGTCGGGTGGAAGATAGACACGAGCTGCGTTGGGTTTGAGATTCTGCGTTCGTTAGTCAAGTTGGAGGTAAGACTGTTCTATTTGCGTGCTAAAGCGCGAAAGGGATAATGTAAACCATAGAGTTGGGCATAGCTTACCAAAACTGCGCCGATAAAAGATGGATTCTGGTGAGAGTAGCCGTTATGCTCTTGGCGTGTCCAGGTAGACGTTTCGAGATAGTTGAGACTGGCAATATGCTTCCGCCACGGACACTCCTGTGCCATCTTCTGAAATTTGGCGTACTGCACCATCATGCTGTGCACAATGTCAAGGAAAGCCTCATACGAGGGGAACAACGCCGTGCGTCCGGTGAGGGTGTAGCCCTGCATGAATCCTTGGCATTGGTGCTCACTCAACGTCTCGATGAGGCGACCACCTTGTCCCCAGGAGTACTGATCCCATTGCATGTTCCGACCTGTCGAGTTCAGGACCGCTGCGAGCTTGTTTGATTCGAACTCATCGGGCGAGAATATGCGGAAGCTCTTTGGGTTGTCTTTGATGACTAGCTCTAGAAGCTTCCCAAGGAGCTGCATAGAACTGGCAGATGAGCCCTTCTTGACCGCCAGTGGCTCCCAGGGAGTCTCAGCAAGTTGCTCGTAGGAGTTGTATGACTCTGGCTTCTGACCAAGGAGACGCTCCGGCTTGTCCGGGATGACACTCTTGATCTCGTCAACTACGTCGCCATCTTCCTTGAAAAGTTCTTCTGGCTTGTAGGACAACAGCCACTTCTGGAGGTCTTTGAGCTCGTCTGGTTCACTCTTGGCCGCAGCCAGTGGCACTTGGTGTGCACGGAAGGAGCCCTCTACGAACTCGCCATGGACCTTTTTGGGACCGGTCCACCCCTTTGGAGTTCGCAGGATTAATACTGGCCAACGAGGCTTTCTGATGGGCTTTCCGCTTCTTGCCGCTTTCTGGATGTTCTTGATCTCGTTGATAGCCCATTCCATTGAGCCATTAAGGTCGGCATCAATGTCGTCCAAATCGTCGACAACTCGAGGCTGATAGCCGTAGCCGGTGAAAAGAGCCGCCATTTCCTTATCATCCATTGTGCCGTAGATTGTTCTCTCTGAGATCTTGAAGCCGTTGACATGGACAATCGGCAAGACCGCACCAGACTCAGCAGGATCAATGAACTTGTAGCCGTGCCAAGCTGTCGCGGTCGGCCCTGTCTCTGCTTCACCATCGCCCACAATGCACGTAACAATCAAGTCGGGATTGTCCATGACTGCTCCGAAAGAAACGGACAAGGCATAGCCGAGCTCACCACCCTCGTGGATTGAACCCGGCGTCTCAGCGTTGATGTGGGATGGAAATCCGCCGGTGGTGCTGAAGCCTGTGATCAGGTTGTGTAGACCCTTTGCATCGCGGGAGCAGTCGGGATAGAACTTGGCGAGAGATCCTTCGAGCCAAAGGTTTGCCAGGATGGACGGGGCGCCGTGACCGGGGCCAACAACATAGAGCATGTCGAGGTCATGCTTGCGGATGAGGTAATTCAGGTGAGAATATACTAGGGTCAAACCCGGGCATGTGCCCCAGTGGCCAAGCAGGCGTGGCTTGATGTCGTCGAAAGTGAGGTCCCGCTTCACGTAGACGTTGTCCCGCAGAAAGATCATAGCGGCGGCGATGTAGTTAGCAGCCCGCCGATATTTCTGCAAGGCCTGGTTGGCATCTGCGGTGAGTGTTGGCTTCTCGAGCTTGACCAACAAATCTGAGACATGATCGGGAACGTGGGAAGGTGCTGGAGGGGGATTTGGTCTGTCGATAACCTCACCGGGCATGATGGCTGTGTTACAATGATGAGTGTTGGGTACGATAGGAAACTCGAAGTCGTTTCTGGGCCCAGTGCAAGCAGAGCCCTTGATGAGCGGAATTGGTCGTGACGTGAAGAAGGGCTGCAAAGTCAGTTCTGAGTGATGGGGGGGAGATGCCGGAAGTGAAGTCACTCTGCGGCTGCACGACCGAGACGCATGTGCTCACGAGCGGACAATACGGACAGCAGCACATCAGCCTTTGCTCTGACAGTGCAGCATGTGGCCAGTCTGAGTGTCCGATTCGATGACTGAGGCGATACTTCCGGCACAGCTGGCAACGCGCGGAGTGACGCGGTTGTGACGCAACGCGGAAAACACATCAAAGGCACGCTCAATCGCCCATCGCAGCCGAGAGCTACTCATATCAAGCATCAAATATAGCTGTCGACACGCGCAGAGATGGTGCAGCTCATCCTTTCCATCAATGCTGGGAGCAGTTCCCTCAAGTGCAGTCTCTACTCGGCTGAAGAGGTCGGCAACACCAACAAGACGCCGAAACTGGACAAGTTGGCCGGTGCGGAGGTCTCGGCAATCGGCACTCAGAAGGCCGGGCTGAAATACACAAAGGGATCCCAAAAGCAGCAAAGCGACCTGGGCCATGTGGAAGATCATGGGAAAGCCTTTGAGCACGTCCTCGACACCTTCTTGAACGACAGCAATGTCGCCGTGAGCGCGAAGGAGGACATCCGCTATGCCTGCCACCGCGTTGTGCGTACGTATTCTCGCCCCCACCATTCCTGCTCTCGTTCTCGCTAAGCAGCCATTCCAGAGGGCGGCGACTTTCGCGACGATGAGCTGATCACTCGCGAAACATTCCACAAGATCGAAGCATTATCTGATCTGGCACCCTTACACAATGCGGCCGCCGTTCAGCTCATGAAAGCGGTCCACGAGAAGCTGCCAAAATGCACCAACGTCGCCTGCTTTGATTCGGCCTTTCATGCCACCATGCCAGAATGCGTCAAATCCTACGCCATCAGCCCCAAGATTGCCATGGAAAAGGGCCTCCGCAAATACGGCTTTCACGGCCTCTCGTACAGTTACGTCCTGAGGGAGACAGCGAGATACCTGAAGAAACCCGTCCCCGAGACGAACATCATCGCCCTTCACCTCGGTAGCGGAGCGTCGGCATGTGCCATCAAGAATGGACAGTCTATCGATACGACCATGGGATTGACGCCAGTTTCAGGTCTTCCTGGAGGCACTCGCTCTGGTGATATCGATCCCAGCCTGGTCTTTCACTACACATCAGACGTGGGAAAGTTGAGTCCGTCGAGCACTACCGATCTACACATCTCTAAAGCTGAAGAGATTCTGAACAAGCAGTCGGGTTGGAAAGCTCTTACAGGCACGTCCGACTTTGCCGAGATTGCCAAAGCTGATGCGCCTGACACTCACAAGCTGGCGTTGGACATCTTCGTCGACCGCATAGTTGGCTACATCGGCAGCTACTATGTCAAGCTTGGGGGAGAGGTCGACGCTCTGGTGTTTGCCGGAGGCATTGGTGAGAAGTCATCATACTTGCGACAGTTGGTAATCTCGAAGGTCTCGTGCCTTGGCTTCGCCATTGAACAGGAACAAAATCAGAACGCCAAGGACAGTGAGATCGTATCTCGCATCGGTTCGTCCGCCAGCTCCCTTACTCTGGTCGTGCAGACGGACGAGGATTGGCAGATGGCTTACCAGACGGCGCTCCATCCGAAAAGATAATCCCTTCGATGCGACCCCCTGCGTTCTCAGCAGATGTTGATTTGGAAATATTCTAAGCGAAGAGGCCGGCGAGGGTGCTGATGGACCTCAGGACATCGCATCATGCGCCATGATGTGGTGCGGCTTCACACTCTGACAGCACGTCTCGGTTGATCAGCTAATCGCCAAGATGTCGACTCTGCACTCAGTCACTCATTCGCGTTGGCCATCCTGACAAATCCTGCACTAACACAAACGCGGCCACTTTAGGCGGCCTAGGCTACCTCAGAAGAACGACTTCAACGTGGTAGTAAGCTACATGCATTGAGTATTCCAATTCTAGTCACTCGACAGCGGGCCTGCGCCTTGAGAGCGAGGTACCGAAGACGAGCTCCAGTGCCGCCTCTGCCGTTGTGCCGAACTTCTCGACTTCACAGCCAGGCCCTTCAACACTATATAGACCTGCAGATGGCGCGCTGCAGTTGTGGCCTCCGCCACTCGGACGCCTCAAGAAGTAAAAACTACGTTACTAGAAGCAACCACCATGGTCTTCACCCTGCTTGTTGCTGCTCTCGTAGCAGCCGGTTGTCTAGACGCTTCGCCGGTGCCCTCCAAAGGTTACACATGCCGTGAATTTACCGTCTCCCTACCTGTGGATAATGTGACAACCATTGTGCCATTCCTCCCGGAGATCGAGTCCGCCGAACAGGCCACCTACTACGCTGATGTTCTCACGACAAGACAGGATTCTGACAGCCCCGCACCTCCAGTCGAATTCTCATCCATAACCAAGACATTCAGCATTGTCGGCGACTACTGTACTCCAAGTAATCCCGGACCCAAAGCCAGCACTGTCCACCTCCTCACACATGGGCTTGGCTTCGATCGCTCATACTGGGACTTCTACCTCCCTTCCAACGCCTCAGACACGCAGTACTCATATATCCATGCTGCCACTGCTGCAGGCTACAGCACAATCTCCTGGAACCGTCTCGGCATTGAGCCTTCCACCATCGGCAACCCGTATACCGAAATCCAAACCACAGTCGAGCTCGCCCTCCTCGCAGGCCTCACCTCCCTCGTCCGCCGCGGAGGTCCCGCCATCACGGGCCTCGCCGGCCCACCCGACAAAGTAATCCACGTTGGCCACTCCTGGGGCTCCATCCTATCCAAAGCCCTCGTCGTCCACGAACCCTCACTCGTTGACGGCGTCGTCCTGACCGGCTACACGGACATCCAAGTGGGCCAAAGCCTCTTCCTCGCCAGTACCGGCTTCCACCTCGCCAATGCCAACCAGCCCTCCCGCTTCCCGCCCACCGAATACTCCAACGGCTTCCTCACCTGGCCCACCCAGTACGCCAACCAATTCGCCTTCCTCGCCTACCCCAACTTTGACCCCTTGGTGCTCGCGCAGGCCGAGAGGACGAAATACCCTTTCGCGCTCGGCGAGTTTCTCAGCGGCGCCGCCATCGCAGGCAACGCTACGGAGTTCGAAGGGCCAGTGTACTACGTTGCCAGCGAGCTTGACACGATCTTCTGCGCGAGTAACTGTACCGGTCTGGTGGGTGAGGATGTGCCGGCTACGAGGGAGGCGTTCCCAGGGGCGGATCTGAAGGTGGACATCATTGAGGGGGCGGGCCATGGCTTGAACCTGCATTATGGCGCGGATAGGGCGTATGCGAAGATTATGGAGTGGGTTGCGGAGAAGTTCTGAGCATTGTGAAGAGGGGAGAAGGGAGAACTCCTTCGGCCGGGCTATAATGGACAGATCTGTGATGTTGAAGTTAACACGACTTTTGCGTCTTCACGAGAAGAGTCAGTTGGCGGCTGGCGACAATGAACTTTGAAACGAGCGCGAGCGGCTCTTCCATGCTTGTGCAAGTGTCCCAGACGCCCTTCTCAAGCAATCTTACTTCTCCTGACAAGGAGCATAAGCAGAAGACGGTAGCCCAGTATATTTTACAAAAGCTCGATGAAGGGCCCCGAGCTTTTGTTTAGCTCCTCCTAATTGAAGAGCCGTGCCAGACGTGCCGATGAAGGAGACTAGCATTGAGCATCAGGCACAAGTATCGGTACAGCTGACAATCTCAACGTGATCGAGCCAGCTCTGCTATTCCTCCCATCTGTACCCCGCCCCCACCAAGGAGCTTCCCCCAAGCCCCGTACAGAGGGTGCCCTCACACCTTAGTCCAGCTAGAAGGCCTCACCCGCTACCGAACCTGGTAAGTCGGCCGAGGGACCTGCAGAAGAGGCTGTGAACCGATCGGCGAGGAATAACGTTGCATCTTGCATGAGAGACCCTTCTCTTGACGAACCAAACTAGGGACGCCTGATGACGATCCCCATGATCCCCACAGAGACTGTCCGGCAGTTGCATTTCGATGTGTTCAGAGGCTCTTTGTTGGAGATGATACAGTACTTCTGGCATTTCGTCCGTGCTGAAGCCTTCATACATGTAGTCTAAAAGTCAGGTACCCTACTACACGCCAGCCCAGGAGCAACAAGTTGTCAGACCTTGCCTCTACCACCACATTTAATCACAGCCGCCATGCCTCTCCCATTCGGCGTCTACCGGGCTGACCACGTCGGCTCTCTACTGCGTGCAGCACCTGTCCTACAAGGCCGCAGTGACGTCGCCGCCAACAAGATCAGTCCCTCGGATCTCCGTGCCATCGAGGACAAGCACATCGCCGACATCGTCACCAAGGAAATCGACTCAGGCCTCCGCTCCATAACCGACGGCGAGTTCCGTCGGGCCTTCTTCCATCTAGACTTCCTACAGCATCTCGACGGCGTGGAGATCCGAGGCGGCCTGCAATCCACCAGCACCAGCAAAGAGGGTTTTATCCCACCCCGACTGGTCGTGACGGGAAAGCTAGGCCACCCCAAACCCATCCAAGTCGACGACTTCCACTTCCTGGAGCAGCAAATCGCGAAAAACGGCGCCACCGGCAAGGTGACGACCAAAGTCTGCATCCCCAGCCCGACCATGGTCCACTTCCGCGGCGGCCGCGACACCATCGACGCGACCGCCTACCCGGACCTCGACCCCTTCTTCGCCGACCTCGCCCGCGTCTACCAAGAAGAACTCGCCGACCTCTACGCCGCCGGCTGCCGGACCGTGCAGCTCGACGACACCAACCTCGCCTACCTCTGCGATCCGGGCATGCGTTCCGAAGCCGAATCCCGCCACGGCGACGCCAACGCCCTCGCGCGCCGCTACGCCCACCTCATCAACAAGAGCATCGAGAAGCGGCCCGGGGACATGACCGTCGGCATCCACCTGTGCCGCGGCAACCACCGCTCCCGCTGGTTCGCGCAGGGCGGCTACGAGCCCGTCGCCGAGGTCCTCTTCAAAGAACTCAATGTCGACGCCTATTTCCTCGAGTTCGACGATGCGCGCTCCGGGGATTTCTCGCCCCTGCGCCACCTGCCGCCCAACAAGGTCGTGGTGCTGGGCGTCATGGGCTCCAAGAAGCCCGAGTTGGACGACAAGGCGGAGATCGTGGGGAGGCTGCACGAGGCGGCGGGGTTTTGTGGGAAAGGGATTGATCAGCTGTGTTTGAGCCATCAGTGCGGGTTTAGCAGTACCATGGAGGGCAACGATCTCAGCGAGGAGCAGCAGTTCGCCAAGATCAGGCTGGAGGTCGAGATCGCGAAGGAGGTTTGGGGTCAGGATCTTTCCAAGTGAAAAAAGAGGCCAAAACGTTGGTGGGTGTGTGTGACATGTAGAGACAAGATTGGGGGGGAAGGGGCTGCTGCTTCAACAAACAGCACAGGAAAAATGAAGGAGAAGGGGGGGGGTTTGGGGAAGGATATGTATCAACTACCTACGCTTTTTGTGTACAGTCAAACAGCGACTGAGAAGCCAAAAACAGCCCTCTGCAGTTCCCCCAGGTCCCCTTCCTCCCCCCCTTTCCCCGGCACTGAGCTTCATCCCACCATACCACCGGTCCCCCAGGACCAAGCCCGCCCTACAGCCTCACCTCCCCCCTCATCCCTTCAGGGGTATCAGGCTGACTCCTAAACCCTCCTCTCTTATACGCCTCCGTCTCCCTCATAGCCTCATCAATCCTCGCCACGGTCGGAAACTCCCTTTGCACATCCACCTTGTACCTCAGCGCGCGATCCACGGCCGCCACGAGCGCCACATCCGCCAAACTGATCTCATCGCCCACACTCCATTTCCCCGCGCACCCCCTCGCCAATTTCTCGTACGCTTCGAGACCCTTGCGCATAAAATGTCCCTGCCACTCCAACTCATCCACCCCCCGGGGCACAATCCACTTGACGACCCTCTGGTTCGTGACGGGCTGCGTGTCCGCGACGATCACGCCGAGCAACTCGCGCACTTTGGCGCGCGCCACCGACTCCGTACTTGGCGGCAACAGTCGCACGTCGTTAAACACGCCCGTGGCCGTCTCCTCCAGAAACTCCAGGATGGCGACGGACTGGCTGATCTTGGCGACTTCGGCGCCCGTGGTGGCGTCGTGCACGACGAGGAGGGGCACGAATTGCGAGGGGTTGAGGGCGGCGTAGGCGGGCGCGTTCTGGCCGGAGGTGAGGAGGTCGATGAATTGGTAGGTTAGCGGGATGGATTTGAGGTGGCAGGCGATGCGGACGCGCGCGCTGCAGGAGGACCCGAAGAAGGTGTAGAGCGTGTATGTGTGTTTGGGGTGGGGGGTCGCCATGTTGGGGTTGGTGGTGCTGGTGTACGATCCTGGAATGGGTGTAGGGAGCAGGCCGCGCGCGAATGGATTTTCCAGGCCGGGGAGAGGCAGCGGGGAGTCGGCGATGGTGCTGAGAGGCCTCTTTGCACGGTGTCAGAAAGTCGTGTTGGTGCTTGCCGCTGCAAAGGTCTGTCGGACTCGTTCTATATTACTGTCGAGGATAGGCCATGAGGCGGAAATCAACGGGAAGGACAGTCGACAGATCCGCGGGAGGAGTTCCGCGGCGACGTGGTGCGGGGAAGGGCGACTTCGGTCATGGGCGGATATCGACCGTGAACCGGCTTGACCGCAAGCCCAGGAGGAGCAAACATGCCTGGGAATAGCCTAGAACAGCGGCAAAGTCGCCTGCAGATGAGCACAATGGTGGATTCGAGGCCCTGGGCCACCGTTGCTGCATGTCAAGAGGAGGTCGAGCTCGACCAGGCGGCGAGGATCAAAATCTAAGATTAGTTGCAAGGCATATCAGAATGGAACAACATTTGTCGGAACTTGAGATCAAGCCATTGTCTAAGTATTGCCTGCCTCATTGGAGCCATTGGTAGACGCTTCAGAGGTATTGGGGTTGGCCGAGGCGGATGGCGATGAGGCAGACACTACCTCTTTCTGCTTAGCCACGTTGAGGATGTGCTCTCCGAGATCACCAGTACCATCAAGCTTCGACATTCGAGACTCGAAGTACTGAGCATCTGCAACAAGCCTAGAGCATGTTAGTATGATCTAGCGTAATCGGCTGGCAACATACCTGTCTTTGGCAGCCTCACTGCGGAGTTCCACCTCACCGAAGCCCTTCTCCCAGGACTGTCTGTAATTCTGAAAGACAGGGCCCATGATACCAGCCACAATAGATTCGGGCAAGTGCTTTCCCAACACCTTCTGTAATGTTGCCGTCTCCTTAGTCAAGGTTTCCATATATGGCGAGACTGCCACGGACTTGTTCTTGGCTGCTTCTTCCCAATCGACCGCCTTCATCGACTTGACGTGCATAGCGGCGCGTCCAGACATGATTTCGACCAGCTTCTCATGAATGGCCATCTGGTGTTCCTGCAGACGGCGCTTGACATTGTCGAACTCGGACATTGTTTGCTGCATTGCCGATTGAGCGAGATGTCGCCGGAAGAACTCGCGTATGTACGGTGTCAGAGCCACAATGAACGATAGAGCCTGGGATGACAACGCCAAATGCTTAGTAGTGATATTCTTGAGTCCTGCAGACCGTGTTGCACCAGCACCAAGAATGAGCTGAGACGACCGACTATTGAATATCTTCAGCGTATTGAGCAAAGCACCGGCGATCTCAGAAGACATGCTAGGTATTCCAGCCGCTAGATGCTCGAATTGCTCAAGCGACGCCAACATCGCGGCAGCAGATTCGGGCAGGATGTATTTCTGTTCATCGAGCGTGGCCAGTCGCACCTTGGTGTCTTTCGACGGCGTAGATGTCCCATTGGTAGTCGTTCCATTGGTCGTAGGCTGTGATGCTTTACTAGTCTCCCACACTTTTGTGCTCTCGAGCCAGACAGCTTGGTCATCGGTGCTACCAGCCTGTACTTGGCTCAATATGAGACTCTCGTGTTCGCCGAAATCTTTGGCATCCCATTTGTCGGCGTCCAGCACCTTGATGACATTCGCCGTCTGCGACTCGCCGAATTTCGTGACGAATTCCTTGATCTGACTATCCAGAACTGCTTTGAGACCGGTGCCACTGCGGCCAGAAATAGCCTCGCACTCATCTGCAAAGAGTCTGTTCAGAGTGAAATACTTCAGGAAGTCGTTCAAAGGCAGGTCTGCGTTTTGCTGCGACCGTACTTTGACCACTTTCGTCAGTTGGTTTTGGATAAGATCCACGCCTTCGCCAAGAAGACTTGAAAGGTCTAAGGCTTGCTGCATTTCCTGCTGGACGCTGCTCATGGATCGAGGTCTGCCAGCGGCTCGTGGACTCGCAGCTCGCTCAGGGTCGGGAGACTTGACGGACCCATCTGGTAGGTTGCTGGTAATGTCGAGAAGGATTTTGACTTGTACGCTCAATCTCCTCATGGCTTCACTGGTATTAGTGTAGATACTGGCAAGCATATTGTACCAGTCCTCCGGGTCCAATGCCCGAAGGTTGCGGGCTAGAATCGAAGACTTCTCCTGCTGTGATAGGCCTCTACCTCCGTGTGTAGATGCTGATATACTCGAGACGGCATCGTCATCGTTGGAGCTAGGAAGCTGCTTCCTGATTATGTTCTTAATCTCGCGTAGCACAAGTGCTCGAAACGCGGTTGCGGCCGGTATGGTGTGTTTCGCTCGCGCAAGGCCTTTCATCTCCGCTTCGAGCTCAGCCCGGAGCTCGTTGCCAATGTTCATATAACCGGGAAATGCCGACGGCATCCTTTTCTGACCGGGCTTCGGCCTGTTGAAACTCGAACCCCATCTTTCCAGTGTCGTTGAAGTGTTCGTCTTCTCTACATGTCGTCTGAGATCGTTGAGAAGTGATGTGTGAAAACGATCCTCATAGCCTTTCCCAATACGGAACCGTATTTGCCCAAGATCTTCAAAAGCCCCGTCAAGTGCTTTGATACTGCTTAGATCGCGTCTGCTGTATCTCTCCTCAATTACTCCATTGCGATGTAAGCTTTCCTTACCCCGTATAAGCCGTTCAACGTCGTCGAGATTATCCAAAACACCATCAATTTCTCCTTTATCGACAAGATCTTCACACTCGCGCACGGCGCTGACGATGTCTTCGAGTTGCATGATAGCTTCGGCCAACTTTCGTACATTCTCTCGGCGCTGCTTCAGATTGACCACCTTCAGACCGTCCATCGCCATTTCCTTGTCCAGTTTAGCCAAGTCTTTGCGCAGTTTCTGTATCCGTTCGATCGAGCCTTCGGCTTCGGCATGCAACTCGCGTAACGACCCCAGAGCCGAGAAGAATGACTTTGACGCGGTCGATATTGACGATATTAGGTGAACTTCCACCGTATCCATGTACCACGACAGCTTCTCCTGCAATATAGCATTGGTGGCCAATGACTTTCGACCCGTAGGAGTGGCTTTAGGATCTCGAACTAGCTCAGCATTCTCCGACACAATGTCGAACGTCCGGGGGTTCTCTAGATGGAAATCGTCCTCGGAGTAGACTGGTGGTATGGTTGAAAGTGGCGTGACGGCGGACCTCTTCTGCGCACTCGCTCTTCGTTTCGGTGATGGGGTCTCCACAGGAGAAGTGAGTAGAGAGCTCGTTGAGCTAGTCCGCGAAACCCCAGGCCGTCTTGCCAGTGCAGCCTGCCATTCCTCATCTCTTGAATTTGTGCGGTCTCTTTGGAAAAGTGCTGTGTCTCCATCCGATTCACTCTTGGCCCGCTGAAACGCCTCGTACAACGAGCCGACTTGTGCAAGATATGGGTGGAATGCTTTGGACTCGATATGCGGAATATTCGTCAGGGCGACGGGCGGAATATCGCGTTGCGTAGGCGCTTTGTATCCTGATCCTGAGAGTGGAGCGTGTGCCTGCAGCCCTGTCCGCTGGATTGGGTGTTGTAGAAGCGTAGATATGGCATTCTGCCCTAGCTCCGGTGTTGCGTTGCGATTCTCAGCTGTGTTCAACGCTCCACCGATGCTTGTCATCGAGCTGGCCGTAGACCCCCGATGAAAATGCCCACGAGAGGGTCTTGGCTGTGGCGTCAGGGGCGTCGTTGGGAATGGATATCCCACCGAAGGAGATATGGCGGTAGGTGAGGCGAAGGTGTCTTGCGACCCTCGCTGTGGAGAGGCCATCTATGCAGAAGGGATCTGGCTCTTTGGGTTTTCATGAGGGACAGGACATGCGCGTGAGTATCATCTTCTTGGTTGAGCGACGAATCGTTGATTGCGTTCAAACACGCCAACTCGACGTGCTATAAAAACTGAAGCGTGTGAGCAGGGCAGCGCGAATCTCGAGCATGTCTGGCCGTTCATTGCTGTAAGCGACGAGGCCGCCAAGCAAGGAACGGCGTTTCTAAACTCCGATCTTAAAGTGCATGCATTAGCGGGAAATCGCGCGTCGCGGGTCGCGCTGATTTCGACGCGTCGCTTTCCCCTTGACTTTTGCTCCCCGCTTCCTGCGCTTCTCTATCGAACGATCACACCATAAAATACCACAGCAGCCATGGACTCAAGATCAACATATTCGCTCAGCGTGCTTCCGGGGTCCCTCGATCCAGAAGACCATCGACGCACCGAAACCCAGGCGAAGTTGAAAGAATTCATCCTAGCATTTCAACTCGACGGCGCCTACATCTACCGCGACCAGATCAGAGAGAATGTCCTCGTCAAGCAGTATTATTGCGATGTTGATATCGCGCATATGATCTCATACAATGAAGAGCTGGCTCACAGACTCACAACAGATCCGGCCGACATCATCCCTCTTTTCGAGGCTGCTCTTAAGCAGTGCACCCAACGGATCGTCTATCCTCAACAACCCAAAATCGACCTCCCTCAACATCAACTTTTACTTCATTCCTCAATAGCTCAACTGTCCATACGTGACCTGAACGCGACTAACGTTGCACACTTGGTCCGCATTCCAGGTATTGTTATTGGGGCTTCAGTACTGTCCTCCAAGGCCACATTACTCGCCATTCAATGTCGAAGCTGTGGCTATGTAGACCACATTGCAGTCGAGGGCGGCATTTCGGGCGTGACGCTTCCTCGACTGTGTGGCCGTCCCAAGGCTCCCGGCACGAGCGAGCCCGGCGAGCAGTGTCCTATGGACCCCTACTTCGTCTCGCACGAGTCATCGCAATTCATTGACTCGCAAATTATTAAGCTGCAAGAAGCTCCTGATGCTGTTCCAGTCGGCGAGCTTCCCCGACACATCATTGTCTCTGCAGATCGTTACCTCACCAATCGTGTCGTTCCAGGCTCGCGCTGCACAGTCATGGGAGTGTTTTCCATCTACTCGGCGCAAAAGTCTGGTGGCAAGAAGGACACTGTTGCAATCCGCAACCCTTACCTGCGTGCTGTCGGCATCACCACCGATATCGACCATACTCTAAAAGGCGCACAGACCTTCACGGAAGAGGAAATTCAGGAATTTGAAGAAATGTCCCGTCTCCCAGATATCTATGAGCGCTTTGCCAGATGCATAGCCCCTTCAATTTATGGCAACGCCGACATCAAAAAGGCTGTCGCTTGCCTGCTCATGGGCGGTAGCAAAAAGGTTCTCCCCGACGGCATGAAGCTACGTGGCGACATCAATGTGCTCTTGCTGGGTGATCCTGGTACGGCGAAGTCGCAACTCCTGAAATTCACCGAAAAGGTCTCACCCATCGCCATTTACACTTCTGGAAAGGGCTCCTCCGCGGCTGGTCTTACAGCCTCGGTCCAACGGGACACTCAGACGCGCGAATTCTACCTCGAGGGTGGTGCCATGGTCCTGGCCGACGGCGGCGTCGTCTGCATCGACGAATTCGATAAGATGCGCGACGAGGATCGGGTGGCCATCCACGAGGCTATGGAACAACAGACCATCTCCATCGCCAAAGCAGGTATTACGACCATTCTCAACGCGCGCACGTCTGTGCTGGCCGCCGCCAACCCGATCTTTGGACGCTACGACGACCTCAAGTCCCCCGGCGAGAACATCGATTTCCAAACCACGATCCTCTCGCGTTTCGACATGATCTTCATCGTGCGCGACGACCACGACCGGAACCGCGACGAGACCATCGCAAAGCACGTCATGGGCATCCACATGGGCAACGGAGGCAGTGCAGAGGACCAAGTCGAGGCCGAGTTCTCCGTCGAGAAAATGAAACGCTACATCAGTTTCTGCAAGTCGTACGTTGGCCCCCTTTTTTTCCTCCCCCCGAAATTTCCACCTTGAGAGAACCTTTTTCCCCCCCACTGACACTATCTGTCTCTCACTTGATAGACGCTGCGCGCCACGCCTGTCCCCCGCCGCCTCCGAGAAGCTCTCCTCCCACTTCGTCTCGATCCGCAACCGCGTCGCCCAATCCGAAAAGACGGCCAACCTCCGCTCCTCCATCCCGATCACAGTGCGCCAGCTCGAAGCCATCATCCGCATTACCGAGTCGCTCGCCAAGATGACCCTGTCGGCCGTCGCGGACGAGACGCACGTCGACGAGGCGATCCGTCTCTTTTTGGCGTCGACCATGGATGCCGTCGCGCAAGGGGAGGGCGCGGCGGGTGCAGGTGTCGGCGGCAACAGGGATTTGATGGAGGAGGTGGCGAGGGTGGAGGAGGAGTTGAGGAAGAGGTTGCCGATTGGGTGGAGCACGAGTTTGGGGACGTTGAAGAGGGAGTTTGTCACGGGGAGGGGGTATAGTGAGGCAGCGCTGAGTCGGGCGTTGTTGGTGCTGCAGAGGAGGGAGACGGTGCGGTTGAGAAATGGAGGGGCGCAGGTGTATCGGAGTGGTGTGTGATCGGTATTCAAAATGGGCTTGTGGATGGGACGCGGCCAGGATTGATGATGAGTGTACGATTTGATGACGTGGGTTGAATTGCAGGCTACTCTAATCTCTACGGCAATGAATGAGTCTGGTGTGCTATCTGGGAGGAGAGTCACGACTGGGACTAGACGGATGTTCGTCTGTGTGACGAGCAAAGAGAATTCTTTGTAACATTCTTTTCGGAATCTTCCACCGGCGTGCGGTGCTGCAGCTACTGCAAAGCTCTTTTACGTGACTAGATAACCATTGCCACATATTCTGCAATCATTCGAGAAAGACACCTCAGTTTCTCCTGATCTTGGTGAAAGTCAGGAGAGCCACATGAAATGGTGTTTTCGGGCAACGCTCAAGACTCGTGCAGACGACGTTCCGCGTTGATATCATCATTCGAAGGCTTATGCCAACCCTAGGTAACACGTTAAGAGCTAGGAGGGTGCCTACCCTTCTGAGGGGGAAGGCAGACAGATGGTAGTATCCAGTCATTCCCACCAGTCTTGCTGGTCCTCGACGAGATTCGGGGGATAGGGAAGAGGAAGATCTTAAGTAGTCTGCCACAGCTGACATCTCAAATAGCATGTTGTGGGCGGGAAATGTTTGCTCGGCAGAATGCGATAGTGAGGAGCATCTACCTGTAGCGGTAGCATTGCACTTTGTGTGTCTGAGGAGCGCGAAATGGCCTTAGTCCAGCGGCACGGGAAAGAGTATTCCCGCGAGACCTTGCGTAGATGCGATTGTCGCATACTTGACGAGAGCTTTCTGTGCCACAGGTGGGGGTGATGTGAACTTTTAGAACCAGTGCGCATGTATGCGTACGGCGAGACGTTGAAGAGTATGTGACCATACGACTTCGTCGCCACGGAAGCGGTCTCCTTCACTGTCTGAGGAAAGACTCGGGGGTTCCTCGACTAGGCTCGTCTGTAGAGGTCAGGGATTCAAGAGCATTGCGTTGATGTCAGTGGCATGCTGGCCGTGACCGCCTAGTGAGTCGTCTTGCAGGTGCTGCTGACTTACCGTCGGACATTTCATGAACCTGCGCTGTTGATTTGAGAAGGCCTTTCTTGGCGTGTGCCCAGATGCTAAAAGAAGCCTATGCATCCGACAGTTCAGCCTTGTAATATTGACGTGAATAAAACTCGATTCGGTTGCTCTGTGTCGTGCTCTGAGGAATCCGATGCAAGTTCGGAGGTCTAGATCTGGTGACAGCAGCTCTGCACAGGAAGCGGCCGGTCCTCTGAACAGACGGTGGCCGGGATTAGATCGAGTGCCGAGATGTATTTGTCAATTGACAATTCCGAGCTCAGATCTCGGGGTTGCGAGCTTACGACACCGCGTCCGAACCTTTTGTGGCTTGTCGTGAAAGCGGATAAGAAACCCGAGTGAGCACAGACGGATCGAGGCGTCGTTTAGAGACAAGTGCCGACTTGGATTCGGTTAAGCAAGCGAGGCAGGCTTACCCTTGTCGGGTCCGATGTGCTAGATTCTAGCCAGGCGAGAGCAGTCAATCAGGCTGACTCGCTCAGCACTCTGACTGCAGCCTCGTGCAAGCGGTGGGACGATGCAGTTCATGTACCCACGAGATCGTCGAACCCCTGCCAGCCAAGGCAGGTAGGATGATCAGCGGGTATGCTGGTAGACAGATTTGTTCAAATGCGGGCGAGATAGACACCTTTTGGGCACCAGAACATGTGCATGGCAGAGTGATGCAAACATGCCCGATGCACAGATCAGCACCTCGCTCCCCACGGGAAAACGTGCCTGAAGGGTGATCAGCGCCCATGAGGAAGACGGGCGAATGGATGCTGTCCTGCTTTTCCTGAGCAGGTCATTGCCAAGGTTGCGGTTGCAGCGACCACTTCCGTATTTTCAGGTTCACGCCTGTAACAAGGCAGCCAAGAGCGAGGCTCTATCTAGATAGCAACAATGTGCTGTGCTCGAGGAAGTCGGCCTCACACCGATGAGCACTGGCAGCAGACAAGCTCTTTGGTGCTGGTATTTTAGCGCTGTAGATACTGGGCAGCATGATGCGACTTGCGTCAGGGTGGGGTACAGGCAGACAAGAGGAGGTTTGCAAAGGGATCGTTTCGTCGGCGCGGACGGTGTATCATTGGGTACTCATTCGCAACCCGAGGCCACCAATTACGAAGAGGAAATTGGTGCTAATGACGATGATGTGCGCGAAAGGCAATTTGGAATGTCTTGTTTGCACGATAGACGGCGGCGCACACCATGGCACTGAGGGTAGCTGGTGATCTGTGGCACGCCCCGGTGGTAGGCACAGCTAGGGTAGTTGCGAAGGGATGAATCCGACTCGTCGGACTAGATACTGAGGCAAGAGACGATCGACATGGCTCGGTGCATTCTGGCGCTCATGACGCTGGGGCGCGTTCGCCAATGCACCCTAAAAGCGTACGCCAACCCCGGAAATTGAAGATGCCTGTTCCGTATCAGGCTGTCTCATCATATGCAAGGCTCAAACCTCCCTGCAAGTAAGCGCCTGCGTGCTCCGCTGGGTACGAGCAGGGTGGCAGTGGCAGGTACCTTTCAGTAAAGGACGTCGCCGGAAATGGTATGACCATCATCCTGGCTGAAGCGTCTAAGGGTGTAGACGGGGCAAGCCACCACCCCTTCCGCGTAACTGCGGCTTTTCCGTCCCTAAACGCTTGACCTGGCTGCACGTCAAATAGTGGCTCCAAGATCTCGAGAGATCTGACAACGCCACAAAGACTGCCCTGAGATCGCGTTCGGCCGCCTTCACACGCAGCTGTCTCATTTCCAACATAGCACATAGTCGACGAGGGCCCAGTCTCAATGGACGCCCGTGTGGCTGCTAGTCAATCCTGTCGGGCAATGCACACAATTTAAAATACCGAGCCGAATATTGACGAGCCAACGGCGCGCAGCCCTGCAGAGCGACTATCATCGCTGCGACGTTAACGCCTTCTTCAAGCATTCGCTTATGCTCAGCAGACCACTTTTCGCGAGAACAGCCACCAACTCTGGGGTTGCAGGCCCCGCTTGACAATTGACCGGGAGACCAATGCTATCATGGTTCATCATACTTCCGAGGAACCCCGAGCTCTAGCCCGCAATAATCAATCTTCGGTTACTACCTAGCCCAGCTGCTAACCGAGTTGGTAGCTGGAGGGGACTGACCATGTTCGAATGCATAGTACGATGCGCTGTGTCCATGCCCTTCATGTCTCGTTTGAGCTCCTGGCATCCGAACTTTATGTCGTTTGTGTCCTTAAGCGGCATTTGCATCTAATCAGTGACCCTGTCGACACGTGAGTACATCTACCACTCACTTCCTAAGTAGTGCTCGCTTGAATCTATAAGGACTACTGCGTTCGCATTGCCGCTAGTGGGAGACTCTAAATGTATTGCATACATATGGTGCCCCTCAGTCCAAGGTTTTCTGTATGCCGACTACACCTCGAAAACGAAAGGCGACTTTCAGTACTTCAGCACCCAGAAGATCGCTGAGACTTGCAACGGCGACGACCACTCAGCAAGAGATACTGGCTGAGCCCGCACGCGCACCCGCCCCCACACCCGAGTCCGAGTCTGAGCCTGGGATTCCCCGAACGAACCCCGACCACCAACACAGGGACGTCGTCCACAATTTGGACAAGTCCGTCCCAGAATCTGAGCCATCTATTGAAATGGAACTGGTCATTGCGCCACCGAATCGCATTGCTGCTGGGTCCAAGCTAGGTTCGCCACTTGTGGTGACTTTCAAAGCATCCAAGCTGAGGCGTAGGCCAGTGACCGCAGAGGGCGGCGAAGGACAGGACCTGAGCGGCGTATGGGCCTACATTTCTTTGATGAGCGAAGACAAAAGTCGAACCCTCGCACCGCCACGAACCGACCTGCTCCGCGGCCACCCAGCTGCGTCAATACATCCTCTCGACTCTGCTGCCCAGCGAGGAGGCAGTTCATTTGCCTATGCGGCGTTTCCAGACCTGACCATCACAGCGCCTGGTCGATATTGTTTCTGTATCAACGTGTTTGACATGAACAGGTATGTTAGCTCAAGGTCTGTCTAGAAAGAGTTGCTGACCGTATACCAGCCGGTATAGCTCAGACGGGCAGTCAACAACCACTAAGCTCCTACCAGCACTACACACCCATGTCTTTGATGTCATAGAAGACACACACTTTGCACCCCGACAAGGTCAGCTCAAAACTTGCCACGCTCTTGTATCAGATCGGCTGACATGAGAACTAGATCCGAAGACGGAGAGTACAATCAATCAACTGCGAGCTATGGGAGTCCGAATTTGACGGGTAGCCGAGTGGATCGGACGGTCGAGCGCCTCACTGGGGCTTCGTTCGTTCATTGTATTGTATGACCAAGGACAGCACACCTGAAACAGACAGATGTTAGACTATAATAGAAGGCAATCCTTGCTCAAGACACAATACGGAGTAGCAAGGGGACATTCCATGCACGATTCACTGCCTGAAAATAGACTTTACACGTGGGGCTTCCCATGGCTGCCGCTGGTTGGCCCCTGGGAGAATCCGCCTCTTGGCGTTCCAGGACGCGTTTTGACAACTTCTCCATCTCGACTACAAGACTGCGCGCTCCGGAACTTGGCCCCAGATCTGTTCTCACCTTGAATGCAAGCACCCCTCAACATTCCGCGCCTTGTGAATTTCTTCCGAGTCGTGGACTTGCTGTCGCACCCCCAGACTTGCCGGTGGATGCCCACGATACTGAGGCATCACCGGGGTCTGCCCCTCGTTACACCGGCGTTACACAGCGCCGTGTGTCCCAGCCGCCGGGTCGGAGGAGGGCGCCATGCCAGAACCCCAGCGTCCGGGCCCGTTGCAGGACCTCTCCAATTACAATCAGGCTGCCAACCCACCAGACGCCTCCGAGGCGAATCCGCGTCTGGACCCTCAGCTCTTAAACGAGAACTCGATGCATGACGACTTCGACGGCCACGTCCTCTTGACTCCGCCGCCCCAGCCTGACTACACGAATCCTCTTGATAAGATGACGGTGACAACATCCCCAGTCACAATATCAGGTGTGCCCCAGCAGGCGCATGACGAAAGTGGTTCGGGGGCGTGGGAACGTGACGGCCGTCACGAAGATCCATCTTCTACCGCCGCTATCCAGGAACCAGTGTCGCTGCTCAATGGTCTGCATATCCGCACCGATGTTGGCCCAATGCGCCGCCTGAATTCAGATCAGTCCATCAGTTCCGAATACCGGCTGCGCTCGAGCGCCTCGGCTGCAAGTCTGCCACGTCGCGCTCCTAGTGTGAGGGCGGCACTTCATTCAACTGCTGGATCGCTGTCTCCTGGGTCGGTCATATCTTCCCCGCAGATTGCAGCTATGCTGGACATTACTCCTCTGCCATCCCCGACCATGAGTGCCTTTGAGACTTGGAAGCACGTTTCTAGGACGAGATCGCGGAATTCTTCGATTTCCTCCAGATCTGATCTTCCCCCCTCACTTTTCCCGCCCCTGTCTTCACCTCCAACATCTCCGCGAAAGAAGCAGTATTCAGGCTTGACGCAGGGTTCTGCACGGTCATCATTGGATGAGACAGAAAGGAACCGAAGTATTAGTGACTACATCCCGGACACTTTGGCCATTCCAAAGCCTCGAAACATTGCGGTGTCCGGCTCCGGTCCCATCGAGGATCCTGTCACAGCACAATCAGCCCTCCAGCGGGAGGAGTACCTCGGCGAGACCAGAGGCATAGTCACGCCCGTCGCCGAAGCCGGACAGCTTCCAATTAGGAATGATGCCACTCACGAAGAAGAGCCGGCGCCCAAGCGACAGAAGCGAGAGATTTTCAAAGCCACCAGTATCCACAACGGTCAACCACGGATGTACGAAGGTCTCCGGGAGTTGGGCAAGGGCACTTTCAGCAAAGTCTATCTGGCAGTACGCAAAGTGCATGACCGCAAAGACACTCTTGACTACAACCAGGACAGCGTCAACATGGCCGGCGTCCGAGCACGTTCACGACGACTGGTAGCTATCAAAGTGGTCGAACACGGTCCAGCCGGTGGCGCCGATGCCGAACGAATCGAGACTTCGTTGAAAAGGGAAGTGGAACTACTCAAAGCGGTACAACATCCGTGTCTCGTCCATCTCAAGGCGTTTGGAACGGATGGCGCCCAGCGCGCATTGCTTGTGATGAATTACTGCCCGGGAGGTGATCTATTCGACGTGGCGAGCACCAAGCTTGAAGTGCTGACTCCGTCGTTGGTGAGAAGAATCTTCGCTGAGTTGGTCTCGGCCACTCGGTATCTCCACCAGAAATTTATTGTTCACCGTGACATCAAGCTTGAGAGTAGGTGTTTTGGTCATGTCAGATGCGCTTGAGTCTCGTGCTAATCACCACAGATGTGCTTCTGAACATTCCTATTCAAGTGCACCCTGATGTGCCAGACTGGCAAACACTGGATCGGGCTGTCATTACGTTGACTGATTTAGGACTGTCGAGACGCATCCCAGAGCCACCCGAGAGCCCCTTGCTCACGACTCGGTGTGGTAGCGAGGACTACGCGGCGCCGGAGATCCTGATGGGCCAGCCGTACGATGGGCGCCAAACAGATGCGTGGGCGTTGGGGGTTCTCCTGTACGCATTGATGGAAGGCAGACTTCCTTTTGACCCTCTCCCAGGTGCGCGAGGCGACCCAGCCACTCTACGATCACGTACGCCTCACCGTGTCGCTCGGTGCGAATGGGCATGGGTCCGCTACGGAGACGAAGACGGCGATTGGGATCCGGTCAAGGGGAAGGAGCTCGAGGGTGGCTATAAATGCGTTGACGGTCTGCTCAGGCGCAGCGCTCGACGTAAGCCTCTAGAAGAGATACGGCAGATGCCATGGGTCACGGAGGGTGTCCGGATCGATGGTGGGTTGAGATGGGTCGAGGAGGAGGCCATGTAACAACAATATATCCCAGGGTGGCGGGTCTTTCTTGATCCTGCGCAACATGTTTCAGTATCCCGGCGGCAATGTTATACATCCACAGATACCCAAAACCAAGACAACGAATGATACCCATCACAACCTCTTTCTCAACTCGTGGATCAAGTCTCGGAGTCCGGAGGTCCAACTCCGGCGTAACTCGCATTAGCGGCACTGCGATTGGCTGCAAGCAGAATTGGGGAAAAGATCGGCAGGGCGGGCGCGAACCCGGAGCGGAGCTTGAGCCTCGAACAAATTGTCTAAAGCTGCGACATCTTTCTGGGGGACCTTCATGTCGGTGTGCAAGAGGCTTGAGTGACTCAATATTGAGTCACAAACGTCTTATAACAGGGTATCGAGTAAGCCCTCGACCTCTCAGAACCTCTAGCTCTATCCTCAACCGGCTGCCGGCGGACCATAAGCGAAAAAGAATACAGGCCTGTGATCAGCGGCCTCATCTTCTCGCTGAGCCTACGGGCCTAAAAAACCCCACGTTGAAGTACACTCGACACATCCAATATGTCGTTCGCACCCGCACTACGCGGTGTTGGCTCGATGCGAGGCGTGCGTGCCTCGATCGCCGCGCCCGCAAGGTACCCTGCTCGCCCTCTTTCATCCATCCCCTCTGACACAACCTCCAGGCGGGGTCTTTCGACCACTGCCTACCCCCGACAAGCGTCCCCAAGAAATACACTCGAAGACCTCGCTGGCCTCAACAAGATCTCGTCACGGATCACGTCTCCGAAATCCCAGGGCGCTTCCCAAGCCATGCTCTACGCCACTGGCATGTCCGAAACAGATCTTCAAAGACCACAGGTGGGCATCTCATCGGTATGGTTCTCGGGGAATCCCTGCAACATGCACTTGATGGATCTCTCGAACCTGGTCAAGAAGGGTGTGACCGATGCTGGCCTTGCGCCCATGCAGTTCAATACCATCGGTGTTTCGGACGGCATCAGTATGGGAACAACGGGAATGCGCTACTCGCTGCAGTCCCGTGAGGTTATTGCCGATTCGATTGAGACTGTCATGCAAGGCCAGTGGTACGATGCCAACATCTCGCTCCCGGGCTGCGACAAGAATATGCCGGGTGTCATGATTGCCATGGGTCGTCTGAACCGCCCCAGCATCATGGTCTACGGCGGGAGCATCGCACCCGGATGTGCCTCGACCCAGAACAATGCCGACATTGACATTGTCAGTGCGTTCCAAGCCTATGGCCAATTCCTAAGTGGCGAGATCAACGAGGAGCAGCGTTTTGATGTTATTCGCAACGCCTGCCCGGGCTCAGGAGCATGCGGAGGCATGTACACCGCCAACACCATGGCGAGCGCCATTGAAACTCTCGGCATGACACTGCCCGGCTCCTCATCTTACCCTGCAGAATCCAAAGCCAAGCAACTTGAATGCCTCGCAGCGGGCGGCGCGGTCAAGAACCTGCTCAAGCTCGATCTGAAACCGCGTGACATTATGACGCGTGCCGCCTTTGAGGATGCCATGACACTTGTCATGGTTACAGGCGGTAGCACCAACGCCGTGCTGCATCTCATTGCCATGGCTGATGCGGCGGGAGTTAAGCTCACCATCGACGACTTCCAGAAGGTCAGCGACCGCACACCCTACCTATGCGACCTGAAGCCGAGCGGCAAGTACGTGTTCCAGGACCTCCACCTCATCGGCGGCATCCCCAGTCTGCTCAAATACCTGGTCGCCGAGGGCCTGATCAAGGGCGAACACATGACCGTCACAGGACAAACACTCAAGCAAAACGTCGAAAAGGCGGCAGATTTCCCCAAGGACCAGAAGGTCGTGATGCCGCCAACGAAGCCCATCAAAGAAACAGGCCATCTGTGCGTGCTACGCGGATCACTGGCCCCTGGTGGCTCCGTGGGCAAGATCACCGGCAAGGAAGGCATGCGCTTCCAAGGCAAAGCCGCAGTCTTTGACTCGGAGCCGGACTTCATCGAGGCCATGGAGCAAGGCGGCGCCATCGAGCGCATGAAGGGCCAGAAAACAGTCGTCGTGATCCGCTACGAGGGCCCCAAGGGCGGGCCCGGCATGCCGGAGATGCTGAAGCCCAGCTCCCTCATCATGGGCGCCGGGCTCGGCCACGACGTCGCACTCATCACCGACGGCCGCTTCAGCGGCGGCAGCCACGGGTTCCTCATCGGCCACGTCGTTCCCGAGGCGCTGGAGGGCGGTCCCATCGGTTTGGTCAAGGATGGGGATGAGATCCTCATCGATGCGGAGAATCGCGTCATGGAATTGGAGGTGGATGAGGCGGAGCTGCAGAAGAGGCGCACGGAGTGGGAGGCGAATCGGCCGAGGCCGAGGGTCGAGAGGGGCACGCTGGGCAAGTATGCTAGATTGGTGCGTGATGCGAGTCATGGCGCTGTTACGGATGCTGTTGCGTGAGGTCGCTCCTACCTACTGGGACCACGAGGCGTTTCATTGTCGATGAGCAAAAGCACTTTGGATGGAAGGTACGCCACGGCCAAGGGTCAAGAAATACCGGGACCACCGGCCGTGGCGGCGGCGGCCATATCTCGTTGGGCCATTACCGCCTTCCCCCCTTCCCCCGGTTTGTGCATCATACATACAGTAAAGTCGTGCCGGGACCATGCATGGATCCAAAGCTACGCGATCGATGCGCGGTTCGCGCTTTCCATCCGCGAGAGAAATGGGCCACCACAGGCTGTGTGAGCCTGCTGCCTCAGCACATCTTCGGCCTCCCCTCCAGTTCCACTGATGGGTTCACATGGAGGTGCAGCCGGCTGAAACTGAGTCCTGACCATGGAGACTGAAATTTGAATCTTCTGCCGTGAGACTGTGGGAACATTGTATATATATAGTGAGTGGCAAGAAGTAGCATCTATAGTAAACAATCTACAGTCTACACCTCGAGGGACATTTCTCACTCGACAGGGGGAAAGGTGGCGCGTCCGTTCTTCTGCCCGACTCACCAAATGCCAATCATGGTAAGTAGCGAAGAGAAGGAGAGTTTGGTCGTTTTTCATCTTGGCTTGTCTCTGCATTGTAGTGTAGTCCAACTCACAAACGAAAGGTGCGTTCGTCAAGCATTGTTGATTGTTGATTGTTGATCGCATATATTGTGCAGCCCATATGTACTAGATATAGATATAGATATGTTCTACCTGTATATCCGCCTTTGCCTGGCCATGTCTACACACGAGAAAATATCCAAGCTGGTCGGTCCGGACGGTCCGGTTCCTTCATTCGATGTGAGAAAGTTGTGAAGGGTTTGGGTTCTCGATAATGCCTGCAAATGCTAGCCACCATCGCGATTGTGTGGTGGTGACGGTTCACGGGGGGACTGTGGGTCGTCCATCGATGCTTCCGTAACACCCCTCTCGTCGCTCGTTCTCGTGCTCGTGCTCGTGCTCCCATCCGCATACTACCCAAAGCCTTCTCCTCTTTCTACGCCAGCAATACTACACCAAAATAGCATGTCGAAGCACACCCCACTGGGCTTTGTGGGCGTTGCACCACCACCACAGATAGTCCGTATCACCAATCACACCATCATCTCGGCCTTGTATTTGGTATCCAAGCCCGCTTTCAAGGCTGTAGGTTCAAGTCAGCCCCAGTCGTATAGCGCCATTAGATCCACATCTGCGAGCTTTCGGAGCCTGTCGCAGGCTCCAAAGGGAATGGGAGGCTCAACTTACCATCACACGTCGTCTTCGCGTCCCCAAACAGCATCTTCGTGTTCGGCATGTAGACTGTAAAGCCATCAGCATTCAACTCTGCACACCATTCCCACCCACATCTCCAGACAAAGAAAGACGGGGGGGACGCAAAAAACTCACACATCGGATTCGGCACATCCGCATACCCACTACTCATCCCCCTCTTCATGACCACGACCCCCTTACTCTTCCACGCCTGCAACACCGGCATGCCCGCAATCGGACTCCCCGGCTCCAACGCAATCGGATTCACCGTATCATTCGCGCCAATGACCAAGACCAAATCCGTCTCGCCAAAATCATCATTAATCTCCTCCATCTCCAGCACGATGTCGTACGGCACCGACGCCTCGGCCAACAGGACATTACACTGGCCCGGCATGCGGCCCGCGACGGGGTGAATGGCGAACCGGACATTCACGCCCTTGGAGCGCAGCAACTGTGTCATCTCGGCGATGGCATACTGCGCCTTGGCGACCGCCATGCCGTAGCCCACGACGATAATGACGCTGTCCGCGCCCGCGAGGGCCTCGACCGTCTCGTCCACACTCGTCTTGGTGACGGTGCCGGTGATCTTGTCCGTGTCGACGGCCTGGGGCGCCGCGATGCCGCCGAAGAGCACGTTGGTCAAACTGCGGTTCATGGCCACGCACATGATGTAGGACAGAATAGAGCCGGAGACGCCGATCAAAGAGCCCACGGTCAGGAGGAGCGGGTTGTCCAGCATGAGGCCCTCGGCGACGATGGCGAAGCCGCTGTAGGCGTTGAGCACCGTGATGACGACGGGCATGTCGGCGCCGCCGATGGCCGCCGTGGTCGTGAAGCCCTTGGCGAAGGAGAGGGCCGTGTTGGCGCTGAGGGCGGCCGCCGCGATCAATGGGCTTCCGGGCGCCATGGTGAGGAAGGCTCCCATGGTGCCGGCGTTGGCGGCCACGAGACCGAGATTCAGCGCGTGTCGCCCGGGGAGGATGGTCGGTCGGGAACTCATGCGGCCCGCCAGCTTGAGGAACGCGACGATCGAGCCGGTGAAGGTGACGCCACCGATCAGCACGCCCAGGTACGCCGTCACCATGTGCAGCACGGTCAGGTGTGCGCCCGTACTGGCCAACACGCTGCCGATACTCGTCAGCACGGCCGCCAGGCCGACCACGCTATGCAGCGCGGCCACGGTCTGCGGCAGCTCCGTGGGCGTGATGCGCCGCCCGATGAGCGCGCCCACCAGACTGCCGACACCAGCAATGACGCCGAACTGCGCCAGCACGGGCGGCGCGAACCCCACGGCCGCCAGACTGGCCAGCACGCCGCTGCCCACCCCCAGAACACCCAGCAGATTGCCCTGACGCGCCGTCGCCTGCGACGCCAGGCCGGAAATACTGCTGATGCACAGCAGCGAGCTGACGAGGTACCCGGCCTGCACGAGGCCCGCCATGCCGGTGCTCGCCGCGGCCACGAAGCCCATGCCAAACAAGCCCGCGGGCACGGCGTACAGCCAGGGATACTCGCTGGGGTCCATGGGCCTGCGGAACATGTCGAGCATGCGCTTGGTGATGACGAAGCCGCCGCCGATATTGACGAAGGCGAGGGCCACGCTCGCCGCGCCGAGGAACTGCGGCACCGTGGCGGGGAGGTAGCCGCCGCCCATGACGAAGAGGCCGCCGACACCGACGATGCCGGAGATGGCGTTGGTGACGCTCATGAGCGGGGAGTGCAGGGCGGGGATGACGCCCCAGACGCTGCGGTAGCCGATCAGGCCGGCGAGGCCGACGGTGAAGGCGTTGCTCATGAAGAGGGGCGTGGTGAATTTCCCCAGCGCGAGGGCCGACAGCATGCCGCCCGAGACGGCGGCGACGCGTCGTTGGGCCCGCTGTAGCGGCGTCAGCTCCTTCCGCGGCTCTTCTTCGACGACGGGTTTCTGGGTTGGTGGCGGCGGGGCAGGCCGTGGCGCCGGTGGCAGGACCTCGCCGCCGTGCGTGACGATGGCGCCGCGCACGACCTCATCCTGTAGATCGACGCCAAAGGAGGCATCCTTGGGGCTCATGCTGAGCAGCAGCTTCGTGACGTTGTTACTGTACAAGTTGCTGGCCTGCGTGGGCAGCCGGCTGGCGAAATCGGTGTAGCCGATGATCTTGACGCCGTTGCGCGTGGTGATGAGCTCGCCGGGCTTGGTGAGCACGCAGTTGCCGCCGCCCTCGGCCGCCAGATCCACCACGACGCTGCCGGGCTTCATGGCCATGACGGCCTCCTCGAGCAGCAGTTTCGGACTCGGCTTACCGGGGATCTGCGCCGTGGTCACCACGATATCGACCTCGCGGCACTGCTCGAGGAAGAGACGCATCTCGGCCTCGATGAACTCCTTGCTCATTTCTCGCGCGTAGCCACCCTGCCCGTCGCCCTCTTCGTGGATCTCGACCTCGAGAAACTCCGCTCCCAAGCTTTGTACTTGCTCGCGTGCTGCAGCCCGCGTGTCAAAGCCGCGCACGATAGCGCCCATGCGCCTCGCCGTCGTGATGGCACTCAGGCCGGCAACGCCCGCACCAATAACCAGCACCTTGGACGGCGGGATCTTGCCGGCCGCTGTGACCTGGCCGGTTAGGAAGCGGCCGAAGTGGTTCGAAGCCTCCAGAATAGCCTTGTAGCCCGCAATATTGGCCATTGAAGACAGGGCATCAAAAGCCTGTGCGCGCGTGATGCGCGGCACCTGCTCCATGGCGAAGCTGGTCACGCCGCGTGCGGCCAGGGCATCGACCTTGTCACGCTGCGTCGAGACCTGCAGGAAGGAAATGACGGTTGAGCCAGGCTTCATGGCGTCGATCTGGCCGGCGATCTCCGGCGGACGGACCTTCAGCACGATGTCTGAGGAGGACCAGATGGTGGGGGCATCGACGAGCGTGGCTCCCGCGTGAGAGTAGGCTTCATCGGAGTACTCGGCGGCAGCGCCGGCGTTGCGCTCAATGAGAACCTGCTTGAAACCCTTCTTGAGAAGGAGGCCCACGTTGGGCGGCGTGAGGGCTACACGGCGTTCATTGGGGTAGGTCTCTCGGGGGACACCAACTGTCAGGTTAGCGTAGGGAATGGGTTCACCAGCACCGGACGTAGAGGCGTCGTGAAGGGCTCGTAGGATGGAGGCTGTGCCGGAGGTGCCAGTAATAGGCCGCTTGAACTGGTCGAGCAGGACAGTAGGGCGCTTGGTAGGATTGCTCTCATGGTGGGCGGAGCGGGTGGTTGTCTTGGCAGAGAGGGCGGGGCCGGGCTGCCTCCTGAGGATTTCTGGAACTGCTGTGAATATCAATGACTAGACGGCTGGGGGAAGAACGACATACCGGTAGCTCTCAAACAGGACCTAGGAGACAGCCTTGGTGGGCTGAAGAGTAGCCGCGAGCAGGAGGTACGTGGTAACATGATGGCTCAGAGGTGCTGTGTGAAGACAGGCACCGGGAGCAGAGTAGCACTAGTCGTTCAGATCGGGAACCCTGGAAGCTTGCATGCGAGGCAAGACTGGAGTTCCTGGTGCCGCTAGAGATGGAGGTCTATCCGACGCCACATATGCCGCAGGAGATGGGTTGTGTAAGATGACGCGTAGAAAAGAGTGCACGACGACAGCCGGCGCGTCGTGAGAGCCTGTTGAAGCGTGTTGGTTGATCGCGGGGAGGCTCTGACGCGTGGAATGGGGAAAAATAGAGCTGTAAAGCTGTGAGCAGGCAGCTTGGAGAGTGGTCAGGCAGACGAGAGGCTCAAAGAACGAACGGTTCTACGTGGTCGAGTGAGGGTAATGCCGTTGCATGTAGGCTAAGCTGGAGTAGACGCGGGTGGCCGAGGCAAGGCGTGATTGGGGAGGCCTGCTCTTGATGGAGGACGTCTGTGGTGCAAGTTATGGATCGATGTACGAGGGGCAAAGACCGGGGCAAGGTTACATTGCCGTGCTTGCATCCGACAGTAAGGGCCCTGGCAGGGTGTGGCGTGGGGGGGAGAGAGGAGAGAGGGAGAGGGTGTCAGATGAGGGGAGAGAGTCACGCGTTCGAGTCTCGAGGGTTCAAGTTGGAGACGATCCGGAGGCAGCTTCGAGGCGGGGGCGAGCCTAGAGGGACGCCCGGGGAAGATACTACTAGCAGTTGAATGTGCGGGGCTCCGCGGGGTGCCACAAGTGCCTGTTCTCCACCGTGGCAGGGGTCTAGCAGGGGGGCTGTGCTGGCCCCAAGAGTTGCCCAGCCTGGGCGAGAGGAGAGGACACACAGCTTGGTGTAGCATGGTTCCCTGACAGTACTCTGAACAACATAGTCATCATTTACACGCAATACATATCCACTAATGCTCAATGCCAACAACTCAGTACCCATAACGCCTCGCTTGAAAACGATACCCATGTCTCCAACACCCATCCCTGCTAACACGTATATATTCAAACAGTCTTATCCGTCGGACTCCTATACAGCTGCCGCCCATCCGGTCCCTGTATCCTACTCACCGAGCCCCTCCTGACCTCCACCTCCGGCCAGTCGACGTGCTCAAACGGCGACGAAGAGTCCTCGCCGTGGGAGTCCTCTGCCGGTGGCCCTAGCACCGCCTCTTCATCGTCCTGCCCAGCGGCAGCAGCCACGACGGGCTCAGGCATGGCCGGCCACTCATGCTCCGTCTCGGTGATGCATTTCACCTCGGTCAATCTGTCCACGAGCAGCCAGCGCTGCATCAGGGGGTAATGCTTCGCATGCGAAAACACACTCGTCGGCTCGTCGCCTCCCGCCATCTGATACCACACCTTGGCACCAGCGCGCACCAAAGCCTTGACCGCGTTGAGCCGGTTGTATGACGCCGCCACCATGATGGCGCTCCCGAGGTCGCCGCCCTTGAGATCGATCTCGGCGCCATGCTTGATGAACAGATCGATGAGCTTGATCTGGTTGTTGGCCGCCGCGTTGTACAGCAGCGTGTTCGCCTGGACCGGCTTGGCATTCAGCACCGCTCGCGTCGTCTCGGCGCCAAAGCGTCGGAAGAGCCGCCTGAACAACGAGTATGCGTCGTCTCGCCAGGTACAGCGATGCACCGGATTTCCATGCACGGGATCGATCCAGGAGAGGTCCAGCCCGGAGTTCAGCAAGAGTGTCTCCTCGCCTGGCCGGGAATAGAACCAAACCTCGAAAGGGACCGTGTTGCCATCCTTGTCAGAATGTACCACAGCCTCGCGAAACGCTTCGTTCAGCATGAGCAGCTGTGGACAGGCTCCCGCAATCTCACTCGCAGCACTCCGTCGATACAGGCTGTGGCCCATGGACCGGATGTCGAGCCGGTCATGATTTGCAATCAGCCATTCAGGGTTGTCCTCCACCAGACCGGCCATGTCGATCACGGATCCGCGATACATCCGGCCATACAGAGTGGCGCCGTACTGCAGCAGAAGATCGATCATTTCATCAGCCCGGCCACACCGTGCCGCCACCAGCAAGGCGGTCAAGCCATCTCTCGGCGTGCGTGCATTGACGTTGGCACCGTATTCGAGCAGCAACCTCGCGCCCTCGATGTTCGCCACCCGCGCTGCGCAGTGCAGCGGAAGACTTGAGTCGACTTTCTCAAGCCATGCCATGGTCTTATTATCCAGCACAACATAGTTGGGCTGCTTCTCCACATCCACCGCCACCTCGAGCAACTCCTCCGAAGGGATGATCTTGAATTTCCTCCCGGCCTTGGTGGGAAGTCGATACGGCAGCGTTTCCTTGGCGTTGGCCTCGATGTTCACCGGACTGAGGCTGAGCTTGCATCCGGAGCGCGAAAATCTCGCCCAAGCCTCCTCACGCCGCTCCAGCATCAGCTCCAGGCAGTCATTTTGCTTGTTCAGCGCGGCGAGGTGCAGCGGATGCACTCCATAGTCGAGGAAGAGGAGCCCAGGATAATGGTCGAGGATCCAAGTCAGGCTGGTATAGTATCCGAATCGCGCACATTCTTGAATAGCCGTGGTTTCGTCGTGAACGATGCAGCTACGCCTCGTAGGACTTCCGCCGGCTTTGAGCAACATGAGCAGCACCCGTCCAGCATTTGGATTCCGACATGACGCTGCATGGACGACGGGATCGCACTCATCGCATGCCGCCCAGTCGGCCGATGCTGAGGCTCCATTGTCGAGCAACTTCTGGCACATTTCAGTATCACCTAGGTTGATGGCGATCCCTAATTCCCGCTGCTTCATCGCAAAATCACTGTCGCCAACCAGTGTCAGTGTCATCGCGTTACTATCAACATCTGCCGTCTCGTTAGTCCTTGAGTCTGCGGAAACAGAGAAGAAGAGGTCCGTCACCGTACCTTTGAGCTTAGCTTTCGCCTCCAGCTCGGCGGCGAGCTCATCATGTCCTCTCTGTCTGGCAAGCATCGCCGCGGTGTACCCATTCCGCTGCTTCACATCAGGCTCCATGCCGTGTTTCAGGAGGCTACGCACAGCTCCGACTCTGCCGCTCCGAGCGGCAAAGTGCAGGACCGTGCTCCCTCCTCCAATCTTCCAGCTGGCACCCTCCTGAAGCAGGTAGTCGATGACGTGTTGCTGGTCTTTCCATATGGCACACATCAAGATCGTCCAGTGGGGTATCAATTCCGTCTTCTGATCAATGTTGAACAGCTCTTTGTGCTTCAAGAGGTACTGGAGACAGTCCAGCCTACCACCCAGAGCGGCAAGGTGAGGCAGAGATGAGCCCCTCAGTCTGGAAGTCTCGCCCTGAATGTCTGCCACGGCCGTAACAGTGTCCAGCCAGCCATTTTCGCGAGGGGCCGACGACAGTCTTTCGAGGACGCCCAGGTGTCCAAGGTCGGCTCCGAAATGAGACACAGTCCAGCCGTCATGACTCCGTACCGTTGGATCGGCGCCTGCCGAGAGTAGCAGGTCATAGACCTTAACGCGATCCACCAGAGACGAGTAACACGCTTCCAGAATCGGCGTGAGAGTCTCGTCGTTGGTATCATTAACACCAAACCCTGCCTCGATGAGGTACTTGACACGTTCAGGTGAAGCGCGTCGGGCAGCGATGTGGAGGAGAGTGTCGCCGGTAGTCGGATGTTTATCCTTGCAAGGTCCAGGTTCCACGACGATTCGCTCAAACAGGTCGTTAGGGGCATTATGCATGATGGCCATCTCCTGCGCGCTTGAAAGCCCGGCGACGCGATCGTCTCGGCTTGTCACATCGACGAATCTGTCCAGGATGGCACTGCAAACGCTATGTTGTCTGTTATACAGGGCGAGACACAATAATTGACGGCCATCGGGCTTGTACTTTCGAAGGTCGTCCAACGGCAAGCTCTCGATGAAGGCGCGCAGTAAAGCAGTGTTGGCTTCTCTCGCTGAATGGCGGTTCAGATCCAGATCGCGGAAGAGTACACTGACGACTTTCAGTGCTTGCTGGACATCGTACTCCTCCGGGTCCGAGCATATGTCACTGATTAAAGGTGCGAGATCTTTGAGACCAGCGAAGCCAGGCCGTTGAGCTTGGTCATCAAGCCAGCGGAACAAGCTATCACTGATAGCCTTCATTTCCGGTGGCGTTGCCTCGGCCACAACTTTGTCAAGGATTTGTAGGTAGACCTTACCTCTGGTGTTATGTCTGAGGACATGCAGAGTCCGATCGAGCACCGAGCCCCCGAACTCAGACCCCTCCAAGTCAGGCTCTTTCAGCAATAACTCACTGCCACGCTCGTAGAGCACATTGAAGACGTTGAGATTGGGTCTGGTGAACATGCACGGGAACAGAACAGAGGCCCCTGTTTTGGTAACAGCGGTAGTGTCGTGCTTGCGTTCAAGCAGTAGCTCGACGGTTTTAGCGTGTCCCGACTCGGATGCATAATGCAGTACCGTCCAACCGTCGTTGTCCTTTGCCCATTCATTTGCCCCGAGTTCCAGCAGAGCCGTGACTCTATCCAGGTGGTCATGCTCGGAACTTGTCGCATACGACGCGGCGAACATCAGGGGCGTCCGGCCATTGTCATCCGGGCTGTCCAGTAGATCCAGGACTCCGTCCTTGAGATTACTAAGGAAATGGATAGCGCTGCTGCTTGTAGCTTCTGCTGCATCGTGCCAGATGCCGGCACCATTTGGCGCGCGAAACCGTATGTCAGCTCCTGCATCGACCAATAACTGGCCAACAGCATTCTCCGCCCAGGCCATTGCCTCGAGCACCGGCGTGACACCCAGATCGGACGCAGCTTCGAGTGACGCACCCTCTTGGATGAGGAGTCTCGCAACGTTCACACTACCATATCGAGCAGCAGCGTGCAGTGCTGTGCCAACGGAGCGCCATTTGTGATCGAGTGTCCATGTATTGAGTCTAAGTTGTCTGACCATCTCTTCGACATCGTCGTTTTCGAGTATCTGTAGTAGCTCGGAAGGCATGGATGCCTCTTTGCCTCTCTCATTTGCGTATGAATCGGTCTGTTTCAAAGCTGGGCCTTTCGCTTCCCGCTCGGCTTCAGCTTTTCGGCTAAGTCTGAGAAGGTCCGAGAACATCAAGGGGTCAACTTGGAGGTTAGCAGTATTGACGGTGGCAAGCAAGTCCGAGGCTACCTCGACGCAATCTGGAGCCAGGACAACTTCTCGCAAGGCTTCGATGCAGTCCATTTCGCAATTTGCGCCAGCCTCGGACAGGAGCTTGAATACCAAATTGCCCCCACGGTTCGCATCGTGGAACGCTGCCAGGCGTAGAGTACTGACTTCGATGTCCGAGAAATTTGGAAAATGACTCTGAAGTAAAGTCGTTTCTGCGGACAATAGCTCAAGAACTTGCCCGAGCCGTGAAGTTGCATCAACGTTCGCCCGAGGAACATGCGACACTGGTGTGGCACTGGGGTGGTCGTACAGTGATTTGACAAGACTGATCCCAATGATCGCGCAGTGGACTGGGGTGCCGATCATTTTACTACAAGTCTGCTGGCACTCGCCACTGTCCAGGAGCCAGGAGCACAGTCCAGGTATTCGAAGCATCGCAGCATAGTGTAGTGAGGTGACATCTTCGTTTTCGATTCGCCAGCAATCTTCTTTTGCAAGCGCGGCTGGCCACATCCCCTGATTCCAACTGTACAAATGGCCTACCGATTTGGGATGGAAGACCTTATGCAGAATCTCCAGATCTTGCTCGGCAGAGAGGTCTGACCAGTAGATCCACTGTCGGGCTGCGAGATTCATGAAGGGATGTCGAGCGCGGCGTTTGCGAAGTGCGCCTAGCGTCTGGCAAGGACTGCTGAATTCTTCAGACGCGTACAGCTGCAAAGACGTGATTGCGTACTCTCGACGCATATCATCGCCTAGGGCAAATGATCGCAAGTTCTCTGGGCCGTCGGCTAGCGATATCAAGTACTCTTTGACGGAGAAGTGGGCGCACTCGAGGGTGAGGTTGCCAGGTCCTAGGCGGATGAGACTGCCACAGAGCTGCAAAATGCGCTCCTTGGAAATAAATGAGGTAGAACCCGACGACTTGGCCGTTGTGCCAATCGAGAGTGCTTCTTCCAGCGCGGCAGCGTCGATGATACCTTGTCCAACGACCCACTTGAGCGCCCTTGCAGCGATAGCAGTCACCTCATCAGGCAGCTTGGTCGCTTCCTGCAACGTTCGTTCATAAGAACCAAAGAGGGATGGAGGAGCATGGAGAAGCGCCTCTCGAATATCCGCGTCCGAGAGCTTGTCACAAATATAATCCAACTGAACCGCCACCCACCTAAACATTCCGTCGGCCTTGCTGATCAGAGTGTTTAGGATTTCGCCTTTGAGCGCAGGGTCTGTGAGGTAAAGACGCTTTCTGGCCCTCTTGTGAAGACGCTGCTCGATTTCGCTTGCCACGAACAACCGTAGGTCCATACTCCGCGCTGCGATAGAAACCGGTTCAAAGTCATCATCTACCAGCTCCCTAATGTCGTATATGTCCCTGGAGCTCATGAAAATCTTCAGCTTAGCTGATTCAATGTCGGCTAGATGGAGGATCAGCGAACGTCTCTCTTCACTCGGGCATTCGTCCACGCCGTCGACAAATACCATGGCGGTCGTATAATGGTCGCATAGGTTGTTGATGAGGGCGCCGAGATCCTCGGCTTCGCATTCGAGCTCCTGCCGCCGACCACCTTGAAGCCCGGACGCTTCATGCTTTTCGACAAAGTCAAGAAGGGCATCACAGCTCCGCTGACTCTGCCGTGCCAGTTGTGCAGCAATTGATCCCAGAATTTGGCGGCAGGAGAGCGAATCGGGTTGTCGATAGTCGCAATAGAAATAGGCGACGGCTGTGGTCGGAGTGCTTTGCTGTAGGGCATACTCGATGGCACCAGCAGTGAGAATGCTCTTGCCGGCTCCAGGGATCGCGTGCAGCCACAGCCTCGCTTGTGGATTCGTAAGCCACTGCTGGAATTCATCTCCATCAGTGAACCAGAGGCCCGTACCGGGATGTCGCAGACGCAGATTCGCCTGGTGAAGGTTCCGGGTATTGAAGGGGCCAACAGCAGACAAAGCCCTATCTGCTTTCTCATCGAGCTGGACGCGGGCCACATTGGCCATGTGCTCCTGGATTTGGTCCACAGCAGTGCGCATAGATCTGGTCTCATTCAGGGTCTGCATCATGACATTGAATCCATCGATGCTTAGAGCAAAGCTGATAGTGGTGGTGTGCGCCTCCACCTCTCTGGCGAGATCCTGAGTCTGGCCTCGCAAGAATGGCCATTTCCATCGCTTTCGTATACTGGGCTTGTCGGTGGTTTGAGACTCCCGATTGCTTGTATTGATTTTGCCGTTGCGGAGCTGGTTGTTGAGACGGTCGAAAGTGTTTTGCCTTCTTAGCGGTGAAGGCTCCTCTTCTGGCTCTTCTTCTACATTCTGGAAACCGGCGACCTTGACCCTGACCTTTTCCAGTGTAGTCATAACGGCAGTAATTTGACGTGCATCGATATTGGCCATTGCTTTCCCGGGACTCATATCATCTTCCAACAGCTGCAAGCTCTTTAGTGCTCCATATAGGGCATTGGTGCGCGTGAGCAGGTCGAGCACCTCGTGCTCGGCATGCTTCACGTGCCTCACATATCGACAAACATAACGAGTGACAACCTCCGCTGCCGCTACCAAACCGACAATTGCACTCGCGAACTCGGCCATGTGCTCGCTGCATGCATTGAAGAAAAAAATAGTTGTATACAACTGAACTTCCTCAAGCTGTTCTGGGATGTAGATGACAATCAATGTACAAAAAGGAGCTCAATTTGATGTGTTGAGGCCACCAGCATTTCCTCTGCAGGTCATCGACCGTGGAGACGCCAATCGACTGGTGCAATTGCTGCGCCATGAGGTCCAACTGCAAGGCCCAATGGTGAGCTCTAGGGGCCCGTCAGGCTGCAGTAGGGGGAAGCCACTCGACCAGGGTATACGGCTCAGCCGCAGTTTTGCAGCAGGGCCTTTGGCTGTTTGCTGCGCAAGTCTCGCGGATTTGGGATATTATGATGCAAGAACACGCCGATACTGCAGAATGGCGCTCGATGTGAAGATGTAGCTGATGATTGCACATACGCACGATGGAAATGAAAACCATGTCGACGGCACAATGGAGTCAGTGAATGCTAGCTATCCGTACCTCAGATAGTGTGGGGGGATTTTGGCGAAGCCCTTTCAGCCCCAAATGCAGGCTTGAGACACCCCGAAAGACTTTTGAAACGCCCCCGCGCCGAACACCCAATAGGCGGGCCTTCCTTTGGCGCTGCCGAATGCCCGTGACTGGGGAGTGCGCGGGCGTGGTTCGCCTGTCGCCTGGCCGGGAAACAAGCTCGCGGTGGCGAGTCCCGTGCCTCCCGCAGCCCGTCAGTTCCATCATGCAACTATGGCCCGCGGCGGCGATGGCGAGCCACCTTGCGCTCCGGAGTCCTCGGCCTGGTCTGAACAAAACTAGATGGATGATGTACAAGCATGAAGGCGTGGACTTGTTGCTTGGTACAGTCGTCACGGTCGCCTGCTGCAATTTGGGTATTTCAACCTTCTCGCCTCTTAGCAGTTCTGGGCGATCAATCTACCCTTAACGGTGGGCTCATCCTTCAGATGCCGCCGCATCGGTGGGCTGTGCAATCATCCTGTGCGCGCCCTCGATAGACGGGCCCAGTCTGGACTGGAAGGGGCACTTCCTTGCCGCCTCCATCATGGATGCAATACTGTATACCGCTCCACGGTGATGGGCCATCATGGCTTCATAACTGACGGACTCTTCACCATCCTCTTCGGTGCGCGCGGCAATAGCATTGCCCGGATAGACCAGCTCAACTTTCATAGGTTGAGTGACCCGTTTCTCGATCTTCCGCCACCGTTCAAGGCCGGCAGCCCAGCACTTGTTCCAATGCTCTCCAATCTTCGTGGTCCAGAAGTAGGACTTGAGCAGTGGCTCCACGTAAGACCAGCTGGTGGCCGAAGGGTACAGCTGGAACATCCTGTCCAGCACTTCGGAGGAGCCCGGTAAGGCTATAATGCGCAGATTCAAAGCTCCTGCCGCCGCAATCGATATCCAGACCATCAGCTCCTGTCCTCGGGCCGAGTCCGGCTTCTCGTGGTTTCGCAGTAATCGTATGAAGTCGCGAAGCTGCGGGTCGTGGAATAGATTTAGAGGGCGAAGCTGGCGTAGCTGGAAGGCATAGGCGAGGAGACCGCAATAGAGATGCCGCTCTATCGTGGTAGCCTGCATCATGGACATACGCTGAAGCGCAGAGAGCATGATATGGACCTCGTGATCCAGCCGCTCATCAAACGTGTCCTGTGATTCGCGGTAGGATGTGGTCGCGTTGGTGAAAGCAATAAACTTCATCGTCTGTTGTGAAATATTGCCGGATAAACTCATTTCGGCGAATCCAGAGGGCAGTCTGGCCAAGACCGTACACAGCTCTGGTGAGAACGGCAGACGTGGGTAGGCAAGCGGCTTGTCCAGTTCCAGTTCAACAAATGCCTCTTTGACAAAGCCGCCCGACGAACCGGGGATCGACATGGGCTCTCCAGTGATAAATGATCCCAGTGACTGATATGCAACGATACCAGCCTTGACAAATCGCTTCCACGGTGTCGAGCCATCTAGATCTTTTCGCATCTCCGCCATGCGCTGAATGCCTGAAAGGTGGGCAGCGACCGCAGCAACGTTGCCCAGCAAGTACTCAAGAGTGAGGATCATAGCGACGCTAAGTATAGATGCATCGCTGAGCCCATCCGACGAAGTAAGATTCTGCGTAATCGTCTTCATAGCATGGGCCCGATGATACACGAAGGCCTGATCATCTTCGACTTTCTTCCCTTGTGAGAGCAGAATCGAGCCTTGGCATAGTGTAGTGATGGTCTCAAAGAGCATGGCGTTCTTCAGCATAAAGGGAAAGAGTAGTGCCATATGTGGATTCGGTCGACCCACCAGCCACTCGGAGTTCCGGTTCTCAGGGACACACGTCGCGAGGAAGAAGTCCAAAGAGCTTGTGACGAATGGGGTAGCCTCGAGAGGTAGGATGACAAAGGGGTCCTGGCGGTGGCCGTTTTGGGGCAGTCGCTGTAAAGGCGATGGCAATGCGTAGCTGTACTTCGTATTCACCACTGGCTGCGCGTCTTCTTCATCTAAAGCCGAGACATCATCATCAATACGTTGGTTGAGACGAGGCTGTTGCCTCTGATCGCGATCGAGGCGCCATTTGTGCGTGCCGCCACGGGCCTTGTCGTGTGGGCGCGGAGACCCAGCCGGCTTCCACGGCTTGAACTTGATCGCCTTGTAGCTTGTCGCTTGCTTCTTTTTGACCCTTGTCGATGACTCAGGCGGTGAAGTCGGTGTCCGGGCAGGCGTAGGAATCTGGAAAGTGGCCATGAAAACTTGTGCGCTCCGTTCAATTCAATCTCGATATGGTGTCAAGGATTAAAACAGCCTATCTCCCCCAAATGAAAGGCTTCAGCGTCTTAGTCCCAAGATTTGCCGAATGGCTAGATGCGAATGCTGTGGCTAATGGTCTTGTGGGTACTTGGACATCTCGGGGTGCCTGTGCTGACGGGAAGTGCTGCAAGATCCCTCCCAGCTGAATTAGTCATCATTGGCTTTACTTAACGAAAGGTAAATTAGGAACTTTGTCCCATGCACGTATGCAGAATACGAGAGTCTTGGGTACGGATGGGATGCGAGTATTTTGACAACCTGCACTACACCATGAATTCCGACATGACAATGCCTGGACAGTCTCCTTGAAGCAGCTAGATGGCTGCACATGTGTAGGCCAACGCCCAACACTAAATCGCCCAGTCACTTATGTCTTCTGCCCAAAATCCGTACCAACTCGTCAGAGAGCATCCTCGTCATACTCAATCCTGGGTCGTGGTCTGGATTGACCTCTGCAACACTAAGAGCGGAGGTTTTCTTGTGAGCCATTAGTACTTCCAGCGCTTTCATCATCTCTTCAAATTGCACCCCTGTGTAGTTTGGTAGGTTCGCCAGCGGGAACTCTCCTGGGTCGATGGCGTCCACGTCTAGATGCACCAGAATGATATCCATGCCTTGCTCCTCGAGATAACTCAGCGCTTGTGTTGCCTGATGTACGGGATTTGCTGCTACGCTCAAAGAAGGAACGACCCGATAGTGCTTCTCATATAGGTACGCAAAATGCTCTCTCCTGTTAATCGGCGCAGTCATGTTGAGGCCGAACAAGACGGTATTGGACGCATCGCAGAGTGGCCGGCCGTCAGGGCGAGAAAATTCCTTCATGGATTTCAGCCCTCCTGGTGCGTCGGCCAGGTGGGTCAAGGTCTGAGCACCTAGATTTCCGGTCGAGGAAGCATCAGCTGGGGAGTGAAGATCGGTATCAGCATCGATGTACACTAGGCCAACGCGTTTGCCAAGGGACGCATAATAAGACCAAAAGGCTGACAAGATGCCCGGAAGCATACAACATTCGCCGCCGAGGATCAGTTGGAAGGGTGGGCGCTCAGGCGCTGCACTGAGATTGTTCGCTAAGGCATCTCGTACCTTATTGCAAACCTCAACGTTCAGCGACTCGTTGCGGACGCTCCCGGGATCGAATGTGGTCGAGCGCCAGTTGGCCGGTGCGGAGAGAGCCTCGTGTTCAGCGACCGAGTCACAACCGACCGAGCGTAAATGTGCAGCAGTGTTGACAGACTTGAACGCATCCGGCGCTTTTGACTTGCCGAAGATGACGCTGCCACAGTCAGCGGGCACGTAGGTAATGTCGACCGAGAAAGAAGCTGCCATCTTCTATCACAACGCATATGGCTTGGGATTAAGCTTTAAGCTCTTGTGTATCTTTGGCACCGACAGTGCAGGACTTCGTGGCGGACTACTTATAGCCCGAGACCAAGGTTAGTGATCGACATGGACCAACTCACAATGATGTTGCTGATACGCGCATCTAGGTGTTCACTTGGCAGCTAGCACCAGATAGTCAAGTGGCCTTGCGTCGAAGCTGAGGCGACGGCGATGGCAGTAGCCAAAGGGCGGCCAATAACAACATCGGCGTACCCAAATACGGATTGGATGTAAGAGAGTCACGAGCTTGGGGCTGAAGGGCGTGCTGATACGGAGGAAGAATAAATCCGATCCGAAAGTGGCGATAGCTTCGTCCGATTCGGTAGCAGACATTACATATGCGCGGAAGACATGATAATCAGTCAGCTGCATCCTGAAAGTTCTCGAACAGTGGCTCAGAAGGCGCGATATCGACTTCAGGAGTCCGAGATGTGCTGTCGAGCTCTATAGGCTCTTTGACGCCCCTGCTGGACTCCTCCAGGCGGCCGGCTTGTTTGTTCTCGACGTCGCGAATCATGCGGCGGTACTCCTTGGCCATGTTCCAAGCCATGTCCGAAGCCGTGTCGGGGACATAGCCCGAGACGTTGCTCGCCGTCGAAGTGTGCTGTCCGGATGGGGAATCAACGTGATCTGGTAACGTAAGGAAGGCCGACAGATCGTTGTCTCGGACGGGACGTCCGCCAAGACTAGCTTGCAATTTCACTCGGAGGAGGACTTCACATTTGGTGAAGACTCCATTTCGAAACCAACCATAGTGGATAGGATCACACTCTTCGCGCAAAGGCTGGTTGACGAGTTGAGCAAGCAGCGGGTCACTTATGTCGCAAAATTGGAAGAGCCTGTTTTCATACTCTTGCGCGCTCTCTGTGCCTGCGTAGAGATGATCCTTTGGATTCCGCGATCGACCCCAGCCAGGTCGTCGGCCAGCTAGAATAAGATCCACTCGTGGCTGAACAACCTGGAATCGAGCACCGTCTGCTGATTTGCGAGGGTCGCTGCCGTAGCGGCATAATGTATCGTGCCAGGGTCCTGACCGGACATAAAATGCGACATATGGAAGGACTAGCCGCAGATGGCTTATCGTCGCATCCGAGGGGAGATTGTTGATGAGAGCCCGGCGCGTCCATACGGGCCGATTCTGGAACATACGCCTTACCTGTTCCACCAGTCGTTGGGCAGACTTTGGCAGAGACTTCGGCTCTGCCAGCGAGACAGGGGCCGCCATTGGCCATTCTAGGTCAATGTCGTGAGCTTCAGCCATCGAGGAAGTGTCTCTTGTCTTCGTTGTCTGTGCAGGTTTGGTCGATTGCTTGTCGTTGTAAGCATACGACTGAGGAAGCGAAAAGGGCGAGAAGACAGGAGGAGGGTACATTTCCGTGTTCTGGAGCCCATACGAGAGAGGAAGTTGAAGCTGTCGAATCGCATCGTAGTCCTGAGAGAAGATCTTGGATTGAATCTCGGATTTGAAGAAGGTATCGGGCGTCGAGTAAAGAAAGTCGGGGATGGAGCGGAAGATATGGTTAGATTCAATTTGCCCTACAGAAGAGATGGTGGTTGCCTCTGGGTTGTCCTGCAGGGAGCGGAGCACGTAGCTTGCATCCTGGTACTCGTCTCTGGCTACAGGAACAAAGGGCTCGTCGGAGCCTCTCTTGCGCTTCGCAACACGCCGAGGAACTGTGATTTTGAGTAAGACGTTGTCGGTCTTGTTGTTCATTGATAGAATAGTCTTGCCCGCCGGAGGAAAACTGAGGCCTAGTGTCTTCTGTGTGCGGTGATCAAGGACATCAGAGATGGCTCGTCCACCTCCGAGCATGTCAGTAGCTTTGTCGACATTCTTCACAATACAAGGGTGTTCCACGGAGACGATACGTTCAGTTGGAACAGCATATCGTGGTGCCGCATCATTCTCGCCTTCAGAGGTGAGAGCTCGATCAGTCGTCATTGTAGCTGTCCGTGCCAGGAATGACATGCACCTCCTGCGTTGGCGGACCTATGGTCTTGTGTCCTGATGCGCGAGAGGACATAGATTGCTAGGCCCATCTGGAGAGTCTGACACGGCAGGGTACCTCGAGTGCAGTACCAGGTGCGATCACGTGCCTAGTCACTCGATGCCAGGACGCTCACCATCCGGTCTTTCGGCGGCTTTTCTTGTTGCGGGTGCAACCTCGGCGGGCTATCGCTTTGTCTGCAGCTCTAGCATGCTTCTGCAGCACCCAGACTCGTCAAGAGCCGACGAACAACAAGAAAGATTGGATAGTGATTGATGAAAGTTATGTCAAGAAAGGTAGGCGCTGAAACTCTTGGCGTGACGGCGGGGCGAAGGTGCAACTGCGGGCGATGGAGTGCGTTACGAGTATCCGTAGTGCTGTCGACCACTCAGCCTTAACATCGATTCCAGAGCTCATCGTCGACATTCCGGCTGTGACAACTACTCCTTTTTCCATTACTATTCTGCAGTATTCGACAATTGCAGCCTCGTGCGATTAATTGACAGACCCGCTGTCGATTGGACAACGCCGGAACCTCGTACCGAAGCCCCCTGGACCGCCATTGCATCCTCCCTCTGCGGTTGCCAATCTGCCCTCTACGTCAACCTGTTGTGGTGCACTCTTCAAGGCGATCCACATAACACCTGCGCCTGCAAAGTGTTGCTCAACACGATGAACTGCTAAAACTTGCATCGTGTCCTTTCAATACGCCCAGAAGATCCAAAATACCTTTCCGATATTAACTACCGCACCTTACAGCTCCTTCACCGATGTCCATCACTCCCGACTGGCACTGAAGACTTGACGTTCCTGCGACACCTGCCAACTCCGGACCATTTGCACGTCTGACTTAGTTGCGCCACTCTGCAGTCAAGATGAAGGGTTTCAGACAGAGAGTGGTACGTTGTGATCAGTCCTAAAGTCCCGAAACAGCGCTATCAGCCTACTGCTCATAACATCTCGGCTAACGAATGCAGCATGAACAGCTATCGCGAGCCAAAGACTCCAACAAGTCCTCTAAGAAGAAAGATTCGAATAATTCCGGGACTGCCTCTCCGCTCTCCTCTGCCGCTACTGGAGACTCGAGATCGCCCAGCAATTCTACCACCGCAACGCCTACGTCTTCCACAACGAATGTCTCCGACATAAGAGGGAAGGGCCCATCCAATGAGGCCGGGCAAAATCATCATGCGAATGCCGCTCACCATACCAGTCCGAGTAACCTACCTTTCAATGCGGTTCCTGCTGGCGGCGCCGGTGGACCAGCGACGCCGGGCAGAGGCCCTGGGCAGTTAACCCCGAGCGTCGTTATCAGCCCGAGTGCTCCTCATGTTCCCGGTCCAGGTGCTACCGAGACAATGCCTCACGATCTCGCTCCACCCAAAGCTGGTCAGAAATCGCTGCTCTTCGACCGGTTACAGCAGACCCCCAAAGATGTGCCTGAGGGTATCCGCACTCCCAAGCGGCAACACTCATCCAGATTTGATGTTTCCGACCAAAAGGCAAGAGATTTGGAGAAGTTGCCCGGTTTCCACGAAGTTCCTCCCAACCGCAGGCAGGAGCTGTTCATGCAGAAGATCGACCAGTGCAACATCATCTTTGACTTCAATGACCAGACTGCCGACATGAAGTCGAAGGAAATCAAACGCCTCGCCCTGCATGAGCTACTGGATTACGTTGCGAACAACCGATCTGTCATCACTGAGCCTATGTATCCCAAGGTGGTGGAAATGTTCAGCAAAAATCTTTTTAGGCCTGTGCCTCCGCCGGTAAATCCACAAGGCGACGCTTTCGATCCCGAAGAAGATGAACCTGTCCTCGAGGTAGCATGGCCTCACATCCAAGTCGTTTATGAATTCTTTCTACGCTTCATCGAGTCACAGGACTTCAACACGAACATCGCCAAGGCTTACATAGACCACCAATTCGTTCTGCAATTACTCGAGCTTTTTGACTCCGAGGATCCACGGGAGCGAGACTTCCTCAAGACAACCCTTCACCGTATTTATGGCAAGTTCCTGAACTTGCGGTCTTACATCCGAAGGTCCATCAACAACGTCTTCTTCCAATTCATCTACGAAACCGAGAGATTCAACGGCATTGCTGAGCTGTTGGAGATCCTTGGTTCCATCATTAATGGCTTCGCGCTACCTCTGAAAGAAGAGCACAAACTCTTTCTGACTCGAGTACTCCTTCCTATGCACAAGGTCAAGAGTCTGAGCATGTATCACCCGCAGCTCGCATATTGCATCGTGCAGTTCCTCGAAAAGGACTCTGCTCTGACTGAAGAGGTGGTGCTTGGGTTACTCCGGTATTGGCCCAAAGTCAACAGCACGAAAGAAGTCATGTTTCTCAACGAGGTTGAAGACATCTTCGAGGTGATGGATCCCGCCGAATTTGCCAAAGTTCAAGAACCATTGTTCAATCAACTGGCCAAGTCTGTTGCCAGCCCTCACTTTCAGGTATGTTGAGCCTCAGCTGTCCTGCAACAGCTGCTAACGAATTAGGTTGCTGAACGTGCCCTCTACTTCTGGAACAACGAGTACTTCTGCAATCTTGTTAGCGATAATGTCGAGACCATCCTTCCTATCATGTTTGCTCCTTTGTACGAGAATTCCAAAGGCCACTGGAACAGGTAAGAGTCTTTTCTTCTCCCTGCGGCGGCGACGTTTGACAAAACTCAGAACTATACATGGAATGGTCTATAACGCCATGAAGCTCTTCATGGAGATCAACCCTCAGCTATTCGATGATTGCTCTCACGATTACAATGAGCTGCAAAACAGCGCAGACAAGCGAGAACAGGCTAGAAAAGCAAAATGGGACAAGCTGGATGAGCAAGCAACGAAGATGAAAGCGGGCGTGGGGTTGGCGCCGCCCAAGCCCAAAGCCGACACGGATGCCACGCAAGATAGCCAACAGCGCCTGGATGCGCTGAAGCTGCATGACGAGTCTACGGCGGTCAAACAGACTTCGGTGAGTCTTCCTCTGGGTGCATGACGCGTTGATTGGGCCATGCCAGACACCACTGCAACCCCGATGGCTAAGACATTTCTATTTGTACTAGTGAAATGTGCTTTTGTGCTGATCTGTGCTCGCCCTTGACAACAGAGGAGACGAGCGGACTCACGCGGCCACCACGTTGTCAAGTCACACAAGACTACAGCCAGCATCGACAAATCGCGACGTAGCCGCAACAACTCTGATGCATCGGTCAAAAGGCCGTTGGGTCCTGGTGCAGGAACATCATCCAACAGCACCGGCACCAACAGTGGGGCAAGTGACCCAGGATAACAGGAATTGATGACTGGGCAACAAAAGTGGGGGTTTGGATTGGACATCTGGGCGCCTTTTCGATCGATTGTTCTCGATGCAAGCGTGCCTGCGAATCCGCTTGGTGTGCTGGCGGAGCGAAATACGGGTATGAATGATGACTGAGAAGTGATGACACGTGCTGGTCATTTGGAAGGCAGCCAATAAGTAGGAAGAGCACAATGTCCAGATCATCGGGCGGCGCAGCCTTGAAGGCTCACCTATCCCAGAACGTGAATATGCTGCTGTAATCAGAGATTTGAACGATGGCATAGCAACTCTTAGAACAGCGCTGAGCAGCCGGTACCGAACGCGAGCACACAAGTAATGGCAAAAGCAGTCGCTTTGATCAGAGCGGACCAGCGTCATGTTATAAGAAGCGACTGCAGTACATCGATGAGTAATCTGCCATTCAGCTGGCAATAGCGCTGTCGTGAATCTGTATACACACTCCTGGTCTGGTCTGACATCTAAGTACGCCAAGATTTGAACCCTCCACGACGAGGCTGCACAAGGCTGGGAGTGCTGACTCAAACAAGCCTAGTTTGACCAGATAGGGACGAGTCCCTTTCGCCATTGGCTCCAGAACCATTTTTGCGGAGCTGTGGAGGACGCTAAAATTGTTCGGTATCTGGCGCTCGTCCGCCCAGGTGCCCGCATTTCTACTTCGCGTCCGCAGAATCTCCAAGTTGCCTTGCTTGCCAGTCCACGCACCGCGCACCACTGCTCCTCCATCACTTTTCTTTCGCACTACTTCTATGGCTAGCGGGCGTCTTCTTCTACTTCCTTCCACGTCCGCATAATTTACACACGCGCCGGACGAACTCGCATGACACCATCGCACTGAAGGCCGTTCGAGCCCATCGTACTGCGCGAAGCCCTCAAGACGCATGAGAACGACTTCTTGAGTAGCGCATCACTGCCACCCATGAGCAAGTGCACGCCGAAGATATACTGCCGTCTATCCCAGGCAATCAGACCTGCTTGACTGCAGTGCCTGAGTTGTAGTAGCCATGGATGCGGCTCAGAAAATCGACATCTACGCCGCCCGGCTCGGTGATCCTAAACTTGGTAAGAGACTATGGTCGACCCTTCATCATATTTGTCCTGCTAACTCGATCTAGATGTCCGGGCCAAGGCGAACATCGCGACCGAAGTCAGAGACTCAATTGAGAGCCTTTGCACTCCTGCCGCGACCTACCAGAAGTTTCTCTCAAAACTATGGCCCGTCTTCAAGAAGGTCCTCGAGGGCAAGCCTGACTTCCACCCTGCCTCCTCCGAGCACACGTTGCGGAATCAGATACTTGAGATCCTGCACCGGCTACAACATGCGTCGCCTGAAGTTGAACCATTTGCGGTAGAGATGGTCGACCTTCTCATGGATCTCGTGCGGGTCGAGAACGAAGACAATGCAGTCCTCTGCTTGAAGACTGTCATGGATCTAGAGCGTCATCAACCAGTAGCGACACAGTCGAAAGTTCAGCCTTTCCTCGACCTGATCCAAGAGATGTTCGAAACTATGGAGCAGGTAGTCAAGGACACTTTTGACAATCCGACCGCACCTGCGGGCGCCGCTTCGTCTACACCCAATGCACAAGCCGGCAGTCTCCAGTCTCCACGGCCAGGGTCTCCGGCTACGACAGTCTCGGATCCCGGCATGGAGAAGAAAGAGATGACTCCGTTGGTCAAAGGCATGCAGTCCTTCAAAGTTCTGTCCGAATGTCCAATCATTGTGGTCTCCATCTTCCAAGCACACCGATCGTCTGTGCCCATGAACGTTAAGAAGTTTGTCCCTTCGATCAAAGGGATTCTGCTCCTACAGGCCAAAACACAGAAGAAAGCCCACGAAGATGCCGCCGAACGCAAGACCATCTTTACCGGCGTAAGTAAAGAAATCAAGAATCGCGCCGCTTTTGGAGATTTCATCACAGCCCAGGTCAAGACAATGAGCTTTCTCGCATACCTGCTGAGAGTCTATGCAAACCAGCTCTCCGACTTCCTTCCAACACTGCCGGTGGTTGTGGTCCGGTTACTCAAAGACTGCCCTGGGGAGAAGTCAAGCGCCCGCAAGGAGCTTCTCGTTGCCATCCGTCACATCATTAATTTCAACTATCGCAAGATATTCCTCAACAAAATAGACGAGCTTCTGGATGACCGGATATTAATTGGAGATGGATTGACTGTCTACGAATCCATGCGGCCTCTAGCGTACAGTATGCTTGCGGATCTTATTCACCATGTTCGAGAATCTCTCAGCCGCGATCAAATCCGCAAGACCATCGAGGTCTACACACGAAACCTTCATGACAGCTTTCCAGGCACAAGCTTCCAGACCATGAGTGCAAAACTCCTCCTGAACATGGCGGAGAGTATTACCAAGCTTGAAGACAAGGCTGATGCGCGACACTTCCTTGTTATGATCCTCGATGCCATTGGTGATAAGTTCGCCGCCATGAACTACCAGTACACCAATGCGGTGAAGCTTAGCAAGCTTTATGCCGACAAGAGCAAGGACACCCAGGCAGAGTCCTATATGGACGAGAAGGACCAAGTCCCGGACTGGGATGAGGTTGACATCTTTAGTGCCACGCCTATCAAAACCTCGAATCCTCGAGACCGTGGAGCAGATCCTGTTGCAGACAACAAATTTCTGTTCAAGAACTTGGTGAATGGCCTTAAGAATATGTTCTATCAGCTCAAGAACTGTAATCCTCCATCAGCCAACATCGACCCTGCCAATACACCGTCCAACTGGGGCGAGATTTCTTTCGGTTATGATGCAGAAGAGGTCAAGGTTGTTACGAAGCTTTTTCATGAAGGCGCCCGCGTTTTCCGCTACTACGGCACCGATTCATCCGCTACAGAGTTGCCTGCGTCATCGCCGATAGATTCTATGGCCAGCCATTCCATGGCACAGATGAGTCGTGAAGAAAAGGAACTTCTGGAGAGTTTCGGCACTGTATTCCACTGTCTTGACCCTGCGACATTCCATGAAGTCTTTCAATCCGAGATTCCCCACCTCCACGAGCTGATGTTCGAGCACACTGCATTGCTGCACTTGCCGCAATTCTTCCTCGCGAGCGAGACTACGTCACCAGCGTTTGCTGGAATGGTCATCCAGTACTTGATGAACAAACTACCGGAAGTTGGTGCATCAGACGTCAAGAAGTCTTCGATTCTTTTACGGATGTTCAAGCTATCGTTCATGGCTGTGACACTTTTCTCCCAGCATAACGAGCAGGTCCTCCATCCCCACATCACCAAGATTGTGACACAGTGCGTTCAGCTGTCTGTCAGCGCTGAGAAGCCAATTCACTATTTCATCCTGCTCCGGTCGCTGTTCAGGAGCATCGGTGGCGGACGTTTTGAACTGCTGTACAAGGAGATTCTACCACTCTTAGAGATGCTACTGGAGACTTTCAACCACCTACTGCAAGGTGCAAGAGATCTACATGACAGGGATCTTTACGTCGAACTGACACTTACCGTGCCGGCGCGACTTAGCCACCTGCTGCCGCATCTCAGCCATCTCATGCGCCCTCTTGTGGTTGCTTTGCGTGCCGGGCCCGATCTCGTTAGCCAGGGGCTCCGAACTCTCGAGCTTTGTGTTGACAACCTGACGGCGGACTACCTGGACCCGATCATGGCCCCAATAATGGACGACTTGATGACTGCGCTATTTGAGCACCTCAAACCGCAGCCCTATCAGCATTTTCATTCACACACGACCATGAGAATCCTGGGTAAGCTGGGCGGTCGAAATCGCAAGTTTCTCAATCATCCTCACCAGCTGCCCCCACGAGATTGCACTGATGATGAGCCTAGCTTCGATATTCGCCTAATAGGCACCAGTAAGGATAGGGCGTTTCCTCTCAATGCTGGCGTGGATCTTGCCATTAAGAAGCTCAGTGAGACCAATCGACCAAGTAACGCCAAGGGACAGTCATTGGACCTGTATTACAAGCAGCAGTCCTTCAAGTTCATCAGCAATCAGGTCAAGCTCTTCATCGGGTATGACCATTTGCCCGAAGACTTTGCTGCGCTGTTGAGGCTACAAGCGAACGATTTGGCTGCTAATCGCTTTGAGACCTACGCTGAGATGCTCTCGAGCCAAGACACTGTCAAATCTGTACAGAAGCGCCGAGATGAAGAGGAAAACCTGAAGAAACTTCTGAAGGCTTGCTTCGTCGCAACAACCGTTCCTGAGCTGAAAGATGCAGCAGAGGATTTCATCACAAATGTCGCTAGGCATTTCACGATCATTGAGCTTGGACAAGCCCTCTGTGATGCGGGACGGAGAACCAAGCCATTCGACGTCAACTCCGGTGAAGGTGCTGTGTATCTAAGTACACGACTCCTGGCGGATGTTCTGGTCGATTGCTTCGCTTCGGACAATGCAGTGGTCCGTGAAGCTGCAGAGGCTGCCATGTTTACGGTGCGCGACACCTCTCGTGCCATTTTCGGCCAGGCCGACAAAGCTGCAAAGTTCCCATTCTTTTACCACATGACGCAGACTTTCTGCCACAAATGCCGCGAAGTCGAGTGGTTCACGAAAGCTGGTGCAGCTCTTGGCCTACAAATCATCGTCACAAAGCTGGACCTTGGAAATATGTTCCTATCTAGGCGACATCTCGATATCGTCAAAGCTCTGCTGTTCGTCATTAAGGATACTCCGCAAGATGTTCCCGCTAGCACCCGGATTACGGCTCAGGAAACTCTAGAGTTCATCCTGAAGAAGATTTGTTCTGGTCTGAATAAGGAGTCGATCAGCAACGACAAAGGCTTCGCCCACGCTCTGTCAGTCCATCTAAGCGTTGAGCTCTCTCACATGAACAAACATGTGCGAGAAACGGCGAAGCATTCTTTCACGGTCATGGCCGACCAAATTGGTGTTGAGGTTCATGAGTTGATCGCTCCTGTCAAGGAGCGTTTGCTGCAACCCATCTTCAATAAGCCTCTTCGAGCCCTTCCATTCCTATCTCAGACCGGTTTCATTGATGCCGTTACGTATTGTTTGGGTCTTGGCCACGATCTTGTGCCTCTTAACGATCAGCTTAACAGATTAACAATGGAATCACTAGCTCTGGCTGATGCCGAGTCCGAGATCTTACATCCAAAGCCGGATGAGTTCAGCAACGCGGAACTCATTGTCAACCTGCGAGTGTCCTGCCTCAAGTTGCTCTCTATGGCCATGGCCCTGCCGGAGTTTGGCCAAAATGCAGCACAGCACACGAGCCGTGCCAGAATCATAACCGTCTTCTTCAAGCTACTTTATTCGAAATCCCAAGAAGTCATTGACGCTGCATATGGAGGGCTGAAGGATGTTCTTGCTCAAACCAACAAGCTGCCTAAGGACTTACTTCAAAATGGTCTTCGACCAATTTTGATGAATTTGCAAGACCCAAAGAGGTTGTCTGTGCATGGTCTGGACGGTCTCGCCAGGTTGCTTACTCTCTTGACCAACTACTTCAAGGTTGAAATCGGATCAAGATTACTAGAGCACATGAAGGTAATTGCGGAGGATCAGCTGCTTCAGAAAGTCTCGTTCGGCATGATAGAGCAGAACCCGCAGATGAAGATTGTTGCTGCAATCCTCAACATCTTTCACCTGCTACCGCCGACTGCGACCACGTTCATGCAGGAGCTCGTTAATGGAGTGCTCGATCTCGAATCCAAGCTCCGGCGCACCACCTCCAGCCCATTCCGGCAGCCTCTAGTCTTGTATCTGAATAAGTACCCGAAAGAGAGCTTTGGTTTCTTCCAAGGTAAGATGCAGGAAGAGAAGTATGGTCGATTTTTCGCGCAGATCCTGTCCGACGCATCAAGCGAGCCTCTGCGTGAGCACGTGATGGCCGAGGTCGACTCTCTTTCTGCGACCTTCTTCGATGTCACCGACCAGGACGCAAAGAACGTTGCAATCATCAACGGCATTCATGTCACAGCTGCAATTTGTAAGAGCGACAAAGCATCAGAATGGATCAAGACCCAGCTACCATTCGTCAAGCGCCTCCTAGAGAACGGCAAAGAGATTGCAAGCAAATTGCGCGGAGACGAACTGCAGCACAGTCAGCGACTGCGAGCTGAGCAAGCTGGTGATGCATTAATGGAGATCCTCATTGCCTACATGTCAGCCAACACCGAAGATCTGGATTTCATGGTCGAGGTCTTCACAGCAGCAGCTGAAGGTGCTATCAAAGTGCCTCTTTGTCTGAACCAGTTCCTCTGTCACAAACTGATCACAAATGACTCAGCTACCCTTCAGCGCAGCATTATTGATCGCAGCCTGGATCTATACACTCAGAAGCAGCCCTCGCAGAAACTGAAAACATTCCTCCTCCACAGTCTTGTCAATCCCATAATGGCGCAAGATGTCCAGCGGACACGACTGGGCAAATCTCGAGAACCGGTCTTGATGGATAAGTCCATGTTTGACATGATCCATGAGAAGCTGTGGAAGTCTCCTGCTGAAATTTCAGACGATCAGGTACAGCCTGGCATTGATCACTCGCGTATGGAGGTGCTTCAGCTTTCCGCCTTCATGATCAAATACCACAAGGATTCTGTATCAGAGGCGCGCAAGGACATCATCAAATTTGCCTGGAGCTACATTCGTTTGGAGGATGTCATCAACAAGTACGCAGCATATGTCTTAATCTGCTACTTCATCAGATCTTACGAGACGCCCACAAAGATCGCGGCGCAGATCTACAACCAGCTACTCAAGGCGCACCAGAATGAGGGCAAGACTCTCGTCACGCAAGCCTTAGAGGTGCTTGCTCCCATACTCCCAACCCGCATGGCGCAGCCAAATGCTACGCCAGGTGATAAACGATCTCCAACATGGGCACGCCTGCCAAAGAAGATTCTCAATGAGGAGACGGGTAATCTGCAACAAGTCCAGAGCATCTTCAATTTTATCGTCCGACAGCCAGACCTTTTCTATGAATCAAGGGAATTCTTCGTTCCGACGATGATTCAGATGCTGCACAAGATTGCGTCTCCGCCGAATCCTTCGAACGAAAGCAAGAAACTGGCTCTGTCACTGGTGACTCTTATCGCGCAATGGGAGCAACGTCGCGTCAGCCCTGATTCGCCATCCCAATCGTCCTCAGAATCACCCTCCCTCAAACGAGATGCTGCAGGAGGACAAATCTCTACACCAGACAAAAATGTGCGGCCCGAGTATGTCATCCCCCTCGATCTTCGCACTATGGTCATCAAATATATGATCACCTTTATCACCTCGCTACAAGAGCGATATCCTGTGCCCTCTGCAGATCTCAAGGCCAAAACGATGCAAAAAGTGCCGCAAATGCTGCCCAATGATATGTGCAAGAAGGCTGTTCAACTTCTGCACGAGCTCCTCTCCCCGCAGCTCTGGGCCGATGTCGACGTTGGATTGTACCCCAAGCTTCTTGACCCTATGTTGGCAGGCGAGAAGGCCGATAAGCCCGATGAGAAACACCTCACCTGCATGATCAACGCTCTGCAAGTCATGCGCATTCTCCTGAGCACTAAGTCGGACGATTGGATCCTATCCAACATGGAGCTCATCCAGAAACTGGTGGAGAAACCACTCAAGGCAGATGAGCCCGAGATTCAAGACTGCATCCACTGGGTCGACGAAAGCCTCGGATCGAAGCCTCTCTTGACGCAGATCCTCGAAGCCATTCCCGAGTCCAAGGCCGATGACGAGGATGCCATGGAGCTCGACGGTCCTCCAGCGGATTTCCTGGCGAAGTTCTCGAAAACCCTGATCGGTGAGGGACTTTCTGCGATGAATCTGACATCCGCTGTCAATAATCTGTGGACACTTACCAAGGTCCGGCCCGTTGAGGTTGATGAGCATATTCCTGGGCTGATGAGGGTCTTACAATCGAAACTTGCCAAAGACCATATCAGTGCATTCATGATTCCAACGGGGCCTCCACCAAATGGATGGCGGATGGGTGAGCCGATAATGGATCCTTATGAGTTCGCTTGGGGCGTCGATCTGATGAAGAAGACCATCGACATCCTGTCTGCGCGTATGTCGACGCTCGGGGACCAGCGTCGACCCTTCCTCAGTGTGCTGGCTTCTCTGGTCGAAAAGTCGTACAATGCCGAGATTTGCAACAAGATTCTCGACATGGTCGAGGCCTGGGTCTTCAACTCCAACGAAGCCTGGCCAACACTGAAAGAGAAGACGGCCGTTCTGCATAAGATGCTCATTTTTGAACGCTGGCCCAATCAAAGCCTATTGGAGCGCTTCCTGGAACTTGTCATCAAGATCTACGAAGATCCGACCATTGCGCGCTCCGAGCTCACTGTTCGTCTCGAGCATGCTTTCCTCATTGGCACGCGAGCCAAAGATGTGGAGATGCGGTCCCGATTCATGAACATCTTCACTCGTGCCTTGTCGGAGACTGCTAGCTATAGGATGAGCTATGTCTTGACAGTGCAGAACTGGGATACTCTTGCCGATTCCTTCTGGTTGAAACAGGCGTCTCATCTCATCCTCGGTGCGGTGGATATGGCTTTGCCTGCCCGTCTACATCCAGAAGACATTACCATCTGCCCGGTGTCGCAGATGTTCGCCGCAAGTCTTGTCAACCCCGAGCAAAAGAAAGATGATATCATGCTCGAAGACTCACTAGAGGATCTTGTGGCTGCTCAGAGGAAATTCAACCACGAGATCCAGGACGTCAAGGTTCGAGATCTTCTCGAGCCGCTCACACAGCTGCAGCATGTTGACGACCAAGTCGCATACGATGTGTGGGTTAAGCTCTTTCCTCTCTGCTGGGCTGCGTTGACTCGAGACGAACGAATCGATCTCGAGAAAGGCATGGTCACGTTGCTGACTCGCGAGTACCACCAGCGTCAGCTCAACCTACGCCCAAATGTGGTGCAGGCGCTGCTCGAAGGTGTTGTTCGTGCTCGACCACGTTTCAAGTTGCCACCGCACGTGATCAAGTTTGTGTGCCGGACTCACGATGCGTGGTACACGGGTCTGACGTCTTTGGAGGAGTCTACTATCAACCCTCTTATCGACACTGCTCAAGTCCGAGAGAGCAATCTTGATGCGCTTGTCGAAGTCTACGCTGGGCTACAAGAAGATGATCTCTTCTATGGAACGTGGCGGCGGCGTTGCAAATTCATGGAGACCAATTCAGCGTTATCCTATGAGCAGCACGGTATGTGGGACAAGGCCCAACATCTTTGGGAAGCGGCTCAAGTCAAGGCGAGAACCGGGGTGATGCCTTTCTCTCAGGGCGAGTACTATCTCTGGGAGGACCACTGGGTCATCTGCGCACAAAAGCTTCAGCAATGGGATATTTTGGGCGAGTTCGCAAAGCACGAAAATTTCCAGGACCTGCTTCTCGAGTCAGCATGGCGCAATTACGAGGCCTGGGGTACTGAGGAGGCTCGCACACAGCTTGACGGCATGATCAAGAGTGTCTCTGATGCACCAACTCCTCGACGGACTTTCTTCCAGGCTTTCATGGCCTTGCTGAAGTACAACTCAAAACAAATCTCACGTGTTGAGTTTCAGCACATCTGTGATGAGGCCACTCAGCTCTCGATCCGCAAGTGGCACCAGCTACCTAGCCGCATCACCAACGCGCACATCCCTATCCTGCAGCAATTTCAGCAACTGGTTGAGCTTCACGATGGGAGCGTTATCTGCGATAGCCTCATGGGTACAAACGAGCGCAATCTTGACAGCAAGTCTCAAGAAGTCAAACTGCTCCTACAGGCTTGGAGAGATCGTCTGCCTAACGTATGGGATGATATCAACGCCTGGCAAGACCTCGTTACTTGGCGGCAGCATGTTTTCCAGCTCGTCAACAACACCTATCTGCCTCTCCTGCCGCAAGGTGGCAACAATGTCGGCAACAACTCGTATGCTTTCCGAGGCTACCACGAAACTGCTTGGATCATCAACAAGTTTGCCCATGTGGCTCGTAAGCACCAGATGCCCGAAGTCTGCATCAACCAACTCGGCAAGATTTACACACTTCCTAACATAGAGATCCAAGAGGCTTTCCTTAAGCTACGTGAGCAGGCTAAATGCCACTACCAGAACAAGTCTGAGCTCAACAATGGTCTCGATGTCATCAACAATACCAATCTCAACTACTTCGGTGCACAGCAGAAAGCCGAATTCTACACTCTGAAAGGCATGTTCTTGGCGAAACTTCAGCATGCAGAAGAAGCGAACGAAGCCTTCGGTGTTGCGCTGTACTACGACCTCCGCCTCCCGAAAGCTTGGGCTGAATGGGGCCAGTACTCGGACCGTAAATTCAAGGACAATCCTGGCACTATTGAAGCCGCCAGCAACGCGGTGAGCTGCTATCTCGAGGCGGCTGGACTGTACAAGAGTGCCAAATCGAGGAAGATGTTGAGCCGCGTATTGTGGTTGCTGAGCCTCGATGATGATGAAGGTCAGATCGCCAAAGCCTTCGAAGACTTCAAAGGAGATACGCCGGTGTGGTACTGGACGACTTTCATACCACAACTTCTTGGGAGCTTGGAGCACAAAGAAGCGCGCCTGGCAAAGACTGTTCTCGCCAAGATCGCGAAAGCCTTCCCTCAGTCACTCTTCTACCACCTTCGCGCTACAAGAGAAGACTTTCTCTCTAAGCGTAAGCAGCAGGAGATGCGCTCAGGGTCCAAGCCGAGTGGCAATGCGCAGACTCAAGAGAAGAGTGAAAGTAGCTCGAGGCCAGGCACAGCTAATGGCGAGACTCCTACCAATGGTGATGCCAAACCCAAGGAGGAACCCAACGATGACAACAAAGAAGTCCCTGCCAAAGAAGCGCCCAAGAAACCGTGGGAGTACGCCAACGAAGTCATGGATGGCTTGAAGACGGGCTTCCCTCTCTTGGCGTTGTCTATGGAGACCATGACGGATCAATTGTCGAAGCATTTCAAGTGTCCTCCCGACGAAGATGCCCACCGTTTGATTGTTGCCTTACTCAACGATGGCTTGACGTACATCAATCGCGCTCCCGCCAATTATGCAGAAGGGGCCAAGTTGCCGCCATCAACAGAGGCCAACATTTCTCGCTTTGTGGCTTCTGTGCTGCCCGCCCACATCAGAGGTTCATTCGAGGCCGACTTTGTGCAGACCAAGCCCACCATGTATGAGTACATACACAAGCTTCGGCGCTGGCGCGACAAGTTTGAGAACAAGCTTGACCATCGCCAACAATGGGCTCCACTGGAGTCGTACAGCCATCATCTCTCGGAGTTCAAGTTCCTCAAGTTTGATGAGTCGGTGGAGATCCCAGGCCAGTACCAGCAGCACAAGGACAAGAACTCGGACTTTGTGCGCATCGAACGCTTTATGCCCACGGTGGAGCTTGTTCGTGGCAACAATATCTGCCATCGCCGACTGACAATCCGTGGCCACGATGGTTCCTTGCATCCTTTCGCCGTCCAACATCCTACGGGAGGCAAGGTGCGGCGTGAGGAGCGGATCGTGCAGCTTTTCCGCATCTTCAACCAGACTCTGTTCAAGCGCAAGGAATCTCGGAGGCGCAATCTGTACTTCCATCTTCCCATTTTTGTGCCGATAGCGCCGCATATTCGGCTTGTGCAGGACGATGCCAGCTATGTCACTCTGCAGACCATCTATGAAGACTATGTGCGGTCGGTGCCTGATATGTCACGCGACGACCCTATGCTCTTCCTCCTTGAGCAGTCCCGCACGATGGTGGAGCAGCAGAAGACGAACCCACGGACTCCTGATCAGCTGGTGACGATGAAGACGGAGATCTTCAACAAGATTGTGGAGAAATGGGTGCCCAGTACCATCGCTCTCAGCTACTTCCAAGCCATATACCCGACGTTTGCGGACTTCTGGCTCTTCCGTCGCCAATTCTCTTACCAGTACGCAACGACGGCGTTTATGACCTACGTCATGCACATGTCCAGCCGGTATCCGATGAAGCTATCCATCAGCAAGGCGACGGGTGATCTGTGGGCTTCAGATGCGCTTCCGAATCTGAGTGCTGGCAAGCCCGTCTTTTACAATCCCGAAGCCGTGCCCTTCAGGCTCACTCCCAACATCCAGACGCTCATGGGCCCGCTCGCAGTCGAGGGCATCTTCACGGCGAGCCTGATGGCGGTGGCTAGAGGCCTCTCAGAGGCCGACCAGGGATACGAGATGGCGCAGCAGCTCAGCGTGTTCGTGCGCGACGAGATCTACTCGTGGGCGGCGGGTCGCGGGAGTGCGGTGGTGGCCGAGATGGAAGGTGAGAAGTTGCGCGAGGCGGTGGGTCAGAACAGCGAGTTTGTCGTTCGACGTGCGCTCGCGCTCGGGAAGACGCAGGGCAATGTCGGCGCTGGTGCTGGTGGTGAGGGTGGCAGTGGTAGTCAGGGTGTGTTGCCGGCGTGCCAGAATGTGGTGGATCTGATCAGCCGAGCGACGAATCCAGAGAAGCTGGCACAGTTGTCGGCTATGGACTTGCCCTGGCTGTGAGCGATGTGAGTGGTAGCAATGGCGTTCGAAAGTAAAAGGATTCATGGGATAGGGAAAGGGATGGAATGGGGTGTACGAACAGAGTCAAGGAGAGAGATACGGGATATCAGAGCATGGAGCTAAGGTCTCACTGAGGTTCATGGGGAATGGCTTTGTACAATTATCCCACCCCGGAGAAAGGAAGGGGTTTTCAAAAACATTCAATCTTTGTTACTTGCATGGGGCTGGCGTACAGGCGCTTCTGGTTGGTCCCCCCAAAGGCGATGGAGGGAGGGGGGGTTTACGGTATGGTAATGGAAAGATATACCATGCAAAGAGGGAGGGGGAGGGATTAGGAGGATGTAAGAGCACTGAAGCATTGCGCTTCGGTTCATGTCATGATAGTGAATAGGTTCTTCTTCAGCTACTTTGTCGTCAAAGGAGGACAGATACGTCCTTGCTTGATCTATACGAATAAGCCTCGGGTTTTGGTCTGTGGACATCGAGGTTGATGCTATCATGCCAAGCCTTTCAGGATCGCCGAGTGAGGTTTTCCGTAAAAGTCAGCTCTGACCTCGCTTCTCTCCAGAGTAACAACCCTTCAGGTGGTTTCGAGGCTCACACCTTTGTTTGTCGTGCGATGCAGGCGCCAGGCGTTCTCGGCTCGCCACCTGCTCGGTCGCCTGATGCCACCCACGGTTGGGCGTTTTGGGACCGCAGCTTTGGCGCTTGAACTGTTGGGGGGGGGCTTGCATGATCGAGTTCACCGGTAGCGTGCGGGCTTATAGAGCGCGTCAATGATGGACCTCTTAATAAAGACAAGGGAGGGCTGTCGAATGTTACACAGTCGTAGGAGCTGCATGGAAGCAACGCTACCCAGAGGATTGTGGTCACTCGAGGCAGACTCGCGTTGGCGCAAACACGCTGTTTCAATGATCACAGATGCCAGAGGCTGGACCAGGTATGTGGGAGGTGGTGTAACGAGCTGTGGATTTCAGAATACGATCATTCGTACATCTGCGAAAAGGGTATCAAAATATGTAGCTGTCAATCCTTTCTTTCATCATTTCATCCAAAGGAGATGAAAACGAAAGGCAAGGACAAAAAGGCCGGAAATCCATTCACCAATCCAAGTCAAAGACAAAAGTTCACCCAACTGCCAGTGCTTCAAATTCGAATCAAATCCAAAGCAAGAAAGCAGTTCGTGTACACATCAATCTCCAAGCCGGGGAGGGGAGGGGGTATCATAGCGTCCAACCGTTTCAAGCTCGCTTCTGGCTCGCTTGAACGCTTCGCAACCAAAAAGTCCAAAGTCCAGTCAAACTTTGCGAAATAGGGTCGCCTGCATCGTTGCAAGACCCCAGCGATATTTGTGGCCACGAAGAGAAAGAGAGAGAAAGGGCGTCTCTCCTTCGGAATGCCGCTGGTCCTCGATTGATGTTCGTCTGCATCCTTTCCCGAAACAGTTGTGCCCCGAATAAAACAAAGAATTAGCCCGCAATAATGCCGAGTCGTATATGATGAATATGTGCGTAGCTCGTTCGCTCGCTCGCTGTGTGCGCCGCGCTGATGCAAAAGTTCGGGATGAATAGAATCTCCCTCCGAAAAAGAGTAAGTCGTCAAAATGGCCGTCGTAAAATGCTGTAGCGATCAGAAAGATTCACTTCGAAGTTTGCGACCTGCGCAACTTCCGGTCTCAAAATAGACCGCCCAAGAAGCTCTTCCTCTTGCTCTCCGTGCGTTTCATCTCGGGTCTCCCATCGAACGTCATGACAGGATAGTCGTCGTGGTCATTGACGTAGCGCTTGCTGCGTCTCCGCTCGTCGCTACCACCGCTGGCGCTCGTCTTCTCCACACGGTCGCGACGGCTCTTCCTGCGCTCTCTCCGCGCGGAATCGATCTCGGCGTCGGTCATGCCGCCGTACTTGTCTTTGCGCCGTGCGCCGGAGCCTTTGGAGCCATCGTCTGGAGCGCGTGGAGCCTCCCCGGCCGGGTCGAGCACTGTTTCCGCGACAGGAGGCATGTCGGGCGGGTCCTCGTGGAGTGAATCAACCCACGAGCCTGTCTTGCCATTGTCGGGAACGTGAGCGAGATGGCCCTTCTTGCTGTTGTTGCGCGATTGGTGATACTCTTCCACTAGTGCGGAAGACCTTCGTGGATCGCGCGAGGCATGACGACTGCCGCCGCCGTGCTTCGACTTGCGCTCCTCTCTGCGCCGACGCCGCGCTTCCTCCTCTTCATCAAAGGCTTTCTTGCGATCGTCCTTGTTTGCGCGAGGATCAGCCGCAGCCTCGGCTTCGAGCTGCTCCCGGAGTCTGCGCCGTTCCTCTTTGCGCTTCTCAGCATCGGTCATGCCAAGATCTTCATCGGCTTGCCGTGCGGCTTCTCGCGCGGCGCGACGAGCACGCTTGTCATCCCGTCGCTGCTCCTCGGCTTCGCGCTCTTTCCGCTCTTTGTCGCGCGCCTTGGAACGTCGAGCCTCCAGGTCAGCTTTCTCACGCTCACGACGCTCTCGTCTCCGAGCCTCGCGAGCCGTACGTTCCTCCTCCTCGGCCTTGTCTCGAGCATCCCGTGCATCGCGCTTGGCTCGCCGCTCAGCTCTCCTTGCCTCAGCATCGACGTCTGTCTCAGCTGGAGCGTCAGTGGTGGTATGGCCATCGACATCGCCTACACGTGAGCGTCGTTTCGAAGATTTGGATCGTATGGGTAGAGCCGCGTCCTCGGTATCAGTAAGGGTGTTACTTCTCGGACGCTCCTCAACTGCCTTTGCTGCACCACCAAAGAAAGAGCCAAAGAAGCCGGCGGCTTTCTTGGTTGCAGTGTTACTGCGTTTGAGCGAAGGAGGATGGTCAACGAAGGCCATATCGTCGGGTCCAGATGTTACGAGTGGATCGCCTGTAGCATTCGCATCAACCATGACAACGTCATCGTCATGGGAAACTTTTTTGGAGTGAGACTTCTGCATGTAGGTAGTCTTTCCGTCAGCGGATGTGTGCTTGACAAAGTCTGGGGACCAAGAAGGACGTTCAGAGGGAGAGGGGCGTACCTTCTCTGACTTGGACGCCTTGGCTTTGGACTTGTCTTTAGCCTTGATGGGAGTCTCCTCAGGGGCATTAATCATGACCATATCATCATCATCGATCGGATAGGGGTCAGGAACTGCAACGTGATCAGTATGGAGCCTGGACAGGGTAGCAGCCGAATTCATACCTTTTGACTTGACGGAGGACTTTCGGCTGACCTTGGCCGTCTTGACACCCATGAGCTTGGCGGCTTTATCGGTCATGTCGACATCAGAGTCCGGAGGCGGAGACATGAGGCCAGCGTCTGAGCGTCGTCTGGACGAGGAGCGGGACTCGCCACCGGTGCTTGATCGACGGGTTGCAGAAGGGCGATTCTTCATGGCGGAAGGAGGCGGGCCACCAAACATGAAGTTGGAGAAGCTGGTGCCACGAGCAGCCTTGGGACGTTCGGTCTTCTTGGATGACTCCTTGTCAGAGCCAGAGGACTTGGAGGCTTTGTCAGCATCCTTCTGATCCTCCTTCTGCTTCTCCTTGGCAGTCTTGGTCGACATGGCGCGCTTCAGGCCAGGCGGGGACTTCTCCTTTGCAGCCTTGGAGGGCGGCGGTGACACATCGGAATCATCCTTGGCTTTGGCCGTCTTCTTCGGGGTTGGAGCAGCGCCCCAGAAACCCCAGGATGAGGTCGCGGAACGCTCGACGCGTGGGCGTTCCTTCTTCTTCTTATCCTCGGGAGGTGGCGTTGGCAGCTTTGGTGGCTCGGGAGCTTCGAACAGCAGATCATCAACAACGGGCGCGGCCTTCTTTGTTTTGACCTTTGATGACGTTTTGAGGTCCTTGGTCTTCTTGGACTTTTCAGGAGATGCAGGGCCACCCATATTCAACGAATCGTCGTCGTCACCGAAAGCGCCCGGGAAACTGCCTGGAACGGAATCCTTGGACTTTTTCTCTTCAACTGGAGGAGGAGAGAGGTCCTTCTTCTTGGAAGACGACTTGGTGTCCTTTGCTTTGAGTTTGCTCGTGGCGGACGCCTTTTCCTTCTTTTCCTCTTTAGGCGATGGTGGCGCGTCGTCCAGGGCCTTAGTCAGCAGGTCTCCTTTCGACTTCTTTGCGGCGTCCTCTGCTTTCTTAATGTCGAACTGTTTGATGCGATCTTTGACTGACGACGATGAGAGCTTGCCGCCGTTCATGGCCTTTGATGTTTTGGAGGAAGAAGCAGCTTTGGCGGCGTCGAGGTCCCAGTCGAGATCATTGGTCGGATCTGCTAGCGCGTCGTCTTGATTGGCCCAGTCCGTGGAGGCAATCTCCTTGGTCTTTTTGCCAGCTGTCGTCTTCTTGCTCGTTGGGCCACTACTACCCCAGAAGCCAAAGTAATCGTCGCTCTTCTTCTCCTCAACCGTTTCATCTTTGGGCGATGATTTGGTGAGCTTGGACCCCTTGCTCGACTTGACCCCAGGCATCGGATCGCCAAGAATGTCGATCAGTGCATCCTCCTCGGCCTTTTTGTCCTTGGTTGATGTTTTCGTAAGCTTACCAGTCTTGGACTTCTTCGCGTTCTTCTCTTGCTCGAGCCGAGCCGCTTCGGCGGCCGCTGCTTCTTCGGCCTCGCGGGCGAGTCGCTCTTCCTCTTCCTTCGCCGCTGCTTCCTCAGCTTCCCTTTTGGCTTTGGCCTCCTTCTCCTTTTTAGTCAGCACCTTTGAGGTTGCAGCTGCTGCACCGAAGCCCCAGATGCTCTTGCTTGCTTTCGCCGGAGTCTCTTCCTCCTTGGACTTGGAACTGTCTTTGGAGGTTGTTTTGGCAAGGGAATCCTTCTTCTTCGTCTTGGCACTACTGAATGCGCCCCATGTGTCGTCTTCGTCGAGCATTGGCTCGGGCTCGGGTGTTAGACCTTGAGCTGGTGGCGTTGGTGCCGGAGGCGGTGGCTCCTCCTTTCCTTTCTTAGACTTGGAAGCTGGCTTGGCAAATGTGCCCCAGATGTCATCCACTGCAGCTTTCTCTTTCTCGGCAGCCTTCGCAGTGCCTTTCTTCTTGCTACTCCCGCCGAATCCCCATGAGCCCAGGAGATCCTCTTCCACGACCACTGGTGCCGCTTCAGGTTCAGGCTCCTTGGGCTTCATCGGTGGCCAATTTCCGTCAGCACGGAGATCTTTCTCTTTCTTCTTGCGTTCTTTCGGCGTCAGCCCAAGATCCCAATCGAAATCATCGACCATCTCCACAGCTGGTACCTCAGGTTCCGGTTCGGGCACTAGATCTGCTTCGGGCTCCTTAGGCTTCATAGGCGGCCAATTGCCCGCGAGGCGAAGCTCCTTCTCCTTTTTCTTCTTGTCCTTGGATGATAAGCCAAAATCCCAATCTGGGTCCTCGACCATCTCTGGCTCAGCGGGTTCGGGTTCGGGCACAGGCTCCGGTTCGAGTTCTGCCTCCTTGGGCTTCATTGGAGGCCAATTGCCAGCGGCGCGTAGATCTTTTTCTTTCTTCTTCTTGTCTTTGCTCGACAAGCCGAGAGCCCAATCCAGATCATCAACCATTTCAGGCTCGGGAGGCGGTGGTGGCTCGAGCTCCGGTTCGGGCTCAGGCAGAATGTCGTCGGCGGTCTTTTCCATCATTGGAGGCCAGTTGCCAGCAAGACGGAGTTCTTTCTCTTTCTTCTTCTTCTCCTTGGAGGAAAGTCCCAGGTCCCATTCCGTGTCCTCGACCATTTCCGGAGCTGCAGGTTCTGGCGCAGGCTCGGGTGCAGCTTCGGGCTCTTTAGGCTTCATTGGTGGCCAGTTCCCTGCCAGCCTAAGTTCTTTCTCCTTTTTCTTCTTCTCCTTCGAGTTCAAGCCAAAGTCCCAGTCAGGATCCTCCACCATTTCTGGCTCTGCCAAAGGTTCTGGTTCGGGTATTGGCTCAGGTTCCGGATCTGGCTCTTTCTCCTTCATGGGTGGCCAGTTGCCTGCAAACCTAAGCTCTTTCTCCTTGGCTCTCTTTTCTTTCGAACTGAGACCAACAGCCCAATCCAGATCCTCGACCATTTCCTTGGGTGGCTCCGGCTCCGGCTCCGGGTCAGGTTCCTTTTCTTTCATGGGCGGCCAATTTCCAGCAGCTCTAAGCTCCTTCTCTTTCAGTCGCTTCTCCTTGCTGGATAGTCCAAGTGCCCAATCTAGATCGTCCACCATTTCTTTTGGCTCCTCAGCGATAGGCTCGACGAAAGACGCTTCCGGACTGGCTTTCTTGCTCTTCTTGTCCTTCTTGCCAAAAGACCCCCAGATATCATCAACCGCAGACGGTTCGGGAGCAGCTGGTGGTGGTGGCTCATCGTCAAGCAGACCCTTCTTGCCCTTTTTCTTTGTAGATTTGCTATCGAAAGTGGCCCAAATATCATCTGCTGCGGCTGCTGGAGGCGGATCGGGCGCCGGCTCCATACTGAGGAACGCGTCAAGCTCGTCGGTTTTTTTCGTGGTCTTTTTCGTGGTCTTTTTGGCAGCCGTGCCCCAGGCACCCTTCATCCAGTCATCCTCGGCAGGTTTCTCGGGCTCCTTAGGTGGCTCAGGATCGTCCAGAGCACTGATCAGGTTCTTTTTCTTGGACTTGTCCTTAGAGCCGAATCCCCAGTCAAAGCCACTGTCTCCACCAATGTCAAGAGATGTATCCTTTTTGTCGACCGGGTCGTCCAAGAAGCCAGCCTTTTTCTTTGTGGTCTTGCCAGTCGCGCCCCAACCTCCCCAGTTGTCGTCAGTTTTGGAGTCAAGACTGAAGTCGTCTTTCTTTTCTTCAACTGCACCTTTCTTTTTGTCCTTCTTGTTAACGGTCGAGAAACCCCAGGCGTCATCAGCAGCCTTGTTGTCACCGAGATCACCGTCAAAGGAGAAGTCGTTGTTATTCGTAGAATCGAGGTCGCCAAAGTCAAAGCCAGCCTTCTTCTTCTTAGCCCCAGCATTGCCAAAGGACCAGGGATTGTTGTCGCCCAGAGTGGTCTCTTCCTTCTTGTCCTTATCCTTCTTCGACTTAGAATCCGTTTTGCCGTCAGCAGCCGAGAAATCCCAGGTATTACCCCAGGTACCAAAGGAGTCTTTCTTAGAGTCACTTCCCCCAAAACTGAACTCGAGTTTGGGGGCAGGATCATCAAGGCTAATGTCCTGGAAGGCTGATGTTGGTGGAGGATCACCCTGCTACAATTCAGAAACAGGTTACCATGAGATTTCTCTCGACTTACCTTTTTCTTCTTCTTATCTTTCTTGCCGGCGGTCGTGAAACCAGCTGTCCAGTCGTCGTCTGCGGCGGCGTCGTTGGTATCATCAGCCCAATTAAGGGTGTTTGATGTAGCGGCGGCGGCGGCATCCTCCTCCTTTCTCTTCTCTTCTTCCTCCTCCTGCTTCTTTTTCTTCTTCTTGTCTTTCTTCGAGGTAAATCCCGCGGTCCAATCATCGTCGTCGCCACCGCCGCCGCCGCCGTTACCATCATCGCCACCACCCGCCCCACCCGCACCGCCGCCACCACCCGCTCCGTTGTCGCCGTCGCCGCCCTCACCGTTGGCTTGACCGTCGCCATTGTTGTTGTCGTCGTCAAACCATGCCGCCTGTTGGGCCTTCTTCTTCGCTTGCGCTTTCTTTCCACGGGTCTGAAAGCCTGAGTTGTCGCCAAAATCGATCTTGAAGTCCATGGCAGGCGATAGGACTCCCTCTCGTCTAGTTACGTTCCGAGTCTGCGTCCGTGTGGGAGCCGAGGCATCGAAATCCAGCGATACTCGGGCCGGTGCGAAGCAATCGTCGTTCTCGGTAGGCGTGGAAATAGAAGATGGTTCAGGAAGCGGCGACGTCCCATAAGGTTGAGGTAGTGTGGCTAGCTCGTCGAGCAGGGCGGTAACTAGTACATTGGCCCTCCGACATACAGACTCACTGCATTGTGGCTATTATAAAATTAGCGGTGTGCCTGCACATGCAGACGGGGTCAATATAAAGAAGGATCGAGGGGCATGCAGGGTCGGAAGGCTAGAAGCGCACCTTATGTGGTGGTGTTGTGCATGGGGAAAGCTGCCGGATGCTTTTGGGGTAGGCGGTGTACTGGTGCATGCAAGTGCGGGAGCGCCAATCGGGCTCAGGCAGTAGAGGGTATAAAGTCGTGCAAATTCCGCCATGTTCATCCCATCGCATCCTCGGAAGCTTCAGGGTCTTTGGTCCTGAATACACGTCTTCTGCGATGTTTCCGACAAAGACCAGCGCCATGTTGTAGGTATGTCGTAATTAGGGCGGAGTTGGCGTTGAAGGTCATTTGAACGATCGTGGGTGTCAAAAGAGTCGGGAGGTGCACAGAGAGAGCGTGATGGAGAGGACAAGCAAAGTCACACGCAGCGACGTCGAGCAGGTCCAAGATGAGCGACAGCGAGTTTGCAAAGTGCTGCTCAGGAGGTCGCAGGTGACAACCATTGAGAGCAGAGCGCCCTCGCTTTCGTCACTGATTGGCCGCGGTCGGGTTCTGGCACACCTAACGAATGGCCCCTTGCTGCTTGGGACGGGGGTCCAAGCCACTTCGAGCCTAGAGCCACCCTTTATCGCGGTCAATTATCGATAGCTCGACCGATACACTGACAAAAACAATCACTTGGAGGCAAAAATATGCGGAGGGGAACGCGCCCAAGAATGTCAGGCAACTGGCATTGTATATGAGCTCGGCGAGCAGCGCGACGACGCCGTAAAATTTCTGCGGCGACAACAGCTGTCTATGTCATGCATGCGTCGGTTGCCCCGGTATATTTTCTCGTTGTAGCCAGCCCGATGTGACTAGGCTCTGGTATCTGGCAGCAACCGCAAGCAGGAAGGCCATTCAGTGCTTGTGTTGCTCACCGCTACATTGGGGAGGATGTTTGGGTGACCAACGCCAGCGAATAAGCATGCTTGAGTTTCGGCGCGGTGCTTTGGGGCCATGCTTTGGTGGGCTTTGCCAACAATTTCATTCGATCATGCATGCTTGGTGGCTCCGATTTATTGGTCAACTGCCGGCGTTCAGTACGGAGTGTTCGCCCAAGCGTGATCCACTCGTCGCCCATACAGCCGAAGGCAGGTGAAGATGCCAGATCTCGAAATTATTGGAAAACGAAAACGCCGTGTCACATGTAGGGTATCGTTGCGTCCTGTAGAAGAGAGATACTGCAGCGCATGATGCAGCTTTCAGGCGCGTAATGGTGGCGACAGACGTACAGCACAGCCGAAAGCTTTGCCCAAGAGACCCTGCATATCAGTGCACATCTCCCGGCGGTTGCGAGTGTCAGGCCTTACAACACGTGCGATCCAGCGCTATCGACGTGAGAACGGATGAGACGAGCATGAGGTGATTATGCAACCCATCAAGTCAGTCGTCGTCCGAGTCATAAGCAAGACCGAGTCCGCTGTTGGGCGTAATTCTGGCTGCAGAAGTCTCTTCTTCCTTGGTTGGCGAGGCTGTCTTCGTGTTGCTGGTGACCGACGCAACATCAGCCGCCGGCGGCGGCGATGTATTTGATTCTGTGTTGGTCTTCCTAAGTTTTGAGATGGCGGTATCTGTATCCCTCTTTCGGCGTTTCTTTGTCCGCCATGTATCCGCGGCAGCAACGTCAGCGTGGCTCTGCTCTTCTGACGCAGATGATTTTTCAGCCTGCTGTTGCTGCTTGCGGAATGCCTCCAGCTCCTCAGCAGTTTGTTTCCTGACGGCATTCTCTTTAGCTCGTGATGATTGGTTCAAGGAGTCAAGGTAATCGACTTCATCGTCATCCAAGGCACGGAACTGGTTCTTGAGCTTCGCCTGCTCTTCGAAGTCGGCTTGCTTGGCCGCTAGTAGTAGTGGCGGCGTCAGAAGCTACGAGTCGGGAATGAGAAACGAATTGAGGGAGCACCTACCTTTGTTGGCCTGCAGGACTTCATACAGGCTCTTGCCATCTTCCTGCTTGCCAGCCTGCGGCTTGGACTTCGCACGCATCGCCTCAAGCTGCTTCTGTGCTTGGGCCCAGGCATCCTCGCGAGCGGCTTCTTTAGAACCGTCGCTTGGAGCTGTCGGCTCAGCACCGCCGGCAGCAACGAAGCGAGACATGGCGAGCGAACGCACGACCAGAAATGCACGGCTTTTGTTCTGAATGTGTTCAAAATCGAGTTCCGCTGTTGGAGAATTGAGCCCGCAAAGACGGGCGGTAGCTTTACCTAAGCGGGGGTCAACCGCCACCAGGTAGGTAGCCCGCAAATCAGCCTCGTTCGCGCCGAGGAGCAGTGGTCATGTCCTCCAAGTTGCTCCACGATTCCGCTCCTGGCAGTCTCTTTCAGGCTAATTCCCGTGAGGTGACCGCGAAGCCGCGTTGACTGGCCGGAGAACGGGTACGTTGCATTGTGGGAGACGCGGCGGATGCCCCTCGCTGTTACGTCTTCGACCCCACCAAGATTTTATGAGCAGCCCGAATGAATCAGACAGATATTTCGAGAGCGCGATCAAGTATTTTCCCGGTGTCGCATGTTTTCTTTAAGATTCTATTCTGCCTTCCTAAAGACTCCTGTTCCGTTGTTTCACGTCGCAATCGAGACTCCTTCATCTACTAGTTCTTACCTCACTCATAGATACCAAAACTTGTCCACCATGTCTCAACCAGTCAAGCGCGAGGGCAGCGGCACCAAGACCGTGTTCACTCTGAACACCGGTGCAAAGATGCCTGGCGTCGGTCTCGGGACCTGGCAGTCCAAGCCCAACGAGGTTCGCGAAGCCGTCAAGAGCGCTCTGCAGGCTGGGTACCGCCACATCGACACTGCTCTCGCCTACGGCAATGAAGCCGAGGTCGGCCAGGGTATCAAGGACTCTGGTGTGCCTCGCGAGCAGATCTGGGTTACCACCAAGCTTGACAACCCCTGGCACAAACGCGTCAAGGAAGGCATTGCTTCGTCGCTCAAGGATCTCCAGCTCGACTATGTTGACCTGTACCTGATGCACTGGCCCAGCTCTTCCGTTCCAGAAGATCTCAAAAAGCACTACGATGACTGGAACTTCACCGACACCTGGTGAGTTCTGCGCGAATTCGAACACAATCCGTACTGACCGTTTACAGGGCTGAGATGCAGAAGCTCCTCGAGACCGGCCAAGCAAAGAATATCGGCGTGTCCAACTTCGTTATCAGCAACCTCGAAAAGCTATTGAACGACCCCAAGACTAAAGTCGTGCCTGCGGTCAACCAGATTGAGCTACACCCCAACATGCCCTCGCCGAAGACCATCGAGTATTGCAAGTCCAAGAACATTCACTGCACTGCGTACTCTTGCCTAGGCTCGACAGATTCCCCTCTGTCCAAGGACAAGACCCTGCTCAAGGTAGCAGAAGAGGTTGGCAAGACCCCCCAGCAGGTTCTCCTCCAATGGGGCCTGGCAAGAGATACCAGCGTCATTCCCAAGTCAGTCACCGCGAGCCGCATCAAAGGCAACTTCGAGCTTGATGGCTGGAGTCTGTCTCCTGAGCAGGTCAAAGCCCTCTCTAGCATTCCCGATCGCTTCAAGGTGTGCGGTCACGATGTAAGTGTCTCCAAAGTCCAGATTCCCCAATAGTGTCTAACAGTGAACAGTGGCTCCCAGTCAAGGTCTTCTTCAATGAAGAGGGCGATGCGCCAGAGGGCGTTCCTTCTCACTGAGCAAGACTTACGAAGGAAAACGGGCATTGCATGAGGCGTAGGGTACATGTCTAGATTACCGCCTTTTCTGTAGATGTCGGTTATCACCTTAAATCAAAGCCGACGAATATACGGAGTACATTCAGAAGCAAATCGAGTTCGTTTTCCACCTTTCTTCAGGGTCTTTAACCGCAGAGTAAATGATTGGCTATGGAGGACCAATACGTAAAGTGGAGATGTTCCGAGCCCTGCATGGTTCGCCACCCGTCCTAGGCACCTCTACTACGGTGACCCCATTTCAACAAACCCCGACCTGATCATCCATCTCTCCTCTTCTCTACAATCGATCTCCCGGTGGGTAAACACCAGGAAACATGGCGAGTAGCGGAGGGCACATTCTAGTGCCTAAGGCAATGCGCCTCCTGAAGTTCGGCTTCGACAAAGCCGCTCGGCTGATCCGAGACCGTCTGCCCCAGACGGCCAAAGCAGTCGAGCCGCAGTCGCAGCCAGTCTTCGCACGCGTTTCTCGACAACCCATCAACCGCCTTGCGGCCATCAAGCAATCTCAGAGCCGCTGGTACTCTACCAAGCAGGCCATCAGCAACGCCTCTCGGCACTTCTCCTCATCCACCGCTCCTCGAGCCTCACGGTCATCCTTCCCTGCCTCTCGCACCGCAGCCGCGGTGTCCCGTCTGACAACCCGCACACCATTTGCTACACAACTCCGACCGAATCTGACGGGTGGAACACTCTCACGCAGCGCAGGTGGCTATTCTCTCGGTGGACAAGGCGCCCGACACTTCTCTCACGCTCCTGCTGCACAAGCGCAGGTAGTACAGAACGTTTCACAAGCTGTCCGTGCCTTCTGGCTCTCTGGCAGTAAAGCTCGTTTTGATGGCTTCAACTCTCGTACCGGCGAGAAGCGCTACCGTGCCGTCTCCGACCTTCAGGACGATGTCCGCCAGACGCTCGACCTGCACGCCCCAGCTGCCAAGGGCGCCTTCATCGACTTCAAGATTTCTCCCATCATAACTGCTATCGGTCCCTTGGCTGGCATTCCCCGCTCCGGCACCAGCACTCCCTCCTGTGAGACCTCCGATGGCTTTGCCGAAGCCACAGGCCTTGGCAACCCTATGCTTCTCTCCAACCTGAGCATTGACTTTGCCCGAGCGCTCAAGAACCTCTCTGCGGTTTTCAACGATCTCAAGCACCTATCCACGCTTGGGGATCTGCCTATCACTCTGCATAACGCCGACACACTGCGCGTACGCTTTCCCGGCGTCGATGCTGACACCGTGGAAGCCCTCTGCTTGGAACTCAACATTCGCCGCGGCATTGTAGGTCAAGACGAGGGCTTCGAGGAGCAGTGTGGCGCAGAGCTGGCTTTGCTGTTCCCCTTCGCCCCGTCCAGAACGCATAGCCAGGTTGACTTCAATGTTGTGACACGCCCGAAGAAGCGGTTGCGAGCCAGCAAGAAGGACAAAGTAGAGTGGGAGCATATGCTAAGTCCTGCGCAGTCGCCTGGCTACAGTCATCGTTCCGAGACAAGTCATTCGCTCATTGAACCGGAGGAACTGGGCGAGAACCCGTGGCTGTCTTCGCCGTCCGGGTACTCGAGTCTGCACTCCTCGGAGTTGGACGGCCAGGGCCAGGATGATGTCGCGATGTTCTTCACCCCGCACCACATTTCGTACTCGCCACAGGGACCGGCTGACGCCGCAAGATATGAGGGCATGGAAGGCATCCACCGCTTCCTACAGGAGTGTGAGCGGGCGCAGCGCTAAGGAGTGCTATGGCCCGGGCCGGACTGGGACGAGCTGGAGCCTTGAATTTGTCTTATTTTCATTTGTGATACCACTAGCGAGCCTCACGAGCGACCCTCAGAATGATATGATCTCCTATTCGTACAACAATCAAGCCTGTTCACTTTGAAACTCCTGTTCTCCGAGCGAAGCTTGTGTAGCACCGTGTTCTAGTTTAAAACAGAGTGTCGCCCCGTGCCCGACCGTCTCGCGAAAGTAAAAAGTTCCCCCCCAGTTCGCCGATCATCACGGGAGGGCACTCTCAATCATGAATACCAACCAGGCCCGCTTTGCCTTGCCCAAACAAAGCACACCCTAAAAGACACACCACCACGGAGCCCAGCACCTAGCTAGCTTACTCAACCCGACGCTTCTTGCCTTCAGTATCCCTATCGCCCTACACCTCGCCACCGCTGCTGTTACTGCTACTACCACCAATTCCGCTCGAACCACGACGCTTGCGCTTCTGCTGCACCATCTCACCTTCCTCGGTTCCCTCCTCTCCCTCACCCTCGCCCTCGCTCTCGCCCTGCCCTTCGTCATCACCATCACCCGTCGCATCATCACCATCCCCATCGCCATCTCCATCTCCATTCATCCCTTCCACCTCCTCCTTTCCCTCTTCCCCCTCCAACACACGCCCCGCCGCCACCGCCTCAGCGTGCGCGACGCGAAAGTGCAATTCGAAGGCGGCGTCGGTGCTGAAGAAACGCCCGCAGAGCCGACATTGAAATACTCTTGTCGCGGGCGGACTTAAAGTTCGTGGTGGGCGAGCGGTGTTCTGCGTCTCGGTAGCAGTAGCAGTGGCGGAGCTGGTGGTGGGGGTTGCATCAGTGTGGGCATCCTGAGTCGTGCCGAGAGCGTGGCCGGTGCCATGGCGTAACTCCCAGGCGCGGGCGCGTGTAGGGGGCTCGATGGCGCGGGGACGGGCCTGGTTGGCGGGCGTGGAGGGCAGGGTGGAGGGGTTGGCCGCGATGTTGTGGTCGGGGAGGGTCATCGGAATGGTCGTCCAGGGGTCTGACTGGGGCCGGGTACGCGAGGGTGGTGGGGAGGGGGTGTTGGAGCGCTGGTGGCGCAGAAGGACGGGGACCGTGCCGGAGGGGGTTGTGGCGCTGGTGAAGGCGTTGCGGCGGTGGTGGGAGGGCGGGGTGGGGGTGGATGTGGAGGCGGTTGTGTACAAGGGGTTGTCCAAGTAGTCGACTGGGTCGGAGTAGATGAGGAAGTCGGATGGACTGCTGGGGTGTTCGCTCGAGGATGAGCTTGGGGCGAGGTTGGATGATGTGCTGCTGCTGCTGGTGTTGCTGTCACCGCTGTCGGCTGTGGTGGTAGGGGGGTTCGCAGTCGGAGTGGCGGGGACGGGAGTGAGATGTCTATCGACGGAGGAAGGGGACGGCGAGTAGTTGGCCTGGGTGGCGTTTGGGGAGTTCGAAGAATCCATAGGAGGACTCTGACTGTCGTCCGAGGGAGAAAAGTTGAAGGTTCTGAGTTGTTGCTGGGTGTTTAGGCTGTGCGGTACCTCTGCAGGCTGCTCAGGGGTGGTGATGAGGTGGAGGAAGACAGGAGCTGCAAGCTGTGAGCATCAAAGTACTGGGCTGAGAAGGCTGCTGGGAGTTGCAAAGAGGTAGCAAGGTTTTGTGAAAGATATCTCTTTTTGTGTGCTTTGTTGCCGAGCCAGAGTGAAGTTCGTGGTAGAAAAGCACAGAAAGCACAGGAGATGGTTGTGAACAACAAACGGACACCTGGTAGTATGATGGGACGCAGCTGTAGTTGTGCCAAGTGTGCTGTCGTATGAAACCAGCTTTACTGATCTGGCGATACAAGCACTGAAAAAAGTCACTGTAGATGTGATTGAAACCAAGGCGTGATAGATAGACAGTGAATATTCACTGCCTGACTCCCGCTCTTCACACAAAGGGTACGTGATATCTAGGAAGGGGTATCCTTCTCGTGCACTATTAGTGCTAACAAGCTCACACACTGTACTCGGTCAGCTTGCTTTCTCCCCAACGATCGTCAACGAGAGGACTCACCACGGATCAGGCATCTCACCTAGTCTTCACTGCTTGCCCCAGACCTCATGCAAGTACTCCCTGAGATCCACAGGTGTGACATCTGGACATACCTCTCCAGCTTCATTGTCCGCCCAAGCACCACCCCTCGCACCCTGGCAGGTCACCTTCTGCATCTGTGCGACCATACCAGACTTGAACGTCGCCAGATCGAATTCCCCCGCCAGCTTCGCATCGGCCTCTTTTTTCCGGCGGTCACACTCGTCAGGATCTATAGTCGCATGCTGGAGCGTGATGCCACATTCTCGCTCAACGATATGGCGAACTTCAATGTAAGTAAATGTGTTACCTGCAATGCTTATGATGCCAGATTGAGGCCACGACCCGGCCGGTAGAGCGACCACGGCGGCCACATACTTGCCCACGTCGTCAATGTGAGTCATGCTGACCGTGGCTGAATCGCCGTCGGCGTTCACGGGAATCGGGAGAATGCCCTGTGAGATGTCAATGTACTCGAGCATCAAATCGTCGTCCAAACCAGCTAAAAGGTGTGGCTTCGCGGCAACCGAGGGCGCCTTCTGGGCGAAGTAGTTAAGGAAGCCGCCGTTCTCGAATTGAGCAACCTCAAAGTCTGTTCTTTCGGACGATGCAGCGAGCTGCTGGCATTCTTTAAGCAACGTGGCTTTGTGGGCCAGGAGATCGACTTGTTGGTGTGCGAGGCTATACATGCTCCAATCAGATGGCACAAACCTCGTGGCGGTATCCGTTGCGAGCGTGGCGCGCAGGAGGTTCAGATGAGTAGTAATGTTGAGCTCGTCTCCAATGATCTTGAGTACCGAGATCACTATGTTGGCGCCAGAGATGGCGGACTTGACGCTGCTAACATCCTCGTAGGAGACATATTTGATGGGAGCACCGTGGGCGGACTCGGCTGCGGAGCTAGAGTCTGATGGTGTGCGTGAGAGGACAGTTACCTGATGGCCAGCTGCTATGCAAGCTGTAACGATCGACCGTCCAAGGGTCGGCGAGGTGCCTCCAGCGACGACAACATGGACCATGGCGATTCACTGATTTGGCCGTAGATTGGATGGTGACCGAAGTCAGATGCTCCGCTTAGCAGATCAAGGCTTCACTTATATCACATCGGCGCAGGCAGAGTTGGATTGGTGCTGAAGCCAAATAGCGTTTGAGCACAGCCGTCTCAGGCATCAAATTGGATGAGATCTGCGCATCGTTACTCACACCGAGCTGTCAGACCTTGCATCTGTGGTTGACGACGAATCACAACACCCGAGTCTGATGATCTCTCGCGATCGCAGTGAGCCGATGCGTCGCGTCGCTTCCATCGCGAACCGAACACGTCGGCACGTGCGAAGGCAGAAGGAGCTGATGAGTCAGGCAGGTGAGAGTGATGCGAGGTAGAATCTGTACGGTTGCCCACTCATGCCCCATGCGCCAGCATGGCTGACGGCGGTCTTCCGCATCCAAGACATCGGCGGGCTTTTCTTGCCTATTCCCTCTCGCTCAGACTGGTCTCACCGAACCGATTAGTTTCCGCAAAACTCATGATGGCCGTACAGGAGCCAGTACATCCATCCGGCTAGATTTCCGCCTCGCGCTTGAAACAATGCAATGGCTCAGAAACGGGGCCGGTCGCCTCCAGCCGACGATAAGCCCCAAGTCTTCCACTCCAACCCCATAGAAGACCGCCAGTCCACCTTTATAGCCCACTTTTCCCCGTCGCAATCCGCAAAGACACTGCAAGCGGCGCCCGAATTCAAGAGCGCGTCCCACCGCATGGCCGCTTGGCGCAAGGCGTCCACGCAGCGTACCCTGAGCAGCGACCGCCAGATCTTCACCACCGGATCCGACGACGACGGTGAAAAGTACGGCGGCAAGCGACTGGAGCGCGTGCTCAACGAAGCCAAGGTCACGGGCGCCGTCGTGGTCGCGCGCTGGTACGGCGGCGTGCTGCTCGGGCCCGTGAGGTTCACGCATATCGAGAACGCCGCCAAAGAAGCCATTGGTGCGTGGAGGGAAAGCACGGGCGAGAGACCGGCGGCGAAAGTACGGAAAGTTGAGCAGCAGCAGACGTCGGCAGGAGACGACGAGGCTGACCGGAAGCGTTTGACGAAGCAACTGACTGATCGCGACCAGAGTATTGTCGTGCTGCGGCAGCTCCTGGCTGAGAAGCAGGCCATGGCCAGCGTAGGGGCGCAGCCCGACATGGTCAGCAGCAGTCAGCCCTCGTCCAGTGCGGCGACAGCAATTGATTACGCCGAGATGCCGCTGCTGAGGCTGCGCCAGCTCGACAAGGCGCGTGACGCCACCATTGCGTGGATTCTCAAGCAGATCGACCAGGCTGAGACGAAGGAGAAGGAGGTGGCTGCCGCGGCGGCGGTCGGGAAGACGAAAGAGGAAGGGTGAGAGAGGCTGTCCTCGCTGCGGTTAGGGCGTTCCAGAACTCGTTATTCACGACTTTCACAAGAGCGATCTCAGGGCCTCTGCTTGAACGGTGAATGCATGGTCATAATGATACCATTGCAGATCCTCGACCGGATTGCTAAGCTAAAAGTACAACAAGCTACCTAGTCAAACACGCCCAAGTCCCATCGACTCCAGGAACTCCTCCCTATTCGCCACCAAGCGGCATCGAAATTCAATCGAACTCAATGCTTCCCAGGCTTATATTCCACCCACCCCAAGCCGGGCCACCCCCACACGACCTCCCTCCCATCCCTCTCCGCGCGCCTCTGCTCCGCGCTCTTCTCCTCCAAGAACACCCCCAGCCCCGGCCATCCCCACTCCGCCCGATTTTCCGAAGGCGACGCATCCTGCATGCCATTTCCCCCAATCCTCTCCCCAGCACTAGCCTCCATGCTCGGGCTACCAGCCACATCCTCATGCGCCTCCTCATCCTGCTGCCGCATCCCATGCCTCGCGGCCCTCGCTCTCCTCGCATCCGCCTCGTCATGTGCGCGCAGGGCCTCGACACGCTCATCCACGGCGGCGGGGTGCACGTGCGCGCCCCCAAAAAGCAGCTGCTCGCGCGCGATGGCGGAGCGGATCGACGACAGGCGCCGGTGCAGCCGCGACGAGAGTGGAGAGCCCTTGGTGGGGATGGCGTCGGTGGCTGAGGCGTCATGCTCCGGTAGGGAGGTGAAGTGCGGTGTCGCGTTGGAGGTGTAGGGTGTGGAGTAGGGGGATGGGGCGGTCGGAGTGGCCGTGCTGGGGGAGGGCGGGGAGTTGGGCCGGAAGGGCGGGCTGGGGTGCGCGCTTAGCGGCGAGAAGCGGTGGGGGGACATTGTTGCTGGTGTTGGTTGTGAGTTGGGGGCGCGAGCGTCGGCGTAGTTGGTGATTTCGTTGTAGATTAAGGGATCCACGGTGACGGTGTGTGGATTAGAGGAAGATGGTGTGTGTTGTTTTTGCAAAAGCGTTGTAGCTTTGGTTGCTTTGTTTGTTGATCGTGGTCTCTGCTGTTGAGCTCTGATCGTTAGGTCTTTCAGAGTCTTGGTCGAATGTTTGTTTCTGTTGCGGCAAGTCAAAGTAGCGGTACCCAGGGCCTACCTGTCCGGACATCGCCTACTACATTTATACTCAATTGCCTCAAGACTCACTTGTCACTTCATGACAGATCGCATGATCATGGGCATCGCGAAGTAACGGGCTCCAACGCGTGCGTGTGACTGCGAAACAAGCGATGCTTCGTGTGCGGAACAAGCGAGCATGTTCAGGACCGACGAAGATCAGTCGGGAATGATGGGCTGAGTGCTTTGCGTGAGGTATCACACCACGGGCGGAACAAACCCCGGTAGTTTGCGGAGGTCAGACCACGCGTATTTCTTACTGCGCTCGGAGGGTCCCGATGCACTGGAGGCTGAGAGGTCGGCACTGCTGTCGGATACACTGTTACCGATGGGTGCGACGCAACGACTACTACTCTGGACAGCTGGAGCGGTGATGTTGGTTACGATGGAGAGTCCTTTACCTGGTTTCTGAAACATATTCAAATGACCCGAGGAAAACATAAACCTGGGCTTCTTCACCTGCGGAAAAGTCAAATGACAAGCGTTACTGAAAAATTCTCGCAGTTTCCCAAACTTGAAGCAAGCCTGTCGATAGAAGCTGGAAGGGGTAACAGGCTCGAAGAGTCTCAAAAGACTTGTGCCTCGTCGTCGTACTGACTGTAGCTTGTCGGACCGGAGGTTTCGACGTAGCTCTGCCGTACAATGTGTCCCGAGCCCAGCACGGTAGCACCAGCGTGGACGAAGTCACTCACTCAGATATTTCCGAAGCTGTACCGCCAACAATACTCACTGACAAAGCGTATGGAGCCCCTTGCGCGTACTACACCCCTCTTTGCCACTTGCTCGTCGTCAAACATGACACATAGGAGGAGTTTGCTTCCCCGATGCTCTCCAACAACTAGAAGGAGTGAACTGGATCGACTCACCGACGACACCACCCTTGACGCGTTCACGGAGATTTGCCGGTCATGAACCAGAGACAATCCATTCCCGGTCTTCAAGACGAGTACACGCCGATAGCCGGTGGGTACATCGGAACACTCGTTTGACGAGGATGACCGACTTACCTGCGAGCAACGAGTCTACCGTGAAGCAACCGAGACCAATGAAGTCGTGACGACATTTGTAGGCACTAGACGTGCTGGCCCAAGAGCCATGTATAGCGGTAGCGCACTATTGGCAGTCAAAGAAGAGCGTCGGTGGGCGCGCACTCGCATCTTCTAATCCTTGATATCATGTCGATAGGGAGCCAGTGTGGCGTGTCTGTGGAATACTTCGCTCACGCGTTGTGGTGCCCAAGTTGGTGACACAAAGTAATGATTGAGAGATCACCGTTGAAGCAGTAAGCCAGCCCCAGGAAACAGGATCAGTACGTCAGGTGCAGGCGTTCACGATGTGACTTAGGTCAGCGAAAAGACGGGCGGGTACGTCTGAGGAAGCGAGTGACAGCAATTCCTGAGGGGATTTACCCGACGGCGATGACGGGCCTTGGAGCACGGTGGGAATAACGATTCCACGTTTATTGCAACCCTCTGGATTTTTATTTCCTGATTTCCGCGGCCAATGGAGGAGCGTCGCTGAGGGAGGGACAAGTACCCAGGTACTTGTCGTGGCTTCGGCCATCTTTCGGGACAAACATAGACGATGGGAGATGGCCGGCGCTACTGCATGACATCTTGGACCACAAGGCTTGAACAGCCCCGGTTCACTGGGTATCACCTCGATCCGAGCGGGGAGGGCCGTTTCTGTTTTTCGGATTCACTCACAGGCTTTCCTTCGAACGAGTCGGATCCTTTCTGCTGTGGCATTGTCGAGGCAGGTGATTCGCAGTACGAGACGTAGAGACAATTCAGCCCTTGGAATGGCCAATAGCCACCACGCAGACGTCTTGTCATACATGTGCTTGGCTGAGTCCCACCTTGGGCACTTCCATGTACCCGAGTGTGGGAGAAGGTGGATCTGCATCACAAAAGTCGATGACAGTATTAGTGCAACCGCCGCTTCTGTCACGACTCCACTGCCGCATATCAAAACGTGATAGTGGAGGATGCGTACGGAGTAGCTCATGTGTTCTCCTCGATTGGAGATGCGTTGCGCCCCAATAATGATTTGCAAACAAACGAAAACTTGACAGCGAAGTTCGCGGATTTTGACCTATGCAGCGTTGTAGACCTAGCTGCAGGCGCTTAAGAGCGCGAAATGCTCGGTACCCTCTACTGTGCCCACCCACGACGATGTAGAGATTCGTCAATCTGATAATTTTATATCCACCTCGGGCAAAGATCGCAGATAGCAGCGCGCACGGTGTGTGGAATGTTCCCCTTTGACGTTCATAAAGTTGACTCATCTTGGAGTACATTCACGAAGTCTCGCCTTCGACCAAGACGATACTCCGTAGCGCTTTGCAGCTCAAAGCACCGAGAAAAGACGAGGTACATCGGGCTTCTCTCGCTGATAAGCGAAAAACTTTGTCACTTGGCGCGTGGACGGCGTCCAAAGTGGCCCGGTATGACTATTGCTTTTGCTATCATTCGCAACCGAAGCGAGAGCGTGACCGAGGAGCCGCTGACTCGACCACAGCTGGTATGCTCTTAGGGTAGATATGTGGAGGTGGTTGAGGGGCAAGAAGGGTACCTACAGGTACGTACCTTGTGGACACAAATTAGCGGCCACGCTGTGGCTTGGAAGACCCGCTCGAGACCCGCTGTGCCGGTTTTCCGCTGTGGCTTCTGCCCGAGCATCAAGCGAGGCAGCATCATTGTCATTACTACGGAGTATTGTACTCCGTACTTCGACCCAAGGCAACTGCCATTCTTGTCTTTGGCGGCGCGTGGCTGTCAGCTCCTTGCTTCTTCAATCATGAAGCGCGCAAGATGGGGTGGGAGAGCCAGACAGATGGGTCTTCGATATCCATGATCAGTGTGTGTTCTGGAGAGCCCGCAACGCTTTCGCCATCGAGACACATCGCAAGATAGCCCGATCCCTTGGTCGTGTCTCAGTCTCGCTGGGCTCGATCAGCAGCCTGGAACCTAGAGAAGTCAATATGCTGCGCAAGGTCTTCTTGCTCTCAACGAGCCGGGGCAAGGGTATCGGCCTTGTGAAAGGTGCGTGGCCATCGATCCCCCGGCCAAGTGACTAGAGATGCTATTCGTAGGCGAGCCTGACGGCTGCACGCTATGTAGGCCGAGAGGTGTTGCGATACCTGACAGGAACGAGGACACGCTCGCATAATCATGTTCCTGATGCGGCAAACATCAGCACGGTCAAAGCGTGGTGCGAATCAACGCCTGTGACTGGCCTCGACCGGGGCTGTGTACAGAGTGTTCCCGATACTTCGCCGAGCCTATATCTTGATGGACGGGGGACGTCGCGCAGCAGCCAACAGGATCGCAGCTTGTGGGCAGCCCCGAATCGCGTCCAGCGTTGAGCGCCCACATTTACTGGTCCTGGGCACCCCGATCAGATAGCGCCTGACTCGAGCGATGTACCGTCCTGTTGTTTCATGGGAGTTCTTTAGGGCATCCAGGTGGAGTGATTTGTATGCCTGACGATTTCGGAACCGGCTGCTTCAGCACCACCACCACCACATGATCATCATTACGAGTACAATTTTACCCTCACCTTGACCGCCAAGGGTTGTGACAGGTCGTGGCATGTTGCGCCGGTGGGCAGTCGCCAGACAGAAATCGGTAGGGTTGGCGCAGAGAGCAACCAAACAGCAGGGAGACAAGGATGGAATAACGATAACGAGGTCAGACTTTCTCGAAATCTGCTGTCTGTGCAGCGAAACTCAATGGAAAAAGGTTCTTGTGCCTACGAACACCTGTGGCGTTTCTGACACTGCGAGCCCCACGGTGCTTTGTGTGATTCCAGGCGGAAGTGCCTCTCCGCTGAGGTGCT